GACGGTCTGCGTGGTTGGAAGGCCGTCGCTACCCGTGAATGTAGTCTTGCCGGTTGAGTATGTCGTAGCAGCAGAGACACTGCCAGCAGTGTACATCGTGGTAGCTACGACTGGTGTCTCAACGTAGTAGACGGTCTGCGTGGTTGGAAGGCCGTCGCTACCCGTGAATGTAGTCTTGCCGGTTGAGTATGTCGTAGCAGCAGAGACACTGCCAGCACTGTACATCGTGGTAGCTACGACTGGTGTCTCGACGTAGTAGATGGTCTGCGTAGTTGGAATACCATCCGATCCCGTGAAGGTAGTGACACCCGTTGAGTAAGTCGATGTGCTGGAACCTGTCCATCCACTGTAAGCTATTGTGGATCTTGCCGGAGTCTCGACGTAGTAGACGGTCTGCGTTGTTGGAAGGCCGTCGGATCCCGTGAAGGTGGTGCCACCAGTTGAATAGGTCGTAGCAGCAGAGACACTGCCAGCACTGTACATCGTGGTAGCTACGACTGGTGTCTCAACGTAGTAGACGGTCTGCGTGGTTGGAAGGCCGTCAGATCCAGTGAAGGTAGTGACACCCGTTGAGTAGATCCTAGTAGCAGAGACACTGCCAGCAGTGTACATCGTGGTGGCTAAAGCAGGAGTCTCGACGTAGTAGACGGTCTGCGTGGTTGGAAGGCCGTCAGATCCAGTGAAGGTAGTGACACCCGTTGAGTAGATCCTAGTAGCAGAGACACTGCCAGCAGTGTACATCGTGGTGGCTAAAGCAGGAGTCTCGACGTAGTAGACGGTCTGCGTGGTTGGAAGGCCGTCGCTACCCGTGAATGTAGTCTTGCCGGTTGAGTAGGTCGTAGCAGCAGATACACTGCCAGCACTGTACATCGTGGTAGCTACGACTGGTGTCTCGACGTAGTAGATGGTCTGCGTAGTTGGAATACCATCCGATCCAGTGAAGGTAGTGACACCAGTTGAGTAAGTCGATGTGCTGGAACCTGTCCATCCACTGTAAGCTATTGTGGATCTTACCGGAGTCTCAACATAGTAAATGGTCTCTGAAGTGGAAACACCGTCGGAACCAGTAAAGGTCGTAAGTCCCGTGGAGAAAGTTCTAGTTGAGCTGCCAGTCCCTTGACGATAAGACGTGGTGACTCTAATAGGCGTGAGCACCTCAACAATACTAGGGTAACCGTTAGAGTCTGTTATCACAGAAGTACTAGTCGTTGAGCCCGTCCACGCAGTAGTGGTGTGTGGGACGGGCGTCAAAAGCTGAACTTCGGTGGTGTGACCCTGAGAGTCTGTGAGCCGAGAGTATAAGTTGTATGTTTCGGTCCAAGGAATGGTGGTGGATTTCGTGGAAGGTAGAGGAGTCAAGATAAAGACCTCAGACGTTTGCCCAGCACTGTCCTTAGCATATGAAGTGAGTGTGGTGCTCCCAGTCCAGTCCGTGGTCACGCTTGAAATAGGAGCATACACGACGGCTTCAGTAGTCTTTGAAGCACTGTTTGTGATATAGCTGGTTGAACTATAGCTCCCAGTCCACGGGACTGTCGTCGTTGGTGTTGCTTGAGATGTCACTAAAATCTCCTCTTCTGTCGTCGAGCCCTGAGAATTTGTCAAGAAAGTCGTGCTATCAACCGATCCCGTGTACGTGCTGAAGAATGAAGAGTAAGGGTAGTAAACGTAAACAGTGGTAGTTGGACCTGAGCCTGTGGAAGTTGACACCGTGGTCCCTGCATACTGCTTGGTTGTCAGCACGGCACTGCATGCGCTTGTTCCAGTTGCACTGTCTGGGAAATAGTAGACCTCCTCGAAAGTTGTTTTGACAGTTCCGTCAGGAAGGGTTGCGGATAACTGGAGCCTTGCCACCTCCAGAGCATTAGCATATGTGACTCTTATTGGGTAGTACTGCCCTTCGACCAAATTGAAACTTGCTTGCACGGCGCCTTGCGAATAGAACTGATAAAGAGCGACATCAGATGTATTTTGACTGTTCTGTCCAGAATTACAGCACTTGAAAGCCCCGTTATTGTCAAACATTAACATTGCGCCGTCATCCGTATTAGTGAGTCCAAACGTGAATTTTCCAGTCTGAGGGGCTTTGTAGTATCCTACCAGCTCAAGAGTGAAATTGGTGATAGTTATGGTATGACCGTAGAGGGTCCCATACTGAAGCCCTCCAGCGCTCCCCATATTGAAATTTTGATCCGTTACGCCGTACCATTCGCCGATTTGTTTTGCCTGGGTTTGATATTGGTACATCAAATAGTTTTGATTGTTGGCCGCAGTTGTGTCGCCCAACGGGTAGGTATAAGCTCTAACCCTGAAACCTTGGGTGCTGCTGCCTGAGGGCAGGCAGACCTCATTGCTTGCAGCCAGAGCAGAACTCAACGAGAACGAAATGCTTGCAAAGAGCAATACGAACTGCGTAGGCAGGTATCGGAAATCTCGCATTTTGGGTTAAGCTTTGAATATGCTCGAAGCAAGTGCAAAACAAGATTAATCGAACTCTCTATGCTGCCACGGACTCTTCGGCCACATTTCTCCGTAAAAGAGGCCTCTCATATTTATACCCAAGAACGCCAAGTCTGGTCGAGAACCGCCATGACTGCTGGAAAGGTCGAAATGAGCTGGTAGGCATGAGGCACCGAAAACTTACACCTTGAGACAGTGTGTGTGAACATGGGAAAGAGCTCCTAAAGCACCGCCTCGGGAAGTCCGAGAGATTTACCAACACGGCACGCTTGATACCATATTTGGTTACTACCGGTATTGCATGGTTCTTCCTCTACGGTGTTCTGCATGAAAACCCCAGCGATTCGGCATGAATGCATGCAGCTTTATTCCACCCTTGCAGTGGAAATCATTTTATGCATGCAGTCTTATTTTACTCATGCAGTAGACATCATTTTATGGATAAGCGTAATCAATGCATTTTTTCTTATTTCTGTCACATCGCCGCGGAGTTTTTCACTCATATTGGTTGCTTAATGACATGGAGTGAGGTATCTACTAGCGATTTCCAGAATGTTGTGAGAGCCCTCAAAATTGCTTGAAAACTTCAGCTGTTTTCGCAGGATGAGCAGTGGGGCTCTGACAAACAATCGGAGGTATTTATCTTGACGATCTTCCTTCAGACAATTCTGTTTTTCGTAAGCATTGCTGTTAAGATATTCGATCTTTCACAACAATATAAGCTGTCAGATTATAAGTGAGGAAAACTTCTTTCCCTCATCTTATGTAATCTTGCATGTTTGTGCATGATGATGGATTTGTACCTTTAAACGATTTCGGTGCGTCGTTCGACGGTCGTCTACGCGGATCATCGGCCGTCGTTGCTAGGTCCAGAGCGAAAAACGCAAAACCAATTCATTTGGTGACTATATCAACAACAGTAAGAATGCTTTAATCAAGGCGTAAAGTGCAAGCCGGACGTGGAGAAATGTACGCACAAAGAACGGAAGGGAAGAGGGAGAATGGGGTCGTCAGTTCACACTGCTTGGCTTGCTGATCTTCCTACCAATAAGCATCTTCAGAACGCGTATTTCAGGCTCACATCGTTAGCCTATCCACACTCGCAGGGCGTGACGTACTGGACATTGCATGCGGATTGTCATGAGCAGCTGTGGCTGCTAGCGGGCAACGAAGGTCATCGTTAAATGACGACGCGTGTGCGAGCATTGTAGCGTCACCAGCAGGGGCGTCGAAGCCGCGATATGTAGCGAAGAGGTCTCTTTTGGAGGCGTGGAGCCTCCCAGCTCTTAAGGAATCCTTTTTCACACGTTTGTGTTTGTATAAGTTGTGTGTAGGTCGCCCGTAGCTTGCTGTAATGCGCATGCCCTCTCGCCGGTTGCCAAGCCCCAATAGGGCAACCAAAGGAACATAAGCGTCCTGTCTCTCAATTAAATATCTCGTAAGTACATGGAAATGGCCTATGTTGCCATTTGAGTGTGTTCACACTCAACGCCGTAAAAGGATGCTTCCAAGGATTTGCTCCTTGATGTGTGTTTCGTCCGAAAGAAAAATGTGGTATGCGTGAAGTCTCGATAAGTACTTGATTGAGTCGCTCGAGGTAGATACCGATGATGGGCCACTGTCATGCTGCTGTGAGTGTTTATCTGTTGGCGTTCCCGGCATCAACGAACCTTTGAGCTCAGGTAGACTACTTGCAATGTACGAGCTAATGTAGCAAAGATGGTAAGGGACCTGTTGAGCAAACTCGATCTTCAACTCTAGGCCATGTTCTTTCACACGCAACACATCCAGCTACTTCGATATTCTGGTTCAAAATGTACTGCCTCAACTATCAGAACTTCAGTAAGTCAGAAGATCATCCAACGCATAAGCAACACAACGCTGTACAACAATTGCACTGTGTAATCCGAAAATGTGGAAAAAGACCAGATTGGCTTCTCAACATTGGTGAATATTTGACGCGTTCGTTGCTTGAATTTCAAAAACTAGTTTCAGTAAACCTCCTTGAATCTATAGCCAAGCCATCAGGAGCACGTGATCAAAATCTAGGCTAGTTAACTAACGCTTCAGGGCTCGTGTCCGTCATTTTTTTCGTCAAGTTGTGACTTGTGATAAGCAATATTACACTGATGCTCCGTCAACCGTCACTCCCCACTTTCTTGTATGAAGCTCACCTTCTCTAATGTTTACCAACTCTGTTGCCATTTTTTAGTTTTCACCACTTTTTTCTTCTAAATGCTGCGTGCTTCAATATAAATAATAAACAAAGAGGAGCAAGAGGCCAAATTTTCACCAACCATAGCACCGGTTCTGCTAATTTTTGTTCTTGTAGCTATATACTGTATTGCTTCCCTCCTTGATTCTCTCAACTTTTTCTAGCGTAATTCGAATTTCACTACGTTAATTAGCTAATTGAACTTTGTCTTAGAATTCTCGGGAGACTACCAAAGACAGGGAACCTCGTAACAGCTACTCAGATTACCGCATTCTACTGATGGCGATTGTAAGGGTATTATACTTGTTGTTCGACTTAGAACTATTGTGAGGGTACTTGTACTCGCCATGAGACTCTGGAGTATTCTGAAGGGGTGACCATTCCACAAGCCTGCCAACTCAATCCGCTAAGCTCAAGTGAGTACAAAAAGCTTATATAGGTGCTAAACGTGTCTTTCCGTTCGTGTGTGTCGTATCAACTGGTATTCAGCCTGCTTGACTAATTTGTCAGTTCCATCGCTGTCATCGTATCATGTGCCTATGATCACTTGGTGATGAATCTGACGCTATACTAAAGAGGAGGATCCGATAAGTAGGTGTCACCCATCGTTTCATAGGATAGGCCACTCTTCGTTCCTATGCGTCGTTGCTATTTCTGAGATGATATTTTCAGGGACGTCTCTCTTGGGCAGATCGAAGCAGAACATTAGCTTGGGGCGCAGAAATGATGATTGATGTGGCAAATCTATGTCACGCGTATTTCGCTTGATTTCATGCCTCGGGGGATTGTTGATGGTGATAACTGAGAGCTATTAGAACAGATTCAATTTTACCTAGCATTTCAGTTTCAGCGTAGATACCGTAAGGTAAATAGCTGGCTACTACAGCGATTAGCCCCGGTCAGGCAATAAGAAAAAAGTGTAGAGTGATTCGTGCTTAGCTTGATGATAACGCCTTAAAAATATCTGTATAATGCCACATACACCTCCCCTAGGCGTTATGAAGTTTTCATGTTTCTGGATTTTAGATACCTGTCCGCTCAAATGGCAGTAATAAGCAACTGGCAATCAGTCCGTAAGAAGGAGATAGGTCAAAGTGCATTATCACGTGATCAGGATGACAGAATAAAATTAATGAAACTGAACCGACGGCATATGCAAAATTTAACCGAAAGCTATGGTCAGACCTCAATGCTCCCAATGATGGCTAAGGGACCATCATGCCACCACCATCTCATCGCGAGTGGTCTGATGGATGGTGTGAGGTGAAAATTTTTCGACCACATCTCACCTCAAATAACATTTCGATGAGAGCGAGTTCCCGTAAAGTGTACGCAAGTAGACAATCGACCTGTGATAAACGGCTTGTATTATCAACATAGTCATCGGGAGCAGAAGTATTCCATATTTGAAATGTTTAACAATCTAGAAAATTATGAGTGAATCAGGTAATAATTCAAGAACTTGTCAACTACGGAGGCAGGTAAACCTCAACATCTTGTGTTTCCCCACCTTCTTGATGAGACAGAAGCGAGCCCCATTGAAATTGTCCCTCGTTCCATCCTCCAAGTCACGTGATATCATCACCAAAACAGATTAATGCAACTTTTAAACCCGCTTCGACGTCTGTACATGATCAAACCTCGAAAACGCAGCTGCCTTTAGCCGGTCTCGTAATGAGGAGTGCTTCCTTGAGCTCTTCATGCGTCAAATGAGAAAATGCTTCTCATAGTAATTCTCAATGAGTGCGTTTTACATCATTGACCTTTGAACTAGGAACTAAATGCACTGTGCAGCCTCCCCAGCCTGCTCCCGTGAGTCGTGAGCCACTTGCACCGCTGGCTCTTGCTATCCTGCAGATCTCGTCGGTCTCGGCACAGGAGCACTCATAAAGAACATCGCAGGACTGCTGCGACTCGTTCATCAGAGCACCAAAACTGCTGAAAAATGCCTCGTCTGAATCAAACGTCTTTGCAGTCAAAATTTTCAAAGCCTCAAGGACCCTGATTGCCTCAGAGTACACATGCTTGGACCTTTGATATAGTCTCAGAGTCTCAAATCGCACTGGAAAGTGACTCAGAAAGTCCTTCTTCAGTTCATCGGAAGTGCATCCCAAGCTCGCAGCTACGTCAACGACGCCGAGCGACTTTCTGTCCCCGAAACAGCTTTCAACAAGCCCCAACATTGCGTTCATCCGTGTAATGCCAGAGTCAATGTCGCCTTCCCAAGGGGATGTAGCCCCATGGAACTTTTGCCAGTAAGCGTCCATGAAACTTCGCAGCGTGCCTTTCTTCATGTTTCCGTCAGAAGGCAGCTCTACGCCGTAGTTTTTTGCCAAGACATTAGCGGCAAGAGTCACTTCGAGGACTCGCAGATTGTAATGCGTGGGCGCCGTTTCGACCTTATTCGAGACCTTCAGCGTGTTCGCCACAATGAAGTTTACTTCAGAGTGGTCAAGCTTTGGGAACATAAAGGCAGTCGCTTTCAACTCTGGCCTAAACTGTACATACAAAGCGTGATCGGTCTCTCCACAAACTGACGCGGCTTGATCCATGCCACCGTTGTTGACACCGACATAGTGCTCGGCAACCACTGTGATGTTCATCAAGTCTTGCTTTGGGATCTGGTGATCGCGGCCGAGATTTGCTCTGATAACTGCGAGAGCGACGGCACATATGAAAGCCGCAGAGGACGAAAGTCCTGCGGGAACGTCACCGGTGACAAAGACTTCCATTCCCTTCAAAGCAGACGTGCTAAAGCGGTCGGGGAACAGCCTTTTCAAATGCTGCTGGGCGACGAGAAGCCCGCACTTGAAGTAATTCGACCAGTCTGACACCGCTGGATCGATTGTGACGAGATCGCCATCAGGTGGCAGCTCAACCGTTCGGTCGCCAAACGTGGAATCCGAGTTGCTCAGTTTGATAACTGCAGTCTGCTGGTCGTCAACACATTTAACGGCGCACAAAACGCCCAACTCTATAGCCATCGGCAAAACGGAGAAATCTTCGTAGTCAATATGGTCACCAATCAGATTTACTCGGCCAGGCGATCTGGACACAAAATCAGGCTTTCTGCCATAGCGATTTCTGAACGAATCCATAATGACTTTTAATTTGTCATTTACTGACAGGTCTACGTCTTCATCCGTAATAAAGGTTGCTGACATTTTGGGAAGGTTAAACGAGCATTAGCATTTACAATTGGCACATATAATCCTACGTGAGTTTTATAACCACCTTTGAGAACAGACACGGCACTTTCTTCCGTTTTCCGCTTTCCCCTCGTCCGCTACATTATTACCCCGGAATTTTTCTTTCGCTTGTTTAAACGTTTTTTCTTTAACCATTGTGGGGTAACTCCGGAAATTTAACTTTCCGATTGAACTTTACCGACTGATTCCCTGAGATATAAGTATAAGTGCAGCGCGCATCTTCCGCTACATGGATTTGTAAAATCAGACTCAAAACTTGAAGGACATGGAGTACGTGTTAGTGACGGGAGGAGCGGGTTATATCGGTTCGCATACCGTCGCAGAGCTGCTTGAAAACGGTTACAATTGTGTCGTGGTTGACAATCTTTCGAATTCGTCTTATGAGTCTATTGCAAGACTGAAAGTGCTAATGAAGCATGATATTCCATTCCATCAAGTCGACATACAGGATGAGACCGCTCTCGACGCTGTTTTCGGAAAATACAAGATCGACTCGGTAATCCACTTTGCAGGGCTCAAAGCTGTGGGAGAGTCGGCTCACATTCCTTTGAGATACTATCATAACAATATCATGGGTACCATCAGTTTACTCGAAGTCATGGAGAAGCATGGTGTACACAAGCTGGTCTTCTCGTCGTCTGCGACGGTCTATGGCGATGCCACTAGGTTTCCAAATATGATTCCAATTCCAGAAGAGTGTCCGACGGGACCCATCAATCCGTATGGAAGAACCAAACTAACCATCGAAGAGATCTTGAAGGATCTGTATGCCAGCAATGTACAAATCTGGAAATTCGCGATCCTGAGATATTTCAATCCCATTGGCGCCCACTTCTCAGGGCTCATTGGAGAGGATCCCCTTGGCATACCTAATAATCTTCTTCCTTTCATGGCGCAGGTAGCCGTTGGGAGGCGAGAAAAGCTGTTTGTTTTTGGCAATGACTACGATTCTCGCGACGGAACGCCAATAAGAGACTACATCCATGTCGTTGATTTGGCCAAAGGACACATAGCTGCCCTGAAGTACCTTGACAAGAACAGCCACACCGGTCTTTGTCGGGAATGGAACCTGGGCTCTGGCACTGGGTCCACGGTGATGGAGGTTTACAAGGCTTGTTGCCAGAGTATCGGCAAGGACATTCCGTATGAGATAGTGGGCCGGCGCGCAGGAGACGTTTTGAACTTGACAGCAAAACCAGACAGAGCCATGAACGAGCTCCATTGGAAAACTGAACTCGACGTCAAGAGGGCCTGCGAGGACCTGTGGAAATGGGCCACGGGAAATCCTTACGGCTATCAGCTCGAAAATGTCACCTCGGCGTTTTTCAGCAAGGAAAAAGTCCACGAATCAAGAGTTTTGACTGTGGGAGAGGGCACTTCTTTTGAGGTGTCCGTTGCAAATATTGGTGCGACACTGGTCGATCTCAAAATCGATGGAAAATCCGTCGTTCTGGGACTGAATGACGAAGAGGAATATTGCAGGCCCGAAAACCCATACTTCGGGGCTACTATTGGGAGGTACGCAAACCGCATTCGAAACGGAGAGTTTGTTCTTGATGGAAAGAACTACAAGCTAACAAATAACGAGAAGGCCAGCGTTTGCCATTCGGGCATTCAATCATACCACAAGAAACGGTTCCTGGGCCCTTTAGTACAGAACACACAGAGAAATGAATTCGTGGCGAAATTTCTGTTGATTGATGCAAAGACAGAGATTCCAGGTGATGTCCATGTTACCGTTACATACCACGTAAACACCGAAGCAAAGGAACTTTCCATCGACTACGAAGCCGAACTTTTGAACGGAAACAGCACGATAATAAATTTGACCAACCACTCTTATTTTAATTTAAATCTGGACCAGGAAAAAACAGTCGAGAATACTGAGATTGTGCTTGTTGCTGATAAAATCCTGGATGTTGATGAAAGTGGTATTCCAAACGGAGAATTGACAGAGTTACACAGTCAAGGAAATGGAAAGGTCATAAAACTGAATAAGGGGATTCCGGCCTACGACTCCTGTTACGTCACTGCCAACAAGTCGTCGATTAACACTCGCTCTCACAGCCCAGCTAAAATATTTACAGCTTATCATAAAGCCTCGAAACTTCAGCTTGACATTTTTGCTACTGACCCAACATTCCAATTTTACACAGGTGACTTTATCAGCCATCCTGACTTTGCACCAAGGGCTGGCTTTTGTTGTGAACCGGGGAGGTTCATTGACGCGATCAACATTGATCCGTGGAAGAATGCTGTCATACTAAATATTGGCGAAAAGTACGGTTCGAGAATAATCTATAAATTTCGAACTCGATCAAATGCTTCATATTGGGAGAGTAGCATTTAATCCAAAAAAACTACAACAGAACTTTTCAATCATCAACATTGTGAATTACAACACAGATGGCACTTTCCTATCTATAGGGTAAATGTTTAACGTAGCGCATGTAACAAAAAAAAGGCTTTTAGCCTTATCAACCAATTGGTTGAGGATGCTTACACTTAAAAGGCTTAAATATGCCGAATGAAGATCATTGTTCAAGTTCAAGAGGGAGAACTCTGAAAATGATATCTCGCAACCAAAGAAATTATCAATAAATTCCTGTTTTCAAGAATTGCGCATTGGATCATCAGAGTGGATGCCGCTCTATTAAATTAAATCATCGATTCATAACAAAATTGGTCAGTAAGTTTGATTTACTGTCCTTTTTTTGTTTTAGAATAATTATAGTCTTGGAAATAATTTTTCGGTTTCGGCCCGAGCTCCGAGACTTTTTGAATAAATCTACTTCGACAAGATTATAAGAAGAAGAAGTACTTTAAGTGCAAGATAAGGGGAGACGCTGAAGAGAATGGCTCTGCTCAAGGTATGAATGCAGATCTCAAAGGTCTTAAGAAGTTTTTCAAAGATAAGGCGAATTTCGTACTTAGTCAATGGTTCTTCATAGCCCTTGCGGTGCTCATTGTGATTGCTAGATTTGCACCAAATTTTGCCAGAAATGGGGGTCTGATAAAGGCTGAATATACCATTGGGTATGGAGTTGTGGCTCTCATATTTCTGCAAAGTGGATTGAGTATGTCCACAAAAAGCATGTGCCTCAATTTGTTCAACTGGCGAGCGCATGTTGTCATGCTTGTATTGAGTTTCCTAGTAACGAGTTCTATCCTCTTTGGATTCTGCTACGCCATAAGAAGTTCAGGCGATGAAACAATAGATAAATGGGTTCTAGTTGGCATGATTATGATGGGTGCGAGCCCCACAACAGTAGCCTCAAATGTCATTATGACCCGAAGTGCAGGAGGTAATGATCTTTTAAGCCTTTGTGAGGTCTTCATCGGAAATGTTTTGGGAGGGTTCCTGACTCCCGCCATCGCACAAATGTACTTGAATACACCGCTTTTCAAATTTGGAAATCCAACCCAAAATTCGAGCATGCGGGAGTTATACGCAAGTGTGATGAAGCAAATAGGATGTTCTGTGCTTGTTCCCCTTTTCGTGGGACAGGTTGTTCAAAATATTTTCCCTCAGCAGGTAAAATGGACTTTATCAACCTTTAAACTGAACAAGCTTGGAAGCATCTGTTTACTCCTAATTATGTTCAGCTCATATTCCACAGCTTTTTATCAACATGCCTTCACGAGTGTATCGCATGTATGCATCATTTTCATCCTCCTTTTCAACCTTGGCATATACCTATTCTTCAGCGTTATTTGCTTCTTTTGCGCTAGGCCCTTCTGGGTTCCTAGAATTTTTCCCGCAGAACTCAGTAACGAATCCTCGAGATTTTACAGACTCAATTATGAGTTTTTTAGGCCCTTTTTTTATGGGCGAAAAGATACCGTGGCAATATTATATTGTGGCCCAGCGAAAACAGCTGCCTTGGGTGTCTGGTTAATCACGGCTCAATATGGAAGTGATTTTCCTCAACTAGGTAAGTTATTGGTACCTTTCGTTTTATATCAAAGTGAGCAGGTTGTTGCTGCAAAGCTATTGGTTCCACTTGTGAGGAAATGGGCCCTGAAGGAAGTTGAGTCCGATGAAAGAAACATGAATTCAGGGGAGACCAGCAGTCTCAAAAGTAGCATAAGCCGTTAAAATTTCGTAAATCTCCACGCTTACGTTTGATGTTTAACGATTTTCTTTAACCTAATAATAATAAATTATATTCTTTGCTGCAAACTACTGAAAAATTCATCAATGTCGAAGTCACCAATCATGACCGGCGATTGAGTGAGCGAATTTCTTTCCTCGGACAAAAGACCATGACCGTCAGGTGCATATCGATCATATGATATATCACTATCCGACGTATCGAACTTCTGGCTGTCATCAGGACATTCTCCTACTTTCAATGATTGGTTGAAAGTATTTTCGAATAACTGATGAAGCCCCATTACGCCTTCATCCATCCCTATCACAAACATTGAGAATTCCAGGTTCTCGATTGAAAGTGAGGCAGCTCGTTTGATCCAACCAGTCTTTTCGGGCCACAAACTTGAGAAGCTCACCATCTTTTGTTTGAATAATGCGCACAGCTCGTAAAGAGAAGAGGGGCAAGTGTCTCCTTTGTAATCCTTCCGTAACCTTTCCGATATACTTAAACCACAAGACATCACGGACTTTAACGGGAAAGAAATCGCATTATCACATCCGAATTTTGAAATATAGTCAAAAAGGTGGTCAAGCAGATCTGACGCCATTCGCACCATTTTCGGAAGCGGATCGCGCTCATCTACGAGCTCATTGGGTTGTAAAAGAACAATCATGTCAAAATCAAGACGAAGAGCCTTCACCAAAAGATATGAATCATCGTTCAATATCGACCTTGGAGACAGTTTTTCAACCTCCTCGATGCAAGAGCTTACTTCTTCCAGTATTTTTTCACAGTCTTCAACTGTTTTGGATGTCATGATGCTGTTGGATAACATGACCATTGATTTTTTGATCCGATAACGATATACTAGTGATGGCATCGATGAAAATGATGGCTCGCAAAAGTTTTGGAACAAATCATCAGCAAAATAATTGCTGTCAATCAGAATCACCGAGCCCATCCATAAGTAGTCGCGGTAAGATGACTCTTTCAGAAAAGAATTGCTAGCAAAGAGTCCCATTTCTAGCGCCATATTGGCAATAGCAGACGAAAGTTTATCTCTGCTTTCTAGACACAGATTTTGGGACGAGAGTGACAACTTGAAATACAGTAAGCATGCCAAATTGTTTTCACTCGAAGAACTTAAAAGGTTGAGTCTTTCTAAAAGGCTCAAGATGCGATCAACCGAAAGTGCTTTGGAATTTTGTAGGCGTAATAAAACGAGGCACATGCCTAACACAAATGCCCTATGTGGGGAGTTTTTACTGCGCATAGAAATTATTTCCTCGAGCACTTTGCTGAAATCGCTGATGTTAAAAAATGGGTAGGATTTGTAGAGGTTGCTTTCGAAACAGACAAGCATCTCCTGAAGTTGTTGCAATGGCGGCAATATTTCAATAATTTCTTGAAGAACATTCGCAGACGATCTAGTCGTTTCGACTTTAAAGTGCGATGGCGGATCGAAGAGCTCTGGTAACATAGTTCGCAAGCAAGGATCCCTCGCAAATAGCCCAAAGTCCGAAAACGGCGGATAGAAAGCTTTCCAAACTCCGCCAAATTTAACAGGAGATGAAATTGAATTCCAGGACACGATGGGATTGGGATTGGGACTGCTTGACGCACAGGAATAGGTGCTCTCAGATTCCGAAGAGCTTGATGATAAGGGTGTTCGAGCGAGTTTAGCTCGTAGAATTTCTAATTCGTTTTGAAGTGATTCGATAGTAGCCGGGGCTTCTTTTTTACGGAATGGCGTGTATACGCATTTGAGACCTAATTTGGTACACCTGGTACAGATTGGCTTCTTTTTGTCGCATTTAACTTTTTTCTGACGGCACGCGTCGCACACGTGGGATATTCTGCTTTTCTTTGATTCTCTGCTGTTGTTGTTGTTGTTGTTGTTGTTATTCATGTGTTATTAAGGGGTTTCATTTTCAAGGACAATGCGCAGTTAAGCAGAGCATACCTTTGCAGGAAACCTCAGAGATAATGAAAAATCAACAATTAATGCATCTTGATTATTTGATGCTTCCGTCAGGATAGCATGCTTGCTTGAGGGGTACCAGTAAGACAATTTCACAGACTGTTACTTCGTCCCGCTTCCCCACTGCAAAAAGAACAGCTCTGTTGTTCCAGTAGTGGTATGAAGCGTCGAAGTATGAGTTCGATACGAAATGTGTTAGAAAAAATGCAATGGGCCATAATTAAAGAGTTCAGTTGAGAATTGTTAAAGCGACTTAGTGTTTTACGAACGAAGGACAAACTATGAAAACCGTTTTTCGCTATAATTATATATAAAAAGTTGGCTGTAAAAAGTGGTTGACGTGCTTCGGCCGAAGCACAACTTTTCAACGTGGGTCTTCGTATATCATGATCGGTTGCTCATCAAAGGCAAGGTCAGAAACTGTCCCTATCTAGTGCGTGAAGGCACATTATTTGTTCAAACGACGATGATATGTTTGGTAATCCGAACATATTCCTATAATCTGTTTTATGGCTAGCGCCGTTTAGGCACGAGAAATACGGGAAGTTTCTTTTTACAAAAAAATCAGTACAAAACTGCAGAGGGTTTTTTTGGATTTGGAGTCTCAATCGTAGGAACGTCAGCAGGGTATTACATCATCAAATTAATGCAAGGCTACACTTTTGTGAATTTTTATTTCTATGGCTCGTTCTAATTTACGGTAATGAGAAAGTTGTGGTTAAAGAGAACCAAGCAGATGTTTAAGTTCCGACAGTAAGATCGCATCAAATAGTGAATCTTTTCTTGAAAGGCTTAAGGTCGCCCCTTTGCATAGCGCTCTCACTCTTCATTGAACAAGGCGTCATGTTTTCTAAACTCGAACAATAACCGTTAAATGTCCTTCTCGATGTAAGGGTCAAACTCGAAGTAGAACTTTTGCTCTGCTGTCCCTTGTCCTTTAGCATGCGTTCCAGTGTCACCTGGAATTCCTATTTTGAAGCCCATGGTAAAAACTAAGTTTAAAATTGTAACAGTACCATAAAACAGGTTCTACACTCAATCGTATAGTATCGTCTTCGCATGTGCACAAATTCTACATGCGAGAGATTACGATAACCGCTTTATGTAAACCGTTTAAGTGCGTTTTGTTAAGAGGATACGCCCTTCTCAAGAAAGCCGTTGTTGCACCAAGTGAAAATTAATTGATTTTCAGATCTCATTCAGATTTGTAAAGCTATCCATCCATCTTCATAATGAAATCGGAGAAGCTCGAAGCAGTCATTTCATGGGCTTTGAACCATGGTACTCACATCGATTCTAGCGTGAGATTCGTTGTCGCTAAAAATGGAGAAGCTTCAGCAATTGCCACTAGTAAGATTAACGACCAGCGCACACTCATCAGCGTTCCCCGCCCTATCTTTCTGACGGCAGAGAACGCAGAGCAGCATTTTAACGTAAAGACCGGTTCCTCCAATCGGTCTAATGAATTGCTTAAAATTTATCTGTCTAAGTTGATGTTTGAAAGGAATTTTGTCGACAGGAAGTTGTTTGAACCCTACCTTGATATCTTGCCTCTTCCCAATAGGATTTTCTCACCATATTTCTGGACTTCTGATGACTTTGCTGCTCTCCAAGGAACTGATTTGGCTCTCTCTGTGAAAAGAAATTTCAGGAGCTTGCTCGGGGCGTGGTACGTCGCTGGAACAAGCGCCAACTCGCTTCGATCAGAGGACCGGCAATTTTATTCTGCTGCCAGTAAGGATCCTAACTTTAACTTTCATCAGGCTTTGAAAAGGAGTGAAGAGCTACATTGGCAATCATTTGAAGCGTTCCTATGGGCTCATTTTATTCTTACTTCAAGAGGCTTTCCAAGCATAATCTATGAGGACTCTCCGCGGGATGTGAATGAAGCCTTCCTCCTCCCAGTTATTGACTTGCTCAACCACGCAAACGGTAAGAAGGTCAAATGGTCTTTTTCAAAGGGAGAAAACAAGGTCAACTTTTCAACAACTGAAATGTTGACCAGTGAAGAAGAACTATTCAATAACTACGGTGACAAGAGCAATGAAGAGCTGTTATTGAACTACGGTTTCTGTTTGAATAACAACACATTTGACGTGGGTCATTTGGCTCTCAGATTCCCACAGGAAGTACTCAAGGAGATTGAAAAATTTGGAATCAAACTCGATCCCAGCGATATCACGACTGACTCGGTCAATTTTCGGCTACAAATGAACGGGTCAATCCCGCAGTCATTGATACGAGTATTCGCCTATCTGAATAAACTGACGTCTGAAACGTACTTGACTAATCGTGCTGTCTTGGAAGGCTTAGAGCAGCTAAACGGTATCCTCAAGCAGAAACTACAATTTGTTAAGGGCCAGAAACTAAATTCAATGAAAAGTCAAGAAGCAATCAGGTTCGCAAAGACTTACCTCCAGGGACAAAAGACTATCTACCAACAAACGTATGATGCCATCCCGAAACTGGAAAAAGGCCTTTTGAAAGCCATGAAACCAACTTCTTTCAAAACGATCTTAAAGCAGGATAAACAGTTCTTCAACAGTCTTCTGATATCTTTTGGAGTAACAGACTACGAGGATATTCCAAAGAAGGGTTTTTTGAAGCAATGCATTTTACTTTGGCTCGTACGGGCAGCTAACGAACGCCTCAATGGCAAAATTGGCATAGAAATTCCCCATTTTATTACGGAATGCATTCAGCAAGTCGCTGACAACATTGTTGTAGAAAAGAGCGATGTTGAAGAATATGTTGATTTTTACAAGAGTTGTTTCCCACGGCTTAGCCAACAAGTGCCAGAAGTATTTGCAGCTGGAAATTGGGGTATTAAGCAATTCATCTTAGCAGGAACAGTTTTTGACAGACTGGTGTGGATTCGCCCCAGCTCACAAGAACCTCTGTTTATTAAGCCCGAGGCTTATGAATCCAGTTAATCCCAGAGGCAGGAGTGTGTTCATTAGTTTTGGAAGTCGATGCGGCTTACTGACTAACAGGAAGTTAGTTTTTGTGGTAGAGTCATGTCCGTATTAATGCAATGATGAAAGGTGTGTAACTGCTACTCCCTGCGAGCCAACAGCGAAAACCTCTCCACCTGATTAACCAGCATACAGACATTTGAGTTACCGAGTGTCAACTTGATAGTAAAGCTGTTATAATGTAACCTATAAAAAAGGAAAGAAATTGAATGCTAGATACGGTCTTTACCTAGTGAGAGCCGGCACCTTTGCTGACCTTTTCTAGTACTGATTCATAAGCCACTTCCGAGTAGTGTGTGCCTTGGATGTCGGTAGAGACACCATTTAGAGCTCTTCTCAATGCATCCTTAGAAGAGGCGTACACCATCTTGGATCTCACAGGAGCTGTGTCTGGGGACCAGGTGTAGAACACAATTTTGGATCTCTTGCCCTCGTTGCCACCGATCTCGTATTCGAAGTCGTAAACGGCGTATAAGCACTCATTTTCAGGAAGCTTCTCCAAAAACGCGTCATAATCTTGTTCAGTGGAAGTTTCCTTAACAACGATGGACGTCTTGTTTTCATTAAGCCCGAACAAAACGAACTTGTACTTCTTTCCTAACTTCAAGTCGTTGAAAGCAGTCAAGGATTCATCGGCAACGGCAACACTAAAATGATAATGTTAGTGACTCCCAATCCAATTGTCTCTAATAAAGCAGTCCAGCATGACCAAGTAGTGAATGCTGCAATTGACCCGAAACATACCCAGATCTGGACATTTGTGTATAATGGTTTTTGGTAATTTGTTGCTTTCGAGGTCTGTTTGGCAGTTAGGTGAGTGTTTCGGTCTCAATATAAAAGGGGTTTCCTGGCACTTACTCAGTGACCGGGTAACTTTGAGTTAGGAAAAACAGGTTTGTGTCTAAGTCGATGAAATCGATACGAAATTCACGGAAAACGGCCCTTCAACAAGTCATCGCGCTTTGTATTTGATCAACTGATTGATAAACTACTTGAACGAGCTCAAATATATTTTTAGAGTCTGTTTATTATGCAGAGCAGAATTCTGTCACTTTGAAGGGTGACATATCTACAGATGAAGTTTACATGTAATTACATGTAGCACAATAACCTAAATAGACATCTTCTCGATACTTTTTGTGGAGTGCAATGCATCAGACAAGATTGCGTCAATTTTGGATCGTGCGCCCGATGTTCGTTTTGTCTTGTACAAATATACGATAGTGTCGCCTGCACATGACGTTTTCGCTATGCATTCCGAAAATGATACTCGGGTCACTTCCTGCGTATCCTTAACCATTTGGAAGGGTAATTTGGTGGTGGCACGTAAAAGTTCTTCGTGAGGTACGAAGTTTTCATTTGAAGTAAGAACTACAAGCTTAAAGTCGTTCAGCTGTGTCCGTTCGTCGATATTCTTCAATTTTGATTCCTCTCGTCTAGTCGATTCAATTGCCGTGTCTTCAAAACCCAGCAGTATCTCGCATAACGCAAACAGCTCTTGACCTTTATTTGCACCTGAAAAGCCAATGTCTTCTATAGTTGGCAAACTCTCTGGTATGCCACGATTTATTTCATCGTATAAATTAGGATAAATGTGCGGCAACCACCTATTTTCGGAGACGACATAGCTCAAAACACGCATCATCGTCTTTTGCCGCACACTTGGTGGTTTAGAACTATCAGCATAATAAGCTCTCGCTTCGGCAACGATTGTACAATTGTAGCTGTTAAGAGCCTTCATGAAGCTATCGAACTTGTATTTCAAAACTACCATGTCGTCCGAGCTTTGAGGCTCTGCTAAGCCATTCAACTCTGAAAGTTTCTCAAGTATTGCTTTATCCCATGCAAGAAACTCATTAGCGTCTTCAGCTGCTTTTACCTCTTGGAAACGAATTGCCATTCTTCGTGAGTTTCTGAAGATTGAGTATAAAATGCTAATTTTGCAATACTCTTCCTTGATGCCAACATCCGTCACTTTATTGGAGATAACTGATCCTCTAAGAATATCAGTTGAACACATTTTCCCACGCTGACCCTCTGGAGCCGTTTTTCGAAACGAGCCCTTATCAAGTGCACCGAGAAGTTGGGAAACGGTACGAGGAGTGTGTATCAGACTATTAGACGCTTTCGTCGACAAATCGCTTACCGTTAAGTAGTCGCTCATTTTAGCTGGAGTACCTTTTTGTAAGTTTGAAGCTATTGAAAGCATCGTGGCCATCTCATGTGCAGTGCAACGCCTCGTCGGGAAGACCGTCTCTGTGAATAAATCTCTTTCAAAATATTTTGCGTGCTCTTTGACCATAGATGGAAATAAAGAGAGAGCGCCAGTTGTGCATTGTGAATCGAAGGCAAAAAAGACTGGAAGCTCCTGAAGCGTGATAGGATGTATTACTTTTGACAAATTCTCGCTTTGAGGTGTTTTCGACAGTGCAATGCCTCTGCAGCCCATACTCAAATCTAGTGAAGGCCACAAGGCACTAATATTTCGGCGTTCGCCGTTCTTCTGAATTGCTGCCAGCTGTAGGGTATTAGCGAAAAATGCTCTCCTGGAAACTTGGTCACCGATGAGCTCAAAATCAGGGAAGACCTCACTTCCGTAAGTATCCCGAACCACATTCTGGAAGAGACTTCTGAATTTCAATTCATTCTCGAGAGGTTTCTGTAATTTAACCTGATCCGCGATCTGTGGGGACTTCTTAGAAAGAAATACACGATGGCTCGGCTTACAAAACTCGAATATGATATTTTGCGATTGAATGTCCTGCAATATGAGTCCTTGAAGAGCAGGTATGCTAATGGAAGAAACGTCCTTGTTGACGATCACCTTCTTCTTGAGCAGCTTAGAAGGCGCAATGGAATCGATGCCCTTCAACCTTTTGGCAGGTAATCGTTGATGGTTATTCTTATAGCGCACGTACCGCGCCTTAATTGAGCAGCGTCCAGCCCAAGCCATTTGAGTAAGCCATTGCTTCAATTCCGTGCTTGCCATTAGAATTTCGAAATCATAGCAGACCAGTGTACTTCCAGCGAAAACCATAAATTTTCAACAACGACTTGTTAGGCTCAAAGTTTCTACTACACCAAATATCCAAGAGACGTTTCAATAATACATTAGAGAGCAGGTTTGCCACGAGAAAAATAGCTCACTGTTTCGATTTTTGTCAATCACCGATAATTCTTCACCATTTCTTGTATTCCAGCTTGAGGTCCTTTATTGTCATAAAACTCATCCTTCAAGCCTCATACAGTACAAAAGCAAAAATATAACATTACCAATTGATCATTAACATCTAAATATTACGATGAGCTACGAAAAAGTCGATCGGACGTAATTGCCTTCATGATTACAACCAAGATCTGACTAATACCAACAAGCACATAATCTGGAGAAATCTAAGTATTAAAATGACAGAAACTCTTGCCGAAGTAGCGAAATGAGAAATGTGGGAGATGAGTACTCACCAACTTACAGTTTGCCCTTTTGTAGGCTCGTACCTCTTTCTCCCCAGTAGTGGAGTCGAATCCATGGAATTGGGCCTTTTCGGTCACGATAAATTCACTCCCAGTGCGAATGGCTCTAAACGCCTCAAGGAATGGATCGAGGATTTGGTTAGAGGTCACATTCTCGAAGCATTATATACGTAAAATCGATGGATTCCCTCAAGCAAAACTTCCAAAAAAAATTCCTCTAGTGTAAAGCACAAAATTCGTCAAAGATGCTTCAAGGCAGGTTTTTCCAAAGTATTGAGCAGCGCGTAGAATTCTATAAGTGAGATAGCAGGATCTGTCGTGTGCCACTCTTTGCTCAATGATCATTCAAGTCACTCGAAATATTCACTCTGAAAATTCCAAGTTTTCATCAAGTCGCCTTGCTTGGCCATGAACAACAGCGAACTATCTATGGGCAGTGTGATACTCTAGGTAATTTCAACGCTTTACAGGGTCTTCTTGGATTGAGGAGAAAAATTCTATTCACGAATTTCCTTTTTCGAATTCCGAAGGCCATTCTTTTGGGTTACTTAAACTTGGTCTATTTGTGCAATAGCTTGCTTGTCTGGCGAGGTACTCCTCTCTTAAAGCACCGTCACATACGCTGGCTTTTCGTTTTGGTACCTTCTTACGAAACAACCTGGCGTTGTCGAAGGTTTGTATTCGTGGTCCGTCGCTAGTGCTGTTGATCTTACTCATCATTACTATCGAGAGGAGCCACACTAAAATTTCAGCCATATCTTCAAATAGATTAGATAACAGTATTTACGAAAGAACGACAGTTTATAATGGTCCATTCATGAGCAAGGTAGCGATAGTCCTTGTTTTCTAAATTCTAGTATTGTGTGATTGCTCGGGGATGATCAAAGTTGGTAGCTGATACTATTATAGAGTTTCATTCAAATGACAAGTCTCGAACTGAAGGGCGTTAAGAATGTGTCCAATGAGGTTGGTGACTTGGAACTGGGAGAATTAGATGATCCGTCATCTCGGTATGGATCATTCTCGTCTCTTAGAACTTCTGATATTGCACTCCTCGAAAGTAACAATGGCCACGAAGTGCCTCAAGGAAGACACTTGGGAGTTTTTTCTACATTAGTACTTTTCATATCGCGAATCATAGGATCTGGCATTTTTGCTACCCCTAGCAGTATATTCGTGAATTCTGGTGGTAACGCGGTAATATTTCTAACTATATGGTTTTTGGCCGCGTTGATGGCGTTTGCTGGCCTCTATCTTTTCCTGGAATTTGGGTGTCTCATTCCGAGATCTGGCGGACGCAAAACGTTTTTGGAAGCGGCTTTTAACAAACCAACTATGATGGTGGGCGCTACAATGACAAGCTTTACAGTATTGACGGGAATGTCTGTCTCTAACGCCATAGTTTTCGGGAAATATGTCCTTTACGGTCTCGGTTTCGATCCAAACTATGTGAACAGCGAAAGCATGGCTGGAAATTACGTTGGTGCTGTTTGTATTTTGATCATTGTAGCAATACACGGAGTTTCTGTCAAGCGCGGCGTGCAATTACAAAACCTGTTGGGCGGTTTGAAAATCTCTCTCATCATTTTTATGACTATCAGTGGGATTTATGCCTTGTGTCTGAAAGATCCCTTTAACCAAGGAACGAGCGTTTTTATTGGTCATCTCAAGAGATTAGAGCCTGTCAGCAGCTCTTCTTTAACTACAGCCTTCATACAGGCGTTTTTCTGCTTCGCAGGCTGGGACAGCGTCCATGCGGTAACATCTGAAGTGAAAAATCCGACCAGAACTTTGAAAATAGCAGGACCATTGGCCCTCTTTGGGTGTCTGGCTTGTTATCTCTCTCTGAATTTTGCTTATTTGAAAATGTTTACCTACGAGGAGTTCAAAGAGGCTGGGCCTCTTGCTGGTTCGATTTTATTTTCAAAACTATTTGGAGAAGCTTTTGGGAGGAAGTTCATGACTCTTTCCGTGGCTCTTTCGTCGGGTTCCAACTTAATGGTTGTTATTTATGGCCTCTCCCGAATGAATCAAGAGGCCTTCCGGGAAGGTTTGCTACCATTTAGCAAGATGATGGCAAGCAACAAGCCTTTTGGAGCGCCTTTCCTTTCTCTTATCTGTTGCGGCATCCTCTCCGTGTTGTGGCTCTGTCTCCTACCTCCTGCAGGCTCTGCCTACAATTATTTGATAGCAATGGAAGGTTACGCTAATCAGATATTCTTGTTACTTGTCGCTGTGGGATTGCTAGTCTACAGAAAGAAGAATCCCGACAAAAAGGCAGATATACGAGCCTCGACACCTGGTATTATATTTCTCATTCTATTTTCTGCATACTTGGTAGTTGGGCCATTTTGGGGGGATCAATTAGAGACTAGTTTACCTCACATGCCACAATATCAAATAACGTCCCTTTTGATGATTTTACTTTGCATCAGTTTTTGGTTCCTGAAGTTTCAATTAATCCCGCGCGTATGTGGCTATAAGTTGAAATCCAAGTGGATCTTACTTGATGATGGTCTTACAATCAAAAAGTGGGAGAAGTGTTGAAAATTCTTTTCGACTTGCTCTCGCCTTTAATTCGTAAACCTTATTCTGGGGTAGGACAAGTAAAGGTCAAATTAAATAGAGTTTGATAAAGGAAGAATAGGATATATGGGTAATGAGCGTGCCTCATTTCATTTTGAGTTCAACTTTTTGACAAAAGACTCCTTCGCGAGCAGAATTAAAACCTCGAGTTCCCCGCTGTCTTCGCACATGCTGTAGAAAATGCTGTTCTTGTTGAGAAGTAAAGAATAGGGATGATCATATTCTTTAACTTCCCCTGCATCCATTACCAAAATCTTATCGTAATCAATAATTGATCTCAAACGATGAGCAATAGTTAGAATGGTACTGTGTGAGAACTCTTCCCTGATTGTTTGCTGAATCTTGGCATCTGAGCTGTAATCTATCGAAGCTGTAGCCTCATCAAGTAAAATAATCTTTGGCGAGCGGAGAAGGGATCTGGCGAGACACACGAGCTGTCTTTGACCTTGCGACAAATTGGAGCCACCTTCAGTGATTTCATTCTCTAGATGCAGGAACTTGTTTACATTATCAGAGGAAACTGAGTTTGTGTCAGAATTATGGCTGTCTTCTTGATTGAGCTCCTCTTGCGTCACTAAATTCACCCTTTTCAAAGCCTCAAAAATTTGGTCGCTCGTGTATTCGTTGTAAGGATCCAAATTTGACTTGACCGTTCCTGCAAACAGAGTTGGATCTTGTGGAATAATTGTAATTGACTGTCTCAACTTCTTGAGATCCAAGCTAGCAATATCAACGTTGTCGATCTTGATATAACCACTTTCAGGATCTAAAAATCTAAAAAGAGCAGTGATTATTGTGGATTTTCCTGCACCAGTGCGGCCCACTACACCAACCTTGGATTTGGGATCGACAACAAAAGAAACGTTTTTTATAACTTTGGGTAACTGAGGAGCATACCTGAGCGACAAGTCATTGACTTCAATTTTACCTTCTTCTGGCCATTGAGGTGGTGGAGTGTAAGAGCTCTGAAAGTGAGGTTCCTGATCAATGTCCATGTACTCCTTGAGCCTCTCAACTGAATTCATTGTCATTTCAACATTAGAATATAATCTGACAAGCCATAGAGCTCCCTCACTGAAGGAAATGGCATATGTGAGCGAGATACCCGCCAATCCTGAATCCAAAGTCTTAACGTTTAGCATAATGAATATACCCGAAGCAAAAATCACAAGTGCGCAAACCAAATCGATTCTGAAGGCAAGCCACCTATTCGCAACCCAGAGGTAAAAGAAAGGTTTGTTATTTTCGTCTATTTTCTCCAAGTTTTCCAACATGAAACGGCGTTCGTCTCCGAAAGCTCGAATAGTCGTAATTCCGACTAGCGTTTCCGAAAAATGTTGATGGATAGGAGAACGAGTAATCGACTCGTAACGTTTCAGTTCCCTCGATCCAGCCATGTAGAAGTAGCCAACAAAGTAATAGAGAATTCCAATGAAAAATGCGACCAAAATGAACTCAGGTGTGATGTATGCGATCAAAAAGACAGTTGATACACAATGAACAAGAGACATGAAAGCTCCCTCGGCAAAGGGAGTCAACTCTTGATCCACGGCTTCGATGTCCTTAGAAAATCTGTTCATTATTCTACCGATAGGAGTCGAGTCAAAAAATCTTAGGCGAGCGTACAATACCTTTTTCAACACGAGGTTAAAGATCTTTCTAGATGCATTTAGGCCGGCCATGAAGTTGATGATTGTCTTGGAACCTGAAATCAAGGCCTGGACTAAGCCGATCGCAAAATAAATCGAGAGATAGTATGCTGTGCTATGAGTTTTCTTGGCCGCCACGGTAACTGTTTCACTTGAAGTTGTGTCTGGGATGATTACCGGGAACCTGATGGAAGGATCTCCACTTGAAAAGCCAAGAATTCGCTGACCAAACATCTTTACGAGAGAAACGACGTTATGAGAAGCCCAGGTTCTTACCCACCAATACTGAGACATATATATTCCCTGCGCAAAGATGAAGACTGAAGCCAAGAATATAATCGTCGTCCATCCACCAAACAGCTTAGCAAACCAGGCGTAAACTTCAAGGCTCACAACACCAGTTGCTTTGGTTTCCTCTTTCACGAGTTTGCCTACCTTTGCGCGCTCTTCCTCCGTTTCGTTCAAGCGCTGTCCAAGTTTAGTGTCTTCATCGATAATCTTATTGAGTTTGGACAAATCAATACCGCTCTTTGAAGCTGTTTTGTTGCTTAGGCTGGCCGAAGAGTTAACTCTGGACAAAATACTAGTTTTCACAAGCTCGTCATCACCTAAGTGACCCTTTTTCAAAAGATCCATTGCCTCTCCTTGATCTTTGACTCTGCCATTCTCTAGCAAAACGACCCAATCGGCATTTTTCAACGTTAACGCAACATTATGTGAAACCAAAATGCAGGTTCTTCCATCCATTAGAGGTCCACTAATGCAGTTATCGTAAATCCAAAGAGCTGTGTGTGAATCAACCGCACTCAAACAGTCATCCAAAAGAAGGTGACGAGAGGAAGAGTAGAGGGCACGGGCTAAAGATATTCTTTGCTTTTGCCCACCGGAAAGAGTGATTCCCTTCTCACCAATTTCCGTCTGGTCACCGGCTTCCAAAATTTCAAAGTCACGTTTAAGACCACAAGCTTCCACGACGGCGTTGTACCTTACCTCATTATATGGATTGCTGAATAGAATGTTGTTTTTAGCAGTATCATTGAGTAGCCAGGCAGCCTGTGAACAGTAGGCAATCGAATTGGTCATCCCATCAGCGTCAACAATCAAGTCCTCACGAGGATCGAGAGCGGGCACAAAGATTTTACCTTCCACGAGTTCCATTTCACCCAATAAACCCATTAGTAAGGACGTCTTACCGGATCCAGTCGGGCCAATCACTACATTGAGCTTCTCAAGCTTAAAGTCGATATTGATATTTTTCAGCTTGAAATCTTGACCAGCTTGGTCCCAAGAAACAGTGGCGTTTTCAAAACCTAATCTATTCTTAGATGTGGTGAGTTGTTCATATTTGGCAGTCTCTTCCTCATCCAGAAAGTCTTGAACACGATCCAAAGATACTTTTGACTGAATAACAAAACTGAGCATATCGGACATTTGATCTAATGGATTTCTGAGAAGGGTGAACAGGGACAGCGCAGTGAAAGCAACAGGTGTTGTCAAGACGCCTCCCTGAACGTAAACGTATATCGCAAAGGTGACAGAGGTCATGAGCGATGGGGTAACAAACCAAAAAAAGGCCATGCAAGCCCAAACAACAGATCTTTTAACCAGAAGCTTCAATTCTTGATCTCTCACGTCTCTAATTTCCTTTTCAAAATTCTCCTCCCAAGAAAAGAACTTGATCACGCGAATGGCCTGGAAAGTTTCGTTCAGCTTATTGATTCTCTTGTCCGTGAATCCCAAAGTTTCTTTCTGTAGCTTTCCCAATAGGGTCGCTAGTTTGAAATTGATGGGTAAAACTGCAAAGACAAGAAGAACGCCAGCAATCGCAGACCATCCTAGCAACCGGTACAAAAGAGTAATGGCAACAATAGTCATTATAGTGGCTTCAACGAAAGCATGCAAGTAAGCACATATTTCAGACACTTTGAAAGCGTCAATAGCCATCAAGTTTATAATTGCGCCCAAATTTGCTGATGAGGATTCCTCGTCGCCATCAACTTCTTTTTGATCATTGAGAGCCTGTGGATCGATTTCATCTGTTGGAGGCTTAGAACTGGTTTTAGCGACCTTCCGCCTCAAGGCCTTCGTGTAGATTTCAGAAATTATGATGGCTTTCATCCGAATGCAAACTCTTCTGCCAAAGAAAAGTGCTTGAGCTTGGCAAACAGCCACAAGCATACGACAGGCAAACATGCCAATGACATAAAACCATGCCACATTAGCAGGAGCAGAAGATTGATCTTCGACATATTCCAAAATTCGCTTCAATAACAACGTAGGCACAAAGTTCAAAACACTATCCATCAGAGCCCAGAAAGCTTGCAAAGCCAGGTATTTGGAGAAGAAATGCAGCAAGTTTTGCGAAAATTTGGCGTTCTTGCCACTAACAAAATGTCTAAATCTTTTCATAACAAAGAGCGAGTAGTCCTCAAACATCAGGCCCCAAATGTCCTTGAGTTGAATAGGGTGTAGATGTGCTTGCCAAACAAACTTGTCGAGCCAAGACCATGTGATGAAACTCGCAATGGACGTAACTGGCTCAGGCGAAGGTGTAATTTGAGGGCTCGTTCTGTACAGCACACCAAATTTGTTCCCGACAGAAGCCGTGAACAGCAGAGAGAAAAGTGCCAAGTTGAGGTAAAACTGCGAATTTATGAAGCGAACCTGAATCTCGTCGGTGACGTGGTTGATGAGGACAGACCGCAAAGGCATAATACCGGCGACAAACAGGAATAGGTACGAAATGAAGGACACGGCCCACAAATTGCCGGGGTAGTTCGTGATGAAGCTTACCGACTGGTTGATGTTAGCGACTCGCAGGCACACGACTAGGAAAAGCCATACCCACAGCACTAGCCTGGCATTGGTAACAGAGGAAGGAAACTGCTCGTTCTCGCCGGTGAAGCGCAGCCACAAATAACTGTGCAACGCGAGCTGCGTGGCAACGAGCAGAAACTCGACCGCGACGCGAAACTTTTCCACCAAACTTCTTCTGACAATTTCCACCGAGCCGTGCGCCTCGCCCTTGGAGTTCTCAATTCTCAACTTTTCGATCGAGAAATGCTCCTCTTTCAAGTTGGGCTCGTCCGACACCGCGTCGGGATTCATGTAGACAGCACCAGCAGAGTCTGCGAGGAGAGGCTTGTTTTCGTCGGGCGACGCAGACGCTTGCACCTCCGACGCATAATTAGGCTTCACTGCATGCAGAAAATTCCTCTGGTAGTAGTGGTACACGCACTTGTATCCGGTGAAACCACCCAGCATTACGACCAAAACCAAGGGAAGGTACGTGTCAAGGTACCGCACCCTTCCGCATAAAGTCACGTCATCATAGTCCCACAGCGGGCAAGGTCGCCCGGGTTCTACTATTTCAGACACCATTATGGTTTTTGGATGCGTCAAGGATTATGGGTTCTCAAGAAACAGGTGCATCTCTCTTTTCAAACCAGTCCTATAGATTGGCTGCTTTATATGAGATCCTGCTCCGCTGCAGGTCCGTTATCCAGATTGCGTGTAAAATGATATCAAATGTCTTTTTTTCTCCTTTGTCACTCTGAACGGGTATCTCCCCTCCTATCAGAAATGTGTCACACCAGCGGTCGACAGAATAGGCACCCGGGAGAAGTGCTACCTAAACTATTTGTTTCTAGAGGTGATTGTATTTGGAGACACCCGCTGGCACAAATAGATGTGAAGACATGGTAGATTGAGACAAAATGGCTCGGTGTGTCTTTCTTTCGTCAGGAAGAGTTTTGAACATGTAAATCCTACCTTTTACCCTGTCAAAAAGAGGTCACGTGACTAAAACCTCTTTCTGGCTAGAAACTTTTCAGCTTTTGGCATCCCAGCCTAAGCCGTTCGGAGCCTGAGAGCCTAGTCGCTAGATAGATGGGCGCAGGATCCGAATCTGGTATGGGGACTGACGTCCTCGACATATGGCAGAAATTAGCTCAGCTGCAGTGGGATGGCTTTACCGCGGGCAAAGTCGATGTACAGACAGCACAGGACGTTCTTCAGAGTGCCATAAGGTCACGTGACCCACGCCTGCGCGATGCGGTGCGCCGTGCCATTGACGAACTGGTGCCGGCAGGAGGTGCCGGCATCCCAATGGCGACTCAATTCGAATGGCTAACTTCTGTGGTGCACGGGCGGCGGTATCCGCCCATTCCTCTCAGTGTAGCGGGCCCTACAGCCTGGAACGATCCGACGGCCTTGGAGCGCACAAACCAGAGGAAAACCGGGTCGAGCGGCCTCGAACTTCAGGACTGCACGGAACCGCTGGCCGTAGAGCAGCATGCCAGCATAGACGATTGTTCGTTTGTGACGGCTCTGATCAACCTTGCGACGCATGCGCCGGACGCATTGCGCGTGCGGCCAGTCGGCCACGGAGCCTACGATGTCAATTTGAGCTTCAACGGTGCAGACGACCGTCTTGTTCGGGTCTACGCTACGGATTCGTCGCCCCGGCTGTCGTCGGAGGACCCGCAGCACGCGGTGCTCGAGCAGGCGTACCTGCAGATCCGGGGCCCCGCGTTCGGCGGTTCGAACGCTGGTGTCGACACGTTCCTGGTCGGAGGCTTTGTGCCAGAAATGCACGACCTCGCTTCGCTCGACACCCACACAGTTCACCAGATGCTCTGCGGGGCCGGAGACGCGGTCGCTAACGACGAATGCGTCGTCGCGCTCAGCACCGGCGATCACGTGACCGACTCTTCGCTTTTGCCCGCGCACGACTACCCGCTGGTCGTCGGCCGCGACTGGGCTGGCCGACGGGAGCTCCAGGTCCGCGACCCGCTCTCTGCGAGCTTGATTATACCGATCTCGGATTTTCCCCGGCTGGCGCAGTTCCGCGCCGCTTACATCAGCTGGAACCCGCGCCGCCGTTTCCGGCGCCACGAACGCCTGCACTTCCGGTACTCGTCTGCGCGCTGCAATCGGTTTGCCACAGTCTCTGACAAGCCCGTCTTCGAGGTGCAGGGCCAGGACCCGACACAAAGTCCGCATGCGGGGCCCTCGGAGGTATGGGTGTTTCTCGAGCGGCATCTCCCGCTCGACGAGCGGGCCCAGGACACGCTCTTCTGCCTACCGTCTCCGCACGGCCACCACCGCACGGCCCAAGACTCTGATACCTCGAATTGCGGAATAGCCCTGCTCAAGCTCAAGATCCCGGCCGGGAGCGCTACCCGGGTCGCGGTGCACACCGACACCGCGGCTACATTTACGCTGCACGTCTTACACAACGCTCATGCCACCGCGTGCGTGCGTCGCGTGCGTCGTGCAGACCTCTTCTGCGCCGAGGCTGAGGGCGTTCTGCGCGCGGGATCTAATTTTGGACCGTTCTCCAACGCCGAATACTACCGGAATCCCGCTTTCAGTCTGGAGATTCCGCCTGTCCCTGCAGGACGCTCAGCCGCTTCTAAAACGGTCTACTTAGACATCCGCCTACTGCTCGAGAGGCACCCAGAAACGCACGCAGAGACGCCCGTGAACGTGCAGGTTTTCGACGTACAAGACGACGAGCTCGTGCGTCCAATCGTTTTCGAGGAAACCTACGTCTCGGCCGGCCACGAGCGCCGCGCTATGCCGCTGCACGCGGGCTCGACTTACAGGCTCGTGTGCTCCGCGGCAAGCGCAGACGCAGAGACGGCATTTCGCCTGGAGGTCGGCGTCAGCGACGCCGCGCTAGCTGAGCCGGCTGAGCCGGCTCAGCCGTACCCCAGCCTGCCCCTCAAGCTCACCCCTGCCCCGCTCGCCTACGGCTCGTTCCCGCACCGAGTCGCGCGCACCTTCGCGTGGCCCGCGCGCGCAACCACGCTGGCGATCCCTGTCAAGCCGCGCCGGCTCGCCACACCCATACACCTGCGGCTGCTCGCGCTCGACGACGCGCTGCCTGTCAAGTCCGGCGTCAGCTTTCGTATGAAGTGCGACGATGATGACTCATCATCGTCCTCTTTTCCCCCTTCGGCCGAAACGGCTCTCCAGGCTTGGCAGGGCTGTCGCGAAAACGTCACAATGCCGCGGCAGGGCCACGTGATCAGAGGCCGCCTAGCTCGGGATGCCGCATTCAAGCTGATGGTGCTACAGCGTGATGGTGTTACGTCCGAGACACGCCGCAAAGCCCAGCAGTGGCGCATAGAGCTCGGCTCGCAGTACGAGGTGGACGTGGGGGAGCCTGAGTTCGCGTGCCATAGCGGCCATAGCGCGCCATAGAGGGCGCCCTCAACTACAAGCCGATCGCTGCTTTCGTAAGCAGCGATCTCGTTACGTAAGAAAAGCAAATTTCGTCTCCCCAACGGTCCCATGAAAACCACGCTGACAAAACACGCACCCAACGTGTCTCGTTTCCGGGATTGTCGCGCACCGACCCAACCAACGCTCGTCCAACCGTGGTTCGCTCACCCCCGCTCGACACATGCGCCTCTTCAAAGGCGACGACCGGTCCAAAAATAAATATATATTTTTCGTCTACATCACTAACAGGCAATGTTTTTCCGCGATAAATTTTCTTGGCGCAGCAGCGACGCGGGCAGCTGTACGGAAAAACAACGAAAACAGTTTTTCCGTACCAGGCACCACGAGTCTGCGGCCGAAGTTGTTGTCTCCTGAACAACGCGCCGCTGAAACCGCGGCGACGAGGATGCGGCAACACAGTACCTCCTGGGTTCGAGTTATTTTTGGTAAGAGCGAAGAGAAGTAAACTTGGAGGCTTACCTGTTTGCGCCTTTTCTTTTGCAGTTTGGCGCACTTGGATCCCACAGGACGCTGAAAATGATATAATGATATAATCCGTGTATAATGGGACGGTGAGGGAGTTATGAGAAAAAGAAGGTCATTGGTATGAGATTCAAACTGCATTACACATAGGATGATCTCACAGTCAACAGTTATGAGAAAGGTTTTCCAAATCCCCTACTTTGCGTGGGTTGTTCTGTCTGGTGGCCTTGCTATCATAGTGCAGGCAGTGTCGATTCACATCCATCTCACGCGATCGGCCGTTTCAACTGTTTTCGTGACTGGGGTACAGGCCGTTGTTGTGGTTGGGACGACACTGGTGGTGTTGTGGGCGGCAGCGATCAACGATGTGCGCCGGCAGGCGAAAAAACGGAAGCACGAGGAGGACCCCGAGATGCTTTCCGGTGGCGGTGGTGGGGTCCGCGTGCCGGACGACGCACGGGTCCCCCGTGCGTCGTCCCGACGCCGAAAATCTTGGCGTTTTTCCTGCCAGCTGCCTCCGTTGTTCCGCTGGCGACTGCGGAGGTCCTGGATGTCCATGATGCAGTCGTTTCTGCTGTTTCTGAACCTGCTGAGCCTGATAGTGTCCGTGATCGGGCTCAGCAACGAGAAGTTCTTCCAGTTCGACAACGTCAACATCGACCGCAGGGGCCCCAAGGTCATATCTGCGGACATCGCGGCGACCGTGTTCCACGCGTTTTTCACCGTATGCATGTGTCTCATGATTTGGTGTCCACTCATGCGGATCGCACGCCGGTGTCTGTTTTTCTGCAGCATCTTCCAGTTCATCATCGGAACGCTCATGATCGACATCAACCTGCGCCAGATCAGTCGCGGGCCCCAGAAACCCATAACGCGCGGCATGTACTCGAGCCTGGCGTATTTCCAGCATATGGGCGCGTTTGAAGTTGGTGCAGCCATCTTCACGTTCGCCCTGTGCATGATCACAACCACCTCCAACAGGCTCACCCCAACGGTGTCGAGACTCGTCAATTTTTTCGTCGCTCTTTCATTATTTTGCACCTGCTTGGACATTGTTTACTGCGCGGTGGCCCTCGTGCACATGAACGACTCTTACGACCAGAGGGTCTCCAAGTCCACTGTTTGTGGGAACATTGTTCTGGGGTTTACGTGTTTTGTGGTTCACATTTGTGCGCTCGTCGCAAGCAGGTTTCTGCAAAGCCGACCCAAGTCGCACCTCGCAGTCGAGGTTTTCGACATGAATTCGCTAACAGACGCCCAAGCAAATGCGTTTGCCATTCTGATAAACACCTTTGGCAGGAACTTCCCAGGAGCCCCTAGTGGCGAATCCGCCATTTCTTTGATGCGCGCCTACGCAGACGCAGATATGGATGGATTGAACTGTAAAGTGCTTCGTGTTTACAAGCCTGCCAAACACGATATCAAACCTGCTGGACCAACCGTTTTGATAAACAGAGACGAATACGAAGACCTGGCGTGGCAAAACCTTGATCACAAGTTTGTACTGCCCAGTGACTCTGATCTGTCTATGGAACAAATGTCGGTCAAGACTCTCATCAATTCTGCAGTATCCGAAAAGACCATACCGACTCAGCTTTCTAAAAATCAAATGAAGCGTTTGAAACGAAAGGCTAATGCTGGTAAGAAGCGTCCTGTCGTGCCTTTCCCCCTGGAAAATCCTCTTTCCCAAGAAGAAATCAATAAGGAAGTTCAATTCAACGAAATGTTGATGTCAACTGAAGCCCTGGTTTTATTGACTTGCATTGAAAAGTACGATTTGACCACATCCTCAAACTCAAGATTCTATCGAATCCTTCACAAAACTTTGGGGGGTGGAGCCTATTTGTTTAAGCCATTGGTGGTAAGAATGGGTCTACTTGGCTTTCATTGGCCCTTTAGACAAGCGACATTCTATTGTTCACCAACGAAAAGACCTGTTGCTAGAAGTGCGGCTATTACACGGGCTATTACAGAGTGGAATCAACGTTTGCCAAGATCCCAGCGCTGTTCCGTCTTATTAGACCCAAGATACGCTAATGACAGCTCCGAACGAGCCATAGTACCAAGTGGTTGTGAACGGGTACCACTACCGTCGACGCATATCATAGATTTGAGACCTTACAAAGGCAAAGATCTAAAGGAGTACCTAAAGGCTGTGAAATACCGTTCTCAAACGGGACCCTTCACGAGAGACAATGGAGTCGTAGAAGAAACCTCGGACTTTTCCGATGAAAATTGTTCAGAAGTTTTGAGACTATGGAAAAACATTGCTGAGAAGAGACTTTCAGATGGGAACACTTCGGTAATGATTGACCCTCAATTCGACTTGATAAAATCGCTTGGCCATTTGCACAATACAGGATCTTCTCGGCCCTTTCGGAGCCTGTTGTTTCTCAAAGTGGACGGTACCAACATTGCATCATGTGTGTTGTTCAGATTGGGTGATACAATAACTTCGGATTTCCAAGGACTTGATCATGTCCTTGCGAGACGCTATAAGGCCTATTTTGTTATGATGCAGCAAACCATAGACATCGCTCTAAGGGAAGGAATTTCGTTCGTGGATTTTGGTCCCACCACTGCCAAACCAAAGCTCGATATCGGCTGCCAAAGCATACCCTTAATGGGTGGATTGTATGCTGTCTCTCCTGCCTTGTCGTGCGCCATTAGTGTTTTCGCCAAAAACGTAGAAATCAACAAGTGAATTGACGTTGAGTCGCTTTTCATGAGGCATGTTGTTTCCGAGTGCAGACCGCTGGAGAAGGTAATCAAACCTCCATTTTGCTACAAACTATGTCTCCCCATTGTGAGTACTTCTTGCAAAGGAATTGCATAGCATTGATGAACTTGGTAAGTTCGTTCATGCTCACTTCATTTACTCCCATTTGACTCTTTGGTAATTAAGTCCAAGCATCCCACATGTTAATAAACCCTCACGAATACACAGTAACCGAGTCGCAGGTGTTTTTTTTTTCACCCACTGATAACGAGCCATTGGGATCGAGGGCTGTCACTAATAGTGAACAGTGACAGAATCATGTATCTTACGGCAAAAGAGCGTTTATATCTGAGAAACGGGACCATGATAGGTCCGGCATTTTGACTTTCGAAGTCAATGTCCACCTCAGCGAGCGATTTCACATGGGTTTTGATATCATTCTTTGATGTTGTGAGATTACGTGGTTGAATACCAAAGGGCTCTAGTATACGGAGTTATGTAAAGATTGTAAAGATTAAGATTGTTCATTTTTTAACGAAACTAAACGAGAAAATCTCAAGATGTGTCGTTCCTCGTGGCATTGCTAGCGGATTCTCTTGCATTAATGGAGTTGTGCCGTTGAGAAGCATACTCCTCCATCCCAAGTCGATAACAGTAAATTCCAGAGCATGTGATTTGGGGTTTCATAGATTTTAAATAACACTCATCTCGTGTATCGCCTAGCAGCTGTCAGCTGGCGATCTTTTGTTCAAGTCGAGAGAGTTTTCCGAAAAATCCCGATAACTCAACGTTCTTAATATTACGTGTGACCAATTCAGAATGATAACAGTAAACACGAATAGGAATAAAAGCTCGCAAAGGCTTTGATATAGTAAAACTACTCTATTCAACTAAATGGAGACTTTTACAAAATTTTTTGTAACTTCTACCATTGCATAGGCAGGAGGAATCTGATAAATCCGTTTAAAATGTCTGTTGAAGTTCGATGAAGTTCAATTATACTGAATATGATTCGCTGACGACAATTGATTGAGCTTCTTGATTTTTTCAATCAACATCGTTGATACATTTTTAGGCAAAATCGGTCGTTCGCATGATACCCCGTGATTAGCATCGTTCTCTCATAAGCAACGGCTTGATCGTTAAGTCTTTGTTGACAATTTCGACGCTCATCTGGATATAGAAATAAGAGATAAAAAGAAGAACGTAAATCAAGAGATTTGTGAATCCTCTTTTCCTTTAGGAAATATGATCCCGTCTCAGAGATTCCATGATTCTCTAAACCTAAGAGGAGAAGAATCCCCAGATTGTATACCGGAAGAGAGCTACCAAAATCATAACCTTGGAGACGATGAAGACCATGAAAAGACGCTTATACGAAAAATCGTGTCAATATTCACCATTTCACCGTATGATTGGCAGTTTATATTGACCGAATTCATATATTCCATTGATTGGGATGCCAAGGCGAACCCCGTGGCCAGACCAATGGGACATGCGCTCACCTTTGGCTTTTATGGCATGAGGCTACTTCAAGACGCTTTGATTAAGCCAAATCAGCACCATTTGAACACTCCAAGTGATGCTTTCAATCTGGCACAGTCTAAAACTTTGATGGAATATGGGTTACCAAATCAAGTTTTGAGAGGTAACGTGCTGCGAAGCAACTCTCAGGCCGATTGGTACCTTCTTGCTTTGAGTCAGTTAAGCGCCTTTTTCAAAGTCTCCATAGCAATCTTGCTTCTGACCAACGCATACCTGTCTTGCAGTTTCCTTTTTGCGCACTATCAATCGTATTCGCTTTTCCACTGTCGAGGCAGACCTTCTTCTCGAAATGTCGTAAAGCATTCATTACACGATCTGGATTACCAGTCAGTGGAAGATGTCTCCAAAAGCTCGCTGTGGACTATGATCAAATTTGTCTTTACCTCGCGGAAGTCTTCCGAAGTGGGTGAGCCTGCGGACCAGTTCTACTATGAGCTTAAGAAATGGAGTCCCGGGAAATTTGAGACGAATTTATTCGCAACTTTCTCACCGACTTGCGTTCTATTTCTTCTTTTCACCGAGGTTTCGTTTTTGACATTGATCCCTGTATTGTGCCATCAATGTGTCTTCTGGTTTCTGGTCTGTAATAGGTACGAGGACCGAATTGATGACGAGATTTGCCTTAAAAACGCCATGATGGCAGAATTGGATGCCAAGCTGATTAAACCAAAATCCTCTATTAAGACCCAAGATCTTATGATCGGGGCATCACAAAACGATAATTTCGCTGAAGTTTATCCCTCTTTCACTACCACGCGATCTCATCTTTTCCAAACGCACAACGTCGCGGGAAACGTCGTTGTTGAGAGGTACAATGAGGTGACTGGGATGTTTCAGGATGTTAATAAACCGGTACATCGTATACACGGGCGGTCGCATGCCTACCACCACCCAGCTCGAGGTAACGAATTAAGAGGTGCGAGGGTTCGCGGACTATATTCTGACCGCCATTTTGGTACCTCAAGGTTTTCGACACCCGCGAAAAATAGAAAAAAATGGACCGAATCGCTTTCCGAACCTTCAACGCCAAGGTTGCGGCCCTCCTATATTAACGTCGCGGACGCTTCAATGGTCGGAAATGACTCCGCTATGTCAAAGGGATCTTTGGGACTGCATGAAAGTATTCGCGCAAAAGCCAACGCCAGTCTTGCGCGCAGAAGGAACTCTACAAGTCCTACAAAGCATACCAACAGCTTTTATAATACGACTTACAATCGAACACCCCAAAGACCCTTCCATGTTGCCGATAGTACGGTCTCATTTAGCATGGATGTTCCTGATGATGAAATGCCTTTTGAGGAGGTGGCAAGACGAGGACGAAAGCACGAGCAGAGCCCACTTTATTTCGGTGAACTTAACGAGAGATCTATTTCACGAACTTCGGCCAGATCCTCACGTAATGCTAGCATAAGTCCTGCTAAATCTTCTCTACTTGGCAGAAGAGATTCATTCAGCGGCCGGCCGCCTTTTCGATAAGAAAAGCTGGTGAATGAAAAATGCTTTCCCGAAATACCATTAGAGCAAGTGGGTGACGAATTTGTATGTTGACGTTTTTCAGATAATTTACAGATCGTCTACACTTTTTAAGATTCAATGTTATGTAATTATAAGTCGTTCCAACCAAACAGCCAATTGCTAACTTTGGAGACGATTCCTCCGTTAAGCTGTTTATTCGCAGCTTGATCCTTCATCCTGTCCTCTAAGCTTTTCGAAAGGGTGCCATCACCTGGATATCCACCAAACGCAAATAATGACTTCCCATCTTTAATCTCGATTTTGCGTCCACCTAACCGATAGGCATGCGCTCCGGGACCCTCGAGAGCATCCATTTCTGCAGCAGCTTCTGGAGTACCCATTGAGTCAAATGGTGATTGGCGAATGCCTATGGAATTAACATTAGGTGCAATACTAGGAGCATTAAATGCTCCTATGTCATCAAACTGTTCAATTTTACATGACGCTAACTGTTCAACAGCAGACTTGTTGTAAGGAACACAGCCAACCAGGCAGCCACCGTAAACGATACCATTTTCTTGAAGAGCTCGCATTGCTGCGGAAGGAGAGTCGTAAGTTAGTTTTATCCAGCCATCACCGGTGAAAATTGGATATTTCCTATGCGGACTTTTGTCACCGTTACGTTTGCTCCTCAATCTTAAAGTCGCGGCATTGATGCCGGAAGCTCCTCTCAACACTTCAAAATCTTCTAGTATGCTACCAAACTTGGCAAAGTGAACTATTATTTGATTGGATATGGATTCTGGGTAACCAAAAACCAATACGGCGCTCTCCGTGCTCGCAGAAGAGTTATCAGACCAAGCGGAGTTCAAATTAATCTTATTATTGATGCCTGCTTGCCCGTCTAAACGGTCAAATGCATTGCGTAAGCCTGTCGAGTCGACAGCTGCCCTTTTGTTAGCTGGTGGCAGTGACTGCTGTGTTGAAAAGCCGCTGCCAATGTTCGGTATTGCATTTCCAAACTCATCTTCACGTTGCCAATCGTACATAGACCTCGTAGGAGGCGCCTCGTTCGTGTCGAACAAGATGTGAGGGCTCACGGCTAAATCCGTTTCCGGCGCTCCATTTGAGCCTCCGAAAACGTCGGCTACTTTCCGCGACCCAAACACAACGCTTCCAAAATCGGCTTTTGTATCTGAAGTATCTGAGTTGTGGCTGTTCGAAGTTACATTGTCCGACGTACTTGCCTTGGCCGATCTTTTGACAATTGAGTGCGGAATAGTCCTTTTCTTGGGATTGTTGAACCAGGAAGGTGTGTTGTCCTCGTTTGTGAAAAAATTTGAGGCAGATCCAGTCGAATTTAGCATGATTTGGCCATGGTTCTGTTGCTGTTGCGGTAGCGATGTTGCGTTTTGTTGTTGTTGTTGCTGCTGGTCGTTTTGGGGAAATTTGACGGTCAAGTTTGAAAACCTATTGGGTTGCTGGACAGTAGATGATCCAAACACCGACGACATCCCTCGACGCAATACAATGGAGGCGCTAGATCTAAAGAGTCTTCACACGCTTCAACTCAGTTTTCTTTCATCAACTCATCGAACGTCAAATTTTCGGAAATCGAAGAGCTCCTTGTACGAAGAGAGGTTAAGATCAACGATCTTTTCGAAATGAGCTACCGAACTGGAAAGTGGTCTAATCTGCACCAGAAACATAGAATGTAAAATGTTAAAATAGTTCCGTTCTCCGATGTAAAGCTGAATATCTCATCTAAAATAGTGTGAAGTTTGTGTCCTAAATCTTCAACTCATAAAAAACATAGAAGGGAGGAAAAACCATATGAAATTCCATTCAGAAATCATCTCACTTTGATAACAATTTTGCCTTTTGCGCGATTGGAAATCAATTTGTCAAAGGCACGCTGGTAGTCGTCAAATTCCCATACAGAGTCTATCTGAGGGACAAACTCCTGGCGAGAGATCAGCTGGTTGCCCAAGTCGATGGCTTCCCTTGAGCCGCCCGAATGAATATTAGCGTAGTTGTATTTCTTGTAAGGTCCATGTCTTCGAAGAGATTCCCAAACAGGAAAAAAGTTCGAGATTTTGGGCGCCTTATAGACTATCTTCCTGTCCCCCACGATCGTGACATAGTAAGAATTGGCGCTCTGAGGCTTCAAAACATCGTTGATGTGCGGGAAGAAACAGCTATTGCCGACACAATCAAAGATTAGATCGCACTTTCCACCGCCCCATTCATCAGAAATGAGAGCTTTGGTGGTCTTGACCAGATCGCCATCATCGTAGGGGATCAAATGGTCGAATCCAAAGGCCCGATTGTATTCGATTGAATCTTTTGAACATACACCGGCCACAGTCCCGACTTTCAGGTAATTTTTAGCAATTTGCACTGCACAATTTCCCACGGCTGTAGATGCTCCTATTATGAGTATTCTGCTGTCGGGCCCTAACTTTTGACAGGAGTGCGTTAGCCCCTGGAGTGCAGTGCCAAATACAAGCGGCCAAGCTGCGTTTAAAACAAAATCGTCGTACTCCTCTCCACCTTGCTCTCCGAAAGAGACACTTGGTGCTACTGTAGCGACTTTTTCCGGATCCAGCACCAAGTAGTTGCTCAGAGTGCCCTGTTTCCCGAAAACGTGCCAGTATTTCCCAGTGATCTTGTCGCCACTTTTAAATTCCTTGACTTTCTCGCCTCTTCTGACAATGACACCACTGAAATCCATACACAGCTTCTTAGGCTGCTTGTTCACAAGCAAGGGGAAAGCAAATTTGTAAAGCATATAGTCGACTGGATTTAACGCTGCGGCGTGGATTTCGACAACAACTTCATTTTCAGAGTAAACAGTGTCCAAATCGATTTCTTCACCGGTGATGATCAAAGGGCTCTTATTGTTGATATATGTGATCGACCTGTTTGTTACTAAGCTTGACATGATGGTTTCGAATGAAGCAAAGAATCCGCCAGAGATCTAGCTATATTTCAGGGCTGAAGCCGAAACGCTACGGCTTTCAAGTGAAATCTGTTTTCAAGGCTTTTAGTTCTAGTGACAATCCCCTGCAAGAATTGCACCTTAAGGATACAATTCGATAAACGAAAAATGTAAGAAAATTCGAAGACAAACGTTTATAAACTTCTTTATCGCCTTGAGACATGCAGGTGCTAGTTTGCGCGGAAAACTCTAGATTTGTAGCGAGGCTGATAATTTAAGCGAACATTTCCATGGTTTTGATGGTGGTGGTGATGATGATGATACTGCGAGACCCGAGAATTGGGGGCAGACGGAAAGCTCGTGAGATCCTCACCCTTCTCCTTGGCTTTGCGCGCCAAATAGTCAAGTTCTTGGCGCATTTTGACGTAGCCCAAGTGTATTTTACCGATAAAATGATCCGCAAGTCTGCGGTCTGTGTCGAGACGGGAAAGATATGCACCGCATATTTCACATACTTGCAATTTCTGTTGTGCGCTTTGACCGACATTTTCTGTGATTTCACGAACTTTCAAAGCCACCTCCCGGCGGTGTTTCTGTAGTTCTTGCAGCTTGACGGATTGTACGAGTGCTTTGGCAACTTCGTGAAATTTCAGCAGCATTTCGATCTCTTGTAGCATGAGTCCAATCTGGGAGTCAACGAGTTCCAGCTCGCTTGTAACTTTCTTGATCTTCTCGCGCTCTTCAGGGGTGTGTTCCAGGTTCTTCAATGCCACTGCTATTTGGCCATTGCAGTCGTTGACGAATTTCGACAGCATCGCGAAATGCTCGCGCTCGAAATCGGGGAATTCGCGGCCCTGGCGAAGTTCGCGCTCGTACTGCAGTTTGTGCTTCGCTAAATGGATCTTTGGGCATTTACCTAAACTCTGCTTGGTACCTTTGAATAGATCATACTGGCATTCTCCGACAAGATAGCTTTTGCAAATGCGTGGATCTTGTAACCTGAGTTCACGCCGATTTCCATCAAATCCCCGAGACATCGACTCTCGGCCCATGAGTTGTTCAAGAATCTTGCGTTGTTCAGCCGCAGGTGTCGCCATTTTGGCCTACTTGTCTCTTTCTGTCCTTGTACTAATCCTAGCTCTTCGGTCTTTACTTGGTTAAAAATCGATGAAACAAAATGTCAATTTTCTATTGGCATTGAAACAAAATACATCGAACACTGCGATATGGCCAAGGATATTCAAGCTTTTTACCGACTTTCACCGCCAGACGATACGGAAAAAAGCTACGAAACAGCAAATTGCTGAGAGCAAACTCGTTCTGGTTTTTGTTTTCTGAGCTGGTGCTGTTTGACAAAATTTTGAATCAAATTTATTTCTTGTTAATGAAGAGGCTAACTAGAAATCGGCCATTGTAGGCAAACTGAGCAGTTTTCAGAAGTCTAGTAAAAAAGTTGATTTGGATTCATGGGGTTGCTTTATTTCCCGTAGATTTCGATCCTTCTCGGTTTAGACATGTTAAAGATAGTTGACTTGCTTGAAAAACGTTGTCGTTCTCGAAAATTTTGAATTTTGAAGATCTATGATAGAAAATACCACGATTTGGATGCCAGATCAGTAAGAACGCCAGTTAATTTGGTATTTGGCCCTCAGCCGGTTTTTTATTGTAGGATACTTACTCCTCCTCTGGCAAGTTGAAAGGATTCACGTGACAGCAGTCCGATACACCTTGCGAAATTTCCAGACTATGGAGAGCTCACCGATTTTTAGACATTCAGTGCATTGTGTTTTTGTCCAGCGTGTGTTCAATGCCTGGCGAATCTGGGTTTCGCTTATTTTTTAGAGCTTCTTCTTTTGCTCTGCGAAGTTTCTGCTTCATTCACATTATACATTCACATGTCTACGAGTTCACGGAAACTCGAGGTGAATCCATGCTCCCGACACTAGCAGCGACAAGTGACTATGTACATGCACTCAAGCGATATAGCAATGGCAGAGATTGCAAGATCGGTGATTGTATAATAGCAGCAAAACCCACAGACCCACACCAGCGTGTGTGTAAACGAATAACCGGAATGCCTGGGGACCTGATCTTGGTCGATCCAAGCATGGGCTCAAATGTTTCTCAAACAGACGAAGATTACGACGATCATTTCAATTCATTCATTAAGGTTCCCAAGGGCCATGTGTGGGTCACGGGCGACAATCTATCGCAATCGCTCGATTCAAGAACTTACAATTCTTTGCCGATGGGGCTGATCAAAGGGAAGATAGTCGCAGCCAATGATCTTAATGAGCCGTTCTGGGGCGGAAAGTATGGCAGTTTGTGGGGTTTCCGCAAAATTAACAACATTTATATAGACGAAAGGTAGTAAGGGCAGCTATCAATTCTAATTTATGCATTTCCTTTGAGTGGAATACCTTATTTGGTACTCATTTGAGATTGGACAAGAATTTCGATCCGATCCACAATCCAGGCAGACCTACATATAGAGCGCTCCACAAAGTGCCGAAAATGCTCGTACCCAAATAGTACTTTATGAACACGTATTCCATGGCAACAATGCTAACCATCATGGCAAGAAATTGGCCACCTGGGCAACCTTTGGGGAATCCCTCGAAATTTACAGACCCAGTCGTGAACCAACACGCTACTAGTCCAACAGACACGGTCGCCACTAGTAAACTGAAGAATTGAGCAACAACGGTGGGTGCTGTCTTAGGGGGGGCATTGAAGATGTGCTTGATTTCGGGCAAAGCTCCTAACCGTTTAGGGAGCTCAAGAGATTCAGGCTTGTCAAAACCGAGTTTCAGATCAAAAAGATCGATGAAAATGTTGTCTATGGCACGCTCGCTGCTTAGCAAAAGGCTGGCGACCAACGATTCGCCTTTTTGAGTGGCTTGGTAAATAAGAGCAGAAGGAATTTCCTTGGCTGCCACCTTGAAACTGTAACTTTGATCCTGGCCTCTGCCCTTGATTTGAGGAAGATAATGCGTGTCTAACGCAAGTTCCTGGGACCCGAGGAACAGGATAGCCCTTTCGGGCAAAGAAGTACTTTCAATTGCAAAATTGACTTCCAAGCCATCTTCAATTGCATCCAAAACGATCAGTTTACTCAGTTTTTGGAATTCTGGCGAGATAGGTTCTGTAAAAGCCACGGGCTTTTTTTTAATAGCACCTTTGAACGCTACATGCGCTTGTTTCACAGAAAACCCGGAAACGAAAGCAATCAAAAAGATCCAGCACGCAACGATTTGGCCCGGAATCATTTCACAACGATGTATAACCTGTGACTTTCTCGTTGTTCTAATTGATAGAGATCCTCTTTTATATATACCGAAAAAGTAGACTGTGAATTATAGACCGTTTTCGTATAACTTAACCTGTACAATGCTGCGCCAGAAGGCCTCATGGAAATGGCAGTTAGATGCCGCAAGTACTACACCTATTTCACCGACACTATCAGTTTATGCGTTATAGTGGGCTTCTAAGCCGAGGCTTTTCTCAGATAGCAATATAGGCGATTCCACTTGAAGTCGGTAAATATTGAGCCGAATTGGAATGAAGACCCAACTGTTGGTCTGGAATGCTGGCTCCGGTTAGGAAGACGGGTCTGCCAGGAATCATCTTGGCACCATTGTCGGTGTATGAACTGAAAAACTTGGACAGGGGCCCGAATTTAGGCATAGGTGTTTCGGCAACCCCCACAGAAGGAGGAATTTGATCCGCGAAGGATCTCAGAAAATGTTGCGTATACGCGATGCTTAGCTGGTAAGTGGCTCTGGCTAACTTGAAGAAACCATTGCTAAAAAACCCGCATATCATCACACCGGATCCAAAGAACAGCGATAGTCCCATGAAGGGCACGATTAGGGCCGAGGCTGCGGCCCCGACTGCGAACAGCACAGCGATGTAGAAAACAGACAGCACGATGGAAGCGGCGGACATCGTGATGAAAAAGATCAGTAGAGGTGGGGGCAGGGAGAAAGTGAGGAGTAATAAAAATGATGCCTGGATGGGGTGGTTTATAACAAAGTTGTATCTTTGCGACACAAACAGACGGGCAAGTTTCCGAGGCACTGACTTTGACGTCGCCGACGTCGAGACCTGGACCGTCTTTTTTGCGTGCTGGTAGTGATGGGTTTTGCCACGATACGTCAACGTTCTGTGTTAAGACCTTTGTGTCAGTTGGGCACGAAAAATGGTTAAAAGCCGCGGTAGCTAGCCATATTTCGCACAGGGCTGACATCAAAAGCGATAAAGTTAGTAAAAGCGACTCTCTGTGTAGGTGTTAGAGGGGTGGAGAGAAACGGTCATCGCATACCTTAGGAGCGTGAAGAGGTGGTTTTTGAACCATTTTGCGAGTAATCTGAACGTGTTTGACACAATAATGATGATTGCAAGACTCGCAAGGCTTAGTGGAGTCAGCAAATGTGTCGCTACAGGTGCTTTCTTGGGTGTTTCGTGGTTGAGAAGGGTTTCGGTAATTGGTGCAGAACAGGGATACGCAGGGAAATCGTTTTCCTGAAGCCAATCGAACGCGAACGCGTCGTCAGGGGGTTCTTCGGAGATCGGTGACATTGTTGTAATATCTGCACCGAAACTACTCTTTGCAGGCGTTTCCACTTTGACTGTAGGCAACGCCAAAACTGGCTTTCGGTTCCGATGCTGACCTTTGTCGGCTCGATGGGAAGCGTTCAGCTCTTGTCGCATACCTTGTCGGACATCCGCTTTTCGATCGGATGTGAAAAACTTGTTGTGTCTAGGCCTATCGAGGCTATGTGCTTTATTCAGAGGTATGGAGCTCAGGGCGCGTAATCTGCGAGCTTCGCTCTTTCGATCGTAGTCAAGAGCCACCTGCATGAGCGTCGCGTCGCGTCTTGTTTTGATCTTGATCTTACTAGTTAACCTGTTACGGGGGCGCTGATTCCTTCTTCTTCTTCTTATATACCCCTTTCCGACTTGAGGTCAGTTGAAACAAGCCGCCTCGGATCAACTCTTTTTATTTTACCGCCAGGAAGGAAATATGTAAACGTTTCTACGGCACCGGAATTTCCATACTTGTGGTCGTCTGGAACCCTCGGGCACTCCTCGTGACTACTCCACGAGTCTCTCTCTCTCTCTAATCGATCTTATCTGCTGGATGACTTCAGCATCGTTTCGAATTCGAGCCTCACATGATTCGCGGACTTTTTGAGGTCCTTGGCACAAGAATGGTGTAGCGAGGTCGGACGAAAAAAGCAGATGTTGAGGATTTGGAAGTAGGGATATATCAAGAGACACTATCTTTCAAGCTATGTAGCCACTAACACTTTCTAAATGTTACGAACGGCATTAGCCTACCTCTAGTTAGCCGGATATGATCCGAGGATACGGTTTTTAGAGGAGAAGTATCACAATTTAACGCGGGCGCCTCTCTCTCTCTCTCTCCCTCTCTCTCTGCGTCTTTTCGAAAGCGGCTTACAATGCAGTAATCGGTCTGTGATCCTTGTTTGGGTTTTGTGTCACAAAAAACTGGGTCTGAAGCTCGGCGGCTATGTTCGTGCGCCGTGAGGGCTCCTCTGGTGTGAAAAATTAAATTAATGCATCTGTATGAAACTCTCCTCTGGAGACTTCTAGAGATCAAGGCAGATCATAAAATGTGTCCAGATGTCCATGAAACGTTTACCTGTGATCACGAATACTTGTGAAGGGTGCGTGTGTAGCGTGGCTTTGTAAATGCTTTTTTATGGTAACCTTATCAAGACTTTTCGAGAATTGTTGGTGATATACAAAAGGTGGGCCTGTTAGCAACAACCGCAAAGACATTTCGACCCTCGCTGAGAGTTTGTGTAGGTATTCTGTGGACCACGCGATGTGGAAGGCTGAGATCAGAAGAGGCGATATCACCTTATACGTAGACGTCCAATACCTATCAGACATCACACAACCCAACCACTACCTACTAATCGTCTATATAGCCTAAATTGACATTAAGACACGCAATGGCTAGGGGTAATCAACGCGACCTTGCAAGGCAAAAGAATCTGAAGAAGCAGCAAGAGCAGTCTAAGAACGCCAAAAAGGAAGGCGACCCCAAGAAACGAATGGAAAGCGATGCTGAGATTTTACGTAAGAAGCAAGCCGCTGCGGATGCCAGAAAGGCCGAACAAGAGCTCGAAAAATTGAAGGCGGCCAAACGATAAGTGACAGGCTGCCGCCGACGCTGCAGATGGGAGAGGTTGCAATCGCGAGAGCAATAGAACTATGTAATTTACAGATGTGAGTACGTAAGTGTCCGAATAACTTGCAGCGCTTTCGTTCGATGTTTAAGGAGCAGCGAGATAATCAGCTGGCCGCGCTCCCCTGGGCCTGCATGAGCTTTTGAGCCTCGGCGCTCTTCTCGACGTCGTACTTGAAGTCGAAGTAGCTTTTGTCGAAATGATGCAAACGAACGAAACCATCTTCACCACCGGATGCGTAAGAAGTTCCTTGCGGCGAAACAGCAACGTAGTTCAAAGGACCAAAATGGCCCTTGACTCTGCCAATTTCGTCCTGGAATATCTTGTGGTAAAAACGAGCCTCGAACTTACCCTCACGCGAACTCGTCGTTGTCACATCTTTGGCGTCTTGACCACCACCTAGAATGACAAACTGTTTTAGGGGAGTGATGCAAGCGCTGTTCAAAGGGCAGTCAGCCTCATAGGTCTTGAGCACGTCGAACGTCACCACGTCGACCAAGTTCGATACGCTATCTCTCGAAGAGGTGATAAAGTATGTCCCGTCAGGCGAAAACTGGATGTCGCTGACATTTTGCGTGTGCAATTCAAGCGAGTCAAGGTATTCACCAGTGTTCCCCTCGTACTTGCTGACTTTACCGTCCTTGTGCCCAACGGCGATAAAATTCCCTCCGAAACTCCAGCTCGCCACCGACGCAATGTCAAAGCCCTCGCGGGTCAAAATGTCGAAAACTGGTTCTTCTTCGATATTTAGAACCTCGCCGGTCGCAGAGTCTCTCTCGATTTTATAGACGGTCACACTACCTGGGTACCCCATCACACCGTCCAAAACGGCTAATATTCTATCACCGTCAGGTGAAAATTCAACTCTTCTCACGGGGGTCTTGGTTTTCCACGTAAAGACGTTGGTACCGTCCTGCACTCTCCACAACTTGATACTGAAATCAGCCGATCCCGTAACGGCGTACTGAGTGTATTTGTCCACATCGATTGACCAAATCGTACCTTGGTGACCTTCTAGAGTACCTAGTCTTTCGCCATTGATTGAATACCAAACGGACGCAACGCTATCTTTGGCACAGGAAAAGATCAAATCACCCTCTCTGTTGAACTTGACTTGTGTGAGCGAACGCTCGTGCCCCTTTAGCATAATAGGTCTCATTGCTGCTAAAGTTTAACGACTACTTGGAACTTAGCTGTCGAATATCAACGCTCCAACTCGAACTTCTTCTTCATCTCTTCCCTGCTGTTCTATGAAAATTTTCAGGTTTCGTCACTCATGATGATATTTCGAAGTCGGGTAACAAAATACCTCGAACGACAGTATTCACCAAGAGGCAATTATGAGTGAAAAATACCTGGCGTTTGCGAGCATCAATGGCATCAACTAAACGTTTCCCACTCTTTTAGATACCATTCATTTATAGTTGAAAATTTAAATAAAATACGAAGTCCTGTATTTGGTGGACAAAATCAATGTCACACTAGCACACATGCTTCAAGGCTTCCTTTTCGCTAACAAACTCGCCTAGGTCGATTTTTAGTTTTCTATTAAACTGTTCGAACAGGAAGCCCAGACAGCTTTGCGTGATGGCAGAATCGTAGCGACCTTTGCTGAACTCGTCCCTGATAAAAGCATGCTGGGCCGCGTGGACTTCCAAGAATGTGAAATTCACAGCGTTATCTCTCAAACTTTTACGGATAAGGTCTCTGCCCTCCGGGCTGACGTGGGTGTCGTGGGTCCCGAAAATCAAAACCAATTCCTGGTTCGGCGCTGCCTCTTTGGAAACGCGTTCCAACGAGTCGTCGTTCTTGCCCAAGCCTAGGCTCTTCAAATGTATATCGGTGGGGAAGAAACAGGTCGCGCACGTGACGCGCTTGTCGAGCAGCGCTCTGAACGCCAGATGGCCACCAAGGCACATTCCTGTGGCACCAATTTTTTTACCGTCAAACTGGGGTAGTGAGTACAAGTAGTCGCAGCACAACTTGTTGTCCTCATCATACGACGCCAAGGGTTTTTTGATTTTGAAGTCGTTGCCCAAATCGGTGCCCTCTGCATCATACGCTAGGGGCTCTGGCCCGACAAAATTGTGGTATATCGCGGGCGCAACGACCACGTAGCCCTCGGAGGCTATCTTCTGGGCAAATCTCTTCACAGGGCCGGTGACCTGGTAGATTTCGCTATAGCAGATAACGCCCGGAAATTTGGCATTCGGGTAGCCTGAAATCTTGGGAGAATACGTGTAAATCCTCAATTTGGAGCCATACGAAGTTTCAACGTCGTGGAAAGTCTCGGTGATGAGCATTGTGTTTTGTTCTGTAACGTCTTTTGGATCGACCTTGCTTTACATAGGGTCTAATCAGGTAATTTTTTCACTATACGCTAGATTTAAGGGTAAGCTTCCGACGACCGAATTGACATCGGGTCGAGACCACGCTCAAGTCAAGGACAACACTCAATCAGCATGACTGCTTTAATTTACCAACGAAGACGATGGATTTTGTCGTAGGGTCGGCTCTTTCAGCCGTGAGGTTTGTTATGTGGAAAAATGAAAATTAGATAAAATGTGCTAACTTCAGCGACTTTACCCCATCCAAATAAAGTTAACGGTAAGAAACTTTAAAACCTCATAAAACCCCAGAACCGGCTATTCCCGTAGTTTAACCGCCAAAAGTCCAAATCGACGACTACGTGCAAATAGCGTTACAGAGGCCATTCGAGATATCGTAACCTTTTTCTGGTATTTTTTCGACTAGGGCTGTGGATTGCAGTGAAAAATCCAACAACTCAACTCCAATTCCGCGACACTCTGTCACATCTGCGACACCCCGCAACGCCCCGCAACGCGCTCCCTTTCGCCAGAGAATACCGTCATTGTCGCTGACATCACAGTGTGACAGTGTCACACGAAGCCCAACACCCATACCCCACGGCGTACCACCCGCTGTCGTTTTCAGGGAGCATGCCTTTCAGTCCTTGTTCTTATTAGGCAGGCGGCGGGTTTCCGGGATGCGATGAGCAGACGAAACATACCGTTCCGCTCCGGTGCGCAATTCAGTGGCGATCAGTATCTATAAGGAACATATAAGAAAGACTTAAATACAGGCTTGGCTATAGTTGAGTCCTCTCAGTAGCTTAAGGAGTAGCATCGAGTAAGGACTACGACGATTGCAGGTGGAAGGTGATATCACGAGCCGGAGCATCTTACGTAACGCGTTGTTTTTCCTGAGACGAAGCAAGAGGTTATTCCGCATCGCATAGTTTTTCCGAGTCTGTATTTTTTCATCAGCGAAATTTCCGGGCCAAATAGGATATTTATCGGGTAGACAGAGGCGAAGGAAAAAGAAAAAACTCACCGCCGATTTTCGCACACCCCCATCAAGAGTTTTTCCGGGCTCGGCAGTAAATTTTTTCACAACACGCCCCTAGGAACAGCGATATATTTTTTGCAGCTTTGCAGGACCCGGGTTTGTCATTTCTCTCTCCCATCGACTCCAACGTCACTCTCGTATTCACGGTTCAACCATGTTTAACTCTGCTAGACTGGCGCTTCGCCGCGTCGCGGGCTCCAGAGCGCTGTCGACCACCACTGTGAGATGCCAACAGGCGGGTTTAAAGCCAAAACCATCGCTTTTGAGAAAAACCGGTGTTTACACGTTGCAAGCCGCTCTCGCGGCTACTTTTATCGGAACTGGTTACGTCTCTTACAAACTCTACAGGGAGTCCAACCCCGCTCCACAGAAGCCTCAGGCCGAGACCTTTTCCAACGGATCGCCAAGAAAGACTCTAGTCATCTTGGGATCTGGCTGGGGTTCGATCTCGCTGTTGAAGAACCTGGACACCACCCTCTACAACGTCGTCATTGTTTCGCCAAGAAACTACTTTTTGTTCACTCCCTTGCTGCCATCTACCCCCGTCGGAACTATCGAACTTAAGTCCATTGTTGAACCTGTTAGAAGCATCGCCAGAAGAGCTCCAGGTGAAGTCACTTACTACGAAGCCGAAGCTCAAGACATCGACCCAGTGAAAAAGATCGTCCAGATCAAGTCCGTGAGCAAGGATGAAGGTGGCTTGACCAAGGAACTCAAATATGACTATTTGGTTGTTGGTGTCGGTGCTCAACCTACCACGTTTGGTATCCCTGGTGTCTACGAAAACGCTTCTTTCTTGAAGGAGATTCCTGACGCGCAAGAGATCAGAGTCAAAGTCATGAACAACATCGAAAAGGCTACTACATTGTCCCCTGAAGACCCAGAGAGAATGAGACTCTTGAACTTTGTTGTCGTAGGCGGTGGTCCAACCGGTGTTGAATTCGCCGCCGAGTTGCAGGACTACATCGACCAAGATTTGGCTAAATGGATGCCAGAAATCTCCAAGGAACTCAAAGTCACTTTGGTTGAAGCGCTGCCAAACATTTTGAACATGTTCGACAAATCTTTGATTGAGTACGCCCAGGACCTTTTCAAAAAGGAAAAGATTGATTTGAAATTGAATACCATGGTTAAGAACGTCACCGGCACTACTATCACCGCCAAGACCGGCGACGCCACTGAGGATATTCCCTACGGCGTCCTTGTGTGGGCTACCGGTAACGCCCCAAGAGACGTCACCAAGGGCCTAATGGGGAAGATGGAGCAACAAAACTCGAGACGTGGTCTTCTCATCAACGACAAGCTGGAGCTTTTGGGTGCTGAGGACTCCGTCTGGGCCATCGGTGACTGTACTTTCTACCCTGGTCTATTCCCAACCGCTCAAGTCGCTCACCAAGAAGGTGAATATCTGGCCCGCGTGCTGAAGAAGCAGTATAAGATCGATCAACACAACTGGACCCTGGTGCAAAACTCGAACGCCGCTGAAACCGCTAAAGTGCAATCCAGAATTGAGAAATTGAACGACCAAATCCAACCATTCAAGTACAATCACCAGGGTGCCTTGGCCTACATCGGTTCCGAAAAGGCCATCGCGGACGTTGCTATCGGCGAGTCCAAATACCGTTTGAAGGGTTCCTGGACTTTCTTGTTCTGGAAGTCTGCGTACTTGTCCATGTGCCTGTCCTTCAGAAACAGAATCTTGGTCGCTCTTGACTGGTGGAAGGTCTCTTTTTTCGGCAGAGACTCTTCCGTGTAAGCGCGCACACACTTGCATCGTTTACCGAACCAGGCAACTTGCCACGCCATTTTCATCTTTCGACAATAATGCGTCGCTGTTACGACGCTCTTTTTGAACTAATTTTTCCTGTAATATGTTGAACTAAGTGGTGATAACATTCATAAATAAAAATGTAATAAATAAGAATCTGAAAACGCTATCGTTATTTCTAATTTCTACTGGCAAGCCGCATGACATGTCTTCAATCGTAGTTAATCTCGTCCTTCAGCGCATAGGAGCATCCTGATTACCGAACAAGACATCCATTCGTCTACTATGACATCAAGGCTTTTGATTACCCTGACTCATGAAGACGAACGCGATTCTGAAAATTTTAAGTAGTTGCGAAAGTCAAGTCGCAACGAGTGGTTAGGGTCGTCGCTGTTTCGATCAACTAGACACTTAGAAAGCCCGGAAAATGTCCCACGAAGGAGAGGAAGATCTATTAGAATATTCCGACAACGAACAAGAGATTCAAGTCGAGGCCGCTAAGAGCAATGAGGCAGCAGCTGCAGAAACAGCTGGTGATGCCGCAGAAAATGGTGCCGACGGTGACAAGAAGGGTTCTTACGTTGGTATCCATTCGACTGGTTTCAAGGACTTTCTCTTAAAGCCTGAGCTTTCTAGAGCGATCATTGACTGTGGATTCGAACATCCATCTGAAGGTATGTCAGAAATGCGTCGGACATTTGAAATTCTTGATTGTTTACTAACTTAAGGTATTTTTCCAGTTCAACAACACACAATTCCACAGTCAATCCACGGTACCGATGTGCTGTGTCAAGCGAAATCTGGTCTGGGTAAGACCGCCGTCTTCGTGCTTTCAACTTTGCAGCAGCTCGATCCAGTTCCAGGTGAAGTGTCGGTTGTTGTGATCTGCAATGCCAGAGAATTGGCGTACCAAATCCGCAACGAATATCTCAGATTTTCCAAGTACATGCCTGAGGTCAAGACTGCCGTGTTCTACGGAGGTACCCCGATTGCCAAAGATGAAGAGCTATTGAAGAACAAAGATACGGCTCCCCACATCGTAGTTGCCACGCCCGGGCGTTTGAAAGCACTTGTTCGTGATAAGATTATCGACCTTTCACACGTCAAGAATTTTGTTATCGATGAGTGTGACAAGGTGCTAGAAGAACTGGGTATGAGAAAAGACGTTCAAGATATTTTCAGAGCCACACCAAGAGACAAACAAGTGATGATGTTTTCGGCCACTTTGTCCCAAGAGATCAGACCAATTTGCAGGCGTTTCTTACAAAATCCTTTGGAAATCTTTGTCGATGACGAGGCCAAATTGACATTGCACGGTTTGCAACAATATTTCATCAAGTTGGAGGAACGCGAAAAGAACCGCAAACTTGCTCAATTGCTGGACGATTTGGAATTCAACCAGGTTATCATCTTTGTCAAATCCACTTCCAGAGCTAATGAATTGACCAAGCTTCTAAACGCGTCGAACTTCCCTGCTATTACTGTCCACGGCAGCATGAAACAAGAAGAACGCATTGCACGCTACAAAGCCTTCAAGGACTTCGAGAAGCGTATTTGTGTTTCCACTGATGTTTTTGGTAGAGGTATCGATATTGAGCGCATTAATTTGGCTATCAATTACGATTTACCCAATGAAGCCGACCAATACTTGCACCGCGTCGGAAGAGCAGGAAGATTTGGTACTAAGGGTTTGGCTATTTCTTTTGTTGCCACGAAAGAGGATGAGGAGATCCTGAGTAAAATCCAGGACCGTTTCGATGTCAAAATTGCCGAGTTCCCTGAAGAGGGAATTGACCCATCCACGTATTTGAACGCTTAAATGTACATGAGTAAAATGTAATTAAATCAAAATATTAGACGCCATATCATGCAGAATTTGTGTGTTTGGGCTATGATAGTTAACCAGCGCGCGCAGTATAAACTTGAACTTTCGAGGCTCTTGAGATGTTTATGAGCTCTGTGTTCTGCGCGGTATCACACCATGAATGCAGGCAGTAGTGCACGAAATAATTTACAAGAGACTTTGAAGAAACTTTTAGCCTTGCTGGAAGCTTTGAAATCGCGGGAGTCGAATCGATTCTGGAGATGGATTTGGTTGAGAGGAACTGACTCCTCCTGCTCTCGAATCTATTGAAAGCGACAGACTCATTGGTTTTTTCTCGGAAGCAGTCCTTGAGGAGTCGTGGCTCAGGAAACTATCGTGTGATATGTCGGAGTCGGTAATGTCAATGCCCTTTTGACGGGGAGCTGGGTCTTCGTTAAGTACGTGACTCGCAAGTAAACCAAGTGTTGTTAGCATATTCGAATCATTCTGCACTTTATCCGCCTTGTCGCTGTGGCTATTGAGAATGCTAGGGGTGGCACTACTGTTTTTAGATTCTGTCGCGGTTCTTTCCTTAAGCAACCTCATCAATTTATTGATCTTCTTGTTTTTGGCAATGATCGTCTCTTTGTACTTGCTCACTTTAAGGTCTCGCGCGCGTATTCCTCGCTGAAGCTCGTGGCCCTCCATCAAGATTTGGCACTTTAACCTCTCGTATTGCTGCTTATTTATATTGGTCTCAACTTCGAGGCGGGAGTTGGAGTCCTTGAGACCGGAAGTAAGCATCAAATTGCGAAACTTCAATTGTCGGTTTTCCTCTTGGGATTTAAGGAGAAGTCGCGACAACACGCTCAAACAGTCAATAACTTCGGCTGTGAGCGTCAAATCTTTATCTTTGCTGACGTTTTCAACTTCCTCAGAACCGCTGGAACCACCATCGCCGAGATTCGACACACAGGACTCGGAAACCCGCAGCCGCGGTATGCAAGATCGCTTTGAGAGCTCTTCAACAAGGTTGCTCGCTTGTGTTGTCGTATTTTGAACATTTTCTGTCCAGGGCTCGTCGTTCAGCGTCGAATTTGAAGTTGCAGTGGAAGACAACGAATGGTGTCTTTCACGCTCAGAGATCGAATCGTTGAAACTTGACGCATGATGGTCATTATTTGGCTGCGAGTTGAAAACCAAGTTATTCATTTCCAAGTCGCAACTCTCCAGCCGATGCCTATTAAAATTGTCCCCGGTGAAGATGCAATAGGTGCTTTCAATCTCAGAATCCTTCAAGTCTAGGATGACACTCCCTCTGACGCGACTGTCCCGATTGCCAGCTAAGCAATATAGTCGTCCTATGCCTCTGCCGTTGGGCTTTTGTTGTAAACAGGCTTTGCTTGTTTTGTTCGGTCCTGTATACCGGGGAACGTCTTTTTCGCGTCTTAGCGCGTACGCGTACGCGTAAACAAATGGAAATAAAAATCACGTGATTTAGTGAAATTAAATAAACTTGGATTAACCCATCACAACGATACAACTTGTGCCAAGTAGGCCCCGATAAAGGAACGATCACGACGAAGGTCCTGATCTACTTAGGAAGGTGTAGGTCTCGTCAAGTTCGTGCTTAAGAATCGAGCATAAACCTTGCGAGATTTTGAAAAATCTAAGGGTGCTGCGGAGCTTCCTATTTGCTTTGAAACTATGGTAATATTGATGGAAAACGGTCCAAAGGCAAATTTGAAAGGGTAATTGTTGGTGAGACTTTTTCGCCACGGCACAGTGCGAATCTCAGTTGTTAGCAAGATAGCGCTTTGATCATCACCTGACATAGATGTAACTGGTGATGGTTGCTTGTCTTGATGCACGGAAGGAAGGCTTGCTGACCAATTGCTCAAAGTTTCCTGTAATTTGCTAGGGACAGACGTCCCTTAATAAGATCCCCTTTTTCATCGACGTACATTGCTCCTCACGGGATAGCAGAAGCACAAGAAGATCAGTGATATGAGTAGCCCTCTGGCGTGGGATTCGCCTGCGGCGACTGCTAAAACTTTTTTTGGTTTAATTGCGGTACTTCTGGCATTTAAATTTGTGAATTTAGCTTCTTTGCTATTTCGGTGTGGATATTTGGTGCTGTTTACCACAGGATCAGTCGAGTTTCTGTTCAGACTAGTGTTCCAGCGGCCTTTGCTTGGCCAAATTGACATTGATGGAAACTCCGAATGGCTCGAAAAATTGAAAAAGCACACGGACGCAGCTTTGGGTCGTTACGAGAGGCTCAATATCGCTGCTGAATTGAACCAGTTCATATCTTCACCTGCAGCCACACTCACGAGTGTTGTTATATTGTATTTTGCCAGCTGGTGCTCGTCGAAGGGATCAGGTTTTGCAGCCCTAGTCGTGCTTACCACCTCGGTGTTCGCGATACCATTTATTTATGAAGCATTTGGTCCCGAAATAAATGCTCTTCAGAACCAGCTGGTTTTGCAAGCTCGAGCAGGAAGGAATCACGTCACTAGCGTCTTATCTCGCAATCCCCGGATAAAAAAATTAATGGGCAGACTCGAAGCACCTGCGTCAAAAGCAGATGCAGCCCAAGACCAAAAGCTTCGCAGCACGGAGTCGGACGCTGAGGGTGAAGGAAGCAAGGGTAGTGTAGTACATGTTAAGCCGATAATGGCTCTGGATGTCATTGCTCCGCCTCCCGAGTACGATCCACCATTCAGAGACAGAATCTTGGGGAATTCGAGGCGAAGGGTTGGTGACGTTTTCAATTTTACCAAATTTGGCGTCAATGTTACCACCATCGTTCCTGGTAAAATGTCTTCCCTAAGACACTATCATACAGAAGAGGACGAATTCGTTTATGTTGTAGCAGGGCATCCTACGCTGGTAACCGACGATGGCGAGTCGGAGCTAAGTCCTTCCATGTGCGTCGGCTTCAAGGCTGGTTCACCCAATGCTCATCACATCCTGAACAAAACAAATGAGCCAGTGCTAATTATTGAAATCGGAGACCGTCCAAAAAATGACAAGGTTTACTATCCCTATGACGACGTTCAGTAAGTTCTAGGACCAGGAGGTAAAATTCATTGTGCCCCCGAAAATGGAACTAAAAACTAGCTTCAACTAATAAATAACATTTATGCCAGGCTCGGTTTTCTTGGTATTTTTTCCGTTTCATGATCTTTCAGTACAAAATCATGTCGGTTTTGTTAGACTTCTGTAGCCCACGTAGCAAGGCTTCGTTGGTCAACTTATAGAACAGTTTTGAAATTGTATTACCTCGTTGCAGTTGACGAAAAGGTTTCTACAGGGCAATATAGACGCCCAGCTGAAAATCACATAGGCAAAAGCTAATGAAGCTAATAAAATAAACTCAGGAAAGCTTTCCCATGAGCGGCAAATCACTTGAAACAATGGCTTATTATGTAATAATCTACCTGTAAATGTAATAGAATAGCACAAAAACGTTGAATACGTCTGAATGAATTCTTAACGGTAGGACTTTTGGAATCTAGCACGAGCACCCTTACCACCGAATTTCTTTGGCTCTGGTCTTCTGGCATCAGCAATCAACAAAGTTCTGTCGTAAGAGGTGAAGATCTTCTTCAATTCGTTCTTGGATTGTTCGTCAACGAATTTTTGGTGGTAAGCTACCAATCCCTTAGCAATGGCTTGTCTGATGGCGTACACTTGAGAAACGTGACCACCACCGGTGACTCTGACTCTGATGTCGATGTTGGCGAACTTATCCAAACCGACCAACAAAAGTGGCTCGTAAACCTTGAATCTCAAGATTTCCGGCTCCACCAAGGTGATTGGGGAACCGTTGACCTTGATCAAACCCTTACCGGCCTTAACGTGTGCGACGGCAGTGGCAGACTTCTTCTTACCGAAAGTCTAGAAATAAGTTAGTATTCGAATATCTCACGGGTGCAAGTCAATGCGTGAAGAAGAATAATAAATGAATGATCTCGTGCAGTGGAACAACCCCAATTGCCGTTACAGCTTTTTCTTGAGGTCCATCGCTCTCCTCGTTGGCCATTCACATCCATCTGGCATCATGGCTAGCTTTGCAGAGGTTTCTTAGCAGTACTTTCTGACATTCTACGAACCCAGGAACTGTGGAGACGCTAATGGTACTATCATGCTCAAGTCACGCTCTTGCCGTTCCGCGAACGGCACTCGAGGCTCTCAATCCCAACCGACTCTCATTCAATCAACACCTAACACACTACTAATCAAACCATCTGTAACATACTTGAACACTTGGGACAGTAGACATCTTGTGCTTTGCTATGGTATGATTCCCTCTATTAAGCTCCGATTCCAGAAACTCTTTTCTTAATTAGCGATGGTGAAAGTTTTTCCAACTTTCCTTTCTGACATACCGTTCGAAGTGCTCTGCTTTACTTCTCTCGATATAACCTGCCCAGCTCATCGGAGCTTTGCGAGTGGGTCTCCGGCTGCTGAGCCCCTGTCCTGTTAGGCTCAGGCGGTGGTAGGATGCCGTGTCCCCCGCTGGCGGAAACTACCAGACGTGGAACAGGCGGGTGCCAGCCTGCCATGCCGCCTGGCCCCGTCTAGCCTGGGCAGAGCTTCTCCGCTCATACGCTCGTTGATGAGGGTATCAGCAGGCTTATTATGATCCCCTTCGAAATCTAACATGGCGGCAGACAAGATGTAAGGATGTTAATTATTTTTTATTCAACATTAATGTCTGGGTTTCTTGACTGTTCAAAATGTTGGACTGTGTCATCCGTACATCAGTAAATATAAGTTTGAGCTAGAACACCCGAACATTCTGTACATTTTGATTCACAAATGTTTGTTAAAGAGTTGAGTCACCTTATTTGATGAATACTTTGCGTGGGTAGCAGTGTCGGCTATCGCCCAACGAGCTACCGGCTGCACAATGGTTCTATGCTGCCGGTGGGCTCCATGCTAGCAGCCTACCCCCACCAGCCTGGTGGGAACTCAGCCTACTGTCTGGACCTGGTTGGGCAGGTCGCAAGGCGGCTCTGGAGGACCGGCCTCCCCTAGCTCGATGTCCTCCTCAGGGCTGGCGGAGGAGCGAATTCCTGCAGCTCAGAACGTAGCGCAGGGTGTCTTGACTTTCTCGTATCTTGAGATCTTGGTGTTTGGAAAATTTTCCCAATTACAGAATTCAAATTATCAGCTCCTAAGATACAGTTCTACTGATTTAGAGGTACAGCAGGAATCAAGTAACAATGGGTATGTGGACCGTGTGGGACATTTGAATTGCATTAGCAGGCGTGAATAGACCGATTGTGTTTTGGCAGGATGTGTTTAGAAGCTGAAAACGGATCAAGTTGAAGTACATGGCATGAGCCCAGTCTCATCAATATTACGCCAGTAAGTGCAGAACTCCTCGATAAAATGAGTTGTTATTATCCGGATTTTGGACGAGCTCTAGGTGGTTTGTTTTACTCGAAAGTAATCGCGATGAGGGTGGTTCGAAGCGACTACTATAAACACATTCGGTATTTGAATTTCGAACTTGCATGCACGTTCTGTTGAACCAACGCTTTTACTAACTATGAATCAGCCATTGCTAAGAACCTTCCTATCTTGAAGAATCACTTCAGAAAGCACTGGCAAGAACGTGTCAGAGTTCACTTCGACCAAGCCGGTAAGAAGGTCTCTAGACGTCATGCCAGAGCTGCCAAGGCCGCCAAGATTGCTCCAAGACCATTGGACTTGTTGAGACCAGTTGTCAGAGCACCAACTGTCAAATACAACAGAAAGGTCAGAGCCGGTAGAGGTTTTACCCTAGCTGAGGTTAAGGCTGCCGGTTTGACCCCAGCTTACGCCAGAACCATCGGTATTGCTGTTGACCACAGACGTCAAAACAGAAACCAAGAAATGTTCGACACTAACGTTCAAAGATTGAAGGAATACCTATCTAAGATCATCGTTTTCCCAAGATCTGGTAAGGCCCCAGAAGCTGAGCAAGTCTTGTCCACTGCTGCTGCCTTCCCAATTGCTCAACCATCTACCGAAGTTGAGGTCAAGGCCGTTGAGGACAATGGTGAATCTGCTTTCAGAACTTTGAGATTGGCTAGATCTGAGAAGAAGTACAAGGGCATCAGAGAAAAGAGAGCCAGAGAAAAGGCCGAGGCTGAAGCTGATAAGAAGAAATAAGCGCATTGACTCTCAAACATAGTCGTCCGCATTCACGTTCTCTTTATGTAAATTGTATAGTTGGAAGCCATTTACTAATTTAAATCCCATTTCGAGTTTCTCAACAGGAGTACAGCGTTTACACCAGTGGCATCGACTTTCGGAAATTATCCGAGACCATGATACTTTCCCGGACAAGGTCCTGACAATCCAGCACTATTAGGAAACTAAAATATGGCCAATTAAAATGTACATAAGTAAAATATTATTCAATTTACATGTTATGCATTCTAATCAAACAATCCGAAACCCATGTCGTCGTCGGATTCCTCCTTGGCTTCCTCTTCCTTCTCTTCTTCAGCGGCCTCCTCACCAGCGGCACCAGTAGCAGCAGCACCAGCAGCTGGAGCAGCAGCGGAACCAGCTTGGAAGTTAACCAACAAGCTCTTCAAGTCTTGAGCATCCAAAGCTCTGGCGAAAATGTCAGCCCAGATGCCTTCGATTGGAACGTTGGCAGCCTCCGTCAAGGCCAACAACTTCTCAGAAGAGATTTCGATCTCAGCGTCGGCCAAGATCAAAGCAGCGTAAGACAAAGCAGTTTCAGTGGACATTTCTTCCTTCTTGACGGTCTAGAATAGAGATAATCAGATTAAGCTTGTAAAAAGCAGACTATTTCTTTGATTTCTGGTGAAAGAGAAGATAGAGCCTAAAGGTAGTGCGATGGATTGAAAAATTTTTTTCACTTGCCCAGGTGCGTGGTTGGAGAAAACGTGAGATACGTCAATAGTGATTCACTTCACACTGGCATGAGAGGGTCCCCCGACTTTTGGCCATGGTCAATCGGTCTCTTCGGTGGATTGTTTCTTCTAGTTTTAAGCATTTATTCATTCACAATCGTTAATTTGCTAGGGTTCTATCGATGATTTGAGTTTCGGGACCTCTTTGAGTCTTTTTGTTCTGCCAAACTTAGCCTAATGGCATGGTCGATCATCTGTTGTTCGAGATCTCGTGGCGATAGCGAGGTGGGGGTGAACTCCGAGCGTGGTACTGATGTGCTAGTATGAGTGGAAACGTTCTGATGGCTAGGGTCAACTAACTGATTGCTGACGTGAATTGCTGTCGCATTGGCAGACCTTCTTGCTAGACGCATGCGTTCTTTGTTCAATTCAATCTGCCAATCCGGTCTAATTGTATCTGATTTCACCACAGTTGGATCGTCAGCGGGTACCGAACCGCGTCGTCCGATACTGTTTGTATCTTTGAAAAGCTCAGAGCGACTAGGAACCGACAATACAAACGTGCCCGGTAAGGGCGCTAGCACTCCTACTCTTCTCTCTTCTGGAGCATCGTACGTAACACCGAAGTCCGGTGTCGCACAGTAAGGACAGCTGGCAGGCTCCGAGACCAAAAGGTTAGGGTCCTTTTCCTCATCCTGAACGTCCGTATCTTCTTCGTCGTGTGGGAAATGCGGAGGGGCTCTTTTGATTTGAACGAAACACTGCGAGCAAATCGGCTGGAGACAGCAGCGCGACTTGTTCATCGGTTCTGGGAAATACAAGAAACAGATGGGACATTCGGTGCCGTGGGTGTAAAGCGCAACTTTCAGGTCGTCGCTCATCAGAAGCCCAGCGGCTCGCGAGCCGCCACTTCGCGTCTCTAGTTTCTTGTCTAGGTATCGCTCGTTCTCCTTTTCTTGCCATGCGATCCGCTTCTTGTATAAACGGGCGTTGAAGATTTTGAGCCGGTGTTTGCGCTGTTCGCGACGTGAAAGCGTTTTATCTATCAAGGAGTCAAAATCGTCGTCCGCAAGACTTCCCGTCGCTACTCCATCGTACTCATCGGTGTCTTCCTCGAAAGGTGCATGTAGCGGTAGTGCGTCCACCACCTTCACAACTTCCTTTCTTGTCCATTCTGGGTCAAAGTCGTCCAGCGGCAGATAGAAAGGTGCAAGTTTCCGGTCCACTATAAGACCTTTCACGACTCTTGCGTCGTAATCGAGTTTATCAAGCCCGAAACAACCAAACGGTGCTAAAAACCCACCGTCAACACATTCGTCAAATTTAACTACTAGTTCCTTCGCATGTTTCTCCTTCAGTCGTTCTTTCTCCTTCGTCGATTTCCGCTTATAGGGATTACTGGAATGCCCATGCATTAAAGAATCTGACCTCGTTCGGCCATTTAAAATCGTTCCTACGAGTGAAGAAGCTCTCTGTGCTCTACCAGTCACGACACTGGCGCTGTTGCGCCGTGTAGTGTCCGACGTGCTGTAAGATCGGCCCGACCGAATTGCATTCTCTTCGTCTAATTTCCCAGGAACATTACCCATTTTTTAGAGTACCTTATATCTGACTGCCCAAGCGATTGAAGCCAAACTAATCCCAGTTCCCGCTGACTTTCGGCAAGGCTTCGCAAGTTGAGTAACTTGCGAATCAAATATTCCTATAACTAAATATCCCTATATGTCAGATGGAATTTCATCTTAAACCCCTATCGCGCCATATCATTATTGACGTATTTCTTGGAAATAGCGCGCTAGATCAACAAGTCCGGCTATATAAGCTATACGACAATGTAATACGAAGATCACAGCCCAAATATGCCAAATGAGCGTATTGAGATAATTTCAAGAATTCTGGAAGTTGTTATAGATGATTTTATTAGCGGTAAAATCTGTTTCAGCCGCTGTAAAAATTCATTGTGGGGACGAATTCAACGAGAATTTCTTAGCCATTGGTTCATTCAAAATCAAAGATTAATAGCAGATATTTAAAACGATATATCTTGTAGATGGATGTATATAATGAGGGCGCACACAAAGTCCTGCTTCACCAATTGCCCTCGGCCTTCAATTGTTCGGTTATATCTTCGACGGATTTGACCACTCTCTTGACAATTTCGTTTACGTCGTCTTCCGTCACAATGAAAGAGGGAGCCAACAAAGCGATGTCACCGCTTATGCCATCGGCGTTTCCTTGCATGCCCATGACGTTCAATCCGTTCTCAAAGCAAACGTCCTGGAAACGGTGACCGACATCAAGTTTTGCTGGGAACACTTCCTTGGTAGTCCTGTCCTTGACAAACTCCAAAGACCAGAAACCACCGATACCTCTGACATCACCGACAATGTTGTCCTTGTCCAGTAGTGCGTCTTGTAGTTTAGAACCCATTAGGTTACCCATCTTGAAAATATTGGCAGTGAGACCTTGAGCCTGGATCTTCTTCTGGACGTCAAGTGCCACAGAACAGTTGAAACCGTGAGAAGCGTAGGTGTGGGAACCGAAAACAGCGTTAGAACCTTTGATGTAGGCATCACGGATCTTTGGACCAACCAAGACACCCGCAATAGTGACGAAACCCGAACCAAGGGTCTTTCCCACAGACTGAATGTCTGGAGCATCTTCTGGCTCTAGGAAATTTTCCCAGCAGTTTAACTTCCCGTTAGGGTTACATCTGCCAGTACCACACATGACTTCGTCCAGCATGAAGACAACGTCGTACTTGTTGCAGAGCGCACGGATACCGGGCAAGTAGCCCTTTGGCGATGGGCAAGTACCCAAAGAAGAGCCAGGCAAAGTCTCGACAATAACGCAGGACACAGTCTTTGGGTCGTTGTCTAGAATGATCTTTTCAAGGTTGTCTAGCAGACGCTTCACGTACTGTTCCTCGGATTCACCTTTCTTCTGGAATCTGTATGGGTAGCAAGGCTCCATGGTCAAACACGTTTTCTCCTGGTCAATCAAGATGTCCTTGAAAGCGCTCGCTCTGGCACAGTTGGAGATGGAAAGAGCGCCGAGCGTGAAACCGTGGTACGATAGGTCTCTCGAGATGATCTTATACTTCTCTGGGCAGCCTCTTTCGACTTGGTATTGTCTGATTATCTTCATGGCATTCTCGTTACTCTCAGAGCCCGAGCAGCACCATAGGGCCGCAGCAAAAGCGCCCTTTGGACTGTTGTCGATGTAGAATTTAGCCAAATCTTCGGACGCTGGGTTACCAATCAACGATGGGAAAGTGTAAGTGTGGTTCTTTGCAGCCTTTTCGAGCCAAGCAGGCAAGTCTTCGTCGCCCCAGCCTAGAGCGCCGACCGCAGCACCGGTCACACCGTCGAGAACATCGTCGTAGATCTTACCGTTTTTCTCGATCTTCATGCGAACGCCCTGGCCGTCCAAAACATGAGGAGGCTTCTTGTTGATGGTACCTTGGAACACGTACGATTCTGTGGCAGGCTGAACAGTGTCAGTGGTCATTTTTTAGGTATTTGTATGAGGAGTCTTCACAGAAATTTGATGAGCTGTTCAATGATATGCTCAAAGAACTGTTCGCTAAACTGTTATGTGATGGAGATTACTAGAGTGATTGTTGGGCATAATCCCAATACCCTGCTCCTTATATACGTTTCCACTTGATGTGGGAACAGAGCCCCGAATCCCACTTTGCAGACCCTCCTGATGAGTATGTGCTATCATGGCAACCCATTAGGGCATCCCATGCGGCCTATCATTTACATAAATTAAACGCTCTTTGCCGAAACGCCGCTTTCACGACGCTGCAGCTATTTACAGTGTTCCACAATGGTTTACAATTCCGATGTCGACAAGTGGATTCGGATCCCCGAGGTCTCTTTCGCCTTATCGTCTTTGATAAAAGCCCATATCCAAGTCTTGCAACACGAAACCCGGATGCTATCGCTGGGGTGCCATGCGATAAGCGAAATGAAACGAGAGCAGTCATCGGCTAGAGATACCGGATTGGGAAAATCGTGGCCTACGAATCTCAAGCGAACTTAAGGAATGGAATAGCCGAACGAACGATAAGAAGCAGCGTAGGAATTGGGCCACATATTCGGTTTCGAATTCCTGGTGGTGCCGCCAAGTGTTGACTCCGCTTGATTTCGATTGCCGGCTGACTTTTTTTTGGTTAGACCTTTTTTGGGGGAGGGTTGAGTCGATTGCGAATGTGCGACTGTGGAATTCAGTTGATAGCCCTTATTCCAAGTCTTTGCGGAAATACTATCAATAGCTTGGTAACACGCGCCAGGTGGCAGTAGTGAAAAGATAATAGTATTCTTGCACGTGATCGATATGTCAAATATGTATGGGTTTGTCCTTAGCAAATGGCAACTTGTACAATGGCGCAAACATTATCAAAGCTGTAAGTTAAACAGTGACTCGGAGCTTACCCGAGACTTTGGGGCCGCTCTGGGTGTTTCTTGTAGTTTATGTCTTTAAGTTGGATTCCGAACCTTTGCCACGTCGTCGTGGTTATGAGGTCTGACGCTCGGTTCAGATTGCCAAAGAGACACGGGAAACAAGCGTACAGTCATGAACTGTCTCAGCAGTGAGGCCGGGACGAGAATTGAGGCTGTTAGAGGAAATCTATTGATTGTATCACGTGACCTCCGTGACACAATTGAACAAGCATTGATATAACCAGCCTTGTACAGGGGATATCACCAAAGTGATCATGGAGATATAAATAAACGCTCATCAGTATATTCTACTACCAGGCCTATTCATGTATGAATTAAGTGATCAGTATGGAGTTCAAGTCACTACCGACGCAGGCAATCTTGAACAGAAGTTGCCATGAGAGCAATTTCCTTAGTCTTCATTCAGCAGCACTGGAACTTCTCAGTAATTAAGAGTCTGGAAAAATCTGAAGAAATCTCCTGCTCAAAATTTGTGTCACACTCAACTGTTGGCCGTGTTTTCTTCTTCCCACATATTACGAGAAAAATATTAAATAGGTGAGCAGGCCACATTTAAAGAGCCTTAAAGACGTTTAAATGCAATGATAAGTTTGACTCCACGAGTCTCACGGCCTATTCATCTCGGCCATACGTTACAGTGGTCTTACTGAGTGGTCTTGGCAAAACCTGGTTTTTCGCTCGTTCTAAATAACTCGGTTGTAGTGATCATGAAAAAAAAGCCTCTCCCTTCAAAATGAAGTCATCTCACTAATCACAAACTTTAGCTATTGAAAGCTACTGATAGCTACTGATAGCTACTGATTCAGCATTATAGTGGGTGTTTGCAGCAAACGCAGTACGATGGCGGACAAAATTCTCAGCAAGAATGACAACAAACTTGCTTCTTTGACTCTGGATCGCAATATACCTACTCCGAAGGAAATTCCGCAAGAACACTCGTATCTCAGGAGGGTAGGAAGACCATTGCGGCACGTTAAGTACATTCCTACCAAATCGCTGATCTTCTATTCTGTGAACAAGCCACCTCAGTTCTCTTATGAAAAAAAGATCAAAACTCCCATTGCGAAAGATCGACTAGTTGTTCAAGTAACCAATGTGGGGCTCAACCCGGTGGATTTGACCATCATGAACAGTTACACGAAACACATGAACCGCGAAATTGGTATCGGTAGAGAATATAGTGGTGTTGTGAGTGAAGTTGGATCAAATATCTCGCAACAATGGCGTCAGGGCGACGAAGTGTACGGGATTTTTTTCCATCCAAATCTAGGCGATGGTGCTGCGCAAAGCTCCATTCTGGTCAATCCTTCTCAAGACGTGATCATCCCCAAGCCTGCGAATTTAACGTTCCAGCAGGCCTCAGGAACCCTTTTCACACTGGGCGCGGCTTTCAATGTTCTTGACAAGCTTGAGTCCAAGGGACAGCTTAACGAAAGCTCAAATATCCTGATCAATGGAGGAACCACGAGCGTTGGAATGTTTGCCATTCAGCTTCTCAAGTACCATTACCGCGTCCCCAAAAAACTAGTCGTCACGGCGTCGGAATTTGGTGCTACTCTGCTGAAATCGCATTTTCCTGACCTCTGCGACGAGATGGTTTTCGTCAACTATGTCACCAACGCGCGTCATTTGGCCAAACCTTTAGAGGATATGATCAATAACAGGGAAGTGATAAGCTACGACGCTCAGACCGGACAGCCAATCTCTACTCCCTATGATCAAGGAAAATTCAACCTGATACTCGACTTTGTCGGGGGCTATCAATTGATCAATCACTCAGCTACTCTGCTGGCCAAGAATGGAGCGTATGTCACAACCGTCGGTGATTACGTTCACGACTACAAAAAGGACATTTTCAACGCTTGGAACAATCCAAGCGCCAATGCCAGAAAAATGTTTGGCAGGCTGTTGTGGACTTTTGATTATTCACATTTCTATTTTGACCCAAACGCAAAGTATGCATCGGGTAACGACTGGGTAAATAAGTGCGCCGAGCTTGTGGAAAATGAGGTAGTCAAATGCGTCATAGACAAAGTTTACGATTGGAAGCAGTTTAGCGATGCATTGGCATACCTCCGTGCTGGCCACGCGCATGGAAAAGTCATTCTCAAAGTTGAGAAGTTTTAATAATGCCACACCTGCTACAATTTCGGGTTTTCTAATTTATGTGATTTGGCTTTTACATTCGATATCGTTTAATATGTATTTTCTTTGATCTAGAAGCACACACTCCTTTGAGACTAACGCCTTATTTCATCACAATCCCCGCAATAAAGAAAGCCAGAGCTAAAGTAATGTAAAGCCACGACAGGCCCGCGTCGTTCTTGACTTTCCTGGAGGCAGGTTTCCCTTGCACTTTTCTGAGTCTCTCGAGTTCTTCGGCTCTTATTCTATCTTCTGGATCTGTTATCTCATCAAGTTTCACGACTTCTTCCTTCGCGGCTTCTTCCAACACGTTTCTATTACTAGAATCAGGCTCTCTGCTTCCATTTTTCTTCATTTCCTCAATGTCTTTCAGATTTTGCTGAACCAGCTCCGGGAAAACTTTTCTAAATCTCAGGTTCCGTAGCGCGTTGAATTCCTTCGAGCAACTCGCCATTCTCCTCCTGTGTTCAGGTGTCGTAATGATAGCACCTGTTGTACTCTCGTTACTGGTCATGAAACTCAATAATCCCGTCAAAATGGTCGCGACGGACCACGACGGATTCCACGTGTCCGGATGGTAATCACTCATGGAGAGACAGAGTCTAGTATCTTCTTTAAAACGCCCGTTGGGTGTCACCATTCTTATGGCAGGAGGTTTAAATGGGTAGTCAGATGGAAAAACAAGCGTTCCATGGTATTGGCCCTCTGCATACGGCGTGTCTGGTGGACCTGTTATAACGTAGTGCCATTCCAGAATATTTTCCTCATTGGGTTGGGCTATAATGAAAGGCGGTGGGTTTTCCGTCATAGCCTTAAACTCCTTGACGAGCCTCTTCTGCGCTTGTTTGGTAGCCATCTTCTGCTTCACCAAGCCCCACTTATAAGTCCGGTCCCAGTTCACTTGGAGGTTTGATTTTAGAGGGAGTTGATCAATAAAACTATGAAAGCATTTAGTGAGACGAGCGCTAATAACACGTGATAATCACGTGTTTTATCCTTCGTGTAACATGATTCTCTTTTCCTTTTGATCAACCGAAAAGAATCAACAGCACGTTCCATCAACATTCAGGGTTGATTTGCCAAGCTCAATCCTTTCATGACAGGCCGCCTGGTTTTTTCGATCTTTTTTTGCTGTCAAATCTGTCGAGATAGTTTTGCCAACTTCATTCCCGAAATGAAAACTGACGCAGCACCACTTATCGATTCGGTATGAACATTCGGCGTAAGCGTTCGACTTACAATTTTCTCGAATCTCTGATTTTTGTTAATTGACGTCAGGAAATTAATTTTTGGTATGAGTAATATGATCATGAACAGAGGTTATGCAATTATCAAAATTCAAGAGTACCAGAATTGTTATTTGAGATGCAACGATTTATAGAAAAGTGTTGGGCAAATTTCTCAATTATGGCCACGATTTGGCGATCACAGCTGTCTTAATTTTGATTGTTTGGTTAATTCTCGAATTTAAAAGGTGTTTCAAAGCCGTTTTTCCAGGTTAAAAATCGAGAAAACCAGTAAGTTAAAATAAGAGTGAATTGTTTACGGTTCAAATGATTATAGGGATGTCTGAAAATACTAGGCTCCTCTTTAAATGATTGTATAGTGCTTGTCTGTTTTATGGTTATATTAGATATATCATGATGATTGATGAAAATTTGATGACCTTGAAAATAGCACCAGATAAGAAACTAAAAGCATAGCATAAACCATTTTTCAGGCGACGATATGTCCGCCAACAGTATCAAATTACTTGCAGGAAACTCGCATCCTGATCTTGCGGAGAAAATCTCGAAGGTTTTGGGAGTTTCTCTGTCAAAAGTCGGAGTTTATCAGTATTCGAACAAAGAAACTTCGGTGACCATTGGCGAAAGTATTCGTGATGAAGACGTTTACATTATTCAAACGGGTACGGGACAGCAAGAAATCAACGATTTTTTGATGGAATTATTGATTATGATTCATGCCTGTCGTACTGCGTCTGCCAGGAGAATCACTGCTGTTATTCCAAATTTCCCATACGCGAGACAGGACAAAAAAGACAAAAGCCGGGCACCCATCACCGCGAAACTGATTGCCAATCTTTTGGAAACGGCTGGATGTGACCATGTTATTACCATGGACTTGCATGCTTCTCAAATTCAAGGTTTCTTCCACATTCCAGTGGACAATCTTTACGCTGAGCCAAGTGTCCTCAATTACATCAAGACCCACACAGACGTCCACAACGCGATTCTTGTGTCTCCAGATGCCGGTGGAGCGAAAAGAGTCGCCTCAATCGCGGACAAACTTGACCTGAATTTCGCTTTAATTCACAAAGAGAGACAGAAGGCCAACGAAGTTTCTCGAATGGTTCTTGTGGGTGACGTGAGAGGCAAGTCCTGTTTGCTGGTCGATGACATGGCAGACACCTGCGGAACGTTGGCTAAGGCTTCCGAGGTTCTTGTTGACAATGGTGCTAAAGAGGTTATTGCGGTAGTCACACACGGGATCTTTTCAGGCTCGGCCAAAGAAAAATTACGCGCTAGCAAACTGTCCAGAATAGTGTGCACTAATACCGTTCCCGTGGATTTGGATCTTCACATTTTGGATCAAATTGACATCAGCCCAACTCTGGCCGAAGCCATCAGGAGATTGCATAATGGTGAAAGTGTCTCTTACTTGTTTACTCATGCCCCTGTGTAATAATAATGATTGAAGATATTGTTCAATAATAAAACACGTTACGTATTCAAGGTAGTTCTGGAACTAATTTCTATCAAAAGAATGGCCCAAACAAAGCATTCAGTCTTTGGTTGACCGTTTGAAACTGAATATCCTCGAAATTTTCTTGTTTGACCCAGAAGAACTTTTAGCATTCTCACTGCCATCGCAAAGTGGAGCTTTGGAGGTGATTGCACTTTCAGAAGCTCGATTCATCGGGAAAATCGACCGAAGTGCTTCATCAGCTTTTACTAACTCTTCGGCATTTCGGCTGAGCTCCGGATGTTCACTCTGTCTAAGTGTCGAACTCATCTCGCAACCTGTGTCTCTGTAAAAGAGCAGATAGGCTGTTGTAAGATCGTCAGAATCACCAATAAATTTTAATACGGTTTTCTCATCAACTGTCTCTACCGTTTCATCGTCGTATAAGAGCCACCCAAATTTAGGACTCTTACATAGAGAAACATAGTGACCGTGATGTGGGCCACCTCCCATATGAACCAACACACCAACAAGCTCATAGCGTTTGCATATTGAAGAGTTTGACATCGAGCAAACCTTCAAATAAAGCGGATACCTTATCTTGTTGAAAAGTTTAACATTGCAGTTTTGTTTCTCAGAATATTTGAACCTCTTCAAATGCACAGCCAAATAGTAAGGCAATTTCCTTATCCCAACCACCCTCTCTGCCTCCTGGAGACTACAACACACGTCGCAGTAAAACTTATTTGAACCATTTAACATCTCCTTTTGACGGAAGTCGGATAGCACCTCTTGAATATCAGTTTCTGAATGCTCTTGAACTTCGATGGGGAAGTCTAAGAAGGGCTCATTTCTGTACGTGAAATTATCACAAGTCAAACACTGGGTTCGGTTGGTCAAAGTGCCTTTAAACAACTTGTCTATGATGGTCTCATCACTAATTTGTTTATCTTTCGGTAGGGCAGGAGCGCCAAGCCCACGTTGCAGAAATTCACTCAAGTCATTGAGTAAAAAATTGAGAAACTCGTGAGCATCCTGATGCATCATTGTGTTGAAGAGAATATTTTCCTTCTTCAATGTTTCGACAAATTGAATTGGTGATACGACACCTGTGAATGCTCTGTTTTCCGCTATGCACTCAAAAAGATCTTTCAAACATGAGTACATCGAGGGTTTAGACCCTTTAGGGAGATAATCGATAAGTGGGTGATCGACGTTAAGAATGGGACCCCGAATCAACGCAGCCTCTTTACGTTTCTCGCTTGAAGGCTCATTAGGTTTGTCTTTTTCCTCGGGCGCCGAATTCACCGAGCCAGTCGTGTATTCCGAGCGGTTCGCAGCCTCCGAGGAAGGCGTTGTCTGTTGCTGAGTACTGCTCTGGCGGGGCACTCTTCCAACTACAATACGCGTGTACCCCTCGTGCAGTTTCTCCGTTATTGCGTCTGCCGCCATCACCGTGGCGTGAATCGGTTGTGGTCTCTTCGCTGACTGGCCAGCAGTTGCAAATCCGCCACTGTGCTGAGCGTGGGAATGCGATTTTCTATGTTCTTTCTCTTTCAAGGTATTGGAGGAGGTTTTCTTGGTATCGCTGGAGCTCGAGTCCGCGTCTGCATGTCCGCTGTCGTTAGTTTTGCCATTTTTGCTCCCAGTTCCGGATCCACTGGTACCGTTGGCATTATTATTATTAGCATTACTACCGCTCGAACCATTTGAACTCGCGAAACTGCTTTCGTCGAAAACTCTCGCCTTCAGGCCAAGCATTTCGAATTTCCGTCTTCTTCGTACGCCCGAAGGGCGCTCCGGTTGCTCCAAAATGTTTACGCGTAGCTCAGGCAAATGGTATAGACATTGTAACACGGAATTGCAATAGCATGTGTTACCAAAGTTTTCGTAGCCAAACACTTTATTAGAGCCATCTCCAAAGGGCATTAGGTCCGTCATTACTGGTCGGATGTCCGGGAACGTCTCGTACAATTCTTCCCACGAATGCAAACTCGAGCTTAAATCCGTCACATCATCAGCAGGTACTTCTTCATGTATCGTAGCCGGCATTCCTTGTCTTTTTTTCTGCAAAAGCTGCTGCTGCGCAGTCGAATCGGAACCTGATTCTTGGGTCCCATGCAAAAGTACTTCTTTAGCCGCTTCAAATTTTGATTCGACAGAAGAGATTGCCGCATTTGCACTACTTATCTTGAAAGAATCATGTGTATGGCCATCGGTATGATCTCCACCCACCCCATTAGGAGTGCCACCGCCTTTCGAGACTTCGCGATCATTCTTTTTCCTCTCTGGTTTTTCGCTCCGAGAAAGCCATTTTTTGATGGACATTGACCACTGACAACTAATTTGAAGCCACTATCAGCTCCTACTCGATGGATATCCAGCAACGATCCCTATAAGACTTCCTGCTGCTAACTGATTCTTACTTTATTATTACACCACTTACCTATCTTTTACTCCACTAAAATTGTCGCGGTTTGGGTCTTTCTTTACGGACTTTCGTTGGTTACGTAAACAATCGTCAAAATGTTCGCACCATGTACGGACTCTCGACGAATACAATGTCGGTGTTAAAAGCAAGCCTTCATGAATCTCTAGTGAGCTTCACCCAACTGATAGGGCCATTCGTTGGTCTGATTTGGTTTTGTCCTTGCCTTATTGGATCTCTAAGGAACTAGGTTGTTTAAGCTTCTTTTAGATAAAAAAAAATGCCATTTCCTAGAATCGAACCAGGGTTTCATCGGCCACAACGATGTGTACTAACCACTATACTAAAATGGCGGAGATACAATAGTCCCCTGCCTTTAGCCATAATGTCCTTTGGAAAAAAACAGGTTATTGACTTCGAAAACGGTCAATAGGCAGACTTCAGGAAGGTATTACAAGTCCTGTACAGGGATTCAGGACTTGTAAGTAATAGCCCGAGTTTAGTATGTTAATGCATTGAATATTTAAACGTTTAAATAATTCCTGGGTAAAATTCGTTAAAATTCAGGCGCCATGTTAGTATCAAACCAGCCCAAAAAGTCGTCATTAGTCGAGCTTCCCTCAAACCAGCCGGCACTCTGCTGCTGAAAAAAATTATCGAGATCGGAGAGTTGTGGCTGAACCTGTTGGGATTGACCAGGCGCTGCGCTGGATATTAGACTGGAAGCCTGGCCGGTATCATTGGCTAGCAAGAGCGCGAAATTCGAGTATGAGTTCTGAGCAGACAGACTAGCGCTCGCAGCGGTCGTGACTGGAGGCATGCCCATGTCCGAGGAGAGCGTTCGATTCAGTGACACGTTCGCGGCCACAGTGTTGTTCATAGCAAACAATGAGTTGGGATTGCCTGTTGTAACGGACGACGAACTATTAGCTTGGCGGCGACCGCTGCCCGAGGTTTCGGCCATGGAAGCACTAGCAGAGCGCTGCATTGACTGCGAGAGCACTGTGGGCGAAGCCACAGCGACATTCTTGGCAGCGGAGGAACTCCTCAAGACGTCGCCCGGAAAAGTAAGCGCAGGTATGCTTCCGGCTTCAACCAACTCACGCTCACCAAATTTTTCTGCTCTCATGCTACCTGTTTCGTCTAGCACCGAGATCGGAATACCATTGATATATTTGACCGGGCCCGGTATCTGACCCTGTTTCTTTGCTTGTTTTTTGGCTTGTTTCAAAGCATTTTTAGTCGGGACCAAAGTCGTAACGGTTGTACCTCCGGGTGTCGTTTTGGTGACCGTCTCGAAATCTTCTTTTGAAATTTGGTTGTAAAATGGGAGTGGGTAAACTTTCTGCTCGCCCACAGAAATGTCGTCCCCGCGAGCCTCACTCTTTTCCTTGATTCGTTTGATAGCTTCTTCGTTATAAGTAGGATCCATCTGTCTCCTCCGTGCCTCGTGAACGCACCACACAAGGTCGTAGAAAAGTGTACCAGTCAAGTGCGATCTCATTCTAGATATAATGCCTTCTTCCTCGAGGAAAATGTCTGGGAATGTTATCAGAACAAAGTTTAGTTTCTCAAGGACGCTGGCAGTCCTAGAAATATCGTTCTCGACACTTGCAGTCCAAGCGGTCAACTGATTCCTAAAGAGTCTGTGGACCGTGACTATGGACTGACGTGCAGAATCTAGATACTTGTTCAGCAGCAAAGGTGTGAGCTGCAGTTTGAATAGGATCAAAGCCGAATAGGTAACGCTTTGACGGATGTATATCGGCAATTCGATAAGGTTTTGCGCCTCAAGCGTTTGTGTGAAAAGTGTGATTATCCTAGTCGCACAAAGATACGCCTCCGTGACGTATTTCGTTTGGTCTTCAGCCGGGGTTTCGGGTAAAAAGGCGAAGCAACAAATCATCAGCTTCACATATAAATAATACATTTCAACGACGGGGTCATCTTTGAAATTGAGCTTGGTATCCAACCTTTCCAGCTCTCTTTCTAAAATTGCCAGAGCCCCGGCACGCTCGCGACCATCCATTAGGCCGTCGGGTGATACCACACTAGAACCCATCACACTGCAAAGCTTGGCTTGAAAATGCGCCAAACAAATTAGTTGCCTCAGCCGCCGAGGCACGGCCTCTTCATCCTCCTCAAGCCTTGCCCTTTCTATCAGATAATCAGTTTGTGAAGTGGGCGGTAAACCCAAAATGCTTGCCCAACACTGCTCAGCAAAAAAAATGCCTAACCAAGTTCTGGATCTCCACTTCTCTGCGTCGGGCATCGAAGTCTGAGTTCTTGAGAACTCAGACATAAAGCGACCTCTATGCAACCCCAGTTGGTAGGATAAGGATTTAGCGAGACCAACGAATCGATAAGAACAATCATCGAGCACTTTCTGGTTAGGAAGCGGCCAATTGCACAAAATCAGTAGTGCTTGCGAGATGTGAGTGGAACGCGGAGTTCTGATCCAGCATGTCTCTATGGCTAACTGTTTGATGAGACTTGCAAGCTTGTTGTATAATGTTGGTTCGGGTTCCGAGAGGCAAGCGGTCAGCATTACCGTCCAAAATAGAAATTGCGATTGTGAGTATAGTTCGGTTACCGAATTAGAATACATTATGGGGAAGTAGGGCAGGAATTTGGTGACGAAGACGCGATGCAGATCTCTAGCCTTGCTCACAGAGATTTGTACATCACCAATAACAAACTCGTCGATGTTCGCTTGCGGTGAGGGCAATGGTGGCATGGTGTTGGTCGTCATTCTCACCGGTTGCTTATCTTCTTTTGAAGACATCCCGGGGCTACTATTGGATGATTCATGCGGCGTCGCTTTGCTCGAGGAGTTACGTTCCAAAGCCAATTGTAGAATTGGCGGTAACGAATCCTTAGCATTGTTAGCTGGGGCAGAATCGTTCAGCAACGCGGGCAAGATCTGCTTGAGATCTGGCCTTCCGCCTGCGTTCGCCGGACTACCCTCGTGTGTAACTGACCGAGACCTTGACGAGTCCGGGCTATTCGCTGAGGAGCATTGATCCTGCAACAATTGGGGTTCACTTGCAAGATAAGTTTGAGCTGTTACCTTACTTTGCCTGGCCGGAGTCCTGCTTCCTGCGCCCTGACGTGGTCCCGCGATACGGCTTGAAAAATCTACGGCCTTGACCGCCGCGAGAAGCTGCTGGCCCGTCGAACTTTGTTGAAGAGCGCGTGCAATCAAACTCTCGCTGCGCGTCAAATACTCGATTTTGAGTTTTAATTCGTCAACGTCATTTCTCAGACTTTGTAGTTGGGAACCTTTCTTGGGCCTGAACTGCGGGTCAATTTCACAATGTAAGCCCATGCGTTCACATCGAGTACACGGCGCCGGGAAATTGTCGCTGGCGTTACATTTAATTTTGTGCTGCCTGCAATGTGTACACGAAGTCACAGGCCTGTGTCCTATCGCTCCTGTAGATCCGTTTGCTCCTGTGCTTCCATTTGTCGTTTTACCTGAATTGGATTTCGACATCGGAACACTTGAGGGCGACGCGAGAACACTACTCACACTGGCCAAATTCGACTCCTCATTTTTTACATGATTTTTCTTGCGTTTCTCTGTAATTTCGGCCCTTGCCGAACCCTCATCTGTACTTCCGGCCCGCTTTCGACCTGGTTTCATGAGCTCTGTCTTGTCCGCTAATTGTGGTAAATCGCTCATAACGCCATCTCAAGGGCTAGACTTAACCGATCTGAGAGCTGAGAAAACCACCTTTGCGTTAACGCTTTTCGACTCGAAGTTCACTTCAAAAAAGCGGTCTCCAAAGACCCTTCGTTGTCTCGATAATGCCTCTTCGATTCCTGGCTCGATGACTTGTTCTGCCAAGCGCTATAAAATTTTTCGGTATTTTGCCGCGCGTACCCAATGATCTCATCTAGCTTTCAGACCCCTGACCAGTGGTAAACCAACAAGAATAGTGAAGGGCAGGACAACCACATGCTTCCATTCACCTCCTTTTCTAGTCATTAACGCTTTTCAAACATAGCTCTCAACAGTTATAGCATATTTTACTTTATTTGAATATTTAAGCGCTTTGAAAAACCTCCCGGTTTTTAAGCCTTGGTGAAACGTAGATAGGGTTTAGCCGTCTTGAAATCGCCGAATTTTTTCTTTGCATCTGCGTCCGAGACCGTAGGTGGGATGATCACGTCCTGGCCCGGTTGCCAGTCGATTGGAGTCACGACACCCTTGGAATCGCCCTTTTGAAGTGCATCGATGACTCTGAGCACCTCAGCGGAGTTTCTGCCCACAGATGCAGGGTACGAGATCATGAGTCTGATTTTCTTCGCAGGGTCGACGATGAAGACACTTCTGATCGTATGCACGATGCCCTTGCTCAAATTCTTAAAACCTTCCTCGTCAACCATATCGTACAAGAACGCAACCTCTCTGTTGCTGTCGCCAATGACCGGGAACGAGAATTTGTCAAGGTTCGACAGCTCTTCGATGTCCTTGATCCACTTTTGGTGCTTGTCGACTCCCTCTGCAGAAAGACCGATCAATTTGACGTTACGCTGGTCGAATTCCGGTTTCAATTTGGCGAACGCACCCAATTCCGTCGTGCACACCGGCGTGAAATCAGCAGGGTGCGAAAACAACACACCCCATGAGTTTCCCAAGTATTCGTGGAAATCCAGTTTCCCCTGTGTGGTCTCGGCAGTGAAATTTGGAGCCAAGGCGTTGATTCTTAATCTAGGTTGTTCTTCCTGCTTAAATGTTCTGACGTATCTGACCGCTTTTGGGACTTGCGATTTGGCGACCATCGGTCTGCTAGTTTGAAAAAGAGAACGAGAAAACATTGCTGCTTAAAGTGTCTTGTGATGAATTGTATTTTGAGCTGGTGAAAGTCCTCTTCTTATAGGATAATCGCTGCTTCTGCTTATTAGCAAGGACTTCCTGGTGCTTCAATTAGGGGCCCTCTAATTTAAAGATTCCAGACTGTGGCTTCCTATTTATGCTCACGTGAATTTGTTACGTACGTGATTAAGTGTTAGTTTAGGACAAAGTGATAAAATAGGGTAGGCTTATAATTGGGAATGTTTCAAGGTTCACGCGTTTTGAAAAGAGTTGGATGGCCCCATGATAATCTTTGTCATATCACTTATCGGCACTTATGTTACCTAGGATTGCAGCAAAAACGTTGTTTATAGCTTTTTAGTTTGTGTCGTATCTTGTTTTACTTTCCTCCAGGTTTCAGTTAATGTTTTGTGGTTCTAGCTGAGCTTTCAGTTCTTTAGGAACTTCATTTGAATAAATAGAAAGTATATCTTCCCGTAATTAAAAAATTCAATTGAATGTTGCTAGATGCAGATGCACTTCCATAAAATCGTGTTGTGAAGGAGTTTTTACGTACGTTTCTCGGTATAAAGTTGATTTATGCGATCATTCGAAGTAAAACCATGCAGGACTCATAGCTGTGGGAATGATTTTTGCAAATTTCATAGAATTCGAATGCATCCGTTAGGGCCTGTTTCATTTGTCTATAAGAAGAGATTGTTTGCCCCGGCTCCTCCGCGCCTCACTCCCGGTTCACGTGCGGCTTTCAATGCAATATTCAGGCAGTCGAGTACCCAGGTTGACTGCCCGTCGTTTGTGGGTCGCGGCTCACATCACGACACAGTTTTTTTTTTGGACTCGCCTGAACTTTTCCGCGACGATAGTATCTTGCCGCGTTTTGTTTTACCCGCGGGAACGCTGGATGCCTCAAGGGTGAACTCCTTAGCACCATCGTTGCCTGAAGGCCCGGGCTCAGCTCCTGCCGTTGATAAATTTTCGTGGCCTGCGATGGGCTGTTCGAATCCACGATCGTGGCGTTCTGTCGCAGATATACGAAGATCCACAGCCGAGCCACTAGGTTTTTTGAATGTGCTATGTTCTGTGCTACCAGAGGTGTTCCGGAAGTCTTGAGTGGAGTTGCTTGCAAATAAGTTTAGCGTGGAAATACTTTTAGATTTCTTACTGTGCGACGGTTTGAACGGAGTTCCATTGCCGTTGGTCTGGAGCTTATTTATCGCCCTCGGATCCTTCTGATCTGCAGCTTTCTGATACCAATCCATGGCACTGTCCATATCCACTTCACAGCCTTTTCCCTTCTCATAAAAATAAGCCACCGCGAACTGAGCCTTGGCAAACCCCGCTGTTGCAGCCCGTAAGGCCCATTGAAAGGCTTCCTTTTCATCTTTGTCGAAAGAGGGCTCAGCACCAACGATGTACCACGCGCACAAACCCATCATGGCCTCGGGATCACCGCGAAGCGCAGCCTGCGTGTAGTAATGCACACTCAAACTTGTATCCTGAGGAACCACGTCATTGCCAGTCTCATACACTCTGCCTAGAATAGTCGAAGAGGGACTGTGACCCAAAGACGCCGCTTGATTGTATAGCTCCATAGCATATTTTTGATCTGGAATGATGATATCCATAAATCCATTGTCGTAAATTTTTGCAAGCTCATAAGGCGCAGCACACGTAAGCTCGTTAGCACGCGCAGTGGCCCGAGACAGCCACTTGATGCCGTTCTGTTTCGTGTTTATATCATTAGGCATGCCCATACGTCCGTAAAACGAATAGAGACCCAGTTTGTAAGTCGCGGAAGGGTGATTTCTGCTACCGGCAAATTTCAAGAACTCGATAGCGCGTCGAGAGTCTCTTGTCGTGCCCAAACCTTCTTCGTAGCAGTGGGCGGTTCTATAGGCACTTTCAATGTGACCGTGTTTGGCTGCAGACTGGAATAACACGAAAGCTTCTTTGGTGTTAACTTTACCGAACGCACCAGACGCATATGCGTCTGCAAGCAAATACTGCGCATCCGAGTAGCCCTTGACGCTCAGTTTCCGCAAATAGTGCTGGGCATCTTTCAAAAACTGTTTTTTCAGCGCACCTGGCGACACGGAGCCGTCGTTCGTTTCAGTTTCATCCTGAATTTTGTCTGTGGAGTCGACATCGATTGAAAGTGCCGTTTGAAGAATATACTGAGCATATTGGAAAAGCACATTAGGATCCTTAGATTTCTTGACATTTTGCTTGTACATCGCGATCGTTTTCAACCGCGGAACCAAAATAGAGTTGTTCTCCTCACCAAGATACTTGCTTATCATTTGGTGTGACAAATCCGCGACGGACTCGTTTGTGGAAGTGTACTGTGTGTTACCATTGCTCATCAAATACAAATGCGACAAATCGACAGATTTCGGCCGGGTTTTCTTGGATTTGAATTTTGTAGACCCTGATCCTGAATCGTTAAACTCTCCCACGTCGTTGCTGCTCTCTCGCGAGTCGACGAGTTGTATCCTTGACGAACCAGGCGTCTCACTTAAAGAACTAACTGGCGACGAAACTGCCCGTTGTGCAAGCAACGTCGGAGGAGATGGCAGAGCTGAGAGCTTAAAAGATTTATCAAAAAGCTCACCATTGTCATTCAATTGGGTTTTACTGCTCAATGAAAACAAACTGTCGTTCTTATTATCATTGTTGCGTCGCGAGTTCGCTTCCACTTCTCCATTAGCTCTCGTAGACGAAATCTCCAGCGTCCTCCTATATGGATGGGTCGCAGCGGCCATGGATATGAACGAACACCGTGTTGAGCGCTGTTAACAGATTTACCAGGGTACTAGTTGGATCGACCTTTTTCAATGTGCGTTGTCTAGCTTTTTCAGTTTCTAAAGTGAAATTTTACGTGTATATTTTTAAAACATGCATTGAAGATGAGTTCAAAATGAACCGTTAGTTAACTGACGAGATGTGACAAGATATGACAAGAATGTAGTAGAATGGTCAATTAATGAGTCGATTACCTGCAAACTGCAAAATATAACGAAAACATGATTCTTTTACGCTCGAAAACCCCTGTATCAGAGCGTTTGTTGGGCATATTTTTATGCCAAAACGCGTTGGTAATGCATGCGTAAATTGGTTTAGCAAGTATTTACTTTCGTTGAAATGATTAATAGTGGTGTGTATTATGTCACACTTGCTTGAGTTCTCAGACTCCGGAAACTTTGACGAAATGGTTCTGAGATTCAGGATAGTTAGAGTTCACACCTTTAGGAAAAAAATACAGAAATCACAGGTTCGCAGGAGGCCCAGTGGTGTTGAGTTTTTTTTCCACTCGCGTCGCAGTCCATCACACCTATTCATCCTCCTCGCGTGGATCACCCACTCCATCTTCGTATATTGCAAAAACACATTCTGCCTCAGGTAAACATGGCGAGTCCACGACTTTACATATTCTTTGACAACCTTTACCCTTCTTAAACCCAAGTCTTGTGGTCGACGAGTGCGCCATAATGTTACCACCGATAGGCTTTTTCGGATCCGGATTGAAAACCATGCCTCCGTCAACCTGTGCAACAACTTGGTTTGTGACCACACAAGCGACTCCGAATTGATCCGCAAGTCTTTGCAAAGCACGCATAAATTTCGCAAGATGCATTTGACGCGCACTAAGTTCACCACGACCTGAAAAATCAGTTCTGTAAAGCGCCATAATCGAATCGACCACGATCAATGAAAATCGCGATTCACTCATCATTTGCGCTGCGGCGTCTAACAAACGCAATTGATGATCTGCATTGTAGGCACGCGCATACGCCACATTGTTCAAAGCGTCGTCCGGGTCCAGCCCAAACCGTTGCGCGATCGATACGAGACGAATGGGACGGAAAGTGCCCTCGGTATCGATATACAGACATTTGCCCTCGCCACCTCCCATGTCGAGTGGGATCTGGCACGTCACGGCGAGCGTGTGACATAGTTGCGATTTACCGGTCCGAAACTCACCAAAAAGCTCGGTAATCGATCCGGTCTCGACGCCGCCCCCAAGAAGCGTATCGAGGTTTTTGGAGCCCGTGGTGAGACAGATCATCTCCGAGCGCCGCAGATGGAAGTCAGCCGCTGTCACGAACCCCATGGGCACCAATCGGGCTGCTTCGTTCAGTAACCGGTCCGCTTTGGCTTCCGAGATGCCCTTGATTTCCATTAATGCCTTACGAGGCGCATACGCCACTGCTTCTGCCGTGTGTAGCCCGCTTTCGCGCAGTTTTTTCAAGTCCGAGGTCGTGATACCGTTTACCAGCAGCCTATCCAGTGGTACGAACGACGCTAACGCGACATCCTCGCCTTCTGCCGTCCCTAGTTGATCGCCGCCCGCTTCATTGTCTCTCAATTCGCCACCCGCAGCTCCGTTTGAAACGGCGTTTGAACCATCAAGTTGCGCATCCATACTCTGCAAAACTTGACTTGTTTGCTCTTGCAGTTGTGACATGCTCATGTCCTGCCTCGTCTCTTGTTTTCTTCCTCTCTTCTCTTCTCTTCTCTCCGGGTGGGTGACACGTAAATTTCCTCTAGTCTGAATTAAATATTTTGAATTTTCGCGTCACCATCACCATACGAATTTACCGATGAGCGGCCCCCAACATATCCAACCCGCGATCAACATATAAAAGAGACATCTGAAGAACGCTGAACCGCTTAAGTGGTGGAATCAAACGGCTTGAAGCTCCAATTCCGATGTGACATATGTCAAGAGTATCGGGGCTCTTGTTCGAAGTAGTCACGTGATTTCCCTCTACATTCCATAAACCAACGGTTCAATTTGTCCAGTGACGTCCAATCAACTACATCAACGTCTTTCGAAGTCCGATTACATGGCTGAAGTGTGTAGGATGGAGCAACGACCAGCGTTGTTGACAGTGGTTGACAAGAGCGTGATGTGTACGGACGGCTTGCTCACGGAATCGCCCAAAATCACGAATATCCACGAACTGGTGGTCGACGATGAACCAAACGAATTTGCGCATGAAACCGCCGAACAGATACTGAACGGGACGTTCAAAGACGTGGATCCGAAAGAGTACGCCAACTTCTTGGGGTCACCAAAAAACAGCGAGGTTCTCACTGAGTTTCTGGATCTTTTACGTCCATACCCGGCTACGTTGCTCGATACGCTCAAAAAGCTGTCGAGCAGCATATACTTCATCGCAGAAGCTGCGAACATCGACATGATTCTAGAGTCTCTGGCCAAGGAATGGCTTCGGGAGGGCCACATGCCGCACTACAACGACGATTTCCGGCTCGCTCACATTATGCTGTTCTCGCTGCTCATGTTGAACTCAAATTTGCACAATCCCGCGTCGGAACACAAATTCAGTCTGGATCAATTTTTGGAAAACTCGCTCCATGCGCTCCGTCGCGAGGCTCCCAACCTCAACGTCGCGCATTTCAAGCGCGAGCTGACGTCGGGTTACATAATTTTGAGCCGGGACCCTCTTCCGCTCTGCGCGGGCCCAAAAAAGAAAAGCCGTGGCTTGTCGAGGCGCACAGGTGCTAGCGGCAGCGGTATGCGCAAGATCTCGATGCTGTCGATGCGGAGCGACCGGTTACAAAGAACTCCATCGCACCAAAGTTTGACACCGTCTCTCAACAGCATGCCGCCTTTGGCCCCCAAAACAACTACAAATACGATACTCACAACCGGCGGCGGACGTTTGCGGTCTCGAAACGTGCTAGAGAAGCTGTATGCCGAAGAAAAATGTGACTGGAAGTTGCAGGACGTGAATGGCAGCCCTTGGCTTATGGATTGCGTCTTGAAAGTCACCGAGGCCGCCAAAACTGCGACTTCTACACCACAGCTTTTTTCTGCACAGGCGCCTAAACGCAAGATGTTTTCCTGGTTTAGAAAACACGCAAAGGGCACGTTATTCGATGAACACGCCCACTTGGCGCACGTCGAACATTGGACTTACGCAAGAGTACGAGCTGGCCACGGTCGTCTTCTCGTCTACTACTTCAGGGGCTCTACTCTCCAGGATTATACCGTGGACCAAATACTCAAATGGGACCTGATGACGTGCCGGAAGAAATGCTCGCACGCAAGATTTTACACACTGTACGGAGCACTCGCGTCCCGCATTCAAGACAACATTGTAGCGAGTAAGCATTCGGCCTTGGGGCGGTCGAGTTTCATGGTCTCGTTCCCAAGCGGAATATCTGCGCTTGACGGAATCACACTACAGTTTAGCACTGATAACGCAGACATAGCGGCCAAGTACAAAGACACCATTAACTTTTGGGGTGGCAGAATAACGCCGATTCCATCTGCGCAAATGGAGATGGTCTCAAACGAAGAGTATGGCTGGAGTGACCGAATTCTATCTGGGAAAATTCAGCCACAGCATGCGAAAGTTTTCAAATGGAAACCCCTAATGGGGCTAGACGCCGTACTAGTCGAAGCAGATGAACAAGTTGCGTTCTGGGAACTTGATTCTCAACTTTACAATATGAGATCCTTCGTTTCGACTCTCGAGAGATCTCTAGACACGCATAACTCTTTGAAAGCACAAATGGTGCAAAAATGGCAAAATGTCGAAGAGCGAGAACCAGAAGCTACAGAATCGGCATTCGATGTTGTTATGGACAATTGGAACAACAAATACCTGTATCTCAACAAGCAATATGAAAAGCATACAATATACCTTGACGCTCTCGAAAAAGCCTGCGATTTTTATCAAAAGTCGGAATAAAGGACATCGACGTCAAACCAGAATTCTAATCAATTCAAGTCGGGTCAGTTTGTATTTTATAGTAGGATAGAGACCCTGTACTTATTATCACCATCTCATCGTACAAGAACATTTGAGTTTCTTGGATGTCGCCTCTGTATGAAAAGCTACATTAAGTGGCAAATAGATCAACCTGACAGGATTGAAAAACTAGACAAGATATAACGGTAAAATGTCTGACCCAAGCTCTATTAATGGTATGGTTAATGTGTTGGATTAGGAACGGTCTTTTACAAGTTAATTGCTCCCTTCCCCGGTCCTCTTGATTAGATACAACATGCTCGAGACATTTAGGGCGTTCGCCCTTGAAGTGGGTTGGAACCGTGAAATGGCGAGCAGGAGTCGATTTCAAGCGGTATACTAACTCATAAATTGCAGGTGGTATTTGTGTTGCCATGACTGGTAAAGACTGCGTGGCAATTGCTTGCGATTTGCGTCTGGGAAGTCAGTCTCTCGGTGTGTCGAACAAATTCGAAAAGATTTTTCCATTTGGACACGTATTTTTGGGTTTGACAGGTCTTGCCACCGATGTTTTGACCCTGTCGGAAGTGTTCAGATACAAGACCAATCTTTATAAATTACGGGAGGACAGATACATCGAACCTCAGACGTTTACACAGCTGGTTTCTAGCACGCTATATGAGAAGCGGTTTGGTCCTTACTTCACGGGCCCTATCGTTGCAGGGATCAATTCGAAGACCGGAAAGCCATACATTGCAGGCTTTGATCTTATAGGATGCATCGACGAAGCGAAGGACTTCGTTGTGAGCGGAACCGCGTCGGAACAATTGTTTGGTATGTGCGAGTCTCTTTACGAGCCAAACCAGGAATCCGAAGATCTGTTCGAGACCATAAGTCAAGCGCTATTAAATTCTGCTGATCGTGATGCCCTTTCGGGCTGGGGTGCTGTTGTCTACATCATAAAGAAAAACGAAGTTATCAAGCGTTACTTGAAGACAAGGCAAGATTAAAGAGCAGCTACGACCGCGAAAATCAATATTGTATACTAAATAAGAAAATACTGTTCACTTGTTTTCGATTTTCTCTTCTCAGCATCCGGCTGACGTTTCAGCATGTGATAGATATTTATTTGATATTTACATGAAGAACATAATTTGAGGCCTAAAACACTCTCACCTAATCCGTCTTTTCCACCTTGTCCTGTGCTTTAGCCATTTGCCTTTGAATGATTTTTTTCAGTATAGCTTCTTCGCCATATTCTTCTTCTTGCAACTGTTTCCACTTGGCATGCACTTTCTTCTGCTTCTCCCGGCTTTCTAAGATCTTCACCTTCTCCCCAGACAGTCTAGCGTCATGTAGGCATCTGGTCAGGGCCTCTTTCTCGATACTGCAAAGTCCTAACGCCCTTTTGTAGTACTCAGCTTGATGACATTTGTCAAGGGCCTCAATATATTGATAACATGCTACCAAAAGTTAGTCGAAAGAGCTATAAGAAGCAGGGTTTTCACATGCTGATCTCAGGCTCACGCTATACTTACAATTGAAGCGCTCAGCTTCGAGTTGTGGATGCATGAGTACGGTGTATCTTCTTGGTTCTTTAAACCTTTAAGTGGCGCGCGTGCTCCCAACTAATTTTTTGACGTTACAGGATCGACATGATGAGCTTGTCCAATGAAAATCTACAGGTGGGAAAGAACTTCTAACAAGCAGCTAAAGGCCAAGATTCCCAGAATATGAAGCTGGATTCTGTTGAAGTAACAACCCGAGAAATCTCGGTACATTCACCCGAGTACAAACAACGCAGGAGACAACAGATGCTGCGATTTTTCGGAGCTACAGCGTTCACGTTAATTTCTGCCAGAATGGCATTCAGAGGAGTCCAGACTCGAAAATGTATGTTAAACCCATCAGATTCACACTGCGATTTGATTAAATTTTTGACTAACAATCCCGCTATCTTAGATCTGCCTAATATGTTCCAGTTGAATCATAAACCACCACCGTATTCGTACCAAGGTGAAGCAATTTCAGCACTTGCATATGGGACCTCTCTCGCTACAGGGGGGTTCGCAATGCTCGTGCTGGGTACTTGCTGGATTGCGGACATTTCCAGTTTCCCAGAATTCGCTATCACGGCCAAGAGACTGATGGGCAACACGTCAGAGTCTGTCACGTCAATTGACGACCTCAAAACGGACGAAGACACGAGAAAAGTCACTGAGGCCCTAGAGAAGCTACTGAGAAATGAGCCCGGTAGGAAATGAACATAGTCCAGGGCAAAACTGTTACTTGCCGAGTTTCTTGTATATAGGCATTTTCAGCATCACGGCTTACGTTCATAATTGGTCAATATCAATATAGCGCATTCCACTAATAGATCTGAGCACACCGAAGGACAGGTAAACGTGGGCTGGGGAGCGCAATGCCTGAGTTGCGACATGCTACGAGATCAGGACCCGAAAGGAACGAATATTTAGGTCCCAATTGGCCCACATCGGTGGCTTCTACCTCATTTGTACCAAGTCGAAAACTTGATGAGCAGCAGTCATTAGTTCCTATATTACAGCAGCAGCGACAAAGGATCAAAAGGAGTGGGACGACCAAGAGCGTCAATTCGATCAAACATGAGATTCACAATGTGCAACAGACGTTAACAAAACTTCAAAAAAACAAGGACGATATTCAAAAAGTCAAATCATCAACAACCGATGAGATTTACCCCGGAAACTACTCGAAAGACCATCTTCAGCGACATTCGCTCGCGCTACAGACCAGTAATGAACTTCGAGGTATCGAAAAACAGATCAAACGGTCTAGCGTGCTCTTGTCAGCGCTGAGACATAAATTGGACGATGCCAATGTCACCGCGGAGGACAATGCAAGGTCATTCCACGGTAGCGAAGTTGGTGAAAGCGAAGAGAAAATCCCGAACTTAGTGAGTTACAACTCGAGTGAACCAGATTTGGCGGATGACGGGTTGGATCATGGCTCACTTTGGAATTCTAATAGCACTATGAGCAGTGGCAGCGACTTTGAGGTAGGAAACACCTCAGAAGCGCTACTTGAAAAATCCCAAAATGAGGGGAAAGAGCATGCAACTTGGCTTGTTAGTGAATTTTTACAGAGCTTGCAAGACAAGAACTCAACCGCGGAATTTCTATTGGGGAAAGCCAATGATTTAGTTGCGCTTTTACAAAAAAATCCAGGTATCAAATATGAATTGATTCTTTCTGCATTCTCAAGCACAATCCAGCAATTATTATTGAGTTCCGACGATATCATCGTCGCGGCAGGTTACAGGATTTGCCGACATTTGATTACGGGTAAAGAATACATCAGGGAACTCATCAAATTACGCATAACATCGTTTTTGATAATATCACTTGCAAAAGATAGCGCTTCACTCATCGAAAGAGAACAGGCAATGAAATTAATACGATCGTTTTTGGACTACAAAGAAGGTATAAGCAAGGGAATTGTTCGAGCGATCATAAGCTGCATTGACAACTCCGATGATAAACTACGAGATATTGCCATTGAAACGCTCTTAGAGATGTGCTACGTGATGCCAAAGCTGGTAGAGGAATGTAAAGGCATTCGGGTTCTTGAGGGTTTTATCGCTGAAAACATCTCTTCACCGCTTACTGGCCCTTTATTGGATGCGCTCCTTGATTTGATGTCATTTGAGGATACGAGAAAGCTGCTAGTAAACTTTGACATCACAGTGTTGCTTACTACTTTTGCAGAATATCAAAACAAATCCAATATGAATATTGATAAACTCCAAAAATCCTCGCAATTGATTTGCAAATGTCTTAAGAACTACAATGGACTGGTTCTATTTGTCGCTGAAGATTTCAAAGCTTTCCGCCAAGTCATAACCTTTTTCCAAATTCCTTCCATCTGCAGATTCTTGGCGGATATTATTCTTGATGTGTTAAGAGTAAAGATCCTGCCGTACCATGAACAGAACAAGGGCACTGTATCCAAGAATACTTCATCCAGATTTCATTACGAGCTGCCTCCCATCAACCAGTATGTTGGACTTTTGGTGAAAATTTTAGCAAACCTTGGAATTATAGACTCTTTGATACCGGTTCTCAGCAGCACTGACTCGTTAAAACAATCTGGGCTTGCTGGCAAAATCCGGTATTTAATATCAGAGTTTTGCAACCTTGCTATGAACTTAGTTGGCTTCAATCCTCTAACGTCGTTTTCAATAAAACCTATCACAGAGGCCGGTCAGGAACATGTCATCTCGGACATCTTTTATTTTGAGCGGCTAACGAACAAATTAAATCGACATAGAAATACTATAGGGATGGGGGGTTTCACATCTGCTAATGACATCATGGAATTTACTGAAAAACTACGACATAATTTTCTCGTCAATGAAGTCGACGAGACGAAGTTCAAAAAAATGGTTTACGATTCGCGTGTATTACAGACCAAAGACTTTACAACATGGAATTGGAACACACTTTCCGAGTTAATAGAAGGTCCCTTGCGGAACTCTAAGCGCATAGACGCCCTTATGCGTACTACGAAATTTTTCCGAAGGTTAATGGTGTTCTACCGACCGATGCGGTACAGATTTTCCAAAGTGAAAAACGGATCGAGATTTGCTCAAAGGTACATCCAAGTGGGTTGTCAGTTTTTCAAAATGCTGATATCCACCCAAGAAGGGATTAGAATATTACACGACGACACGAAATTAATCCCACAAATCGCATCTCTGCTATACCGAGCTATGGAAGGACAGACAACAAATAATGTGCTGACAGAGCCCAACTTTAGTCAATCAGTTTGCCCTGGCTATTTGAAAATTTTGGGGGTCTTGACGGAGGCCCAAAGTGGCATTGAACTGCTGGAGAAATGGAATATTTTCACGGTGATCTACAAAATGTTTCAAAAGCGCTCGTCTATTGGTAAAACCTACCTTCTTCAGATTTTGCCAGAGCTCGACCTCACGTTTTCGCTGCATTGCAGAACGATCTTGGGCAAAGCGCTGGTGCATGAGGATGAAGAGATTCGTATTGCAGCGACCAATGCATTAGGACTCTCGTTACAAAAATTTTCCTCCGAGAGCAGTAGGTTGCAATTTACTTTGTTGGAAATGCTGGTTCGCCAACTTTACGATCTTTCTCCGGATGTGATAGGCGCGGCGGACAAGACTCTGTATGAATTTTGTGCTAGTCAAAAGTGGCCCAAAATGATAGCGTATCCCCGCCGACATCTATTACATCAGCTAGTCTTCATAAAGTCTCCGCTACTATTCGAGTTCCTTCAAACACCTACAGGCTTCCGACAGCTTGACGAAATTCAGTTTATTCAAGTGGAGAGGAATAAATGGTTCACTCGAAAAAACCTGGAGTACGTTTCCAAAGTGGAAGCTTTCATTCAGAAGGAAATGGTGTATGTCGAATTTGTCAATGATGGATCAGAGCGTGCCAAAAGCATGCCCTTGCATTTTTATGGAAGTTTGGCTCATACAGAAGAGGGAGTTGCATTGATAACTCAGATGGGCGACCTCGTGGCGTTTGCGAATATCGTCAAGGCTCATCGAGCCGACATGAAACTGGCGATGATGCCAGAAAAGCTGCTACAGTTGAAGGCGGCGCTCTGGTGTTGCGGCCTCATAGGGTCGACGGATCTCGGTATTGCTTTGCTGGATAACTACACGATTGTAGAAGACATTATTGAATTAGCGTACTCTGCGCTTGCCACCGATGTCAAGTTCACGGCTTTCTACGTGCTTGGCCTGGTTTCGAAGACGAAGGAAGGGTGCGAGATCTTGGACGAGCTTCACTGGGATTGTTGTCTTAATGTATTGAATTTACCGACCGGGCTGACTTATCCAATGGACGTTAAAAAATTCCTTGGGAGCAACAGCAGCGGCTCGCAGGATTTGAAAAATGTTGGTAATGGAAAGTCTGCTGAAGTCGATTTGATGACAGGGGAAGACATTGTATTGGACCTGGATAAACTGCTTTCCTTAAAAGCCGAGTCCGAGAGCACGCGGCGGGATGCAAACGAGGATCTTCAGGCAGAGATGGAGCGATTCAAAATCGATGCGCAATTGAACAGCATAAGTAACTCTAAAAGTGACTACAACGAGCTGACAGAGCGGATTTTGCGGGCTGCAAGCAAGCTCAATAACTCCATTCTGTCGAACGGTGCCGCCAAGGAGATTACAGACTTGCGAACTGCGTACGGGTCTGCCCGGGTCGCGACACCGCAGATGTTCACGCGCATTGTCGAATTGCTGGAACAGTACCGGTTTAAGCCCCCCGCGCGCAAGTTTCTGTGCGAGCTGTTCATGAGCAAGAAGACACTCGAAACGATGATCCGGAAAGACCGCAAGAGACGGAAAGCGTAACTCTGAATCACGCGTCCTTGTACAGGAGCGCAGCATTTTTGAAGAGTTGGTACGAATCTTGCAGAAAGTCTGGGATTTCCACATCGCTGAAATCCGTTGCGTCGATCTCTGCAATGAGTTCTGCGTATTCTGCGAGCCCGGGAACTTTTGTGACGCTTTCCTCGCTGATACTGACAGAAGAAATGTTGTCGTTGTCAATTGTCTGCAACACGGCCATCACGCTGGCCATTTTACGCAGCAGTGTGGTGTATTCGCGTTTCAGCGAGGTTTCCTGCTTCAGGAGCTCGTCTCTGCGAGACAGCAGCTTGGCGTACTCTCTGGATCCGGTCGAATCGCTCGTGGCGTCGGAGATTGTCATTGGGAGTTGTGGAGTTCTTGATAGAAGATGTTGGTGCGCGCACAATGAATATGCCTGTTAGTGGATCTAGCGAACGAAACCGACAGATGAGGCAAGTATATTATCGCTGTATACGTATATGGGTAGACAATGAGTACCGTCGGTATCAAGCGTACGACAGCTCCAACAGCGGGATTCCAACCATATCAATTTTTCCATGGCTAACTATATGAATTAGCGTCTGACCCACTGCGGTCCTATTACAATGGATATAATTTAATAGCTCAAGTTTCGATTTACAACACGGATCAGATGTGAACCGTATAGAAGATTTAAGTAATTTAGAAAATGAAATGTTGCCTTCAAAACCCAATGATGCTTGTAGCCGTTCCCTGGTTCAATGCACTGGTGCAATGAAGGTGGGTAAACGAGTGCGACGAGATACTTGAGTAAATTTCGAAAAGAATGAGTAACCATGAGTAACCTATGGGTAAATACCTATATACGTTACGGTTTTCGCATGTACACAACTCAGCACCCAACGGTAAGTTTCCCATTTCCGTGCCCCGAGCCCTGGCATCCAATCAGGTCGCAGTCGCATAAGGAGCCTGGCATGTTATTTCTGGATGGAAGGCATTCGACGGATGATATTGTCGAGTTGCAATGTAGGTTTCCGATGTCACGCGACTATAATGACAGAATACAGAGCGAAAGGGGGGTGTGAAGACGATATGTCTCTTAGGCGGCCATTGATAGTCGAGAGGGGAACATCCAGTATTTGGTATGTCTAACAATAAGAAAACTATAAACGAATCAAATGATTGATTTAAGGCCTACCGAACACCAAACCCGATTAACCTCGATAGGTATATGTTGGAAAGAGATAGCGAGATATGATATCGTCAAGCTTTAGTATCACGTGACCACCGCGACAGATCAAAATAGGACGGAACGGACTGTTCATCATGAACCTAACAGGAAATCATGGAACCTAAACGATCCCACTGATGGTCATGACATCGTAACACCCCGCCATCACGCCGAGAGCGATTTGATGGATGACGTGTGCTAAAAACTTAACCGTCAATTTTAGAGAAGGTAACGGATTTTAGAGTTAGGACGGTATTTGAAGAGTAGTATATAAGGGCACGATTCGACCAAATATTCTTGAAAGGAGAAAGTGATATCGTTCTTTTTCACGCATGAATTAAGAAGTTAATTGCATTCCGCACTTAGAGAAAAAACCAGCGTCCAGAATTGCAAGTACTCCTCAACAGCATTGCACACCCAAAGACCGAACGAACGACTCTGGCCAAAAATGGAGAATTGGAAAGATTTCAAACTGTCTTCACTAGCTATCACGCATCACTCTGGCTTCACAGCGAGGGATTGTGTGCTGATGTTAGTAGATGAGATCTGTGGGCTTAATAAAGGCGCAGGGTCCTCTGATGAGCACAGTCGCAGTGGACGCCCTGATGGGACTATGGATAACTCCCAACCGGGAGAAGAGGTTGATAGTTCGTCAAAGTATCCTGCGTTTTCGAACCCTGGAGAGCGATATCAATTTCGCTTCGAAGGGGCCGGAGATTATGCACCCTTCTTGCGGATGTCGCAAGGCACTTTCCGTGACGCAAATTGTCTTGTCGATTCAACCTGTCGCCTTGACAAAAAAGACCTGGAGGGATGGCGCTTCTTGCAAGGTGCCTCTTCAACTACCCGAGAATACCGTGGAATTGATTGCGTGAATTTGTTCTTGAACACATTTTGTGACTCTAATGGGACATATCGTGGAGTTAGTATAGAAAAGATACTAAAGGATCTTGATCCTATATATTCGGAGTGGTCGCTTGCTGCCGAAGTCGTCACACGAGCACTCAATTCCGTTCCGAATAAGAAGCGCGAGGAAGCCCAAAAGATTCCATTAGCACGTTTTGAAGACTATCGATCGCGAGGACTAATTTTCGCGAAATACACTGAGCAAGACATAGACAATATCGTTGAAGATTTGGATGCAATACTAGAGTTCGTTCCCTCCGACATAGATATCACAGAATGGCCCTTAGTGAAGCAAAACCAACGGATACTCAGTATGATGGAAAGGCGAGCTACGCGTGCTAGGCGTCCAGAACGTCGTCCACAAGAAAGGGTCGAACGACTGGAGGCTCACAACAAGAGAGCTCGAAGATCAGCGACATATCCCGAATCAGATAGTACCGCCACTAGAAGCCCTTGCACTATCACGTGATTGCGATGACAGAATAAAACTGGAAGCTCGAACGAGTCCATCGACAGTTCTAGAATTTTCAGAACATTGTAATCAGATCATATGTGGTATGATGAACGACGTATGAAGAAAGTAACGGATTCTAAAGTTAGAACAGTGTTACGAAAATTGTATAAAAGGAAACGGTTTGACCTGTTATCCCGTGGTCATATCCTCAAGACAACCACGGAGCGATACAAGTACTCAACTCCCTATCTGCCTTAAAATCTATATCAACTATGAACGACCTAAAACAGTTTAGAAATGTATCGATTACCGACAAATATTGTTGGAAGGAGCTGGCGAGAAGATGATATCGTCCAATTGCATCATCACGTGATCGATATGACAGAATAAAATTAGAGAATTGGACAAAGGATTGGCATTCTGCGAAAGAGCTGGAAGCTAAAACAGGTCCATTGAAAGTTCTAGAATCATCAGAACATTGTAATCAGATCATATGTGGTATATGATGAATGACGTATGATGAGAATTCACCGTCTAGTTTAAAGAAAGTAACGGATTCGAAATTTGGATCAATGTTACAGAAATTGTATAAAAGGAGCTGATATGACCAGGATCGTAGTGTTCATGGTTGTAAGGTAGCCACGGAGAGATATAAGTACTCAATTCCTAATCCGCTTTATTATTTAGATCAATTATGAACGAATTGAATGAACAATTTAGAAACCTATCAACCTCCGACAAGGAAAAACCTCAACAAATAATGTTGGAAGCAGCTGGCGAGAAGGTGATATCGTCCAATTGCACCATCACGTGACTGCAATGACAGAAAACAGAGAAAATCCAACTGACGGCCCAAGGCACCATCACCCCAACACCCCAACACCGTGACTGGCGGATGAAAGGCGTGAGGCGAAATTACCGACGCTTCGCAGAACCTCATCTAACCGAACAACGCGTGGCGCATTTGGTAATTATTCGCTCTAGATAGCCGGAAGCAAGGCACAGACACCTGGCCGAAAGATATACCACCAGAGACGCGTCCATAGCCTTGTTTTCGACCGCCTAAGTGCTGATATTCGCGTCTGAAATCGTTTTTAACGTTCTTTCGCATCGCATCACGTGCCAACTCCTTATCGTTTAAAGTCCGCACCCATACCCCACACAGCGGTGCTTTCCTAGCAAGTTTATCTCCCCGCCGTCGGACTTTTGTAGCTGTGGCGTCACTGGCTTTCACGAAAGCCATGTGAAAATGAACCACCTTGACGCGTCGCGCTACGCGACAGCAGGAGTCAGCGCCGGCTACGTGTTACCGTCTGGACATTGTAGTGGGGCCGGCAGAGGCCCCACTACAGACAATGTCACGCGAGCTCGCAGACAGCGACGGCGCTCACTATGCTTGCTCCGCGCACTGCGTGCCCCACGTGTAGAGCGTTTTTTGCCCGTGTTACAGGCCCAGTTTCATCCTGAAACTGGTACGTGTTTCAGGCTGTTACAACGTCCCGGACCCGTGTTTCAAGCTGTGACAGTGGGCCTGACGCTGCCGCCGGGTCAAAGGAGGAGGATTCGATGAGTCATTTGCAACGACTCTCCAGATCTTCGTATAACGTGACTGAGTATAATCGGGAAAAAGTTACGTCCCTTAAACGATACTATGGCTCATTATGGCGCCTGTATGGCTCTTTACAGCGGTAACAAGATATGAGGAAATCAATTAAAGAAAAAATTTCAATGGAAACGCGACGGGAAAAAAAAGGTATATAAGGTAGAAAGGGAACCCAGATCCGTCGAGCCCTGTCATTAGAGTGTTTCGTTTGTAGACCAAGACTATCTAGTTCTCCTTTTTTAGCGCTTTTTCCATTGTTTCAGCAACTCCAGCGGACCTCGCAATTGCAGTTCAACAACAGGTACAACAAGCTCAGCTACTAAAAAGGCCAAGTTTTCCCACTACAATCCAGCAACAAATCATGGTGCAATCGTCCGTTTTGGGTTTCCCAAGAATTGGGGCCAACAGAGAGCTAAAGAAGGCCACCGAGGCTTACTGGCAAGGCAAGACCTCTGCTGAAGACCTGCTACAGGTCGGCAAGCAGATCAGAGCGCACAACTGGAAATTGCAGAAGCAGGCCGGTGTGGACGTTATAGCGTCGAACGACTTCTCCTTCTACGACCAAGTGCTCGACCTTTCGCTACTTTTCAACGTGATCCCAGACCGTTACGCCAAGTACCAGCTATCGCCGCTAGACACTTTTTTCGCCATGGGTAGAGGCTTGCAAAGAAAGGCCACCGCCACCGAGAAGGCCGTCGACGTCACTGCGCTGGAGATGGTCAAATGGTTTGACTCCAACTACCACTACGTCAGACCAACTTTCTCCAACGGGACCCAATTCCGTTTGAACGGACAAAAACCCGTCGACGAGTTCCTCGAGGCCAAACAGCTCGGTATCGAGACCAGACCCGTTTTGCTCGGTCCCGTCTCTTACTTGTACCTTGGTAAGGCCGACAAGGACTCTTTGGACCTGGAACCTTTGTCTTTGCTCCAAAAGATCCTACCTCTCTACGCCGAGATTTTGCAGAAACTCGCTGCCGCCGGTGCCACTTCTGTTCAAATTGACGAGCCAATTCTTGTCCTAGATTTGGAAAAGAAGGTCCAAGATGCTTTCAAGACTGCCTACGACTTCTTGGGCGCCCAGGCTTCTTTGCCAGAGATCACTTTGGCCACTTACTTTGGTACGGTGGTTCCAAACTTGGCCGCTATCAAGAACTTGCCGGTCGCCGGTTTCCACTTTGATTTTGTCAGAAATCCAGAGCAACTGGACGACGTCGCCGCCATCCTTTCTGACAAACAAACTTTGTCTGTTGGTGTTGTTGACGGTAGAAACATCTGGAAGAACGACTTTGCCAAGTCTTTCGAGCTTGTCCAGAAGGCCATCCAAAAGTTGGGCAAGGACAGAGTCGTTGTTGCCACTTCTTCGTCTTTGTTGCACACTCCTGTCGACTTGGAATCCGAAAAGAACTTAAAGCCTGAGATCAAGGATTGGTTCGCTTTTGCCACCCAAAAAGTCAAGGAAGTTGTCGTTATTGCCAAGAACGTCTCCGGTGACGACGTTTCTGCCGAATTGGCCGCGAACGCCCAGTCTGTCTCTGGCAGAGCTTCTTCTACCATTACCAACAATGAGGCTGTCCAAAAGAGAGTTGCCAGCATCGATGAGAAAATGTCCACCCGTTCTGCTCCTTTCCCACAAAGATTGGAGGAACAACAAAAGGTCTTCAACTTGCCATTGTTCCCAACCACCACTATTGGTTCTTTCCCTCAAACCAAGGACATCAGAATCAACAGAAACAAATTTGTTAAGGGTACTATCACTGCTGAGCAATACGAGAAATTCATCAACGCCGAGATTGAAACCGTTATCAGATTCCAAGAAGAGATTGGTTTGGACGTTTTGGTCCACGGTGAACCAGAGAGAAACGATATGGTCCAATACTTCGGTGAACAAATCGACGGTTACGCCTTCACCGTTTACGGTTGGGTTCAATCTTACGGTTCCAGATACGTTAGACCACCTATCATTGTTGGTGACTTGTCTAGACCAAAGGCCATGTCCGTCAAGGAGTCCGTCTACGCGCAATCCATCACTCCAAAGCCTGTCAAGGGTATGTTGACCGGTCCAGTCACCTGCTTGAGATGGTCTTTCCCAAGAAATGACGTCGACCAAGAGACCCAAGCCATGCAATTAGCTTTGGCTTTGAGGGACGAAGTCAACGACTTGGAAGCTGCCGGTATCAAGGTTATCCAAGTCGACGAGCCTGCTTTGAGAGAAGGTTTGCCATTGAGATCCGGTGCTGAGCGTGCTGCTTACTTGAAGTGGGCTGCTGAATCTTTCAGAGTTGCCACCTCGGGTGTCGCCAACAAGACTCAAATCCACTCTCACTTTTGTTACTCGGACTTGGACCCTAACCACATCAAGGCCTTGGACGCGGACGTTGTTTCTATTGAGTTCTCCAAGAAGGACGATCCAAACTACATCGCCGAGTTCCAAAACTATCCAAACCATATTGGTCTAGGTCTATTCGACATTCACTCCCCAAGAATTCCATCCACTGAGGAGTTCATCTCTAAGATCGAGACCATCATGAAGTCTTACCCAGCCGACAAGTTCTGGGTCAACCCTGACTGTGGCTTGAAGACCAGAGGCTGGGAAGAGACGAAACTGTCCTTGACTCACATGGTTGAGGCTGCCAAGCACTTCCGTGAGGTCTACAGCAAGAAATAAGTAAAATAATTTTTTCACCTGGGACTACACAATGGGCTATTTTACTTAAAAGACGGTTTTCAGCGATCCGCTTTCTGTGCTGGATTCAGATTGTCGTCTGTTCGGGATTCAACATCGGTTTTTTTAATGTTAATAGTTTTCATTTTTCCTGTATACTAAAACGCATTCAACATTCGTTCAAATCAAGCTTTTACTACTTTATCTCGATACTAAACACTCTACTGGTTGTCTTCTACAATCGCAGGATATGGATAATAGCACATGCATACCACGGAAAACCGTCAAAAAACGGTCAGAAATTTCAGGGAAAACACCGAAAAACCGGCAAAAAAACCGGCTAAACTACAAAATCCAAGTGAAAATCCTGTATACTTTCAACATGGCTTATAGATGTCACATTTCTTGTCAAGATGACTTTTTTTTACAATGTACCACACAGTTTCACTGTTTTTCACCTGTATAAACCATAGTTAAATGTTGAATATCAAAATATGGTACGCGATATTCACGTGATATTCCAGGCAAGAAATGGGTCAAATTATTAGGGAAAGTGGCAACTGAACCCTTCAACATCACGAGTTCTCCAAAAGCGATAGATACCATGTCCGACGGAGATATCCAGCAGTTCATGGCACTGACGAACGCTTCAGTTGATGTTGCCCAACAGTACTTACAGGAATTTGGCGCATTGGGAGTATGAATGGGATCAAAACGAGATCGATATTACGATTGCAACGAGACACTAACAATAGGATACAGGAGGCGTTGGACGCTTTTTACGCAAGCAGAGGTGATGGTGAAGAAACAGGGCAAGGACAGGAAAGCTCTGCGGGTAGTTCTCGCGACATTCGGAGCGCAGAAGGAGCATCGGCAGGGGAACAAGTACCACCAGTGTTAGGCGCGCCTTCCGGGCGTGCCGGAACACCTCAGGGTGCTAGAACGCCTCAGGGAACTAGAACACCGCAGGGCAACTCTAGGTTCAAATCGTTTTCCGATCTCCTGCGGGACAACTCGGACGAGGACGACGAGCAAAGGAACACGTTTGCAGGCGGCGAAACGTCAGGGCTTGAAGTGTCAGATCCTAACGATTCCAACTCATTGATCAGAGATTTACTTGAAAAGGCCCGGAAGGGCGGCCAACAGGGCTCGTCGCCCGAGCCGGACGCGTCAGCTGCAGACAGTAACCATTTCACAGGCCGCGGGTACCGTTTAGGATCTACTCTTGCCGCACCAACACAAGTGGCAGAAGACATTCCGGAAGAACCGCTCCCCTCGAGGCCCAAAAAAGTCACTAGAAATATCACATTTTGGAAAGAAGGTTTCCAAGTGGGCGACGGAGAACTCCGTCGATACGACGATCCTGCCAATGGCTATTACTTGAGCGAACTCAATCAGGGCAGGGCACCTCTAAGACTGCTAGACGTGGAGTTTGGGCAAGAAGTCGATGTCAACGTGTTCAAAAAACTGGACGAAAGTTTCAAAGCCCCAAAAAGAAAGTTGGGAGGCTTTTTGGGCGAGGGCCAACGATTAGGAAGCCCAATTCCGGGCGAATCTATTCCTACAGAACTTGAGGCATCGTTGGAATCTGTTCAGCACACGGAACCCGCAAACGAGCTAGCTTCCGAAACGTCGTCACAACCAGAGCCACAGGGCGACACCAGTGTGCAAATAAGTTATGCAAACGGAACTCGGGAAAAACTTCGTTGCAATTCCTCCGATACAATTAGATTCCTGTACGATCACGTTAAGGGTAAAACCGCCAGTGGCAGATCCTTTACGCTGAACCATGCATTCCCGGTCAAACCCATTGAAAAACTCGATTCCACACTCAAGGATGAGGACTTGCTTAACGCGGTCGTCGTGCAGAGATGGGTAGTGTGAATTTTTTGAATGCGATACAGGTTATGTAAAATTCTCTTGCCGTCTCTAAAAATCTCAGTATAATTTCAAATCTCCTGTGATCTGATCCAGTACTGCTTTGGGTGCTGGTCCCAATCCAAGGACTGTTGCGCTTCCTGCGGCAATTTGAGTGCGCCCCGCATCGTGGACAACGTAAGAGTTTACGCCTAGCGATATGGATTTAGCGAAAAGCTCATCCATGGCCTCCTTGTCTGGACATTTCAAAGCGATTTTGGCCTGGCCATGGTGGAGCCATCGATCGCACAGTTCTGGATTATAAGACGTCCGGAGCGCATCGGAAGCAATCAAACGATAGCATGCGAGTGCTGCATGACAGCATTGAGCCGCAATTTTACCTTTTTTCATACCTAAATCTTGACGGATGACAAGTGCCATGCGTACTTCGCCCGGTATATCATTGAGAGCTAAAGAATTGACTTCAAAGTCGTCTTCTTCTTCATCGTCTTCGTATCCATCTTCCGACTCATTGCCGGAATTTAGAATTTCCCGCTCTGCCTCCATCTTACACTTCCAAAGGATATCTTGAAGCCGCTCTTTCTTGGTCCTAACGGAGGGACATATTTGACCCAAATAATAGCCTGTTGCTAGCGAAACTGCGGCAACTCCAAACAAAGTTGCCAATCCATTGCTGGAGAGGTTCACCATCGTCAAATTCAAAGCTAAATGACCACAATTATTTGAGTTTCTTGCTTGTCAAGTTAGCTCATCTCTTCAACTACTGAAATTTTTCAACCTTCATCATCTATGTATGGTCATCATCACTACTGACCCAAATACAAAAAACTGTAATAGTGACCGGTAGGTAAGTCAACTGGGCTCACAATCCATTAAGTGAGATTTTATAGCTCGCAAGCTTCAGATCGAGCCCACTTTCGATGCCCAAATCTCTTCTGCTTGAACAATAGTGCTGTGATTTGACAACATTTTGTTCAAGGTCTCTTCGTACTCTGCTTGCTCGTCGGAATCAAACACGATACCACCACCCGCTTGCAAATAGGCCACGTTATCTTTGTAAACCATTGTTCTAAGCGCAATACAGGTATCCATGGTCTTGCCGTCGTAGGACCAATGACCAACGGCGCCCGCGTAGACACCACGTTTTTCGCCCTCTAGCTCCGCAATAAGCTCCATGGCTTTGACTTTAGGCGCTCCACTCACAGTTCCGGCTGGGAAAACGGATCTGAGCGCATCGAAACGGGTCAATCCGGGCCTTAAAGTGCCCGAAACCTCAGAGACCAAATGTTGGACGTGAGAAAATTTCTGAACGGTCATCAACTTGTCGACTTTGGTGGTCAATGGATCGCACACGCGGTTGACATCGTTTCTGGCAAGGTCGACAAGCATGACGTGCTCCGCACGGTCCTTGAGGGAGTTTCTCAACTCGTCAGCAAGACGGTCGTCTTCTGCAGGCGTCTTTCCCCTGGTGACGGTGCCCGCGATGGGATGGTTGACAATACGGCCCCTGCTGTCGCTTTGGCACAGCAATTCGGGCGACGCGCCGATGACTTGAAAATCTAGGTAGTCCAGGTAAAACAGATATGGCGACGGATTGACGGTTCTGAGATGTTTGTATATGTTGAACGGATGCAGCGACGTCGGACGCGCGACCCTCTGTGAGGGTACACCTTGGATGATGTTACCCTTCTTGATATGCTGCTTGAGCGTGGATACGTGGTCTTTGTAGCCCTTTTCACCAATGTTCGACGTGAAAGTCTGGCCTAATTTAATCGCGGGCTGATGCGGCGCGTAGTCGCGTTGGTCCTTCAATAGCCGTTCTGCAACGTTCTGGATCTTTTTCTTAGCTGCTTCGTACCCGGATTCGAGCGCTTGGGGCTCGTTCGCTTCGATGTTGTGGATGATCTGGATCCGCTGGTAGACGTGGTCGAAGGCCACGATCGTGTCAAATAGCATCAAAAAAGCTTCAGGGAGTTGCAACGTGTCCTTGAGCTCGCGTCGCGTCTTGGGCTCGAAATACTTGACGCAGTCGTACGACACGTACCCAATGGCACCACCGCTCAATTTGGGCAATCCGGGCACGTTTTCAGCGACTTTGAAGTGGCTCAATTCCTGTTCCAAGATCGTCATAGGGTCAACTTCGTTGCCCTCAGTCGGGCCCGTCTTGATCACTTTGCGAGGCTTCGATCCGAGAAACGAGTACCTTCCAAGCTGGTTGTCGCTAGTGGCACTTTCTAGCAGAAACGACGGCTCCCGGTCTGCGTCATTGAGCCCAGCAAGCTTCAAATACGCCTGGTGCGGTGTCAAGTCCATTGCCGGTAGGAAGCAGTACACCGGGTACATATTGACAGAAACATCGTTGTTCTGCACCAAAAATTCACGTAAACTCGCCAAACTTGGCTGTATCGCGGCCTCAATCATTGCACACTTGCCAATATCGAAACGAAATGGCTTAAACCCTAGCTGTTATGCCTTTTTTATCGCTTTTAAATTTCGTCTTTTCAATGCCTCATCGCTACCAATTTTTCACTTTTTCACCTACTCTACAAGAAACCCTACTATGACTAATCTTGCACCAAAAAGTGACTCTTACTAACTGTAATTTTCCTCTTTAAAAACGTACCTCCATAGAAACGGGGCCACAGAGTCTATTACAGTTCTCAGCGTGCACAGAACCGTTCTATATCAGTGACTTTGCCGCCTATTTTTCGGCCCTCGCAGTGGCTTTTCTTTCCCCATTGCGTGGATTCGAGATTTCATCATTTCAGTCACTATATACGAATTAAAAAAACTTACCCGGCCTCAAAAGTCAACCGAAAATTTCCAGCTTTTTTCCAAACTAAAAAAACAAGAACCAACCAATCGACAGATTTGCCACCCCTTCAACTGGTGAACAAAGAGCGGAAACCAGAGCCGGGGCACATCAAGAATGGGTCAAATTCTCTCTAATCCAATCATAGATAAGGAGCTCGACAATGGCGGAGACATTATGACCGCATTCGGGCTCTGTGCGATGCAAGGATGGCGGATGTCGATGGAAGACGCGCACGTCTGTTTACCCAAAGTGAAGGGGGTCAACAAGGACCATATTGCATACTATGCAGTTTTCGACGGTCACGGTGGTGCGTCGGTAGCGGAGTTTTGTGGGGAGCGCGCAGCAGAAGTTTTGGAGGCCCAAAAACACGTGAAAGAGGGCAAATATGCGCGCGGACTTATTGACGCGTTCATCGGGCTAGACATAGAGATTCTGAAAGACGCAGTGCTCCGTAACGATCACAGTGGGTGCACAGCGACCGCGGTGGTTATTTCGGCGGAGCAGCGGCAAGTGGTGTGCGCGAACGCGGGCGATTCGCGGACGGTGTTGGCGCGCGAGGGCCGTGCCAAAGCACTGTCGTACGACCACAAGCCCACGCTTGTTGGCGAACGGTCGCGGATTGTGGCTGCCGACGGGTTTGTCGAAATGGAGCGTGTGAACGGTAATCTAGCGTTGAGTCGCGCCATTGGCGATTTCGAGTTCAAAAGCAATCACAATCTGCCGCCCCACGAACAAATCGTGACTTGTGTGCCGGACGTGGTGGCGCACGACCTAGATTTTGCCAAGGATGAATTTGTTGTGCTTGCATGCGACGGAATTTGGGACTGTCTTTCGTCTCAGGATTGCGTCGATCTGATACACTACGGAATTAATCGCGGCGATATGACTTTGGAAGACATTGCGTCACGTATTGTAGACGTGTGCTGTTCACCAACCACCGAGGGTACCGGAATTGGGTGCGACAACATGAGTATTGTCATTGTCGCATTGCTTCAGCCCGAGGAGTCGTTGGATGTGTGGTTCGAGCGCATGCGTGCCAAGAAACATGCGCCTTTGGTCTCGTTCGAGGACAAGAGGCGTTCTGTATTCTCGTTTTACGAATTCCCCAAAGACGACAGCGAGGTCTTTGTCGTTTCTACCAAGAAATCAGACGACCATACCAGCTACTCTTCGCAAGAAGACGAGGAAGAGGATCAGACCCATGCGGCCGCCGGTCACGGGCGCCCGCAGATGGACCTATTTTCGCTCGAGACTTTGCTTGGCGCAGGCGGCATTCAATTGAGCCAAGGCGCCAACAACGTCTCCTACATTCACGGATCTGCGCTTTCCGAGGTTTTGGCTTCCTTGAGCGGCGCAAATGGGGCCGGCGGCGCCCCGGGAGGCGTCACTACCGGTGAAGATGTAACGAGTGAGGACGAGAAACCAGATAGAATCGAGGAAGTTAAGGAGTGATTGGGTTAAACCGTCACGTCACTTTCGGGGATCAGGAGTACCATACCAATTGAATAAAAACCGTCAAAAAAGAAATAGAAAACTTATCCTCAATTACAACAATACAAACACATAGACCACAGCTGTCTTCGTTTCCTCGTTTCGCGGATCCTTTTTGCATTTGTGTGAATTTTTTTTTAAACACCCTCTGCCTTACTCATCCAGCTTGCCCCTTACTAACCACAATTTATTGACAAGATTCAATTGTCTTCATCGCGCGTCCTTTTACCCATTACTTTCTCCTTCACGCATTGCTGTGTTTCTTGTATATTATAAATCTTGGAGAAATGAGAAAGGTAAGATTAATGAGCCGTTACGTTTAATGTAAATCTATCTTCTTTTTAACTATACGACCAACCATCATGCCCCATAAACGTCGCAACTTGTTTGCCAGACAATTTCTGCAACTTGTTCAAGTGGCAGCTGTTTGCAATTGGCTACTACCGTCGTGACATGGCCCATCGTGCAAGGTTCATTGCGGGACTTTACCATTATTTCGTCCCAGGATTCCTCGGTTTTCTTAACGAGTTTATCGCGCTTGACAGATGCAAACCACTGTGGAAGCTCAGGGTAAGCGCGTTGAAGGCCGTGTTCCCAAGGATCTTCCTTCTCCGGGTTCCTACATTCTGCGTTCTCGAACAAATATTTGTAGGACTCGTGAGTACGTCTAATGTCACACCAAGGGGCATCCGTTTCGAGCAATAATCTCTTTAGAGGCACTTGTTTCACGCAGTCGAGATTTTCTTGGGTTTTGAAAGAACAACCGTTCATTCCAATGTAGCAATTGGGACCCAGGTTTAAAATCTGGCTCATTTCTTCAACCGATCCTGTGAAAGAATGGACGACGAATTTGCGCGCAGGCGAAAACTTGTACCGAACCCCACTTTCGCCGTGAGTTTGAGGCCCATCCTCCGCACTTGATTGTTGTTCCTGTATGGTGTTTCTCCATTCGAATTGATCTTTCTCGTCGACAAACCCAAGAATGAATTTTGACAGTATAGCGACGAAATCTTTGCAGCAGTTGCGCATGTGCAAGAAAAGTGGTACTTTGGGGAAGAAACAGCTCATTTTCAATTGTTCTTCAAAGAATAAAAGTTGTAATTTCCGCGATGAGTAGTAAAAACGATCGTAATCGAGCCCAATTTCACCAATTGCTCTGAAGTTGGGATCCTCGTGAGCCTTGGATGCAATCAGCGCATACATATCTTGAAGTTTGCGCCTAGTGTAAGCGAAATCGGTGACTTCTAGTCGATTGTTGAATTCTTCATCATTGCTGGGATTATCGATTCCGGAGTTATGTCCTGCTAGAACAAACTCATTGACGCAGCAAGGATGAACCCCTAGCGTATAGTACACCTTGGAAGGTTTTTGGTTCCAAATTGATGCCAATTTGGCTACTTCTTGAGACTCTTGGAATGAAGATCCCGTCAAAAGCATCGTGCGAACACCGGCCTTTCCAGCACGATTTAATACTCGTTGAAGATCGCCTTCGTGGTATTTTTTGCCATTGTAAATTCCTTTGTACATGGGGTCACTCAAATTTACGCCAATGTCATAGTATTTGAGCTTTGTTGACATCTTTCTGCTCATAACTCGTGTTATTTTAGGATCTGAGGTGAGCTAAGTTTATTTGCGATGCTTGAATTGTTAATGAAAAATTCATCACCACAACTAAAAGAGACCTCTAAAGAAGCCGTTATTTGTCATGTCACCTGTTGAATTCACTACCGGAGCGTTTTCGAGATATTAAATGCTGGTCTTATTTTTGTGAAGCGGTTTCGCCTGGTCGGGCTTCGAGGGTTTGTTATTCGAACATCGAAAGATGTGACAGAATATGAACAACGTGAGCTACATCGACATGTCAGCCTTTAAAGAAGCTCAATTGATGCTTATGATGCGAAACGCAGAGAAAAAACGGTCTGATTTGAAGAACCAACGAATTGCAGAAGAATGGCAAACGCCAGCGCAGATCGACAAGTGTAACCAAGCTAGCGCTACGAGTAATTGAAACCTCAAGACTGAAAGGTTGAGTCACATTTGACAGGTACTACGCTCTGGCGTGCAAATCGAGTTGCGACCCTTCTAAGCATCCACATCCACTTCTCTTCCGACAACCAAGAAAATCCCGTTGAAACACTTTAGAGGCTTCTGGGAACATCCCCAGACGCGTCCGGATCAGTTGCCAACATGCGATCGCCAGCTAAGGCCACTTGCCAAAACTCCGATCTGTACCCCACAAATTAAGTGTTTACTGCATAAAAAAGCTAAAAACCCTGAAACTTGGGCCAATGTGTCGCAACTGGCTACCTCAACCCGCTGGGCTAATTGGGGATCAAGAACAACCCAATCCCATCTATTTCACTACCATCCTACCCATTTTCCAGGAACGACTTTCAAACAGGGCTAACTCTACGCATATACCACCAAATTTGACGAAAAACCTAGCAAACGAATTTGCAAATGCAGCTCAACAAGATCTTACTACTCTCACTACCTCAATACTTTTTCTATGTTCTCTTTTATTTCAATTGTTGGTAGGCATCGCGTGCCTTTTTCATCGACCCAAGCGACTCTCGGACCCAAGCATATTTTTTCACAAAATTTTTCACCTCATCGCGACATGTGCGGAGGGCTCGATGTCGACAACTTACTGAACTCATCGCATAGTGAACAGGACAGATTTAAAGACAAAAAGTGGGTCAAGGGCGGTTTGGAATTAAACTCGTCTAAGGAAAACTATATGGTTAAGCTAGTGTATTGAAGTGGGTGGTAAAGATAAGATGACAGCACCAAAATCGGCCGTTTCTGGGGTAAATGGACATGTGAACAAAAATCCGTCATCATGGGATCCGCAGGACGATTTGCTGTTGCGGCACTTGAAAGAGGTCAAGAAGCTTGGTTGGAAAGAGATTGCGCAGTTTTTCAAGAACCGGACGCCCAACGCGTGTCAGTTCCGCTGGCGAAGACTGAAATCTGGTAATTTGAAAACCACGAAAAGCGCGTCTGTGGGTGCTGAGGGAAGCTTGGGAGAGGAAAATGGGGCTGTTGCGGTGGCAGAACGCGGTTTAGGTGGTTTAGGAGTCGAGTCTGCAGCAGGTGATGTGGGCAATGTTGCTGTTACTGGTCGCAGTGTCAGTGAAAGTGCAACTGAAAGCTATCTGGCAGCAAGCACCGTGCCGGCCGCACCGGCAGCGCCGGCCGGGCCGGCTTTGGCTGCTGCGACTACAGCAGCGACCGCGATACCGATTCCGCGAAACACGCATGGTGTCGATTGGCGTCATCCGCATCAGCTTCCGTCGTTGACGCAGTCGCTGGGGAACCAAATGTCACGCGGATCGCCCTATGGCAGTCCTGTACCCCCCACGTCTCAACAACCTCAACATCTTCCAGGGCCCTTTAACGGTACCGCAGTCGCTCCTGGTAAATTCTTGAAACCGCGTTCTTTTTCGCATACGGTGATTCCTGAGAAGCCCAGAAGCGATGAAGAAAATTTGGGACTTATTCCAAAGGTCGTTGTTCGCAGCAGACGTGGGTCTCTGGCTCAGCCAGTAGCTCCACATGCGGTCCTACCCCTCAATCATACCAACAGCCACTCAAATCTTTCACTGGCATTGAGCACCAGTTTGACGGGTTCCAAGTCCAGAAAAAACTCTTTTTCTTCGCGGTCCAGAAGATCTTCTTTTAACATGGCTCCGCCTGATCGCTTGCATGGACCGATTTCTAGGCGTGAATCCGTTGTGCAGGCACCTGCCTCTGTGGCTACCTTAAGTCGGCGTGAAAGTTTCAACTCCACTACTTCTAGAAGGGGTTCCATGATTCAATTCAGAAGGGATAGCCCGGGTTTGATTCCCAGTGATCGTCGGGGTTCCGTTTCTCAATTTACGGATGTTCCCAAAGGCCATTCCCAACATTTCGCTCCTATGAACGGGACGTCCCTTAATCAAACAAGCCATCCCACTCCAAGCGTTGGCGAACATGCGAAGTCAACAGAGCCGTGGTCCTTGGATGAGGATCGGTTATTAAATCAACGCCGGGAAAAGGATTTGTCGATGGATGAACTGTCAATTTTATTACCGCATAGGTCGGAACAAGAAATACAATGGCGTATAACTGCACTTGATCGTGCAACGCCTTTTTCTACCAGCGCCTCCCCTCTGCACTCCCCAGAAAGGTCCCTCACGGAGGACACTGCTATTGAGGAAGATGATCAAACCCATGCGCAAGCTCAAGTTACTTCTGGAAGTCAATTTTCAGACGACAAAGATCATTCTCCAGCAATCTCATCGTCCTCTGAGTCCCATGATAGAGAACAATCGCCAGTGTTTTCTCCTCACTACGATAATAAAGGTCAGTCGCCTATAACTGCGGACCCCTCAATGGGAAATACCGACAAAGTCGACCGCGACAATGACTTCAGGTATTTGGGACCAACTCGCACTCAACACGACAGTGGTCATCCATTACATGCTGCCAATCGCCGAATCGTGCTACCGTCTCATAACACTTCTCTGCCGAGCCTGAACAATCTCTTTAAAAATGTTTTGTAGCTTACGAGCTACTGTAGAGTGCAAAGGTTACGCACTTTAGGGCATTAGCAAGTTATTATGATAAAATCACGAATTTACAAGGCCGGATCATTGTAATTGTTGTTACATTAAAGATTAGTTTATGTATTTGGTTAAAACAAATTATGATTAAAATGCAACTTCTTCAGGCTACCTTTTCACCGATGTCATGCTAATTGTCCTTATATTCGCAATGGTGAGATCTGCTATCAACGATTTCGTGAATCTTAATATCCACTCATGCTACGCAGCCTGCGAGAGGGCCTAACGCTTGTGGTTTCGCCGTCATAACTTACTTGTTCAGTAAATCGAGGCCTCCTTAATTGCCGTCCACTTCTCGTGTGGCTTTTTATTACCTCCTCCTCCCTCGAATCGGTCAAACCGTCATTATCCGAGATTTCCGCTACTGAGTCCTCCGACGAGTTTTCTATGTAATCAGGTTCTTCACCAAGCCCACCATCATCTTGGACGCCCGCGTCGGTGTCCTCAATGTCTTTCTCTAGTTCCGAAGATTCAGGCGACACGTTGATTTCGAACCCTCCAGATACAACAGGCTTGGAAGCGGTTGGAGCTTCGATTTCACTTGTTGATTCCATTACCGGAGAAGTGCCAGCTAACTTCTTAGAACTAGTACCTTTACTGCCTCCATTAATTTCATTTAGTCTCTTCATACTGAGATATCTCGAGGGACGTCGACCCGGTAGCTCATATGCTAGTTTAACGTCATGCGCATCAACATGCACAGAACTCGAAGTCTCCTGCTGATAGATTTTCTGACTACATGTTTCCTCCATGCTTCTTGGATCCACTATATCATCACGCATGAAATTTACCAGTAAAGATATGCTGTTTTTGAACATGTCATACTTGTTTCCTTGCTCAGATTTTGCAGTCGATTTGATGGCACCTGTCGTGGTTTCAACCATAGTCCCAATCGCATTGATGCCACAAGATGGACCAAAGATCATGGGCTTCCAGACCAGCTTCTCTGGCTTAATTTGTGCTTTATTTTTTGCCCTCCAAGATCCATATATCTTCTCGATCACGTCCCAATTACCAACATTGATCAAGTAGCACTTCTCCTCCTGTTTTTGAAAATAGTACAACACACCTGCCTGCTCTAGACCGAAAATGATATCCGTAGGAGCCATGCCTGTCAGATTAGAGAAATCTTCTATACTAACTTGCAGAGTTTTGCCTGCATCCTCTGCAATTTTCATTCTCGGTTTTAGAAATAGAAGCGTCTCGCACATCTTTATTTTCCAAAAATTGCGGTATGAAAGCAGCCCGAGATCTGATAAAGGTTTCTCGGGCGTGCCCCATTTGTATTCTCTGCGAGATAAAAGGTAGGAGAAATCAACAAGCAAATGACCATAACCCTTTCTTTGAAATATCGGCAAAGTTATGATGCAACTGAGATTATAATCCGTTGAAGTCAATTTCTCTTTCGAAAAATAACCCACAAAGTAGAACCTCGGGCCCGATGTAGTATCGACTCGTTCTGTCAGAATGTAGAATATAAATGGCTCGACGTCGTAATACAAGGTCTTTGAATTGAGAAAAAGTTTGGCAAGTAAGCACAGATTTTGGCAATATATGACATTTTCTCGGCCATCAACTTCCCAAATTGAGATGTTTCCGTCACGATAAATTTCGTTTCCCGGAGGACGACGCATGCAACACTTTTTCTGATGCCTGTAGAACACATATCTTGAATTCATGTATTTGAGGCAGTACTCGCAGATGTAAAGAATTTTATTATTATTGAATTCTTCAGGGTAGGGCGCCGTATACCAAGTCCTAATTTCGTGATCCCTGAAGTGAATGTATTGGATCTTGCTAGCGGCTCTCGATTGCTTATGCTTCTTGTATCGGGTAAGATCTGCATCCTCTTTCTCAGTAAATCCTAATAAAGTATTACCATTGTAAAAGCTCGCTGAATCAGCGTCGGCCAGCAATTGGGCGAAAAACTCTCTATCTTTTAGAGACGGTATCGTCCGCTGAGTTGAGTAATCTTTTTTCTCGGCGATTGCGCCGCGATAAGGGATAGGCAACTCATTGTCGAGGGTGTCTGTTTGACTTCCAGTCTCGTGGGCTATAAAGTCATAATTGTAGTGCTCTCGCTGAGTATTGCTATTCTTGATCAAGTTCTCGAAATTGAACAGCTTTTTGGGTTCGTACCGAAGCTTGAAAACGTATCTGTTGTAAGAGTCTTGTATTTCGGAATCAGTTTCGAACGTGACAAAAGGACTCAAACTGTTAGCCTCACTAGCCCGACTAGGTAATTTCCAATTGTGCCAATGCGGGGGCTTCTCAGGTTTGGTAATCCTGGAAGTTATGGCGTTCGAATGAAACTTCTCATTATTGCCTTTTTTGATCACGTATCGAGATGGAGAACCGCCACGCGTACGGCGCGAGAACCCATCGGGATCCTTAAGTACTTCGTTTGCTACGGCCGAATGAATATTATCGCTGATTTCAATGTTTTTTAAGAGACGAAGATGTCTCTTATATCGTTCTTCGTCTTGCATAAAATTGGCGATTTTTCGACGAAATTTTGACCGATTTTTCTGCAAATAACGCTGCTGGTGGATTTGCAGTGTCACCAAACCGCAATTCCTTCCAATTGATCCCGTGTCAGCAACACCAACCTTGCCTTAATACACAATCTCCGGCTTGAAATCATCGTAACCTTTTTCGCCTATAAACTTCTTGAATCAAACGGGAAGTCACGTGATCAAACCAATCTCGCAAGTAACGGTAATAAAACCTTAGTATTTCTAGGAGCCAATGCAAGCTCGAGCTTATCGGCTCTCGGCCATTGGATTTACGGGGTGCTTCTTCTTTTTTGCGTAAATTTTCAATCGCTCAAGAATGTGTTCTTTGAGTGATATGCTGGTGATTAATCGGAAAACGTGCGAGGACCAAAAACTAGATTGAAATATTCAAGAAATGTTTCAATTTGTTTAGGTTAGAGCGCCCCGTTCGTTGTTCAGTTGCAGCTTCTGGTTCATCACAAGAGTTCAGCTAGTATCCTTGAAGCGATATTCTGGGATTTGCTGGTTTAAAAAGCATCAAGCCGTCAAACGACCAGGATTACCTACCATTTTAGTTGCTTCTTCATATGACTACCAACGGACCCAGCAGCGTAGAAGAAATCGCACTATTCACCTTGGTTTGCGAATCAAATGATTTCGTCAAGGCGTTAAAGTGCTTTTATATATACCAGCAAAAATAATTAATACAGTACAACAAAAAGGAAGTTTAAACGGACATTCTATCAAGGCATTTCTGAAAGTCATCGAGCTATGAGTCGTTAGTTAACAGAGAGGAGGGGGAACTTATGGTGAAGTAGGATTAAAATTTTAGGAATTCTGTTAGGTGGAGGAGAATCGATTAGAGCTTTGTTGTCATCACTTTGAAAATTGGAGTCAGTTCTGGTCGCCTCTCATTTAGTCTTCGAGATCTATCTATCTGAATGTGTGGGGGCGACTGTGGTTTGTAATTTCCCGTTCGTGCCAATTTTTTTTTATAATAAATTCATTTCTAGATTTGTTTCGTTATCATTCTTCGTAACTTCGTGAAGCACGTATGTCGGGACTCGCTGCCCTTTTGTCGTTTATCCCCACAAGTTTTTCTTGACTTGCAAGTCTAAGCCGCTTAGCGAGCGACTGAGACCTTCATCCAGATCTGGACCTAGTCCCAGTTGAGATACCGTGGAATACATGATATCGTGTACTGGCAGTTCGCCAACAGGTTCTTGGAAAGACTGCATAGAATAATTTGAATGAATACTCCCATTGGTATTTTGCGGATCAAGCCGCTGCGATACGAAGCGGGTTTCATTCAAGTTGGGCGTTGAAGGAGTCTGCGAATAGAATGAAGGCATCCGTTGCACTGTGTTTGGTTGGGTTGCGGCAGATGGCGGGGACACACCTGAATTTCTCAAAAGTGGGTTGTTCGTGGTTGACGTTGCCTTCGTGGCATACCCAGTCGGAATACGGTTGTGGAGTATAGAGGAGGACGGCGTTTGAGACGACTGTTGTCTCAATAACGACTGCTGCTGTTGCTGTTGGGAGTCCATATGATGCAAGGCGGTTGGCTGCATCAAGGGCGACTGAGCAGGTGTCTGGTGCTGGGACTGTGGGTGTACGATGGCAGCGGCAGCTGCTGAGGCGTGGGCTTGTAACAGCGAGGTATAAGAATGGGATTTCGAGAGCGAACCACCCGTCGAGCTGGGTTGCAAAGGTTGCATGACGGGCAATTGGCCTTGCTGTTGCAGATGAGATTGCAAAGCGGCGTGATCTAGCGCTTTACGGCGGATAACAATGAAGCTCGGGTCGTAAACTTCCACAAGTCCCAGATAAGAGCACAGTACGTTAATAACACGCTTGTGAGCCGCAGAAAGACCTGTTGGGTACGCCAGTTCGTGGTAGTTCTTTTCGCGGTCTTTGAACAGTAGCAACTGTGAGTATATCTCGAGCGTGTCAGGGTCATTGAAGTCCAGTTGTTGAGGTGGGAGGGGCATGTTTGTCGAAGCTGGTAGAGGGGCGTAGTAACGCTCTGCGCCGGAAGCGTGACTCAGATTCTGTGTCCCTGGCTGGGCATTGCCGTTTCCAGGGTTCATCATAGAGGAAGCGGTGTTTTGCGACGACAGCAGCGAGGATTGGTTGGGCACGTTTTGAGAGGGACCGTTCATAAAGGAACCAAAAATTTGACTTGAAGACGCAGGCGAATTGAGCGTATTTCCCGTCGCAGACGTAAGAGCACCGCCGTTGGAAGGCAGACCCGGTTGGCTGCCCGGTGCACCTGGCTGGACATGGCTACTATTAGGTCCTGGTGCCGCGCTCTTGCCAAGCGATTGAAGCGAGACGTTAGAAGTGGAACGATGTTGTTCTTCGAGTTGACCTCTTTTTTCGCGCTTGCCACGTTCGATGCGTTCGCGTTCCGCTTGGGGCAGCATTTTCTTGTACTCAACGCGGAGTTTACGGCCACCGATTTCCTTGCCATTCAACGTCTGCACAACCTGCGTCGTCTCCTCTGTAGTCGCAAAATTCGCAAACGCAAGTCCGCGGAAGATGCCGTTATCAAAGTGGTAGTTGAAAGCGTAGGGCAGTGGCAGCGTCATCTTTGCGATAACTTCGAGCAGCTGCTCCTTTTTAATCGCGAACGGAATGTTTTTGATCACTATAGCTGTTGGTATCACGTCTTCCTCGAGCCTCGAGTGTTGTAAGAGCAAGGCAGCGGGCGACGACGCATCTGGGCCGCCGCCAGCGTTGCCCGATGCTGCTTCGCTTGCGCTTCCAAACTGGCGGTCTTGGCTCATTTAAACAGGACAATATATATTGTCAGACCTTGTAGACCCAGTAGTTCGAGGGTACGGAAAACTGGTCACGCGGTAGTTGAAAAGTTAATTGGGAAGCGTAGTTTGTACCTTACTGGTTCAAAGATGTCAACAGGACATTTCTTCCTCCTACAAGATTCTTGGGAGTTGGTTTTACTAAATGGGCTTCCTTTGGGTGTTAGCCGGGTAATGTCGCCGGGTGATGAATATATTCGTAACGTGTGACCTTTGTTTTTTATATTGCACCCACACACCTGATTTACACCCATACATTCTTGTATCATGTGCTTCCAAAAGTCACGTGGTGTTGTTCGAGCTCTACCTCCACCTCCACCTCTACCGCTACCTCTACCGCTACCTCTACCGCTACCTCTACCGCTACCTCTACCGCTACCTCTACCGCTACCTCTACCGCTACCTCTACCTCTACCTCTACCATAGCGGAAGAATGATGCACTGGTGCCAATACAAACGGCATATATCTTTGCGTAGAAGAATGATAATAAGACGGCAAAATAGCATAAGGGCGCTGTAAAATTGCAGAGAAGGGCAAATGGTAGAAAACCAATGGAATCCCAAGATCCAAAGTCACGCACTGCAATTTATACTATGCCTCTATCGCTCTTCAATCGCACGTTTATCCACGTGATCACATGACCACCCATTATTTCAAATTTGTTTAGGATCTTCTTGAATATCCGGGTAACAGATCCCTCGTAAGGAAGTACTGGAAAAAGTTTGCAAGGTGGCCTTAACAAGACTTCGATCGGTATCAAAAGAACCTGCAAAGAACGCCCCCTCACAGCCGTTCTCTGGTGTCAATTGTGTCAATGTCTAGTCCCGCGCCTCCAGGTGGTCAAAGAACCCTACAGAAGAGAAGACAAGCGCAGTCCGTCAAGGACAAGCAGCAAAAACAGACGCCCGCTTCTAGCAGACAAGCTGGATTTGGTGGGTCCTCTAGCAGCGTTCTTAAGCTGTACACTGACGAAGCTAACGGGCTAAGAGTTGATCCGCTGGTCGTGCTTTTCTTGGCCGTGGGCTTCATTTTCTCCGTCGTTGCGCTCCATGTCGTCGCTAAAGTGACGGGCAAGCTCTTCTAGGTTCCTATATACAAGTTTCTACATATCCGCTAACAATACGGTTACAACCTCTGCCACCCGATCTTTGTGCACGCGGTGTTTTTCGATTCCTGCGTCTGTTTGGTCCGTCAAGGTCCATTCGTCGCGGCTCGCTTGTGCGTATCGCTGTTCCCACGAATTAGCACGCCGCTCGCCGCGCACTTCAACGTCCACAAACGGCCATTGCTTACTCCCGACCGCAACGCACAAGGGAATACCCGTCGCGTGGCTTTGCAATACTTTGCGTCCGAGTCCCGTCCTCGCGTCTTCGTCTATCCACACGTCTATGCTCGAGTTGCATAGCTGTTCTGCCACCTCGGTTCCACGCTCGTCAGGTGCGGGCACGCAAACGGTAACTTCGAAGGGGCTTGCGGCGCGCGGCCATCTGAGTCCTTGCTTGTCACGCGTCACTTGCCCGATCGCGGCGACTAGCCGGCTTACACCAATCCCGTAGCAGCCCATCTCCAAAAAATCGTCTTTGTTGTCTTTGTTCATGTACTTCGCCTTCATTACCTTTGAGTATTTCTGGCCTAAGTAGAAAGAGTGGCCTACTTCTATGGTCCGCGCCTCAGACAGGTTTCCCTCTTGGCACGAACCGCAGATTTCGCCCGCTATCGCATCCACGAGCGACACTCCGCCGAGCTGCGCGAAATTACTCTTCATGTACTGCTTTAAGGGGAAATCTGGGAAGTTGGATCTTGAGTTTAGACGCACATCCATGACGCGAACAACGGATGCAAACAGCTCGCTGTCCTCCGATAGTGTGCTCTTAAATTTGTCTAAGATCGTTAAATTGTCACTGTCGCGCATCGAGACGTCCACGTCCTCTTGCAGCGCCTCTTTGACCAAATTCCAGTTCAACGTTCTCCCCTCTGGGTAGTACAGACATATCAAAGTGTCCCCACAAGCATTGAGAGCGTACTTCACATCCGCGTTCCCGCTGTGCAGGCCCTCTTCTACGGGAACCGAACTGCATTTCTCGACGTTCGATATAGACCCACAATTATCACACTTAAGGACCGTATCTTCTCCAGATTCGTGCTCGTAATGATATTCTTTGCTCATATCTCCTCCTATGTCCCCAGAATCGGCCCACGCACTCACAAAAGGAACCCCTAGATCCTGGAAAATGCCATCGTAACACTTGTTGACCCGATCGAAGGTTGCTACTGCATCTGCCTTGCTAGCGTCGAATGAATATGCATCTTTCATCAAGAACTCTCGTCCTCGTAGCAAACCGCCTCTAGGTCGCCTTTCGTCGCGGTATTTTCTCGTGATCTGATAAGCGATCAATGGCAAATCCTTGTAGCTTGACACATAGCCTCCTACTAGCGCTGTGATTTCTTCTTCGCACGTCGGATTGAGGCAGTAATCTGCTTTTTTAGCATCTTTAAGCTTGAAGAGCTCAGTGTTTCCCCACCTTCCAGTTTTCTCCCACAGCTTTCGTGCGGACAAAGTACTCAACGAAACTTCCGAAGCACCCAAATCCTGGTCCATGTGTTTCTTAATGACCTCACTGATTTTATTGAGCGATTTTAAACCCAATGGAAGCCAATGCACCAGACCACTCTGGGATTGTTTGACGAATCCCAACGCTTGAAGAAGTTCATGTGTAGGCAGCGTTTTATAAGCGTCTTTTGTCAGATTTTTTGCGTGAAAGGCTCCAATGCGTCTTATTATCCTTCCAGATTTGCTGCTGCTCATTTATACTCGAACCAAAGACGCTGATTGGTGATGCTCTGAGTTCATCACTTTCAGTTTTTGACGGTTGATCGAGTAGTTTTTCAGATCATCATCAACCTTAAAAATACAATACCATCGAAGAAAGCGGAAAGCACCGCAAGTCCATGGCCTCGGGTTCGCTTTACCTTCAATGCTCTATTATGAGGGTCTATGGTTTCAAACTTGAAATCTTGTAGGTGCTATACAGTTACGAATTGCCGCTTATTAGTGGAAAGTCAAGCTTTAGAATTTCAAGAATTTTTGGTATACCAGATTATCGGTCTCTTCACGGTATTTGTAGCCCAGATCTACCAAAAATTTCTGGAAACCAGCGTCTTCTTTAGGTGGAACCGAAATTCCCGCCAAAACTTTACCAATATCTGAGCCGTGGTTTCTATAGTGAAACAAAGTCAAGTTCCAGGTCTCGCTCATTCCGCCCAAAAATTTAAATAGGGCACCTGGCCTCTCAGGGAACTCGAAAGAAATGATGCGCTCGTTGGCAACCTTCGAAGCACCGCCCACCAAGTACCTGCCGTGGCTTTTGGCCATTTCGTTCTCTGAGATGTCAACGGCATCGAAACCCAAAGCATGCAACTGCTGCATAACTTGTTTGATTTCCTTCTCACGGTCAACCACACTGAATGAGGTGTAGATGTAGGCCTTTGGAACGCCATCGGATCCTTGACTTCTGTGTTCGTTGTATCTATACGAAAACTCAGTGACGGCTCTGGGATGAATGATCTTTTGCAATTTTTTGAAGCTACCTGGAACATCTGGAATAGTGACCAGCATGAAAACCTCCTTGCCCTCACCAAGCACTGCGCGTTCAGATACGAACCTGAGTCTGTCGAAGTTCATGTTGGCACCGGACAAGATGGGCACATATGTCTTTTTGGAGTGATCAGCGTTAGGGTGAAGCTGCGTCACGAATTTTTTCAACCCTGCTACACCTAGCGCGCCCGAGGGCTCGACTATGCTTCTCGTGTCTTCAAAAATGTCCTTAACAGCGGCGCAAATCTCATCTGTGTTCACCAGCACGACTTCGTCGACCACTTGCTGGCAGATGCGGAAAGATTCTTCACCAATCAAACGCACAGACGTGCCGTCCGCGAAGGTCCCGACAGAGGGAAGCGACGTGCGCTTGCCGGCATCCAGCGAAGTCTTCAAAGTCGCAGAATCGTAAGTCTCTACACCAATGATCTTGATATGAGGTGCTATTCTTTTCAAATACGCACCAATTCCAGCAATGAGACCTCCGCCGCCCACAGGGATGAAAACGGCATGGATTTTGGAGGCGTTATGCACTTGTCTCAAAATTTCCATGGCCACGGTTCCTTGGCCAGCGATGATGTAGGGATGGTCGAATGGAGGAATGTTAGTGAGACCACGTTCTTCGGCGAGCCGAGCACACTCGGCTTTCGCTTCATCGAAGTCGTTACCATACAAAACGACTTGGCCTCCAAGTCTGGATACGTTTTGATACTTGATAGAAGGAGTGTTGACGGGCATCACGATCACCGCGGGAATGTTCAAATGGCGGGACCCAAAAGCAACACCCTGAGCATGATTACCTGCAGAGCACGCAATGACACCTTGATTCTTCTGTTGATCTGACAATTTGGCCAGCATATTATAAGCACCACGCAGCTTGAAAGAAAATACGGGTAGCAGATCTTCTCTCTTGAGTCGCACGTTGGTGTTCAAACGAGACGACAGCCCAACGCCGAACGTCATGGGTGACTCGTCTATAATATCGTACACGGAAGACCGCAGGATGAGCCGTACGTAATCTGCAGATCCATCTGGCAACAGTTCGTCCGGCTTCAGATCCGCATGAAGTTTGGCAATGGTCGGAGAAAGCGAGGATTGGAATCGCCTTGCGACTCTGAAAGATCCCAACGACCTCGAGCAGGTCAAAAAGGTCGTAGACATTAGATCTCAGGGTCCTGTATTGGCGACTACATCGTGATTCATTGCCTTAAGATTTTTCATCGTTACCTGATACTCCGAGGTCACCTTGTACGCAAGTGTCAGCAACGTAACATAAAGCCCTTGCAATAGAAACGGACCAGCGGGAACCGAATTTAAGCTCGCTTTGGAACTCGCACTAGAACCGCGTTGATTGGGCTCAATTTCTTCACAAACTTTCGTGAGTAAAATCTGTCTGTTGAGCCTGATTGTGTTCAATTTGAAAAATATCAAAAATCGGAACGGCGTCAGCCTAACAAAAAGAATTGTACCCGTCTTTCATGTCCGCTCGTCCTTGTTCTCCCCGGGCTTCAAAACTGTACTGACAGGGGAAAAAACATCGAGTCCTACTTCGAGTAGAGTAAAACAGTAATGCAAGGACTACCGTAGAGTATCTCATAACGCAACAGACGAAATGAACATCAAAGAAACTTTTTGCCCACGTCTCTGTCCAGGAGCTGCAATTGACAAGACAAGCAGGACTGACCAATTGTTTATTCTCTGTTCTTACAAAGATGGGTTCCCTTCCAGTCACGTGCTCCACGTGTTCAGTAACTTTGAAGTACACCTATCGAAGGCTGGTTGACACTGACGTTACCCACCGAGTACCCGCACGCACAAAGCCGAGATTCCTCTAAAAGCCGTCGCGAGTAGGTGAAATCGGCTTCGCAATGGGTATCAGTTTTTACCCGGTCATGTAGTGTCACTACTCGGTTTACCTGCTATCCAAGTATGGCCTGCTCGCATCTGCGCCTTTTAGAGGGGTTTACCACAACGGTAACAACGACGGAAAAAAACCAGAGTGTAACCGGTTCCAGAAACGGATCAAGCATTTGGTTAGAGGTCATCTCTCGAGGCATTATGTACGGAAAACTGGTGGAGTCACCTCGAGAAGATATACCTCCAGTAGGATGTCCCAAATATCGTCTAAGGTGCCTTATACCGAGTGACATATCCTAATATGAGTGACACGCGCGCCATATGAGGTGCCACCCGCTAAGTGATCAAAGTCATTCGGAGTGTTCTGAAAGTTCCAACGTTCCATTGGCGACAACCAATTGCAGGCTCTGGTCTGTTTATGGGCCGCGCAAGATCCTCTAGGTAATTTGTTAGTTTCCTCTATCCAATCCCTAAGCCGGTTGTAACTACTCTAAGAACCAAGCAGTGGGTCTCGAAGCAGCTCCTCTTCCCTGTAGAACCATCTCCAGCATCTTCGCACACCCTTTGTCGGACAACAAACGGTCGTGATTGCCTAAAAGGGTAATTTGGTTACCCAGTTTTGATCGTCCAAGGCATACAGCGTCAGACATGCCCAAAACGGCAAACAGTAAACAGCGGTATTCTACCACTTCAACCCATTCAGAAGAATTCTCACAAAAGTTTCTCAAATCACCTTTGAGGAAATTCGAGAAACTTACCTAAAGGTCACCAGAGGGATACCGGAAACTGACAGGAGGAGGAGATAATTTGCCATCAGTGCAGAAACCAGCAAGAACAGCGATTTGCGTACAAGTGATTCACACAGAAGCCACAAAATAGCCGGGTTCCTGGGAGATTTCGCACCACAAGCATCGTTTCGCTATACAACGAGAACTGGGCGGGGCCAAAAGCTCGGGATAATTATACAAACACGCGTGTGCTCGCTGCGATGAACACGCCCAAAATGAACGAGCAACTGACGCCGAAGTTGTCGCCGACAATGATGCATCTGGACGACACCATACCTGCGCTCAATGCGCCGTCGTTCATGTGTCTTGACGACGCAAAGGCCTATCCCCTCATGTATCGAACGTCTCTCTCCAAGCTGAACGAAAAGGGTCGACAGGGTCGAGGTCGCACTTCGGGTCCCGAAACGCCGACTCGACTGTTGCGGTCCAATTCTCCTATCCGAGCGATGCTCAACCATGCGCCCAAAATGCTCAAACCGGAGTACATGGGGCGACCCACTTTGTTCGGCAAAAATACGGGCTCCATTGCGACACCCTCCATGATACTGGCGTCCTCGAAACTCAATTTCGAGACTTTGCAACGACCTGTCAAAGTTACAAATGCAAAAGTGGAAGAAGAGCAGCCGAGCATTGAGATGTTAGAGCCTGGAGTGGAGCGGTGCAAACCCGTTCGAGAGAGGCCCGGTCGGAAACATAAAAGAGGCAACTCTACCGCCAGCACTACTGTAAGCGGCGCGACCGCATGTGAATCCCTCCAAGAACCACAGATGCCGCTGAAGGCGCCTCTTAAGCGTGGTGGTACCAACACCAGCTCCAATCCGGGATACAGGTTTCCGTCGGAAAATTCTACAGCGTCTTCGTCATCCACACTCGACATCCAAGAGATCCCAGCCGAATTTGCGTTTGACACGCCGATGGACAAGGCGGAATTTGTGCTGGCTACGCAAAATAAACGAGATAGTTACATGTCCAGCGTAGGGTCAACACAAGACGACGATCTGGGTGGCTGGTTTGCGCAGTACGTCGAGGAAAAACAGAGCAATTTGGCACTGTCCGTATTGCAAGAAAAGCAAGAAGAGACAATTCGGGCGGATAAAACTGTTCATACAGAACAAATAACAATGCGCATAAAACAATTAGAATTTCAGATCAATGAACTCAAATTACAAAACGATGAACTTCGGCATTCCATGACTGCACATCGTAGTTTACAGGATAGGTACATGTTTGAAGCATTGCATGATGCTCATCGAGAAAAAGAGCTGACGAAGAGGGACATGGACAGGAGAATGAAACAGCTGGAAAAGCAAGTCGAAAATTACAAGAAGGTGATTAAAAAGCTCACAAACAAGACTCAGACAACGGATGTCTCGAAATCAAGGCTTAGTATTGTGAGCGTTTCTACTTTAGACGGAATTTCGGAGGCCGATACCAAGGATGGCTACGAAGCCAACGGCAACGAGAATCAGGATCAAGACGATGATGATGACGACGAACAAGAAGACAATGAAAACAGCGACCGCATAAACACTTCGACAATTGCCAGTGACATCAATGCAATGGAGCCATCGTCACCGACTCGCATCAAAAATAAAAAACCTTCTGGTTTTGATTTAAAGCTCTCGTTGCAGGTATGACTGACGAACCAATCTCAGTACACTACTGACTGGGAATTATAAGTCAGGAAAGGAAACAAAAAAGGCAGACAATAACCAGGCACACGATCCTACAATACGAACCAGATAACATTCCCGTCTTTAATTTCACCCTGTTGATAGTCAGTTCACGACCCACACCGACCTTTTCCATGAACTTCTTTTATGCATCATTAATTTAATTTCCAAACTACTAGACAAGCATCAGTGGAGCATAGTTTTACTCTCTACGTTATTCCGATATATTGAACAATTTGTAACTAAACACAGACTATTATAAAAAAGGACTTAAATATTCACCAGCGCAAGCGCTGTCCTTGCAAAATACAGACGGGAGGATGCACTAAAAGTACGTATTCCACACTGCAACATTAAATAAATATTTGAAAATGTGAATAATTTCTTGAAGGTTTTAGACAACAGCTACAACGTCAACCGCAGCCAATTGGTTAAACCGAGTTACAAGACTCTATGACTCATGATTATTTCCTGCCATTTGTAGGAAGTCATCGCAGAAGAATCATGTAATTGTTAGATTCAAAAAGAAAATTGGACGAGACCGGAGTCGAACCGATGACCTCTCCCATGCTAAGGGAGCGCGCTACCAACTACGCCACACGCCCATCTAGATGATAAGCTAGGTCTTTTAATAATTTATATACGAAGTATAAATTGGAGTGATCAGCTTAATGATATTCTGACCAAGAACTCAACTTGATTCTTCGATGGGGTAAGAAGATTTGCTTCCTATTGAGAAGAGGGCAGGGTTTTCAGCCGCTATTCTATCAAGCTCAGTTAGCCTTTTGTTGCAAGTGGGATCATGTCCTCTTCAACAAGCTTACCGCGTCCCAAACCGTGGGAGACGAATCAGGCTAATATTCCGAACGAACCGGACGTGAATATAGCAGGATCATCGGTGTCAAGTTTAACAAATCAAGCAGACAATGCTAGTGCTTCAGACGGAAGGCCGGACCTTCCTGAAAAGCCAGACGGATTGGGGTCTGTTACCAACACAAGTAACGTAGCTCATATGCGAAACAACATGAACGGCGGAATAGGATCGTATTACAATGGAAACTCCGCGTACGGTGGTGCTTACGGGAACTCTCCTTATGGAGGGGGTTTTGGTTCCATGTATGGAAGTGGGTATGGATCTCTGTACGGCGGAGGCTACGGATCGATGTATGGAGGTGGATTTGGAACACCTTATGGCGGTGGCATGTATGGCATGAATGGCGGGGCCAACGGCCCACAAAATTTAGCCGAATCTACACAGGCGACGTTTCAGCTCATCGAAGGGCTTATTGGAGCAGTAGCTGGTTTTGCACAGATGCTAGAGGCCACATACATGGCAACCCACAACTCATTTTTCACTATGATATCCGTTGCCGAGCAGTTTTCCTCCTTGAAGGAAATGGTCGGGTCCTTTTTCGGCATTTTTGCAGCGATGAAAGTGCTAAAAAAGGTGTTATACAAACTGAGCAACGGGAGATTGGGCTCGCCACCTCAGAGAGCGAAAACGCTTCAAAATGGCGAAAAAACCGGTCTCATCGAGGAGTTTGATAGGTTCCAAGCTTCGGATGGCAAGGCGAGGCCCAAGAGACGTATTTCTTGGAAACCGCTGTTGGTGTTCCTTGCTGCAGTTTTCGGTTTCCCCTATTTGCTGAATAAGTTCATAACGGGGCTGGCACGCGTCCAAAGCCGTAAGCTGGGAACGCGAATTTCAGGCGACGGTACGTTAGACCCTCGCAATCTGGAATTTGGAAGAGCCATATACGATTTTACGCCCGAGAATCCGCAAATAGAGGTGACCCTCAAGAAGGGTGATTTAATGGCCATAATAAGCAAAGATGATCCATTGGGGAACGTTTCACAGTGGTGGAAAGTGCGAACAAAACGTGGAGACATTGGTTACGCACCACACAATTACATCGAAGTAATTAAAAGACGGAACCAAATTGAATCAGTCGAGGAAGAACGGGGTCCTGAGCAAACCGCAGTAGCGGAGGATTCGTAAAACCAAGTAACAGGAATATCAAATTCGCTGTTAGTTTCGAGTGAATATATATTTTCATTTTCCAACTGCAAATAGTGGCACCAGCCTACCTACATAGCATAATTATTGACGGAGCGTCGAGATTCCAAAACCCTCCAGACCCTTGCTTCTTACGTTGGTGCATGTGAAGTTCGTTATGCGTAAAGTCATAAGAGAAGGATGCGTTGAAGCTTTTAATTCTTGTACTTTTCAGCCATTTGCTCAGCCTTTTTCACGCCCTTTTTAGCCTCCTTGCCAGCCTTGTTCACCGCCTCTGCAGATTGGTCAGCAAAGTTCGTAGCAGGATCGCTCTTGTTCCATTTGTCCTGTACATCTTTAGACGCATTTTGCGCTTTCTCGATACCGTCCGCAGCCGCTTGGCCGGCCTTCTTGTTAATAGCATCTAGACCCTCTTTGCCAGCCTCCACTGGAGAATCGTGCTGCTTCAAGTTCTCTTTAGCCTCATGTGCGCTGTGTTGAGCCTTGTCAATGCCTTCGGCAGCTGCCTGGCCTACTTTCTTGTTGACAGCATTGAGACCGTGTTTGGTCGCTTCAGAAGCCTCGTGTGCCTTCTCACTGACCTTATGCGTCGCTCCCTCAGCACTTTCAATGCCGCTGGCAGCCGCTTGCCCAATCTTCTTGTTTAGCTCCTGAAGGGTGTCTCTCACCTTATCACCGATATTACTGTTGCTGGAACTCGAGTTGTGGACGGCCCTCTGGGGTCCAAAAGCCGAAGATACCACGACGGACCGGGCAGAGAGCGTCGATGGTCTAAGGACGCACAACGCCGATCTTCTCAAAACTGCTTTGCTGATCATACTTTAATTCTGTTTACTGCTTGTGTGACTGAGCTTTGAATCTCAATTATCGACAACCAAGGTGGCCCCCATTCTAGAGACTGCTCTGATTTATATACGTTCTACCTTATATGCGTTTATGTCACCACCTTAGACACTGCTCATGGTTCGTCTGCAATGTCTCCAGCAATTTTTGCCTTTAGTGCAATCTGACCTGTGATTGCGAAAGCAAATCGGGGCCTTTCGGACCCTTATTTCGCCGATGCAGCAATCCTCCTAGTCCATTTTTTGCCCAGTCCTGTTATGTCATGTCTTGTCATGTCGGCCTATACTGTCATAGCGACTGTCGTAGTGATGACAGGCAACCTAGCCTAGAGCAATCTTGGCCGAGGTTCGAGACGAAAAGAGACTCGTGCGTTTCAAAACAACTGCGCTGTACGCAGCTACGCCGCTACATAGATAATCGCCAAGGTGAGCATGTTCGATGCAGCGAAACGAATTTTCGCCGAAGTACGTTCGCGGGGAAATATGATTAAGCAGCCGTCATAAGAGAGTTTGAATTATTACGAGAGGTAAAGGGTCAAATAGGGTGAGATACGGGTACTCCGAAAAGTATGCTCGTGGTATTTGTTTTCTTTACTGTTGATAAGTTTTCTTGAAATACATTTCTTAAGTTTTATCGGTGTCGATAAATAGTCTTCAAATGATCAGGTTGAATGTTTTTGGTCTTTCCAAAAAATAAAATACACCGAGTATCGGGTACAGTGGTGCATGCATCTCCGTGGTTATAAAGGCACTATAACGCCCCCTGGTTACCGCATCTTCAATAGAATTCTTGTCATATTATATCTTTTTATTAACTTTTACTCCTAGCAAAGTATGTGTTGAGAATCTCTCTGTGAGACGTCCGCTATCAACCTAGTAGTCCGAAGACAGTGCTTCGAAGATCTTATGTTCACCACTGGGTCATTGAGCTTCCATGTCTTCCTGCTAGGAGTGATTCGAACCCTCTATTCAACCATCTCTCATTTAATTCTGACATCGCGATCACGTGACATTTAGTCACCAATAACTACGACACTAGTAACTTCGACAGCGCTAACTTGAGCAAATCGCCTATCGTAGGCCTACCCTAACAGAAAGTGGAGCATCTATAAATACTGTAGCGGAAAGGAAGGCCAAAAGATATGGCTTGACAAACCCGCGGGAAAATATTTCTGTGATTTTATGAATTTTCTATCTCCATACCAGGGGCTGAAAAGAAGCTGGAATAGGCTGAGAAATATTCACAGCTAAAATAAACACCGAAAAAGAACTGCATTAGCCAACGTAGCGGTTTAGACTTCTCACTTGCTCGCCGTCTTATCGCTCAAGCCTTGAATATCACTTTTTACGCTGTATCTTTTTGAAAAATTTGTCTCTAATGACTATAGTAGACGAGCCATCGGGAAGCGAAGCCAGTCCTGACGACAAGTACAGAGACTTCTTAGACGCTACGGCCGTTATGATTGCCGTGGGCCTTTTGCACACAAAGCCTGCGATTCGTATCGCAGGAGTCATGCCCGCGTTCGCCGCGCGTTCCGCACTTCCCGCGCTGACGCGGTGGTCGCTGCCCTTGAGACCGTTTTCCGCGTTCAGTCCGCAGTGGGCGACACTGAACCAGATTAAAAGAGGCGCAAAGCCGCCAGAACGCAAGAAACAGACTGTGTCACCGGATCTCAAACGTTGTCCCGTCAGAAAGGGTGTCGTTCTCAGAGTAATGGTGCTGAAGCCCAAAAAGCCTAATTCCGCACAGAGAAAAGCTTGTAGGGTTCGCCTCACCAACGGGAACGTCATTTCTGCATATATACCGGGCGAAGGCCACAACGCACAGGAGCATAGCATTGTTTTCGTTCGTGGGGGCCGTTGTCAAGACTTGCCCGGTGTCAAGTACCGCGTCGTGCGCGGTGCCGGCGATCTCAGCGGAGTCGTTAACAGGATCACTTCCCGTTCTAAATATGGTGTCAAGATGCCTCAGAAGGACTAATCAAAAGCAAGTTAACCATTCGTTAGGACCTGTACATATCCCATATACTATCAATACGATGACCGAGAGAAAAATCACGTGATAAACTTTTTCCCAATCAACTCCAATACTTCAGCCTGGTTGAGAAACTGCTGAAAAGGGGCATCGCTTCCAGAATCATACCAGGTAAACAAGCGGGCTACAAACAGTTCAGCCATTGATTGAGGTCGAGAAACCATGCTTCACTTACGTCCCCATAATCTTCTGGTTCAAAAGACGCTTTCGGAGGCCCTGGAGGCCAACACCAACGGCACGCCTTTGACCCTTGACCGTATAGTTTCCGACTTTGATTACACAACTTTGCACATTTCAAACGCGCCGGAAAACAAGGGTGTTTTGTGGTTGAGTATCAGAACGAAAGCGTGGCAGAGTATCTCGCAATGCGGAAGTGGACTCGTCGAATTCATTCTAACAAAATACTCGGGTTTAGGAGGTGTCTCTGCAGCGCGGACTGAGCCAGGTTACGATTTCACACTCCAAGTCGATCTGTCCGCGCTTCAACCAGATGCTATTGTGCAATTGTCGCTTTTGAAAGTCATCATAATGAGTTTCCCGTTCCAGCTTGCGTTCGACAAAGTTGCGCAGTTGATGCAGCTGCCAGAGGGTTCAAACTCGACCGACGAAGTGCACAAGATCCAGTACCGCGACGACGAGAATATTTTTATCAAGCCTTCAAACGACCGTATCACTGTCATTTTTGAGACCTTTTTCCAAGACGAGACCGACAAAGTGTTCGGCAAAGTGTTCTTACAAGAGTTTGTTGACGCCAGGAAGAGAAACCGGAGCATTCAGTCTGCGCCCCAGGTGCTGTTTTCGCACGAGGCACCGCTCGAGATCAGCCGCGTCGTGAATCAGGGCCGCTCCGAGAGGAGCAAACGTTTCATCACGTTTGTCCTGTTCCCGCGCCATTTCCAAACTCCAGAGCTCCAGTTTTCCTCAGTGTGCCATTTGGCTTTGTTCAGAAACTATTTCCATTATCACATTAAGTGCTCCAAGGCGTTTATGCATACTAGAATGAGATACAGGGTCGATTCGTTTATCAAGGTGCTGAACAGAGCCAAAGTCGATGAAGAAGACGATGCACAAGGCGATGCTTCCAGAAGAACAATCTCTGGTCGGAAAATGGTATATTGACTGCGACGTTTCGCATCAGGCACCTCTAACGAACTTATAAAGAGAGGTGTACTTCATCTCTTAAAAACATACATAGAAAAATGCCACGTAAATGCGCTCTCGCAGAATCATCCAATGGAATGCTAAGCCTTGCTTGGCATGCTTCGAATGATTGACAACGGCAAAGGCGTACGGGTAGAAGTCAGTGCGACACGATTAAACACCGTTCACGTGATCGTATTGTCAGTATACATCACTAACGAAACTATTGAGAAATCACCGAGAGCAACACAAAGACTCCTATTAAATGTCTGAAATAGTTCCAAAATTCCTTCGCCATGGTGAAAATTTCGAGAACATAATGTTGACACCATTTCTACGTTTTTCCACGCCTTTTACAGACGAAAATATCATAAAATCAAATAAAACAGTGTTAAATTTGTCAGGCAAGCACACCGCTGAATGGTGATAATAGAGCCATTTTGGAGATAAAATGAGGTCTTTCATGATTGAAGAGACGATGAGAGGTTGATGAGACAGCTGGTTAATTGAAATCAAGATCTCAGCGTAGGTCGGTAATGAGCGTGAAGTCGGCCGGGTAACATCTGCTTCTTGAATAGGTGGCGAAAATTAAGAGGGAACTGCTAAGGTAAACCAGGCTTCCTTAAGACAAAAAAGTTAAGCAATTCACGCACATAGCATTGCGTATAGCTTTTGACTAAGGTTGCATTCAATTGTTTGAAGATTAGAATGGGTATGTTTGATTTTGACGGTCTTTCCAGTGTTTTTGGCAGTTTTAGCTCGTAGGACGCGTCGTTTTTGTATTGATCAACAAACTAACACACTTTAGGTTCTGAGGTAAACGCAAATCGCAACAATGGCACCAGCAACAAGAAGAAGATGTCACTAGAAGAGTTCTTCAACGACAATACACTGGGAGACTCTGTGTGGGACGAGGAAGAGATCAACCTGGACGCGATATCAATATCGTCACCTCTTACGAACACCACGAGTTTGGACGTGCTCAAGCAAGGTCCGGTCAAGCTGGGCGGGCCTACAAGCGAGGCCCGGGGGCCAATGGGCCGAGGCAACGTGATGCCAGAGAGCGGCGGCCCACGGATGCGAAGTCAGCCCTACATTGTGAAGTTTTCGCATCTGCCATCCAAGTTCACGCGAGCGGACATCGAGGATCTGTTTCATACGAAATGCACGCGGTATTCGAAGCTCAAACTATTTTGGGAGCTAAACAAAAAGCCGCCCATTGGGCTTGCTTTGAAAAATACAGGAGTTTTTGAATTGAACTTTACACGTGACTCAAAAGTGGCCTTCACGGAACTGTACTCTGCGCGCGACATGGACAAGATTCTAGACAACTGGAGTGCACCACTGCGCGAGCTGTTCGATATCTACGTTACTCCCGCTCAATACGACGATTTCCAGCATTATATGGCAAAAACCAAGCTGTTGAGTGAGGCCGACGATCCCGGTTTGTCTTATGATCCCCAAGCGCAGCACTCCCGAGCACAATCTTCACACCTACAGAGAGATAGCCAGCTACCGCCTCAGCAGCAAAAGCGGGAGCCTAAACACAAGCAATCGGGACCCGGCGCCGAAGTAGCTCATGGATCTCCACAACAATCCTCGAGCCCCAAAAAGAATCCATTTGGCCACGCAAAACCGGTAGACACGCAGACCAAAATCTTGCAAATTGAACAGACGGTGAACGAATTACACATAGAAGACACGAAGAAACTTAGAAGAGCCTCACAGGATGGCCATCACGGCACAGCCATGGCGCCGCAACCCATCAGTTATTCTGCAATCCTGAAAAAATCTGTCTTAGCGGCAACCCCAGCCGCATCCCCGCATTTTGAGCCTGCAAAAGCTATGCCTAGCGTATCGCCAGAGGTCGAGGAAGCCAATTCAGAGCCACAAGACAAAACAGAATCTGACGAGGAAGCAACAGAGACTGACGGCGAAGAAGTCCAGCCCAAATCTGATTTTGTTTTCAAAACAACCGGACGCGAAGACTCTCATGGTCACGAACGATCCTCGCATCATGGCAATGAGTACCCTGGTCGTGGCGGATACCGCGGTGGACGTGGCGATAGAGGCGGTGGCTCCTATCGAGGACGCGGGAGAGGTGGAACCCAAGGGAGAGGCGGATTTTCCAATAAAAAATTCGACGATACTCGTCACAAGTCTAAGTTCAATAATGGTAGGGACGAAAATCCTTATTCTGCATTTCGCCCTGCGAGTGGATTCTTAAGAGAAGGACCAAGTCCCGGTTCCAGCAGAGGCGGAAGAGGTGGTAGAGGAGGCCACGGAAACGGCCCTAACGAGCGTGGAAGAGGTGGCTACAGAAACAACCGCCACGGGTTCACATCAAGTTGAACTCGCGCGCGTAGTCATCTCATCTCGCCTTACGAATACTTACGTCTTTCAGTTGCGTCCGATACGCAACGCTCAAGCTGCACTTGCCATCGCCTTTGCGGATTGATACTCCTGTCAGAAACGATTTTGACTCTTTGCATATATGTACAATAAGTTGGTTAATTGGGTGGATTTTGCAAATCCTTGCCGTTTGTAGTCTCATACAACATTTTACATACATCCGTAACTGGTAGGTCAAGCACACCGCTAGTTTCTGAAAATGCATACTTCTTAATGAACTCTTCATAAGTATTAGGTTTCGCTAGTTTAGCCTTGCGATCCGTGATTGTACTAATGTCATGCAAGGGCACCGTCAACACATCTTCGTTGTATGTCAAAATACCCAAATAAATTGCCAACATTCCCATTAAAACAATACATTCGATGGTTACTATCCAATGCCTTTGCGGTAACAGATCCAGTAATGTGTGTAAGACACTTCGGAGACAATTGGAGCTCTCATCGCTCGGATTTTCCGACTCGTAAGATGTAGGAATTATAGACCATATAAGTATAAAGATCAAACCTGCTGTTGAAGCCAAAAACTGGAAAAACCCTGCATATTCTCTATGTGGGGACTTGGTCATAGCAGGAGGTTTCTCGAGATATTTAATGATATCCTTGGCCCTCTTGTAAATATCTAATCTTAAAGACCAAACTCGGTGATTACAAGAAATCCTACTATACGATCAAACCGTGATGACATGCAAAATCAATGTGCTGTTCTTTTATGCTATCTAAAACTCTACGATTTCTCCACTGCCCTTCGGACAATGCTTCGAATCTTATTTATGTTACTCTTGCGTTTGTTGCTGCTGGTTGGCAAGCTTCCTTTCTTGTCTTCCCTTTTTCATGACTTGTTTCAATGCTGAGCTGTCCAAAGGATCTAGCAGCTCAAAGCTGCAGAGTAGTCCCTCACTAACACTCATGACAGCACCCCAGTTATCGAATTCACCACAGTAGTTTGGAGCAGAAAATACAGTCACAAGACTTCGATCGTTAAAAAATTCGTAACCATCCTCTACCACCATATGCGCTCGGCAAACTAGATCAAATCCGAATTTGTTCAGAAACTTGTTGATGGCAACCTTATTGTAACAGTAGCTCACTCCTCGTTCATTATCTTCCCATTCATTCGGAGAGTCGGTCGGGTCAGACCACAGAAGGTCATTAATCAGACCAAAGTCCGGGACGTCAGTGGGTCGACTAACATGCCTAATCTCATCCATGGAATTCAGAACTGGCGATAACCCACCATGCACACAAAAAATTTTGCCCGCGACAATGGCCGCTAGTGGTAGAGTATTAAAAGTGTCAATAAAGATTTTCCATGTTCTGATATTGCAACGACGCTTGCATTCATCGTAAAACCCATAGACTCTCGTTACATTGGCACATTCATGATTGCCTCTCAGCAAAAAGAAATTTTCTGGATATTTGATCTTGTAACAGAGAAGTAGTAAGATCGTTTCCAGAGACTGTTTACCTCTATCGACATAATCACCCAAAAATAGGTAATTCGCTGACGGAGGGAAGCCGCATTTGGTGAATAACCGCAGCAAATCGGCATATTGACCATGAACGTCTCCTAAAATTTTAACGGGTGGCGATAACTCAAGAAGTGAAGGTTGCGCTAAGAACATTTCGCGAGCCTGATAACATATTTGCGCTATTTCGGAATTTTTCAAACACACATTTTTTGTTCGCTTTCCGGAATATCCAGCATCCAGTAGCTTTTGTATGGTTTCATCAATATCAAGAGGCTTTATTGATTTCTTCCTTTTGGTATTTTTGGTAGATAGAGATTCGGTCCCGTCATCGTCTACGTCTAGCCCGTGAGGTACGTCATGCGGATATTCTTCTATCGAATCGCTCCTAGAACCCGAATGATGAGGTTTGGCACCTTCAGTCCCGTTTGTTGAATTTTCACCGAAATAGTCACCAGATTGATTTCTCAAAAGTCCTGGCGAATTCATCGGTGTGCTGTAGATAGAATTTCCCATGCTACTTGCAAACGAGGATTTTCTGCTGTGTGTACCGGCGGATGAATGCGACGAAGAACGACTCACTTGAGAAGGAGAAGCGCCATCTGGGAGTTCCAAATGCATTCCACCGTTCCCACTTTTTTTGCGAGTACTAGCAACACTATTGCTCCTGCTCCCAATGCTTGGTGATTTCTGCAAGTGCCGCCGCGTTTCGCTGCTGCGACGTCGGTGGTGATGTGACTGGTTCTCGTCATTATCGTCGTCGTCCGTCAAAGCGTTCTCGTAGTAGTTAGAATATCCTCCAGGGCTTAGACTCGCAGTCGTAGTTCCGTTTTTCAAAATTGGCGATTTCGGTTCCATTTGTATCATTGAAGGTGGCAAATCACCGCCAGAACTAGAAGATCGGTGTATCGATCTCCCGAGCGAAGGGGACGGTGGAACGTTTGAGTCTTGTAAAACGCTAGCGCTACTGCCTCTCTTGGAAAGGGGCGGCTGTGCTAGTGAATCACGTTTACTTCCAGATCCAAAAACACCCGAAAACGCCTGAGGCGCCTGCGATGCCTGCGGTGTACCTTCTGCGTCATTTGATCCTTGTCCCGGTGTTCCTGGCGTGTCTGCCACTGAAGATGACTGCGATCGCCTCGAGATTGCCGATCGTAAAGAACGCCCACTTTTGACAGACTGAGACGTGTCTGTCCTGGTAAAATTCGGCGGACGTTCAGATGACTTCGTCTTGCTCTTCGACGACTGTTTCGAACCGGTGTTACCCATTACCTTTCGATCTTATCTCCGAGTCTAGTTCCTTCTGCGTCCAAGACAACGGCTTACAACGGTGAGCTATCTGTTCTATGATAAAGCTTCCCTCCAAAGTGAAGTCAGCAAAAATGAACGTCTGTACCTCTAAAAGCCTTGAACGTACTGTGGGCTTAGGAACTTATGGTGCTCTCTCAAACAAAAGTGTCAATTATCGTGTAACTTAGTCCCTTGAATTGAAAACTGCAATATCATCAACTATTACCCGGCCTAGAATTAAAAGTATATAAAGGCCTAGTGATGGTAATGGGTCAAGAGTTGGTAACAGGCGCGGGAGTTTAACGAGAATGATATTGTGGGGTGACTTAGAGCTGTGTGATCGTTGCCCTGCTGTAAAAAACTGTTCCTGGGAAAGATAGGCTTTTTCAAGATTTAAGAAACGAGCATTTTTACGCCGGTTTACGCCATTTTACATTGATTACAGAAGATAATGAGCAGATCGGTTCAAGAGACCGATTATGATGCTCTGTCGTGTAGAATAAGTGCTATTGTTAAGGGCTACATGCCTTGTGAGGTACAGATTCAGAAGTGCGGGTTTTCAAAATACGCTGAGATGCATCTTGCGTATGCGAATGCACTGCGTTCAACGTCGCGCAGAGCTTACGGCAAGATACGCAAAACGGTAGAATCCGCGCTTCCGGTTATAAATTACGGCACTTATTTGCGTACGGTGTCGATTGACGCGGTTGTGTCCGATTTTTTGGAGAAGAAGCGAGACAGCGAACAGCTGCAAATACTTAATTTGGGGTGTGGATCAGATTTGAGAGCTGCCCAGTTTTTAAAGAGATTTCCACAATGTAGAGTGGTCGAAGTTGACTATTCGACATCCGTGGCCCTGAAGATTAAGACTTTAAAGGAATCTCCGGAATTGGTCGAGCTGTTCGCTGTAGGTAGCTCGGTAGCATCTCAGTCCACAGAGCTCATAACGGAGAGGTATTGTCTGCTACCTTGCGATATCAGTAAGATGGACCAAGTCACAACCATGTTGTCAGTGCATTTTAGTCCAGATGCGCCAACTTTAGTCCTAACCGAATGCGTTCTGTGCTATATGGCAGAGAATCACTCGTCACAACTTATCAAAACGGTGCAGGACTATTTCAATGAGGGTTGCTGGCTGTCCTATGACCCCATTGGGGGTGTCGAGGGTAAGGATAACTTTGGGTCGATAATGCGAGACAATTTAAGAGAATCTCGACAATTAGAGATGCCCACACTCATGTCTTTCAACGACCCAGCGGCTTATGCAGCCAGATTTGCATCCGGTAGAGTACCCGTGCAAATTCAAACCATGTGGCAATACTACCGCGTGAGCGTCACGTCGGAAGAAAAACAGAGATTGAAAGCTTTACAATTTCTGGACGAAATTGAAGAGCTTCAGATCATGCTTTCTCATTACATTCTGATGGATGCTCGCTGGAACAAGGTCCGTCCTGCGTAACCCGCTCACTTGTAAATTTTTACTTGTTTAAAATAAACTATCTGAACATCCATCCATTACATTCGCCCTGTGTCCTCCATGTCGCTTGAGGTACCGTGTCGTTTTCCGTGCGATAGAGCCTCCACGCTTCACGAATATGCTCGGGAAGTAAAGGACTGTCTGAGTACTTTTCGATGCTGACATCTAACGCATTGAACCTTTTAACCAACTTGTTGTAGTGTTTAATGATACCTCGTCTTATTTCTTCTGAGTTGACATGAGACTTCAGCAGCTGATTACTGTCGACGATCTCGTTGGCTTGCTCTTCTTCGTCTCCCTCCTGTAAAAAATCTTCTTCCGCTTCGTCCACACTGTCCTCATAAGGATGTTCGGCGCCCTCAACCATCATTGTGAGCTTCTTGAGGCTCTTTTTCAGTCGGTGAGCTGCCACTTCCTTCTCACGGAATTTGCCCAACATGAGAGCAACGAGCATTTTCTTTTTAACCTCGAGCGCTTTTTCTACCATCTCACCAACTAGAATCTTCCCAACACCTGCAAGTAGCAGATTGATGTTGGCAGCCACTGTTTGGCCAGTCACTAGCCCCGATATCTTCTTCACGTTATTCTTAGCGAGCGAAGTTCTACGGAACACTTCGAAGCGATTCATTTGGTCCTCATCTAAATTCGTTACCAGCAGATTCAGTTGTTCAGACTGGTCCAATTCACGGCCATGCGGTAGATTCCGCAATTGCTCGTCGTACACTTCTCTCGGAAATCTCAATTTTTCAACAATATGACTACCCGGCGCGGGTTTGCTTATTTTGCCTCCATTTCGTCTTCTAAACTTGCCGTCGTCTCTGTTCAAAGCTCCATCACGTCTTTCGAGCTTTTGCAATCTGTCAAATTGTGCCATATCGATCCCATCTTCTCCCCTTACCAGAATCTTTCCATCTGAATCTCCCGAATATTCAAGGTATTGTTTCAAGTATCCGTTCATTGTACCTCCCGTCCTCATGTCCTTCAATTTCCACGCTACATATTCTTGGTCTTCGCTCAAAACCTGGTCTATTAATTGTTTTGTAGACAAGTAATTCGCCTGCGTAATCAATGGGGGATAGTTTTCCTCGGGAACAACGTCCAAGGGACCCTGAGCTTCCATTTACGCTTTATCTTCGGCCAGAACTGACACCAGTTATCATGTCCAGCTGGTGATGACGATAATTCTTACGTTTCGATATGAGCCGAATTGACCTTACTTATTCGATTAGCACGTGATTTTGATCACTTTGACCAATCTCTCTCAATAAAGGTGATATACCATTTTGAAGGCTATTGTTTTTGGTTTATGTATATGACATTTGATGCTTCTGGTCCTTTTGTTGGATGCCAGATGTCTGATTTGTATTTAAGCCCATGGCTCTCTTTGAACAGGAAATTTTTGAATTTGTTAAATTTATGATGATCGGATTCGGTCTGTAGCCAGTCTTCAAAGATTTACTCTGCTTTATCTCTCTTTTTTATCGAGGTCTAGGCCCTTCTTCCTGAACGCATTTATGAAGCCCGTGAGCATTATGACCGTCAGGGGACCGAGTAGCGGAAGATAGACGGCAATCTTGTGTTCCTGCGGGAAGAAGTTCTGTTGGACCATTTCTTTATGGAAGAACGCCTTTTCGCAGAGTGCCAAGAGCTCGTTGCTCAGATGTAATGCTTCGTTCCATGTAGATCTGCCTCCTTTGCAGGGGTCGTTGAGTAAATGCACAATTTTCAATCTCAAATCCAACGCGGCGGTGACATCGTCTAAAACTTCGCGTGGAACAGCCATCTGAGGAAACTGTTGCGTGAGCTTGACAAGCGACCAGAGGGTGTCGATACTCTTTTCGAGGTTTTTCAAAATCGTCATCCTCTGGAAAGACTCCATGGTCACATAGGGCGTAGAAAGATCTTCGTTCCCGGATGTCAACCCGAGGAGCTGAAGTAACTCTCTGGAAAAGCTGTAAATCACGGGTTTCAGGTACGATTCTGTAATGCGGGTGTTGTCGTCCAGTGGTTTTCGGTTTAGCATAAGAACACCCCACTGAGGAACAAGAAAGCTTTGCCAAGGATGGATCGTCGTGGCGTTGATGAAATCCAGCTCACCCGCGGCTGCGCTTGGAAACACGATAGCCAGATGCAGCACGGATCGTTCCTTGTAGTAGTTTGTCGTTGAAAGCTCCGAGAGGTCAATTGCATGCGACAAATCGTGCCAGCTGGGCGATGTTGCGCCGCGCAGCGACGCTAACTTAAGATCGTTGACCTGGACGATATCGGTGTCAACGGTAAAATTGACGAGCGGGGCCAAAAATTCTCGCAAAGGCGTGAAGTACTGCTGCAATACGGGTTCTATGTCCCAAGCCACGGGACGGCCGTCGCCGGTCAAAAGCGAGAGCGAAAGGTGCACATTGGGGCTATACTCGATAGCCATGCTGTTTTGGTCGTTGGCACCCGTAGAACTCGAAAATTTGCGCCATTCTAGCTCAAACGTGTGTTCGACAAGCGTTTGCGCGACGAAAAACGGCACGTCGTTGGACGCCACAGTTTCGTCGTTGAAGAACACAATGGTTTCTTTCGAATCGTAAAGGATCGTGAACCCGATATCGTCGTCAAGCACCAGCGTGACAACATGGTCAAGCTCAGGATCGACTGTTGTGTTGTCGAATGGCAAAACCTGGAGCGACCAAGTCACTGGGCCTTGTTTCGACCGTAGAAGCTCGTTGACCTGCACCTGGACAGCGTCGTGAACGTCGGGGAAAGTGTAAGTGTCAGAACGCACGTAGACGGGCACAGTTACGTGCACATCCGAATGCAAATTTTCGTGCACGGCCTCGATATACTTGACCGGCAAAGGTGCTCTGTAGATCGCTGTCAACTTGTACCATAGTGGAACGCCCACCAAAGCGTAAAACAGTATAAACCAAAGTGAGACTGCTTTACGCAGCTTACTTGTCGACATCCGGCTGATCCTTTGCCACGCCAAAACTTGCGAGATTCACTGGTAATGTTTCCTGAAGATGAATCAAAACCAGAATGCGTTCTATGTCAAAACTCGACGGAGTGGTCGACGGCGGAGTCAGGTGACTCAACTATGTAACACTATTTAGGCAGAAATGAACCATATTTATAGCCTGAGTAGCCAACTGATGTCGTGGCGTTCCAATTGATCACTTCCCAGATAAAAAGAGCCCAATGTTACTCTGATCTACGCCTTTCAACAGTCTTCGATCTCTTGTTATTAATTAAGTCGAGCTTCTACCGGTGAGAAGTGAAAAATTTTGGCGATGAGCTAGCGATGAACACTGCAAAGCAGTGGTAAAAGCAGTATTAAGCCCAGTTTTGAGCCTTTGAAATGGCCGAAGAGAAGGAAGAGGAGTACGTACATAAAGTTTATAACGAAATTGCGGCTCATTTCTCGCAGACGCGCTACAAACCGTGGCCAATTGTGACGTCGTTCTTGCAGCGCCAGTCTGTGGGTTCAGTGGGGATTGACGTTGGATGTGGGAACGGGAAATACCTGGGAGTAAACAAAGACGTCTTTATTATTGGTTCGGACCGGTCGAACGGACTAATTGAGTGTGCACACACGCTGAACGTCAACCATAATGTCCTTGTCGCTGATGGAATGCGCCTTCCGCACCCGGACGATCGGTTCGACTTTGGCATCTCGATCGCGGTCGTACACCATTGGTCGACGCGCGACAGACGCATAGCTGCAATCCAACACATCTTGTCCAAGATCAGGCCCGGAGGCGAGGCCCTTATATACTGCTGGGCTTTGGAACAAGCGACGTCGCGACGTGGATATCAAGAAGGCATGGATCAGGACGTGCTGGTACCGTGGGTTTTGGCCCAGAAACAAACGAAACCGAATAATGTTACGAAAAAGAAGGCTTTTGAGCGGCCAGAACGACCCGACCTGGAAAACGTCCCTCCCAAGGACAGAGCGCAGTTTCTTGCCGAGTGGAAACAGAAGCAAGAAGAAAAACGTGAACTAAAGGCAAATGAAGCATCAGAACAAGCACGGGACTCCCTCAACCACGCTCCCCAAGAACCAGAAACCGTCAAATACAGGTTTTATCACCTCTATCAGGAAGGTGAACTCGAAGAAGATTGCACCAGCGCGGGCGGAATTGTTAAGGAAAGCGGCTACGAAAGAGACAATTGGTATGTAGTGGTCAGCAAACCGTAGTGGGGCGCTCACATGGAACTGAGTTTATAGCTTTGAAGATACGGTGTTCGCATATGATTATCCACTCAGTAGGCATTTTTCACGTTTATATAAGGCTTTACCTTTAACGAGTAATTCCAGGATAACGACAAAATGACATCTGGACTAGTACCAGGAAAAGGCTATTCAACCGGTTACCAATGCCCGTTATTAGACATGAATCCGAGGAATTCAATCTGGCCCATGACGAAGAGGAAAAACTGAATCATTTCCAGTTAATTACCGGGTTTCCAGAAGACGATTTGCCTCAGATAATCCAGCTTTTAAGGAACCACGGATGGCAATTGGAACCGGCTTTGAGTCGGTATTTTGATGGAGATTGGAGGGAGAATTTGAGTGGGAGTGGTCCGGCGCTTCCCCCTCGTCCTCCCACGCCAATGGAACCTAGGCTTTCAGAAACGCCGCTAAATTCTTCATCTCCTTTTATCATAAATCAGGCCAATTTCATTCCGAGTTTACCATTGGCAAGGATGCTACCTCTCAATTATAAAGAGAAATTTCTTAACGCTGGTTTAGACCGGCCAAATTCTCCGTTTGCGTCGCATCCTGCGATAATAGTGCTTCTTGTATTACCCCGCATTCTGTTGAAAGCCGGCATGGGCTTGTTGAGTCTGCTGTGGTCCATTATTTCTTTTGGATTCAGAACCGACGGTGTTCAGTCGGAAACCGTGGCTAAACTTCCTTCACGCCCGCTAACGGTGTCGGAATCGCTCAGGACGCAGATTTCTTCCAAATACCAAGACTCAGACGAACTTTGCAACTTGATTTCCAAAGAGCCTTACAACGATATCTACAAGAAATGCGAACAGGAGTACAAATACCTTCTTTTAATTTGCATGGGGGACATTAGCTCAGAAGATCCGACTGCCATTGATATAAACTCAGAACGCCTTACAAGACACATTCTCAATGATTCCTCGACAATTAGCCTTCTGAAAAACCTTTCAGATAACGTCAAGATTTATGCGCGTTCTGCGCACGACTCTGAGATGTGGTGTGTGGCCAAGCAGCTGAACATCAGACAAACACCAGAGTGTTTATTGATTGGCAATGTGCTGAATTCAGCCGGCTCTACATTCAGCACGACGAGGATGTCGGTACTTGGAAGACTGAGAATTGGTAACCTCCAGAAATTTCAAAACTCCCTTAAGCTCTGCTTGGAGAAATATGACTCTGAGATGGTGGTGAACAGAACAGAGAGGGAACAACTGAACACGGCTCGACTCTTGAAACAAATGCAAGATGAGGCCTACGAGAATTCATTAAAGCAAGATCAGATCAAGCAAAAAAATCGCGAACTGGCAGAAAAGGAAACCGCTTTAGCGGAAGAGAAAGCACTCCAGCGCTTGGAGCTGATAAGGTTACAACGTATCATCAGATCGTTAAAGGCCGTTTGCCTGTGTCTTGATTTACTTTGTGGGGAGGTCGAGGAAGAGGCTGGAGAGAAACTGGCTTCTATTCAGGTCAGAACGTCTAATGGTACGAGATTCATTTTGAAATTATCCAAGAATGACACTTTACAGAAACTTTATCATGTCACTTACGCGCATTTATGGCTCCAGGAATTCGCGCCACAGAATAGGTTTTCTATCTTGACTAAGCTGAAGCAGAAATTACTAGATTTGCAAGAAGAGGTAGACGACATAGACTTCCAAGACGCTTTAGATGATACGGGAGAGCACGACGAGCAACAAATTCGTGAGCTCGCACTGGAACAGTTGGAGAAGTTAGAGAAATTGGCACCAGACACTGACATCGAGCTCGATTTTGAGTTGGTATGTCCATTCCCTAGATCTGTAATATCCAACGATTTGAATGAGGTAATCGGACACGTTGCTCAAATTTGGCCTCAAGGTAATCTTTTGGTGGAGAGCATCGAGGCGGACGATGCACATGAAGACGAAGAATAATTAAACGATTTGGAATGAAAGGCATTCATGAATCTTAGATAAAAAATGGTTGTCGCAAGGGTAACAACCAGTGGAAGTGGCCCCACGACATGATCAAACTGACGAGCATTTTTTAGTCATCAGATTGTAATTAGATGTTAGTAACTTCTTCGACAAGAAATCCCATTGTAGGATTCGATAGTCAAATAAAATACAATTGGTCATACAACAATTTCAATCGCTTTGCTGCGATCGCGGGAGTCGTTTTCAACCTAAACCGTCTATAATAACTGTGGATCACAAAACGGGCCTATTTCGAGCAAAATTCTAACGTACGATTACAAGGAAACCCAATAAGCTGAAATCAAACCAAGCCGGCTAGCAAAGAAACTCGTCGAGAATATTCAAGGGCTGTCTCAAATGAGTAATATTCATAGATTCACAATTTTGGATGATCCCTCAGGTACCACTACAAAGAAACGGGGAACATGTTCCGGTCAATACAAACAACACAATAGAAATAAATGGAATTGAATAACAAGCTTTGGACTGCATTTTTGGAAGGAAGTAAAATGAAAATAAAAATGTGAAGATTGAGGTTTTCTCTTTTCAACGCCTTTGAGAAATGGAATTAAAGTAGTTTACCCCTTGATATAATTCGACATGGATAAAACGCAACCACCCCTTGTATTTCTCAGATGTTTCATTGTCTAGGGGGAGATCTTTCACGGGTAGAGCTGTAAGAGTCACCGCCAGCGTCTCTACCTCTATACTCGTCTCTAGATGAACCGTAGGAGCCTCTAGAAGAACCGTAGCCATCACCGCCACGACCACCGTAACCACCGCGACCACCGCCGTAACCGCCTCTACCTCCTCTGAAACCGCCTCTGGATTCGCCGAAACCGCCTCTGCCACCACCGAAGCCGCCTCTGGAGCCACCTCTGCCTCCGAAGCCGCCTCTACCACCGAAACCGCCTCTGCCACCGAAGCCGCCTCTGCCTCCGAAGCCACCTCTACCGCCTCTACCACCAAAGCCACCTCTACCTCCGAAACCACCTCTACCACCGAAGCCGCCTCTTGGGCCCGATCTGAATCTTCTGATTGGTGGGGGGTTGTCGTCTCTTTCAGCGGTGATCACGGCGCCTCTGAAGTCGATGTTGTTTAGCTTTTGTAGTGCGTCTTCAAGCACTTCCTCAGTAGGGAACTCGAGAGCTCCGGTTCCATCAAACTCTCTGGTGTTGACACTGGAAAATGTGGTGTCCAAATTGTTTTCTCTGGCCAAATCCTTCAATTCTTGCCAAGCGACACCTTCGGGCAAATTCCTCAAGATCATTCTGTATCTGAGAGGCTGGATCTTGGAATAGACGACTTCCAAAGGCTGGTCGGCGAAAGTCTTACCGTTCACTTCTTCGATGGCTCTGGCAGCAGAATCGGCTTCTTCAAACTCGACGAAAGCAAAACCGTTCAAGATTTTGACCTCTTTCATAGGTCCAAAAGGCGCAAAAATCTCGTTCAACTCAGAGTCTTGCACGTCGAAAGGAAAAGGTCTCACGAAAAGTCTCGTGGTCGACAATTCGCCGTCCTGGCCACGCGCCACTCCTGCGCCACCTGCATATTCGTCTTCCTGGTATTGAGGCGCTGGTTGTTCTTCCTCAACAGCTGGGGGTTGTTCGTATGGTTCTGACATTACTAAACTAGCTCAAAAGTCCTTAGATTCAATAGTCTTGCTCTTGTTGAATGTGGTGACAAGAAGGTAGAATTCGTTTCCGAACCCACCTGAAATATTTTCACTTTATCTCAGGATAGGTTTATCACCTGAAAATCAACTATACCAAGCCGAGAGAAAAAGACAAAACATGTCAAAAGTCGCGTAAAACGACCGGAAAGGGAGTGTATAAAACCTGAAGAATTAGTCAGTGACATTTCTACCGAGATTCAGTCTTACAAACTGGTCAATGGGAGGTTTTTCTGCCATTAAAGGCCCTTTTCGGGTATCTTTTTGTTTAGGTTACCCGGATACGGAATAATAATTATCAAGGCGATGAGGTCTACTACAGTAGGAGAATGCCCTAAGAACCACAATTTCGTGACGCCGAGAGACTGTGATATGGGTAGTAGAATTAACATTGATGATGTTATTTCACCGCTTCACGAAAGCTTCTATGAACTAGGATTTTGGCTTGTATCGAGGCTAATCACGTCACACGAAAGCGAATCTGGAACTCTGCCTCGAATGAATATATCATCAAGGCTATTGAAGATTACTAAAGAATCAACATGGTAAACTCTGCAAGTTCATTGTTCCTAGCATTTTCACGCCGGTATGCTTAGATTCAGACGTTTCAGCTCCACTTTTAACCAGGCAAAAGTGCTACGAAAGTATCCGGTTGGTGCAGTTTTTCACGGTTATGAGATCAAAAGGATCCTTACCGTTCCAGAATTCAAGCTCACAGCTGTGGATTTGGCACACTTGCAAACAGGTTCGCAACATATCCACATTGATAGAGATGACAAAAACAATGTGTTCAGCGTGGTGTTCAAAACAAATCCTCCCGATGCGACTGGTGTACCGCACATCCTGGAACACACAACGCTGTGTGGATCCCAAAAATATCCAGTTAGAGATCCTTTCTTCAAGATGTTAAATCGGTCACTGGCCACTTTCATGAATGCAATGACAGGCCACGACTACACCTTTTATCCCTTTGCAACTTGCAATAAAGCAGATTTCAATAATCTCAGAGAAGTATATCTCGACGCGACGTTTAATCCGCTTTTAAAACAGGAAGATTTCTGGCAAGAAGGCTGGAGATTGGAAAACGCCGACATTACTGACAAAGCCAGCGATCTCGTTTTCAAAGGCGTGGTATACAACGAAATGAAGGGTCAAGTGTCGAACTCAGACTACTATTTCTGGACCAAATTTCAGGAAAGCATTTATCCGGCACTCAATAATTCTGGTGGCGACCCTCAATTCATTACAAATTTGCATTACGTGGACCTGGTTGATTACCACAGTCGCAACTACCATCCGTCCAATGCCAAGACTTTTACGTACGGCAATTTCCCGCTCGACGAAACACTCAAGAAGCTCAATCAAGAGTTTCAGGCGTATGGGAGGCGACCAATTTCAACTCGCGAATTGAAGCCTATTGACTTGGGAGACAAAGTAACACGAGTGGATCTACGAGGTCAGATGGACCCCAATTTGCCTGAAAACCGACAAATTAAAACCTCATTGACATGGATCTGCGGTAATCCAAGGAATACGTACGAAACGTTTTTGCTGAAGATTTTGGGTAATCTTTTGATGGATGGCCACTCGTCACCCCTGTACCAGCAACTGATAGAATCCGGTTTGGGCTACGATTTCAGTGTTAATTCGGGTGTGGAGTCCACCACAAACGCCAATTTTTTCACAGTGGGCATCCAGGGCTGCGAAAAGGACACTGACCTTGACGAGATTGTAAAATCAATTTTCGTCACCAGTCTCTCGAAGCCCTTCGAGGAAAAGAAAATCGAAGGTATCTTGCAACAGCTAGAGCTTGCGAAAAAGGATCAAAAATCTGATTTTGGATTACAGCTCTTATATTCTATTGTTCCTAACTGGGTCAATAAATGCGATCCCTTTGACAGTTTGCTTTTCGACGATATCTTAAATCAATTCAGATCTGATTGGGCTGAAAGACGCGACGAAGTTTTCAGGGATCTCATTAGAAATTATCTTCTTAACAAAGGCCGTTTTAAGTTTACTGTGCTAGGTGACAATGGATTTTCAGAATCGATAAAAGAGGAGGAACTCCAAAGGCTAGCAACAAAAAAAGAAGCTTTAAATCAGGCAGATCGTGACCTTATATGGAAGAGGGGTAAAGAGCTTGATAACAAGCAGCGTATGTCGGAAGATTTGAGTTGTTTGCCCAGCTTAAAAATTTCTGACATCCCGCGTAAAGGTGATGGATTTTCTGTTACTCAGACTGATAACATTTTGAAACGGCTATCAAATACAAACGGTATAACGTATGTGCGCGGGAAAAGACCTCTAAACACCGTCATTCCACAAGACCTTTATCCATACTTAGCTCTGTTTGCCGACTCCTTGACCAGCCTTGGTACCACCCATGAGGAATTCAGCGACATCGAAGACGAAATTAGGTTACATACAGGAGGAATTTCGGCCAATGTCTCTGTCGTATCTGATCCTGAGACATGTGAACCCTCTCTGCAACTCGACGTTGGAGGATGGTCCTTAAATCACAAGACAGAACACGTTTTCGACTTGTGGAACAAGATTTTGGTTCAAACAGATTTTAATAAGCACAAAGAAAAACTCAAGGTACTCATCAGGTCATTGGCAGCTTCCAATACCGCATCTGTCGCTGAAAGCGGACACTCTTATGCGCGGAATTACGCCGGCGCGCATTTGAGGGCCTCCAAATCCGTTTACGAAAGTATGGGAGGACTTGAGCAAATTCAGTTAATAACCCAAATTGCGTCTCTTATTGATGATGACAAGCTCTTTCAAACTGCAGTGATCGACAAATTAGCGGCTTTGCAAAAGTGCATCGTTGGATCAAATGGATTCCAATTCTTCATTACAGCGGACTCGAGTAATCAACTTGACGTGGTTCAAGGTCAAATTCAAAAGTTCTTGGGGAACTTGCCCCTTGTTAATGACTTTCAGTCGTTCAACGTTAAAGAGTATCCTCTCGTTATATCGCAAACTCCATCGACTCTGATCCAGTTCCCCTTTCAGGTTTACTACGCGGCACAATCTTTCGTTGGAGTGCCCTATACACATAAGGATGGCGCAGCTTTGCAAGTACTCGCAAGCGTCTTGACTTTCAAGCGCTTACACCGCGAAATAAGAGAAAAGGGTGGTGCTTACGGGGGCGGCGCCACTTATTCTGCATTAGATGGCCTCTTCTCGTTCCATTCCTACAGAGATCCGCATCCTTTGAATTCATTGGAAGTTTTCTCACAAACCGGAGATTTCGTCGCTAACTCTGCCAAGTGGACTGAAAGCGACCTGGACGAGGCAAAACTCACCATTTTCCAGCAGGTGGACGCCCCAATCAGCTGTAAAAGCGAAGGATCTCTTCTATTCCACTACGGTGTCTCAGACACGCTACGTCAACGTAGAAGGGAACAGCTTCTAGATGTGCAGCTCGACGACGTCTATCGCGTCGCTGACAAATATCTTCTTGGCAGGCCTGCCATTTCTGCTGTCATTGGACCCTTGATAAAGGAGCCAGCTCTGGGATCAAACTGGTCAATCAAGAACTTGTAGATAATCCCATATTTCAACATGTAATTAACCTAACATGCATTTTTGAGGTCCTCTTGAGGGTCGACCCATAAAGCTATAAATATTCGAATTACTTGTCCGTCGTCACCAAATGCTATCAATATTCTCGAGTTCTCGCGCTTTCTCTGTATCTCGAGAAATTATCGGTTCAATAATGAACTTCCCAGATAACATACTTTGACAGGACCAAAATTGATGCAAATAGTTTCTTTAAGACCGGTTAATAAACACTATACAGATTAAATAACTCTTGATGCTACTAAAATTATTTTTACTTCTCAATATTAGCGTTTTTAAACTCTTTTTGATCAAAAGTAAATCCCAATTGAAGATTTTTTTCAGATTTCATACTCGTAACTACTAATAAAAGAATCGGAACGCGACTCACAGTACTCAATTAGGCCCACGGAAAACTTATAATGCAATTCAAGAACTTCGGTATATTAGCATTTGTTGTTGCACTCTGTTTAGGGCTGCATTTCGATCTACCAGCGTCCCAGACGCCCGAACAAGTGTGTATTCGTGATTTCGTTTCCGAAGGACAACTCGTGGTAGTAAACATAGCGACGGATGGATCAGTTGGTGATGGCCAAGTATTGAATCTGGTTATTCGCGACAGTGTAGGAAACGAACACAGACGCAAGAAGGATCTTGCTGGAGAAGTTCGCGTCGCTTTCACGGCACCTTCGTCGGCCGCTTTTGACGTGTGTCTCGAAAACCAATTGCAAATTAAAGGTAGATCCTTGTCGAGATCTGTGGAGCTCGACATCGAGTCTGGGTCGCAAGCGCGTGACTGGAACATGATCCAGGCTACAGAGAAGTTGAAGCCAATTGAAGTGGAATTACGCAGAATCGAGGAATTGACCGACGAAATTGTCGACGAACTCAACTATTTGAAAGCCAGAGAAGAGCGTTTGAGAGACACCAACGAATCCACCAACAGAAGAGTACGTAACTTCTCGATTCTGGTCATTGTCGTCTTGGTCAGCTTAGGAGCCTGGCAGATCAATTACTTGCGCAACTACTTCAAGGCCAAGCATATCATCTAAAAAGCTTCTGGCGTTTGCACTGTCGATGTTCAATTGCGTCAGAAAATAAACGGATAAATATGTATAAGCGTATGTTAGGATCTGAGCTCAACGAGAACTCAGAACGCAAGAATGCCTAATTTGCCCAGTATATACGCCAAGTCTAACCAGGTCATGAAAACGCGTTTTCCGTGCGTCGCGACGCTCATCATCTCAACGAGACCTGTGCTTTCGACACTTGCACTGTTGGCGACTTTTTGCAGATCTTTGATGCTCAAAACGTGGTTTTTCAGGAGAACTTTGGGGAAAGCCACGTCTCGCCCACACGCTTTGACCAGCATTTCCCAAAATCCGTCAATGACAGCCATATTATTCATGAAAACCAGAACGTGATACGTTGCTCGTAACAGCTTTTCGAAATCCACTATCTGGGTACCCCCGATACACAAATCATTCAAATCATAAAATTTCGTCACTTCAGAAGGTAGCTGCAATTCCTGGAAGAAACTGCTTAGGTCTTCACGCGTCATATCACGCTCGATGTTATAATTTGCGAAAGCACTCAGTATATCATCTTCAATTTCCTGCGGAATCGAACCATTCAAAAAGCGCTCTACCTCATCGTAAGTCCTCTTGCTACGATTCCTAGCCATAATCTATCGCGAAGTTGCAATTGCATGGGGCTTAAACTCGAGTCTCTGGGGGTTCTTCCTGCTCAAAACGGACTTAATCAAACTCATCTATGTCTTGAATTCAAGTATATTAATGTATTCTTATACGAAGGACTCTAGATTTCAAAATTTAAGAAATCAATACAGCTTGGAAAACCCATCTTCACGGGCGTTTAGAGACGTAGAAACTGGTAAAGAATGAGCGATCAGGGCCATTCAGAGGCCAGTAAAATGGAGAGCGAGCATGCTCAGTCGGAGAATGGACTTGACGCGGGGCTAAACGGCGAGAAAACCGCGCAAGATGACGGTAAAACCACCGAAAATCTTGACGCAGATGTAAAGCCTAAACCAGCGGGTTCTCTAGGAGATTTGCCTGAGGAGCCTTCTAATAGTATCAAGACGGACCGCGATGATTTGATCAATGGCGAAAATGCCGGACAAGATGCTGGTGGACGTGCAGCGAGCGAAAAGGATCAGGAAACCCATGAGGACGGCAGTGCTGAAAAAGAGAGTGACGACAACGCGCAGGGGCCAGAAGGCAAAGAGAATGACGGGAATGAAGACGAGGACGACGAGGATGAAGATGATGAAGACGAGGACGACGATGAAGAAGGTCCTAGAAAGAAACAGCGGCGTGAACGGAACCGTTTCCTCGATATTGAAGCCGAAGTCAGTGATGACGACGAAGACGAGGAAGACGAAGAAGATTCAGAACTTGTTCGCGAAGGTTTCATCACGCGTGGAGATGAAGAGGACGAAGAAACCACAGGTCCCAACAGAGACGACAGATTGCACAGACAACTGGATCAGAACCTGAACAAATCCTCAGAGGAAGACGCGCAGAAATTGGCCAAGGAATTACGGGAAAGATATGGGAGAAGCAGCTCAAAGCAATATCGGGCTGCTGCGCAGGACGGGTACGTTCCACAGCGTTTCTTGCTGCCCAGTGTTGACACGGCGACTATCTGGGGTGTGCGGTGTAGACCTGGTAGAGAAAAGGAACTTGTTCGCAAGTTGTTGAAGAAGAAATTCAATTTGGACAAGTCTATGGGTAACAAGAAACTCAAGATCCTTGCCATTTTCCAACGTGACAATTACTCGGGCAGAATCTACATAGAAGCGCCCAAGCAGAGTGTGATCGAAAAGTTCACAAATGGTGTTCCAGACATTTATCCATCACAAAAACTATTGATTCCAGTTCAGGAATTACCACTTCTTTTGAAACCTGACAAGTCAGATGATGTAAAACTCGAAGAGGGAAGTTATGTGCGTGTCAGACGTGGGATCTACAAAGGCGACCTAGCGGTTATTGACCAAATCAGTGAAAACAATCTCGAAGTCCTATTGAAGATTGTTCCTCGTCTTGATTACGGCAAGTTTGATGAGGTAGATGAAAAAACGAATACTCGGAAACAAAAAAGACCAGTCTTTGCCCAAAGGCCCCCTCCACAACTATTTAATCCCACAATGGCGCTTAGAATGGACCAAGCTAATCTGTACAAGAGAGATGACCGTCACTTCACGTACAGGAATGAAGACTATGTTGATGGATACTTGTACAAGTCGTTCAGGATCCAATATCTGGAAACGAAAAATATCCAGCCCACAGTCGAGGAGCTGGCACGATTCGGCACCAAAGATGGGACGTTAGACTTGACATCGATTTCCCAGACGATCAAAAAGGCTAAGGCCGCCAGAGTCATGTTCCAGCCTGGTGACAGAGTCGAAATTCTGAACGGTGAACAAAGAGGTTCGAGAGGTGTTGTAGCGAGGACTTCCACCGACATCATCGCCGTAAGATTGCCACAGCTAGCTTCTAAAGCCTTGGAATTTCCCGTATCTTCTCTAAGAAAGATTTTTGAGGCAGGTGACCACGTTACAGTAGTTGGCGGTGACCATCAGGGAGACGCTGGTTTGGTGTTGGTGGTAAAGAATGGACAAGTCACGTTTGTTTCTGATCAGACGAGAGCCAATTTGACCATTACCGCCAACAACCTGACGAAATCTATGGACTCTACACCTACTTCAAGTGAATATGCGCTGCACGACATAGTAGAATTAAGCGCCAAAAATGTGGCTTGTGTTATTCAAGCAGGTCATGACATTTTCAAGATTTTGGATGACAACGGGAAGGTGTCAACGATTACGAAAGGATCCATTCTACGGAAGATCGATTCAGCGCGTTCAAGGTCAACGACAGTCGACGCTCAAGGTAGAGAGATCAAGATCGGAGACACCATTAGAGAGAAGGTCGGTGCTAGAAGAGAAGGTCAAGTTCTCTACATCCAAACGCAGCAGGTTTTCGTCGTGTCCAAAAAAATCACAGAAAATGCCGGTGTGTTTGTTGTCAATCCAATGAATGTTGAAGCTGTTGCTTCCAAAGAAAATGTGCTAGCAGGCATGAACAGTCTCGATCTGTCCAAGATGAATCCAGACATTGCAAACAAAATGCGTCCTCCTCAAAAAGTGGATAGTGCCATACGTGGCGGTCGCGACGTTGCGCTTGGTAAGACCGTCAGAGTACGTGCTGCAGGCTATAAAGGTCAGCTAGGTATTGTCAAGGACGTAAACGGTGAAAAAGCCACTATCGAGCTTCACTCTAAGAGCAAGAACATAACTGTCGATAAAAGAAAGCTCATGTACTACAACAAAGAAGGTGGTGATGGTATAACCTATGACGAGTTGGTAAACCGTCGCGGTAGAACACCCAGCAACAGAATAGGGCCAAGTTATGTCAGTACTCCTCGCAGCATGGCTCCGCCGGTCAACGGATCTGGTCCTTCGGGACCTGCGTTGGCAGGAGGCATGACTCCTGGCTGGAATTCCTTCGACGGAGGAAAAACTCCTGCAGTGACCGCTCACGGCGGTGGAGGCGCTTCTGCTTGGGGAGGAGCTTCCACTTGGGGTGGTCAAGGAGGCGGGGCATCGACCTGGGGCGGCAACGGCGGTGCATCCGCCTGGGGTGGCCAAGGCACTGGTGCTACATCGACGTGGGGTGGTGCTTCCGCCTGGGGTAACAAATCAACCTGGGGAGGAGCCTCTACGTGGGCGTCTGGAGGCGAATCTGGCGCTACTTCGGCCTGGGGCGGCGGAGACAAATCAAATCACGGCAATGCGTCTACGTGGGGTAATCGCGACGGTGGAACTTCTACTTGGGGTGGAGGTGCTGCTGCCGGCGGAGGGAACTCGACGTGGGGCAACGACCAAGGCAACAAATCGGCCTGGGGCGACCAAGGCAACAGGTCCTCGTACGGCGGCGGAAGCACGTGGGGCGGTCGTTGAGCTTGGTTTGCTCAGCCTCGCTAATATGATGTGTATATAATTGTAGTATATAGTTTCTAATGTTTGCCAGTTTGAAAGTTGTATCGTAAACCATGAATTGTTGTTGCTTATATACAAGTGCTATACTGTGGAGAGCATGGGGCGCCGCGGTCACCTCACCGTTCTAAAAAAGTCCAGAGGCTTCCGCTCCGCGACTTTCCTCTTCTTTGCCTCTTTGAACAGGACGTGCCTCTTAGCAACGGGATCGTAACGCACCTGTGTCACCAATGGAGCTCCTCTGGTAATCATGACATGACGAGAGAAACCCGTTGCAGCTGTAGAAACCAATTTGACGACGGCGTTTTTGCTTTTTACCTTGGCCATGATATATTTGAAATGATCGCGACGCTATTCTAGCTGGACTAATTGGGTTCTATGTTGTTAAGTCCTCTCTTCCAGATAGCATCGAGTTCTCCGTTAACCGGCTTTGTTCTTGAATCTTGGTCTAATTTTTTCAATTAAATGGCACTCTATACGAAAACATGTTAGCCGTACAAGAAGATAATATATAAGTCAATTTTTACGAACTTTCAGTTTATTGATTCGTATAAAAGAATTTGTGAAGTTTTTATCATATCACCATTTACGGTCTAATTTTCGTCTTTTCCCTCTGGTGAAAAATTTTCTATGGAAATAAGCCAAATGATAGACATCGCCAGTGAAGCTTTTCGAACTACGAGCAAGAGTCGAAATAAACCCTATCTGGCACAGTTTTTGGCACCGATAAAGGAGATGACAGACATCCCGGGGCCCCAAATCATTGACAACAATGATGGTACAAAGACAATCATATCTTTCAAAGTCGAAAACGGCAAGAAATACAGAGTTACGCAGAAAGTGAAAGAGATCAAAGTTACGGAGAAAGTCAACAAATCTGTAGCACAGAGGAAGCAATGGAAGAAGTTCGGAGCCGAGGCGAACTCTGCGCCAGGTCCAGACTACTCTACGACGCATTTGGGTGAAGAAGTGCTTCTCAGACTGGGTACGTCCTGGAAGAAAATCGAGGAAGAAGAAGAACGTAAGGCCAAGGAGGCCAAGGGAGGTGAGAAACTCATTACATGTAGAACATGTGGCGGAAACCATTACACAATGCATTGTCCTTTCAAGGATACGTTAGGTGACACTTCTGGCGCTGCGGCACCTGACACCGACGCAGCTGTCGACGAGGTTGTCGTTGACACGGCCAGTGGCAGATACGTACCACCTTCGCGTCGTGCCGGTGCAAGAGATCCTTCTTCGAACAACAATTTGGACGCCTACAAGGATCAAAGAGAACGTGATGATGCCAAGACTTTGAAGATTATGCAATTAAACGAACATGCTGACGAAAACACATTGAGATTCGAGCTTCTGTTCCCATTCGGCAGAATACCTAAAGTGGTTGTCGTGAGGAATAGGGAGACGGGTAGGTCGAGAGGTATCGCCTACGTGACGTTCGAAACGGAAGAAATCGCGGAAACAGCGCTCAACTTCTTGGACGGCAGAGGTTTCATGAGTTTGATTTTGCACGCCGAATGGTCTAAACCTAAGACCCCAGCTCCATAAGCGATCATTTCCTCAAATTGTCAACATAGCACCTCTATCTAATCTGTATCATATATATTGCCGTGTTGCACTCCAATTGCATGGTTAGATTTTGAATCAACGGATTACTATACAATTTCCCACATGTAAAACTCCCAATGCCAATGATTCCTAAAACTCCCGAAAAGGAGCGTCTATACGACCACACCGTCACTTTTCACAAACATCAGCACGGCTTCAATCCGCACCGGGCGTTGGTTTTCATACATGGCGGGGCTTGGATAGATCCCACAAACACACCTCATGACTTTGATGGTTTCTCTCAAGAAATAGTGGCTAATACGGGCAAAGAGATTAGCTACTCCCTGTACGGTATCGAATATCGACTATCACCCCTCGTTAAACATCCTACGCATATTTGCGACGTTATCGAAAACTTGTGTCAGTTGATCGAGCAAGAACAAATCGATGAGCTCAATCTCATGGGCCACTCAGTGGGCGCGACACTTGCGTGGCAGATTTTAAGCGAAACTCCGTCGCCTTCGGTTTTGAAGGAATTTATCGACGTCAATTGCCTAAAATTGGTTAGATCAAGACTTAAAATGTGTTATCTGGCTGAGGGTATCTTTTCTGTTCAAGAGCTATTGAACGAGTACCCAGATTATGACTACTTTATCTCACAAGCATTTACCAAGTTTTTGAAGTTTGATGAACCGGCGGATTCACTTCTCTCGATTCCTCCTCAGATCGATATTCGTATTATTCATTCTTACGCGGACGAGTTACTTAGCCCACGCCAGACGAATTATCTCGCTGGCATCTTACAGAAAATCAAAAGACCCTACACCGTGATGTTCGAAACTTTTGGAAAACACAATGAAGTGTATTGTAATCGGCGGTTGGCGAAGTACATAGTGGACACGATCGATAGTTGATGCTCGCTTAGATGCGAACTCTCCGTGGACAAAACGCAGAGGAGAAATTCCATTCAGGAAAAAAGAACGTTTCTCTAAACCCAAATGCTCTCTCCACGAGCTTCAATTTTTCGCCCTAATTGCTCAACTTCTTGGTTCCAGCTCATTAGTCTTTCCTTCATCTTATTGATCTGAGAAGCATTGATGATTCTGGGTTGCACCCACGTAATCGTTACAAGCTCATTCACCTGATCAATTGATCCCTTCAGAAGACCCAAGCTTATACTGCGCATTACCAAATGTTCCACCTGATCTTTAGGAAGGAAAGTGGCAGCTGCAATGTCGTCAAAAGTCAGAGTCCTGATATTCTTGGCGAAAATGCTTTCCACCAAGGTCATCAAACAGATTTTTTGTCTTAGAAATGATTCGTGCTGCGCCAGTATGGGTACTTTTGAGAAAAAGTTACGAGAAAGTTCGTCGAATTTGGTAAAGTTTCCCTCTGATAGAGTGCTCAAGAATTGGAAAAGCCACTCGTATTCGACGTCTTCAGAAATGTTCGAAATGATAGGATGATGCAAAAGCTCGCCAAAATTGTATATCTTGTCTCCCAATAATGCTGCTATACATAGCTCGTACGCCAATCGCTTTTTCTCAACTTGAGACAAGTCCCTCCAACTTTCTATAGCTTCCGCGGTAGACAGATATAACAGTGTCGTGTAATAAAAGGAATTGAAATCTTTCTTTAGGTGATAATATTCAGCACTTGCCGAGTAGAAGGCACTTGTAACTTGAAGCGGAACTGAGTCCTGCTTCTCAAGAGTCGCCTCAATCTCGTCCAACGAGTCTCTGCTTTTCACCAATTCTCCCTTTCTCAAAAGAATTCTTGCAATCTCTATGTTGATCAACAAAAGACCTTCGTAGTGCGATTTCAAGCCGTCGTTCCTCTTCTTACTTTCGTCAATTTCCTTGAATTTGCTCTCAAGACCTTTCAAGTATGCCAATGCTTCGTCGCAGTCGTCTAGGGTCTTGAGCGACAAAAGCAAGAAATTGACAACTTTCAATTGATTTACCTTGTCTTGAAATTTGCTTACGAAGTTCTCATAAACTCGCAATCTGTAAGATTCTGACCTTTCGTCGTGGAAGAAAACGTCCAAACGTTCTGTCAATTGGTGCCACAATTTCTGCTCATAAAGATCTTCAAATTCGTAGAAAAGTCCAGCAAGATCTTGATCTACCTCTAATCTAAGCGTGCTCAAAACAGTGTCAATCTCGTGCGTCATATCTGAAATGCTGGTTCAGAGTTAGTCTCAAGAAATTGATTGATTACTTTACGTTCAACTCGCTCTCAAGTGGCAAACCTGTTAAAGGTTCTAATTAACGGAAACTAGAGAGTCACGTGACCATAAAACCATGAACGGTTGAGCTCTCAGGCTTAGAGGGTAGATCGGTAAAAAAGCGTTTGCGGCAAACGAGGCGCTTAGCTCTCAATTGTTATGTACTCTATTACGTTCCGTGCGTTTTCCCACGCTTGAAGACAATCCTTTAACCATTTTAAGAGGATTCGTGCCATTCTTTTCATGATAACTTCCCAACAGTTATTAATATAAGCAAATAGCCCATGCAAGCTTCCAAGTGTGGAGTCGTTGACCTGCGCGAGGTCTCTGGTGAGTAACTTGAAACATTCGTGTAGTTTATCTACTTCTTTCTTGAGACGGATTACTTCTTCTTTTCTCTCGTCGTCAGTCAAGAGATGTGGTTCGATCTCGCGGCCAGTTGGAGACTGAGATAAGTGTGAGGAGCCGTGCGCAATTCTGGATTTGAAAAGTCGTCCAGTCCATTTTCCCTGCGATCCCTGTCGCTGTCGTTGCCTGGACGACAGCACTGTTTCTGCAGGTACTGCTGCTTCTGTCGGATTCTCCATACGATTCACCATTTGCGCTATTGTAGGTGAATCCTCAGCGTTCTCCTTCAAAGCCTTTTCAAGCCTAGACATTTGCTCCTGAGCGCTCTCTAGACTCTGTATGCGAGCTTCTCGTTTCTTTATCGTGGCGTCGACAATGCGATATTGTATCCTCTTCAACTTTCGAAACCGAAGAACTTGACGGGCCTCTGCCATAAATTGTGACATCTCGCCAAGCGGTTCTTCTAAAAGAGAGAGAATTCTTTCGCTCAAAATTTCGGAACTGACGTAGTTTACATCGATGGCCTGCCCAATTTTCTCTATTCCCTTCGAGAGCTCATCGATATAAGTCATATTCTTATGTAGAGTCACGAGAGCACACTCAAGGCTGAAAGCATTGTAGTAAGCGCCTAATTCGGCAAGCGAATTGGCTAGTCCTCTGAGATGAGATTTTGTTTGTTTCGCATGCCTTTCGAAAGGCTGGAGCATTTTGTCGAATCGGTTCAGTAGGATTTCATACTCGTAAAACTTTGCCTCAAGCCACTTGTCCTCGTCGTTCATAGAATCTTCCAGATATCCATTCGCAGTCGACGACGGGCTCGGGAGTAGCAAATGCAAAGGACTGGGTTTTGTCGGATTCAAAGGCGGGGCAAGAAGATTATTGGACGGCAGAATCGAGATCGGAGGGGAGCTCAGTACACTCTGCCAAACCTGCTCAGGATCCAGGAATTTTTTGAATACCACATGATCCCGTATTTCGGGTATATTGTAGGAATTATTCAGAAATGACGCCAGTAGCCTTTTCCGCCGATCAATTATCTTGATATCCTTCTCGGCACTGAGCGGTTGAATGAAATACTTAATTAACGGATGTTTGGACGGTATTGGAGGTATAACAATGGTGGGTAGCAATCTGCAAAGGGCGTGACGCAATGTGTCAAATTCAGAATATCGTCGTGTAATCTCCTTCCCATCGAACACTATCGTGTATCCAATCGCATATTTGCCATACATGTCACGGTAATGACCCGCATCACTGATTTTTATCACTTCATTCTCCTTCAAATACTCAGTAGGGGAAATCAAATCGTTTCCAGAAAAAAGGCTATCCTCAATTCCTTCTGTTGCGGCAACCGAAAAGTCTTGATCACCATTTGGTTCTATCACGTCTGTACCAAAGAGTTGATTCATCAACTCGCTTCTGGTCTCCTTTTTCTCTTGCACTGTCGACAACACATTAGTCACATTTGTTGGGATAAAATCGTCTTGGCCCTCGGGAACTGCAGCAATTCCCGAAGCGTATAGATGACTTGTACCGGCGAATGGGTTGTTATCTTCCTCATCGCTATCACCAAGGAGACTCATCTCTTAGGTATATGTATCTGTTTAGTAGGTTTTCAGATATTTAAATGTTTCCCTTTTCTATATCATCAACAATCTTAACCCATCTCATCACCAACTGAACCAAGACAACCAAGAACAGAATGCTAACTCGTAAGTCAATTAGATGACATTAAACGCTGATCAATCAACTTTTTATATGAAACGCAATTACTTACCGTGCTTTACTTGAAGCCTCGCTGGTAGCCTCGGATGTTGTATGTTAAGAGTTTTATTAAGCAAAAATCGACACCCACACTAACTATGGAACACGGAAGACGCCTGAGTTGAGGGATGAAATTTTCGATATAAGCTTAGATGCCCTTTCGAAATTCAAACTGGAAAGAGAAATCGCTGCGATGATAAAAAAGGATTTGGATGTCAAGTATGGAAGTACATGGCATGTGATTGTGGGCAAAAGTTTTGGAAGTTATGTTACAAATGAAAAGGGCCATTTCATTTATTTTTATATTGGTCAGTTTGCTTTCCTTGTTTTCAAGACGGCTTGAAATGCTGATGTAGGTAGTATTATGTAGCTATGTTGGTGGAAATGACGAATAATGCATTGCGATCATGAGTTAGGAACTAATCTGGGTTGGTAATGGTTGCCAGAAATTCCAGTCTGCATCGAGCAGGCTTTTAAAGATTGTTGACCTTTCTTGGAGCTTGCGGATGGCTTCCTGAGTATCGTCTTGTCCCTGAATTGATAAATCGGATAGAATTCCATACAGGGAATTACTGAGCTGATCTCTTTGACGAGAGATGATCATGCATTGATCGTAATATTCAGTCTTGAGATTTTTTTCACGCTCGACTGTTGACTCCAAAAACCGATTGGTCAGTTTGATCTTGCGCATTTGATCCTGGATAAGTTTTTGATCCTTCAGTTGCGACAGTGCGACTTGCAGTTCGTCAATTAGCGTTTTCATGGAGGGAAATTGCTCTTTATCCTGCGTTGCCTCACACGCGTTTATATGAGCCTCTGTGACGATGTGGCTCGCAATGTTAGCGTAGCGTAGCGTAGACATCGTTTCTTCGAAATCAGATGGAGATACGCACGCGATCATACAGGTTTTACTGTTTCCGCCAAGATTTTCTTTCAGGACCCAAGTCAAAGCTGAGTCTCTGTACGGAACGAGCTTGGTTTGATTTTTTTTTGCCAGAACAGATATTACACGACCCAATGAGCTCAAGGATTTGTTGATATTGGAACCCTCTTTCAAACGATCACCACGCGAGCCAGTTGCACTGGCCCGCTCGCTACCGGCCAAATCGACGAGTCTAATTGAAGATCGACGCTCAAATATTTCGCCCAGGGGAGAAATCTCCGTTTGGGTAATTGAAATTGTGAAAATAGCATGGCTTCGACTCGAATGCTCATTTGCATTAGTCGATCCAGTGGTTCGCAGCTCATTACCGCGTTTCAAGGAGTCCAGGATTTGCTCCCTATTTTTGGCCTCAAACTCTTTCAATCCTTCGACAAATGTGGTTTTATCAGCTTTCTCTCGAATTCGGCATTTACCAACTCCTAGCAGGTCTCGGACTTGTTCATTGTAGATTTCGAAATAAGAATGATGGATGGTAAACCTCGTTTGTGTGCCATTTTCAGACCCTTCGTATAGCTCTCCCACTTCGAATAGCTCTTCGCAGATCCTGTAGATGATGCCAGGGGATTCCGGAGAACCAGTGATAGTATGCGATTTGCCAGATCCGGTCTGGCCGTAAGCGAAAATGCAGGTATTGTAGCCATCAAGCGTGTACAGCAAATAGTCGCGTGCGAGAGCTTGATACAGGATCAATTGATCCTGGCTGGTATCTTCAGTGTACTCGAAACATTGGTCAAAAATAAACCTCTTTTGTGTATCATTTCCATTGATTTGTGTCACGGAGACTTCATTTGGTGAAACAAGCTTCACTGCGCCATTCTTGGGACGTTCCTTAGCAGGTGCACGTATGCGAATGGCGACTTTGATTTTATCTGACATTGATGACAAGCAAGGTCAAGTTTTGAAAGCGATGAAATCGAGGTGTCTTCAAAGAGCATTAAGAAAATTAAAGTTTGGCAAAACAGGTCAAGACAGACTGCGAACCTCAAAAAACATCAGATTCCGAGAAATAAAACTCTTATATAACTTCATAACATTAATAGTCTTTTACGCGCCGCGAGGGATATTATATTCAGTTGATGATTGTTTGATCCTTGACTTCTTTACTGGACAAAGATTCAGTGGCAGCGGACGTCACTTTGCCAGCTTCTGGTTGGTGACCGTTCCGCGAAGTGCCCATGAGAGATGTGTCGTAACCCGTACTCTCGAGGTACTCGATGAAAAGTTCATCTTCAAGGTTGTTAGACTCTTGGTCGACTGGTGGCAGGAAGAAAAGCGCCAAGAACGCAGCGAAAAGACATAGAGAGGCCGAAACCCAAAAAGGAGCCTGCAATCCAGGTGTAGTGTCTTCACCGCCTGCTCTCTTCATAATAATCGGGAACACGTAAGTGCCGACAAAAGCCCCGATTTTACCCACAGCAGCGGCGATACCGTAGTAATGGCCTCTGACGGGAGTAGCAGAAGTCTTGGACGCCAAACAGCCGATGTTGTCGCCAGGACCGAATTCCCCGAGGGTACTGAAAATCCCAAAAACCACCACGAAACCGCCGATGTGTTTTCTCAAGTGTTCGAGACAGCCGGCCATGATGAAACCGAGAACGGCTTGCAAGGTCACACCGACCACTAGAGTGTTTCTGGGACCCCAGTAGTCGGCGAAGATGGCGCCCAAAAAGGCGCCAGGAATGTAGAAGAGGTTGAACACGATATTCCAGCCAAAAGACTTGGTCAAAGACGCGTCGTCGCCGAGGACGGTGTCGAGAATGATCGAGGAGTAAGTGCCGAACGAATAGGAGGAAAAATCGTAGATGAACCAGATGATACTGACGATAGTGAGTCTGAACCAGTAGAATTTGATGATACGCCAGTAGGGCATGGCGTGGTTGAATCTGGACTGCACGTACCGCTTACCTTCCTTGTATTTCAAACGGAGGAAAAACAGGGAAATCGGAGGGATGGCGCCGAGCCCCAGAGTCACACGCCACACCGGCTGCAGGTGCTTTTCGCCGCAGATGCGCAGCATGACGAGCGGAACGACAGAACTCACCACAAACCCAGTGTCGATCATAAAATTGGTGAACCAGCAGAACCACCGGTTCCGGCGGCCCGCTGGCAGCGTGTTGGACGCCTCGGCGGCCGCGGTCGACCCCGCAGGGTACTCGGAGCCTATTCCGACCCCCAGAAAGAAACGGTACGCCGTGATCGCGGCGAATAGGCCGCCGGCGTTGGTACCGGTCGTGTTCACGCCCCAGGCGCCCGCGCAGAGAATCGAAAACACGATCAGAATGAGCGTGCCCACGAGCATGGCCATGCGCCGCGAATGGTAGTCCGACAGGTATCCGAACGAGAGCTGACCGACCACGGTGCCGACGAAAGCGATCGATGACACGTTTTTCAGCGCATTGGACGCCGTGTACTGTTTTCCATATATCATCGACAGACACAGCGAGGTAGTTCCGATGGAGTTATTGATATACCCATCGGAGAAAAGGCCAGCGCCTGTAGTGATGATTGCCCAGTACTTATTGTTTCGTGGGAGGTCATCGACCTCGTTTTCGGCATCGCTCGACGTTTTCAAAGCCGTGATGGCCTCGTCCTCGCCTTCGGAGGAGACGTCCCCTCTGAAGAGAGACACCTCGCGCGCAGCGCGAGGTGCCCACGACCAGAACAGCTCGCGCACAGAGTGAGGTAGATCTCTGGTTACCGGATGGGTCACGTGCCTATTGTTCGTCATCTTGAATTTCCTGGACTTCTGCCAGTCACTGGTGTCTGCAGGACAAAGCAGCGGAGCGGGAAATCGCCATTGTCGTCTTTATCTGTCCAATATATACATCCTCTTGTTTCGATGGGGTTCTAATCTATTTGGCGTCCAGGTGCACGTGCAGCTCCTCCATGTGCACATGGGAGATATGATGATAGCAAGCAATTCTACAAGGCTCGCAGAGCCTCGCCGTGCGGTCCCGGGGACGTTGATCAGCGTCCTCTTGGCCGTAGAGCCTGCCAAGAGACGGCCGTGGCCTCGAGGCCGTTTCGGAGGTTTCGGTCCGAATACTCGTGTTGTACGACGTGCCCTGGTTGTCTCTTATGTAAGAAGGACGCTTTGCCGGACAGAGCTGGAGCTAAGAGGATTACGTGGTACTGCAGCGCGTGGGAGTCTAATTTGTCTCTATTCGAGCATGAACAACAAACGAGCAGCCTGGAGACGTCCGAGACCGTGCAGATGACTTAATTATGCATGTAAATTGCCCCAGGCGTGTGTTTCCTGGTTACGGATTTTTTCATTTTTTCACGTGGCAAGAGTGATTATACTTTCGAATATATACGAGCGGACAGAACGGGAGTTCTCGACGCCTAGTTCTCGGGCTTCTTGGCGACAAACAGCATCATGGGCGTGAACAGCTTCTGCTTACCGCCGGCGACCAGACCGACCGCGGCTTCTTCGAGCGCGAGAGTGACGTCACGTGACCCCTGGGGCGCAATGCCTACTCTTTCCATGAGCGACACCATGGTGGTAGTGACCTTGCGGCCGATGAAAGAGGTGCGGAAGAAAGTCGCCAGGTCCCCCAGCGTCTGCACGTACTTCCACTCGCCCGTCAGCGGGTAGTACCAGGGCACGTCGTCGTCGTTGTCGGCGAGATCGCGTCCGACGAGGACGTCGAACCCGACTTTCTGCAGTGCGTCACGTGCCACGTCGACCGAGTACATCTTGGGGATGCCGTCGCCGACCTCGATCTCGTACGCGATCTTGCGGTGCTCCGGGTTATTTTCGTCGTAGTTGGCGGTCATGACCCATTCGTAGACGGCAAAAGTTCCGCCGGGCTTCAAGACCTTGTAGATCTGCTCGTACACGCCCTCGAGCTTGGGCGCGTGGCACGTGGCCTCGATCGCGTACACCTTGTCGAAGGTGTTTTCCGGGAACTCCATGTTCATGAAGTCGCCTTTAACAAACTCGAGCTGGTCTGCCAATTTGTACTTGCGAGCATAGTGCTTGGCCTTGGCGATCTGGTAGTCGTTGTTGTTGAGACCCACGATGCTGGCCCCCGTGAAACGTGCGATTTCACGCGCAGGACCGCCGACGCCGCATCCGACGTCGAGCACTAGGTCGCCCTTTTGGATGCCCGCCATGTACGCCAGGTAGTGTTCGTGGCGCGCGACACTGGCCTTGAAATTTTCCCCCGGATAGAAACGACTGAAGTGGAACGAAGAGCCCCATCCGTACTCGTAAAAATCGGTCACGACGTTATAGTAAGAATGCGTGGCCTCGTTGTAGTCGTCGAGACGGCGCTGTTCCGCGTCCTGGTCCGTTTTCCCGTCCCAGTGACGCAGGTACTTGTTGACGGCTTCTTGTTGCGCGTTTTTGTTCTTGGACAAAAGCGCTGACAGCCCGGTCTTAGACCCAATGTCGTCACCGTGCAGCTCTTTCGTGAATTGCGCCTGTCTCTGTCTGAGTTCTTGCTCTGTGTTGCTCATGTTCTGGTAGTGGTATCAATTGCGAACGCCGGCGTGCTGTGCTCGCTGTGCTCGCTGTGCTAGCAGAGCCTGCCGCGTCTCTCCAGAGGCCTTCGACTGATATACAATATGTTCGTATACGGCGTCGTATACGCGTTCTCGAGAGCCCAGCGCAGTTTTTTTCTTCAGGGACGCGTAAACGAGCGATCGCTGTGTACGACATCACGCCGCACGTACAAAGAGATATACCCGTGAGTATTCGTACAGAGTGCTTAGCCGGCCATATCCGGTTTCCGGGTAACTCCGCTTACTTAAGCAGACACGAGGCGGGCCCCCCTCGGCCGGTGTGGAATGTTCTAGAATGTCTGTCCTCGACATTTTATCTTTGGGAAAAGTAAGGTTCGTTAGAAACGACTACCTTAGGGATTGGTTCTGTGGAGTGTTGGGGTAGGTGTGTGGGTGTGTGTGCTGTTTGGTCGTACAAAACGCTATGCCGGTACGAGGAGAGCTTGGCCTCCCTTTACTTATTAGTAATGGCGATGCCAGGCTGGGCTCGTCGTCTTTCTCACGACGACTTAAAAACCAATTCGCCACTGAACGTGAAGAGCTGAACAGAGTGAAACCTACGTTTCAAAGAGCCGTCCATCACACTTGTTAGGGCATTTCTGGGTATTTCCTGGGCATATTTGGTCTTCTTTGGGTATCTCAGCTCCTCTGAGGCGCGCAACGCAAGCCGGTTTTCTCGCACTTCCCGCATCCTTCAATCTCGCGCTAGAAGCGAATCCCACATGTCAACTACTAAAAGAGCGCTGGATACGCCTCTGGCCGACCCGGAACTCGCCAAGCGCAAGGGCATCAAGCCCGGACGCAAGCCGCTCGACACAGAAGCGAAAAACAAGCGTACGGCGCAGAACCGCGCCGCACAGCGTGCTTTTCGCGAGCGTAAAGAACGCAAGATGAAAGAACTGGAAGACAAAGTCGAAGAGCTGGAGCGCGTACGAAAGGACAACGAGTCCGAGTCTGATTTCTTGCGCTCGCAGCTCATCACCCTCATCGAAGAGCTCAAAAAGTACCGTCCGCAGCAGCAAGCGGAGTCGCAGGTGCTCACGTATCTGGCGCAGCGCGAGGAAGAGCGTCGCAGAACTCACAAAGACAGTCGGGGTGGCGCCGGTGGCAGCGCCACTTCGGACTCGCGGTCGGCGTCAGAATCGACCGCTTCTTCGGGTGACATGTCACGTGGGCCCGAGTCGAGCTCGTCCAACTCCCCCTCCGACAATGGGAACGACTCCAAGGTCATGCGCAATGTCGAGCGCAAGTCCAACTTCACCTTCGAATTCCCATGGCGCGGCCCCCGCGGCGGTGTGTCGCCGCTGGACGGCGGCCAAGCTTCTTTTCCTTCTCCAAGTGCCAGTTCGGCCACGTCGAGCACGTGGCGTTCCCACAAGCCCTCGGGTTTGGACAACACCCCCAGCAGCTCCTCGGGTTCGCTCGATATGTTCAACGCCGCGGATTCCCGAATGCTTCCGAAGTTTGCGCCCGAAAATCTGAACAACGATTTCGATTTCAGTGCGCATTTCGACGAGCAAGTCTCCGAATTTTGCTCCAAGATGAACGAGGTCTGTGGCACGCGAGATCGTCCCATTCCTGCGTCTTACGCAGGCTTTTCCAAAGAAAGTGCACAGAAGGACGACGACGATCAGCAACAAATACGGGATCTGACACAGCCGTCGGCTTTAACGAATACCTGGGACTCCCCGCAATTTGGGCAAATCAACTTCAATCCTGACGTTGACGATGCCAACAAATGGATATTTGGAGACGCGTCCGCAAGCGGGGTGCCAACGGCGGTACCCTCTGCCAACGTGGATGAAATCCCCTTTATCGACCCAACTATTGCGTTCCCCTCAGACTACGAGAGTAACACCTTTTTCAGGCAGCAAAACCTGGACAACATCAGTCACTTTTTCGACGACGATCCGGTGATATCCCAGCTCACTACCGAAGACAGCAACTACGACCAGTTCAAGCCTTCCTTGTCTGGGGTGGCCAACAACACCGACTCCTCGATCTCCATCGATTCGACAGCGTCGATGGCGTCGCTAAAGTCACAGAAACTCATGCAGTCCACGCAATCATCGGCAGAGACGCTTCAAACAGAACGCAACTACACCATCAACAAAGGTGGCGACGTTCCTTCAGGTGCCGGCATGTCATTGAAGGCCACCTACGACGCCGTCGTACCACTTCGCGATGGCAATCTGCTGAAGTGTTCTGAGGTTTGGGATAGGATCACTGCACATCCCAAGTATTCCGATTTGGATATTGACGGGTTGTGTTCAGAGCTGCGGACCAAAGCCAAATGTTCCGAAAAGGGAGTGGTTGTTAACGCGGACGATGTTCAGAAGGCCTTATCCAAACACATGGCATGATGACGACGCAAGATACCACACACACGCTGATTTTTTGATAGCACTCTGGCTTCAGACGTGCTTATTTTTTTGGGAATAGAGACAAATGACGGCTCTTCTTTTATTAGCGCTTGATCATAGTAAAACCTAGTAAATAAAATACAAAGCGACGACAAATAGGCTTTTTTTAATCAAATCATGGGAAATAATTTAAATGTTATGATTGCAAGTTAATACGATAAGCTGTCTCCACACTAAATGCACCGAATGTGTCAGTGACGTGAGCTTCGTTGGGTTCTTTCGTTACGGAAAGTGGAGATGTTCCTCCCAGCTCCTTTCATGCGGAATACGGAAACAGTAACAACAGTCTAGCAGCAGTAACACGCACCCATAACCCACGCTTCGACAGTCCAAGCTATTTGAACATTTCGATTGAAAGAAAAAAAATTGTGAAAATGGAAACGATGGATATGCGAAACGTTCGGGAAACAAACTGGAAACGCAATTATACCGAACAGAAACAGAGAATTGGCATATTCACGAGCAAAGGTCCTTTAGGTCTTGTCCGGACACACAAGGCGCATAACTGTCATTTCTATTCCTATCCCAACTGTTCAGAGTCATTTCACAGTATTCCAAGGAGAACGAGGCCATTTGCTTCAGCTCCGAAGAGTTGTTCAAGCCATGTGTGAAAACGGAAAGAAACGCAAGGGATTCAGATATATATTCCTGTAGTTTATGAACTTATTTTCGCAAGGAAACTGTTTATACGGTGTTAGGACTGCTTCTCGAGAACTGATCTGGGCGGCTAACCGTGTGTCGGTACATCGTGGGCACATCAAGAGTGTGAGGGGTATGTATATAAAGAGCAGGCTTTTGGGGTTGAAACGGGAGTTATTACAGTAAACAAACCAAGTGGATCTGGTTAAAATGTAGCAAGTGCGTCTGTGCCTTGGCGTAACCGAGTTTTTTGGCGATCGGTATGCAAGCCAAGGGCTACAATTGTTTCAACAGAGAACGAAGAGGAAATGACGCGCGAAGCCGGTTCAGTATAGAAACTTGTATTTGTGGGTAAGTCAGGCGCTGTGGCAGCGTCAAACAAATTGCAACTTTCGACGAATCGCACGTAGCGGTGGACATTGACGGCAGAAGACTCGGAGATGTGAGAAATACAGCTACGTGCGCGGCTACTGTGGTTGCCATAACAACAAATTCCGTTACGTGGGTTAACACAAACGTCCTTTGTCGTTTAACAATGTCTCCCCACAAATAAACAAGATCTACAAAGCGGTCGTATGTGTCCCGTCGTCTCCGAACGTTGACGTTTTGGGCACAATTGCAAGTCATCAGTGACACGAGTGACACCAATGACACACGTTGAAGATTGATCAAACAACGCTTGAGACAAAATGAATGAAGGTGACACCCACAACTCAAACGGTAGACTCGTCGATGGTAAGCCGTTATTGGACAGACTTGATCTCTTTTAACGATTTCATATGCCAATTTAGGTTTTTTTGCGGGGAAGGTTACCAATATTGCGATTTCCTAATGGAAAAAAAGCTGCCCGTGTGTGTCTGTTAGAAATCTCATAATCAGCGGACAAACCTTATAAGAAATAACACAAAGTTCGCGCGTTTTTGGCATCTACAACGCGAACTATTCAGGAGTTTGAGATTGTGCTGTGCGTTAGCGGAGCTTTTTCCAAGTTTTCGAGCAAATTTCAAGGACTTGACGGGAAACTTTCAATTTAGCAGCTTGTGACGCAATTTAAGGGTTATTGGACTTTCTTCACCTTCTAAAGATCAGGATAGAATGGGCAACAATCCTTCAACGGCACATCTGGGAAATCGCAAAGTGGGACATGTCACAGAAGACCTTCGAGAGCGACAAGGGTCCATTACTTCTCAGCTTTTCCCCTACAGGCATTTGAGTAGAAATTCAACATCGAAAAACTCCGCCAGAAATCACAAGAACCCGAGGTCTCAAGCCAATCGAAAGTCCTTATTCCGCAACGACTACTCTCTGGAAAGCAAGAAGGATCATGTTGTGACACGGAACGGGTCTGGACTGCCGGCTCCACCCATGTGCGATACCACCAACGCAAATGCAGACGACTCATCTTCGTCATCATTAAGAGACCATCTTGCAGGTCTTTCGCTGCGGTCATCGGAAGCCCATCATTTGGGAGGTCGATCGTCAAGCGGAGTGCCTGCTCTTCGTAGTCCAGGTCCGTCGTCCCCCGTTGTGCGGCCTTCAACGGATGAAGCTACTCCAGAACAACTGTCAAGTGTTTCCTCGCTGAAAAGGCTTCTCGTTGAAGGAAAAGTTGGGAACAACATCCGTGGGCCGATTTCTTCTATCGATATACCGACAAGGTCTAACACAGCTTTCTCGGACAGTTATTTATCAGATGATGAAGACGAAGAAGCGATACTTCAAGGCACTGACGACGTTGTCATCAATAATTCGCTGCTCGAAAATGCCATGAAAAGAAAACGCAACTCCAAGAAAAAGGATCAAGCTCTATCGTCGCTTAATTCCTCAGAAACAATTCAGCAGCAAGGCATTAAAAAACTCAAGCCTCTGGATTTTGAACAGAAGAAGGAGTTACCGTCATTCAAAGCTATGGTCTCCAGAAGGAACAACGAAAGCAATGATAGCGATATAGCGATGCCACAGTTAGTGGCGGGTGAAATAGGGCGTTTCGATTCGTTTGAGAATGGTACAGCAGAGCATTACGAGGGAAGCATGAGCAGCATGAGAACATCACCAAATGAAAACGAGAACAATGACACATTAGGCCATGACGCTGGGACACGCGTCATCTTGAAATGGAGAGACAACATTGTGGATCCCAAGACGTGTAAAATGGCAATTATCAGTAAAGATATGTCATCCGCTCTTTCTCACAAGAACGTCAGCAAAAAAATTCCAATGGAATTTAATTCAAGTTCGAATTGTTGGATTGCACCTAATTTGACGCTTCCTGCTGGTGTTTACAAGTTTCGTTTTTTAATTAATGGTGAACTAAGGCATTCGAACTTTTTACCGACCGCAACGGACTCATTTGGAAATTTCGTGAACTGGTTTGAGGTCATTTCTGGCTCTGACTTTATCGAACCTTCTCGCGATATAGTTCGATCCTCATCTCGACTCAATACACCAGACGAGATACAACAACCTGTGGCGCGTGCAATAAGACCACAATTGCTGTCTGACAGCTCATCGTCTTCGAATTGGAAGTCATCATCTGCAAAATTTGTTGAAAGACCTGGGACTCCTTTCTCGGATTATACAGGAACACTGAGTAGATCTGGATCTGCAAAACCGCCTCTCAATCATAAGCAATCTAGCAGTTATGACTATCTGGCTCCGCTTCCTCAAAAAGTTTATGAATATTCGAATGAAATACCAGAGCTTTTTAAAGCCAATTTCACGGGAAACGACGAAAATGATGCCGACCTCGATAAACCAATGCCCACACCGCCACCTCCAGCTGAAGGCCAGCCGTCGTTTTTGCATCAGGTTCAGGATTGCAACCAAGATACTCTTTTTGCAGAATTACAGAGAAATGGGGAAATTGATGCCCAAGCCGCTGAGGATCTTTTCCTGCAACAATATTCCATTCCAGATCTACCAGTTTACCTAGATTCATCATTTCTTAACAAGGCATTAAGTCAATTCCAGAACAATTCCGAATCGAAAACAACTGTCAACCACATCGTACCGCATGTGAATCTGAACCATTTGCTAACAAGCAGCATCCGTGATGAAATAATTAGTGTCGGTTGTACCACTCGATATGAAGGTAAGTTTATCACACAGATTATTTATACACCTTGTTATTATGACAAGGCGGATTGAAAAGGGGCGGATCTGTTTTGAAACGTCCATAATCGTCATCACAAGTACAAATTGTGCAATGTATCCATGTACGTTTTTGTAATTAAAATGCAATACAGCCTACATAATAATGCAATTGGCTTCGGGCTTCTTCTTAGATTTCTTCTTCCTCTTGAATTTTTCGACTCGTTTCTTCAAGTAAACGACCTCATCATCAACACTGCTGAATGTCTTCAGGATGGTGGGGAGGGGAGTACTTTTTGAGCGCTCCACTGTATTTAACGATCCAAGTGTTGCGATCCTACTGAGGCCATGCTTGGAAGAAGATTTCGACATTGTCTTTTTTACCCTATCATCTGAGAAGTGATAATCTTCAGCGGTGGATACTTTCGAAAGGGCATTTTTAGACGCCATGTCATGTCTGAAAGCCCAGTCACCAATGCTGTTGATGGTTCGTATTGATCGATGTGCCGAAGACTTGGAATTGGTCCTTGTGGCTGCATATAGTGGCACAACCTGTCCGTCATCTGTATCATCATATTCGTCGCCATAATCAGGCGAGTATGGCTGCACATCAGAAATATCGTTCGTATTTTGAGGTATGCTGTTATGATCATCGTTTATGGAATATGTCTGCATGTTTGTCAAAGTCGAGTTTAAAGTTGCTTGAAGTTTGAGTGTGTTTTCTGATATCGTCGAAGTTGAAACGCTGTATTTCTGCATTTCTTTATCACTTAGTGGATAGTATTCTTGTGTCTCTGGTGCAGTCTCCTCGGTGATCATGACCATTGTGTAGAAAAGTATCTTAGGGAAATACCGATTCATTCCCAGAACATCTTGAAGGGCCAGCATCTGAAGATTGCCCATTGAAAACTTCTCGTCGTACAACAGCCAATCATCATTGATGTCAGCCACCGTTGGATTATTATTGGATTGTCGAATGGCGGTGAAGAGTTGACGAGTTTCAGGGTGTTGAATGAGAATCGACTGCAGCACAAGTCTAAATCTGCCAAATGTATCTGCGATGGATATAGATGGAAATATGGAGGCCAAGGAATGCGAGTCTTCGGAGTCCTCGGACTGATAACTTAGAGAGTTCAACGAGTGATCAACGCTCGATAACTCAGAAATACAATCTCCATCGGCTGCAGAGGACGACCCGTCGTCCTCGTGCGTAATGGTGTGGGCTAAGCGCTCGCCTTCATACGGGACGTAGTCCATTTCTCCACTGTACACAGAAGTATCTGCAGACGTGAAATTATCTGAACGGTTGTGTTGAGAAAGAGCAGAAACCATGCTCTTGGACAGAGGATGGTAATTGTTGCCCTTCACCGGCTTTCTTGAGTGTCCGACGTTGAGCATGAGTTCACTACTTTCCGCATCGCTATCTTCAAAATCGTCGCTGGAGTTGAGAATCGAGACCGTTTGCACCTGTGAAGAGCTCTGCGAGGGCTCTGGGAGTTGATAGCCACCATCGTTTTCCTGCGGTTGCATAATAACCTGCGATGGTGGTAATTGGGGCGCCGGTGAAGCCTGGTCGTGTACAGACGATCTTAGCGAGTCGAAACCTGTCTCCCCGCTCAAAACGCTGTGCTGGTAGTTCGACGTGAGGGGCCCGATCTGAGGATTGCTGGCCAAAGCATGCGATCTGTTCCCCATCTCCAAAAAGGAACGATCGTTGAAATTGTTCAAGTTGTCGGATATTAAATAGTGATTTTCATGATTGTAACACTGCTGGTCTGTCAGTTTACGGATTTGAATGTGGTCCAGATCGCCCAAATGGAAATAGTCGCGCAGAAAATTCTCGAGTAGCTTGCTGTTTTCGTGAACTGTGTCCGGAATCGAAACGAGCAACAGTTTTTTGTTAAAAGGTACTGTCGCGGACAAAAGTTGTTCATTCAGAAATCGTCGTAGCAGTGCGATTTTAAGACTGTTTCCTGTCAGCTCTTCGAACCGCCCGCTCCGCAAATTACTCAGATACCAAGACCACAGACCATTGTCGTCATTTTCGAAATAGTCTTTGACTTTGACGGTTACCGGCATGGGCCTTTCTGATTCGAATTTTGACTTCTCTCGAAACTCCAACGGTCCCCGACGGATTTATTAAAAGCACCGGAATCAAGAAATTATCAACAAGAAAACCGAAGGAAAAAAAACCGCGCGTCGCTAGCGTTGCTATGCTTGTGAAGACCCTGAAACTAGAGAAGAATCCGCGATTTTCGTAAACCACCGACACGTCTTAGCTGACGTGGAAAACCCCTTTGAGTGGCTTTTTCAGCGATGTCTTATATCCAGCCCAACCCGGACCGCGACAAATTAAAAAGACTAGTGAAAAACCTCTCTGTGCCCAACGATTGAAATGGGCAACGCGGACGCTGTAGACACTGTAGTAGACACTCTAGTAGACACTCTAGTAGACACTCTAGTAGACACTCCTGTCACCGCCACCTCTGGAAAACTATCAACCAAACCAAGATCAACAGCACAAATTTAAAGCCCTCTACTGTACACACACCTCAATCTCTTCGATCTCGTCGTGTCTTTATTTCAAACAGGCAGAAACACCGCGTGTTTCCAAACCAGAATTCAAGTCGCAAGTCCTAGCAGTTTTTAGCTCACGCCCTGGGGCTAATTCCTGGCTAAATCTGCTATTGTCAAAAGTTCCTCAACTCTAAGTATGGCGTTCTTTTTTTTTCCTTCATCACGACCGACAAACGCCTGTCAATCCACTTTTAAATCAGGGCTCATCCGTGCCATACTGAGACCTCTCCGGATCTCTGTTCCATTTTCCCAGGCTTTCAGACGCCCGCCTGGGCGGTGCCATGATGGCGTGCGGCTTATGAAAAAATACCGCACACTACGTCTCGGCTCTGCCGTCGCGGCAACAGGGTAGCGACGGACGGTAAGCTTGTGGCTGTATGCATCCTGGAAAAGGAATTTGAGATGACGAGAGGGCTTTCTTCCAGTGTTTTGAAAGCTGACATAATGCACCCCGTCCCTATTTCTTTTTTTCCTTTCGACGTGATACCCTATTGATGCGTTTTTGTGGCTCTTGCGCTGGTAGCACAAACACGCACTCATACCTCCGCTCAAAAAGAAACGGAGAGTAAAATAGGGGACGCGGTCGTTTTTGTGTTACGGGACAGGGCTGCAAGGGTCTCGCATGACATTGAGAGACCCGTGAATGTACTGGTGTGGTGGTGCATGGGTGCTGTTCGTGTCACTTTGTACCAAACTGTCCGAGTCGAAGGGCATCTACTGGGTGTTGAAGTCAAAGCCCATGGCCTCATTGTACAAAGTATCATAGGTCTTTGTCAGATCGCCAATGATGAATTGCTGCTCGATCATTTCCGTCCAGGGCGCGACGAAATCGAGGCCCACTTCTTCGCTCGTCATGAACCAGTCGAGCAGATCCGTAGCAGCGTGCGTCGGCTCGGCTGGCGGTGGCGGTGGAGAAATGGAAACGGAAGGGTTGTGATAGTGGTGGTCGTGGTCGTGGTCGTCTTCATCTTCGTTGTCGTGGAGCGCAGTTTCTGGGCTCGTTGCTTTGGTCTGGGATCGTTTGGCGGGTGCAACGTCAGACTTGGCTCGCGACGTCAGCTCCGTACAAAGGTACATCAGGACCTTCGAGAATCGGAAGCACAGGTGCAGCAAGTCTGGAGAAGCTTCTCGCATCGCTACGGCAATGCTCTGGATCTTCTGTACGATTTCTTCACCGGGTATCATGCTCAACATCAGCACCCTTGTCGCCGAGTCCAACGAAGCAGTCTCGGGAGCAGCCCTCAAAGTTAAATAGCATTTGACGATGAACGCGACGGAACGCACGATGCGGGTGACCCACTGTACGGGCATGTATTTGAGCATGTGCAAGGCGTGCACACGTAGCGCCGAGTCCAAAACCTCGATGGCCGCGGCACACGCCTGATCAACATAATGTGCACTTCTTGTGATGTCGCTGGGTCTGAGCTTCTTATTGCCGTTACTGTCGGTCTCAAACTGTAGTGCGAACGAGTAGAAATAAAGCCGGCAGTAGTAGAACCCACTTCTCAGGCCCTCGCGGTCTATTTCGCAGTGAGTTTTCAAAGAAATGGGCTGGTCGGCGCATGTCTGTATTAGTGGTCTGTAAGTATTGAGCCATGACTCCATCAATGGACTTAACACGTTGAGAATGGCGATCCTGTGGCTGTGCGGACTTGCGACACTTTTCGTGTGCTCCCGGTAAATGCTTTCATAGCCAATGTAAGCTATGCGAAGGAGCTCGATTTTTGCCCTTTGCGCGAACGTGAACTTTGCCTCGAGCTTAATCTCTCCGCCTGTCTCCGGAGCTAGGCGGCCGGCATCGGGATCCACATAAGAAAGAGCGTATTCGTCATTTAAAAATTCCCTTTTCAAATCCTCCTGTGCCTCAGAAGTTAAGTGCTCCTTGTCAAGGCTCTCCAGGAGGTCATCCCATCGGCGCCTAGAGGAAGGCTTTTCAAGAAGGCGGTCAAATGACGCCCTTTCTTCATCTGAAAATTTCTCATGTGCGTTGAGAACAATTTCGGACAGCGAATTCAGTAGGTTGCTTGGTTGATTCATGGTTATAGCCGACTTAATCTCTGAAGCATGCGCTGCCACGAATATTTTTGAGCTACATTTCAAAAACCCCATGTCTTGTGCAAGCCTAACAGCTGTTCCGGACAGCATCCAGGCCATGCGATTGCTTCTTCTTAACACACGTTGGCCCGTTAAACATTCATGGTCGGTCGAGTCTATTGCCGAATTCTTATTGCTGTGAATGTCATCGCTGTTTGCATAGTCCGAATGCCTCCAATGAACCGCTCTTGGATTCCATTCTGTGAAAAGTAGTAAAGCCAAGACAGTACCTATAGATCGCGTACTGGCTTCAGCCCACACAGTTCGAGACATAAGTCGTTGGCAGTGTGTCCAAAGTTTTTCATGCACGTCAATATTTCTGGGCCTATTGTGGTTGTTGTTATCCTCCAGCCCGAGTTCTCCAAAGCTATGATACCGCGATGATATTGTTAATATAGCTACTAGTAAAATTGGGTATTCCTGAAGTGCTGCGAAATTGTGAAGCTGCAGCGGCACATATGGATAAAAGGGATGCATGACGGTGAAGAAAACATCAATGAATGCACAGGCTTCGTTTCTGGAAAGTAGCTTTTCGGGCCCGATGTAGTCGATATCGGAATGAATCGCCTGTCGTTTTGACTTCATCGATCTCAAGTCATCAATAAACGATGTGGACGAACTAGAAACTCCATCACAGTTGGTTGATTTGGAGAGAGTCCAGTCCTCAGAACTTTCACCATCAAAATACGGCGTCTTCTCGTCGATTTCTTCTGTCAACATTTTGTTAAATTTAGTGCATTTGAGTTTAATGTAGTTACAATCAGCAGCTAAATCTGATTTAGATTTGGAACCCTGTTTCGCGACCGATGCTGCTGCTTTCGCCAGAAACTCCAAGGCTCCTTGCATTGTACCCAAAACGGACGGACAATCGGAACGATCTCCTCTGTAATCTCGTTGTGAGATCGATGAACCTTCGGCCTCATAGTACTTCGCATATTTATTCAAAGTATCACTATTGTTTAGACTGTCTTCAACTTCCTGAAGCTTCCTCTTCGAAATTCGCTGAGCATTAGGGCTTGGAAAAACGCACTCTTTCCGTTCTCTTTTACATCTAAGGCAAGGGGGATCGTGAGGATTGTCCGGTGGACCCAAATCACATTTGATTTTCCGAGCTTTGCAATTCAAACATGCGCGGTAAGCTCTGCTCCATTTTTTTCCTAAGGTACCAAGCTCAGTTCCAAAGGAGCTTTGATCGCTCTCCATGTCAACTTCCAGAAGCTTGGCTTTTCTGTTCAACTTTTTCCAATCTCATCGGCTTCCTATGGCTCGTTTTCAAATAAATAATTTTCGAACTCCGACGATCTGGTCACGTAATTATGATTAGTATTCGTGAAATAGATTAAAATACATATATATATATACTATAATGTTGATTAATCGTTTTCGAAAGCTGACCATCCAAGTGAGTTTTCTGTCGAAATGGGACCCGAGATCGATACGTTCCTGAGATCCTCAAAGGTATGCCCATGGGGCCCAACTTCGCTCGCTCTTGAAGTTCTTCTGGAATAATTAACTTTTGACAAAACTATGCTGGAACTGAAACTTTCTGCAATCGAATGCCTTACGCTGATTTTCTTCTTTTTCTTGGAGTTGGATTTACCGTCGTTCCTTTGCCGCAATTTGGGTGTCAAATGAAGTTTGGAACTTGTGTTAGGTTCCGAACTTTTCAAAAACACATCGGCCGAGTTACAGCTAACACTTCTTGTGTGGCCTCTTACGCTTCGGCGATAGAGCTTTTTGGATTTGTGAGCTTTGTTGGAGGCCGAAGAAAGCAGTTCCCCACTTGTATGCTCGTTAAAAGTGAAACCTGAAGAGTGACTTGGAGTTTGGGTAGTAGACTTGTGTGCTCTCAATGCTTTATAGGTCTTCTCTGGACGTATCGCGGAATCGAACGTTTCACATGCCGTAGTAGAAGTGGGGTTCGCCTGTGAAGAACTGGCATAATATGACGACCCATCGCCCGTCAAAAGGCTTTGGTCAGGATTTTGATAAAGGGAAGCAACGCTCTCGAGCTCGCGAACTCTGTTGGCGTATTGCTGCTCTAAAATACCTTGATACGTTGTAAGATCAGATGTTGATGGTTGACCAGCAACTAAGCCACTCAATCTTGAGAGTCGATTGTACATTACTTCGTCGAGTTCATCAAAATCTCCAACGTTGACATCGTTGACATCGTTGACATCCTCATCGTCGGATGTGGTAACGTCCACGCCGAGATCCTCAAAAATGAAATTCTCAACGTCGTCATCTTGCTCGAACGCCACATTTTCTAAACAGTTCAGATCTTGAGCCTCAGCTGCCCCGTAGAAAAACTCTTCCAAATTTTCGTTGGTAATTGCCTCTGGCATGGAATTTGATCCATGACTCGACGGGAACATGATATTCCCGCCTGTTTTCAAAAGTAGTGAGTTCAGAGGAGAATTCGTGCCAGGTTGCTGCTCCTCTGAGGAAGAAGCCTGATTGACTAATCCCTCGTCAGCCATAAAGGCATTGGGGTGATAGCGTCCCTTGTTATTGTAGCTCTCCACTGTGTCCGTATTGTACGTATCCATCGCTGCTTGATCCTCTTCTGATACAAATATCTCAATGTTGCCATCTTCGTCGATTTCAATATCCTCGGATTTAATGCTTTGGGCTTCGGTACGGGGAGTGTGGTCATCTTGATACTTTTCAACAGGTGGTTTCCTTTCATTGATCCTCGCTGTATCTTCATAATTCTGTCTGACTGCATCCTCTGCCGATGTCGCCTCTCTATAAGACAAGCCGGCATAATATAAATTACCGTCCGGACCCATGGTGTAACTCAGACCACTGTGTCTGCTGTAGTACAGATTATCACCCACAGAAACCAGATCGTCTGGGTCAAAAGATTCTGTGTCGTCGTTCTCAAAGTTTTCATAGTAATCATGGGCGTACTTTTCGGGGTCATGTTGTTTATATTTGAGCTTTTCCAAGTCCTTTAGCTTTGTCCGAGCAAGTGGATGTTCAGCCGACCACTTTTTATCAGTGGAATACAATATGTGGTCAAGAGTGTCAACCTTATAGATCTTCTTGCCAAGATAAAGAACGACAATTAACCAGGAGGCAATCACAGCGCCGAAAACTGGTAAAAATATGACCAGTCTTTTAGTTATCTTGAATGTCATTGCAGTTTTTTGGGAATTATCAAGAGATCCAGATATTGCCCAGTTCCCTGATCCTCCTGAGCCTTTTGAGCCTGATTGGGAACCCGAACCAGACGAAGAACCGCCATTCCCTTGATTGCCATTACCAGTTTGTCCACCACCACTTGAACCATCTGAGTTTATCAGACCAGTCAAGGGAACGGAAGGGTCAATCAGCGCAGCAAGAGATTCTTCATATGGCACAGGGTTGTTGTACAACCTTGAATTATTATTCAAGACCATTTTTTGAAGGACGTTTACCGCGCGCGATGGGAAATAGACGATAGCGACGGATGCAATATAATCTTTGTTTGGTATTATGGTGGGAATGATTCCCCCAACAACAACCTGGGAAAAGTCAACATCCTTCCATCTATTTCCATGCTGCATGAAGGTATCCCTCTGCTGTAAGAACGAGTCTGAAAGCTCATTTCGCGATGACTGAGCTTTTGAAACCGAAGAATCGATGACCGGCCTCAAGTCTCTCGCTGAAACTTGACTCGAGGAGTAATTAAATGGGTAGCAAAGCACCAAAGGTAGGAAATTGAAAATTTGAGCAGAGGCCAAAGGGTTCCGGATTAAAAAAGGGTAGTTGAGAGGCTCGGTGAAGCCAACTGTTATGAGAGTATAGTTAGGAGGCTGTGATACGGGTGTTGATGGCGATATAACCTGGGGGAGAGTTGCTGTTGCGCCTGCATCGAACGATCCTGTGGCAGATGAGGGGTTGGACATCGTAGATTCTGTTACTATTACAAAAGGCAACCACCCGGAATTGGACTCCCCGCTTCCAGTCGTCCCACTTCCAGCCTGTTGACTGGAAAGTTCATCAGAATTTGAAAGCGAGGACGCCTGAGTAGACGCGTAAGCTGTTGGCGAGACAGTTTGTAAGGTATGTTCGCCTCCGTCATTTGAGGAGCGGGTCTTCATCGACTGTAAAATACCAGTATTAGTCTGCTGCGAGAAAGTCATTTGAGAATTGGTTGTAACGGCACTTTGCGTGACCGGTGGTATGCTTGAAGAAATTGAAACAATACTAGTGGATAATTTTCCGCCATTCGCTGTGTCAGTAGTAATAGAGTTTGATTCCAATTGGCTTCCTGAGGAGGCGCTTTCAGTAGGAAGAACAGCGGAGCCAGTAAAGGAGCTTGAGGCATCGTTGAAAGAAATTAAGGTAGTGGCGCTTATGGTGGTCACAGTCCCTGTGGACGTAGCTGTGGAAGCAATAGAGCCTGTAAGGGCTTCTGAGGTAGGAGAATCACTAAGAGAGGACAAATCCACATTGGACAGCATTGTCGAAGGTTCTGAAGTTTCTTGCGCGAGGCTCTTACTGTAGGGTGAAGACTGACTCGCTGACAGTGCCGTCGTCATAGTGGCGGTGCTCGTAATGAAGGCTCCCGCTGACTCGGTCTTGGAAGAATAAATTTCGGGCGTTGAGCTAAAAGACAATGATATTGTACCGTCGCTTAAATCTGTGTTGGGAAAAACAGTGACTGGAAGAGATGTGCTTTGAGTTGAAGAGTCAGCCATGAAGCTTTCAGCATTACTAGAAGTTGCCAAGTCGATCGACGTCTGCTGTCCCGATTGAGGACCCAAGGAGCTTGAAAAAAGGTAAGAGGTTTCTTGTAACGGGGTTGTTAATAAAAAACTCGATGGAGAAGAAGGAGCTTCACCTCTTGTTTGTGTCGTATACTGGACGGATGAAGTTAAACTTGCAATCGGAGCCTGTGAATTGTCACCTTGCGTCTGCGTCTGCGTCGGCTTCTGAGAGGGTGTTGTTGAGGTAATTGTGTAAATCGTGGTAATAGGTGACGTTACGGACGCTGGAGGCAGCCGTCCCGTATCTGCTGAGAATGAAGTTGAGTCCAACGTAGAGGAATGCGTGTTTATTATAGTGTTGGGCTGGGATTGTGCGACAGTGGAAGCCTGGTTCGGCTGAATGGTCGAGCTGGGAGAGCCAGAGGTGCTAAGGGAGATTGGGGTCGGAAACGTATTCTGAGACGCACCCATGCTAGAGGGCGATGAGGTGGAACGTTGGTACGATGCCAGCGGTGTCGACGTCGGGGTAGGGACAGTACTTTCTTGGATCAGAGTATACACTAGCTCCGAAGATTGACTTTCCAATATTGAGGAGTCTTGTGGGGGGGAGGATGTGTAGATTGTCGGAAGTGATGATGTACTGTCTCCTACAAAAGAACTTGACTGGCTTTCGAAAGCCATAGATGAAGATGGGGTCATGTCCTCTCCTGTCGAACCGATTAAATCCGCGGTAGGAATCGTCGAGGACGCAGAGGACGAAAAGAACGATCCTTTCTGATCAGTTGAAGGCGTCTCAGTAGTTGAAAATGCAGCTGATGAAATAGGAATAGTGCCGCTTTTTTCTGTGTCGCTTGGGCTGGAAGTTTGCACCTCGAGAGTGCTTAATTCTGGATCAGACGTCGTGCCGGAGCTTCCAAAAGCTATCGGAAATGTGGTTACTGCCGTTATGAGGTAGGTTTCGACAGGGGAAGAGGTTGAGCTGCGAGCTGGCGTGGAAGGCAACAGCTTTGAAGCTGTTTCCTGCTCTTTTGCTGTGGTTAACGCTGTGGTCGAGATTGTTATTGGTAAATCTGAAGACGGAGTTTCAGGGCTCATTGAAAAAGTCACAGAGGAGAGCGGTAAGGTAGACGACGTAAAAGAATCAGAGGCCCCGTGTTTCGACGGTGGGGTAGATCGGCTTTCGGTGGTCGCATAAATCGAGGAATTTTCTTCAGCTGTCGAAGTCGTAGATGGCACCGCTTTACTATTGTAAGAAGGCGTACCAGAAGGTGCGTTTGAGGTCGATAAACTGTAAGAATCTGCAGCAATTGAAGATGCCGAGGTGTCTGAGGTGTACTGAGGATCACTCGTAGATGCTAATGTTGCTGACGAGATAGTCGCTGGCAAGGGTGAAGATGTCCTCGAGGAGTCAGATGCTAAGGGCGAAGATGTAATTGGGGTATCAGAAGCCAAAAGTGAAGATGTAATTGGGGTATCAGACGCCAGAGGCGACGAAGAAGTCGAGGCATCAGCCAAAGACGATGACGTAGCTGCCTCAAACGATTCCAAAGATGATGAGGTCGATGTGCCAGCGAAAGGAGATGATGTAGCTAGCCTAAACGACGGTACAGCCGAAGATGTCTTCGATGTATCCGCTAAAGTTGGCATCGTAGCTGATTCCACAGGTGAGGGTGTCAATGCATCAGACCCCATCAAAGTATCCGAAAATAAGTGTGAATCTGGCGAAGATATCGAAGCGGTAGAAAAGCTATTAGCTGCGTCAGCTGAAGAACGCGCGTTGACACCAGATTCAGAATTTAAACCAGTTGCACCGGTCAAGGGGCTATTGGTACTTGTGAATGTTGCGTCCCCGGTTTTTATCAGACCTGCTGACGTTGTGGGAACATCATTATTATTACTACTACCACCATTAGCGGACACATTGCCATTTTGAAAACCTGTATTGAAAATTTGCATTTGGGCGGTGGAGAGACCTCTAATGAGCAAAAGGTTTGATGTAAAGTTAGCACCGTTGTTCGCTGCAATGCCAAAAACAAAAAGAATCCCAATCCATAGTATCTGAAATATGACTGCTCGTCGCATGCCACTAAAAAAAGCGGGTGAAATTGTTATCAAAATCAGCTCTCAGCTGTCCTTCAAACTTGTGAAAGCGATGCTCACGAAGAGTTCTCTTGGTAAAGAATGTTTTGTTTTATTTATTTGTACCGTTCAGATCTAATGATCATTCTCGATGTAATTTTTCACCGTTCTAATTTTATAATCCCAGATCTCAGTTGAAAATCTCAGATCTCAGTTGAATAATCTGGTATCTTTTCCAATACGAAAACAACGAAGCAATATCAATTGTGACAGAACGGACCTTGATATTCATATTGTTGAGATTCGCGAATAGTATTAATACTAATAGTAACCATAGTAATAACAATAATACAGAATTTGCTAATATTTGTTGAGGTAACAGTTTTGCCAGCACTAACTATAAGAAATACAAGTCGGCTTGGCCTCTGAATGTTTATTGGAGATGAATATTAATTACTATATGTACGGCTCCTCTGTTGTCGTGTCGGGAGGGCCTTTTTATTTGAAGGATTAGTTGTCATAAAGTGCTTATTTTCCACCCGGCTTTTCAACCCAGTCTTGGCTACTCATGTGAGAAAGTCTGCTCAAAGCACGCGCAAACGCGAACCTTTCCTCGTCTAAGGCAAAGATATGCGATTTTTGAGCAATTTCTTTCGAAAATCCATGCTTGGTAACCAGGTCGTCGCTAGCGTCACTGTCATCGCTGGCGGAGCCCGCACCAGCAGAATCATGCTTGGGCTTCAATTCGTAGTCGTTCAAAATATCCTCTGGCTCGGTGAACAAAGAGGTGAAATCAGCCGCTCCAGTAGTGGCAAGCTTCCCTCCGCTATCGTAGACGGCGTCAAGAAAAGTTATAAACCTTCGAATCTGATCGCGAACATATATCGATAGAAAGGGAATGTCTGTGATCACGAATGCTCGGAATGTGCTTGCCAAGGCTAGATAGTCACCGGCAGCCAATGGCTCGCCGCAAAGCTGCTTGAAAGTGAATTGTGCAACCCGCGGCGGTGTGCAGGCGGGCACATTGAGATCACGACCCCACACGCGCAGTTTGTAGTCTGTGAGTTTTTTGTGCGTCTTGCTCTCCAAATGTTTCTTATCCTCAGACTCGGGCTGTGCGAAGTAGTCGTACCACAACGCAACGTGCTGGGCCCGGGCATCCTGGCATTCGGGACTGTTATATTTCATGCCTTCTGCGGGGTAATAATACACAGACGAGACAGGGCGTGGTATTTTACGATAGTCGGTCGCAGAGTCCAAGTCGATGACATCGGTACGCTCTTTAAGCATCTGAATGCAAGGCAAGAACAATTCGCGTTGAATACCGTTGATGTAAAGGTCATCGGGACTTCTGTTACTTGTAGTAACGAGAACGACGCCATAGGGTTTGGCAAGTAACGCAGTCAAAAGCCGTCTTAGCATCATTGCGTCGGCAACGTCTGTGACTTGGAATTCGTCGAAACACAATATTCGAGAGCTATTGGCAATCTCAGTGGCTAAAAAAGGGATTGGGTCTACGTCGGTGTGTTTCTCGAGTCCTAAAACGTCCAGGTTTTGTTCTCTGATGATGTCGTGCGACCTTTTATGGACAAATTGCATGAATTGGTGGAAATGAAGTCTTTTCTTCGTAAGCGACGCAGGAATAGTCAAGTAAAATAAATCCATTAGCATAGTCTTCCCACATCCGACGTCTCCGTATAGATAAATGCCCTGTGGAATTTCGTTGTAGACGGGCTTCGACGATTTTTTGAAAAACCGACCAAAAGAAAATCTGTCACGCCATCCGAGCTGATCCAGGGCACTCGCAGGCGATACTTTCTGAGGGGAATATTTTTCCAGATGGTTGTGCAACTTGTCTAAGCTCTTGATGATTTTTCGCTGATACGGATCGTTCCGAAGTTTACCATCTTGAACAAGCTGATCATACCTCTGAGAAGGCGTGCATACCGCAGACGAAGCAAGTCTTCGTGCCTCTGCACTCTGCCATAGGCGCCAATTCACGAGGCCGAACTTCCCTAATCGTCCCTGGGCCAGCCTCATTTTGCTCGGGTATCTAAAATATCCTCGAGCGAATTGTTCTCGGTGAAAAAATATGATCGTCATCAGCGATGCCGTTAGAGGACCAAAAGCTCGATACAGGTACCGCTGATAGCGTTTAATGAAAGTGAAAGAGCAAGACCACTATGGCAAACCGTAGTCATAAACTGATGTGAAGATAAACTACCCCTGGGTAACTTTTTCCACGGAATGAGTATTCTTTAATTTGAATCTTTTTCATAAAAACTCACTCGAACCTCGTAATATCTTAGCCCAAACATCGTCAGACGTCTTCCAAAATCCAGCCTTGAAGCATTTGTTCCTCGTTTACAACTAAAAGCACAACGGTGGGCATGTCAGCGCAATATGGAAATCGATTTTCCAAAGGTGTTTGCAATTCTTCATTGAAGCGTTTTGTGGATAAATCGACATGTCAAATGTCAATATTGAATTCTAAAAATGAAAAAACCTTGATGTGAAAATGCTCGAAAAACAGAATTATCTTACCTCATTAAAGATTAAACCTATACAGGTAGTAAGGAGGGTTCAGGGCTTTAATAGGACTAGGATATCATAGTAACTTTTTAGTGGTCGCGATATTCAAATGGCAACTTCGTGTCAGAGATTTGTAGCACTAAAATTTGTTGAACATTGGAGATCCATGAGTGAAAATTTTTAATAATATAGAGACGGTGGAATTAAGTATTGCTCGGCGTTTGGCTTGGCTTGTCCTGTGTCTCTTATCGTACTTTTGTTGTTCCTCTATTATCACGGTTGAAAAATCAAGATTAAGTAAATGTAGAAGAGGACAAAATTATGTGGATGTACATCTAGTCACAGGAACACTTATGAAATGGGCTCTTTGGAGAGCAGTTTCGAGCAATTGAAGCTAGAAAAAAGTCTAGATGATGGGCTCGTAGACGTGACCGATCAATTGAAGAGGTTGACGAATCAATTAAAACCCCAGACTATCGTTAAAGCACCGGATTTCGATCTTTTCGAAGGGACACATTCATTGGAAATAAATAACAAAAAACTAGATTCGACTTTGTTACAATTACCTACAGCTGAGCAATTCTTCGACTGCAATCTGGCTTATGGTGATAGTGAAGTCCAGATGAATGAGTTTGTCACTGGGATTTCGGACCGTCTCTTAAGAAGCGTGATGACATGGCTCACGGATTACCAAAGCTTACCAACCACCGTCTTGTGCTGTCGGTATGTTGAAGTGTTGATTATGCAGTTCACAGAAGATCCAAAACCCGATTTATCGTCGTGTCGCCTCAACACGGGTAATGAGCTTTATGACGAGGTTCTTGTCGGGTGTGTACTGGGACTTGCGTCCTTCATAGGTTTTGTTCAGTCACTGTTCCGAGCCGGAGTGATCTTTGAAGAGGAGGATCTCAATTGTAACACAATGGGCCTCAATATGTTGATGGGCGTTACCACGGAAACTGTACTACAAAAGCTAGAAAGGGGTCGTTTCATTTTGACCCACAAATTTCCACAATCGGCTCATCTGACGCGTATTTTAGAATTGGTGATGCATTTGGTCACTCTGGGCTCAATGCTACCGGATCAAGCAGAAATATCTGGCGAGTCTTGCGTTGAGACATTGCAGAAGCTAATTGGCTGCGCAACTGAGCTCCAGATATACGACACAACATCTTTATCAGTGCCCCCAGGGTGTTTCTCCGTTGGCATCCAGAAAAGATTATCAAACCAATTCCCCCCGAAAAGTATCGCTGAGCTTCGTGGCGGTGAGTATGAGGCATACGAACGAATGGCAAAAGATATATGCGAGGTTTTCAAGTTGAACGAGGCTCAAAGTGTTTTCGAAATTTATCAGGCCGCATACTATTTTAACAAGGGAGCACAGCGTCACGTAATTGCCCGTGCATTGTTCCCTTTGCATCTAATGAGAGATGACCAAACGGTTTTAGGGAAAATGACTTTCTTGGAATTTTCTGAACAACATATCCGAGCATTTTCACTACATGCTACAAGCTTAAGCCATGCGTTACAGGACGCTGAATTGTCGCCATCTTTGATAGATAAGTTTGACGCTTTCATGCAAGAATCCTCAGCTGCACTTTTTGCATGGTATCAAAACATGTCTCAAAATTCATGCAGGTACAGACAGGGATTTAATAGGCAGCTTTTGGTATGGGACTCGCTTCAAGCGCAGGTTGAAACTTTCGAAATGGAGCTAGAATCGCTGGAAATTAAAGACGAAATTGCCGAAAATCGCACGCTGTTGCCTCTGACGAGTTGGACATTCTTTATGAAACTTTCTGCGATGTTAGAGTTTGTCCTCAATGGGTTTGAACTGGATATTTATAAACCTCGAGAATATTTCGCGATGTACTGGTACGCATACTATCTTACGCAGCATTCCGAAAGTTGTTTAGACCGCTTGCATACCTTCATCAGAAATAAGATAGCCTTCATTCAATCCATGAACAAACGACTCAAGAAGCTGAAAGCTGGTGAGAAAAAAAACGCACTCAGAACTCAATACCGCTGGTATGTCGAAAACGATTTGCCGCAGCTAAGTGCAAATCAAAAATCTGTCACTACTTTTGCTATGAAGTGTCTAATCGTCAAAAACCTTTGCCTCGCAGAAGTTTTCCAATTCGCTACTTTAAAATCGTATGGGCTAATTGATTACGATGAAAAATCTAATGACCAGTTCAGTTCGACGGAACTCATTCACAAACTAAGATTTAAGACGTTCTCCTCCATCGGTGTACCCGAGCTTCCAAGTTACGAAATGTTTTGCAGCTCCCTCAATGAATTCGTCGTCGATGGCTCTTCTCGCGAGCTGACGAAATCGTCTGAGTTTATCGTGGAGGAGCTTTCAAGTGCGGCAAGTGCTATCGATACTCTTATCGCTGCTATTACAGAGGGTGACGATAAAGCTGATGCCCTTCTGACTGGAACAAGAGTTGTAAAAGATGCTGCAATAGACCATTATCAACGTCTGCGGAAATCCGTGGACCATCTGCGTGCCAACAGTCAAACCATGCATGAAAAGTTTGCCAAGGAGACTCTTCAATCTGCAAGCCAAAAATTTGCTATTGATGTGGAAAGACCTCCTGAAAGCTCGAAATTGTTTCCCTTTCTAACCATAAGAAGGAAATCAGATTGAATTAAACACGGTAAATTAAAGATCCTGTACGTAAGTCATTGCATATATTAAACAGAGACACTTCATTTACACGGAGGGTACTCGTTCAGGGCTTTTCGCTAGGCATGAAATCTTTTACCGAGTTCTGATCGGTATCTGGCTTATTCCTCTGGTTTGAGATCTATCCCGTTCTCTTACCATTTTTTTAACTGTCATCAAAACCTTAAAGTGACGCAGGGTCTCGCGATAAAGAGCATGACTGCTTTCTCCAGATTACATCCTTACATCTTCTTATGGTATATCTTTAATATGTATGGGTGTTGTTTCCGTGTGATCATGTGATTAGTACTATGGCTATAAGCTCTGGCAAAGGACCGTACATTTAGCCGGTGGAAGGTTTTCATTAGAGCTACGTGTCGCTATGTTATTTGAGGTTCCATTTGTATGGCCATTTGTGACGGGTTTCCCACATTTCCCTTGTCCATTTTTGCCGCCGACATCAATTTCCTTTGTGCGTGCGTGGCGGCTTTGTCGTTGTTTTTTTTTGCGTCGGTGCATCCAACTTTTTTTTCTCTGTAAAAACTGTCCCGCTAGGTAGGGGCTGGGCAGAGCCTTGCCCAGCCCCAGGGGGGAGACCTCCGCGCAGCCACGCCAGAGCCTCCCTGCCAGCGGAACTGGATCTCTGTGTAGGGAAGCCCCCAGCTTGGTGGGAGCTGGGCGGGGGCTCTAGGAGGCGTCGAAGGTAGTTGGTCTCCCGCTACGGACCTGGACGCCGGCCGGTTTTTCAAAAATATTTTACTAACAAATACATCGATCAACATCTTATAGAGAGTCTAGTGTAACCCAAGGATAAGCAAATAAGACAAGATGCCTCCAAAGTTTGATCCAAATGAAGTCAAGTTTCTTTACTTGAGAGCCGTTGGTGGTGAAGTTGGTGCTTCCGCTGCTTTGGCCCCAAAGATCGGTCCTTTGGGTTTGTCCCCAAAGAAGGTCGGTGAAGACATCGCCAAGGCCACCAAGGACTTCAAGGGTATCAAGGTTACCGTCCAATTGAGAATCCAAAACAGACAGGCTACTGCTTCCGTTGTTCCTTCTGCTTCTTCTTTGGTCATCACTGCTCTAAAGGAACCACCAAGAGACAGAAAGAAGGACAAGAACGTCAAGCACAGCGGTAACTTGCAATTGGAGGACATCATTGAAGTTGCCAAGCAAATGAGAGAAAAGTCTTTCGGTAAGAACTTGGCTTCCGTCACCAAAGAAATTTTGGGTACGGCTCAATCCGTTGGCTGCCGTGTCAACTACAAGAACCCACACGACATCATTGAAGCCATCAACGCTGGTGAAATTGAAATTCCAGAAAACTAAACTTTTCCAATTTGCAAAACTCCATCATTTCTGTATTTTCTAGTCTAGGGTTTTCTACAAAGAGAAGCTTAATGTATCCTTCGTTTTACGTTTTGTTTGGTTTTCCTATTGAATCTTCTTAAGCTGCAGTTCCCAATCCTGTGGCTATACTACTATTACTGACTTAATCTTTTTGATCATAACAGTCTTGCTCGCAAACACGTTTGTCTACACTCTGGATCTCGGCTTGGATGTGAGACTTGAATTTTGAGCATTTCCTTGTGGAACCCCTTTGGGTTAGTACATGAGGTTGTTGACAATTCATAGTGGTCTCTAATCCAAATCATGTGCTGAGCTCCTATTTAGAAGCAAACAAGATAAACTCGTCACTTACTCACCGATGTTTCTATGCAGAATTCTGCGATAGATTCCTTGGTCCATAGAATTGGCATACATTTTAAAAACTTGATTTAGACGAATTGTAGATTCTTGAGTTCGCCAAAGGACGACCTCTGTAACGCTATTGCTAATCTTGGTGTAGGTAGAGGTCCATGGCCCAGTAGTGTTCGGTTGTGCTCGGCCTGAAGTGTCGTTTTCGACGTGATATTCTCATCAACAACTTCATTGTAAATACTAGCACAACGTAACTAGCAGGCAATGTCTGCTGATTCGATTGACCAGGTTTTTGAGAAAGCTATTTCTACTATCCATACTCTGTCGTCCCTGAAGGGATATAATTCTTTGCCCCGACCTCCGGCTCATGTCAGAATCGAACTTTACGCTTTTTTTAAACAGGCCACAGAGGGCGATGCTCAAACGGCTCTAACGAGACCTGACGATGATTCAAATGACGCCGATCGCGGAGTGGCTCTCAAAAAGTGGAATGCATGGCATACAAAGCATGGAATGGCCCAAATTGAAGCCAAGAAGCAATATATTCAGTTGCTTATTTCCACGATGAGATCGTACGCAATGGGCACAATAGCCGCGAGAGAACTGCTTGGTGACCTCGAGTTTCTGTGGTGGCAAGTCGCAGATGGCGGCGGAGAGGTGATTGAGGACAATAGCAGTATGATTTTGGCCCTGCAAGACGATATTCCAGATTCAAAGTCACTTCATTTGCGCAGGGAGATCTACGAAACCCTGAGCGCCTTGAACGAGAAAAAATTGCATCTATCGAAACACAGCCGTGCTGGCCATGGGAAAGATTTGAAAAAGGATATAACTCGTCTATCAAGATTGAAAAAGCAGGTTTACTGGCTTGCGTCACTGATCGCAAAGTACGCCTACTTTCTACTAAAGAAACTCTTGTACAATGCCGTTTTCCTCCTATTGCTTTTCGAAGCGGCAAACCACTTCCAGATCTCACCTCCTCAGCTAGCCAACACCAGTTTTTCTTTGTCAAATTTTCGCAAAGCATGTGAATTTCTCTGGAATTCTGCCATGAGAGGAACCTGGACTGCGTTCAAGTCCATTTACGATTGTTCTTCTATCAGAACGATAGCGACTTGATCGTGGCAATTGATCTCGATGAAGAAGAATGAACCGACAACTACGTTAATTTAAGAGGCAACACCACTGATAACCATCATTTTCTAAACGTAGCCGGAAACGCACCGTAAAAGGTGGAGGCTCGAACTGGCTTGTCTCCTTGAAGGGCTGGCAGCATATATCGCCTTTCTATCATCATCGTGTATCACGTGACCTTTAAATAAGAGCGGAACTGAACATTAATTAATTGTAGATGCGATGCATTTACAATCCCCTCGTGAACCGACAGATCCCCCTGGATGTCGAGTTACAAATGGAGTGACTTGGTTGATATAAATTCGAAGACAAGATCTTACACATCTCGTTTGGCATGCATTGCCCATATTGACGTAAACGCCTTTTTCGCTCAAGTGGAACAAATACGGTGCAACTACGGACGAGATGATCCTGTCGTGTGCGTTCAGTGGTCGTCTATTATAGCCATTTCATATGCGGCGAGAAAGTACGGCATAACAAGGATGGATAGTATCCAAAACGCGTTGAAGAAATCGGATAAAATCATTCCCATTCATACCGCAGTATTCCGTAAGGGAGAAGACTTTTGGCAATATCATGATGGATATGGAATATGGAACGAAGACAGTTCTAAGCATATCACCCCTGAACAATTTAAAGTTTCTTTGGATCCATATCGTAGGGAAAGTCGAAAAATCCTGAAATTGGTTCATGAGTACTGTGACCTCGTGGAAAAGGCGAGTGTGGACGAAGTGTTTGTGGATTTGGGTCGTCTTTGTTTCTATGCTTTGCTGTTCGATGAATCTATCTCGGGCTTCGGATCGTTGCGTGATCAATTTCGGAATGGAAATTACGAATTAGACGATTACCTGCCACCAGTGCCTCTGGATCTAAGTTTGGAATATAGTGGACTTGTCTACGGAGCTGACATCGATCCTCAATCGACAGAAGTAACTTTCAAAGACTGGGATGATGTGATCTTCTGTCTAGCTTCTCAGAAAACTCAAGAAATTAGAGATCAAATCGAAGCAGTTCTTGGTTATACGACTTCTTGTGGTATATCGAGAACAAAAACCTTGAGCAAAATTGGCTCCAATTTCAAAAAGCCGGCTGCGCAAACAATTATTCGAAATTCAATGATTGAAGACTTTTTAGACTATGAGGGTGTAGAATTGACGTCTTTTTGGAGTCTCGGAGGTACCACCGGAAAGGAGGTTTCCCAACTACTTTCTGTTCCACAAGAGTTTCCTTTGAGATATGTAAGAGATTCCTGGCCCATATCATGTGAGGAACTACGACAGTACATGAAAAAGCGCTTATCGGACATGAATTCAAGCGGCGTCACGTTTCAAACTGTAGATGAGGCCCAAATCTCTTCACTGGCAGATAAAATATTCAAGCTTGTTCGAGGAGATTTGAAAACAGCGGTGAACTCGAAGCCAATGATAAAGTCTATGATGTCCAACAAAAATCTTAGAGGTGATTCATGTAAGCACTTTTCAGATTGCATGGCGTGGCTTGAAGTATTTAGCGGGGAGTTAAATGGGCGCATTCACGAAATGGAACAAGAACATGGAATGCACTTTGTGCCGAAAACATTAACAGTTTCAACGCGATCCAAAACGTTTGAAAGGCATAGCCGAAGTGCTCCTATGACATTCAATGGCTCACACTTGCATAGCAAAGACATCCTCGAGCTTGGGACTCGTTTGATAAAGGACTTGGATTTGAAATTTGGTCAAGCAGACTGGTACTACCCTTTGACTAACGTGAATATGTCGCTTTCAAATTTCGAAATCGTCGAGGCTGGCCGCAGCATAATTGATATATTTGGTCGGCAGGCACAAGTAACCAAGACCGATGATGGAATTGTACCGGATGGTACTACGGGGAAGGCATCATCTATTTCGCCTTCGAGGGCTTCAAGAGCCGTAGACGTTATCAACTCACATTTCGAATGCGAGCCCTGTGGAAAGACATTTGAAAATGAGGAAGCATTTCGAGAACACAGCGATTATCATTATGCTCTCCAACTAGAGCAAAGTTACAATGGTGCCAAAGAAGATTCCACGAGCCTTTCTTATGGCGAGCGCAGGCTACTCTTTTCCAGCACAAAGCGTGCCGCCTCTGTGGCGACTGCAACCTCTAAGAGGCGAAAGGATAACATTTCCAGGTCATCAAAAAAGGGTAACATGGATATTTATAAGTTTTTCTCAAGGTAGCCAATTGTCAATGTCAGAAATGGCGCTGTCGAATGTCAAATATTCAAAACCAGCATTTCATAAAGCACAGTATTTCAATTTCGTAATATACGAGACGATAATACGATCGGCAGCACTATCCAACTCTTTTCGCTTCTATATGTCGGCTAAGCCTAACACTTTAATTAAAGTTTGTCGGCATCAAAGCTCGTAATCTTCTCGCAAGTGGTATCAATGTTATTTGCTGGTGTATTTTACGTTAAGGCAATTTGGCCGAGTGGTTAAGGCGTAAGATTAGAAATCTTTTGGGCTCTGCCCGCGCAGGTTCGAATCCTGCAGTTGTCGTTTTTGTTTTTTGATTTTGCAAAAGAAGGTGTTACGGCTGTCATCCGCTCACCTCACTTAACACATATCTATGAAATAGCCTTCAACAATTCCTTCATATATTTTCATTGTGATTCCATTTTTTTTATCACGTTGGCTAATGAAGACTTTTATCGAACTTTCAAATCAGAGGGGAAATTTTATTGTTTGATGATTGTTACCTTCCTTCCAGTCATTTAGGAACCTTGCAGAAGATAGATGCCTAAATTACCAAATACTTAAACAGTAGCCATATCGCGAGCAGGTGATGCATAATTCCGTTAGACTATTTAAATTTCTAGTTCTATCTCTTCGGGGTTTGCTTGCACCGATGAAACCTTTTTCCCATCACTACCTACAATTGCCTTTGATGCAACAAACTCCACGTTTCCTTCATTTTTAGAGATCTCAGCAGTATCAACCTTGAAATTTCCTTCCACTTCGCGGCGTAAAGTCAGCATTTCTTTGTAAGAATCTCTATTGCCATATCTCAACTCAAAATCATTCCAAAACGTCCAGAGTTCAAGATTCTTAGAAACACTAACTAGCTTGCCTCCGAAGGCTAGAATCGCTCGAGCTCTCTCGAAGTCCCGCAATCGTATCTCGCACCTGATAAAGTCAAGCACAAAAGGAACAGCTCTTGAATTCGGCAAGCTCATCACACATTCTTCGTACAGCGAGCGCGAGCTCTCGTCTCCCAATAATTGACTGCATTTAGATAGACAGATCTGCCATAGAGTGCATTTGGAAGAAACGCTTTCTATTACACGACAACCTTGACATAGAAGATCGATACTTCTATGATAAAACCCATTTTGCTCCTCAACATCAGCATAAAGAATGAACAGGCTCTCACAATTGACGCCTTCATGGACTAGTTGAAGGGCACTTTCACAGAGCTCGCGAATTCTCTCAAGCGATACATTCTGGGAAACGATTTTGCCCAGATATATGTTCCATATTTCATATCTTGTCTCTGCCGGGAAAACCTCGATAGCTCGCTCATAGAGTTGATAGCTTTCAGACCATAGGTTGGCTTTTTGCAAAAAACTCGCAAAATGGAGGAAAGTGGAAGGAGACGCAATTTTCAAATCTATAGTTTGCTCATACGCATCTTTGACCTTTCGATCTGATACGGTATCTGGCCAGAAGGCCTCTAAAAGATCGATGAAGTAATACCAAAGTTTCCTTGAACTGAACAAAATGGTCTGTGCTGGAATTTTCCCGTTACCCTTCTCGTAGACATCCATAAGTTCCTCGGTTGACCCTGGAACTGTGAGAGCTTTGCTTAATAGATTGATCGCTCTCTCACAACCACTACATTTTAACTCTGTTTTTGTCCAAAATAACCAGATATGCTCCAGGTCTGGTAAAGAGGGGAATGGCACGCGAACCGCGTGATCCAGCGTCTCCCTGGCTGTATCTAGATCGCGAGCGTCAACATATATCTGAGCGAAATCACACCACAATTTTCCAAAGGTCCCCGGGGAGCTGACTTTGGTTGGATTGATTTTGGTGATTGCTTCTGTATAGACTTTGCATTTGTCGGCAACATTTGAAAATAGCCCTACCCTAGCTTGCCACGCTTCAACGTCATTGATGTTTTGTCGCAGTCGAAGATCGTTTAAGGAAATGCCATTATTTTCTATTAGGTTTTCCAATGCGTCGATGGCGTCTTTCAAGTCGGCGCCATAACTTGCTTCTCCGTCAGGCTGCTCCTGAACCCTTTCTAGCAAAGCCTCAACCTCACCTTCGAGGATTTGGGTCAGAAAGTTGTAAATTTCTGCGTAGTTTTTAACTTTCAGAGTAGAAAGCATAGCCTTTTTTAGACAGGATATCGCGTCCTGTAATTTGCCACGCACAAGGTGAAAGTGTGCCAGTTGCTTCATCAAGAAGCACCATTGGTCGGGGAACTTTTCCAAACATGAATCTAAAATTTTCAGAAACTCTCGATCTCGCTTCGCCCTATCTAAAGCTGTGAGGTAGCGACGATAGAACTCAAACGGTGAATGCGAAACAGGAGAAAATGTTTTTTTGAAAATATGCTGCTGGAAAACGTCGGCGATGGTAATTTCGTCATTTGTCATGCCAAGTAAAAAAAGAGCACGCTCGATGTCATCAGTGACCTGCACGAAACGCCGAAGTATATGAGACGACCACAGATCTGGTATTTCTACGTCTGGATGTACTCCGTTTGCGTGCCATCGTACCAACAAATCCAATTCTTCAACGTCGAGAGCGGAAACGGCTGTGTCTGCAAGAAGGCGCTCGGTAAACGATACAACAACTTCCCAGATATCCAAGTGCTTTTCGAAAGGTACACACCGCAATGCAGCATTCAGAACTGTCCTTATTTTCCCCAAATTCCGTTGCTTAATACAATGTTCCATAAACAAAATCCAAATGGGTGCACTAGCAGGACAATTATGCAGAGCTTTTTCGAAAACCCTGTCGCATTTCACAAACTCTTCATCAAACAACACACTATTGTGGTTATCCAGAAACCCAAGCCTCCATTTCACGTATTCAATCCATAATTTCTCGTTATTTCCAAAATTCTGGCAAAACCTTTCAAAAACCCAGGCTATCGAATCTGCATTTTGCGTCTCCTTTTTGTGCTCTAGGTATCGTTCCCAAGACCTAAAATCTCTTCCATTTCCTTGAAGTTCATATTCAAACGCAACGTCCTCTTCAGATACCACGAAAGACACTATATTCATTAAATAAATCACTTGATGCCAGTAGTCTCAGTCTTCTTTAAAGTGTCAAAATTTCCCAGTTCCTATTTCTTAAAGGCCCTTCGTACAAAGACATATCAACACTTTTCATTAAAAGAGACCGAGAACCAAAGGGGCTTTCCTCCGAGACAAGAAGAAGTTAATCACGACACCATCGAGGCATAGGGAGTTGAGATTGAATTGAATGCGTGGTGCTGTTTAAGCAATGTCGCAAAATAGGGAGCAGGTTTTTCCTACTCGTATGACGCTGGGACTCATGAAGTCCAAGCTCAAGGGAGCTAACCAGGGCCACTCACTTTTGAAACGTAAATCGGAGGCCTTAACCAAGAGATTTCGTGATATTACGAGACGTATCGATGAGGCGAAACAGAAAATGGGGCGCGTGATGCAAACCGCTGCGTTTTCACTTGCAGAAGTGAGCTATGCCACGGGAGAGAACATTGGCTATCAGGTGCAAGAAAACGTGTCGAATGCACGTTTCAAAGTGCGTGCACGCCAAGAAAATGTCAGTGGTGTTTACCTTCCACAATTTGAGAGTTACGTGGACTCTGAGATCAATGATTTTAAGTTGACAGGTCTCGGACGTGGTGGACAGCAAGTGCAACGTGCCAAAGAAATTTATTCGAAAGCAGTTGAGATGTTGGTCGAACTTGCCTCGCTTCAAACTGCGTTTGTGATTCTCGACGAGGTCATCAAGGTTACCAACAGAAGAGTCAACGCTATCGAACACGTCATCATCCCAAGAACCGAAAATACGATAGCGTACATCAACAGTGAGCTGGACGAGTTGGACAGAGAAGAATTTTATAGATTGAAAAAAGTTCAAGAGAAGAAACAACAACAGACAGCAGCACTAGACGCGCAACTGAAGCTGCAGAAACAGCAAGAATTGCTGCAAAAGCAGAAGGAAGAAGCCAATGCAAGCACTAAGGAGGAGTCGAACTCTGGATACGGCGAAAAGGCCCCCGAGGACTCTTCCGCAGCGGAAAAACAAGAAGATGAGTCATCAAAAACTGACGTTCTTGCGGAACAAGAGGACGATGTGATCTTTTAGATCAGAGCATTTTGTATTTACAGTTATTTTTTCCTAGCTTGTAGAGTTTAGTTCACTCTAGTATAGAAAATCCTTGTGAAAACCGTTGAGAAACCAGGTCATATCGCTCGGAACAGTATCAACCCGAAAGACGTGTGATTGTCAGCGAACCTTGAAGACAAAATGCTCATATACCTGCTGTTGTTGTTTCTTCCAGTACTTACCTTTGGGAACCTTTTTGAAAGTGAATTAAGGACAGTACAGGTCTCAAATTCAGAAATCATCGTCATCCAAGAACATGAGAAACTTAAGCTCAAGCGTCGGGGAGTGTCATTTATGGACATTTCTGACTTTCCCAGTCTTTTCAAATCGAAAATAGACCCTGTTGTTCCGTCATACAAGTACCCCGCGTCGCCATCTCATCAGCAGAAAGGCGTTGAACGCCTTTTCCCCGCAATCAACCGGGATTCGATGTACAAGAATTTGGCCTCCATGACCAGCTTTTATACCCGATACTACAAATCCAAGGAGGGCGTCAAGTCCGCCAAGTGGGTTTCAGAAACACTACACAATGTTACTTCAGTCATTGGAGACCACGCAGAGATCCATCATTTTGACCATGCCAAATGGGAACAGTTTTCTATCATAGTTCGAATTCTGGGCTCTAAAGCGCCTGAAAATGTAGTAGTATTTGGGTCGCATCATGATTCGATGAATTTATTATTTCCGTCCCTGATGCCAGCGCCAGGTGCAGATGACAATGCGTCTGGAACAGTTACCAACATCGAAGCATTGCGCGTCTATTGTGAATATCTGGCAGAAACCCAGAACTGGCCCAAAAACACGGTGGAGTTCCATTTTTATTCCGCAGAAGAAGGTGGACTGCTAGGTTCTTTGGACATATTTACCAGCTATAGAGAAGAATCGAAATCAGTCGTGGCAATGATTCAACAAGATATGACGGGATACATCCAAGACAAGAAAGACGAGCACATAGGCATCGTAACAGATTACACAGATCCACGATTGACGGAATTTGTCAAGATGATTATTGATTCTTACCTGGAGATCCCATATAAGGAATCAAGCTGTGGATATGCTTGCAGCGACCATGGTAGTGCTACGAAGAACGGTTATCCTGCGGCATTTGTCATTGAAAGTGAAGACAGCCAAACGAACAGGTACATCCATACCAACATGGATACGCTTGACAGATTGAGCCTCTCACACATGGTTCAACATGTGAGGCTGGCGCTGGGCGCAACACTAGAATTGGGTGATTGGGAAGTAGAACAGATTCAATCTTAATGCATTTTGAATTTTGAGCTTATGATAGAGTGTTTATAACTATTTACAGTAACATCGTCGAAGGTGCAAATCATCTGGCTGCCTTATCGGAGTGTCCGCGAGGTCTATCTTTGACTTTCATCTTGTTTTGGTTCTTACCTCTTCTCGTCTTGAATCCCTTAGCCAATTGGCCCCAAGGTGACATGGACAGTTTTTTAGATTTCGATTTACCTCTACCACCACCATGAGGATGGTCACATTTGTTCATGGCTACACCTCTTACAGTGGGTCTTATACCTCTCCATCTAGAACGTCCAGCTTTACCCAGAGACCTATTTTGATGTTCAATGTTCGAGACAATACCCAACGTCGCGCAGGCTTCGAGTGAAACGTAGCGGTGCTCCCCACTTTGTAACCTTATAATAGCTTTTTTCCTTTCGGCCAATTTGGAGATTACTCTGGCATAAGTGCCAGCAGCACGACAGAACTTACCGGGTCCCACGGGCGTGAGCCCTACGTTGTGTACGATAGCTCCGATCGGTATCATCGAGATGGGCAAACAGTTGCCTCTCTGGGCGGTGCGAACACTCAAGATCGCAGGATCGATTTTCCCCCCCATTTCCTGAAGTAGTCTATCAGGCACACCTTTGCGGTAGGACTCTACGACATCACCTGCTCTAAGGCCATCACAGGCGAGAATGTAGCTCAATTCTTGGGTGTCGTTGTGTTTGAGAAGTGCAATGTGGGCGGATCTGCCAGGATCGTATTCTATCCTTTGGACGGTTTGTTCGCCCGGTGTAAAGCGAGCGAAATCCACGATTCTGATCCTACGCTTGTGACCACCACCACGGTGCCGCACCGTGATCTTTCCAGAATGGTTTCTGCCGCCGGTCCCACGTTTTGCTACCGTGAGCGTACGAACGGGCCGACCTTTGTGGAGGTATGGGTATATTGGGGCCCGGTACCACCGTAAACCTGGAGAGACCGGTTTAAGCTTCTTGAGTTTGGTTATTTCCTTGGAGAGTTTGCGGCGACGCTTGATCAACGCGTCCTGCTTTTCCAACGTCACCATATCGATCTCATTAGGCACAATCTTAAGCATCTGTGCCGTCACTGGCGCCTGGTCCAGGTTTGGTCTGGCAGACGCCAAAACTTCTTCTTTGAAGCGCGCTTGGCAGGCTGAAAACAGCCTCAGGGACACATTCCTGTATCCGAAGCCGATCCGCGGCGCGATAATGGTCCTAACACCTGGCAATAACCGCATATCGCGTGCTTTGACTGGGTCAAATGGGTCTTCAGACACGCCTGTCCGGGGGCCGTGAAATTTTTCAGAAATCGACCAGTAAGTGGGTGGGTTGGGAAGAGACTAGATGTGCGTTTGTACGAGAAGACTCGAGGTCTTCTAAACCAAAACCTCGAGAACCAATCCACGGCGCCGCCACGGCTACGATGATCCAAAGGCTGGAACTATTAGACAGACACCATTGCCAGCGTGTGCCTGAAAACTGTCTGCTCCAGAATTCTCCAAACGAGTTCAAACCACGTGACTGAAAAACGGGCGTGCAAAATGACTTCTGAAAAGTAATGAGGAACAGTGGGTAACGGTGGGTAGATACTTTTACGCGTGGCGCTGATGTCTATCGGCGGCCAGCCACGGTTATTGTATCGTAAACAATAGCACTAAGTTGTGCGGGTTCCCGTTCGCGAGGGATCCTCAACCCATTGCGCACGTTCGACCCTGAGCTAAACTACAACTACCACCGCTGCGGTTTCCTTCCGTCACGTGACGACCGTCACGTATACTTCCCTTACCTCTGGAGGTGCCCCGGCTCTGCCCAGGGCGATGGCGATGGGGCCACACGAAAACGGCACTAAACGACGTCGTTACGACGTCGTTACGACGTTACGCCGCAAAAACCGTCCGTCAGAACCATATCTCTCCCCACGTGACCAACTCTCCGCTTTTCTCCGGCTTCCTGCGAGAGTCCGAGTCGCCGTTTCGAGCTCTTGGCCCACGCAAGCACGCTACCCCGCGCTATCAGATGATAGACACAACTATTGCAAACGCGCCGCAATTTCAGATTTGCAATGGCGCGTTTTCCGCGCGTCTACGCATTTCCCGCGCCTAATTGGACGTCTGCCAATTCCTTGGGATCTGTGCACACGCCGAGGAGCCACCAAAGGCAGGGTTTGTCTCGTATCTCGCCGAACTCCAGGCTATCGAATTCGAGGTACGAGGCTTTTACGTACGAAGCGACTGATAAGCCAAAAAGGTTTCCCTTCCCTCACCATCCGGAGGTGTGGGTGAGCTCTGAGCACGCCGCAAATGAGATAATGAAACTTCGCCATTGATAAGATCAAAAGCGTATTTGAAAACGGGCGATAAGATAACGGAAATGATAAGGTAAGCGGGCCTGCGATGGATAACCACTGGAAAAGCAATGGGCGGTAGTGAGGGCTATTAAATGACCCAAATGGCATAAATTAAAGTAACATTGGCAACGGAACAATGATCCAAGGTCCGAGCTTTCGTTTTAAGGTTACACACACACGCTAGGATGAATTCGCAAGAGAAAGAGGTGTCGAGGACTGAAGTCCTTCAGCGGACTGGCAGCTCAGACAACTCCACTGGAGCCGAGTACCAGACGTCCAAATGGCAGAAATTTCTGGAGCTCATAGAAGTGCACAAGACTTCGCGCAAAGAAACTATCATGGAGACGTTTCTGTACAACCAGGACTTGCGGCCAGTGGAATCCGCTCGTCGCAAATGGTCGTGGTTCAACTTCGTGTATTTCTGGATCGCAGACTGTTTTAACATCAACACGTGGCAGGTCGCGGCTACGGGTCTCCAGCTGGGCCTCAGCTGGTGGGAAACGTGGCTGACAGTTTGGATTGGGTATGCGATCGTCGGTATTTTGGTCGTTTTGACGGCGCGGATTGGTACCATGTACCACTGTTCTTTCCCCATCACTGCGCGTGCCTCGTTCGGAATCTTCTTTTCGCTGTGGCCCGTCATTAACCGTGTCGTGATGGCCATTGTGTGGTATTCGGTGCAGACGTGGATCGCCATGACCCCTATTTCGCTGATGCTCAAGAGTATATTTGGCTACGATTTACCCGACAGAATCCCCAACCACATCAACAGCCCTAACGCGACAACCTACCAGTTCATGTGCTTCTTCATCTTCTGGGTGTGCCAGCTTCCCTTCGTTTACGTGCACCCTCACCAGGTGAGACACTTATTCACCGTCAAAGCCGCGCTAGTGCCGTTTGCCGCTTTCGGTTTCCTCATCTGGGCTCTATGCAAGTCCAACGGCAAGATTGCACTCGAAAGCTTGGTCGAGGGCCCACCCTTGACTTCCAGCGAGCGTGGTTGGGCCTGGATGCAGTCGATCATGGCATGCATAGCCAACTTTGCGACTTTGATCGTTAACGCTCCCGATTTCTCACGTTTCTCCAAGACCAAAGTCTCTGCCACTTGGTCCCAAGGTATCTCCATTCCCTTCTTCTTTTCCTTGACCTCCCTGATAGGTATTATTGTCACAGCTTCCGCATACAAAATCTACCAAGTTAACTACTGGTCCCCACTAGATGTGCTAGACAGATTCTTGGGCGACGGTTTCACTAGAGGCGAGCGCGCGGGCGCGTTTTTGATTTCTTTCGTCTTTGCAGTGGCTCAATTGGGTACTAACATCAGTGCCAACTCTCTGTCTGCTGGTACAGACATGACTGCGTTGCTACCAAAATTCATCAACATCAGACGTGGTGGATTCATTTGCGCGGGCTTGGCGCTCTGTATCTGTCCTTGGAACCTCATGTCCAGCTCCAATAAATTTACCATGGCTTTGAGCGCTTACGCCATCTTTTTGAGTTGTATTGCTGCTGTCATGTGCGCCGATTACTACGTTGTCAGAAGAGGGCAGTACAACTTGTTTCACTTGTACAGCTCAGATCCAAAAGTGTCCGACTACATGTATGGCTCTAGGTTCGGAATCAACTGGAGAGCGCTCGTTGCTTACTTGGCTGGTATTGTGCCCAACATGCCCGGTTTTGTTGGCGCCGTGGGAGACAACATCCATGTACCTGTCGGTGCCACCAGAGTCTACTACCTTAACTATTTGGTTGGATACTCTGTCTCATTCGTGGTCTACGTCATTCTGTGCTACTTCTTTCCTGTGCCCAATGCTCCTGTCAGGAACTGCCTTAAAGGCAAAGACTGGCTGGAGACGTTCGCAGAGGTTGATTTCTTCGAGGAAGAGCGTGAGGGTTTCCTCCAAGACAATAACATTCTGTCTATAGTTTCGTCGCAGTTGGGCGCTGGGGATAACGACGAAATTCTTTCCGCTTTCGAGCCGAGAATTGACAGCAAATGATTATATGAACGCTTTTATTTAATATCACCAGAATCTAACTTTCATTTATCTTTACGCTTAAATGATGAAGACGAATTTGTATCTCTAATATACGTATGCAACTGTTAAAACATCAAGCAAGTTGTCATGAAACCGACGAAAAGCTATTTGTAAAAATTTTGCGAGAGGTTACAAGTCTGATAAAATTGTTACAGTGCCCTAAACGTTACTTGATATATCCATGGAATCAATGGTTAGTCATTCAGTATAGTAGAGTAGTTCGCCCTCGGTCACAAGCCCTAACCTTCCTGATGATCCCGTAAAATCACATGGTACGGTTAGATGAAAAATTTTGATAAATGCTGATCCTATCTAGCAAACATCTTCTCTATCTAACCTTTTCGGCTTTCCTGTAAAATCATAGTAATCATCTTTCTCGCATCTTTCCTCTCGACAACGAAGTCTTTCACGATAACGGAACAAACGGAGGAGCAGGCGCTCCTCATGGAAGAGAGAAACTTGTCAACTCAAGGGCATACTATGTATGCATCATAGTGATGACACGCTGTCGCCCCAAACGGATTTCGAAAATATGAACGATTCGACTACATTAGCCAAACACTGAAAATTCTGATTTATGATCCATAAAAGACGCCCTATGAGTTGACATTTACTCTTTTCCATGAAAATTTTTTGATGCCTTGAAAACGTTGTGTGCTTGATGATGATCATACCATGCTAATCATGAAAAGACCGAGGGCCCTGTTTGGCGCCCTTGGTGCTAGGATTAGATCTAATTCAGACTGAAAGTCAAATGTTTAAACCCATCAAGACGTTTGATCTCGTGAATAGTGTATCATGCAAGCCGGAACACCTTCTGCGTAGTATCCTAGTATATAAAGTCGTAGAAACCTAGGACGTTGCTTAAACATAAGGGCTTCTCGCCAGATTTCGTTGATGGGTCTGAGTTCAACTTTTCGGCCTGTCTGCACCTTTGTTTGGCGGGTTCGTTTTTCTGTAGGATATATGAGATCATCACAGTCTGTTATTTTAAGTCACGAAAAGCCAACTTATCAAACACGACAAAAGAGAAAACATAGATGGACAACAAGCATCTCCAGAAAGCCAATGAATTTGCGATTGACTTTCCCATACCGCAGCGAGTAGTTGCTCTTTTTCTGGCCGGTTTATGGTTGTGGCTATGGCTATTGCACGTTCTTTCCAAGACGTTCAACATCGACCTTGCGAAGCTCATTTTAACGCATGATCCGTACGATATACATCCACAAACGTCATCTTCAAAACTTGTGGACTCTACTCGCAAATGCGTTTTTAGGATCACCAAAATAATACTCCCGTGGTATGTCATAACAGTGTTACTTTTGCACAAGACATTGGAAAATCCGCTGGAGACCCCAGCGTGGCTTGTATGTCTTATTAATATCTCTCCTCTGTGTCAGCTCATTGCTACATTTGCAGTACTGTTGTCGTGGTCCCCTATGCTGTGCCGCTGCTTCAAACACATCCTAAAGTTTGGAGACATCGAATCGCGGCCATTGCGAAACAATTACATTTTGATATCAGATACCATGACATCTTTTGCCAAGCCGATGATTGACTTCGGAATTTATCTTTCAAATCTGCTCACAAACCCCGATGACGTTGCGTGCATGATCACTAGAAATGTAAGCCCGCCTCTTCTCAATTTCGACCTTCTGATCGGCGTAACTCCTGCCACGATTAGACTTCTCCAAAGCTTGAGAGAATGGCGCCGATCGACTTCAAGTCATGAAGCGCGGTGCTCCATTTTCAATGCCCTAAAGTACGCGTGCAATTTGCCGATTCTAGTTTGCACCGTGGTCGCAAGAGCAAGCGGAGGTACCTCTACTAATATTTACTGGTTCATGCTGGCGAACTCCCTCTATGGCTTTTGGTGGGATCTGACAATGGACTGGAACCTGGGGGTCTTCAATTTTAGCAGTAATGGGATGAGACGTAATGAAATCTTACGTTCCCAGCGGACATATCCAAGATTCTTCTACTTCACAGCCGCCGTTATCGATTTGGGTTTGCGATTAATTTGGCTATGGGAACTTTTCGCTGGGGGAAGCGTTTTCGTAGGTGAGCTGAACTTTTTATTCCAACATTGCGCCGAAATCTTTAGACGATGGCTTTGGATTTTCATGAAGCTAGACGCCGAAGCGTGCAAGTCGATGGGCCCTGAGAAAGCCCAAGAATAAAGTAAAATGAATGTTAAGATGCAGCGTGTGTGGGATGATATTATAGTCTACAATGCCATATTTCGGCTTTCGTATCTTCAACTATTTATAGAAAAAGAAAAGGGCCTTTCAGCTGGGCCATGCCTCGAGCGTTACTATTTCCTACGCTTGTTACTGTTAGCCTTCCGTTGATTTTCTCTTCTCTCAGCTTTGGTCAAATATCTGAACTTCTTTTTCTTCTTGGGTTTGTCGTCCATTCCTAGGAATTTGGCATATTTGGCTGCCCGATCGATGCTTTCGTCCAATATCTTTTCCGAGCGCTCCAACCGCACGTTGTTGGCGCGAGCTAGGTACTCGAAATTGTCATTTGGCTCCAGCGGCTCAATGTCGACTTGGGTGTCGTCGTCATAAACGTCGCGAGTTCTCTTCAAAATCGGTTTCACGCCATTGGTGCTATCACCATCGTCAGAAAACCCGGTCCACGAGCCTTCGTTGTCGGAATTTTCGCCTGGTTGAACTCGTAAACTTTCATCTTCCCCATCGCTGCCGATGTAATCGCCAACTTCTTTCATCGAATTTTTAAACTTTGTAAACTGCTCCTCGGCATCCTGTTTCCGTTGCTCCCGCAACTTCCGTCGTTCCTCGATTTTATTCTGACGCTCCTGCTCCTTGGCAAATTCCTGTGCTTTTTTTTGTCGCTCTACCTTACGCTTGTGGAATCCTGTTAGATACTCCAGTCGAGAATCTCTGTCGAACGTTACCTCATCAGCACCAAATTTCTTGGCTTGTTTTTGAACGTAATTTTTGCCCTTCGAAAGGATCTCACGGTTACTTTGTCTCACCATCAGGGCTCTTTATCGCGCTGTGGTTACCGCTTTTCTAACAGTTGTATTCATGAGATGAGCTAGCAGCTTCTTAAAATTTTTTTACCGGCTCATAGTGATAACCAATTGTTGATGAAACTTGAACTGTCATCATTTCAAATCCGAATATAATAATGATCTGGAGGGTGATTTGAGCTTCACACTGGTTATTTTTTAAGCGGCTACGTTAAATAATTGTTTCCCATATTTTAACCTGGACAAAACGCTTATTATACGCTACCATATGAACAACAAAATTCTGCAGAGAAAAAAGTAGCAAGAATCACCCATTTATTGTTCTAAGGATCAACATAGGCTAATGCATATATAGGAGATTTCTCTCTTCAAGAACAATCGATTTCTGTTATATTTTGACCTGCAAGGAGAGAGTTGATCATGGTCATCTTTCTTAATTGGACAAAGACGTACCTTATGATCCGTCTCTCGAGTTCAAAAAGAGAGATAACACATCGCAGGTTTCTAGTAAATTGGACACGTCGTGCTATCCAATTGCCCACTTCAAGGAACCATGTCTCACAACAATAGTCCTATGCAGATGCTGCAGCAGATTCCGCCGGTAACGCGGGCGTTATTATTTGGGATTTTTGCTCTTTTGGTCGTGACCAAGATTGGGATCGTTCCAGCTTACTTGGTTCAGTTTTCGTGGTACCATGTGTTTATGAAGTTGCAAGTGTGGCGAATGTTTACGAGCTGTCTGTTGTTGCCCGATCAGCCAATGCCTGCTTTGCTGGAAGTTTACAACATTTATGCTCATTCGTCGGAACTGGAATTGATGCATTTCGGACGTAGCCACACCTACGATTACATTTTCTATTTGACGTTTGGCGTGCTTTCGATTGTCATGAGTGTTGTTTTACTGCGTATCAACAATCCCTTCGATCTGTCCAATGCGTTCGACGGGTTTTTGACGTACACGTGGAGCATAGACAATCGAAACGTCAAGGTTATGTTCTACGGTCTGTTCCCGATTTGGGCCAAATATTTCCCACTCATACAACTTTTCATCACGTTCCTATTTGACGACCCGATTCAGGGCCGTTCCAAGTTTTTTATCACGCTTATCGGCTATAGCACCGGTTATCTGTATTCGTGTCTGGACACGCGGACTTTGGGCCCTCTGTACGGGTATCTTACGCGGCAGCCAAATGGATACGGATACCTGAATTTTGGTCAATTCAGAGCTCCCTGGTGGTTTGCAGGCGCTTGCGACCTTTTCTTCGGCAACGGGCTTCGGTCTGACCGTTACAAAGTGAACGTTCCCATCCGGAACGCCTCGACATACCAGGGCAAAGGCCAACGGCTTGGCATGAAAAAACGAGCAGTGGGAATCCATGATCAAACGACTGAAATACAGAATGAACAACGGCATGACACAGGCTCGTCTGCTACTTGGGCAAGTGGCAATTCTGCGTCGGGATACTTCCCGGGCAAGGGCCATCGAGTAGGCACCAGGGACTAAAAAAACACGCCACATTTTAACTATATTCAATGCTTTTACTCTGCGAGAGACCTTCTACGAGTGTTGAGAGCATCCTCCCTGGACGTAATCCTTAAATCTCAGCTCATCCGTTTTTTTATTTTAGGTTTTTTTCCATGTTATCAATATTCCAAAAATGAAGAGAGCCTACCGTCTAGCCTTCAAGTACTGCTGCAAGTTGAATTCTCGGTACGAAGAGAACTTGCCACTCCTTCAAAATTTTACTTACGACTTTTCGCCTCCAAATTGCTCATTTTCCGCCCAGATTTCAGCTAAAGTTCAGCTAAAGGTCATGCCGTAGCCAATCAGTCTTCCAGTATTTTGGAACACTTGGAAAAACCTAGTAAACGGCTCATGTTTTTCAATATGTTAACTCGTTTGCAGGCTATCGTACTTACCAATGGAGATATCATATAAAACGAAACTGACACTCAGCATTAATGGAATTGGAGTTTCATCGCCCTTTAGGGTCATGACCCTAGCGTGATCGAACCGCTAATAAAAGCTTCGAGGACGGATATAAAAGGGCTTAGGATGCTAACAGGGAGTGAACACACCTCTGCCACAACCTTTATAGTCAGGTTAAATTTCATATGCGAGGTAAGAACGGTTTTAGGCGCATGATATCGACACTCCAAAAATTCCCCTTCGAAACTCAAAATGGCGAGGGTTATTGGGCTCGACACCCGAATAATTACTACCAAAGTGCTAGACCTGGGTTTAAAGCTCTGACATACAGTGAACAAAAACTTCTTCCTTCTTTGCCCGTTCCATCGCTCGAGAAAACACTGGAGAAATATATAAAGTCTATCAAACCTTATTGCTCTGATCCTGAACAACTCGAACATCAGAAGGCTTTGTGTGCTGAATTTGCGCAAACGAGAGGTCCTGAGCTGCAAGAGAGGCTTGTCAGTTTTTCTCAGGACAAACGTAATTGGCTGGCTCATTTCTGGGACAACCAGGCGTATTTGGAGTATGATGACCCGGTGGTGCCCTATGTTTCATACTTTTATGCGCACAAACCGCTGCCGATTACACACAGAAACATCGAATCAGACTTTCTGCTCAAAGCCACAGCGATTGTTAAAGTCGTTACGGATTTTTTGGAATCGCTCAAAAATGAGGCGATCCCACCGGAAAACATTAGGGGATCTTCTTTTTGCATGAACAGCTTCCAAATGATGTTCAACAATTCCAGAGTTCCCGGAGATACGCGTGACAGCAATGTTTTTTACTCCATTTACGAAAATAACTACATCGTGGTGGCACTGAGAGGTAACTTTTACGTTCTATACACTCATGATGACAATGGTAAACCCCTTGAGTCTGCTGAAATCTGGCATCAATTTTACATGATCACTCACCAGCTGTCCGGCTCAATACAGGAGCAGGCCTTTGGTGGCGTGGGCGTTTTAACCTCGCTGCCAAGAAGCGAATGGTACAAGTGGTATTCTCACATGGTGCTGAATGATACTAGTCGCGCATCCCTTGAAAAGGTTCATAAATCTGCGTTTGTGATTTGTCTCGATCCGGAAACCAAGCCAGTGTCATACGAAGAGAAATCTCGATATGCATGGCATGGCGATGGGATCAACAGGTTTTTTGACAAGCCTTTGCAATTTTTCGTTGCTGGGAATGGTTCATCGGGGTTTTTGGCCGAACATTCCAAAATGGACGGCACGCCTACTTTATTTTTGAATGATTATTTGTGCAAGATGCTAACCAAAATGAACCCCCAGCAGTTCCTCGCCGAAATTGAAGGCCAGCAATCCAACGCGACTATTCGTCCCCAGCATCTACCGTTTGTCGTAACGCCTGCGCTCTCTGAAGCAATTGCCGACAGTAAGGTCAAATTCCACAAAAACGTCAAGGACCATGCCTTGAAAGTTTGGCACTACAACAGGTACGGGAAGAGTTTCATGAAAGAAATGGGGTTTTCCCCTGACGCCTTTATCCAACAAGTGATGCAGCTGGCCGTGTTCAAATATCTATCGCGGCAACTTCCCACCTATGAGGCCGCCTCAACGCGTAAGTTTTTCAGGGGCCGCACGGAGACGGGCAGAGCTGTGAGCGTGGAGTCCGCAGAGTTTGTCCACCAGTGGCAAAATCCTGTGGCTTCCAATGAACAGAAAATCACTTCTCTGCGCGCGTCTGCGAAGGCACATGCCGAGTATCTGAAAATGGCCGCAAACGGACTTGGTGTAGATCGGCACTTTTTCGGACTTAAGAATATGCTCAAGTCTGGCGAACCGGTACCGCAGTTATTTCGTGATTCCTTGTTCACTTATTCCCAAACGTGGTTGATATCCACCAGCCAATTATCTTCTGAATACTTCGAAGGGTATGGGTGGTCCCAAGTCAATGACAATGGGTTCGGGCTGGCGTACATGCTCAACAAGGATTGGATGCACATTAACATAGTTAACAAACCCCACTTGAGCCATTTAAGTGCAGAGAAATTACACTATTACCTAACCGAATCCGCTGACGAAATTGCGTCCTTGCTTATCCTTGAAAAGGGCAAAGCTAAATTATGAAACATAGATTTGAAAGTTTCTCACTGCTCTATGGGTCGTCGCCAAACCTTATAGTATATAAATTATACTTTAAAATTTCAATCAATGTAATGGCATCGTTTCATGATTTACAGAAACGAAACATACTTCTTCAAGCCCTGATGATGTGGCTACATTTACCGAAACATCTCTGCTGAAAGATTGAACCTCGCCACTATGGGCAGCGGGCAAAAAGCAAAGAACAGAGGTCAATTTCAGGCGTTATAGACGTAGACTGGCTGGTGATAAAGACACGGCCTTAGTCCATCTTGCCAAAAGAAAATAAAAAAAGATGATTTCGCCCAGGATCGAACTGGGGACGTTCTGCGTGTTAAGCAGATGCCATAACCAACTAGACCACGAAACCGAAGATTGACAAGGGGTTGCTAATACGCATATATATACTACAGCCATGATCATGACTTTTCATTTATATTCGACAACTTCCACGCTTTGAAGAAACAGCGCATTTCACATCCGAATAACTCTACTTCTCTGGACTATCTGTATAGTGGTGAACGGACGATTTGGTTGTGTTTCATTGATGAAACTTGTGGAGGAAATAAACTGGAAGACTTACAACCCAAATGTTTACTTTACAAGCGTAAATGCTGCGAATCCGGCATCAAGGAATAGGATCTCTAAAACCACATCATCTGCTGGATTCAGAAACAACAAGCGAATAAACTATTCACTAGCAGATTTGGAGGTCAGATTGTATTCGCAACAAGATAGCGCGACTAAACAGGCTAACGGTTCGAAAAGCGATTCTGGCAAAAAAACTGCTGCCGAACGTCATAATCAGCAGGAAGTGTTGAAGTCCAGGAGGCGTCTCTTGGAAATCGACACTGAAAACCCACACGATACATCAGATGTACCGCATTTGATGAGCAGTTTAACTGGGCTCACGAGAGACCGAATAGATTCGGCCGGAGGCGGGTCAACGTCACAAGGACTCTCCTCCAGTATTAATCGTCCAAGCAAAAACAAATTTGATATCCCTAAAAATCTAGATATGCTGTATCGGTCGGTTAAACCACCGGTTCCCAAGCGTAAGAACACCAACCGGGTTGTTGCGCTGAAAAAGACACTGTCGTCGCGGAGGCCGTTGATGAGTTTTTTGGACACGCTAGATCAAGTGAACAAGAGCATCATTTGCCACAACGTCTACAACAAAAAATATTACAAAGTGCTTCCCGTGATCACGGTGTGCTCAATCTGCGGAGGATACAATAGCATATCGAGTTGCGTGCGGTGTGGTAACAAAATTTGCAGCTTGCGCTGCTTTACATTGCATAACGAAACCAGATGCACAATGTAGTTTTACAACCGCATGGTATCACGCCAAAATTGCGCTCAAGAGCTTCAGATGGTCAAAGTCTTGACTCCACGATAGTTCTAAATGTCGTTAAACGTGAGGACCCTGTGATAATGAAGCCTTATAAAATTTCAGCCAACCGTGAACCTCATCTCCACTCCAAACTCCGAACAAGAGGTGCAACAAACACGGTATTGACCCTCGGATGCTCTCTTTTTGCTAGCACTGCAATAGATACTTAATACTGCTGTTTGGTGACGGGCCTATCATTTTTAAAGTCTTATCTGAAATGAGTGAGTGGAACGAAGATCAGGGTTTGGTGCTTGACGGGAAAGTCTATCCCTATATCGAGAAAAACCCGCTTGACGAAATATCTTTGAACGCGTTTGCTCTAGGCGCCACGTTTGCCACTGCTTTGACATTGTTGCCTCTCATTGAGTTTTACAATCTCAGCATCTACATGGCTTCCTTGTCACTATTCCATTTTCTCGAGTTCTATACTACGGCGCGCTTTAATCCAGGTAAAGTGACATCTAGATCTTTTCTATTACGGAATGGTAAAGGATACATACTCTCACATGTCTTTGCCATGTGTGAGGTGGGTATTGGACGAATCCTTTCCCCAACCTGGAAGTGTACTTCATATTCCCTCTTTCACAGATTTGTCTTCACCATTGGCCTCATTTTAATGATCATCGGTCAATTGGCGAGAACTCTGGCTATGGTAACCGCTGGTAAATCTTTTTCGCACCATGTCAAAACAGAACAAAATGCAGACCATGTGCTGGTTACGGAAGGAGTCTATTCTTCATTGAGACACCCAAGCTATTTTGGATTTTTTTGGTGGGCTTTGGGCACTCAAATGTGCCTTTTAAATCCCTGCTCATTTGTACTCTTCACAGTGGTTTTATGGAAATTCTTTAATGAACGGATCGAATTCGAGGAAAAGTATTTGGTTCAGTTTTTTGGACAACAATACCTTCATTACCGGGCCAGAGTCCCTGTTGGAATACCATTTATAAAATGATTTCTACTAATACAAACAATTAATACTTGAAATGCAAAATTTGTGTTACAAACCTAATTTATACGGCTACTCATCAGATGTGAGGTCAATGTAGTCTAAATCTCCCTCTGAAAGGCCACCAAGCAAGGGAGCTATAGCTGATGCTGCCGGTGCTCGATTGACATCAGAGCTCGGCTGTGTAGGCGCTTTATCTGAGTTCCCTCCGCTAATATGCCTTTTTTGGGGAAGCATACTCATGTAAGGTCGCTTTGGAATGAACGGAGAAACTATCGGTTTCTTGGGTCTACCTGTACCATTTCCGCCATTGACCGGCGATTGCATCCCCAACTGGCGATTTATTCCATGAGGTACAGGGGGCATAGGAGGCGGCATGAAAGTAGATATGGGCTGATGAGCAGTAGTATGAGATGACGAGCTCAAAGTATTTTCAGAGCTCACAGATTCAGGGCCCAAGCTGTTATACCGAGGTTCGATCGAAGACTGCCCTGCAGCGATGTTTGATTCGTCATTCAATGAATTTGAAGCCGATGGAGCGTTAGATTGTGGATCGGCAGGTAAATGTTCGTTGTCAGCGGTACTAAGCAAGTTAGAATCGTGACCTAATGCCAACCAATTAGAACTTCCACCCCGCGATACATCGCGTTGCAAACCGTTTGCATGCGCAGTATTTGCCGTTATGTTGTTGTTGGATCGCATACCGGCCATCGTATCAGTTGTATGCTCGTTCGCGGCTCCACTCTGACCGGTGCTTGATTGACGTAATAGTGGAAAAGACATTTCGTGACCTTCCATGGGGATGACAGTTTGCCCACTGTGAGGACTTGGTGAATTTTGATTTCCGATTTGATTAAACTCGGGCGTTGCTTGGTTCAATGGCGTTTTCCCAAGTACATTAGGCACCTGATGATGGCGACTAGTGAATGCTGCACTTCCAAGTGCCGGGTCTTCATTTGGAGAGTGAGCTGTCTGTAATCGCTGCTCACTTGAAGGCGTTGCATTTGAACGGTTTGGATCTAGCGTCCTTCGCGCATCGTTGTCCATGTAAGTCCCATATATATTAGCAAGCGTGTCACTCCTCCCATTGAGTTCTACCGTACTGACACCGGTATTTGACGCAGATGGTGTGGCCACCTCAGCCGGTTCACTACCGTCTCCCACTTCTACGTCTTTCGGTTGAGCTTCTTCATCACTATCCAGAGAAATGAGAACTGGCTCGGCTTGCTGAGATTTACTTCTTCGGCTTTTGTACGCAGACTCGTCCTCGGTTTCGTCCTCTAGTTTATTTTCTTCAAAATGATCGGACTGTTCTTGTTTGACTTTAGGTTTAAATGAGGTCTGAGTAGGTGGAGGATTTTCCTGTTCCACTATTGGCACCCATGAGCCATCACTGGAAATTTCTATCTGCTCGACTTCCTCGTCACACTGCTTGATGACTTCGTCCACAAATTCACAAATGGCAAGATCTTCAATCTTAAGAACTTTTTGACAGACTGGACACTGCCATGTCGGTATTTGCTGTTGAGAAAGGATAAAAGACATCGCATCAAAACACTGCAAATGCTGACATTGTAGGGATTTGCAAGGATATTTCATTCGACAATATGAGATGGGGCATTGCAACGTCATAACCGTAGATGTTGCGACCAAATCCTGATCCTCGTCTTCTCCAATTGATTTTTTCAAATATTGAAGTGTAGCAAGCTTGACAATCTTTGGGTGATCCAGCACCGTTTTCAAAATTTCCTCAACAGGAATTACTTCCACAAGGTAACAATATATCATGTAGTCTTCTTTCGTAAACGCGTAAATTAATTGCAGAGTATTCTCAGATCCAGCATGAACCAAATACGGCGTCAAATCTGCGGGCTTTGCAGTTCCGACCTTGTTTTTCAAACCGCGAACGTTATCTTTGACTTGAACCTCGTTGAACCTTATCTCGTTGGGATGCGGGAACTGTATGGGAACTTCAGCACGGGCATCCAAATTGCCCAAAAGTCCACAGAAAAGATATAATCGAAATTGCGAGCCCCTTCGCAGAATTTCCGCCTCATGTTGGTTAAGCGAAAATTTGAGCGTACAAACACCACGACCAGTATTTCTAGGCGCTAGTTTCGGAGACTGATTTACCATTCGTTTCAATCTGTAAAACGGCGATTCTTGGAATTTGAGCGCCAACATATTCTTTTTCGGGCCCGTAGGTATATTATTTAGGATAACCGGGGAGTCTGGGGCACCCAAAGTTCCCACTGGTTGATGTCCCGTGGCAACGGGATGCCTGAAAGCACCCGATTTGAGACTCTGCCAGATCGCTTCGTAATTGGGCAGAGCATCGCCTTGTCGCGCCTTTCCGATCAAAATAAGCACTGATTTGGGCCTCCACGGATCTATAAACCCAACACGACACGAGTTTTTCAAATACGCTCGTAATCGATCCTGAAGATCTGCTTTTCTTCCGCTCAACGATAGTCCTATAGACCGGGAAACGGATTTAAGCTCTGCGACTTTGAGTCGCTCCATTTCTTCAATACAGGACTCAATTTCCTGGTGCAACCCACCCGATGACACCGCCATAGCTTTGTTTGAGTCACCAAAGACTCTATAAATGCTGTTTTCAATAAGATCATAAGTTGTCGAGATGATGGGTTTATTCATCACTACGGTGCAGCTCATAGCTTGTTAATTCAAATCATTAAATACGTCATGCGCTTTTCGGTTCGATGTTCAAACCTATAGTCCATGCCGATGATCCCATTATCGAATCATCATCTCCACGTAATTCTAGTTGGATTAGGCGATCCACTTGATGTGATTTTAATCTCTTTTTTACGTTTTTCATATCTCGTCATTGGCATGTCACATCACGAAAAATCGTAGTTATTAAGAGAACAAAATTTTCCTGTTCTAGCTCCGTGAGGCCTTTCTGATGGCCCCAAGAAGGCGCAACTGGTTTAAACTTGTTTTCATATCTCTCACCATATGTTCTGGAGTCCAAGCATTGGCTTTTTTCACTCACACCACCTTTTTGATTCTTGCTCCACACACAAATATAACAGGCCAATTCTGAACGTTTAGCTCAAGTTTATAGCTCTAGTTGAAATGATGGAATCAACGCAATTATTCTTTCATTCGTATTAGCATTCACTATGGCTTGTGTAAGCACTAAGAACCTCGTGACGGCACTCGAACTTCACCACATCAGACGAAACTCGATATAGACTTCTATATAAATTCAATGGCGCTCAAACCGAAAGACCATCGTCTAGGAAATAGCTTTTAGCGCTGTCTCTTCTGCACTCTTCTTCACTTTATCTGAGTTAGTGGTGGTTAAATTAGCTATATTAGAATAATTGGAAAATTGTGAACCTCTCGACTCTGGCCATCTTGAACAAACACGATTTGTGAGAGGACGTTAAAAGCAAGTGCAGTGAAACCACATATGAGCCCCAGAGTTACTGTACTGATTTCAGGATCAGGTTCTAATTTGCAGGCGTTGATTGATGCCAAAACGGCCGGTTCGATCGACGTTGAGTTTGTCCAAGTGATTTCATCTAGCAAGAAGGCTTACGGGCTAGAAAGAGCGTCTCAAAACGGAATTCCCACCAAGGTACAATCTTTGTATCCTTATACCAAGAGTATACCGAAAGAAGATTCGTCTGCGCGTGCCGAGGCGAGAAAACGATTCGAAATCGATCTTGCCGCAGTTGTGCTCGAAGATCAACCAGATTTGATCGTGTGTGCCGGCTGGTTGCTGATTTTGGGGGCAGAATTCTTGCAACGCGTAAAACCTACCCCCATTATAAACTTGCATCCAGCCCTACCAGGTGCGTTTGACGGTACAACGCATGCAATCCAAATGGCATGGGAAAAATGTAACTCGGGCAAAAAGGCTTTCACAGCGGGATGCATGGTCCACTTGGTCATCGAAGAAGTCGACCGTGGCGAGCCTGTGGTGATCAAGGAGCTCGAGCTTGTGCCTGGTACGGAAACTCTGGAAGAATACGAGACACGCGTTCACGAGGCCGAACACATCGCGATTGTAGAAGCTGTGCAGAAACTGCTTACAACGACCAAACACTAAACCTAGTGTAAGTGCTTTCCAATGAAGTTTTCTTGAACTTTATACATGTACATAGTACACGGCTAGTATGCTTACGCCTCGACGTCTACTACCTGTTCCTCTACCTGGCAAACGTCTAGCACACGCTGACTGAGTATGCCCGTGGTACCGCGTGCAAATTTGTAACTCTGCTGCTTGGGTTCTCTCACGTTAGGTGTTCTGTGGTTCCTTAGATACGCTGCATCTTTGCCCACTTCCATCACGCATAGGTCCACATTGGAACCTGAGCCCAGGTCGTTCCAGATACCAGCTTCAATAGCGTCTGCAGCAAGCGTCATAGCCTCCTCTTTGGTCAATTCAGGTTTCCAGTTTGCTTCTAGGACGGCCATAGCGGCCAAAGACCCGGATCCAAGACTTTGGTAAAAACCTACGTCCGTTGAGCCGTGTGCGTGAATCGAGAAGAGATGTGCTCCAGTCGGGTCTACACCCGCCACAATCAGATATGCACCAACGTGTCCTTGATACTTGAAGAGATGCTGTTTAAGCATTTGCAATGCTGACACTACACGAGGCGCTCTCCCCGCGTACAGCGAGTGTAACTCCAAATTCGAACCAACCAATTTCGTAACTTCCTCCGTGTCAGCAGCGGTACCGGCTCCGGCACACCAAATTCTAGGTGCCATTCTGTGAAGCTTTGCACAGTTTTTGTTAGCCACAATTGGACCCTGCGTTGATCTGGTGTCTGCTGCAATCACAACCCCGCCATTAAATTTCACCCCAACGATTGTGGTACCGGTTGAAGTCGCCTTTGGAGTACCATTGGTACGCGACGATAAAAATTGATTTCTCTGGTAATTCTCAAACGAAAGACCCGCCATTCTTTCGCTGTATTCAACTTGTTTAGGGTGGCGAAAACCTGAGTCTGTTCAGTTGTTATATAGTTCAGATGTCTTGCATTTAAAGATCAGAATCTACGGTAGATCGACAAAAGCTAAGAGAAGACAGACTTCAATTATAGGAAAGGGCCGTTCAACGAATGAATTTGGTGGCTAGCATGCTAAGCATCGTTTCAAATTGAATTTCACCGATAGTTCGATATCAAAGTCGTCACGGGAGGTGATTTGGCAACGGAGAACCATTGCATCGCATTGAGTCCATAGTCAACTGTCTGGATCACCTGGTAGCGGAGATTGACGTGTGGACTTAGGGTCTATAAGACTAATGACATAAAGGACGTGCTTTTGAAGTGTTTGCGACCACTTTGTACTGCTCTTTGGCTTCTTAGAATTAGTTAACAAAAATAAGACAAGAAGCTGCGATTTTGGTCCGATTTCAGGTCTAAAAAGACGCTAGGATTACAACTTGGACATAACCCGGATCTCTGGTAAATACACGAGCTCCCAATTGTTCACAATGGCTTCAGCTGGAGGTTTCAGATCATATCACTGATCATATTACAAATCACTAACAACGAAGACCATTTTTTATTAAGTATCACATTCACGAGACACGAAATCTATCCACGAAGGAATCATCTTGAATTGGCTTTGAAGGTGGAATTGACCCTGTTATATGTTTGTTTAGTCCGAGAACGGTGGTCAGCTGGCTTGTTTTTCTGTTAATCGAGAGTCAAGTTTCGAGCTCTTTAAGCTGAGATTCATAGAGTAATAGCCCTAAACCAGCTCAGCCGGACATCGTTTCGCGATTTGAAATGGTCGAGAGCTATTCGCTAATAGGACCAGCTAAAATTCGAACGCTCGTAATACCTATTGGTAAATGGAAGCGCGCTCAGTTCCTAGAGAAGCTGGTGCTTCTCAGAAAGAGGTTTGAAGTGAGGCTTGTCGATGTCACGCCCACCGAAGACGCAACTTTCAACCCACAAGGGTTCCCACAGGGCCGATTGATGTTTGATTTTGAGACATTTTTACTCGAGGAAGACGATATGCTTTTTTTACATGACTTTGAGCCATACCGCAAAACTTTTGTCGTGATAGGATTAGTAGCACAAGGAACTCTTGAAACGGACACCTTACAGGAGCTGGAGACACGGTTCCCCAATGCAATCTGCCATAATCTCATCTGCTTCGACGAGCCCTCTGGATTGCTGGCACCAAATGTTTTCTACCACCCGCAAAGCAGCGTCGAGACAATTATATGCGATATCGGGAGAAAATTCTTAGAAGCGCTGAGTCTGTACTATTCCTCCTACAAACATGTCACACTACGTTCTCCCGGAGCGATCGGTGGGAGTTCGATTTTAAAACTGTCGCTCACGCGACAGCCTGCATCTGTTCCTGCAGCGTCTGCGCTAACTCGCAAAATCAGCTCGATGGAGCAACCTAACTCCTCGTCAATCAGAAGAAGCGCTTCGCTGAAAAGTTTGGGATTGACCAATGGCTATCCTGATCAGCAGCGCGCAAAAGCACGACAGCGAAAAATTTTAGGGAACTTCCAGCTTCTAGCTGGGCGATACTCAGATGCGCTGACGAGTTTTTCGGAAGCCGCAACCACACTGCATAAGATACATGACCACATATGGCTGGGAAGTGCACTTGAAGGTATTTGCATCTCGATGTTGCTTTTAACATATTTACAAGTAACCTTCCACATCCCTGCGATCATCAATATTTTGTGCCCAATGAGGACTGAAAGTAGGTCCGGTTCAGAGAGCAATTCAAGGAAAAGTAGTTTTTCAAAAAACGCTGCTGAGTCACCTCGAGCTTCCATCAGTTCCATGCCACCCAAGATGAACTCTTTGGAATCGACAGACATTAATTTGGCTTCTCTCATTAGGCGCATTAGTGAGAGGATTCTCATTCACTATGAGGCGAGCCTTTCCCACAATATTGAGTTTGCTCCACAACTGATATACTGTGAGCATATTTTGAGAATTCTCAAGTTCATGACTTCATGTTATAACCATGAATCTTTAGATGAGATAGTTTTACGACGCATCAACGCAGATGAATTCGAACTTGACGAAAATGAAGAGAAATATCATAATCAAGAGGGCCTTTTTACGAAATTCGAAATCTATCTGCATGCGCAGCGTCTTTTTGAGCTTCAACTCAAGCTGATGGATGTTGTGTCTCAAGTTAAAATATACACGACAATGGCCCTTATCTATCAGCGCTTGAAGTACTATAGAAAACGAAGCTTTATTCTGCGTATTCTTTTAGTCACGACTGCCTCTCATTCCGAATCCGGAGCACTTCAAGACTACTGCTTGAATGCAGATCGAGGACTACTTAAAGACGTTTTAGACTCCTACGGTGTTTTTCGACAACCAGAAATTTCGATGAAAGATGCTTCGGTTTGCACTTGGGTGACTTTGCAAAAGAGCATTCTTTCCTTATGCATTAGCATTGTAAAAAGACTCGGTGACACTGAGATGGTTACAGAGCTTTCACTGATTTTCCTCCAGAGGTTTTCACATACAATAACTCAAATGGAGCAGTCCCAGCTCTTAATGAAAAATATTATACCCAACTTTTCAAAATCAGAAAAATGGTCTTATTGGGACCCATTCATACTAAGAGGTTTAGAAATTACCAGACTGGAGTCAAACGAAGAGCACCTTGAGAGAAGGACCATCCATACCCCAAGCGATGACCCGTCTTTTAAGGATGTGCAGGTTTTCAATCCCTTTCGGCAGCGCTTAATCAATGGAGTCACAAATCCCATAGACAAAGCAATGGACAAACCACATGAATTTCGCATTGGTGAGGGTGCTCAATTTGAGATAGTATTTCAGAATCCGTTGAAAACAGATCTTAAGATCACACATGTATCATTCACACGCGAAGATTCCAAATACGTGAATTTCTTGGACGATTTGGTTCAAGAATTGCCATTCGTTCTAGGGCCCAACTCAATAAAAACGTTGCATGCGCCGGTGTCATTCAAAAAAAACACCGAGCTACATACCATCAGCGAAATGGACGTAGGTGTTTTTGACTTGCAGCCTTACTCCTTTCGCATTGCCATCGACGAAAGGTTTGCCCTTGCTTCAGAAGGCACCGACGAGAACGGAAGGGCCAACTTTGGCAAATTCGTGTTCGCAGTTCTTCCCGATGAACCCAAAATCGAGTTTGTATCCAGTTCTTTGAGGGAAAGCGCGTTTATGATCCTCGATGGCGCTAAAAAAACTTTTGAAATCAAAATTCATAACAAATCGTTGTCTTGCCCCGCTGTATTTGTTGATGTTGGGCACATTACAAATGTGGAAACGGGTCTGAAAAGTGATTATTGGAAGAAACTTTTACCAGATGATCTATATGAGGTTGAGAATCAGCTGAAGGAACTACAAAATAATTGCATTCGTATCATTGACAAACCGCATATCCTTGAGCCGAACTCCACAGCTGTTCTGCAAGTAGAGCTGGACACAATGGGAGCGCCATTTACATTCAAAAAATTTGAAATCTTGTTAGATTACAGCAGCAAGCAAACGGCGTCCGATTCTCGAAGTTTTTACTCAAAGACGCTGAAAATTCCCTTTGATTTAACTTTGAAGCGAACTTTGGAAATAACCGGTTTAGATGTAGTACCGCTGCCCGAGACTGTAGAGGAACAGAGCGATGACATCGATTTTGTGAATTTCTTTAAGAGGGAATCTGAGGTCGGAAGAGTTGATGCATCCGATTACGCACTGCTTTTACTGGATTTGAGAAACTCTTGGAAGGATGCTTTGGAATTTCAAATAGGTTTTGAGAACTTTCTCAGCTCGAAGACAACATTACAAACCGATCACACATGTCGGACTGTGATTCCGATTAAAAAATCTCTTTTGAATCACAAACTCTTGCAGAGAGAGGTTCCCAAGTTGGTCGCCAATCGTCAATTTGTGAACCCTGGCATATCACGCGAGCAGCTTGAAGACATACGCGAGAAGTTTTGGTGTCGAGAAATGTTAATTCAAAAGCTTACATGCACTTGGACTGTAAAGGGTCATGCGAACATTCATGGCAAAGTCGATTCTCGTCAATTTTTGCCTAAAGTCGATTCACGCACGTTGGATATACTTTGCCCTTCGAGAAAACACACTCTTGAAGTGAAATTGGTAGCGTCTGAAACCGTTGTATCCTCAGGCACCAAGGTTGACGTTAAAGCTCTAATAAATTCCCAAAGACCGCGACACACACCCGATGAAATTGCCACTTTCACCTTTCTAATTTTCGATCGCCGCACCGGAAGACTTCTGCCGAAATCGAATTCAAGAGTAATTTATAATGGCAATCTCACAAGGAAAGTAAAGCTTGCTAAGGATTCTGATACTGGCTTAGAGCTGCTACCACTTGACCGAGGTGAATACGAGATAGGATGCTCGATTAACTCTCGAGTCTTCAACAGTATACCTGTGTACATACGTGTAGAATGATATCACCAAATTGATTTTTGACGTTTAAAGGTCTCTAAAAATTTGAACTCTAAATGAAGTAGCTACAGCGACCAACTGGGGCTTCTTAGGGATCCAATATTGCCTTTATAAAATGGGTGCAGGTGCTGCCAAACACGGTTACAAAAGTGGCATTTTGCCTGCTGTTAGACCCATTCTCAAAAACCCCACTTTCAAGCAGAAAACCATAATAGAAAAGGTTCAAGCTCCAAAACCAAAGGGCCCTCATGGAGTAGGTTATGCTCCAAATATTGCGCATCCGAAGGGATCACACAGGGCTTCACCTCCTATGAAGTTCATTGACGTCGAGACTTTGATCGCAAAGACTGTTCCAAGTCCACTGATGCCTGCAGCTGCCCAGACGCCTGCACAGGAAGCGAAACAGCACAGGGCAACGTTGCGGAGAAAATTTTTGTCTGATGCTTTCAGAAAGGAGGAAGAGCGGTTGCTTAAGGAGGAAGAAGTTTTAGAAAAAAGACAAAAAGATCTAGAGCGTCAGCGACAGGCGGAGCTTGCCGCAATGGATGAATCGAAAACAAGCGATCTGACTGTACCCACAATCGACAAGCTTCTTGATGCTCCACTTATGAGACGGCGCACTCCAGAAGAGAGAGAATTGTTGCGGTCCAAGCGGAAACACAACCGGGATCTGATGCACTTAAACGCTGAGGAAAGAAAACTCGAAAAGCTACTGCAATTATACCATGTGACAGATCACTTTATCGTCACCGAGGAGCAACTGATCAAAAATATAGACGAAGCCTTCGCCAACGAGTCCTCCGAGGCCCTGAAAACAAAATTGAGCGTTGGAGCTTTGAGACCCTCCGGTCGTAACGAAAAAGCTTTGGGTGATGCGCTTTTCGGCTCAATTGGCGGTGGAGGTCATATGGGTCTGCCTGTGGTCAAGGATTTCTTGTCTGGAGAGTCCAAGGCGTATGCTGAGGAAATCGACACCAAAAACAAAGAACTACTCGAGAAGAGAAGACTCGACTTCGAAACTATTTTGTAGGTCGACGACTCCAGATCTCTCAAAAACACTAAATTCTGTAAATAAGTCTCATTTCACAACAAGTATTATGGCATGCTACAAAATATGTGCTAACTTTATATTGTTCAGTACGCTATTCCGTTACTGGTGTTATTAACGTTATATTATCGCCTTTCAGTAGAATTCGACCCAATTTCTTGGCCTGATCGGCCAATTCAGAACCAGTTTTTGCATCTATGGGCACCTCTTCAGCTTCGTCGATTACCACGTTCATGAATTCGTCAAATCCACCAATTCTTCCTCTTATCCTTATCTGAACTTGTTCAAATAGCCAAAACGTAACCAGCGTTCGCTGCTGCAAGAAATTGAATATGCAATTTATCGGCGGAAGTGTCACTCTCGTGTTATTTGGAGGCATATCGTATCCAAAACTAAGCCTTTTACGGGGTGCTGAAGCTTTCTTGTGTTCTTGAGACAGCTAAGTTGCTGGACTGCCATTATTCTTGATTTTCATTTTTCATATATGTAGATATCGTTGAGATTTGAATAATCTAAGAGGGACAAGACTAAAACACCGGACTTTTATAACAAGAGTATGATGATCTTCAATTAAACAATCGAGATCAAGTGTTGCAACCTCTCAATTAACACTAAAATCCTTTCTATCAATATTGCGAAATAAGCTCTTAAAGTGTCTAAATTTCAAACCCTATGTTAGCCGTAAATAATTATATGAAAATAACGAAAAAAATTGGATCACGACGAGCCAAGTGAAGATTGAATTCCACACGAAGAATACGCATGGTTTAGTGGTAAACTGGCACCCCGACGAGTGTGTTAGAGTCGATAGTTTTTGTACGTCGATGAATTCTGCGACTGGAAGTGTTTTGGAAGCATTAAAATGCTTGTCTTCATCCACGGCGCAAGCGACGAAGAATCAAGCTTTGCAATACCTTGAGGAATTTCAAAAATCGAAGGATGCGTGGTCCGCTTGCCTGGATATTTTGAGTAAGAGCGGTGCGCAAGATAGTTTGGAGTTGCAGGTTTTTGCTGCACAAACACTGCGAAACAAGGTCACATATGACTTGAGTCAGCTTGGCAACGATGTGTCTGCGCTAAAAGAAAGCGTTTTGGAGCTCATCGCAAAACACTTTCAAAAAGTAATTGTGACTCAGCTATGTGTTGCACTCGCGAGACTTTCGATTCAGTATTTGGAATGGAAGAATCCTGTCGGTGAAATTATCACCTCTTTGAATGCGTACCCCAGCAAGCTTTTGGAGTTTTTGCGCATTTTGCCAGAAGAAAGCCTCGATATGAAGTCGACTCCGCTGACTGAAGACGAATTCCGTTCGCGAACTCACGAACTGATCGGCGACATAGCCGATGACGTTTTCAACCTGCTTCTCTCTGCGGTGAGTACCCTACATGCCGGACAGTCTGACGTTTCGGTAACACAAGTACTCAACTGCTTAAATTCATGGTCGTTCGAGCTGCCTATTGACAAAGTTGTGCGACTCGATCCCCTAATGGGATTGCTATTTAGTGCACTAGAATACGCACCAGAGGAAAATGTCGATTCATTTGACGCAGCAGTTGACTGCCTGTGCACGATCTTGAGAGAGACAAGAGATTCTGCGGATGAAAATGTTGTCATGGCCTTGTACCAGCAGCTGATGACTTTGCAATCCAAACTTCTTTCCTTTGATGAAGGGTTTGATCCCGATGAGCATTACGAATTGTTAGAGGGTCTCACAAGACTGTTTGTGCAGGCCGGAGAGGCATGGTGCGTTTTCATTGCTCGTAATCCAGACGTTTTCAAGCCTCTGGCGCACGTTTTGCTTTTACTTACTTGCAAAAACACCGATTTGGATGTTGTAAAATATACTTTTCCTTTTTGGTTCAATTTCAAGCAGATGCTTGTGCTCCCTAGGTTCAGGGATCAAAAGTTGGCATACCAAGACATTTTCTCTCATTTGATAGATGGTATCATTGCGCATTTACAATATCCAGAAACCGAATTTTCCTCGAAAGAGGAGGAGGACAAGTTTAAAGAGTTTCGGTACGACATGGGCGGTGTTTTGAAAGACTGTACTGCAATTTTAGGATCATCAAGAGCTTTGAGACAACCTTTTGACAAAATAAACAATGCACTCAACACTCCAGAAATAGCGTCTCAATGGCAAAGATTGGAAGCGCCTTTGTTCTCATTGAGAACAATGGCTCAAGAAGTGTCCACAAACGAAAATGACATTCTACCTCAATTGTTTAAGCTTCTCTGCAGCTTACCCGAGCACCCTAGAGTAAGATATGCAACAACCTTGGTGTTTGGTCGGTACACGGAGTGGACCTCAAAGCATCCTGAATTTTTACAACTCGAGTTGAACTATATTTTTAATGGATTCAACTACGCGGATGGGAACATTGATATTTTGACAGCCTCGTCTCATTCACTGATGTACTTCTGCCAAGATTGCAGCTCTTTATTAAGCAGTCACGTCGAAGAATTGATAGATTTCTACTGGAAAATAGAGCCCATGGTTGATAATGAGTCGTTATTCGAGGTTTGCCAAGGTTTGAGCGCAGTCATAAACAAAGCCGATGAAGCTCACGTGGCGGGATTGTTGAATCTGTTCATTGATCTGCAATTGAAAAGGCTCACCGATAGCGTGGCTTTGTGGAAGAAAAACAAGAATGCTAAAAGACTGATCAACGAGCTTGCTGACCGCATTGACTTGATTTATGCCGTCTTTGAAGAACTACGCCCTCGTGAAGAATTTCCAGGGGAAAAAGCGGAGCCACTTTTGCCCGTGATAACTAAAATATGGGAAAACATATTAGATGTCCTTGTCCAGCAAGGAGGCGCTGCCGATGCACATATAGCCGAAATATCCATGAAATGGGTCAGAAAGGTGGTTTTCAATTTTCACGTTTTCATCACGCCACTCCTAGCATCTATTGCAAACTTTTTAGTCGATGGCTACTCTTCCTCAGGTTATGGCTCTTACCTGTGGTGCTCGGGAGCTATCATCTCTGTTTTTGGCGATGAGGACTCGTTTCCAATTGATCCAAGTGTCAAAAGTGCTGTGTGGCAATTTATTTGCTCTCAGTGCGTAACTTTTATGGGCAATTTTAACATGCTGAATAAGACCACCCTGGATGACTATTACGAGAGCATCCAAGATTTCTTCATGATGATGACCGATGTCGTAATGTTTTTCCCTGATAGGCTTCTAACGTCAGAAACGCTTCTGGGTCCTTCGTTGGCTATCGGGCTCGAATGTGTTAACCAGATTCAGAATTACGATGCATACATAACGGTTGTTCGGTTTTTGGACGATGTGATATCCTGGGGCTTTGAGACGCCGCCTGTCTCCATTGTGATGGTCGAAGTTGTTCCGCTAGAGTGGAGACAACACATTTTATCAGAACTAGTCCAATCGAAGGGACAGCTTTTGACTACAAACATTATCCTGGGTCTTGTTAGCAACTTCAATTCTGATGCCCACCCGGATGCTATCGGATGCCTCGTACGATGCCTCAAGTTGGTGTCGCAAAGCACAGGCGACAATACTCTATGCATGTCGTGGCTAGCGAGTGCCATGCAAAACATGCCAAATGTTACTGAGCAAGAAAGTTCCAATCTTTTGGAAACCGCGAACAATGCTTTACAACAAAGAGACATGAGAAAACTTCGGAACGGCATTAAAGATTTCACGGCTTGGTATCTCCGCAAAAATGTCTCTCCAAGAATGTACAAATGAATGACGAAAAAGCAATACAATTCTTGCCCGTGAATCAAAAATCTCATGATAATAAGAAATGATTCAAGTCCTTTATCCCAGGGTAGTTCTGGTCCGGTAAGGGACACCTTGCATAGCGTCTGTTTAAATTAATGAATAAATTATACATAGTTATTCTAACACAGTTTACAAGTAATCAGCTTCTGGATAATTCACACGTTTTGATGACTCAATTTTTTCAAAACGTCTGGATAAGCTCTAAATATTTCGTCGAATCTTTGTGGGTAAGAAACATGGAAAACTTCTGGATCGTTACCGAGGGCAACGAAAAACGTGGCCGTTCCTGATCTGATGGTTTCGTTGGCAAGGTTGCAGATTTGCATTGCAATGACAAAAGAGAAAGCCATCAAAGGGGCGTTAAAACCTCCTCCAGAATTGTAAGATGGATCGGTAAACCTCAAATATAGGTAGGCAAACAGAGCAACCATGTAACTCACAAACAAAGAGTAGAATCCCAGGGCAATATTAATTAGATTGTCATTGATGAGTGCGTCCATACCCTTTTCTCTTAGCATGTGCCAAGTTTCCTTTGCTGCACGCAAGTAAGGCTTACCATAAAGGGCAATGAAACAATAGGCATAGTGATTGAAGTAGCTAGCCAACCATTGCAAGAACCCAATGATCCAATCGATGATCATAAATCCGATTTGGCCCCACTGGCTGCCGGAGATGTTTGTCACCGCATCATTTTTGAGCAGTTGCAAAAAGGTTCTCAGCGTTTCGATGAGAGAAACGATTAAAGAGCCAAAGCAAATAGAGCCAAAAGCCACCGTCAAAGACCGTTTCAAAGCTCCAAGAGCGGGCCAACGTGGCATGCCTTCATCAGACTTGGACAAGTAATACCAAGATCCGTAAATGCCGGACACCGTGCAATGAATTACGTTTCTGATAACTTCCGAGATGTAGTAACCGCAGAAAAATAAAGCCACCAAGATGCCAATCAATTTGGATTTCGAACAGGAACCACCGCCCACAGAGCACCCACCGTTGTTGGGAGAAGGGTCGTATTTCATGTAGGTTGCCACAATGACGGCCGAGAAAAGAATTCCGAAAGCGCTCGCAATGAGGGTACCCGCAAGGGAAACGATGAATGTTTGCGGATGACGCTTCATAACGTCAACGACTGTTTTCAAAATCGCAACGCTAAGCGGAATCCTGGAGCGCATACCCCAATAACACCAGGCAGTGATCGCAGTAAAGATCAGGAAAACTATACCCGCAGACCAGTAGCGCATGGAAAGATACGCGATCGCGGTACCTAGACCGGCCAAAATGTTGACAATCATACCGCAGATAATGAAGTACTTGGGAGTAAACCGCATGGTGATGAGCCCAATTACAGAGAACACAAATGCAATTGCGCACGCGAAGACTAGCAGAATGGCAGAGTTGGTGTTCAAGGTGCCCGTTGAACCGGAGGTGTATATGCCAGATCCGTTGGCCGAGTAGTTGAGCGCCCAAGACCGAAGCGTTATCGATGCAATGACGATGAACCCGCAAACGGTGATGAGGAATATAATGGTAAAGGGCCAGTCATTGAGTCGGAATTTGTTTTGATTTTCCGTAGGGAAACTTTCTTCAAATGAGCCGATGGGCGCTCCGGAGGTCTTTGCACTCAAATTGTAGTACTGGTCCTGCCGAAATTGATACTGTTGTCCCTGTTGTCCCTCTGAAGGTGGTTGTTGCCCCTCCTGGGGCTGCTGAGGCGCGTTGTTGCCGCCGTGGACATACGCTGGCGGAGGCTGCGCTGGTCTGTCGTATTTCTCAGACATATTGATGTATCGGGGGGTCGAGCGCGGTTGAAGCTAGGTTTCGAGGCTCTGCACAACTCGCAAGCTTCCCGGAGTCACCGCACTTGATGCTTTATCACTGGCTAGAATCCAAGGGTGCAGCTCTTTGCTTTCATCTGCGTCTTCCCCATTTTATAATTTTTCCATGCATGAGAGAACCTTTTTATTTTTGAGTTTTTGCACCGAAAGACGTAAGCTGGAAGCGGGCTCTGCTGTGCTCCGCCGTGCTCTGCCGTGCTTTGCCCGCTGTGCTCTCTTCTGTGTGCCCCGAGCAGTAAGACCGCAAAAGGGTTTCGTCACTAGTCATCACCTCCTACCGCCTAAGCCTTAATGGGGAAAACCCAAGCCTAGAAATAGCCACTGATGTATGGGTGTTATATGCATCCCTTTTCCCCATATCGCGCTACACGTGACGTTGTGCCGTTTACGTCAACAGCGACCAGGAACTGATCCAGAGAGACCCGTAAAGCGCCAGCCGCCCGTGCTGTGGCGGGGTTTAGACAATAGTCTCCCAGCCAGTCATTGTAAACAGTGCAAATGACAAATCTTAATGAGTGCCCTTTATCTAGACCCTCAATCCGTTCCCTCTATCTGTTCCCTCTATCTGTTCCCTTACCTCCCCTATATATAAAAAACACAAATCCATGAGGGGTAAACATCTCTTCCATCAGAATCCAACAAAAGGTACCCCAACGCTCGCCCGGAGAGAAGAATAACCACCAGAATGACGTGGTAGACGCCACAATTTGTTTCTTTTTCCGCTCGAAGCTCCGGGGTGCCGCCGAGCTCAGACGCGTAACTGCGTACGAGAACGAGCGATTTGTTCAAAATTTTGTTTCGTACTCTATGATGTCTTGAACCAATTTATGAAAGAGGACATAAACCTAGAAAAACCTCGTACACAAGTACTAGAATATACGATACACAGCACTAGCATTTAATTGAAAGCACACTGGTAACAGGTGCGGTCTAGAAAAGAAGAGCTGCAAAGGAATATATATCGTAAACAAACAACTGTTGAATCACTCAGCCACATAGATTTTCAAACATATTGTAACTCTTCAAACAAAGAGACTCGCTTTCGAGTTTACCTACGTCAAGTTGGTGATCCCCACGTGATTGAGTACGGTAGACTATGTAGTGACTATCAAAAGTCATATTGAACACTACAGACGACAGCGCATGTTCACATGGTTACCGGCAATGCAGTCGAATCGGCTGCAGCATTTGAGCTCTGAAGGGCACACGAGGTGTGGAATGGGCAATTTACTGGTAGTCGAGAAAACAGGCGTTGATAAATAGTATATACGGACGTATTCCCTTTCGTTGCAGCAGTCTTATCTCGATCACTAGGAAATACCTCTTTAAAGTTCCTTCGGATACCCTGTCATACAAGACAGAATTGTAGGTATCAATGTCATCCAGATACAGAGTTGAATACCATTTAAAGGCGCACCGCAAGGATGAGCTTATAGACTGGATCAAGGGTCTTCTCGCGGTGCCCTTCGTGCTCCATTCGGCGTCGATGGACGGCGCAGGGCAGACGATGCTGAGAAAACGGTACTCGGAGGTGTTCCGGGCCGTGGAAGAGCTCATACAAGAAGAATGCGTGGCGCTACGCAGCCTGAGTCCCTCTGCCGTTCTACCGGGCAACCGATCGCGCCTGGCGCAATTGGTGCCCTCGGTGGGGCCATTTTTCACGCCGCTTCCACTTGAGGCGGCGTTTCTCTCCGAGGACCGGCGCAGAGCGATCTCTGCGCGGTCCATGGTCGCACCGAGCTTCAACGATATCAGGCACATTTTGAACACGGCGCAGATCTTGCAGATGCAGCGTGCTGGATGTGTCAAATTGGTGACGTTTGACGGTGACGTGACGCTCTACGAGGATGGAGGCTCGCTCAGCAGCACCGATAAAGTCGTGCCCTGTCTGTTGGCGCTGCTGCGCCGCGGAATTTGCGTTGGAATCGTCACCGCGGCAGGCTACGACGAGGCAGAGAAGTACATGGACCGGCTGCACGGGCTGATGGACGCACTTCGCGCGGACGACACGATCTGCGCCGAGTACAAGCGCAATTTGGCAGTCATGGGCGGAGAGTCTAATTATTTGTTTAGATACGACCCGGAGACCCACGATCTGCGCAAGATAGAAGAATCCGAGTGGCTTCTGCCCATCATGCGTGAATGGGCAGACTCCGACATCACAGAAACGCTCGATCTCGCAGAGAGTCTTTTCAACGGGTTTAAGGCGAGCCTCAACCTCCCAGAAGAGGCAACTGTAATCCGGAAACCTCGTGCTGTTGGAATTGTACCTGGAAATCGGTTTAATTCCGAGACCAGACGTACTATTAGAGTCAAAATGGACAGAGAACAACTCGAAGAGATGGTATTGACTCTCCAACAGAGACTCGAAAGATTTGCTCCGGCTACACGTGTCCAATTCAGTTGTTTTGACGGTGGAAGTGATGTCTGGTGCGATATCGGGGGCAAAGATCTAGGTGTAAGAGCCCTACAACGGTTTTACTGTCCCTCCCATCCTATACAACCACGCGAAACGCTACACGTTGGCGACCAATTTGCACCTAGAGGTTCTGCAAATGACTTCAAGGCTCGTCTCTCTGGTAGCACACTGTGGATCGCGTCTCCTCAAGAAACCGTGGCCATCTTGCATCAACTCATTCAAGGGTTTGATTAGTGAATGCTCATCGGACGCCATCCACGTTTGGTAATAATTAACGATCACTACTTAATGTTGTACAACTCTTCTCATCTCATCTCATCCCCCTCATATATTTCAAGAAACATCCAAACGTGTCCCGTATTAGCGTGGTGCAACTGACAAGATTGCGCAAAATGTTACAGTTTTTGACATCGCCATTAATGTATGTGACATATCTAACGTTGGTTTGGGGATGTCTTCGTCCTTTGACGAAAATTATGTGTACGAGTGACGCATGCTAACATTTCATGAAATAGCCTCGTGGCCTCAACTTTGGTACCACTGGTTATAACTTTTGAAACGCTGACGGGGAGCCCCAAAATGAATGGTCCAGACATTTCTGGTTGTCTTCTGAGGTTCTGGTGCGTCCATGCGCTTTTTAAGGGTTTACCTAATCCAGTGGCTAGCTTTCTTCGACTTTTACCTTTGGCGAATTTCTTCGAACTCATAATCTGGACCCTGCTATCGCGGGAGCTTCTGGGGTATATGTACCTTCAGGCAGTTGCTTCTGGTGATTATGTGCCCAGGGCAACAGACGCTGCAAAATCGCAGGATCGATTTTGGTTTTATCGCGATTTGCGTCAGCAAAATCCCAAGCAGGGTTTCGCGTTTGGTCAATTCACAGTTTCGCTGCTTAGGATTGTTGAAAAATGGTCAGTGAGTGTGAGACTGTTGGACGTAATTTATTATAGTTCTTTGGGATGGATTGCCAAATTACTGCGCACTGGAGCCCCTCAAAAGCCAGAAACAGGAGCTTCAGGATGGATTTGGAGCTATAGATGGTTTAAACAGGGGAATCACGTCGTTTTGGAAGAAGAGTATGATCTTATGGAAGACGTTGTGGAGGACATGAGGAAGAATTAAAAAACGCACATTTCGTACTCTCTGGCAGAGAAGGAGAGAAGACAGAGAGACTAAGAGAGACACTTTGAACAGTATTCTTTTTTTTTTGAATTTTTCTTTGTATGTACAGGTTACGTATGTCTAGTCCTTGTTGGTTCACTCGCTCGCTTGCGCATATTTGTCAACTTTCAGTGTCAGGCTTAGCTTGTCAACACGAGACTGTGACCGCCTCTTGTTGTTTTCAAGCCGTCTGCCTAAAAGGCGTGGCACGAAAGGTTGTGGTGCAGGCCTATAAGGACCCAGCGCACCTTCGAAAGCGGTACCCGGCTTGAACTGGTCAGATCCGATGCGAAGTTTTTCCTCACGATACTTGTTTAGCTCTTTCACAAGCGAACCAGACCAAGCCTCCTTGTCCTCGGGCTCTTCTGGCCAAATAAACGGCTCAGCCATATCGATGGTCATTTTTTTTATTTGAGGCTGTCTGTAGCGCGGCATAACGGGATTCACACGAGTGTACTTGCCATGCAGCAATTGTGTAGTAATGTTCATAGCCCGTAAGCCATACAGGTGGAAAAGATAGTCTCTCAAATCCAGCTTGTTGAACGATTTTGGCACAATAAATTTGGCCTGGTAAGGTGTGTGCTTAGCATTCGGCCGCAAAAGAATCACACGGGCCTTTGGAAAGAAGAGTTCAGTACCTCCAACTTTAAAATGTGGTCTCCCCTGTGAAATACCTGTCCTGGACTTCGAAAGAATCTTTTGGCTCACAGTAAGCGATTCGTCTCTCACTAGAGTTTGTTGCTGATCATTTGCCTTTGCATTTGAAACATCTGCCAACGTAGCTAAACTTCGCAGTTTTCCGACCCCCTCAGAGATGCGAGTCCATGCTCGAGGCACAGAACGAGCAAGGCGGGGCATATTTGCTACTCTTTTATGATCTCAAACCCAACTAAGTAACCACTTGAAATTCTAAAATTTTTCAGATTTCAAGACTATAACAGCCACAAGATAAGTAAGAACTATGGAAAGAATCAATACCATCTGGCTTTCAAATGGCACAAATACAGGCTTACTGGAAATGAGTCAAGTATCAATTGTCATCTAAAATATAGTGATTGCTGATGATTTTTGTCTTACTTTGCTGCTAACGTTCCTATAATATTTTTGGAAATTAATCGTTTGTTATTCCAAGTCGGGAATGGAAAAGGCACGATAACCTTAAGTTTCTTGACACTGCTATAATTATGCTTTTAAGCAGGATGCCTATCACTTTGCTGCTCATATATTCGCTTACTTTATCTTGATATTATATGCGTTTGGTTTCGTGCTCTAACTGAAAACAAATGCAAGTATTCCTTAACAAATAGGACGAGTAGAGTACCGAAAGGAAATTGAATTGATCTTTGGTTAGATGCTTCTTGAAGATTACGCTGTTGCAGTCCGAGATTTACATGTTGCAAGATAATTGCATACTGAATATACAAAAGTCCGAACTATGCCGTTTGATACAGCTGGAAGGTAGATTAGAATGAGCCATTGCGTTGAAACTTAAATTCATGCTTTTAATAAACAAAGTAGTCAATTTTTGGGCTGACATTATGTCGCAATTTGATCCTATCACTATCACTCTTCTTGGCGTGAGAGTCCAGCAGTGAGCTGGCTTCAAAAAGAACTTTGCATAAAAGTTAGCTTACTTGAAGAAGGCATTAAGGAGAGATATACACTCGTCAAACTAGTCATTGGCAAATTAGATAGGCTATCGCCAATATTTTAACTATACTTATTACGCACACAAAGGTAGGGAAGATGTAAGGTAAGGAGTGGTCAACCCTAACCAAGAGCTTTCCTGGAAGCCGAGTTGAGAACCTATTCACCAATGCCGGTCGCTTAGCTACGTGTTGATGCTCTCTCTCTTTTTTAGAGTTGAAAGATGTTATACTTTTTTGTCCTTCGTTCAAACGTATCTTACTGAATTCACGAAAATTTTTACGGTGGCGAATAACAATCGAGTATTCAAGAAGACCATAAACCTAACGAGATCAGAGCCTCTGTCTGAAGCACGTGGAGCCTGTGATTGTCGATCGTGAACAGCAGTTTCGGTTTCCAAGGATAAACGCTCGACATTCAATGTCTACTGAAGACTATTACGAAGACGACGCGTACGAATATGAGGGAGATGATGCAGCGATCACAGCAGAGGACTCATGGACAGTGATAAGCGCCTTTTTCCGTGAAAAGGGTCTTGTCTCTCAGCAGCTGGACTCGTTCAACCAGTTCATAAACTACACAATCCAGGATTTGATTTTGGAAGACTCCACACTCATTTTGGAGCAACTTGCGCAACACACGACCGAAAGCGATAATATTAGTCGGAAGTATGAGATTAGCTTTGGTAAAATTTACCTGGCCAAGCCCTCGATGACGGAGTCTGATGGTGTGTCTCACGCGATGTATCCACAAGAGGCCAGACTTCGGAATTTGACATATGCGTCGGGGCTTTTCGTTGAGATTCGAAAGCGTACTTATGAGGCAGTTGACGTGCCTGGACGCGATCTGAAATACGAAGTGATCGATGAAGAGACAGAAGATGCCGACGAAAACAAGATTTTCATCGGTAGAGTGCCCATCATGCTGCGGTCCAAGTATTGTCTTCTCGATGAGCTTACGGAAAGTGACTTGTACAAGCTGAAGGAGTGTCCATTTGACATGGGTGGATATTTCATCATCAACGGGTCTGAAAAGGTGTTGATCGCGCAGGAACGGTCAGCTGGAAACATCGTGCAAGTCTTCAAAAAATCCGCTCCCTCTCCGATTTCTCACATTGCCGAAATCCGGTCCGCTTTGGAGAAAGGCTCCAGATTTATCAGCACTTTGCAGGTCAAGTTGTATGGACGTGAAGGTAGCACTAACAGGACCATTAGGGCTACTCTTCCTTACATTAAGCAGGATATTCCAATCGTTATTATTTTCAGAGCTTTGGGCATTATTCCAGATGGTGAAATTCTGGAACATATATGTTATGACGTTAATGATTGGCAAATGTTAGAAATGTTGAAGCCTTGTGTCGAAGAAGGGTTCGTTATACAAGATAGAGAAACCGCGCTCGATTTTATCGGTCGTCGTGGGACGGCCTTGGGTATCAAGAAGGAGAAAAGAATACAATATGCTAAAGACATTTTGCAGAAAGAGTTTTTGCCACACATCACACAGCTTGAAGGTTTTGAAAGCAGGAAAGCCTTTTTCTTGGGTTATATGATCAATAGATTATTGCTGTGTGCTCTTGACCGCAGAGACCAAGACGATCGTGATCATTTTGGTAAGAAGAGATTGGATTTGGCAGGTCCTCTTCTAGCGCAACTTTTCAAAACTTTGTTCAGAAAATTGACGAGAGACATTTTGAGATTTATGCAAAGGTCGGTCGAAGAGGCCAAGGATTTCAATTTGAAGTTGGCTGTTAAGGCTACTACCATCACCGCCGGCTTGAAGTATGCTCTGGCCACTGGTAACTGGGGTGAACAAAAGAAGGCAATGACATCTAGAGCCGGTGTTTCTCAAGTGCTCAACAGATATACTTACTCCTCGACTTTATCGCACTTGCGACGCACCAATACGCCAATTGGCCGTGATGGTAAGCTAGCCAAACCTCGTCAATTGCATAATACCCATTGGGGTTTAGTCTGTCCCGCAGAAACCCCCGAGGGCCAAGCCTGTGGCCTGGTCAAAAATCTTTCATTGATGTCCTGTATTTCTGTTGGCACAGATCCATTGCCTATCATTACCTTTTTGAATGAATGGGGTATGGAGCCATTGGAGGATTACGTTCCACACCAGTCACCGGATGCTACGAGAGTTTTCGTTAATGGTGTTTGGCATGGTATTCACAGGAATCCCGCGAAATTGGTGGATACCATCAGAAAGTTAAGAAGAAAGGGTGATATTACTTCCGAGGTCTCGATTGTTAGGGATATTCGTGAGAAAGAGCTCAAAATTTTCACGGATGCAGGTAGAGTTTACAGACCGCTCTTCATTGTGGATGAAAACGAAGAAAGTGGTGTAAAAGAATTGAAGGTCAAGAAGGGACACGTGAGAAAACTCATGTTAACAGAATATCAAGATATCGAGGGAGGATTTGAAGACGAAGATGTAAATTACACTTGGACATCTTTACTAAACGACGGATTGGTTGAATACATTGATGCTGAAGAAGAGGAAACGATCTTGATTGCGATGCAACATGAGGATTTGGATCCTGCAGCAGGAGCAATTGATCCCGAGGAAGAACTAGATCCTGCCAAGCGAATCAAGGCTATTCACCATTCAAGCACGTTCACTCACTGTGAAATTCATCCATCGATGATTTTAGGTGTAGCCGCTTCCATCATTCCTTTCCCTGACCATAACCAGTCCCCTCGTAACACTTATCAATCTGCAATGGGTAAACAAGCTATGGGTGTCTTTTTGACGAACTATAACGTTCGTATGGATACCATGGCCAATATCCTGTACTATCCTCAGAAGCCGTTGGGAACTACCCGTTCTATGGAATATTTGAAGTTTAGAGAGTTGCCAGCCGGGCAAAATGCTATTGTTGCCATTGCATGTTATTCAGGTTACAATCAAGAAGATTCCATGATCATGAACCAGTCTTCGATTGATAGAGGATTGTTTAGATCGTTGTTCTTCAGATCGTACATGGATCAGGAAAAGAGAATAGGAATGTCCATTACAGAATCTTTTGAGAAGCCTCAAAGGACAAACACCCTCAGAATGAAACATGGTACTTATGACAAGCTGGATGATGACGGTTTGGTTGCTCCAGGTGTCAGAGTATCAGGTGATGACATGATTATAGGAAAAACGACCCCAATTCCACCTGATGCTGAAGAATTGGGTCAAAGAACAGCATTCCACTCTAAACGTGATGCTTCGACTCCTCTGAGAAGCACAGAAAATGGTATTGTTGACCAGGTGTTGATCACGACCAACCAAGAGGGGTTGAAATTTGTCAAAGTCAGAGTCAGGACGACTAAAGTACCACAAATTGGTGATAAATTTGCGTCTCGTCACGGACAAAAAGGTACAATTGGTATTACTTATAGGAGAGAAGACATGCCTTTCACTGCAGAAGGCGTTGTACCAGACCTGATAATTAATCCCCATGCCATTCCATCTCGTATGACTGTCGCACATCTTATCGAGTGTTTGTTAAGTAAAGTGGCAGCCCTATCGGGTAATGAGGGTGACGCATCGCCATTCACAGATATTACGGTGGATGGTATTTCTCGACTACTTAGAGAGCACGGTTATCAATCACGTGGATTTGAAGTGATGTACAACGGTCACACGGGTAAAAAGCTTATGGCGCAGATATTTTTCGGTCCAACCTACTACCAACGTTTGAGGCACATGGTCGACGATAAAATCCACGCGAGAGCTCGTGGTCCTGTGCAAGTGTTGACTAGACAGCCGGTCGAAGGTCGGTCCAGAGATGGTGGACTGAGATTCGGTGAAATGGAACGTGACTGTATGATCGCGCATGGTGCTGCTGCCTTTTTGAAGGAGAGATTGATGGAAGCCTCAGATGCCTTCAGAGTACACATCTGTGGTGTTTGTGGTCTCATGACAGTGGTTGCGAAACTCAAACACAACCAGTTTGAGTGTCGTGGCTGCAAGAACAAGATTGACATTTATCAAATTCACATCCCATATGCCGCTAAGCTCTTGTTTCAAGAGCTGATGGCTATGAATATCACCCCGCGGTTGTATACTGACCGTATTAGGGATTAGTCATGAAATGAGAAGAACTTAATAAAAACAAAAATGAAAGGGTAGTTTGTAATATAAAAGCCTTTAAGATGCTAGCTTTTCTCCTTTACGATATTTCTGATTCTTCGTGTAATCAAAGGCGCGCTCAGTGCGAAATAGATTCTGTTGGGCTGTTAACATCACCATCAGAGATCACTGGCTAGCGTCAAAAGAAAAAAATTATATCATTAACGATGGATATATACAAGTTGGCTTATCATTCTTTTCATGCGGTTCTGCGTCACGGACTCAAGAGGACTGTTGCTTCTCCTGTATCCTCTGTACAAGCGGCTGTTGATCGGCATAAGCAACTATGTTACTCTTATACGGATTTTCGCTAGCATCAAAGACTTTTAAACGTTCCAATCTGAGCTTTCTGAGCTTATTTTTGGGAAGCATACCACTCACAGCTTTTTTCAAAATTTCGCCGTGGCCTTTGTTGTCGATCAAGGCCCTCATTGAGGTCAATTTTAGACTTCCAGGTCTGCCTGAATGCGACCAGTAGTGCTTCTGCTCCATTTTTTTACCTGTGACTCTCAAAAATTGACAATTTGTAACTACCACATAGTCTCCACAGTCTTGTGTTGGATGATACACTGGCTTGTGCTTACCCATGAGTGTTAAGGCTATTGACGAGGCTAGTCTACCCAAAGTCCTCTTTTCTTTAGCAACATCTACATGATGCCATAGTCTAGCAAATGCTACGCCAGTATGGCCAATTTTTTGAGACATTCGCGCTCTTTTGTAACAGCCGAGCCTAAGTTAGCTAATTGTTTGCCATGGTTAAGCTATTAGACGAATTATCAAATTTTCTGAGTGCCGGAAGAGATAATTAACTACGAAACAGTATCAAATGAGTTTTCGTCTGAAATGACCAAAAGTAACTTGATTCGTAATGAGTTTAAAATGAGTATTCGCTCATTAGGAGAAAGGCGGGTAACTGTCGATTTTTTCATCGTGAAGGAAAACACATCAATATTATACCAATGGAAGATGACGAGCTTGCTTGAAGGCCGCTTTACATTGCAATAGATAGAGGTCCCGCTCTCAATTGAATCTCTTTTACCTATGTTCTTCTTTAAGGATCTTTCGCTTAGTATCACTTTACATCCTTCCTTTTTCGGACCGCAGATGAAGCAGTATTTGCGAACCAAGCTACTGCAGGAAGTCGAGGGTACATGTACAGGTAAGTTTGGGTATATTTTGTGTGTCCTTGACTGTGAAAATGTCGAGATTGAGAGAGGTAGAATTCTGCCGAGCGACGGTTCAGCGGAATTTACCGTGAAATATCGCGCTGTCGTATGGAAACCTTTTAAAGGCGAGGTCGTGGACGGCGTCGTGTCGAGCTGTACAAACCTTGGATTTGAAGTCGAGGTTGGACCATTGTCGGTTTTTGTGTCGCCATTTTTGATGCCTGAAGATCTAACGTACAACAGTGGATCGAATCCGCCATCATATCAAAGTTCTGAGCAAATCATCACGAAAGGGTCCAGAGTTCGTCTCAAAATCGTCGGTGCCCGTAGCGAGGTCAATTCTATCTATGCTATTGGCAGTATCAAAGAAGACTACTTGGGGGTGATCTGAATGCGTTTTCCCCAACCTTGATTGGCAAACGGATGGATCGTTCTGGTACCGTAATGATCCATCAAAAAAAGTTTTCATACTTACTTCCTTACAAACGAACTGCCTTCAAGGCATCTGTACATTATAGCATTGCGCTTTTGAAGCTGTCTTCTGAATATGTTGGAATTAATAAGACCAGCTTACATTAGTCTTTGCTTGCTGAAGGTGCGCTTTATCGAATAGTATCCACCTGCGTCAACGACTCCATCTGCCTCATTCCAGATCCCTTGATAGAGGCCAGTTGCAATTGCATCAGTGACAAGTTTGGACTTTGCTAGGTAATACCTCTTATCTCCCTCAATCTTGATCACACAATTGTGCCAAGGTGTTGGTATGTGAAGCAGATCCTCGAATTTGGGCTCTTCACTGTCATCCAATGATCTTACAATGCGGCATTGATCGCTAGAAATTAACCTAACTCCGTACTTTGGTCCACTGTTGACGTGTGCATGAATGGATAGTCTTACGTGATGAGGAAAAATGACTTCCACCAAATTGGAATAAGCATCATTTCTCTTTATCATTTCAAAGGCAACTTTCGACACGACTTTTTTGAAGCATCTTTTTGACATACCCTTGAAATGGGACAAATGGCAAAGGTCATCCATCATGAATCTGGAGAAACCGCGGAACAATTGAAGCCTTGGGTGGTTAGGAATAAGTATCTGCCTTCTCAAACGCCCATCGTCAGTATCAAATCCTTTCATCAAAACTTTACGAGATAGTTCAGAAAGATCGCAGATTTTGGATCCCGTATAGTGAGGAAGCTCAACGTCCTCTACCATGTCCTCGTACAATGTTGAATTTGTAATACTATCATTGAAGAAAAGTTCTTTCAAGCCAGCAAATCCGACCGCATCAACACCTGGTATAGAGATTTTCCGATACAGCTCGTGCAATTTGGCCGTATAACTGTCCACCACGTCATCATCAACACCAATGCAATCACTGAAGACATGTCCATCACTGACGATCCAGACTTTCATTCCAGGCGGGTAGAAGTTTTGGACCTCTTGTGTCGCCTTTATTAGGCGTTTCAATGCCAGTTCTTCGCCCTTATCAGGGACCGCACCGTGAACTTTCTCCATATTTGATGATTTACAAGGAAAAGCGGGCATAATACACTCAATGCGCAGGTTCCTATCTGTGAAATACCTGACCGAATTGATGAAATTATGGCGTCCACCGTTCTCCCATTTGTCGTTTGCAACCGAGTTTTTCAAGTTTTGGGCGAAATAATCGGTGAACAACTCATCGAAAGGGATGGAACTCGGCATTTTGGCGGTTTCGTCATCGTGCAAACGGGCTGACTCTAGTATATGAGCGACGAGCCAGTCATTAAATTCATTTTCATGCTCAATCGTAGTGATGATGCCGCGCAACTGCGTTTCGTCTTTCCTACGATACTCGGAAACTTTGATGGGCAGTCCATTGATGCCAGAGAATTTTTCTGCTGCTGGAGCCTCGATAAGGTATTCTGTAATGCCGGACTTTTCGACCTCACGATGAGGTACTGCTCTCAACACTTCAACAAAGGAAGCCCATTCCTGAGAAAAAACTGCTTTTTGTTTGTCTTTAATAGCATAAAGACTGTAATCTTCTCTGTTCCGCGTATATATCGCCAAGACTTTACTATATGTGGACAAGTCTTTGTCGTTATGCGGAATAGAGATCTCCTGCAGTTGCGACACAGCTTCGGTCATGTTTCTATCTTGATAACCAGCCAGGCAAAAAGAGGCTTTCGGGAGCTGGAAACTGTATAGCTGCTTATTAGTGGTCGATCAGGAAGCTAAAGTATTGGCGTTGTTTAAATAGAAACGGCCAATGGGGCGAAACTAAGATAACAATAGATTAGAGTGGGCTCTAAGACTACAGCTTTTCTTCTCGTCATTTTAAGGCACTAACACACCCCAGAGGCAGACTAGCTCGCTTACGCCGGGCTGGGGAAGCAAAAGAAGCCTCTGACGCTTTCAGAAAGTCTCCTCGCCCACATTTAAAGTGCCCTTAAAGAAAAACCCTAAACCTGCAGCCAAGCAGTTGACATTTGCCAAGCTTTCAGGAAACAACACATTGTTATTTTTGCAGTACTGCTAGCTCCATCTACGCGCCCGAATTTTGACACATTGTTGGCAAAAAAAGAATCCGTCGTTGCCGTGACCTGACATAAGCTCGGCGGCGTGTGCACTCTTATAGGCCATAAGAACCTTCAAAACTGTCTACCTGCGTCTCATGCCCGCTGATTTTTCCAGCTTAATCGATGGCATCACCGGCTCCTGCTCAAATTCTAAGGCAAAGAGACAGTCCCTCTTAGCCTACGGCGAAGACTAAACATTTACACAGATATACAAAAATAGCCGCATGCTTGGCCCCTCCTGTTTGCTGTTTGACCCTCGGCTAATGTGCCGTGATTTGTTTGCCTTTTTGTCGATGTTAATTTTTAGAAGTTTCTCATGCAATGCAAGTAGTGGGAAAGGGCAAAAAAAAATGTTTAACTCCGAACTTCGAGGAAAAAAGAATACTTAAAAAATCCAGAATGTCAACGTGACGCCACCGCCCTTCTAGGTCTTTGTGAATTGCGAAAATGCGGGTTCTTGATTGCTTTGGTTTCGCTAACTTGAGGTAGTATCAACAAGATTAAGAGCGGGGAAAAAAGAAGCTAGAGCCGGAAAACAAAAAAGTATATCATTCAAAGAATACTTCATCAACAAGTCCATCGTCAAACATAAGTAAATAATCGAGAACATTAATTTTATTGATGCTACTACTGGCTGGTATAATATTTGTGTTGGCGGTCGCTGTCGTCAGTGTTGTCTTCCCACCCTGGAATTTTCCCAAGAATATTCCAACGGTGCCTTTCTATGTCACATTTCTGCCTACATTTTTCGACTTGGACCAAGAAGATATATTTGCTAGGTATCTCAAGAAGCCCATGGAGGAATATGGTGCGGTTAAGATTTATTTTGGCTCGCGGTGGAATATTTTGATTTCTCGGCCCGAATATTTGGCACAAATTTTTAAAGACGAGGACACCTTTGCAAAGAGTGGGAACCAAAAAAAAATTCCATACAGCGTGATAGCTGCTTATACTGGTGAAAATGTGATCAGCGCTCATGGTGCAATTTGGCGCGTCTTTAGGCGAACTTTGACGCCGGGATTACAATTTTTCGATGATGAACCTATGATCAAGAATGCTGACACTTTTTGCGAAATCATTAAATCCCAAATTGACACTGCTACAGAAAACGACACTTGTAAGTCCGATGGAAATGATTTGAAGGAGAAGCCAATTGAGAAGAATTTTAAAGCGGCATTGGTGATGCCAGAATTGCTACAAAAACTTGCGATGGCGAACATTGCTCAGGTTGTTTTAGGTTTCGATGTGGGAACTTTGAGTGACAAGAATTCGGTTATACATCAAGCACTGAAAAATGTAAAGAGACAGATATTCCGGCCGCTATTTTTGAATTTTCCATTTTTGGACCTATTGCCCATCCCATCACGCACGAAAGCGCGCAAAGATGTGGAGCATTTTCGAACACTTTTAGTTGACGAAGTTGAACACAATATTGTCACGAATTATAGGTTCGAGCAGACATCGTTTGCCGTGTCGGATTTGATACGCACGTACAATCGAGAGGAAATCACACGCAATCAACTTATCAATAATATTGTCATTATGATGGTTGCAGGCCATGAAAATCCACAACTTCTCATGACGAGTTGTTTGTATATGTTGGCCAAAAGTAAAGACGATTGGCAAGTAAAGATCAGAAACGAAGTCGAAGCTAATACGGGCAGTCTCGCTGAGCTTCCATGTTTGAATTCGTTCATTTTCGAGTGTGTCAGACTTTACCCACCGCTCAGTCAAATTATCAATAGGGAAACGTCAAAGACATGTTTACTTGGGAACAACATAGTGATACCAAAGGGAGTTTACGTAGGCTACAACGTCTACGGTACAGGTCGCTACCCAGCAGCATGGGGTATCGACGCGAATCAATTCATGCCCCAAAGATGGGGTGATAAAATTGAGAATATCATGAACGAATGGAGGCACAGAAAAAACACCTGCGCCATGAGTGCATTCCACGGTGGTCGTAGAGCTTGTTTGGGAGAAAAGCTAGCACTTAATGAAGTGCGCATCACGCTTGCAGCAATGTTGAAAACGTTCCAATGGCAATTTGCACCAGACTGGGTCGAGAAAATGACCCCCGCTGGACCGTTATGCCCACTCAATTTGAAACTAGAATTCTCGTTGCGCAAAGGACATGAAATGGAATAAGTTCTTACATATTTAAGTTAAGTTTAATTTAATTTTTGCTGTTTGAATTTCTTTCTCTATAGTTAAATTGGCGATATCTGTGCGGCTTTGTCAAGCGCATGGTACACTTGTTGCCAGAAGTATTCCATGTTCATATCAAAGCCTACAATGGTCCCTAAGGACCCGTTTGTTGGATATTCTTTCAAAACCTGAGTTTGTCCGATATTTAAATCTGATTCGTCCTCGAGGGCGTGAAGGTCCATTCTCTTGTATTGAAACTGTATTTTTTGGGCAGCGCCCTCGTCTTCAATTGCTAGCAATGCTAAAAGCGCCAAAGGGTCGTGAACAGGTGGTCCTTTTTCAAAGAACTGGACATTTTCGTAAGTCCGACTAAAAAACAAAAACAATTCATAGAAAAGCTTGCGTAAATTCGACGTTCCGTCACCTAGCACCGTCTGTTGAACTTGCTTAGTCGCAATGGCCTTATGAGTTAAATCCAGACCCGCTAGGATACATTTGTCCTTCATAATCGGGTCCAAAAACAAAAAATTGGCAGCCTGTGGATCGATCCAAATGTTGAATTCGGCACTTTCAAGCACATTTCGGTTTCCGACGTTAATTCCTCCGCCCATGATACTGACGTACTTGATCTTGGGCTTGAGATGACTTTTTTCGCGCAGAAGTGTTGCGACGGACGTCATTGATCCCGTTGAAACGAAACAGAACTCTCCAGCGTGTTCTTCAACGGCCTGTTCGATAGCCTCAAGGTAAGTGGTCTCTGTTACGAGACCTACTATGGGTATCGGCAATAACGACGTTCCGTCAAGACCACTCTCACCATGGATATCTGGAGCGTAAATGGCGTCTCGAACCCACGGTTTCTGAGCTCCCGCGTACACGCGGACGCGATTCGCCGCTCCAAGGGCCGTGACTACCGACAGAGCATTGTAAGCGGTGTTTTTAGGTGGAGCGTTACCGTAAGACGCACTAATTCCAAGTAACTGAAATCTTGGATCAAAACACGCTAAAAGAATGGCAACAGCGTCATCATGACCGGGATCACAATCTAACCAGATAGGAATTCGTTTAAATACCGTCATATCCACTCGAAAGCGTGGTTATCAAAGTTTCAAGTGCATAAGTGAAGATGAAGGCATTTTTCATGCTCTCGAGTTGGTTGCAAACAGGATTGAAAAGAGAAAACCGACCTCGCTTTCGCTTATGACATGGACTAATTCAAGATCACTACACTACTACACTACTAAAGTCCATTCTCTCCAGCTACCTAAAGCTAACACCAAGATTTGTATAGTCCGTGACTGTTCATCTCATCCCCAATATATATATCAATTATCACCAACTTTTTCAGTGATATGAACATCAAGTTTGAGGACAAGAAACGTATATAAGAGAAATTTAAAAGAAGGCTAACGGAGAGTTGAGAAAGGCTTGAGAGACGTTCATTTCGTTACCATTTCCCTGCTCTTTACCCGCCATTTTCCCGCCCTTAGCCTCAGAGAAGTGTGTTTGGATGTTTTTAAATTGATTCCGTATATCAATATGGGTGCAGTTGGAGATGGCCATCGAGGTTAGTCGGAACTTAGCGAAGGCCATAAAAAGGGGGTGAACTAAGAAAGCGTCTCTCTGTCTGGTATAAGGAGAAGAAAGTTAGGAACCGAGCGGCAACATTTTGCCTGTAAAATCGACATCCCACCACGTACGGACGGCTTTTAGCGTTCATTGCATTAGTCATAAGAGGTAGAAATTTCTTCTAAGAATTACCCGCGCGGCTCAAGGCATTTCGAACCGCGTTTCAGCGGAGTTTGACCTCCACGGCCAGTAGCAGCAGCGGTACTATCACCAGTGGTGTCAATAAGTTGCCGCGTTTCCCAAGCTCGATTAGTCAACAAGGACACTGGCGTCCCTGAAGGGCTGAATATTTAAGAACAGACAGCGTAACTTCGACATTTAATACCTGGAGTGAAGACAAAACAGCAGACATTATGTCTACTAGTCAGCTGGAAATGGAACGAAGTGAAAGTTCGAAAAGTGTAGTGTTCCAAGAAAAACAGGAGTGTGACGTTCCAGTAGCGCAACCTGGGGCCATTGAAGTGCCAGACGGCGGTTATGGGTGGTTTGTTGTCGTTGCGTATTTTCTGTACAATTTCAGTACATGGGGCGCTAACGCCGGTTACGCGGTTTACCTAGCACATTACTTGCAATACAATAAATTTCGTGGCGCTGGTAAACTTGATTACGCGGCAATTGGCGGGTTTGCATTTGGATGCGGTCTTTTTTTTGGTCCTGCCATAACCTGGTTGGCGCACGCGACTTCGGCCCAATTTGTACTTGGCGTTGGAATTTTGTTGCAATGTGCAGCATTGTTACTCGCAGCATTTTCCACGCAACTATGGGAACTTTATTTGACCCAAGGTGTTCTCATTTCATTCGGACTAGCGTTTATCTGTATTCCTAGCTTAACCTTACTACCTCAATGGTTCAGAAGGAAAAGATCCTTGGCCATGGGTCTGGCTACAGGCGGAAGTGGTCTGGGCGGAATTATATTCAATTTGGGCATGCAGAAATTAATCGAAGTCAAAAGTGTCAAATGGGCGCTCATCGTTCAGTGCATCATGTGCACCTCTTTGAGTTGTATTGGCTTGGTTTTGACAAGAACCAGAAACAAGGCGATTTACGGGCCAGAAAAACCCAAGATCAAACTTTTCGATCGTGAAGTGGTTTGCAGCATTGGATATTGGCTTATTGTCGTGTACATTAGCCTCACGATGCTGGGGTACGTGATTCTACTGTACTCAATGTCTTCTTTCACAGTTTCTTTAGGCTACTCTGAAAACCAGGGCTCAATTGTCTCTTGTATGATCAGTGTCGGTGCCCTTTTTGGAAGACCTGCAGTGGGCTACGTTGCCGATTTCGTGGGTCCCGTTACCATGTCCATTGTCGCGCATCTTATAGTGGCAGTTTTCAGTTGGGCCATGTGGATTCCATGCCGCAATTTCGCTACTGCACTACTTTTTGCGCTCATTGTTGGGTCCTTCATGGGTAGTATCTGGTCTTTAATGGCGCCTATTGTGACGCGAGTCGTCGGGTTAAAAAAACTGACCGTTACTTTCGGAATGCTTTGGATTTTTTTGAGTATCTTCGGTATTGTGGCACCGATTATTGGGTTAGAACTACGTTCTAGTAGTAACTCCGGGGGCAATCAATACGTCAGAACCGCTATTCTAGCAGGATTCGCTTATCTTGGGTCTGCACTAGCGTTGTGGATTTTAAGGGGAATGCTGGTGGCTCGTGACGTGCTAGCGGTCGAGGCACAAACTGGATTTGACGAGGGCGAAATGCATCTCAAGGTGAACAAAAAAGATTGGGCGGCAGGCTTGTTCAAATTCAAGAACCTTCCCAGGGTGGTATAGCAAAAAGCGGGAATCAACTCCATTAATACAACTTCTTTCAAAAATAATGTACATAGCACAAATTACTCGCTAAAAAAGTCCTTCCTCATGGCAGGAAAACGTCGTTGCCCTGTTCCATGGCGCGTTTGGTGTGGTATACAATGTCCGTGGACTCCCATGGATACGCATACCACAAGTCAGGAACACGTCTGGCCGCAATGTATCTGGTCTCATCGTCCAACATATCGGCAGGCAGATCTGCTTTCTTGGGCTTCTGCTTGTCGTGCAGAACAAAAATACCGAAATTGGTCTTCATTTCGGGTTGTTCGGCAAGGTCGATACCCTGAGCCGCAGCTTGTTCCGCAGCATCCTTCTCGAGCTCACTGAGCGCATAGTGAAGCGTGGTACGCGTATCGTCAACTTCATCGACGATAAGCACATTCTTGCCCACTAGATCCAACTTACATTGTTCGTAGTCTATCCACTGCGTTCTCTTCACAGCAACGCCAGGACGCTCCTCACTGGCTCCAACAACCGTGAGATCTTCATACAGCGACAAAATGATCGCAAAGATCCGTATCGTGGGAATATTCGCCTCTTTCAAGAAAGTTCTGAGGATTCTCGCTGGGATAAATCCTCCACCTCCGATAGCGATGATGATATCGGGCTTGAATTTCTTGATCCGCTCTGCCGATTCCTGGCAAAGTTGATGCACGTTATTGTAACTGATATACTGCTTGTCGTCGCTCATACTATAACTCGAGCCTTAAGAGCGGGGAACTCTGGTTGGGTTGGTTCTTGTTCCGGGGCCAACTCTTTAATTTGCTTCGAGTCTCTTTATATCCCATACTTGTTCTTATAAACAGGTTCGGCAATTCCGTACGGAAATACCGAGCTCAATTAATTCATCTAATTACGTGAATAGAGTCAAGCCGAGAAACGATAAGAATCATGACTGGAAATAATCCCCTTGGATGATTTGATACTTGAAATCGCCAATTGAATCTAGTTCAGCCATATTTAGCTAAAATTGTTGTTATATGTACCGAAAAAACGGGACGACACCGATGTGAATTGAGCTTATTAGGTGGGAAAATGTCAATATTAGGCCAACAGAAGTCAAGTCACTATATATTCGAAACGTCTACTAAGTATAGTTTGAAGTGTTTTAGGAGTGCTTGGGTGGGGGCTGGCGGGGCTTGGTGGGGGTCGGTGACTAGTATTGTACATTTATTGGCTTTTGTAGTGATTCTATCTATGCTAATTGAACGTCTATCGAAAAACCAGGATTTCGTTGTGACAACTGGGGCATGGCAACGCGAGAATGGATGGATGCTAATGGTTATGGTAGATGCTATTGGGACGAGTTGGTCCGATCAGGAGTCGGTTTCTTCTGCGGGGTGATTCAGTTAACTTCGACGTCGCTGTAACCTTCTTCGTCGGCATCGACATCGCTCTCGTTACCGGAGGCCAGATTCTCGCCGTTAGCCGTACGAGAACCGTCCGCTAATTCCTCTGAGCTGAACTCTGCGTCTTCGTCTTCAGAAGCGATATCAAGCTCGCCGTCCTCGATGAGCCCCGCGTCGTCGAGTTCTTCGTTGTACTCGACTTCATCTTCGTTCTCCTCTGGTATAAAATGGCCATTCGCCAAATCGGTGTCAGAGACGCTTAAGACGGAAATCTGATTGATGGCGCACTCTAGCCTCGTCTCCAAGACCTTGAGACGTGGCAGCAGCTCGCATCTTTTACGCAGCGTCGAATGCAGCGACGCCAAACTGGAGGTGAGGTTTGGCATACGCGCTAAATAGCCTCCGTGGATGATCAAACACCATTTCACCCACACATTCAAAGGACCTTGTCTATTCGTTTGCCTGGCAATGCGTTCCGCAAGACGTTCGAGTAGAACGACAGCCAACACAGGTTGCAAACGTGTTATCGTGCCCTTTATAACTTTTTCGTCCCGGTTGTTCAGTACGCTTTCCATCAGCGAATGGTCGTTCGACTGTAACGCCTGCGATAGTACCACGCTCAACGTACCCATGGTCGCTTTCTTCTTGGCACGCTTAGACAAAGAGCTCTTGCTCTGCAAATTCGCGGACTCCAACATGTCTGCCAGTGACTCTTCCTCACCTCCCTCACGCTCTACCTCAGCAATGGCTTCCGTCACGTACTTGAAGTTGTCACCTGACGTGACCGTAGCGTTCCCCTCCGCGTACGACGTGGCAGCCGCCACATCATCGCCGTAGGTGGACTTGTGCATTGTAGACTTTGCTGAGGGTCGAGCCTTCTCTATGATCTCAGTGGCGCCCAGGTCCCTCCATTGGAGCTTGTCAAAGTAGGGCAATGTGGCCGCTTCCAGCCAACAATAAGTCAGCACGTCCGCAGAAAGAGCCGCGTTCAACACGGGAAGGGCCTCCGCAGACTGCGGCCTAGCGATCTTAATGAGACTCGACGAGTGTTTGGACATAACTTTCCGCTTCTTGTTGCTTACGTGCACTAGTGCGTCCGGAAACACTTCCAGGGCGCCGTCCTCCGTCGTTACAGCAACTGTTTTGTCCTGGAAATGGCTCACCTGTACCACGTTGGACTGCGCTACCAGCACAGATCGCGTGGCACCCGTTTCCGTGTTATAAACATTAACGAAACGATCCATGGCGGCAGCAGTCAAAAAACACTCCTCCGACAGCATTTGTAGGTGGGTGACACTGGACACGTGGCCCGGATATGTGCGCACCACTTGCTTTGCAACAGTATCAACCAGCGAAACCGCGTGGGACGCAACCAGCACCCGTTCAGGCCCAATAATGCATAGTTTTTGCAAATCTGAACATCCCTCGACCTTGAAGTGCGTCTGTAGCGTGAAATCAACCAAACTGAATCTGTACAAAGTATCGTCGGCATCGCACGACCACAGGGTATCTCTAAAAGTGTCTATGTCGCGCACCGCGTGCGCACTGCCGCTAGCAAGCTTGCTCACAATTTGGTTCGCTGCAGGTGCGTAAATCCAAATTTCACCGTTATTCAACCCCACCGCCACATTCTGTACCTCTTGTGCATCTTTACCAACCCACTGCAGCGCCGTAACACGCAGTTGTGAGCTCTCGAGCACCAAAGACCGAGCCTCGAGTCCCACGGACCTGGCAATTCCACTTTGCGACACGGATTCGACACCAATTCGGTGTCTATCGAGAGCTACGCTCACGTATGCAAAACTCTCACCTCTAGGATCGAACTGCGAAGCAATTACCGGTAAGTTACTCATACCTTCTCGGCCTTCTCAGGTTCTCACTGCGGTGCGATGAGCTTCCAGCTATGGAAAATTTTCACTATGGGATCGCTAAACATCAAACACGTGAAAGTCACGTTGAGAAATCGCCCACAAATCGTGACGCGATGGTAGCGCTCGAGTAGCAGCTTTGAGCATATTGTAAGATGACAGGAGGTATGGGGCATGAAGAAACGTATAACTGTATCCAGTTTCAGGTGTTTGAGCGTTTTCGGCGAGTTTTTTTGGGAAGAACGCCGCTTCAAAGCGGTTCTGAGACATCCGAATGCCATTACGGCAGCCGTCATCAGCGCGTGAGGACACCTCGGAGGAAAATTAACACTTTTCTAGCACTTTTTCCCACTGTTTGCCTAATTTTTTGAGCTCTTGGTACTTCTCTGATTTTGAAGGGAGAAAGACAGGGAAAAAGTGGCAAGACAGTCAATGTGTTCGCATTCTGTGGTAGTCATCCTGTGTGGTGCAATTCTGTTCGTCATTCGAATCAAAGTGTCGCGATGCCCGTGTTGCGGTATGGAACGGTGTAAGTACGCGTTTTTGAGCCTGTTTCGTCACGGAAAAGATGCCGTATTATCAAATCAACGTTTCTTTAACGATTGGAGCTGACTCTAGAACCTCAAATCAACATCTTGTATCTAATTTGTTGTGTTGACATAGACCCCTGGGCCCGCCCACGGGTCTTTCTTTTTTCAAAATGAATTTTTGGCGATGAGAATTTCAAAAATACATATAAGGACCTGTTCAGCAGAGGTAGAAATGGCGATGATGTGAGGCAACATAGCCAAAAACGCGGGGTGTAACGTCTTTATTTGTGACAAAGCAAGGCTGCCGCTGTAAACAATCGACTTGAAGGCTTTAGTGAGTCTTTTTCGGCGCGAACATTAAGCCCAGAATCGTGGAAAGCCCTTGACTTAACAATTTAAGAACGGAACGCGACGTCTTGGAAGAAATATACTTTAACTATGGGCGAAACAGAGGATATTTCGTTACCAAAAGGTATGTGGATTGTGGATAAAGGCGGTTTGATGCCGTGAAGTTCGGTACATTGTTTGCTCTTACTAACGTGAAATTTGTTTACGCAGCCACGGTGCAGAAAATCATATCAGAAGTGCTTGAAAATGATTTGACGTTCAGCAAAGAAGCCCGTGAAATCATTATCGAGTCTGGCATCGAGTTTATTATGATCCTGTCGTCAATGGCGTCAGAAATGGCCGATAAAGAGGCCAAGAAAACAATCGCCCCAGACCACGTCATAAAAGCACTGGAAGAGCTCGAATACCACGAGTTCATACCGTTTCTGGAACAGATCCTGGTTGAGCACAAGGAGACTCAGCGCATCAAAGAGCGGCGTGACGCGAAATTCAAGAAATCAGGTCTGTCAGAAGAGGAACTGCTACGGCAGCAAGAAGAACTGTTCAGACAATCTCGATCCCGTTTTAATCAGACAACATCTGCAGCTGACGACAGTCCCGTGTCGGAATCACCGCCTGTCGAAGAAATTATTAAGAGCGAGGAGAACTAAAACTCGATGATTACGACACTCAAACTAATGTCTCATAAAGAACAAAAAACAAACGAAAAAACTGCAAAAAGACCCAAAATGAAACTCTCATCGAAGAATCGGATTTTAGAATTCCTTTTGCATCTAGAATGGTTAAGTTATCTGTACTCCTTTCATTCACGTATCTAATATATTGTATCAATCTGGCATGGCTACAAGAAAAAGTACAAATACCGATTCGGGCATCAGTTGCCCGATACAAACTCCAAAATTGTCTTCAGGGAATCCACCTTATCCTCTTGCAATGCTGATAAAATCTGCTCGTAGCGCACGGCGTCGCTGCCTTGAAGTCGGGTGAAAAATGCATGCAATTCTTGGAAACAGTTCACGTCATCCAAGCTAGATTGTTTGAAGTCGTCTTCCAATTCGTCGAAGAATTCAGTGCCGTCATCGCCATCAAACTTATCTTCGCCAACCTCGCCACGAGATAACGCATCTCTTTTTCGGATCGCCTCCGGTAACGATTCGGCCAACGCTACAAGTTTGTTCGAAAGTTGAGGAACAAACCCACTTATGCAACTTGGCAGTTCGGGTAAGCTCAGTACCGAGATCAACGACATAATCTGTAGCTTTATAGTGAAAACACTGGTAAACTTGCAATCAAACCATTTCTGCAATAGATCTAATGTGACACCTTCTTCCTCGCAAGTTTGCAATGTTTGAATAGGTTTCACGAAAAGACTGCCCAAGAAAAGCTTGACGATAAGAGTGCTATCAATTTCATAGTCCTCGCCTGAAGCGCATTTCAAGGCCTGTGTAAATAGTGGATTTTCCTTCATGGCAAGAACATAAAAGAGAAGGATATCGATGGCACTCTCGACGTCGAAATCAACACTACTATTCAAAGCACCCGACAGGATTTCAAGAAAGGCGGGTACGAAAGTGTTGTCCTTTGGAAATCCGTGGGTGACCACAGTCTCGAAAAATACCTGATAGCTTTCAAAGTATTCCAAAGCGTAGGTTTGAAAAGAGTCGAGCACATCGTGAACAACTTCCCAGATGCCTGGTGTAAAGGCCCCATACATGGTTACCGCTGATAAAGCGAGAGAATCCATCAAATCGACTGCTTCGCTCAAGAACGAGATCTGTGCGTTGATAATAATGAACTTGACAACGGGTACAAAATTGTCAATTAACGAAACTTTGCTCATTGACATTACCATGGTTGTCATTGTTTGCAACAAAGCACTTGCTTGGATTTCGCTATCCTGATCAGAGACGGAGTAACTCCCACTGCTGTTCTCCACAATAGATTGCCCAAGGATTATAAACTGATCTGCGAGATTTGCAGCCAAGTCACGAGCAAAAGGTGTAAGTTCGTCGGCGAACCTTTCAACAAACGCTTCCATAACCTCTGATAGGATATCGATTTGAAATTCCTTGGAGAGTCTCAAAAGTTTCTCCATTATGCTGGGAACTTGAGATGAAATGTGTTCATGAATGACTGGATTGGACACAATCAGAGTTTTCAAAGCATCAGCCGCTTCCACTTGAACTGAAAGATGTTCTGAACTGAGAAAATTATGGTAAACTGCCTCGAAAAACCTAGATATAACACCCATATCGGTGAATGCTTGCTGATGGATGGCAACAGTTTCCAAAGCTCTTGCGGTCAGAAATGAGTATTTATGTTGTGTCAATAGTGGATAAACGTAATGATCGAAAATGCCTTCTAGTTGATCTTTAACAGGTGATTCGTCCTCTGCTAAAAAGCTAGAAAGCGAGCTCAATAATCTGAGTGCTCCTTCCTCCCTGTATGCACTTTGCATATCGCCCCTCTGTGCAAACTCGTTAAAAACATTATTCATTAGCGGTAATATTATACTCACTTCCGAGAACCGCTTGTGTCCAATAACGAAAATAAAGTCCGTCGAAGCCACATCCGCAGTGGTTCCCTCCTTGTTAGCATCGAAATACCGTCTTGCGTATTCTTCCGGATCTTCCTCGAACAAAGCGATAGATTCTTCGTTGGCCGAAAGACATGGGAAAATGACATAGTTTATTATTGTTTCAAGGTGTGGTTTGATCATCGGCCATAAACTCTCTGTCGTAACGCATTTTTCTAGGAACTCTATCAGGTAGAAAAGCGATGCGTCGCTCAGCCAAAGGGAACCCGACCCCCAGGACTCGATGGTTTTAAAATACTCGGTTAAAATCGTGGGCACAACTTGACTGAACATGAATTTGACGAAATCTTCAGAAACACTCTTAGTTGTCCTGCTGTACTTGATCAAAAGTCTTGATAAATTTCCAAAAGCCCATTTGTTACACTTCACGCGCTTATCCAAGGACCTATCGCAAATTTCAAGAGCCATCACCTCAGCCGGAAGTGGCTTAGAGCAAAGGAACAAATGCAACTGTATCCACGCATTAAGCTTATCCACGTTGGTGAAATACTGCGGGAAACTGTTCAGACAGGAATATTTGAAAGACTTCAAAATCAAATACAAGAGTTCGTTAGACCTGTAATCCGTTTGATTCACGAGCTGGGACGCAATGGGCTCAACAAAGGGGAATACTTTGGTTATCACTGCATCGATATACTGCCTACTGTCTGCCATTTCCCATCTTTGGTTTAAAGTGACTTCAAATAATAGCAGTAATCCGGGGTAAACAAATTTCGATTCTCCGCTGGATAATAGCTCACAGATAATATCCGAGAGGTCCCATTTGTCATTGTTCCCCAAGATACCCTTAACCGATTCTGTCAAATATGGTTTAATTTGTGTATTTTCTGCATTTTCAATCAAACTTTTTACCAAGTTTTCTTTAATAACCGCATGCTCCTCTTCCAAAATCGCATCTTCTCCTTTACTTTTCCAACATCTTTGGATTCTGTTTTTCATGTAAATAGCCGCGGAAACCCGAACGTTCAGCGGGATAGAGTTATCGGTAGCCGCTTGCAAAAGAAATGCCGTAAATCCCGGCTCCTTCTGCATTTCTCGCAATTGACCCTCGGCTTCTTTGATGGTAGCGGCATCCGAAGCCATAGTGCGATTAAACGCACTCAGAACTGCTTGAGGGTCCAGCATCTTGGTCTTCCAGAGGTTATAGTCTATAATTTAGACCGGTTAAAGTACTTTTCTGATAGTTGATTCTTGAAAATTTTTTAGTTTAGTTGATTTCGACATATTGGATTGTTTGAAAAGTCGATGAAATTTCACGTGGTTCGCTATAAGCTGGTTTAAAGATGGATATTCGCACTATAAAAGCGACTCTATCTGGGCAATTTTGAAACCATTGGTGACTTATTGGAGGTCGATTGAGAGCGGATTAATGGGTAAGGTTTTTTAATCTCATTAAACTGAAATGGAGCTCAAAAAACTGCATTTTTTAGGACTTCTCTTGGGCCTTTTCTTTGCATTGGAACCGTCGTATATTCATCCTGATGAGCATTTCCAGGGGCTGAATATTGTGCTGTCGAAAATTTCGTCGATCAACAGCTATATTCCTTGGGAATTCGAGCTGCAAAACGGTTCTAGAAGCTATCTGCCGATTTTCATACATTACGGTCCGGTTGTTGTGCTAAACAAATATGTGCTTCATTTGAAAAGCGCTACTGGACTGTTGTATCTGGCCAGATTGCAGAATTATGCGGTTTTTGTGTTGGCGTCAAAACTAGCGCTGCAATTTTTGGTGGTGGGTTCTAAGTTTGAACGCACCAAGGCAGATTTCCTCATATCGACTTCTTACATTTTTTGGACTTACCAGACACATACTTTCTCAAACTCGACCGAGACTATTATCCTTCTCACTGTCACGTCTTTGTGGAAAGCGTTACTGCGGGACTCGCGGAACCCGATTTTCCAGCATTTCAAAACGTCTGCCCTCTTGGGTATTCTCATTTCATTCGGTATCTTCAATCGCATTACATTTCCGGCTTTTTTATTTCTTCCTGGTCTATTAACACTGAAACGGTTCTACCTGCATCATCTGAGATCTCTGCTCGTGTGTGCTTTCTTCTTTGTGCTGGCAAGTCTTTTCACCATAGCGTTCGACACTTACATGTATGGATCCGAAAACTGGTGTATTACTCCGCTCAATAATCTACGCTATAACACGGACGCAAAAAATTTGGCACAGCATGGACTGCACCCTAGAATCACGCATCTCTTGGTGAATTTACCGCAGATTATGGGACCGATGGTTTTTTTCATCTTTAAAATTGATGCAGATATATCGAGACTAGTCTGTTTCTCGGGGCTAGCGTTACTTTCCATTTTCCAGCATCAGGAACTACGGTTTTTGGTACCTCTTCTGCCCTTTCTGTGCATTTCTGTTGACCTATCCAGCATTCGCAAAGTCGTGAGGCCTCGTATACTCTTGATCTTTTGGTTCATATTTAACATCATTATGGGCATTGTGATGGGTAGTCTACACCAGCGCGGTGTGATTGACGCGTTGCAAAGGTTGACTTCTCAAGAGACGCAAACTAACGTACATGTTTGGTGGAAGACATATCCACCGCCAACGTGGATGTACTTAAGCCCAAATCTCACAGTGTCAGTGCCAAATCAATCAGATGGCCAAGAACGAGTTGGTCTCATTGATTTCAGCGTACTACAAGATCACGTCGTCGATCTAATGGGTTGTGACGTCGAGCTTCTGGCTTTGACCCTCAGCAACTTTTTCTTACAGGGCTCTGCCGCGAACATAACTCTGATTAGTCCCACGAGCATGTCCGAAGACTTATCTATCCTGTGCAAAAAATATCCCACGCTTGAAATCAAGCGGACATGGCATAGTCCTTGGAACTTGGACCTGGATCATCTAGATTTTGGTCGCAGCTTATTACCAATCACCGGGATCGATATACACCAGGTGTCAAAAAAGTCAAATCAGTAATTAGTTTCTTTTACGTGGTTCCCTTATCGCATTTTATTCACTTTTGTTTTATCCAAACCTACTTATAGAATTCGAATTTATCCACGTCGCTGCTCGATTTCACTTGGGCAGCGTATGCTTCTTCCAGGTCGCTTTGTAAAATGACATACCTGTTTTTTCTCACAGCACGCAAGCCAGCTTCTTGCATAATCGCAGCAATGAGAGCACCCGACAATGGATCGTTACGGATTATCAATGAGTCTAAATCGACCTCGGGTGCCAATGACATTTTCGCCGCCACGGTGCCGAAAATCAAACGACGCTCGCGTCTGTCACGCAGGGAGGGAAATTCTATTTTCCTATCGAGTCTTCCGGGCCGCAGGAGGGCAGGGTCTAATGTGTCGGCTCTGTTTGTCGCCATTATGACTTTCACGTTAACGCTTTGGTCGAAACCATCCATTTGTGTCAGCAGTTCGATCAAAATACGCTGCACTTCACGATCGGACCCCGTTTGCGCATCGAATCTTTTGGTAGCAATAGAATCCACCTCATCGATAAAAATGATCGAGGGTGCGTTTTCTCTTGCAAGTCTGAACACATCCCGCACCATTCGGGGACCTTCGCCCAGGTATTTGTGCACAAATTCGGAACCGTTGACTCTGATGAAAGCCGCATTGGTGCTATTCGCGACCGCTTTGACCAACATCGTCTTACCAGTACCTGGAGGTCCATATAGTAACACACCCCTGGGAGGGTCGATACCAATTTGTTGATACAGGTCAGCTTGCACCAAAGGCAGCTCGACGGCTTCCCGAATTTCCTGTTTTTGCATGTCTAGACCACCCACGTCTGCGTATGTCACATCTGGCTTCTCATTTGCGCCCATAATCGAAATACTCGAATCTGAGTCCGGTGGTAAGATGTCCACCAGCGCGTTCGAATGCCGGTGCAACGCGACAGATGTCGACGGCTTCAAGAGTTCTCTGTCAAGTGTCGATAACACTCTTACCACGTAACTCATTCCGGTGGTGCTCGATACTATACCTGTATTTTCGTCGATGGGTTCCAGAAATTGACCGATGACTAGGGGAACGGACTGGATTCTTTTCACTTCTTCTTGTGCGCGCATAAGCTCCCTCTTGAGATGACGCTGTTCATCCTTAATATAGTCTTCTTGCAATTGAAGCAATTCGTATTCTTTCTCCAGCTTTTTAAGTCTCAAATAACTGTCTGACCCTCCGTTTCCCACTGAAGCTCCGTTTTGACTTACTTGTCCAACTAAAGATCCATAAGAAAGCACGTTTTCCGCCGACGCCGAAGACGACCGCTCCGCAAAAGTACTGACTTTCTCCATTGGTATTTTGTCTGGCTCGCTGGTGATCGATGTCACCTTATTACTATGGGATTGATAGTTAACGTTGGTGATCTTTATAGCTTTTGCCACCCTCTTATTGATTAAGCTTCCTTGGAAAATCCATGTAACTATCGACGGTATTTCATATCATTTGTCACGTCTATAACATCACGTGCTCGCAGTGCCAAGGCTCAATAGCCAACTAATAGACACAACGATAGTCGAATACAGGACGAGCTCAGGCTTCGAGAGGGTTATCGAGGCGGCTGAATTGGATCTCTGCAGTTGGTATAGCTTGCCCAGGAATTTTGATACCCAACTGATAAGAGCGTGGGTATTGAGTTTTAGCGTCGTGAAAAACTCCCGAGGAGAAGACATCGCAAGAGCAGAAAATTGCGTCGGTGGCTGCTGAGATGATGCTGAAATTGAGAGCTCACTCTCTGATTTCTGAAATGCGGACGACGGTGCCTCCACAGACCGTGAGGCCATCTTGGTAGATATGTCGCTCGACATTGCGTCAAGCTTGGTATTTTGGCTGGAAGCATACTCTTCCAACGCGAGCTGCACTTTATCTTCAAAGGATCCGACGAGTCTACGTCTTTTCCAGGGCTCCAGAAGCAGTTGGAATACCAAAAACAAAACTATGTTGACGCCCATGAGAATGAAGGTGCCCCAACTCGAGGTGCGGCGGATCTTGTCGGACCAGATCTGCTCCTCGTGGTACCGTGTCAAAATCGCGCGATACAGATCGTTTGAAAGCTCATCTTCCTGCTGTTCGCTCGCTGCAAGCCTCTGCTTGGCGTCTTCTTGTCTCTGTAAGTTCACTGCATCGTCCTTGTACAGCTGCGTGAACTGCTCGAGGTCTTGCGGCGTCCATGCGTTTTTCCGCTGCAACAGCTCATTCAATTCTCGCTGCGACTGTGATCTCGCGGCGATAGCCGTGTCGTACTCGCCCTTGCTTTCTTTGACACGTCCCTTAGTAGCAGTCAGCTGTGATTCCATCGATTCAATGCTTTTTCTCAGTTTCTGGATCGCCGAGTACCCTGTTACGTCGTTCAACGCTCGCGTCGCAGTGAAAATCGTCTCTTGCAAAGAATCAAAGTAAAACTCAAGTTTTCGAGCCCATCTGCGTCGTTTACGTTCTCGCTCAGAGGGTAGGCCACCAATTGTGGCCTGTGTATCGAAATCTTTCTTGTAGCCGGCCTGATCGTCATTTCCAACTATTTTGTCCTGTTCTTCAAATCTTCGGTCCGCTTCTCTCACGGCCGCTTTCGCCTTATTTATCTGGTCCTTAATTTGCAATGAAACAGCCCTAGCGCTAGAATTGACATCTGATATCTTGTTTTTAAATGTCGACCATCCAACCTCGATTGACGATCTGTTCTTAGGTCCTGTGTCGTTGCTCATCGTTAGCGGTTCTTTCTCCGTTCTCGGTACACTGTAGTATCGAAACGTAGCTGTGCGTAAATGGCAGCTTACAGACGTGGGATACCATCGTCTAAGTAGCATTCTACACCCCAATTGACCCAATCGTCCAAGATCAGGTTTTCAATTAATTAACTTCCCGAATTTCAAGTTTGAAGAAACCTTGAAAAACTCATTTCTATCAGAACAAACCACACATATGGTCGGTTTCTCGTTGAGTCTCAGGCCCAAGGAAAAGCAGAGCAGTACTAGTTCAGCGGCACAGAAAAGACGGAGAGTAAATCCCTTCCAAGAAAGTGACACACCTTCAAGAAAGCTAACACATATTAAACTTACACATGTCGATGAAACTAATGAAAATGAGAACCAGGACAAACCTTTGGTGATTGAGCCGCAGATTCCTAATGCCTCAAGCATAATACACAAAAGGGGAGAAGTTTCTACTCAAGTTTCGGCTGGTTCTACGTCAAGTTCGACATCCGGTACGAATTCGATGCCAAAATCGGACGACGGACAACTACAAACCGCGAAATTAAGGAAACGAGTTTTGCCAGATTCTCCACCGGAAACGACCCAGGAAGAATACGAAGAAGTACCTATTGAGGAATTTGGCCTCGCTTTACTGCGAGGTATGGGATGGTCGGGCGAAGGAGTGACTAGTGGGCATCACAAGAAACGTAATAAGGCAGTACTGCCGCATCAGCAAGCACGGCCAGAGTTTTCTGGGCTTGGATCCCAAGTCAAGTTTGGTGGTAATCAATTGGTTGAGAAAGGCGAAACGTTCATGCCGGTTCGCAAAGTTGCGAAAGAGCCGAGACGGTAAGCGACGTGTAAGACGAAGGGCATGCATTTTTAAAAAGTCTCTATTTACAGATTTTCCAAGTGTGTGGGAGTATTTAAGCTACTGTGGTAGATGAATTAATAGCGTTGGTTAAACCATTGTTGTGAGTCCCAATATCATGAGCTGAGACGCAAATGTGGTACCCCACACTTTGAACCAGTCGTTTCTCTTTTTATGCTCCCATTCTTCCACCATTTTCATGAGATCGACGTATAGTTCCATGCTGAGAGTGTCGTAAATGCCTGTCTCCCGAAACAGCATCAAGTTCTTGAGATCGTCAACGTTTTTGACAATACGCGATCGCAAAACTATTTCGTTGTTGTTGTGAACGGGCGAATCATGATATTTGATAATTTCTTGAGCTGATTGGGTATTATCTTCGTAATCAGGCCATTTCAGTCCAGATGGGATGACCGTGATTTCTGGGAATGACTTTCTCTTATTGATGGAAACGTTCGAAAGATTATTCCATGCGCTGTTCGAATTTTCGATGTTATTAAGAGAGTGAAATATCCCACGTTGCGTATTCACATATGCTACTAATGGCTTGATTTCGTCGAGTTTCATGATTGTATCACCGTTCGAAAGACGTGGCTCCTTAGTAGGTAAAGTTGCCTTTAGGTCCTTGAACACAAACTTCAAGTCCATAACGACATACTTGTTACTGTCCTCATCGTCTTCGATCCCAGTGTCTTCTTCGGTCGCAGGAAGCATGAGGTCCGCAACAATATCTACTTTCCCATCGTCTACCCAATTGAATGCCGCCGTCTTGTGAAGGCCAAGATCTCTGATCAGGATGCTATCCAGCCGCAACCGCGTGATACGCCTCCAGGGCGCTAAATCTTTCTTGGACCCACGTAAATATGCGAGTTTATGCTGACGTTTGTGTATGCTGAAGAGCGAATGATTAATCGCTCCAGAAATGATGTCCGCGTTGAAAACGTCCATCAGCAACCATTCAAATCTCAGTTGGGGCAATTCCATATTGTAGATTGAGATGCGGTAGTCCTGTTCCAGCGCCTCATCCCGTAAATTGATGCAGCTGTCCCTCACTTCCACTTTGCCAAGATGCGTTTGCGGGCTTGAAAACCACGCGATCAAAGGCTCGCTGAGTTCGTGGCGACTCTTGACCGTCACGTCACCTTTCATTCCATACACCGAAATGTCGTCTATCAGTCCGTGGCCAGAGAGCCATTTCCGGAGCGAAAGCGTGATATCCACCTGATTGAACTGAAGCGAAAACTCGATTTGCTCTGGGGCACCTTCGTCCGCGGTCCGCACTTCGACTCTTTTGAAACTGATGCACCGTTTCTTCCATTCGGGCACCAACGCGTCCTGGAACCGGAAATCGCACCCGTCGATAAACGAATTGAGAGACCTGCCCACAAACTTGCCAACCATTTCCTTAGCGAAAACCGTGTTGAAAGTAAACAACACCAGTGACACAAACGTCGTAGTGCCCAGCACGATCCACAAAATCTGAGAAATGATCAACCACGAGAAAATCGTGCTAATTTCGTCCGTGCTAAAGGGCCGATTCCCACGTATAAGAATCCATTTCGTATTAATTTTGAATCGCTCGTAAAAATTCGTTGCTTCTGAAAGCAGTTTTTGCTTCGTAAGATGCTCTTGGTTCTTTTGTAGCAAGATATTTTGCATGTGCATGTAATCTGAGCTCTTAGACAGCTCCTCCATATCTCTTTTCCCAGAATACCATCGGTTCCCGTATTGTAACCTTGCTGAGCTCCATTTCGTTAATTCAACCGATTTCTGCGGAAAAAGTCGGAAATAGCGCCGTCCAACACCACTACCAACACGGTTACTAGCCCCTTTCAGACCTAATTTAATGCTATTGAATAAATTGGGTCTCATTGCACTCAATTTCAGGCCATCAGCTCTCTAGTGGTTGCTAGCTTACGGACTTTGGCTTAAATATCTTGCTTCCCCAGTTTACGATGAAAAATTATTTCTTTTCGTACAATGGGCAAGGTCGAAATTTATGAAAATTTTGAATGTGATGAGATGAGATGAGATGAGATGGGCCAGAAAAGCCAGACAAACAGTGATTTAGTGAGACGATGGTTGCTCCTACGGCCTTGAAGAAACTTGAAAACATTCAGGATGATGTGCAAGCTGCGAATTGCGGCGTTTCTCGCATTTTAGGGGGGAAAAACGAGCCCAAATTGAAGGAAACCGGTGATGATGACGACGACGACGATGTTTTGATGGATGGTGAAGCATCAGGCGACAAACCGGCTGAAAACGATCCCAAGAAGGAATCCAGGAATGGCGTTGTGCTGGACGACACTGGAAAGCCACGTTTTAGCTCAGCATCGGCAGACCCAGAAGCAAAAGTAAAGCCGGAATCGCGCAAAGTGCCGGTTCCTCCTCACCGAATGACGCCGCTACGGAACAACTGGACAAAAATATATCCGCCCCTCGTTGACCATCTGAAGCTGCAAGTGCGGATGAATCTTAAGACGAAAACCGTCGAACTCAGAACGCATCCTAAACACACCACAGACCCTGGAGCTTTACAAAAAGGAGCCGATTTTATCAAGGCGTTCACGCTCGGCTTTGATCTGGATGATGCAATCGCGTTGTTGCGGCTGGATGATTTGTACATCGAGACGTTCGAAGTCAAAGACGTCAAGACCCTGACGGGCGACCATCTTTCAAGAGCCATCGGGCGTATTGCCGGGAAAGACGGCAAAACCAAGTTTGCTATTGAAAATGCGACGAGGACCCGAATCGTGCTGGCAGACTCCAAGATTCACATTTTAGGCGGTTTCACGCATATTCGAATGGCTCGTGAATCCGTTGTGAGCTTGATTTTGGGGTCTCCACCAGGAAAAGTTTACGGGAATCTCCGTGTTGTCGCCTCTAGGCTTAAGGAGCGCTACTGAAAGGCGCACACTGGGTCCCTGGTGGAACAAATTTTTGACCTCTCGTGTATATTAGCTATTAAATAAAGGACTTTCGAAATGGTTGTTTTGGGCCACGCACGTTGGCTCATCGAACAAGAAAAGCACAGTGTCGGTATAAGCGAAGCCGGGAATCGTGGGCGATGTGCTGATCAATTCGCTGGGCTAACGGTTGAGCTCCCGTAGAATATTAGTAGCCATCACCACTGACGTATCTAAAGTTATATGTTAGTTAATGCATCTTGGAATCTTGTAACAATCGTCTCGAGGAACACACACGCGTTCTTGTGATGCTTTCATGATTCCCACAAGCACTAAAAAGACGGTGCGACTTAGGAATCTGCTGGATGGGAATCTTAGAAGCTCGCGGGCTATTCCCACGGAAACTACGGAATCTTCTGAGACTCTAAGCACTGAAATCGATGAATGTGAACACTTCCACGAAAGCATTGAAGACTCCTCAATGATCGATTCGACGTTGACAGAATCGATAGATATAACTCAGGATTCTTCGCCCCTGAAATTCTCTGGAGAAATGGAAACGCATTGTCGTGTTATACAAAGTCCAACGCCAACCGAAGACCCACTCGATGTCAAGGGAAATAGAAATGGAAATGGAACTAGAGTTGTAAACGAAACGTCCAATAAGGAACCAAAAGTGAATTTAAGGGCACTTTTGTGTGGGCGTAGCGACGAAAGGCCAAAAAAAACTACTACAAAGATGTTGCCATCGAAGGAAGATGACGACGTGCAGGTAGTCAAAGTCATGGACCCAACGAAAAATCGCGACAGTCACGAACGTCTTATGAATTCACTGAAGAATGCAAAAAAGACTACTCTCAAGTCTCTATTTAGCAACTTTTCCCGTCCAGTTCAGAGTTCTACCGATGATGGTAAGCCAACAGAGGAAATAGTCAACGAATCAAACGGTTCTCTGAAACGTTACCACCAAATATCGGCTCTGGATGAAGTAGCTCCTCCGCTGGGTGACCCTCGGGCTCCTAGTGCAGGGGATAAGGAGTTCCAATCACGCCATGTATCTCTCCCGCTTCGGAAACGCCCTAAAATCGAGACTTCGTCGTTTCGACCAGAAGAATATTACTGTTTGAAAACTGGGAAGAGAGCTCATTCAGATAGACAGCATTGCATTATAAACAGGCATAAACGCTCGACAAAGACGGGTTCCACACACACAATCACGAATTTGTGGCCACAAGCATTTGAACCCGAAAACTTGGAAGAAGTTCTCATCAGGAAAGAGGTGAAAGACCAGGTTTCGGCATGGCTTATTGGAGCGTTCGAGAAATTACGGAAATTGACAACAAGGAATAAGCTTCTCAATAAAAAGGGTGATATTAGCAATGAATTTCAAGGATTTATTGTTGATGACGAAGACGTTAATGAAACTGTGGATCAACGCGAAGATTTTGTTCCATTGCTCATTGTCTATGGTCCACAAGTTGGCAAGCACACTCTGTTGAAGAAAATCGTAAACCCACCATTTGGGCACCTATTTGAGGTGAATACTGCGGACAATCGCAGCAAGAAAGATGTGTTGGAGCAGCTAACTGAGTTTTCCACCTCGCATTATGTGAAAAATAAAGGCTCAAAGGGTTTAATTCTCTTGGACGACGTTGACGTTCTTTTCAAGGAAAGAGACAAACTGTTCTGGACGGCCGTCGAAAAACTGCTACTAATTTCTAGAAGGCCGATTGCGTTGACTTGCCGCAGTTTGAACAATATCCCGGACAACATTGTGCGACTAGCAGAGGAAGAGTCTTCTCTTTTCTACGTGCCGGAAACGGACATAGAAGATGTTGTGTGTTACATGAGAAAATGTTGTCAAAAACAAAACATTGAGGTCTCCGGTGAAGTTTTGGAACAAATAGTGGCCGATTGCGGTTCAGATATCCGACGATGCCTTCTCCAATTGCAGTGGGTCTGCTCGTCTGATACTATTTGCTTTAAGCTAAACTCGCAAGTGATGCCCATCATCAAAGATTTTAGGCAACAAGACTTTTTCCTTGAACTAGCTTCTGTCGGTGATATTGTCAACGCAATTTCTCGAAATAAGTCACATTTTAGGCCTGACGCGGATCCAACTCTCTCGTGCATAGTCGATCCAAAAGATTTTAGTTTGTTGAGTGACGAAGAAAAGCTGCAAAACGACCATTTAGTGGATTGCCGGAAGGGTTTGCATGACTCCATTCAGCGACCTCAAGAGCCCTTCGAACTAAATATAGGCTCTAATCTTCTTAACAAGACATCTGCCGTAACTGATTTAATGGCTACGCAAACGGATGACCAGTTCTTTAATACCTTTGTGAGCGCAATGTCGACATATCTAAACACCCGCGTTTCAAGCAGACTGCCTTCGGGGATGGATCAGTATGCGTCAGCAAGGGTGACGAGGAATGCAAGAAAAGTGCGAGAAATTTTGAATAGGTTTTCGGGCCATGAAGTTAATGGTGTATATGCGCAAGAGTCGTTTTTAACAGGATTTATGGCGCTAACAACTAGAAACACAATTTTCTCAGAAGTTGGCCCCATCATGAGAGAAATTGCCAAAGAAGATCTTCAGAAAAAGGCTCAAAACAAACAGATTTACGAGGCAGCAATGGCTGGAGTTGATCCGAGGGACGCAAAAGGAGTTATCAAAATGCTTCTTGATAACCATGCCTTTCACCCAATTTGGTTCAATGGAGATCCAAGTGTGGTAATAAACGCATGGGAAACCCCATATATTACATAACACGTTTTACATAATGGCAGGTCTCGACGTAAGTCTGCCTCCTTTGAAATTCGTGAGTGCTCTGTGCTTCATGTCAATGGCCTGTAGAAGACGCCAGGCTTCCTCGATGTGTTTAGGTTTAAGAGGATTGACAACGGTATCTGGACCATCAAAAAGCCTTTTTTTCCTATTTCTGGGCTCGAAATCAAGATCTGGTTGTGCTTGCTGGGATTTGTCCTTTTTACTTTGCAGGATCTCTTCTTTCTTCTTTACTTTCAAAGCGGTCTCGGTTAAAGAACAAACTATTTCGAATGTCAAAAATCCTAAAATGTCAATAACATCATCGTGCGGTTTACCCTCGGTGAGTTGAGATATACCTGACCAATCTCGAAATCTTTTACCTTTTCTGAACGTAAAGCTCGCTTGCCGACAGTCTGACCAATGCACGTATTCCTCTTTTGTCATGTTTCGGGTTCTGTCATCGGCCATTTTCAGTCTCTTCAACGTCGCTAGATTCGCCTCACGTTCGTCTTCGTCCAAATCGTCTGTGTCATCGTTGGTTTCGAGCGGTTGTTCATTAAACATGAATTGCAATTCCCAAGGTAACTTAATCTGCGATTTTTTCACTCGCATCATATTCCCTCCATCTTTGTCGTTTTTCTTTTCTTCATCATCCAATTGTGCTTCTCCCGGATCCACTGCTCCACCGCCTGCGGCAGCTGCACTGTTAGCGTCTTGATCTTTGGCATTTTTACGTAGATCTTTCCACGATAAATAAGTCCGAAGTCGATTGACTTTAGCCTTGTCATGTCGAATCAAAAAAATTACATCGTCCGGTAGAATACTTTTAGCACCCCTCGAATGTGATGTTTTATTCGCTTGCAACAAAATCTCTATTACTTGCCCTCTAACGATATCTTCTATAATACTTGTCGTTTCCACAGGTGGATCGTTGTTCTCACCGGAAACAAACATCATTTGCTGGATTTCCACGCGGTATTTATACTTGTCCATTTCCTGGCTTTCACAAGTTCCAATTAGTGCCCAAGTCTCTTGAAAGTGACGAATTTGCCAGCTCTTATTGTTGTCTTTTCAACCAATCTACGGGACATTAATTAGTTATTGAAATATCATCCGTTAGTCGTTAAAGTTTCACAAACTTGAGGAGAAAGATGGAAAAGGTAATTGAAAATGAGGAACGTATTGACATTGACGTGGAGGTTGAGCTCAATGATTGTTATGTGCGGTTGGAATCATATTTAAGGCCTGAGGGCCAACTCTCAGCGCTTTTAATACTTAACCAGAAAATTGACGAGTCTCTCGGGTTTGAAAAGCTATGGAATGCGTACCATGTGCACGTTTGTGCTGACGGTGGTGCTAATAGACTTTATGAGTACCTTGGCGATGAAATTGTGCGTCAAAAATACATTCCTCATTATATTGTGGGAGATTTGGATTCTGTTAGAAACGAGGTATTGAGTTATTATCGAGAGAAAGGTGCCATTGTGATCCAACAAACGTCCCAGTACGCTACAGATTTTGATAAATGCGTCAAGGTTCTGTCGGCGCATTTTTTCTCAACGAATTTTGCCCATAGCGTTCAAAATTCGTCACAGTTTAACCATGGAATTGACGAAGAACGCGGAATCCTGGATATATACACGGCCGAGCGAGAAAACTGGCATGTTGAAAAAGTGTATTTGCTGGTGCTGAATGCCATTGACGGACGGTTTGACCAGACCATCCATTCAATCACGCAGCTTTATACGCTGGCGCACAGAGATTCATACTATCAAGTGGGTTATCTGACACCGTCAGACCTCATCTTCCTGGTACGTTCGGGTGGATTTACAATCACCTACCGCGAGAAATTCTTAGATCAATGCATCGGAAACTGCGGCATCTTACCTTTGGGATGCCCGACAACCGTTTTGAAGACTTTGGGGCTTAAATGGGATGTGGAAAATTGGTCGACAAGTATCGAATCCGGAAAAGTCAGCAGTAGTAACAGGTTTGTGGGTAGAGATCGTTGCTATTTAGACGTGCAAAAACCAGTAGTTATGAACGTTGAACTAAATTTGAAGAAACTGCTGAGTTATGAATTTTGAAGGGCACCGTTTCCCATGGACCTATAAAGATTACTACCGTAATGGAAGAACTTTATTTATATGACAGGGCTTATAGATTCAGGTAAATCGTTGTTCGTTACTTTTCGGCGCGCGCTTTTCGATCGTCGGCTCTTCAATTTAAAGCAGTGTTATTTGCACAACGAATCGCGCGCTGGCAGTGCCCTGTTCTTCTAGCAAAAGAAGCCTTAAAAAAGACATGCAACTAAGGTAGCGGTCGGTTTACATCTTCGATTAACTAATTAATCTGAAACACTAGTCAAGAACTTCGAGCTACATGTAATTCACAAATCCAGCTCAAAAATGAAATGAATACCAAAAAGCATATGAAATGGGTACATTCGATTTGATGCTGTTGATACCGGACTAGAGTCAATTTATTTAGGTCCTTCTATGGCGCTTTTTGTTGCAAAATCTATTGAATACGCGCGAGTGGTTTAGTGGTAAAATCCAAGTTTCCCATACTTGGGCCCCGGGTTCGATTCCCGGCTCGCGCAAATTTTTTATTTTTAACAGGACCTTCTTTTTTGTCTTCCTTCAAAAGATAGCCTCAAGCAGCAGTAAGAATATGCATAAGACTTCTATGGTCGAGCTATATAAAGGAGGATTACATATGCTATTTTGAGATTATGAATCCAAGAGTAAAAAGCCGCTTTCTTCTTTTTATATTTGACCGAATTGCTTTAATAAAGCCTCGCCCAAATGGCCAGGAGACTCAACAACAGCAACACCAGCTTCTCTTAAGGCCTTTTTCTTTGACTCAGCGTCTGTACCCGAACCTTCAACAATGGCACCGGAATGACCCATTCTGACACCCTTCATTTGGCCGGCGACCGTTCCGGCGATGAAAGAAGCAACGGGCATAGGCTTGTCGCGAGTCAAATTGAACTCTTTCAAGAACTCAGCGGCTTCGATCTCGGCTTTACCACCGATTTCACCCAACATAACAATACCCTCTGTAGCAGGATCCTCCATGAAGTATTTGAGCGCGTCGATGAAGTCTGTGCCTGGGAAAGCGTCACCGCCCATTCCGATAACTAAAGACTGACCTAGACCCGTGATGGTGGTTTGTTGCACGGCCTCGTAGGTCAAAGTTCCGGATTTGGACACAATACCAATTTTGCCAGGCTTGAAGATTTTGCTAGGTTGAATGCCGATACGCACGCGGGCCTCGGGGGCCATTATACCGGGACAGTTGGGACCCACGAACCGGGTCTTGTTCTGAGACTTGACCATCTCGGCGACGTACAGCATGTCGTGTTGCGGAATTCCCTCCGTGATGCACACTGCGAGTGGGATCTCGGACTCAATGGCCTCTTGAATCGCCTGAGCGGCGATTGGAGGTGGGACAAAGATCCCTGACGCAGTGGCACCCGTTTCTTTGACCGCTTCTGCGACACTAGCGAAAACGGGCTGGCCCAAATGTGTTTGGCCAGCTTTCTTGGGGTTTGTGCCACCGACGATGTTAGTACCGTATTCTTGCGACAATTTCGAGTGGAAAGTGGCCTGTCTGCCGGTGAAGCCCTGAATGATCACCTTGGTGTCTTTTGTGAGACGCAGGTTCTTGATTGTCGCGTCGTAGGGGGTTGATTCTCGTGTAAAGAACCGCTGAAACACGGTTCTCCTGATAGCAGCCGTTCTTAGCATCTTGATCCTGAATCGGCGTTTTGTCTGGGTGTCAGCCTTGCTTCGAATGCACAGAAGGTATAAACTGCGAGATCTGCGACTGTAAAGAGACTCTCAAAGAAGCGCAATTGACACAAGAGGCAGACTGGCTGTTATGCGATCTACTGGTATTGCGGGGAAACTTTTTCGTTGTCCTTTATATACTCGATAACTTTTATTAAGGCACGAGGTAGCTATATACGGGGAGATCTTCCTCGACAGGACGAATTCATTTCTCTTAAAGTCACATCCACCTGGAAAGTACCATGTATACTATGATGCCGTTTTGAGTATCCGCAAAGAGGTTCAGTCTTTTTCTTATTTCAAAAAAAAACGTAATGGTCCATTCAAGCCATTCAAGCCATACTTAATATTAACTGTAAACCAGGCAGTCTATTTTCCTCCTAGAGTGATGAGACGCCAGCTTATGTCAATCCACCTGGCAAGCTGTGAACTCACCTTTTGATTCTCCCTTCGCAGCTCCAAGCTAGTAGACAAACTGTCGCAGTAACTAAAACTAAGTAAAACCTAGTTGGGATGACATTTACCCGGACAGAAGGAGTTATAAAAAAGAATGCGCAAGCCCGGAATCGAACCGGGGGCCCATCGATGGCAACGATGGATTTTACCACTAAACCACTTGCGCTTGTTAATGATACGCGTACCATCCTCTTAGTATCAGGGGAAGCAACTCAGGGAATGAACTCCAAAGTACCGTTAAACTCTCCATGGAAGCCCATAAAACTGAAATATAATCGCCATTTGGAAGCCACGCGCTTCCTGGTTTAAATATTCGTGTTTCTCTTTTTTTGGCACCGCAGGTTGAATGCAACATGTGGAAAACCCAATGTAATAATCTCGGTGAAAAACATAAATTTTCTGGATGTCAAACGATATTTTCAAAAAAGCAAAGCAATCATTAGGTAGCTCACGTAGCACTATGAGACCAACTGAATATGATATTTATTTAAAATATTAAAGTTCGTCTAGACTTTCGATCTCCCATCATCTTAGAGTCCTTTTGCTTGCTTTGCTGGCTTGGCTCATCGCTATACGCTCCTTTCGGATGGTACATCGTGGGGGACGTGATAATCACATGGGTTTGCTGGTGAGGCGGAAGCAGGCAGAAAAAAATTAATCTTGACCCCTCTTCCCCGGATCTGGTGGCACCAACAGGGCTAAGTGACAGCTGTATAGATTGACAGACCAACCAACAGCTATGGAGGTCTACATCCGTTTCAATGACGATTGTGAGAGCGATTACACTTTCCAGGTAGAAAAGGGGGACACTCTTAAGACCAAAATCCTGAGAATATTTGACGAAAATGAAGGGCTATCCAGGTTCATGGTGTTGAAGCCGTCCATCTTCTACAAGGATACACCTGTGGGACTGTACAAGTCGATGCACCCTGGGTTTTTGACCGAAAACGGGTGTCTCATTTTCCATTACGACGCGGACAAAAAAGAGTATTTGAAGGAACTGGACGTGAAAAACGAAATCATGGATCAATTGTGGCCCGGCCAATTGGTGCTCCCCAAATGGGAACTGAACATGACCGCGATCCTCACATATGCCCTCATTATGCTGGCGTGGCTTTACACCGATTTGCCAGACGCGATATCGCCGACTCCCGGAATATGCCTGACAAATCAGGTCTCCAAGCGGCTCTTGAAAGTGGCAGACTCCCTAGGGTACCACGCAATTGCGGCGAAGCTGAACGAAGAGATCCAGGTGAACTCTGCCGGTCTCATCGCGCAGTGGCTTTTCTTCACGCTGCATATTCTAAAGGTCACGGTCATCACGCTCGTTTTCTACACGGGTCTCGCGAATCCGGTCGCGCTGAACCCATGGAAATTTTACCGGACCCGGAAAGTCGTGGTCGACAAGGACAGCAACCAGTTGAAAGACACTTTGCGCAAGATCGGGTGGGTCGGCGCCAAGAAGGCCACCTACGACGACTACCGTGACACTTACTACAACTACGAAATCGAAAAGGCGGGCGGACTTGTTCCGGCCTACAAGAGCGGCGCCATGCAAGCGGCCGCGAACCCAGGACTTGCACTGCTTCCAGGCGAAGGCTTCCAGACTCCGCTAGACGCCCGCTTCACGGGATCCACTTTCAAGACAATGGAGGAGTCGCGCAAGTTCGTGTTAAGTGAGGAGTATTTTGTTCAACTGGAGAAAGACCTGAAGGCCAACATTGGCAAATGCGACGGTGAGGTGCCCAAGATCAACTCCGAGATCCGCCGTTTCAGAAGATACGGTCTGTTCGAATGCGGGCCCGAGCTGGCCAAACTTGTGGCACTCAGAAAGGAAGTTGCACCTGAACCACCTTCTGCCTCCGCGGCCGATGCGAAGGAGAAGAAGGCACAGTGAACGTTGCGCTCACAGTTCTTTGTAGCAGTATCGAAGCTGTATATTTCTGAGGTTTTGACATTTGATAGTTTTGCTATTAAAAATAGGATACAAACAAAATCTGATTCGTAAAAGTCGTAGAGAACATTACATAGCTGTGGCCAATTTTGCCCGCTAGCGCACGCGAACTGGCTGGTACTTCATTTTTCTCCTTTTTCTTAGTATCGCAGGATAATGTAAAGCGCGTGCACGATACCGGGGATATAACCTAAACATGTCAAAAGTATGTTGATGAGCAAATCGCACGTGCAACCCACTTCGAAGAAAACACCAAGTGGGGGCAGGATAACAGCCGCTATGATCTTAATAATATCGCTGCAAGTAAAGGCCATTGTGTCGTGTTTGGGGAGGAGTGTTGTTGGTTATCGATTGATTCTATCTCTGAAGGTGAGTAGTCGATTAGTTGTCTTAGTTTTAAGGGTTCAGTTAACCCTTTACCCTTACTTCTTTAGCCTATTTATAGTCTCAAAGGCTTTGAGATCTTGTGTCACAAGTCCGTTCTTTTTGCTCTCGTGTAGCGGCAATGTTGCTCCGGACGGAATTCCTTGTGAAATTAAGGTGAAACTCTTCGCCGATTCGATGATGCCTGTCATCGCTCACTCGCACGGCTGTGACATCGAGAATCTGGCGTAATACGAAAGCAAAGCAACACAAACGGGGCCTGAATGCGGGGCTTTGCAAGACTTTACGTGGCGTTACCGGGTTTAGCGCTAAACTTGGCAAAAAGAAATAGAAAAAAGCAAACTCCGTTCCGTACGGGACTCGAACCCGCAGTCTTCTCCTTAGGAGGGAGACGCGTTACCATTACGCCAACGGAACTTGTTTCTGATTTGGGCGAATTAAAATTGGTATTTAAGGAAAGGGCCTCGATATCACAAGCTGCTGTAGACGTAATTATTGCATGTAAGACATTCCTGGACCGTTATCGGCGCGAGACGTAGCGATAACTACGAGACTGGAACAGCCCAGAACACAGGGTTGCTGGGTGTATCCCCACCCAAAGAGTGAACGTCAAAGTGATTAGTATTAGATTGCTATGTAAATTGATTGGTATGCTGTACGCGAGACATGAAGTTCTGGTAGTCTTCGTTCTCTATGTGCTGGCGCCTGTCCAGCACACTTGTAGACCGCTGCGGGTAACTGTGCTCATCGGGTTGTTCAACAAATCGACCGCCAAAGTACGCCTGTTCCGGGGTATAGACGTGGTTGGACGCAACGTGGGCGGGCCCAACGTGAGCACGCCCGGTATGGGCTATGGTGTCGAAATTTAACGACGCGGTGTCTAGTGCGGGTGTTGGAGGCGGTCTTGGGCGCTGTAGCGGTGTCGTTGTGGGTTCGAGCGGGAAACTTTCTGCGATGGCATTGGTGGGGGCATTTGCGCCGAAGTGTACGCTGGGCAGCGTTCTTGAAGAGATCGCAGATACGAGCGTCTCGGTGTGGGTCAACTTTTTCGGCACAAGCTCTTGCGAATCCAGTCGCTGGCCCACCACAACCGGTCTTTCCCTGCCAGCGCCCAAGGCTCTGATCGCGGACGTGGGCTGCAGCGCGTCTTTTTCGTAGTCGAGAGACAGCTCTTTGCTTTCGCCGCTGAACTCCCGGCTCTCGAACACAGATTCGTCGCCATTGGCAGCGAGTTTTGGACCGTATGGATTGTTGGGAATGAGTTTCGCAGCCTCGAGATCGTCGTCGCGCAGTAGCGAAACGGCAGAAGGTACGCCGCCCGCAAACGTTTTGGCCAAACTGCGCTTGTTTTCGTATTTCTTGACCAGCTGGTCGACTCTGTCGCTCACAGTGACGCACACGTACTCTTTGAGACCGCCATACTTGCGTTCGTTGAAGATGTGGTAGTAGACGAAAATGGAGCAGACGCAGGCCAGGATGAGTTTGGAAATGAAAAACGCCCAAACGACGAACGAGAAAAGCATGAACGACAAAATCACGGCTTCTTCGCGGTTCGTCTTAGCAATGGTCTCGATCTTGGCAATGAGCCCGCTCAAGTTCTCCAGTTTGCCCATATCGCTGCCGCTGTTGACCGCGATGAGCACGGACCACAGCGTCAGCCCGTTGATCACCTGCCGAGGCGTATCTGCGAAAAGCAGTCGCAGGCAGTCCTTGAGCTCGAAAAACGTGAAAAACGCGGCCCGCTGGTACGTGCCCTTGGGCGTAATCCTGTTGTAGATGCAAAACTTGTCGTACTGCGTCAGCGAGTAGACGGCTCTCGAAAAATTGTTGACGTACGTCAGCGAGATGTTTCGTGTCCGGTAGATCGCGATTCCGCGCGCCACTTCCCAGATCATAAGCACCACGGACGCCAGGATGCACGCGCTGAACAGCCACTTCGAGATCCGGAACGGAATGTACGGCTGGATGATGTTGTTGGACCAGGTATTGAATGCCAGCAGCTTGACGCACGTGTAAACGTCAGAGACAAAAAGAAGAGCTTTCAACAGACTCAGAAACACCACGAAAAACGCAAAGTTCACCAACGTCGAAAACTTGTAGTTCTTGAACAACGACGTGTCGAGCGCTTCGAACGACTTGGCGTTGATCGACAGCTTCCAATCGTTGTTGAACATCTTGAGCTGGAAGTACTGTAGTCCCTCGGTTTCTTTGATAATGATGACACAATTTTTCACTACTATCAAGCTCTACATAAATAAATGCTCCACCTTGAGTCGTCAACGCCTCGATTCTAGCCCAGCTGTGTTGGCCACTTTTCGAACGGTTTTTCTCGAATCTTATCTGAAACGCATCGACATCCGACACGTTCTTTTTTTTGCCATACGTACACCATACGACGCATACAAAACCATACACGGTACTGTCGGTTCTTGATGAAACGCGAAAAAAACGTACACGAAACTATACACGAAACAACATTACACCAGACACGCACTCCGCCACTTCCATCATTTTTGCCACAATTTTCTTACTCGTTTGAGAACCGTTTAGCTTGATAATCCTGCCATTTAGTGGACGTTTGTGCCCGCCTTCTGGGTCTGTTTCAACCTCTTTTTCACATACACGCCGAGCAAGAAACCCAACCCAAACCCGCCTTCCGGCGTGGGAATTTTACCCTTTTTCCATATGTTTTTTTTTCTTATTTTTTTTTTGCGACGTTAAAACGTCGAGAAACATTTCAAGAGTTTATATAAAAGCGGATTTGCCAGACAGAAACAGGGAGGTGCGGTTAGTGTCCCTTATGCTTGTAAGCTAAACAAACGAATGCGATAATAGACAATGCAGCGGCTAATGTCGCGGTGCTGGTGAAGGGATTGAGCTATAAAAATGCTGCACCCCGTCTGTTTACCCGCTCCGATTCACCGTTTCTCCTTGGCTTTTTAGTGCTTAACCCTTGTGTGCTTGAAAAAAGAGCCGCTGAGTGGTACCTACCGGTGGCGACCCGCCGGAGGGTTCAAGATTTAGGGGGGATGGGGGAGCCAAAAAGGGTCATTTGCCACGAGCAAATCGTGATCTAAGAATCGGAGATTCGGATTTTGCGGAACGCACTTCTCACGAGACGAAAAATGCGGGGTAAAGGTGTATGGGTGAAATTGGTTAAGTCATGTGTTACGAGTTGTGGTTGGATCGTAGAGTCACGCGACCATCTTGCTTTATACGACTAATGCGACGGCTACAAAAAGAAACTGGTGTGGGGGGCGGAAAAAAGCTACGGAGCATCACATGATGCTTTTATATGGTGCTTTCACATGTAAGCCTGCTTGGAGAAAAACCGTTTTCGAGGATTTTTTAAGCCCAAAGGTCAAAGGTCCGAAATCTTTAGGTTGTGCGGACTTTTTACATGCAACAGAAATTTTGGATGCTACAAGACTCGAGAGCATTTTACCCCGAATTTCTCGCTTAAAAAGCCTCAGGTTTGGTCATCCGAAGGCAAGAACGAACTAGAAAGGGTTCAGGGTTGGAAGCGATATTTGACGGTAAGAACCTTTGACGCAGATTCCCCGCCTCCCCCCTTCCGTCCCTTCCGCGAGCTTTGCAAGCGCTGTCCAGAGAGAGTCAAGGGAAAAACATCATGGGGTTTCAGGACAAACCATTACAGGGCCATGCACAGTCTGCAGGGCAGGCGCGCGGTGACAACTATGCAGAGCTTTCGAGGCCAGTTCGCAGACCCGACTACGGCATGGGCCCTCTCCCATCGTATATGCCTCCCCACAGTGCCCCCGGCGCCCCCGGTGTTGGCTGGCCCTATGTCAACCATGGCCAATGGAGAGAATTGCCAACTGAAGGACCTCATGTGGGTGCAGGAAACTCCAGGGGCAACCCTAGAGGGAACCCTCTTACTGGACCAGCTGCAAACGTGAACTATAATATACCTCCAGGTGGGAGCGGCCCACATTTTGGTGGTGCAAGTGCAAACTTCCACGGCGGGATACCGAGCACAACAATGGGACCCATGTCCCAGAATTTACACAACGCCGGGTTTCTACCACCGGCAACCGACTCATACGCCACCGCGAAGGAACGGAAACGGAAATCTGCGTCTGTCAAAGAGGCTGCAAGTGTTGATTCCAAGGCGCTGAAACAACCGAAAAAGATATCGTGCACGCCTTGCAGAACACGTAAGATCAAATGCGATGGCGTCAAACCTATCTGCGGCTCCTGTAGTAAAAAAGGTCTTACCCCTGAACTCTGCATCTACGATAATTCGCCTTGGGTGAGTACCGTGGTAAAGGAAAAACAGTTAACCGCCCAGATACAAGAGTTGAAAGATCAGAATGAGACCCTGTCGCGTGAGATGCAGGCCATTACAAGCGCGAAAATTCAATTGCAAGAAGAGAACGTAAAACTGCGGGCGGCTCTTCAGAAAAGTGACAACTCTGATGAACCTGATTCCTTTTCAGCAGAGAGTGCCACGGCCGGTGATCTCGCGTCAAGCTTCCCTTGTAAGGAGAAATTCAATGTATTGCAGAAATTTGACGCAAGCAGTGGTTTTGAAGCGACAGTTCATAAGCTGGTAGGTCCTACGAGCTGGAGAGCCGCTTTATCAGTTGACAAAAAAATGCGGTATATCTTTGATCAAATTTCTAAATCTGTCGAGGTTAATATGCAGCAGGCCCAAAATGGCGAAGTTATTGCACTAGCTAATCGAAATGAGGTCGTGATACCGAGCAAATCGGGCTTGCTATTGAATGTCATCAAGGACCGAGATGGTCCCACTGAGGCTCATCGTGAATTGGTGTCTCGTATATGTCAAAAGTTGCCCAGTCCGATTGCGATGCGATTGCATATTGAGAATTTTTTTTGTGGGATAGCTTGCCAACTGTGTCCAGGTTCGATGCTCAAAAGTGAAATTCTTGGCGACTCCAAAGAAATTTTTGGAATCGATTTGCTTGACCCACTTTTGGAAAGTTACGGCCAGACCAAGACTTATGAGGTGCTAGATGTTGACAATGAGCTCGCATACTGCAAAGCTGCGCGAATGTTGATGATTGTCAAGATGTCGCTTCTATTTGGCTTGAATAAATTTCGACACTCGTCAGATGCTCAGAATTTGACTGCGCGTTTCCCGTTTTTGTCCAGCAGTACCGCGATCAAAAAATGTTTTGCGTCCTACAAAGACAGTGCAGATGATTACAATCTGCTCACAATAACAAACGTGTTCCTATTCTTGGGAAAGGCACGAACAGTTCCTAATCTACCTGCTATTAATGCCTTGCTTTTGTTGTATCTGTACAGCCTTTACGGTCCAAATTTCAGCAATGAGCATTTTAACGATGCAAGTTCTTCCGTATTAGGCCTGGCATGCCATATGGCCATTCAGCTTGGATTTCACAAAGACATTGATCTGCTATACAAAGATGGATCGGACGAGCTCAGGTCAAAGCTTAAGTCAACTAGGCTCATATTACTGGGATACGATGGCAGGCGAAGCCTGGTCACTGGCCTGCCGTTGCTTATAAATGAATCTTACTTGAGCTCTTATTCAACTGATCCAAATTTATCACCTGAAAACCCAAGTCTTGCGGACAAGGAAAAAGCACTTATCGCCGAAAGCGTCGGTCTCAGCAGAAAAATCATGGACGAAATATCTGGGAGAGATAATGAGACCAGACTCAATTTGAAATTGCAAATAAACAGATTGGCTCAGCATCAGAAAAAGTTTTCACTCTCAAGTCTAAGTGAGCATTTAAGAATTTTGAATAAGGATCGTTTGAGTGAAGGGGATATTTATTACCATTTGCGACAAATCAAAAATTTCCTCCACATTTATGCGCTGCAACAGTCCATGCATTTGATGATCTACTTGACTTATGACTGTTGTGGCGGTGTGGCTAATGCAGAACATAAGCTCACTTACTACCTTCGGACTGTTCGTCTGTCTGTTTTGTTACTTCTTTCCGTTGTTGAGGTTGGGAAAACAACTTCTAAAATTTGCCGTGTCTACAATTTGAACATGGGCCGGCTGTACTATATCATTCCTGCCATGAAAGAATGTGAAATCCGTGCCCTCCTCTTCATGCTTTCCATTACCTTGAAGGACTTATATCACTTGAAGAATCACCATCACGACAACACCCGTCCCAAATCTGACGATAGCTATAACGGACTTACAGCGTTCCACTTGACACTTGAACAACTGGAAGCTCACTGTCTTCGAGAAGATACGGATTCGCTTGATATTATACGTCTCATTTTTTCGAAAGAACATACGTTCTCGACTTTAAAATTTCTTTCCGCTTGCTTGGAATCTATCTGGAGCTGCGATCGGGAGGTAACAGAGGCCAATTCCGAATATTCAATGGGACTAAAAGTTACGCATACCATGTTTATGACTTTTGTCCAAGTTTTGCAGGACTTTCAGCTGAGCTCCGAAAGGGAAACAATACCGAGAATCTCTCGGGATCGTGAAGATACTTGTGCAGAGTGTTCTAAGGAGGAAACTGGAAAGCAGAAAGAAAGCAAGGACTGCAGAACGGGATCAGCGGATGTGGTCTTGAAATCTGAGGCCGGCGATCCTCCTAGCCATCGAAGCTCTCCGCTTGTTTCTTCCCTAAGCGAACCCCCAATTGTGTCAGTTAAATTGGGCCCGGTGCGAGATTTGACATCTGGTGGCCATGTGCCCATGCCGCCAGAGTCCCCGCCTGCATTTCACTTTCAAAATGAGAACGACGGTTCTCTTGAAAGATTACCACCGAATTCCTTGATTCCTGATGACTCGGAAAAGTTTATTGGATCTGCTTTCAGTCCAGCAGATTTTCTGTTCGATCAGGTCGACAATCTCCTCACTCTTGATAGCGAAACTTTCGATCTGAAGTTCAAAAACGATTTGAACTGACCTGGGGCACGAAAGATGTCAAATGTAATGAAATAGAAATACGTAGGGCGTTGTAAAATTAATTTCTCAAATATAGATACAGGGCCTCCAAACCTCGAAGGATATTCCGAGGGTTTGGTTGCGTTAGGTCAGAACCATGATCAACACAGTTTTACTTAACGTGAAATTAGGTAGCTCAACATGCAAGAATCGTCGACTCGAACATTCGAATGCATTTAATTTCTTGCAGAACTTATCACCATATTGCGAATTTCATACATGAAATTTTTGCTTTGCGGATCAGGAAGCTTTTGGTCGTTATTCGTGGACGTGACGTCAGGGTCATCCAAAATGAACCAACCTCCCACCTTCTTGCTCCATCGATTTTCCTCATGATAGAACTTTTCCAAGGTACGAGAGTCAATTTGAAATGTGAAATCATAAGGGGTGGTTGAGAGTGAATGGAATCTGGTTGTAGCAGTTGACGAAAATCTTTTCTTGGTTGGATCGCGATGAGAACTTTGCGGAATCATCGCCGTAGCACTACGTTGAGGACCGCCGTCGAGTGGTATAGTGACGGGTATATAGTCTGGAATATCGGCAAAGGGATCTTCTTCTTGCCCGTCAACGCGAAGCCACTGAAGGTTCTGCGCGTCAAACATCATCTTTCCAACTATTTTAGGGTTTGATTGACGTTTGGCATCTGAAATTCTTGCTCGAGATCCTGAGGAATATGGCAGTTTCTTGTCTGTTATTACAATGGCCTTTTTCTCGGCGGTGTCAACATCACGAAATCTCAACAAGGATTGCTCATTGCCTTCCCAAGTCCGTTTTTCTGGATTGTATATCATTTTCCCCTTCTTGATGGGCGTATTTTGATCAATTTCTTGCTTTATAGTCTTTAGCCTGTGATTCACAGATTCTCGGTTCTTTCGATACGATCCAGATTCTCGTGCCTTGCGTCTTTGTTGTTCTTTGAAATGATTGAGATTCGAAGGGTTTACCCAATCTTTGTGTCTTGAGTGAAGCTGGGGGGTCAAAAGCGTTTCATCAGTTGTTATCGTGTATTGCCTGGGAGAAATGGGTTTTAGTTGGGGCTCTCGATTCAAGAACTGAGGTTGTAACATATTTTTCTCAAACTTGAAATCGTCCTCAAAATCTTCCTCATAATTGTTGTCTTCATATTCTTCATTAATTATACCTTCGCGCGATAACAACGGCATCGATTTCTTGTACCTCAGATTCGTGGGCGCCGGCCTTTCCCAGTTGACACGCAAGTTGGAGGCAGACCTGCTGTTTCCAATACCACGGCGTGAAACGCGCTCAAAAGATTTCGGCATTCGTATCGATTTTTTCAAACTCACGTTCGGTTGTTTCGCGTTTTTGTCCAATTTCAACGTCGGTATCTCTGAACTCTTCCTAGCCCGCAAAGTCAAATTCTGATCAAACTGGTCAGCCAACTCATCAATGTTATCGCCATTTTCCTCAGCGAAAGCGTTTAAACCTCCCATTCCCGTTTTCTTCTCATTACTTCTTTTCCTTCCGTCAAAATGTGCTTTGATGATGTCTTGATATTCATCCTTGTCGTGAAATTCCTCGAACTCGTCTAAAAAATTCTTACCTTCTTCATCAGCATCGTCACTCTCCGTATGTGTAGAGTATCTGTTCCCATTCCCCGAGAATGTAGTACTTTCGGAGCTGGTAGTCGATGGCGGAGGCATTTGTTTACGCAACGGAGAAGATTGATTGTAGCCATTTTTATATCTATTGATCGGGCTTAAAGTCGTTTCAATGTCCTCAAAAGAAGTTTCGGGAATATCATCATTTGGACTGGGACGTATTGACATTTCTAAAGGTGTCAAAGCCTTGCTTTTGACCCTTTTAGCTTGACGGTTTTGTCTATAGTTGTATTTGATTTCTTGTATTTTTTGTTGATATTAATTTCTCAAGAAATAGAGAACCTGGTTTCATGGACAGGTATATATACCCATTGAGCAGCTAAATCGAAAGGTTCAAACCGATACAGTAGGCCCCGATGGCAGGAAATGATGCCAACATACCAGGGAATCCATTGGACAGGATTAGTGATCGAAAAAGGAGCCTTCGGAATGCACTTGCAGAGCTTGATATTGGATTTTTGAGAGACAATGCGGCTTGGGCAGAAGCTTATAAAACCATGGACTGGTCGAAAATTGAATGCGTCGATCAGTTGGTCAAAAGTACGGAGCAAATTGTGTTGAAGTATCCGAAACCGGTGGATCCCATCAAAAAGGCCATCTCGAGTGTTTTTGAAGAAGTATTACTGCGGTATCCGCTATTTTTCGGGTATTGGCGAAGATACACGGCTGTAGAATATCAGCTTAACGGGATAGAGAGCTCCATAGAGGTTTTATCAAACGCTGTGGAGAGTTTTCCTAGCTCCGTCGAGATTTGGTGCGATTATCTCAGCGTTTTGATGGCGAACAGGTCCGAGAAAGTGGACATGATAAAAATTAATTTCGAAATAGCAAGAACACATGTTGGATGGCATTTCCTTTCACATCCGTTTTGGGACAAGTACATTCAGTTTGAGACTAAAAGAGAGTGTTGGCCGGAACTGAACGAAATCTACAGAGCGGTGTGCAAAATACCACTTCATCAGTATGCCAGGTACTACACTGCGTATAAAAGTTTCTTAGAACAGCATTCAGAGCTTGCGTCTCATGAAATAGAAGACATTTTCCCGCGGACGCAGCGATTGGTGGCCAAAGTTTGGCCCTTTGAGTCCAAAATAAGTAAACCATTTTTTGACCTGACACCAGTTACTCAGACGGATCTTGAAAATTGGAATAATTACTTAAATTCGGTGATTTCCAGCGATAGTTTACCAAAAGAGGCAGCTGAAATGCTGTTCGAAAGATGTCTCGTGCCTTGCCAGTATCATGAACATTTTTGGAAACGCTATGCCAAATGGATGAATAATCACAGCGATTTCGAACACATAGTGGAAACTTTCAAACGGGGTTCCAAAGCTTTGCCTGACCACTGTTTGTCTTTTAGGCGAGACTTCATAAAATATCTTGACGCCCAACTAAATGAGGAGGACGTTTCCCGAAAATCTCAGGTTCTCTATGAAGAGCTTATCGAATACGCAGCCTACTGGCCAAGACGCTCAGAGCTGGTTCATGAATACATTAATTGCAGAAAAAGAACAGACTTTACCTCTTCTCTTGACGAAGACGATCAACAAATTTTAAAGCAGCAAACTGCATATACAAATTATCTCCATGTCAACATCAACGCATTTTTTGCCAAGAACTCTGAGGGAGATATTCAGTTAGAGCGACTCCTAGATGCAGATTCTATATCGGTTCTCATTGTAGAGCTTATCAAAATGACGTTTTTCACTCTCAAGAACAATATTCAAACCAGAAAATTCTTTAACGAATTCAGAAGAGAGCCCCAGTTAAAAAACTCCGTTGCATTCTGGTTAATCTATTATAAGGTCCTCAAAGTAACACGAGCCTTTGAAGAGCTAGAGGCTTTCGTGGACGAATTGGGCAACAAAATATTTTTACCAACCCTTGTGATTAATGACATTTTAAAGGATTTGCAGTCATTTTTCCTTACAAATCTAAATTTCCGTTCTTACGACAATGCAACCAGTCGCAGTAAATACTCCAGGACAATTGATCCAATTATAGAGCTGGAATTCAAATTGAACGATCCACAGTGGGTAAAAGCTAAATTGAATGAGTCAAAACTTAACGACATTAAAGAAAGCGGACACCCGGGAATAATTATAGAAAGGCCTGAAATCAGCAATTCCATAGTAGAGCTCAATTCAGCCTTCTTCAATAATTGTGCTCATTCATTGCCAAGTTTCCGTAATTTAGAGAAAGTGACCAAACCACCTGCATATGTTAATCATTTCAAAAGTGATTATTTGGTACCAAAATAACTGAGCATAGCATCGTCATTCAATCACGTTACTCCTTTCTGTATTGCAGGATCAAAAAGAATCGCTTTGTCTTCCAATGATCGTAACTCCCTTACGATACACTGCTTTTGATGTCACTAAATTATCACCGAAAACTTCTAAAATCTTCAGCTTTTCATTCTGTTTGCATATGAGATGCACCAGACCGTCGTCAACACAGCCAAGGAAGCCTAAATTGAGATTCTCAAGATTAGGGCAATGCATCGACGAAAAGCTTTCCTTTGTCAAACGCTTGACCGAGTTTAAATTCAGGGTCACCAAGCTTTGTTGAGCTTTGTTGAGAAATAGCTCGCCCAAAGCCATATCACTTAATTTTGAACATCTTTTAAAATTGCATTCGACGAGATGCGGTAATGAAACTTTGCTTAGAAAATTTACCATGCCACCATCCGTTATTTGATCAAGTCCCTCTAATTCTAGTGTTTCAAGTTGGCTGCTGTGCCCACTTTCTCCCAGAAAAGCAGACAGGCCATTTATCAAAAAATCATCTGTTAATGCAGAGCAACCATTTAGGGAAAGACCTTTTAAAGAATTTCCTACCTGTCCTAAAATATTAATCAACACCTCATCGATAATGTTCCCTATCGTGCTAGGATATTGAAGTGTCAAGTATTCAAACTGAGCGTTTGTCAAATATTGAGAAATGAGGCAATAGTCCGAAAGAGCGTCCAGCCTAGATAATTTCAGAGATGTCAAATCTGACCCACAGTTTCGCAGTAGGCTGTTAATACACTGATCTGTAAATCGGTGAGTGTTAGAAATGTGAAATCTCTTAAGTCTACCCTTCATCTTTCCAAAAAAGGTGTCCCACGTATGCTCGTTGATCAGGAAGGGACCGTCCAAATAAAGGCTGGTTAACTTAGGTAATTTATCGGCAATGTATAAGAGTGCTTCGTTGTTTAACTGGCCACACATTTGGAGCGAAAGATGTGACAAATCTGGGGCAAAAATGGCGAGCAGTTTGTAACCTTCGTAAGAAATTCTTGAACAGTCACTAAATGTCAACTCAGTCAACTGCGTGCGGAGAAATAATTGAAGGGTTCGATCATTCAGCGCTCGATTTTTTGAGAGAGTTCTAGCCAACTTGTTTAAATTTCCCGTGGAGATCCCACCCAAGCTTTCACGGATGCTGTTCGAAAAGGTCTCGCTGTTTGCTTGACTTCCCCTTTGTAGCTTTGAAATGTTGGCACTTATTTGACTGATGCACATATCTTGCAAAGTAGAAACACTTCGAGTTTTACGATCCAGAAGGTTTGCTGCCTTCTTCTTCTTTCGCTTCCTTTGCAAAAGCTTCTGCTTGCTTTTCTTAGCTCTTTCAGCTCTTTCAGCTTCAGTTAAATGGGGTGCCGGTGTTTCAGGTACCGTTCTAGACCCCGTCGCGTCGTCTTCGTACTCCTCCTCATCGCTATCGCTGACATGCCTGGTTCGCCTCAATCTTTTCAGCCGGTCAGCGGGAAGTTCAACATCCTCGTCGTCTTCACTCACGGAGTCGATGTCTAGTGCGACAGAAGGGCTTCCATCTTCACTGCCAACAGCTGATTTTTCATCGGTTTCTGATAAATTATCTAGCTTGCTAGCTTCTTTCCCCTCCTGACTTTTGAGCCACCGCTGCCGAATAGTTTCGGCATCGATACCTTGATCCCTCAAAAACTGCGTTAACGCAGAGTTGGGTCCTCGAACTTGGTTTTGTTCGCCATCTTGAACTGCTTTGGGTTTTCTACGTGCACGTGGCATTCCACTGAGATATAAACCGTGGGCAAGGAGTCCGAAACTGTCGTCTTCAACTTCAGTTCATAGCCTTTCATAGATGTGCCAAAGAACCCTAGTTGATTTTCTTAATCAGTAAAACTTGAAATTAAATTAAAAAAGTAAGTGCGCAAGCCCGGAATCGAACCGGGGGCCCATCGATGGCAACGATGGATTTTACCACTAAACCACTTGCGCCGACTGCTGCGACTTTGGAAGACTAATTACTATATGTCGGAAACGCAATACCACAGGCAAGATCACCTTGTTAAAGAGCACATTAAAGACCCGAACGAAGCCTTAAATAAGGATGTTAATCAACAGTGAATACTTGTAGATTCTGGTAGAACTATAAGATGCAATGGGATAATATCGGATCGTTTTTGTCATTGCAGGCATTGGACTCGAGGCTGAAGCCTCGTAGCGACAATAAACGGCGTCAAAAGATGATCATGAGCGCCGGAAGGCCTTTGTGGAATACTGTAGAGTTCAAGTTCTATTACGTGGCGTTTCTAATTGTGGTACCTTTGATGATAAAGTCAGCGATGTCTGCCAGCAATGAGACGAGTCCTAACTATTACAGATTTGAGGGACTTCTGAGTCCCGGGTGGATTTTTGGGCGAAAAGTCGATAATAGTGACAGCCAGTACCGATTTTTCCGAGATAACTTACCGCTGTTAATTGGCTTAGTCGTTATGCACACTTCATTAAAGCGAGTTTGTCTTTTTGCATTTAAGACTACTAGAAACCGGTTTGACCTGGTTTTTGGATTAATATTCCTCATCGGGGCTCACGGCGTGAGTTCCCTGCGGATCATGGCCCACCTTTTGACCAATTACTACATCGCCAAGTCACTAAAGCGACACCCTGGCTATGGCCGTTTCTTTACATGGGTATATGGGATCAGTACTCTTTTCATCAATGACAATTTCAGAGCTTACCCTTTTGGCAATATTTTACCATTTTTATCTCCCTTGGACTCAAGCTTCAAGGGCATAATTGCGAGATGGGATGTGTTCTTCAATTTCACACTTTTGAGGATGATCAGCTTTAACATGGACTTTTTGGCCAGATACTCCGACGTTACTGGCAAAGAGCCCACGCCGTCACCTCCACCTTGCTTCGAAAAGCCCGCTTTGAGCCGCTCAGCTTCATCGACGACCAAATTGGAAACGATATGCGAAAACGGGTCGAACTCCATATTAACTGACGAGCATGCTAGACTCGCGGCACCTCATCACATACAAGACTATTCCCTAGCAAATTACCTTGCGTACATCACATACACCCCGCTGTTCATTGCAGGTCCTATAATAACTTTCAATGATTACCTTTACCAAACTAAGCATCTGTTGCCAACAATTACAAGAAAGGGAATAATAATGTATGCTCTGAGATTTTTGTTTTGTGTTCTCACGATGGAAGTTGTGCTTCACTACATTTATGTTGTCGCGGTCTCGAAAACAAAGGCGTGGGACAACGACACTCCTTTCCAAATCTCAATGATTGGATTGTTCAATCTCAATATTGTCTGGCTCAAACTGCTAATTCCATGGAGACTGTTCAGACTTTGGGCAATGGTTGATGGCATAGATGTACCTGAAAATATGATTCGCTGTATGAATAATAACTACAGTGCTTTGGCCTTTTGGAGATCGTGGCACAGAAGCTTCAACAAATGGGTACTTCGCTACATATACATTCCGCTGGGTGGATCGAATAACAGAATACTGACCACGCTTGCCGTGTTTTCTTTCGTTGCTATTTGGCACGATATAGAGCTGAAGTTGCTACTTTGGGGCTGGTTAATAGTGTTATTCCTAATACCAGAGATATTTGCGACGCAGTATTTCTCAAAATACCAGAGAAAGCCATGGTATCGCTTCGTTTGTGGGGCCGGCGCAGTTTCGAATATATGGCTGATGATGATTGCTAACTTATTTGGGTTTTGCTTGGGGTATGATGGCACAGTCAAACTAATAAAAGATATGTTTCTGACCTTTGATGGCATCAAATTCACTGTTTGTGCCAATGCCGCTCTTTTCATCGCAGTTCAGGTCATGTTTGAACAACGTGAGAGCGAAAAAAGGCAGGGAATAAATGTTAAATGCTGAAACGTTATCGCGATTGAATAAATGTGAAAAGGTAAAGCTTTGCTAGCACTTTCAGTTGATTCTCTTTTTATAATCGCCTGGTGTTTCGAATTTCTTCAAGCTCCACACACCTCTTTTGTGTTTTTTAGCCGCAGCTTCATGATATTTATATAAATCCTCCTCTCCGTCAAACTCTCGGCATGTCTTCCCCTCATAAACTATTCCAAGTCCTCTTTTGATCATTTCAAGACTAACATTCTTTGGTCCGAACCATGTCCAATAATTGACTTTCGCAACACATCTTCCATATTGATCGATAGATAGAGGTTTTATTCGTACCGACCGACCTAAAAGTGTAAAACGTAGCCAATTTAAAGCTTCTTCGCTATAAGGCTGGGCCGCATTTCCAAAATGGGCTCTTTCGGGCGCATCGACGCCGCATAATCGAACTGCAATTGTTGGAAGATTACGCTTCCCCTTAAAAGATGATTGAAGATTTAGATACATGTTACGACCCCCATCTTTTCGCCATATTTTTTGAACAATTTGCTTGACAAAAAACGCTTGATTCTCCTCAGACTTGATCACTTCCAATCGTGGTACTTTCCTGAGCCAATACCATCCGCCCAAAATTCTTCCAGGTGTGTGAAAGAAATGAAAATTGTCACCGTCTCCTACCAATGTAACTCTACCACGAAGCCACTTCTTCCTGAACACTCTTGCTGGAATCTCGGTTGCCGATTTATATTGTTTAAGATACCGATTGAAAGCTACGTAACCTCCAAAAATTGACCCACTTAATACACACGATAACAACAGAGCTTCCGAATAAAGTGTCGAACGTGATCCAGCAACGGTGCTATTATTTTCAGGCATTTGTTATCATTCTTCGTGTATTCTGGCCCTGGTCTTAATTTTCATGAAGATGATGATGTCGATTTGACATTTCTAAGTTTGAAGAATACAAACCCTTCTCGAATCATGCCTCCAAAAACTACAAATTACATTAGATTATTTTCTACTGAGTTCGCTCCCACAACTTGAGTGTCAAGCTCGCCAAAAAACAGGGAATTTGGCCCTTTTCTATCACGAAGTCTTTAAATAAGTTTTGCCAATCCTCAACCTCTGCGTCTAGATTGGATGTGAGAGTATTTTTGGCCAGATCAGCTGTTAAAAATCGTTCAGAATTGTAGCATGAAGTCATTTTGATTTTCGAATGAGGAAGGAACTCGAGTTTGAACCCAAGTAAAGAATTGACTGCCTCAATGAATTCAAGCGATTTTCGATTGAAAACCTCCCGTAGACGCGTAATCTTCTTGTTGTAATTGTGAATGTCCGTCTCTAATTGATTATTCTCAAATTTGAGTCGCTCGTAAACGGATTTCGGAAAAGAATTGGTCTCATTAAAATTTTCGGACAGTAATACTTCGTTCTCCTGACGAAGTAGTGTTAGTTGCTTCTTTTTGACTAATTGATCTTGTAAGAAAGGACTGTTGCGCAGCTGTAAGATTCTGATTTTCTTATCGTGAAGTCCCTCTATTTTTTTAAGTTTGCTCTCCAACATTATACATGTTTCTGAACTTGATTCTAGTTTCCTTACCAGAGCCACATTTTCGAGCTTTAGCTCATTCAAACGCTGAGAATAGTTCAGGGCAACGTCATCGCTTGTTTTCCGTCGCTTTGCAGGGAACATTTCCTGTTGCTCTAATAGCTCTTCATTGAGTTTTTTCAATTCATTTGTTAGGTCTTGGGTTTTGTTCTTGTATACTTGCACCAATGATTCAACTTGATCTTTAGATGTTTCATCTTGATTCTTAAACTTATCAACATCCAAGGCAGATGCCATATCGTCGAGCTGTCGCCGAAGTATTTTGCATTCCTCAAAGGATAGCATCTTGTGCTGTTCGATTTCGTAGTTAAGTTTCTTGAGATTGAGGATACTCGTCTCGTAGCTCTTGTTCAAATCCAGCAACTGATTCCTCTCGAGAGCAAGTTCGTCATTCAAAATTTTCATATTGTTGAGATCGAGCTCAAGCCTTGAATTTTGATCTATTAATTTGACGTTTTCTTGTTTGAACAGTCTCCAATCTCGCATGATCTCCTCTGGCGGCAGAGAAACCCCGTCGGCATTGTTACTGTCGTATACTTCCCAAGAGGTCAAAGCCGATTTTAAATTGATATTTTCAAGTTGAAGTTCTTCGTTTCGAGATTCCAACTCTGAAATTTCCTCCACTTTAGTCCGAAGCCGCTCGTTCTCGCTTTTTAAAAATCGTTGCGACTCTTGAGCGGCTCGAAGCCTTTTCAACTCGCTGGCCTGCTCTAAATTGGCCTTTTCGAGAGATTTACCGAAATTTACTTGTTCGGCCAGCAATGTATTAAGCGTCGTGAGTTCTTCTAATTCTTCCGTGGAATAGTTATGATGAGCCATTACGACGCGCGAAGCCTTCAAAGTCGCGATTTCATCGTCTTTCGCCGAGCAGGATTGCTTTATACGTTTGATTTCCTCGTTCTGAGAATTCAGTTCTTCTTCGTATCTTTTCAAAGTGCTCTTAGTCCCATTCAGCTCAACGATAACATTTTGGTGCTGGTGCTTGATTTCTGAATATTTCGTCTCCGCATCCGATCTCACCTGTTCAAACTGTCTGTTTCTTGAAGAGATTTCTCTATCAAACGTAGCTTTGTTGCTCACTTCCGCTTTTTTCAATTTCGCAAGTTCTTCCCTCGCTGCGGCCAGCTCTTTCTCCAGGTGCCCATTAGACTCATACAAATGTTTGGTATCAGCAATCGACTGCTCCAATTCTTCCAAAGTTTCACGGTACTTCTTATCAATCAAAGAAACTTGTCGGTCTTTCATCAGTAGCTCAATCTCAAACTCGTTTTGTAATGTGATCATTTGGGATTTAAGCGATGTTTGACGCTCTGGAAGCGACAATGGATCCGGGTTTCCGTTCATTTAGTTTACACCAATTTCGATTAACAACGCTTAAAACCCTCAATCGTCGAGCTCAATGGACCTTGTCGACTCTACGCTATGTGTTCGTGTTCTTGGTGTGTTACTAGCTCATCTCAATTTTCCATTTTCTCTCGCTAACCACCATTATCACCACCTTCATTCTAAACCGACAAGGTTGAGAGAACAAATCAAAGACCCTCTTAAGCCTAGTACCAACACAAACATCCACATCTATGTCCAGAATGTAAGTAGATGCTAATCTTACAAAGGCTGTCACCAAGAAGAGCGCTTTCTAACCAATCCTTATTCATAGTCCCAGAAGTTTCAGGTTACTCGAAGAACTTGAAAAGGGCGAAAAGGGCCACGGGCCTGAGTCCTGCAGTTACGGACTCGCAGATAGTGATGATATCACAATGACGTTTTGGAATGGTACCATTTTGGGACCTCCTCACAGCAACCATGAAAACCGGATCTATTCTGTCGCGATCGAGTGTGGTCAAGAGTACCCTGATAAGCCGCCGCTTATAAAGTTCACTTCCCGGATCAACTTGCCCTGTGTCGACCAAGAATCGGGCAAAGTAAATGCAGAGAAGTTTCAAACGCTTCGCAATTGGAAAAGATCCTATACAATGGAAACACTGCTACTAGACCTGCGCAAAGAAATGGCCCATCCCTCGAACAAAAAACTACCACAACCGGCGGAGGGGTCAAATTTTTGAGCAGTGCGAATACAGAGAGTTATAAATACAATTTAGATTTGTTTAAATACCCATGGGTTAGCAGTTCAGTGTATTAATGTTTTTGTTCGGATTGCCTACTGGCTTGGTCCTTTTTCCATATGAAAAAAGTCGATACTGTATCTGTGGTAGTAGTTCTTAAGAAAACAAGATATAACAAGGTAAAGCATGAGAGCGTGTCGGCTGCTTCGTTTGCCAAGACCTCTCAGAAGGCTGTATTCAACGGATGCGCCAAATTTGGGGGCTCAACTTCGCGACAGCTCGAAGTTTGTGACGTTTAAGTCCGTTACAAATTTGAAGGCAGTTTCGTCACCAGATTATATATCCACGGCTAATTCGAAGTTACAGTCGCTTATTTGGCATCGGCCACTGCAGAACGTTTTTGTTACTAAGAAACCTTGGACCACGATCACTCGGGAAGCCATGGTCAAGTTCATTACGCACTTGCACGATTCATACCCGGAAATTAATGTGATAGTTCAGCACGACGTTGCCGAAGAGATCGCCCAGGATTTCCAGTCAATGCCCAAATCCAACCCCGGAGAGCCTCATGTCCTGTTCACTGGTGAAACCAGCGATATTGTCGAAAAGACGGATCTACTTGTGACGTTGGGCGGTGACGGAACGATTTTGCATGCGGTGTCGATGTTTAAAAATGGCCAAGTTCCGCCGGTTCTGGCTTTCTCTTTGGGAACTCTCGGGTTTTTACTACCCTTTGATTTCCAAGATCACAAGCAGGTGTTCGAAAAAGTGTTGAATGGGCGCGCCAAATGCTTGCACAGGACACGGCTCGAGTGCTACGTAAAAAAAGCAAATACTGCAACAGTGGGTGAAAAGACTTCTGCGATGACTTTACCCTCGACCATAGCGCATCATGCGATGAACGATATCTTTTTGCACAGGGGAAACTCGCCTCACTTGACCAACCTGGACATATTTATTGATGGTGAATTTCTTACAAGGACGACCGCCGACGGTGTTACGCTCGCTACCCCTACGGGGTCAACAGCGTATTCGCTTTCCGCAGGAGGAAGTATAGTTTCACCGCTAGTTCCGTCGATTTTACTCACTCCGATTTGCCCCAGGTCGCTGTCATTCCGACCACTAATTCTTCCGCATTCTTCGCATATTAAAATCAAGATTGGCGCGAAAAGCACGCAATTCCCGGAAACTAAAGTTGTTCGACTTTCCATTGACGGAGTTCCACAAGAGGACTTAAACGTCGGCGACGAGATTCATGTTGTCAACGAAGTGGGGACCATTTACGTCAACGGGTCTCAGTTACCCAGCATGGGGAACAAGGAAGCACTCAAGCGCCAAGACAAAAGTATTCGTAATGCCGGAATCTACTGCGTCGCGAGAACTGAAAACGATTGGACAAGAGGGCTGAACGAGCTTCTGGGTTTCAATTCCAGTTTCTGCTTTTCGCGTAAACATAAAAGTTAAGCGTCGTGTACAGATCGTCGTCTCCGCTTACAAATTTACGAAATCAATTAAGATTTTGAAATGACATAAAATGTGTTATCGATCATTGCAGCAATCCCCATACGGGCACACGAAGGTAATCCCTTAAGTTTGACAAGCAAACAACATGGACCGCTGCACCCAAGATCAATAACTTTCGTCTTCGGTCCAGGTCAAATCTTCACGAGGAAGGCAACACAATTCACGCTTGTCATGGGCCAAGAACTCCCAGGCGGGGTTCGACCTCAAGGGAATGCTGTATGTGCTGCGCGTGGCCGTGAATTTTGCGTTAATTCAATTCATGAGATATGACATGTAGTTATTCTAGTATTCTTCTTTATATATGAAAACCTTGACCATCGTTACCCGCACATCAGTTTCATTAACAACAAAGGGCAGACTAACCGGTATAAAGGCCTTAACTTTCAACACGCTCATGCTCAAAACGCTCAGCTTTCCATATATTTGGTTCTAGCTCATTATTTCGCTAGCCACACTATCGGTAGATTCAATTTGTTTTTCAGGAGCTTTAACTCTTGATATCTTGAAAAAGTCCCGAATTTAGCTCTACTTTGAAGTATGCACATGTAAGGCCTATCGTTAGGGAATTCGTATTGTAGTGAAATCCCATCTCTAATATTCCTGGTCAGCGGTTAGATTGATGTGCTTCTGTAGGTCTGAAGTCTCACAAACTTAATTTTGAAGTCGGAACGTCGAGGTTCTTACCCATGCAACTCATGTACATGGAAGTCGCATTCGTCTCTGGGAAAACTGTAGCTGCTTCCGAGAGAGACTTGGAATCTGGAGAACTTTTACCTGTTGAATTGGTAAATGCATGCAATTCTTCGATCCTCTCTATGATGGGTGTAAAGACTTGGTCGACAACGTCGTCGGCCCACAGCGGATCCATGTGTTCGTAGCCAGCAAGAGGATGCAAAGTAACGTCTCCCATATTCCCCTTCAATTTCTGTTGGGTTAAATCCATGTCTATTAATATGTCGTCGGTGCCATACATCAGCATCATAGGCATTTTTTCGATGACCTGGACTGGGAACGGCGCGCACCGGTGTAACTTCCCATGCAGGGAGGGCAACGACGCATACAACCTTGAAATTTCTTCCTGGTACATTTGGAATCGCTTATTGTTGATGATTTGGAACCAATGCACCACACTCTTGACGCTTGATGGGGAAAACATGTGGGTGTAACCGACTTGTTTCTGAGTCTCATTAATTCTTTTACTCTTCCAATTGAATAGATAAATCAGAGACCGATCAACGACCCTCATGTAGTTTATGGGACCCAAAAGCTTTTGACAAATCACCACAAAGGGAAGGATCGCACGTCTGCCAAAAATGCAGTAAAGAAGCTCTGCCGAGGAGCGAACCAGAAATCTGGCCACTGGATGGCTCAAAGAGCGAGGAATCAATGGTGGTGAGAGGCCGACGAATAGTCTCACTCTGTGACGCAGTTGTGGATTGATCGAAAATGCGGCCAGCGCCTGAGAAGAGCCCTGACTGAACCCGATGTAAGTCAGCTGTCCAGCTAAAGTAGTGTCCAGAATGTATTTCAAAGTGTCTGGAATATCAAAAATGGCATACTCGTCTAAAGAAAAATCCCAAAACTTCACATCCTTCGACGACAGATTTATGTGTTTTCTGCTGTACTTGTTTCCTCTGTTATTGCCCAACCAAACGTCGTAACCGCGATCTGCGAGTAAAAACGGTAAACATTTCCCAGTCGTTTCCCCTAACAAAAATAACTCGCTGTTTGTCAAGAGCCCATGGTGGAAATAAACCACTTTTTCTTTATCGATTGTGGACGATCTGAATTCCGGATTTAAGATACGATGGATAGTGAGCAGATAATTATCCTGAGTCTTTACAACATGCTCCTGCACTTCGTATCCATGCGCATGGCAAATATCTGTCACGTCTGCCGCATTAACGACTTCTTCAACTAATTTATTTGGATAATTCGATGCTCCGGCAATATTGAACTTCTCGATGAATGGAACGGCGTAGAATAACGGGAAAACGACACTTGAAAAAACCCATAGTACTAAACGAAGGAACAAACTCAGCAGGAATAACACCAGGCTGTCTAACCTATCCTTCATTCTTGCTGCTTGAGCTTTTGTGAGTTTTCGATATTTTCTTGATATCGGTAGAAGGTTGACTTTCGAAATTTGACATCATGTCAGAATAATAAATCGAGAGTTCTGACCGATTGGTCCGACGGAAAAAGACGGCGTTTAATGATGATATATCCATGCCTAGTCAGAGCCTGCTTGACCATTGCACTAACAGATTCATTGATGATGGCCATAGCTGATGATATGTTTGCGTGGCTCGATTGAGGATCACACGAATTACTGTGGTTAAGATAAAAGATCCGCAAGGCGGTGTTAAGACCTGCAGACCGAAATAAGACAACTAGCTCTTTAATTTATGGGGTGCATGGAAACCCTGAAAGATTCCATTAAGCTTTGAAGATTTTGTGGGTGCAGGTCAGGATTTTATGCGGCGCTCGGACTCATTATTACCAAACTACCATCATAACAATACCCAATTTGTAAATTGCGCCGGGGCAGAGTATCCCAGAACCAACGAAGAGGTGACCGTACGACAGTCAGAGGGTTTTGGAGCCCATGCGATTCCTTAACTTTTTGTCTTGTCTTTTAGAGATCATGTTTCCTAATAGGGTGCCGAATGGACGGCTCAGTGAACATGGAAGCAGACAAAAAAACTTGATGGAGCGGAGAGCTTCTGTGGGGTTTCCAGTTTGTTAGAGACCAGTTAGACCAGTGAGGTTTCATTCGAACGATACGAGCAGTTGGCATCTCAGGGAGGCGAGGATATAAAAGAAGTACAATTCTGATTTGGAAAATCAGTAAGCTTTTACTCAAAGTTTTACTTATTGTCACACCAACATTATCAATCTCAATTCGATCTCAAGTGTTTTTTAGAAGCAATGAAACTTACTGTATTCTGGACCGCCTTTTTGTCTTTTTTGACTACTTTTATCGTCACAGCATCAGCAGCGCCAGTTGCCGACTCTGCAAATGACGGCTCTGTCAATATTCCAGCGGAAAGTATTATCGGTTTTTTGGATCTTTCTGACAGCAAAGACGCCACATTGGTTCCTGTGTCTAATGGTACACACAGTGGGTTCCTTTTCCTGAACTCGACTATCCTTAGCCAAGCTTCTACTGAGTCACTCAAGAAGAGATCCGCTCAACCTTGGAGATGGCTCTCTCTGCGTGCAGGCGAAGCTCTTCATAAGAGGGAAGCGGATGCAGAGGCTGATCCATGGCAATGGCTGTCTCTTCGCGCTGGCGAGGCTCTGCACAAAAGGGAAGCCGAGGCAGCGCCTTGGAGTTGGTTGTCACTTCGTGCTGGAGAAGCTCTGCACAAGAGGAACGCCAATGCCGAAGCCGAGGCAGCACCTTGGAGATGGTTATCACTTCGTGCTGGTGAAGCCCTTCACAAGAGAGAAGCAGACGCAGCGCCTTGGAGATGGCTATCACTTCGTGCTGGAGAGGCCCTTCACTAAATCGGGTTAATCTATTAGCGTGTGAGCTCAGAACGCGGGACGTTCCTGACACCTCTCAATGCTTAAGCTCAACAGTTTTTTCAAGGACCACTGATTTAAACATCAGTTTTAATTTTACTGCTGCCATCTCTTCATTTTCAGAATTTTGTCATCAATGCAAGGCAGGCTCAATATCATCCGTTTAAGTCGGTTGATTTTGCTGGTTTTTTACGTTCTCACTAGAATTTGATTAGTAGAAACGCTGAGTTGTCTAATCTTTCATGTGCAAATAGCTTTTTAACTTATCAAAAAAAACATCGCAATATGATATACATAAGGTCCATCAAGTTCTTCGTGAAAGAGACGCCGAGGGATTGATTATTTGAGACCTTTCTTTCCGAAGATATGAATTTCGGTGTATTGATCGTTCTTGATTGCAAGCTCTTGAAAATGTCATTTGCTATTAGTGGCGCAATAGCTGAACTCTGTCCAAATTCTTAGCTACGGGCTGATAAACCTCATAGCACAGTATAGTCAAATATGATGCAACTCAAAAACACAGTTCGAAAATTTGGATCCTCTACTGCTCGTACCGAAAGTGACGTAACTAAAAAATTACGTATCGAAAGTGTGACATAGCTGCCAGTTTCTAACTTGACACTCATACCAGAGTATAATATCTGTCGTTAGATGTCAAAGAGTTTGAACAACTGAGATCTAATAATTCAAGGTGCTCTTGCCGATCCCATCCCAAACCAGCCATAGAACAGATTTTTGAAAAATACAATCACTCTGTGCAAAAAATGCGTATAATTGCTTGGTTGGGTCCCAGTTGTCAAATCACGACTACCTTTTACGGAATCATCTGATTCGTCTTCAGTCTCGCCTTGCCGTGTAGTGGCATCCCTATAGCTTTCCACATCAGAATCGCTCACCATAACAGGCGAGTCCTGCTCGGTCCTGGATTTGGTGGGTGGTGGAGTCACTTCGTTTTCGCTGAATTCGCTTTCAACATCTCGATCTTGTTCGCATCTGTTGTCATCTTCATCTTCAGATGAAATGACAAGCACATTATTTACATTACCATTTGCATCAGTTTCCTTAGCAAAATTCTCGTCCGTAAACCAATTGGATCCATTTTCGACAAACTTGAAGAATAGTTTCGGCTTCTGGTCTGTTGCTGAGAATTTTTCTAGTGACTCTTTCGCAATTTCATATTCCCATTGTTTCTTGGCATCGTTCTTAATCATAGGCACTATATTCCAGCCCGTGAAGTTACCAGCAATGCTCAACGAAGACGCATTGGAACTTTGATGTTTGAATACCACTGTCACCATCGCTCAAACTTTCCGCCTCTAGATGATGAAGGATCTTCATCTGAAGGGATGTGCTTATCTTATAGTTTAACCTACAAAGGGATACTCGGTTGTGGAAACGAGGTCACATGAGCAAAAGACAGTTTAATGAAACACTCTGAGCTTGTTCATAACAGGTTGTTTGGTGAATATTGCTCAATGGAACTGAGAATCATGTCTGATGACCGTGGCCTTATCATCAAAAGAACATAGCCTGGTCGGGTTTCGTGTTCAGCTTATTTGCAAACAGCTTACGATAGGTGATATCGTCAAGTCGCAATTGTTTATTTATTGATATCACGTTATTACAATGACAGAATAGGATGGGATCATCGTAAGGATGGTGAAATCCAACTTAACAGGAAGCCATAGGTGACCAAAGCTATTCAGGATATTTCGATGTGAAGTAGCAAGCGATCGATGCAAATGATGTTACAAGAATTGTGTAAGAGACGATACGACCGGTTTTAGAAGGGTCACGTCGCTAATAGAGTCACGGAGAGATTTGAATATCTCACGCTTGCAATGCTTGACTGCGAAGGAACTCGAGAAGGAACCAGTGATAAATTTGGAAAACTGTCTACTTTGGACGCTTGCAATCCTCAATAGCTTAACCTGTGATAACAATGCGGACCTCAGCACAATTGCTTGACGTGATCTGATCAACAGACTAGGTACTTCACCGTCTTAACTATTCGACATCTTACATCTTACCATTATCTTTGGAAAGACACATAATTTTGGCATTAACAGGAAAACTCTTAGATTCAATGTTAGCCGGCTTTTCCTTAAAATCCTTTGGATAGCAATTCAAAGCTTGCTTCGAGGGCATGTTAAAAGATTCTCGAAGTTGAATAGGTTTTCTTCAAAACAATGTTGTAAGATAGGTCTATGTAACGATCTTGAGCAAAGGCATGATATGCCATTCGCATCAATTAATACGTGAGCATGGCAATGAAGAGTTAATCCGTATGCAGGGTTTTGCGATTGAAATCGAGATCGATTAGACAGCTCCAGGGTCAGCGAAAGTGGCGTGCAACGCTCGCGCACCTATCCTTCCCGAAATTGATTTTGACATTGTCAAATGCAGCTATGCCCTTGACCTTTTCGAGGGCAGTAATTGCATTTTCAATGTTTGTGAAATTAACAAAACAGCAGCTTTTTTCCCAAAGAAAATTGATCTGCTCAACTTCCCCAAATTCCTGGAAAACTGCGCGCAAATAATCTTCCGTGATAATAGGTTCACCCTGTTTCTCGTGTTTCGCGAAATTTATGTTTCCAATGTAAATATTTCGGGAAGCCCCATGACTCACAGCCAGTGCGAGTGCATTTGGGAGTGGACCCGAATGCTTTCCCCAACCAATTTTGGCCCGTTTGCTCTTTAGCGTCAAGCCATGAAGAGAGGTCATTGCATAAAATTGAGCGGCAGCGGTTGGATCAATAAAAGTGACGAAACATACATTTCTGTCCGTCAGGAGTTTAATATTTTGTAAAAGTCCACCACGAATAACATTGCAAACTTCTTCAATTTTGACGTCCTTAGGCAAATTCCCCAAATATATCGTCCTGTTGCCAAGATTGTTAGCTCCACCAGCAGCTGTTGCGATAGCCGCGGCGGCCGCCGATTGTTGTAGCAACGTATTTGCAATGAAGTCTCTGTCGGAATAGGAAACTGCCCTTTCGTTTCCAGGCTGTATACCCAGGAATTGGGCAGCGTTGTGTTTTTGGGCTTTGGAGATAAATGCACATCGATCTTTCCCATAGAAAAGTTTCTTGTCGACATAATAATGATTCATGGATGCAATATTAGAAACGGCTTTGATAGCACTCAAAATAGATGTGAAATGAACGAATGCAATTCCCTTATTTTCAATAATTTTGATGTTCTCAACTTCACCGAACATGCTCATATCCTCGAGAAGTTGGCTTTCCGTGATACATTCCTCAAGTGAATGAACTTTGGAATGGGGCGTGTTAAGTCGCCCTATGAAAACATTTCTCGTAGCACCTTCGTTAGCCGTAGCCAAAGCCACCAAAGGTTCGAGGGGCTTGGGTTTGCCCCAACCTACTTTGATATCGCGACCATCAATGATAAGCCTTCTCAAAATAGCGTCTGAATGGAATAAAAGAGCAGAACTCTTATCCAGAAAAGACACGAACGCACAATTCTTGTCGTGCAGCACTTTAACCTCTTCGACGACACCACATCTTATATGGTCTAGTAATTCTTTAGGCTGTAAGTTAGGAGGAATATTGCCGAGGTAAACAGTCCTGCTGGGGGCCGAAGTGAAATCACGAGGATTATTGATCTGAGTCGGATGGCTAACGAGGGATGCATTGGCAGCGGCTACTGCAGCTACTGCAGATGATGTAGGTGGGTTCAAGCCTTTGAATACACTAGAATAGCTCGAAGAATCGGTCGAAACTCGGCTCGAAGAAATTTCCAGATCAGGCCCCAACGCGCCAAAGGACGGTTGATCTCCCAAGAGATCTGGTTGCGACATCTGCCGATATTCAAGCCCTTGTACCGCTAGAGGTGAATAATTGGGCCAGCCTGGCGTGATGTGGCCGTAAGGTAAGCTAGCGTATCGGGAATCGATCGGATGAAAATGATCGACCTCTGAAGTCCCGTCGCGCATTTCGCTTTCTGTATCACAGCGAGAAAGTAAAAACTAAAGAAGAGAAAACTTCTATGAAAGAAGCTGGCAAAGTGTTGATGGGTATTTTTTCAGAGATCACGTAATGCAAAAACCAAACGCAAGTGAGTGGATCTTTTTGAACAGAAGAATATTAGTCTCAAATAATTTCTGATCAGTAACTTTGGCAGAACAATAGATAGAGAGCTAAATGAATCGACACGCCGGTAATGTAGACGCTTGTTCAATTGAATGTTCTCAACGAGGCTATCGTCGGCAAATGCTCTGGGAACAACACGTCAAAGTTTTCGCGATCGCCTTAGAAAACGTCAAAAAAAGATTCTTGGCAGATTTCGAAAGCTTATTCCAAAAAGCCCTGCAGTTCTGGCTAATGAGAAGATCGAAATTTCAAATACCAATAATTGCCAAACGTCCAGCACTAACGGTCACAAGAGGTCAGTTGCAACGCGAGAGAAGTTGATTTATTGGAAATTAAATTTTTTGTATACAATCGTGGAAGATGAGTGCCAGAGGTACCATCCATCACCACTGGGGACCGATCCGAGCCGTCAACGCTGCTTGAGGATTACAACTGTTTCGCAAGAAACGATTATCTTTCGAAGAATTTCCTCTGCGAGTCCTCCTCGATCAACTCTATTAGACGATGGTGGATGGTTCGAGACTAAAAAGCGTTTTTTGACGAGTCAAGTATCTCTTGAGTGGATCACACTTATGTAGTAATTTGTCTAATCTCCGCCAAATCAACCGATTCGTTGGCAGTGCGGTTGTTCATTTAACTGACCTAACACGACATCATACCAACCGTAATCCCTAAGACAGTTACGAGGAACTCGTGCTCAGTCTTAACAGCCTAGGTACCCTGGAAAATGATGGTTTTTACTCCTTTCTGAAGCATTTTGGGATCTTTGGCCTTACAGCGTAGATCACGTATATGTTGATTTCGAGTCTGACGCTGTTGAAAATGGCGTAACGTGCATTGATTTAATCAGCTTTGAAAAAGTCTTAGAGTTCCTTTCAGCTATCCGCTAGTCGCTGACACTCTCGGGACTCAAAGACCCTACATCTGTAACACTCCCGTCGTCCTCAGTGCTCGGCGAAGAACTACGCTTAAGGGGCTGTAATCGCGAGTTATGAGAGGACGGCTGTTCCGATTCGACTCTTGAAATTTTCGTTTCTTGAAATTCTGCTTCGAAAGGCGTCAAAGGTGCCTCTGAAGCCGTCCTTCGCCTGTTTATTCCCATAAAGGCAAAATCATCGATCTCAGAACTGGCTTCTAAATTATCTTCACCCTTCACCAACGGACTGCTGCGTTTGCGCTTTGTCGGCGAAGTCGTTTTTTGCGGGCTCGCACTTGCATGCCGCTTCTCCGGCGACGTCATTCGAGAAACAGGATGAGACACAAATCTGTTTAGCACTAGTTGGTCAGACACATCGCCAGGACCACGGCGCTCGTCTAATCGTTTTTGAAGGTCTCGAATCTTCGTTTTCTTTTCGTTCAACAATTCCATGACCATGGAACGCGTTCTCTCGTCGCGCTCACGAACCAGCTGAACCATTTTATCCCTTTCGCAATGGGACGCCCTCAAGTCACTTTTCAGAGCATCACACGTAGTTTGAAGGCCCAGAAGTTTTTTGTTAGCTTTGAAATGACTCTGGAACAACTCGAAACTCAGTCTAAATAAGTCCAAATCACGACCGCGAGACGCATCTAGCCCCAGTTCCGCTAATCTTTTTGTTATACCAGCAGCAGTTTGCTCCCAAACAAGTTTCCAAGGTTCCTTGCGAATGTCGCACTTCCATGCAGCATATGACGGTATTGATTCTCCGTCGTTTATCGGCAGTTTCCCGGCTGCCAGTACATCAATGAGAGTTTGCCATGCGGCCCCTGAATCCGTGCCGCCGAGCAATTTTAGATCCTTTATTGTTGCAAAACTCAGTGATCTGACACCACTTCCTTCACTGACAATCAGCTCTTTTATCACGAAATTATTCCAATTTTGAGACTCTGCAACTGGGAAGCCCTCAAGCGAGCTTTTGCACAAAGCAATTTCTAACTCTTCATCTGTTGTTATAAGTGGAAAGCAGCAAATACTCTGCATTACTCATACAGTAATCGCATTAGCAAAAGTCTTATACTTGACGAGTTGTTCTCTTGCGATGCTCCGGCGTAGTTAACCTTGTGATATGGAGAAAAGTTTGCCGTTCTTTAAAGACCTTGATCCCTTCGTACCAAGTGCTATCAACACTTTAGCAGAGTTCAAAAACTTGCATTGTCGCCAAATGAAACCTTCAGCGTAGTAATCAAGACCTAAACGCTATGTAAGTCAGCCAAAAACACACCAAGAATGCCACTGGATTGCAGAGAGAGCATCCCGAAGGCTTGCCTTTCCATATGGGTTCATCACTAATAACGTTGTGATTGTACCTCATACTTCGAATATTGTCACTCAGCACGCAATTGATGTTAAGAAACCTTCCGGATAAATGAGAGCTCATCGCTTTCAAATTACATCGAACAGTACAGGGAACTCGTATAGAACAAGGTCCACAGAATGGCAGCTGAAGTATCGAACTCAAAGATTCTACAGCCTGATTACCAACTAAATGAACCTGAGCCGGAACACTGTCCTGGGCCAGAATCAGAGAAAGCCGGACAAGGCGACGCCTGTGTTGGATGCGCTAACAAAGATATATGCGAGAGCTTGCCCAAGGGTCCTGATCCCGATATAGAGCTGATAACTGAGAACTTGTCACAAATAGGACACAAAATTTTGGTTCTTTCTGGCAAAGGTGGAGTTGGGAAATCGACTTTCACGTCGATGTTAGCGTGGGCTTTGTCAGCAGATGAAGATCTTCAAGTGGGAGCGATGGATCTCGATATTTGCGGACCTTCGCTGCCACAAATGTTAGGCTGTGCTGAGGAGAGTATACACGAGTCAGGAGCCGGTTGGTCGCCTGTCTACGTTGCAGATAATCTTGCTGCGATTTCGATTCAATTTATGCTCCCCGAGGATGACTCCGCTGTGATATGGCGAGGCTCAAAGAAAAACGCACTCATCAAAAGATTTTTGAAAGACGTGGATTGGGACCGTCTAGATTATTTGGTGGTGGACACTCCACCGGGGACCTCAGATGAACATATCTCGATTAACAAGCTCATGAAGGAATCTGGACTAGACGGTGCACTCATAGTTACCACCCCACAAGAAGTAGCTCTGTTAGACGTGCGAAAAGAGATCGACTTTTGCCGAAAAGCAGGAATCAAGATCTTGGGTCTTGTTGAAAACATGAGCGGATTCGTTTGTCCTAATTGCAAAGGTGAGTCTTTCATTTTTCGTCCTACCACGGGTGGTGGACAGGCCTTGTGCAAAGAATTGGGCATACCTTATCTCGGATCTGTGCCACTCGATCCGCGTATCGGACAGGCGTGCGACAAGGGTGATAGTTTCTTGGATCTCTATCCAGACAGCCCTGCTTCGATAGCGATTTTAAACGTGGTTGAGCATCTTCGTGACGCTGTTGGGGACGCTTGCTAGACATATGGCACCTATTAAATAAAGCTGGAAGCGGTCCAATTCATTATACCCACCTGCAAGGAAATAAAATGATGTGAAAGTGATGAATACAGCAACCTTGGGCTGTTTTCTATTGATACAGTTTATGTAAGCAGTGACTTTATTAGATACATGCGCTCGGGTTCTCCGAGAGGCAAAGCCAGCAGTTTTTCTTTTATCGTGGACTCTTTCAGTACCTCCGCCCAATTTCTCATGATGGCAGAGCATACAACTCCAGCCATGAGACCGCAACAAACTTCACCTTTATCGCCTTTTCTTTGACGAGAATATAAAAGAGGAAGTCCGTCAAGTAGACTTTTTAAGGTTTCAAACTTGGGGCGCTTATTTGGGGATAGGGCTAGCTCCAAATAATTCTTATAAATTCCGAGCCCTTTTTCCCAGTTTTCGAGCGCATTCGCTGGAAACAAATCGATAAGCTTCGCTAGGACCGCTAGATTGCCAGAAGTTTTAGTCTCGTGTAGGATCAATTTCGGTGCAATATCATGGAGTATTCTGTCTTCAGCAACCTTGGCAAGGCCCCCTTTCAACAACTCTTCAGCTTCTTGCACGTAATTGCCTTGGTATCTGCAATATGTCGCAATCGAAAGGGAAACCAATTCACTTGGAATTTTTAGTTTTTCGAAAAGATCGTAGATTTCATTATGAGTTTGAACAGAAACCAAAACGGTTACCAAAAGATCGATCTGTTGTTTGGCCAACTGATCATCACGGAGGAAAAGAGTAGTGTATAGGGCTTCTTCCTGTAAGTTATTGACCTTTAGTTGTTCGACATAACTTAAGGTGAGCCGATCGGCTAGATCCATGGGCAAATTACAAATCCCTTTAGCGCTTAAAATGTGCAATAGTAACCAAGGAAAATGCAAATCTTGCTGATGTTTGGAAAAAACAACGTTGCGGATGAAGGAGTCGGTGTTGTTTTGGGATGCATAGAGACTCAAAATGTTAAAGGTCATTTCTGTTGAAGATTCATTTCCCAAATTGACGGCCTTCAAAGAAGTTCTCACTAATTCCTCTAAAGATTTTTCGTCTATATTTCCATACAACACCTCGATTGCAAATTGCTCTAGCCAGGTTAGTCCTTTAATACAATCATCTCCTTGACATTTGCTTGGGTCAGCCAGGAGTTGGTAAGTTTTCTTGACCCCAATGTCAATATTCTGATTTTTTGTTTTCCAATGGTTCAACTGTAGAGCCGCCAAGTGACTTACAGTGGGATCGTTTGATCTTAAAAGAGAAATGACAGCTGCTAAGTGTGGATTATTCGATTCTATCGCAAGCTTGGATGCACTAATCAAGTCGCCTATCAAGAGATAAAGAAATACGCGTTCATTGGAACTGTCTGTTTCATTCAATTTCACGGAAACACTTGCCTTAATAGAATCAACTAACCAGCAACACAGATTATCGTATTTCATTTTTCTCCTGATAATGCCGACTGCGCTTTCTCTCGGACCATCCATAGGGAGAACTGTATCGTCAAACAGAATCGAAGCCAGCTTCCAAATTCTCAATTCATCTTCCGTAGCAGAAAAAGCACTAGCAATTTCCACAAAAGAAAGCGGTAAATTTGATATTATGGGATAGCCATTGGATTCTCGGACATCTATACTTGAAGATGTCAAGCATGGCCCAAATATACCATGGATAGTTTTTTGCAAACTGTGAAATGCAGACTTCAAGGAGGCCACTTTGAAACCTTCCGGAGCTGATGAATCCTTCATGAGCAAAGTGGATTGTTGGGAAAAACTACAAAAATTTCCTGTGCCTTTCATTTTCATTTTCCTGCAGATGTCTTTGTACTGACGAAAACTCTTTTCGAATTCGGGGAATGGCATGTGTTTCGATTTACTCATTTCGGCAGAACGAAAAATGGAGCGTTCAGCCAGATCACATAACTTGAGTTGTTCCAACCAGTTTCTTGAAGTCGCCAATCGTGGCGTGGCCACGAGGTTATCGAAATCATGTTGTGATAAGGCCAGCGGTTCGTAGGCCTTTTCATCGATGAGCGAATCCAGCTCTTCGTTGACATTTCTTAGATCGTCAGAGGCCAGAGAGGATGGATTTGGATTGAACCTTAGAACTGCATTATTACCTCGAAAAGAGCCAGGACGCAAAGATGCATCATCCAACCCAACGCTATTGGTCATAAAGACGTCTTGAGCTTGTCGACTCGACTTTGCCCTTTTAGGTTCCACTTGTCTCTCTGCCTCATCTTCCGACCCAATCCTGACGTCTTCTTCATCAATAATACCCCAAACGCTGAAATGTTGTACCCTGAAGATCCAAGTGCCGTCGAAAGGATTATAGGTGACAAAGTCCATACCCTTTAACTTTTTTAACTTTCTTACAAAGGCTGCGACGTCGGTCGGCTTGGAGTTGTTCTTTATTGGCAACTTTGTATGCTTGTCTACGGGGAAAACCTTCTCCAATGATATAGTAGCAGGTACATTTAGCCCATATCCTAAAGATGGTTTTTTAAATTCTTCAGGATACACTTCAACAGTTTTGTTTTTATGGAAAACGATCACTTTGCCAAAAAGACTTTCTTTCAGACCTGTAGTAAAATTACTGAGGTCAACGTCACGCTCAAAAGAAATTGAACCAAAACCTTTTCTCCCCACCACGAAATTGGACACTGCACATAACTGTTTTACAGGTAATTGAACAAGTTCATCAATTGAAGGGGAGCACCAGTATTGCTCGCAAGAGCTTGAACTGTGTTCCTCGGCGTTTTCGTTGAAGGAATCGCTTTTGATAATGATTTCACTCGAGCAGTCCGCACTTCTGGCCTCTTTTTTGCGCTTTTTGTCCGACTCTTCTTCCAGTGATTGAAACTTTGTTGTATTACTTATACCTTTCAAAAGCTTCATTTTTTTTGCAGCACTGCGACCGCTGTCAATCTTTAATCTCCGCAGATCAGAAAGGTCCACCTTCTTCATCAAAGGCTTCACTTCATGAATATTCATGGGTGTGAGACCTGATATCCTCTTGGAACTGTTGTTCGATGTGCGAGTTACGTCATCAGCGATACCACTATTCCTGGAGGAGGGAGAAAACAGCCCTTGAACATTCTCGGACGTTTGCACACTGCTCATTCTTGAATTCAATTTGCTGATCAGGCTGGAGCTGGAAGATCTGATAGCATTTGGAGCTACAGGGTGGGAAAATGACCTTTTACCGTCTCGAAGTGAAGAATTTTCCTTTGAGCCCTTCTTCGATAAAACCGCCGTAATCGATTCTGGCATACTAGTGACATTCACCGGCATGCTTCCCACCCTCAAACCATAGGGATCTCCAGATAAACCATAATTTTGTCCATTTTGCGGCTGTAAAGTGCCAGAAAGACTGCTACCATTCAGACTTGTGTTTCCAAAAAGACCCGTATTTACATTGCTTGGATTACTTCCAGAATTGAAGCTCCATGTAGATTTTGTCGATCCTGCACTCTGGTTCGATGAGGATGCACCGAATAAGCCTCCTGCCTGTCCAGACATCTGTTGACTACCAAATAAAGAGCCCTGTGGCTTTGGCGCAATTGCGTCATTATTCTGGTTCCCAAAAAGGCTTCCTGTGGACATTGTAGGCAAAGAAACGTTATTACTGATTCTATTGTTTACACCGAAAAGTGAGGTCCCCCCGTTGTTGGTATTGGAGTTTGCACTCTGCGGAAATAAGGAAGTATTTTGTTTTTTCTCAGTAGCGGCCGATCCCAAGGGAAGCGGCGTTGTAGTGCTTGGTTGCCCAAACATCCCAAACCCCCCATTAACGTTTCCACGGCTCTTATTTAAATCGCTGTTGGCCGTAATATTCCCAGAAGTGTTCTTCCCGAACAGGTTTTCGGGCGGAGTTGGTGTTGAAAAGCTTTTGCTTGCTGCACCAAACAAACCACTCGTAGCTTGCTTATGGCCAGGCAAAAACCCATTATTTGTCTGCGCGGGTGTAGAAGTTGGAGTGGAGGTAGTCACTCCGCTTCCAAAAAGCGAGGAAGGTCCATTGTTGCTGCTAAACATCTCTTCCTCGTATGCCAAATCTCACGCTTTCTAATCCAGCCTAGTCCCTTTGCTTGATCCACAATTGAAGAAAATTTTCTTTAGATTAAAATTAAATTGGACCCACACTCTATCTTAAAAAGCGTGGTTTAAAAAATGCCTGAAGTGGGGTCTCCTTCTGTCAATGGACAATGAGATAACTCTTGAGTTTACAGCTCTGCGACTAGTATGAAAACTTGATGATCGAAAATTTTGGTTAGCTTTATTTACATGCCATGATACGGCCAAATCCTCATTTCGAGCAAGGTCATCCCTAGCAATTAGATGTTTATGAACAGCACCATTCGATGCAATCAGAGGTTAATTGTCGGCTCGAGCTTATGGCACATGCATCTCGTGAATACCCTAATGCTTATTTGTAATTTGGATATTGCTCAGTAGCCAGGGAAGCACATGCTTTGTCTGGGATCGTAAAGAAGAAATGGCCGCGTCGACTTGATAAACCTCTGACGCAAAATATTCGACAGTCAAGAGCAGCACATCATTCTCAAAGAACGCTTTTCTCAGATTTTGAACCGAAAAGCTTATATTCATTTTCAATGCTGGCGCTCGGTAACGAATCTCTAACAGATTAAAACCTTGGGCCGTTTTCAGTACCTTTGTCGGGTATAAAAGTTTCAATACCTCATAATCTTCCTCCAGCTTTTTGATTAATCGACATGCTTTTTGTAATTTTAGCATGAAAGCGGGGAAGTTTGAAGTTTTTGCTTCACTTTTCACCGCACTTATAGCGTTGTGTTGTATTTCCCGAGAAAAATCGGTAATGCCAATTTCAAGATCGTAACTCATATCTTCTGTGCTTTCTAACTTTTCCAAATTAAAGTTAAATGTGATTCCGCATTGCAAGCTCCGAACCGAAATCGTTTTGTCGCTCCAATTCACCAACTTGAACCCGCTCAACTTCTCAATTAAATCGAATAGCAGATTTAGACGCGCCAAATCGTTTGTTTTAGAAACCTCGTTTGGCTCTCTGTTTCTTCGGAGAACGTTTATTTCTTCTTTGATCTTTGAGAGCTTGGTAGAAAGCGAATTGATATTATCTCCCAGTAATTTTTTGTCACCAGAAAACATCGGACCGTCATGGACTTGTATCGAATGTCTCTCAAACTCCTTCTTTATCCTCTCTATTTCGAGTCTTTTTTCAAGAGACGGCCTGCCGTCTCGAAACTCTCGACTTTTTCTAGACACTTGAAATTCTCGCATCAGAGCACGCTTCAAAAGCCCTAATCGATGTCTGACATTCGAAGTTTTGTCTTTGATCCTATCCACTTCTTTCAATTCTTCCTTGAGTGTGAAAAGGTTTTCATCAAGGACGCTCTTGATCCCCTTCAGATGTTGCGCTCTCCACTCGAACCAAACCTTCCTTGCCTGCAGTTTCGAAGCTTGCTGGACAAGTTTCATCTTCTCCAGCATGCCAGTGCGTCTAGCATCGCTAGAATTTATCAGGCTTGTAAAAAGTAACGGCACAGTATTACTTTTAAAATGTTCTTCCAGTTCATCGAAAGCCTTTTTAGATTGTGCAGTCCTCCGTAAAAGCTCCTTACAGCAAAAGGCATAGATTTCCAAAATTGGCATTTGTGCATGCAAAGAAATATATGTTGCTAAAGTCGGCTGTTTAGATTCTGGAGAGATATATTCAAATTTGACAGCAAATTTCTCAGCGGATAAGTCTTCAAATGGTCTAAATGCCATACCGCTTGCAGTCAAGAACTGCAGCAATGATATTGGATTTTGACTCAAACTCAAACCAGTGTGGGGTCCACTTAGCTGCTGATGTTCCGACTTTTCGTTGCGATGTGGACTTTTTTCCCAATCAAAGATCGCGTTCTTGATGCTCCCTAAGTTTTGGGAGCTCATAATTTCATCAACAGTAGCGGAGAGCTCAATGGGAGATAATCTCTCCATGGAAGTAAGATCCATATCTTCCTGTGCAACCTTCAGGGTGTGCCCAGAAAAAGTGTGATCTAGACCGTTACCCGAGGTACTAAGCTTTCGGCGCTTTCCATCATGCTCATCCTCGTACAATCCTCCCCTGGTCGAGCCTTGCTTGTTTTTAGTATTTAACCTTGTAGGAGCATTTGGAGACCTCGTGCTTTGAGTGGAGGTGACAATTTGAGATGGTCTGAAATTTGGATGTTCGCTAAAGGGTATTTCATCTCTCGCAGGGCCACTTGACCTTAAATTCATAGCTGTAAGCTCCATACTTGTTTCTTTAGGGTCATCGTTGCGATGTGTTGCCGATACGGGGCTACTTGAAACATTGAGATTTTGACCATGCCGGGCCTCCAGGTCCAAGTCCTCCGGGCGACGCAGCTTCTCAATCTGTTGAAAATCGGTAATCTCCATCGTCTCACCGTCTTCCGACTTACGCTGCTTGGAGGAAGTCTCCATAGCCAAACTTTCGCCTGTGGAGTCCTGCGGTCTAGCACTATGCTTGCTGAAAAGCTGAGTGATCTCCATAGAAACTTCTTGATTGAAAACAGGTTCATACGGAGAAGAAAGCCGTTTTGGGTTCCCTTCCATGTCCTTCTCGTAGTATGTTGGCTTAACAATTTGTTGTTGCGCCGTTCCGATGTTGTTAGAGTACGTGAGATCCATGTTGGAGTCATCTGCGTCCTTCTGGTCATTTCTGGTCAGAGACACGTTATAGTCCGAAGTAAAAGGCTTGGCAATATCGTGCTGCCTTCTTCTAGGCATTCTTATCGATGGTGGATCTCGCGCCTCCACGAAATCAAACTTATGCAAAGTCACATCAGGAGCAAACGATACCCTCCGTTCAGCTTTCAGCTTTGCAGTATTAATCCGCGATGTTGTGTTATTCTCTTCCTTGTCATTTTGGCTGTGAGAAGGCTCTTCTAAAACCGTTGATGTGGGAATCGTTAGATTTTCCCTGGAATCTTGTTCGTTCATACGTTGCTTCAGAATACTTCTCGAAGGATGCAAAAAAGCGCTGTTCCCAAAAGACCCCTGTTTCGATTGGCTACTTCCAGCATTTTCACTGGGTTCATTTTGGCTCATAGTGGCCCAGGCAGTCCCAATGGCAGACTTTAGCAAGAAGCGGTTGGGCGTCTGTCTTAGTTTATTTACAATTTGAAGTATTAAATTTCTTGATGAACTAGATACCACCATACGACTCCGACCTTGAAAAATTTAAGATCTTTAAACTCAGTTACTCTATAGAGAGCTAAGATTGATCAACCCGGTGACATATCGACACATCACCAAGACTTCTTGATGCAAAACTCATTGCTATCATCACTTGCACGTTTGAATCCTAGATTTATTAATAGGACTATTACGCCCGGTCTTCCTGTTCTTTTCCGACCTATATCTTCCACGTTAAGTTCTTTTTTGGTGAGAGGATTTAAAGTAAGGACAGCAGTCAAGAAGTTTTGCAGTGACTGCTACGTATGTGTTTGAACACCTTTTATTGATCTTTTAGCGGGTTTCATTTTGATCTCGATGATGTACTAACAAGAACGGCAGATGGTGAGACGCAAGGGCAGAGTATACGTGTATTGCAAATCGAACAAGAAACACAAGCAGCGTCAAGGGTAATTAGGGAAACTTTAGAGTTTGTAAATAGTGTTAAGTATATGCTTAAAGAATGAGTAAGTGACAGGATGCGGGTTTCATTTTAGAGAATGACATTGTCTTCGTTCCCAGATATTCATTTGGTGTTTTTTCAACCATCACGAAGTCGATGTCGACATTCAGATTATACTCCTGTTAAAAGTGCGATAATGTTCGGCGTATATGCAAGAACTCGTCACGACGAGTTCGCTCCGTAACCTGGACGCAAATAAAGACATCATTTACAGGTAAAAATCTCTATCACGAAACCTCGGTTAATTACAAATGCAGCTTGTCAAAATGGCGGTGACTCAATATTCATAATTCCATACTGAAAGTCCCATACCACCAATAAGTATCATGGCACGCTCCTCAAGTTCTAAAGCTGCAAGACATCCAGTATCTGCTACCGTAGTGGCCCTCTTGCCTACAATATTCAATTCGTTTTCGCTCACATTATAAAATTGCACTTTTTGGTCCACAGATGTTGTTGCGAGCGTTTGTCCATTTTGGAAGAGTCCCACAGAGGTAATAGTTGATGCACTCGCCGATTGGTTTCTACAAATGACTTCGCACGCATAATGGTTTCCTTCGATTATCTTAAAATCTGTCATTGCTAAGGCATTGTCATCCCCGCCGGAAAAGATTCTCACCTGTTTGCTGGATAGGGCTTTGACATCAATTGCTCTTACGCCAGCCTTGTGCACACTGATGCGCGACACGAATTCAGGCAACGATTGGGTTGGAAGGCTTTCAGCACCCGAGCCTGATATAAGTCTCTCGTAAAGAGAGGAATAGACTATGTTCAAGTCCCATAGTATCAACATGCCATCGGTCGCTGACACAATCAAATGCAATTTCCCATCGAACATTGTAAACTTTATGTTGAGCAGACAGCAATCTTTATAATGACCAGAGACGAGGAGTTCAAATTTTGAGCATTTTTGTTTGTAGCGCCATACCTTAATCGCGGAATCAGAATAAGCTGTGGCCAGAAGAAAGTCATTAAAATGCTCGAAACCTAGAAAATCAAAATCCATGATTCGCAAATCCGGGCTATCTGAGCTTGTCGGTAAAGATGCAAGCATACGAATGTAAGGGTTGGAATTCATGCTGGTATTCACCTCCCATAAAAATAGCTCTTCTCTTGCACCTGAGGATATCATGAAGTTCGATCCAAAGAATTTACAGCGCTGAAGGCCAGATGTATGTTTACGCTGTGTCCAAACGGTTTTAATGCTGCCGGTCTTAGAATCCAGAAGATTCAATTTTACTGTCGTGTCCTCGGATCCTGTGCATAACAGGTAGAGCCCTTTAAAATTTAATTTATTAATCAAGGTGAGATCTCTTATCTCTCTTCCATGGATTCCAGTATTCAACACGATCGTCCGCAATCCTGAAAACTTTTTGACATGAAGCTTCTTAGCTCTCACATAGAGAAAAATGGAAACATCATTCTCGAGGTTGGGAAAAAATTTCCAGAGACGGTGAGCTCCACCGCATACCTCTGTTGCAATCTCCTGTTGCTTTGTCTCGTTGAAAACATAGAAAAGGCTTGAGCGGAAACCATACGTAATATAATCGCCCGACTCGTTGTAAAAAGCGCCCTCTAGAAAGCCTTTACTAACCCGGTTATTGTGCAACACACTAAAGCTCTTCTTTTTGAAATCTAATAGCACGAAAGCATAGAATCCGTCCCGGTTAGTAACAGAGAAAAGAGACTTCTCATCAGATGTGCATTCAACAAACGATATGGAAGATATTGCGTCTCCAGGAGTGAGGTTACGCCATACAACGGGCTCATTATTGGGGCACGCCATATCAAACACAGCAACAGAGCTAAAACGCGATCCCACAACTAATTTTTCGTCGAGAACTGCCAGACAAGTCGAAACAAATTTAAGAGGTTTGGGCCATGAGAGTTGCATGGTTTTATCCAGGGTTTTCGGATCGAGTTTAACACACATAAACGGATCTCGTGAGTTAGGGGACTCAATGGCTATCATCAAGTCGCTTCCGGAGAGTACGAGCAAGCAGTTCATGATTTTACTCATAGATCGTATGCTCAAGTTTTTTCGTTGAATGAGTTCACCATTTTGGGAAAACCTCATGAGCAATAATTCTCCAGAACTGCTCCATATAAGGATCAAACCTTGGGACTGAATACCTGTCATAACCGAAAAGCTGATAAATCTAGGTTCTTCAGTGATAGCCGACCATTCACTGTTAGAATTGGAGTACTTCAATATACGTCCCATTGAGGTAACAACGACTATTCCAAACTCAAGCCAAAATGCGCCCTTAATAATTTCAGTCTCACCGAGTTCCATATCTCTCACTGCAAGTTCAGAGCTTAGACCACTTCCCAAGGATTGCCGCATCGTGCCATCCTGGTTCAAATTCGTCAGAACAACTTTCCCATCGTTTCCACAGGTTGCCGCAACTAGTTTCTCTTCGTTAACGTCTACACCCCATGAACTCTTTATCAAATGCACATTGTAGGTTTCCTCAAGGACCAATTCCGATGTCTCTAATATGCGCCAAATTCTACAAGTTGAGTCCTCAGATACGCTGGCAATTCTCTTGTTGTCACAAATGAACTGGAGATCCCATATTCTAGCAGTGTGACCCCAAGCCGTAGACAAAAGGCGTCCGTCTTCGAAGTTCCATAGCTTGATAGACCGATCATCTGAACACGAAGCTATCAATTTCCCATTGTCGCTAGTTTTGACGCTAAAAATTGAGCCCTCATGGCCCGTCAGCTTTAAAAGTGTTTTCTCCTTGATCAAATCCCAGATTATGATCCCTTCAAGCACAGTTCCAGCATTCACGTATATTTCGTTTTTGGATAGTACCCGAATTGAGCCAGAATATAAAATCGCTTTTTCACCTAGAATACCTGTGACAGATTCAATTGAACCATCGTAACCGCACGTTATGACCTGGTTGTAGCTCGTAAGAATTAAAATTCTTTTGTCGTCCGCATGGAACACCGCGTCTATGATCCACTCATGGCACCTTTTTTCATCGCTGGAAACATCTTTCTTCTCCATCAAAGCAAGCAATTTGACAACGCAAACTGATTTGCCTCCATAAATCACAATTGTCTCGTTTTTGACTGAGATTCCATGAACTTTGTTTATGTGAAATATCCGAACTACATTCAATAATTGGCCGTTTTTCGAATCGTAGACGTGAACAAACGGCCCGTAGCCAGCAAGAACCTTTTCTCTCACAAACTTCACGCAAATTGATGGCCCATAATGTGATAGTTCTGATAAAAGTGCCATAGATCGAAATGACAGACAATGGTCTATCAACTTCGTCGGTTATGTTTAATGATTTTAGGTCATCGCGAAATCGAAGTGTAGAAAATTTTCGATATCATCATAAACGAAAGAACTTATCCCTTTAGGAACCACTAAGATGATTTATCAACTACCGGTTCGGAACAAATGCAAATCACGTAACCGGTGTTTGCTCGGTCAATTGAGCTCTCAGGACGATAGTGTAGTGCTAAAGACTGGATACTGGTAAACAGGAAAGTCTTAGCTTTTCGGGGGTTTTTTTTGTATGGAAGTGAGCGCTAGAGGATGAACAACTGGCAACTCTCTTTTCTTTCGCCCGTTGATCTGACGGATCATCTTCGGAAGCCGTATTTGAATTTTGACAACCGAGATAAATCAGTTAGCAAGCTAATCTTTGATGAGTACGCCAATCTTATTTGGGTGGGAGATTCTTACGGAAAAGTGTCATCTTACGATGCCACGTATGCGGTCTACACAAGATATACTAGTCACATAGGGTCAGGTCCTGTGAAGGACCTTTTGAGCCATATAGATGGGGTTTTATCTTTGAGTGAAGATTCACTGCATTTCTCCAGTCGACGCGGAGTCACGCGGTTGAATTTGACAAGCGCTAACATTGGGCAGTTTAGTGGACTCACCGCGGCATGCTTTGCTTCCCCTCAGCAGAATCTTGTTTTCTGTGGTGGCAGTAATACAGCAAGTGGTCTCCTCACAGTGGACTTACATAAAGGCGGGTTGTGCTCTGAACTAGACTATACGTCGAAGATTAAACTTCTCGAGTCTGATAATAAAGTGGTAGCGATTGGGAAACAGACAGGGTCCGTGGATATACTGGACATCAATAGCAATCGCGTCGTTCGAACATTTCCTGGTCATTCGAGTACGATAACTGGCATGGATCTGAGAGATTATAATCTAGTCACGGTCGGAAAGTCGAAAAGATTTAACACACTTTCCTCTGATCCCTTTGTGAACGTATACGACCTCAGAATGATGAGCCAATTAGCACCAGTAGCGTTCTCACAGCCAAGCGCGTTCAGAGGAACTGAGATGGGTGGGGCGGATTTCGTTCATTTGCATCCGGTCTTACCAACAGTTATGACAGTCGCATCGACTTCCGGAGGTTTCGATTTTGTCGACTTAGCAAATCCCTCTGTGCGATCCCAATATTGCCATCCCTGCCAGAATATAAGCGAGTTTGTCCTTTCACCGAATGGAGACTACCTTGCCTTTTTGGAGGACGAAAAGATCATAAATTTGTGGAGTCGAACTAATGGTATGACTGGTTTTTCCAATTCATCTACGACTCTGGAATTTCCTGATTTCCCTGATGAAGCCCAAACGGATTCTCCAAGAACCGTCGACGACATGACTTTTCCACTAAGTAGCGTGGGGATGCCATACTACAACGAAAAGCTTCTTTCGGCGTGGTCACACTCTATCTTCAGATCAGATGGAACGCTACCACGCAAGGTTGAGTATTCACTCTCAGGTGGTAAGCAATATCGGCCGCGCTCAATAGCCCCTACGACAGTGACCAGCAAGTTCTCGCTTCTTCCTTACAATCGATCTAAGTATGGTCCCAGAAATATTAGTCGACCATATCGATCTCTACGAGAGCGAAGGAAAAAGTTACTGGTCTCTGATGAAGATGGTACTGACAAAGCTGAGCTCATGCGTTACAAGTCTAACAATGAATTTGAAGTTCCCCCCGCTTATTCAAAGCTACAGATGATTTACGGAAAATATGGGGTAGAAGATTTCGATTTTAAGGCATTTAATACCACAGCTTTCTCCGGACTTGAATCTGATATCGATAACTGCTACACTAATGCTGTGCTGCAGCTATACAAATTTGTTCCGGAACTGTACAATTTTACCATCGATAGTTTGCGTGGGGAGGATTTCGACCAAACTTCATTACTAGCGCAAATTGGATACCTGTATGATATGATGCAAACAGCGAATGGAATCATTTGCCGGTCATCTAACTTTCAGGAAGCGATGGCCTCCATTCCTGAAGCGGTTGAACACAATCTGATAACAGATTCGATTGCGGATTTCACTTTGAGTACAAAATTGGCAGACATGAAAATCAATGGCGGTAGTGTGCAATCAGAACGAGGAGAACTACTGCAACAGAGTACTCCCTCTGTGCCACAGCGATTCAATGATTTCTTACTTGGTCGTTTGGTGAGTGAGGAAGTCGAACGGAAAATCAATACTACACAAAGTATTGCTCTAGAAGAACTTTTTGGTATACAGATTGAGACCGAGACGCGTTCCTTATCAACTTGCGGCAGTCGTGAAAGAAACTTCGAGATTGTTTCAACTCTGGCCATTAACAGTCCTGCCAGAAACAATGGAAAATACTCGCAGAAGAAGTTGACCAATCAGACCGTCCTTCCATTTATTGAGTCATCCATGAATCGCTTCAGTCAAGTGCAGGTCATGTGCGAGAGATGCCACAGCTATGAAACTGTCGAGTGCGAAAAGGCGGTTAGAAACTTGCCGCCACTTCTTTCCCTCAATCTTTCATTAACACAAGAAGAATGGAGTATCGCGAAACTTGTGAAAAACTGGCTTGTTCCCGAGTTTTATGCGACGATTTCGAAAAACCGACCCATTCTTAAAGTTCACGCCACAGACCTCAAAACCAGTAAAGCGATATTCCGATATGACTTAAATGGGTATGTGGCGAGAATATGTGATGATTTTTCCGAACCACATTTGGTAACTTACGTCAAGGTTTATGACACCAACGCGAAGGTTTTCAAATGGTATATGTTCAATGATTTTTTGGTTACAGAGATAGAAGAACAAGAGGCTTTAAACATTAACCATTGGTGGAAAACGCCAGAAATTTTGATATACTCTGATGTGGAAGAGTTGCAAAAACCATTCATTACGGTTTTGAAATCTAAACTGGACAAAAGTATTCTATACCGAGACTTTTTTTCCAATGCCCGGAGAGAACAAGTCAAAAGAGAGTACAAGCTACTTTCTCAGGCTGAAGTTCCGAAGTGCGGCTCTCTTGTAGCAATTGATGCCGAGTTTGTGATGCTTTCGAGCGAAAAACTCGAAATCAACTATAAGGGACAAAAAACGCTCGTAAAGCCAAAGAAAACTGCCCTTGCAAGAGTTTCGGTTTTGAGAGGAGACGATGGTGAAAATTTTGGTGTTCCTTTCATCGATGATTATATCGAAAACAAAAATCACATTGAAAATTACTTGACGCGTTTTAGTGGTATCGAACCCGGGGATTTAGATCCTGCGACAAGCTGCAAAAGCCTTGTACCGCGTCAAGTGGCCTATCGCAAGATATGGCTGTTGCTCCAACTTGGATGCGTCTTTGTTGGACATGGTTTACAGAATGATTTTAGGAATATCAACATTCATGTTCCTCTTAATCAGATTAGGGATACGGCGCTGTACTTTCTGCAAGGTAAACGCTATTTGGCACTGCGGTATCTGGCATACGCGCTTCTCGATATTGACGTTCAAAGTGGCAATCATGACTCCATCGAAGACGCCTACACGGCCCTTATGCTCTACAGAAAATATAGAGAATTGCAGGAGAGGGGACATTTTGAGCAAGTTCTAACAAAACTTTATGAAGACGGACGAGCCTGTGGATTCAGAGCGCCCGATCTGAAAGCGGTCTAGCCCGAGGTGAGTAAACAAAAAATTAAACCTGGCATGAATCACGATTATTGTGACCATCAATAAAGTACGTTTAGTTACTTCATGGAATGAGATAGATGCATTTTGTAATATATAAGGTGAATACTTATCATACGAGCCATAGCTGGGGTCGGCTTTCAGGAAAAGGAATAAGAAGCTAACTCTTAAAACTTTTGCTGCTGGTTGAGAGCATTTTCCATTCTTCGATTCACAGCCCTTGTAGTCGGTTGAGCAGATCCTATCATTCTCTGATGCGGTGAGGGAAAGGATCCACCATTATTTCTTAGAGAAGAGCGGCCCTGCCGGCGTAAGGACGGAAAGGCTCCATTTGAATATGAATTTGACTTTTCATCTCTGCCGGTATCAAGGTCTCTGTTAAATTTGGCGGTTTCCTCATTCCAAATTTGAGATAAAACTTGATGGATATCATGTTCATGGCCCAAATTCTGCTCTATCAGATCCAGTAAGGGCTTTGCATTTTTTGCATTTGCCATGTGCAAAAACTTGGACATATTATCTTCTTGACCTGGTAATGAATTCAGTCTTCTAGCTCCAAGCCGATCTTTGGGAGCGACTCTACCCAGGGAATCATTTAGTGGATTGTTGAACCGTCTCACATTAACATACTCCCTAGATATTCTTTCGAACTCCTTTTTCACTTCGATGTTCGAGGCCAAAAACACGGAGCTTAATCCCGAGCTTTGGGATGATAGATCTATTATTGAGTTTTCTCGCTGTAGCCAGAGCTTCTGTTGAGTTCTTGATTCGGCACCGCCCTTCTCCGATTGCAAAAATTGCGAGAAGTTGTTGATATTGGGCAAGAAATCTCCTGCTTTGCCCTTTGATAAATTCGGGGAAAAAGAGCTGACCACACTATTTGTTAGCATAGAGGGCTTTGCAGCTGCTTTGCTGCGAGGCATGTACTGCGCCCGATTGTTAGCCATACTTTGAGGCTCAAGATGTGTTGTCAAGCTCGATATTGATGTAGAGAAGTTGCTCCTTGCATCACTGTGACTTGTCCCCGCCGTTGGTCCCGAACCTAAATTATTATGTGATAATTTCCCGTTTATGTTATAATCCGATTTTTCACTTGCGTCGGCAAAACTCATATTTTTACGTGCGGACTTCACTTGGTTTAGAAGATGATAGTCGGCTATTTTTGAGGATGATTTAGTCCCAGAGGGTGGATCGAAATGTTTCTCAACGCCTGTGGATTGAGAAAGAATCATCGAGGGTATGAAATTATCTGCGCTCCCATTTTTCGACTGAAATGAGTTGCTATCTTGCAAACCTTGTAAGTAAGCCTCGGCCTCGTTTCTCACATCTCGTCTCAAGCTGTTCGTCGTCGTGACAATATCGTCTGTATTGTTGATTGTATCCTCATCTTGATCCTGATCAATACGGTCTTCATTCTCTTGCAGTAAGTTACAAGGAGGCTTGTAACTGAGTTGAGGATTCATAAGTGTCTTATTGCTGCTCTGTCTTGACGAGGTATCACTGCTTTCGTCAATGTCTGCGGCTTCATTTGATCCCAAGTCTTCGTGCACCGTTCTTTCGTCAGACCTTCTTTCATCTTCATCACGCGTGTTGCATCTCAGTTCTGTCTCTTTCTCATGTCCATCTTCCTCGTCAGTGAAATACTCAACTTCCTCGTCCGTGGTCGACTGATCATCGTACATCTCTTCGCCCTCTCGTAGCTCAAGAACAGACTTGACGCTGTGTCTTCTTTGAGGCTTTAACCCCACGCCAGGTGAAGATGGACCTGACGTACCGTTATTTGCGTTAAAAGCTGCTCCTGTGGTATTTCGGCTCTTCCCCAGCGTCGTCATACTTAGAGCGCTGATAGCCCTCCGCCGCGTCAACGAATCCGAACTCTTAGACTTTTTGATCGAATCTGATCGACGCGGATAATTTTCTTCAGGTTCATACGTTCCATCATGTGTAAGGACTCTTCGCAGCTTGTTCAACCCTTTGAAACTTGCTGCGCTCTTACTCCTGGACCGGGTGGTGAATTGTCGCACTTTTTTACCACTTGCGTGCTGTTTATTCCCATTTATACTAATTCCATCATTTTCAAATCTGTTGCTGCGGTTTTTAGGTGTGCTGGAAAGCGTCATTAAAGCCTCGTTACAGCTTCCAAGTTCAACCTTTAAAACCACTTCTCCAGGTAATTATATCAATATCTCATCTTATTCAGCCCTTCGTTCATGAGGATAACTTTCACGATTAAAGCTGGAAACTAGATCGAACCTTTTAGCTCACTGCTTCGAGGAGCACAGCTTGAACGAGTGGAAGCAGGCTCAAACAGGCTTAAAAAGGCGCATTCTGCACACTTTTTGGTTGATTTTGTTTTTTTGTATGTTAAAGAGTGGCATACGTGAAAGTGGGCGACAATGAATCTCCTGGAAGTGGCAGATTTCTACATTGGACGAATTCTATCGTCGCAAGCCAAAAGTGGGACTAGCGTGGTACAACAATCGCGAGTCAAGGCTATGTTACTAGATAAATGGACAGTGGGAACAATTTCGATGTGTACTACCCAAACTGAGTTGCTAGAACACGAAATTTATTTGGTGGAGACTATTGAGAATCAAGCGAGGGATACGATGCGACATTTGAGATGTTTGGTGTATGTTAAGCCAACAGACGAAACTATAGGATTTTTGGTAGACGAATTGAGAAACCCGCGATATGGCGAGTACTATATTTTTTTCAATAACACCATCAGTAAGTCGCAATTGGAGAGACTAGCGGAAGCAGACGATTTAGAAGTTGTTAGTAAAGTGGAAGAGGTGTTTCAAGATTACGAGATCATCAATTCGGATCTTTTTACCATGGGATCAGTCCCAAATTCACCACTTTTCAGAAATCGGATGATGTGGGATAGCAGCGGACTCGAAGAAGTGACAAGCTCACTTATTTCGGTTCTTTTGTCGCTAAAAGTCAGGCCACAAGTGCGATATGACGTGGGGAGTAAACTCGGTATGAAATTGGCACAAAACGTGGTTGAACAGGTGAAGAAAAATGACAAGAAATTGTTCGATTTCCCAGTTCAGGATTCGACGCCCATGCTCCTGATATTGGACCGTGCAAGTGACGTGGTAACGCCACTTTTGCAACCCTGGACATATCAGTCTCTGATCTACGAATACATTGGTATAAAGCGAAATATTGTTGATCTATCAGATGTACCGGGGCTCGATGAATCCTTAAAGCAGGTGGTATTATCTCCAAAGCAAGATGGATTTTTCCGGGATACTATGTTTTTGAATTTCGGGGATTTAGGTGATCGCATCAAGCATTACGTGTCAAACTATAAAGATAAAACTAAGGCAAGTAACCAGATCAACACCTTGGAAGACATCCGACAATTTGTAGAGAAATTTCCTGAGTTCAAAAAATTGTCAGGAAACGTTTCGAAGCATATGGCGATTGTCGGGGAATTGGATCGTCAGCTACAACTGAGGCACATTTGGGATATTAGTGAGATCGAGCAAAACATTTCGGTACACGTAGACGACTCGGAGGATTTCCAAGACTTGCTCAACCTCGTTGGGAACTCGGAAATTGAACCTTTCTATAAAATGAAGCTCGCTTGCATTTTTGCGGCGCGTACCAATAACCCGGGTAGGAAAAGCGAACTAGAACAATTGCTCTCAAAAACTATTCCGCTTGAAGAAGTCAATTTCTACCATCGTTTTAACAGCTTGTTTGTATCGCGTAAAAGTAATTCAGCGGTACGGAAGGACAAGGATGACATTTTAAGTGAACTCACCAAGAAATTCAATCACAAAGCACATCAAAAATCAGAGAATGTCTTTATGCAGCACATGCCAGAGTTATCACATGTGTTAGACGATTTACTGAAAAACAAACTCTCTGATGAGAAATATCCTAACTTAGGAGATCAGCCGAGGGGACCTCCGCAAGACGTCATTATCTTTTTCGTTGGCGGTGTAACATTTGAAGAGGCTAGAGTAGTCCACCAGTTCAATGAATCATTGAAAAAAGGTAACGCACGACTTAGGATAATCTTAGGCGGGACTTCTGTTTTGAATACCAAGGAATTCATCTCCTATTGCAACGATTTGGCAAACGATGGGGCTGCTCTAAATTTGTTGTAATTTTTCATTCAAGGTTCTTGGGTACAGGAGACCACTCACATGCAATTTTTGCCTATTTAAGTTAGCACACACATGTACAATATCATTCGCCTGTCTCCGAGAGAACTTGCGCACTAAAATCATTTTGGCCTAATGCTATCATTTCTGTTGAATACCTTTTTTCCCAAAACAAGAGCTTTCTGGTGAGATCGTCCATGAATTTCAAACTGTCGTCACATTTGTCGTAGATGTTGTCAACGCGCTTGACAAATTCCGCGTTGTCGACGAATTCTAAGAGCTGGGTTTTTTCAAGTTGTTCCTGAGAAAGCTCGAGTTGAGTTCTGGAGATGAACTCTAAGATGGCACTCACACGCCTTCGCATTTCCTTCATAGTTGTTCTTTGGGATGGGATGCGTGGCTTTATAGATTTGTTAATGCCAATTTCTGATGCACGCGCTGCGTCTGCTGAAGTCGCCTGCGACGAGCTTCTAGCTTTGCCTCTGTGAGGTCCTCTCCGGCCTTTGCGTCGAGAATCTTCTTCGGAGGACGACGCGGATGCCGTGTGGGTAGCGGTTGCCATCTTGGGCCGTCTTTTCTGCACATCTTGTATTGTATCTTCTGTCCCTGGTTCTTCCAGAGACTCTTCGGGTATGAGCTCTGAGACGATGTCGTCCTGCTGAGACGTTCTTCGACTCTCTTTGAGAGCTTTTTCAAGCATAAGTTGATATTGCTTTTCTTCACGCGCATACGACGTTGCGCGTCGTCTGTCGAGCGCGCGTCGGTCCTCTTCGGGTTCGGGTTTAACATCCTGTCCATTCCGTTTCCTGCCCTGTCGCTGACGTTTATGGGTCTTGTTTTCTGGAATCGGCTTGACGGGCGATGCCAAGCTCTCTGTTGTTGCTGCAATGACTACAGCTCCAGGGGCTCCAGTTTGCGAAGACGGGTCTCCGGTGTCTTCCGCGTTCGATTCCGGTTGAGATCCTTCCTCGCGACGCGAATGTCTACTTTGACGCTTGTGTTGCTGGACTGGCTTGTACATGGACCTCCGTTGGCCCATATCGGTTGTATAAAGACTGTGCAATTCGGGTTTGCACTGTTCGCACCAGTACTTGTCGGGAGCACTGTCTTCTCCCTCAGTAATGCCGACACAAAAACCATGCTGCCATACACTGCATTGTTCGCATTGAATATACAGTCCTGAATCGTCAGGAGGGTCGATTTCGCCGCAGAGACACCGAGTTTCGCCCTCGTCTTCTGCTTCATGTTCTACCGCTTCTTCAACGTTTGTCGGTGGCTCTACCTTCACAGGAGTTTGCGCTCTGGCCATCTTATTGATTTTACTACGAGAACGCGCTATATTGTCCTTGCACTCACCATAAACCGCGACCCCGTGGTTCTCAAAGGATCTTATCTTAATTCCTAGATGTTTAGGTTTTCGAGTTTATATGAAATACAGGTGAAAATCAATTAAAAGCGATGAGCTTAAGAAGAAACAGAGCGATTACTGCAGAAAAGGCACGATTGGCAGACGTAAAGTAGCCGTATGTATATGCGCGTCGATGCTCTTCTTGTAGCCACTTCCCCGGCGGAAATTGAGCCACTTATGGGTCAGTCGTGTATGACGGTGTGAAGACGAAAGGAGAGATGGCCCCAAGATGCTGGAGTGGATGTGACACCCACGCAGCGGATCTACGCAAAGGAAACCAACTCGTAGACGTCAAGCGCTGGCTACGCAGGAAAAACTACACGAAGTAGATAAAGTAAGAAATCACGTCACGTGACTACAGCGCTGCTCCCCGTTCAAAACGACCTGGAGCTGCTACAGTGATGAGCGTGATAGTGAGTTAGGAGCCGGATACATCGCACATTGCGCCAGATAAGGTTGTCCTTGTCGTCTTCATATTGAACGTATTGTTAGTATTGTCTGTGCATAGTAAGACAACTTTAAGACGGTCACAAGAGCTACCCTCGGCAGATTTCACCCTGGCTATTTTTTATGAATGTCGTCTGAGCCTTCAAAAACATTTAATTGAAATTTCGGTACTACGAGCTAAATAGGGGATTCTGATGTGTGGCTGGAGTGACAGCAGAACCCATGCATTTACATCTGGTCTGCCAGTAACCACTTGATACGAATACTCATGGGTATATATCTTTGTACGGAACTTGACATGATTATTATCACTACAACGCAAACACCCATTCGATTCGCGTTTTTTTATGCCGAGCGAGTGCTTTAGATTAGCCGTTACTCACCGTATATGGGCCGTCATGTAGAGTCCGTTTCCCGAGTTACTCACTGGTCAAGTCCATGTCGTAGGTGAAAATACATACAATCATATACAGATAAGCAAATCTCTCTTGGGTTACACACATACTCACGACATTATATGTCTATGATCTTATAGGCATTAAGTTACGGGCATTCGATGGCCGGCTTAAACCTGCGTATGGATAGACGACGTGCTCCATAGTTGGAACTGACGTTACCTGCTGAGTACTCACTTACGTATGAAGCGACATGGATTCCTCTCGTTCCTCCCTGTAGTAGACATAACAGAGCTTGAAGTGGTTTACCCGGCCACTTTCAGTGATTTCTAGTCATATCCCGGTAATATAGATAGATAACCATATCCTAACCGTCGTAAAATGGCTTGGGGGGTTACAAGAGGAAGGTAGTACGTACATGACGATGTACTCATATGAGTATTCGTACAGAGGTACACATTTCAGTCCTTTTTGAAGCGCATTTTATACGTATCTTAGTCAGAAAGTTTCAGAAACACCCATATCGCATGCAACGAAAAGAAAAAAAAGTGAAAAACCCCCAAGCCATCTTGTACAACAATCTAATCTACTCCTTAGATCTTGTCGACATCCCCATCTGAAAAGGGTCCCACAAAGCGTTAGCCAAGTGTTAGCGACTAAAGAGTTGATTGAACGCTTAAAAGCATGGGGAACAGCCCGTCTAAGACAAACTATGCCACATCGAGTACGAAGAATGCCAGTCAGCATGCCAGTTCCGGCACCATCGCCGGCGAAGAACTGAACAGTAACGAAGCCAATGACCCCGATGATAGTAGGTCTCTACCTACTCAGAATATCAAGATTACCAAAGAGGCTCCTGGAGAGCCCAGGAACATAGATCAAACCAAGAACAGAGGCCGTGGCGAGCGCTACGGTCTTGAAATCGACATGTCGATGGCGCAGGCCCTTGGAAGCGGACTCGCCGCAGGCGCTAGCCTTGTGAGCGGTGGAACCGCTAGCACCAGCAGCGGCACCAGTGCCAGCAGCACCATGTCGTTGCGGCAATTGCCCACGCCTCCTTCGTACCAGTCGGACGGGTCGTCCTCGTTCCCGTTTGACAGCTCGTTTGAGAAGTCCTACGTGCTGCCACCCATTAAAGAAGAGGCAAGCGTATCGCACCCGTTGCCGGGCGAAAGCTACAAGGCCGGCGTTCGTCGCTCGGGCGGCGGTGTGCACGCGCAGCGCGGTACCGATCCCCGCATTCCGAATTACAGGTCCTCGCAGCCCATTATCCTGCGCAAAAACTCGCACGACTGGCAGTCGACGGACGGAGTGGACGTCGACGATGTTATCGAGACCCTGTTACGTCTCGGCGAAACCCGTCAGTACAGCTCGCGCGACTTCCCGCTGTCGTCCTGGGAGGTACAACTCATATGCGCACGTGCCCGCGAAATTTTCCTTGATCAACCTTCGTTGTTGCGTTTGCAGGCGCCCATCAAGGTTGTTGGCGACGTTCACGGCCAGTTCACGGATCTCCTTCGGATCCTTAAACTGTCTGGCGTGCCTCAGGACACGAGTTACCTTTTCCTCGGAGACTACGTTGACCGTGGCAAGCAGTCCTTGGAGACCATGTTGTTGCTACTGTGCTACAAGATCAAATACCCAGACAGATTTTTCATGCTAAGAGGCAACCACGAGTCTGCAAATGTCACCAAGATGTACGGCTTCTACGACGAGTGTAAACGTCGTCTTTCCACCAAGTGCTGGAAGATGTTTGTCGATGTCTTCAACACGCTACCGTTCGCAGCCGTGGTTCAGGGAAAGATTTTTTGCGTGCATGGAGGTATTTCGCCCGATTTGCGCAGACTGAGCGACATTGAACGGATCGCAAGGCCAACAGACGTCCCGGACGAAGGTATGCTAACAGATTTGTTGTGGAGTGACCCGGACGCAAGCGTTTCGGACTGGTCTGTCAATGACCGTGGCGTCTCAGTGACTTTTGGCAAGAAAAACGTTCTCGATTTTTGCTCTCAGTTCAATTTCGATCTCGTTATCAGAGGCCACATGGTGGTCGAAGACGGTTACGAATTTTTTGCTAAAAAGAAGTTTGTCACCGTGTTCTCTGCTCCCAACTACTGCGGTGAATTTCGCAATTGGGGTGCGGTCATGAGCGTTACCACGGGACTGATGTGCAGCTTCGAACTATTGAAACCTCATAGTACGAAAGGCAAGAATTGATTGGTCACTGCTGTCTGTCTATAATTTGTCAGCAACCTGTCACTGATTGATATCCCCCTGTTCTACATCAGTTTGATTTGTGTTCTCTTTTTATATATATATATATACCATATGATTATGTCAAGACGTTGATCATTTTTGTTATATTCCATAGTTAGCTGTTGAATCCAATACCAAAGTGTTAGAATCGAAGCCTGTACTTGCACTTAGAGAGATGTTGTAGCAAGCAAAAACAAAAAATTTGCTCCGATACGGGGAGTCGAACCCCGGTCTCCACGGTGAAAGCGTGATGTGATAGCCGTTACACTATATGGGAAAGGATAGAATCAAAAAGGTAGTTTGGTTCCATATAAGTGTCATTATTGAATGTGTGATACATCGATGAAGATATGGTCAAATCAATAGTTAGAGATCCAATTGGCTCTCAATTCGCCTCTTTGGGAGTAAATTCCGGCTTCTATCGAGAGAGATGCCACTTTTATGTCCACTGTTTGTCGCTGCAATTGGCATAATTATGCGCATCTCATGGCGGCGCCCGGGACGAATAAACGAATCCAGTAGAGGAATTCTACCGTTAAGAGTGCTCGTGGCGGACCTGAACCATTTCGTAAGACGTAACCAAGCCTGACAGAATCAGGTTTCCGTAGAAAGAGGAAGGATTTGCGAATCATGGTGCCCATGGACCGCTCCCCGTGACTGCTGACACTAACTCACGCAAGTCATTCTCAGGACTGGTGTCACTAGAGCACGTACGTTCAAACCACCATATTTTGAACTACAATCTCTATCGACTAGCTTCAATCTACAACAGACTCATATTTATCTCTTTTGAGTCATTGCGACGATCAAAGCACGTGACTTAATAGCTAGCTACCTTGACCAGTCATCAACGCTGAATCGAATAAGTAACAAATAGTTCCTTTGACAGCACAATTGCATTCCGTAGCAGCGTCACTAACATTGTACTCACATCTACGAAATTACAGTTTAGGGCTCCATTCTAGTAAAATAATATTTGTTCATATTCCAATAAGAGGGTTTCGTGGTCTAGTTGGTTATGGCATCTGCTTAACACGCAGAACGTCCCCAGTTCGATCCTGGGCGAAATCAATTTTTTTTCAAAGTTTTGCATTTACGATGATCATGACACCTTTACGACCGTCAAAATGGAAGAATGGTGGATGTCGAAATCAGAGCACTGCGGAACCACATGCTAGGCAAATTGAATTTATCAGGGAATTGTCCAAGAGCTTGAATTGAAAGACCAAGTATCAATTGAAATAGGGAGGCAGGAAGAAGCTTTTGATACTCTTTTTCTCTTCCCCACGCTTGTACCTCCTCCGCCGCCTCAATGAATCAGTCGATTGCGGTTCTTTTAAAATCCAAGCTATTTCATGGCGATTCTAAAACGGAAGGACTTCAAAGTAGAAGTGTTTCAGATACAGGTCTAAGCGAACCCTATGGAAGTACAAGAGATGGCCCGTTGAATATCATCAAAGAAGAGCAGTCTTTACCGCCATTGGCGGCAGGCCCCTACGAGCAGGAGCTGAAAACGCCAAGAAGAAGTAAACTTCAAACTTTGAGAAGCAGAATTTCGAGCTTTCCCGACATCAATTTCAGATCGAGTAGCACCAGTTTAAACAGTTCAGATGATAGCAAAATCAATTCTGTTCCGTCGTCTCGCGGCCGGTCCCGTGAGTCGAGCTCTTCGAATCTAAGTAAATGGAAGGACAGGACCCTTCTGCTACTGAATCATACCCATCAAGAGAACGACGATAGTCAAACAAATAGCGAACTTGTCAGCACAGTGCCGGAAACTGTACCGAAAATTAACATCGAAACAGAGCGCGGAGTCTTGTTCGAAGAAACGCCAGTAAGGAGAAATCGAAAGCTTTCGCAGGAAAAAAGAACTAGCATGAACAGTCTAACACGAATAAATACTTCCTCTTCTAATGCCTCATCCGTTCGTCGAAAACCGCAACAGAGTCGTTGGAGCCTACTGCGCTCGAGTTCCGACGTCGATGAGTTCACGCATTCTTCCGTCTTATCCCAAAAATCCATCAGTTACGAAGAATCAGAAGCAAATTCGTCGTCGCATCTCGTGGCGAGCCCCATCTCCAGAAGACGCAGTCGAACTGTAGGTGCTACTGATTATGAATCACGGATACCATCGAATACCGTGGGACTAGTGGGGAGAGTAAGGTCCAATAGTTCACTGAATAGTCCAAAAGCATTTACATCTTCCGAAAAATTTGATGCAAGTTTGTCTGTAGCCCAACTTGCAATTCCTTCGCAGGCTCGCGTGTCTTCTTCCCCTCGCTTTTCTGGCTCCAGCTCCAGAAGAAGCAGCTCGATCGTCAATGCGATAAGCAATCTAGTCGCCATGCGATCACCAAGTGTCTCAAGCCGAGCCTCGTTTGTCAAAAACTCGGTGAGTTTCGATGCCTTGCCACCACCACCAGAGCCTATTCAGACAGACGACTGTAAAGACTATTTGCAAAAGATAGGTTCTTACGGAAAATTTATTTTATTCATTTTGAGCCAAGATGACGATACATTCAAGCTGCAGTGTCTGAATCAGTTTCTTTCTGAAGAGTTCTATTTTAGTAATGAAGCCTTGGATATTTCTCTGCGAAAGCTTTTGATGTTCTTAGAATTGCCCAAGGAGTCTCAACAAATTGATCGAGCACTTGAAGAATTCAGCAAAGTCTACTATGCCCAAAATGCATCTAATGGATTCTGGAAATCTTCGGAGCAGGTTCATTTTGTCACCTTTTCGCTGCTTATGCTCCACACTGATGCGTTCAATGCTAACAATAAAACTAAAATGCTGGAGCGAGAATTTGTCGAGCTGATGCGCATGGATAAAGAGGCAGATTGCCATTTAGTTCCCAAAGAAATGCTGGAGTACTTTTATGCTAATATAACTGCCCAAGAATTTGCACAAGCCGAATTGTCCAGTGTGTGTGACACCGAGGAATGCGTTTATGATGAAGCAGATTTGAGCAAATCTTATTACTCGCCCAAAAGTCAAATACATTCCAAAGCATTGCTGACACGCCCAGAACGTCTAGCGCTCTCTCACACAAGAACTTTCAGCTCACCCATTCTACCCTACATCAATTTGAGCTCAAGCGGTACCGCTTCGAGCTCTGCTTCTACTAGCAGTTTCAACCAAAAATTGGACGACGTTGACATTTACTTTCACATAGCCAACTCTTCACTAGACACTTTGGTGCTTGGAGCAGACATGAGTTTCGTCTTCAGCTGTCATGACGACAAAAGGATCAACCAGGGTGCCGAGCCTCAAAGATTGTCGAAATACTTGACGGTTTTAGAAGAGGTCAAAGGAGGCTATCTGCGTTTTCATAAGGATCTGATCGATTCGCTTATGGATGTTAATTACGAAATCCCCATGCAGGGCACTCATGAAAGTGACTATAGATTTCTTAAAATTATTCAAATGGGGGAATTGTCAAGATTAGTGACAAATCGCAAGTTTTCTCTTGCTGGCAGCATCAACAAAACAATTTGGAAAAAGTGCTATGGAGTTCTCACCAACTGTTGCCTCTTTCTGTTCGATAACATGGATTGGATTGATCCAGAGTTGGTTGCTGACGAGGACACGGGCACGTCAAATTATGTTCTGAATTGGGATCCATCGATTCCCGTACAAGCCAAGTTGAACTGCAATGGCCTTTTTGCCACTAATTCTAGCGAAATGCGGCAATTGGCGTGTCTAGTTAACTTTTCTTCAGAAGTGGCACCTAAGGACGATAAATCTGCTATGGTGCTGTACAGTGGGAACCAAAGGTATATTTTCCAGTGTCCAAACGGCAGTGAGATGAACAAATGGATTGATGCCGTCAACGTTGTAGCAGCATTTGATAGCTGCTTGGTAGATGCGGGCATGATACCAAATACTCTAGTGATGGCCCGGAAAACGACAATAGCTGAAAAAATGGCCAAACTGGCGCAAAGTAGGGCTAAAAGTGAAGAGAAATTCCAAGAACTTGCGCCGCTGCTGACAACCCTAGGGGAAACAATTCCCTTACAAGGTAGCACCAGATCTCGACTTTGGCAATATGCATGGCAATTGGCCAAACGAAAAGAGTGGCTATTGTACGAGATGCATCGCAGTGAAGCTTACATGGCAATCATGCAATTGCCCAGTTCTCTTCTGTCTAACCAGACAACTTTGACACCTCACAGTTCCATTGAGCAAAGCTTCATTTTCAACGATTCTCTAGAGGTCTGTGATTCGGACAGTCAAACTGGAATCAATTTAGATGACACGATCGACATGGATAATGTCCTGCAATCGTTTTGACGCAAACATCTATATAGCCGATACCGCAGAACCCAACCCAATCTGCCTAGAATCCCGCATCCATTGGTTTCCTTTCGTAGTGCTTATTCAATTTATTACTTCCCACATTCACAATTTTGGGACAACCGTCACGATTCTTCTCTAATCGACAGCATTCCCAGCAGTAGTGCGCATCATTATTACCATATTGACCACATATAACGCAACGGTTGGCATTTGCACCAAACGCACACTCTTGACAAATCCTGACTTTATACTTAGGCCTGACGTACGAGTCGCACGTAGGGCATCTCCCGTCGCATCTATCGCATACTTTGCCTATAAAGGTTCCAGGCTGTTTCAAGCACATAACAAGATCAAGTTGATGCCGAGACATGGCGTGTATGTGTCTCTTGTTTAACACCTTATGAATCTCTTTTTTTTTCCAGTGTTGGTTATGACAGATGATAATTCCTAATACCCGAAAGTCCTTGATCTTCAACACCTTTACATGTGAGCACACCAAGCTTACCTCAAATCAAAACACACCATGGGCACTTCTCCAGTCTGTCCCATATGTCTCGAAGAAATGAATTCTGGAATTGGACAGTTGACTCACTGTGGGCATGAATATCACATTGACTGTTTAAGGAAATGGCACAACGCATCTGGTAGTCTAAATTGCCCAATTTGCCGGGTAGAATCCTACATACTCAAGGATATGGATCACAATTTAACGATAAATTTGAAAAAGTCGTTTAATCTACATCTACTAATCACGAGCGTCCTGTCAGATTTACACTTCCTTGACGTCTCGTCCTTAGCCAGTTCATCGGACCCAGGATACGGGTATACGGAATGCGACATCTGTGGTCGTGGTACGCGGAATGGATTTCAGAGATTTATAAGGCGTCAAACAGGAACAGAGGTCTCACGTGAAACAGCTGATGGTTCCCGTCGCCTCTACTGCAGAGCCTGTTGGGACCGTGTAGACGACAATGGAAGCCCATGGGGACGCAGAAATCGAGAATACCAAGTTCAACATTCTGATCAGGATTTTGCGGCGGTCGACGCAGGTATATCGAGGAATGGTCGTGTTCTTGAGAATTCTGCGAATTCAAGAGTGCGAAATGCAGCTGTCGTTAAAGAACCTAGCGAAATTGAAGAGACCTGGAAACTGCTGGATCGGTTGCAGCATGAGCAAAGTCGGGCCAAAATCTTGGAAGAAAAACAAAAAATTCAGATGCATGTCCGAAAAACACTGGACAGATATTACAAAGATTCCCGGTTCGATATCACACGATCCCAATATACTGATATCAACAAGTCAGTCTCGCGACAGCTCTACGAGCTGTCGCTTTACGCTTACAAGCCCGGATTCGTGGATTATGACCTAAGAGCAGAGACGCTGATATCCGAGGCACTACGTAAAGAAAGGATCACATAAATATAATGAATTGATGAGGCTGCGGGGCCAGGCGTATGTTTATTTCCATCAGTTGGCTCCGGTTCTTCTGCCAGGACGCTTGGGACGGTTGAATTTCAGCCGACCCGCAGCTGAATTAACGTTTTCGGCGTTGCCCGCGTTTGATTCGGTTCCGAAATCCGAGAGTTCCAATTCGTCGGCGTCTCCGACCTCCACAGTCTTTGCCATATCCACACCGTCAACCTCCTTCAAATGCTTGAGAAATCCAGACTTGTTGGAAGCGTACAACATGCGTTCTTTGACTTTGCTGCCCGATGGACAGCTGTATATGAAGTAATTGCGGCCCTGGCTGTGGTAAAGGTTGTAAGAAGGCTGGGTGCTGTCCAGATAATCTGGCAACTGTGTTGGCTGGGAGACTTGCGCGGTAGCCAGAATCTCAACTTGTTCTTTGGCGATATCGATCTTGAACGAAACAAAACTGAATTCGCGCAAAAGATCAGAAATGGATTTGTCACTCGCAACCTTGAAACTCAGCGTGTGTGCTGTGCCGTTGTTCTGCGACACCAGGGCACGGGCCGCACGTGAACCTTCTGTTTTCTGCTGCCGCGAGATTTCGAGATTCTGCCTTTCGGACTCGGTCAAAACACTGGTTCCCGCGGCGTTGTGCGTCGCCGCGTCGCCCGTGGCGCCAGCAGCGGGCGTCGCAGACAAGTCGGCGACCAATTCGTCTGCGCTGGACGCCATGAGGGTCAAGGAAATGTGATTTGACCCAACTTGTCTGGAAACCGTGTTTTTGGTAGACGCATACAACATTTTGGCACGCACGGGTGTCGTTTCGGGCATGTACGAGACAAACGCGACTTTTCCCGCGCCACGGCGGACCCAGATATAAGCGGGTTCGGCGTGGCTGCTCAGATACGTGGATAATTGGTCGGTACTGTGTAGAGTCGCTGCGACCCTGACGGAAGTGTTGTCGCTGGAAATCTGCGCTACAACGACCGCAGAACCGGCGGTTTCGGTGGTCAAAGCGCCAATTGTGTCCAGGAGCTCCTGGTCAGCCGTGATACCCGACTGATTCGACATAAGCACTGGCTAATGGTGTTCTAGGTTTCTGGCTGGAGTTAGCCATAGACGGGCTTTGATTTGCTTAACGTGGAATCTGAATTCGATATCCCGTACACTGCGATATTAAGAGGTGTCCACGTGATCGCACGTCAATATTATCGAAAATGTCATCGGATCGCCCACGGCGTCTGTCGGACTAAACGGTATGAGAATGTCTGAATACTGGAATGATTATACAAACGCCGGGCCAGATGGCCACGATATATAGGTGCATAAGATGGGAGTAGACGTGGGACGCTAGTCGTGATGGTCTCCTCCCCGTGTCCTGGCCGTTCCGGGCGGTTTTCTCCGAGAAACCGCCGTAATGAAGCAATAAAACAAAGAGAATATCCTGAAGGTGGTGGCAACGTCGCGATCACAGCAGCATGAACTCGGCCACCGCGACGCTGGGACACACCATTTCCCAGACACCGCTATTGCGGCGCAGCACGCGCCGCAACAGCTTGCGGGACCGCTTAGCAGCGCTCTGCGCGGGCTTATGCACGCCGTGCGTCTGGGACCCGGTCAGCGCGAGTTTGCCGTCGGCGTCGCGCAAACACACGTTCCGCACGCGGTAGTGGGGCGACACGGACTCGAGTGCGCTCTCGAGCGCGCACGTCGAGGCGAGCGAGTCTAGGTCCGCGTCGCGGATGAAATCGTCGAGACGGGGCTCCGCAACCGGTGCCAGCACCGGCGCCGACGCCGGTGCTGGCGCCGGCGTCAACACGGGCACTGGCGCTGGCTCGGCGTCCTCCTCGCCGCACGAGGAGCCCACTTCGCGCCAGAAATCGTCGTTACGTGCCAGCAAAGAGCCCACGTCGTCGTCGGTTGCCGCGAGATCAGCAGCGAGGCCGGAGCCATCGGCGATGCTGGGGGCCAACGACTCGCGCTGCAGACCGTGGTGGAATCGCTTGGGATGCGACGGAAACGTGAACTCGACGTCGTCGTCGACGCCGTCGTCGACGCTGCCGTCGACGCTGCCGTCCTCCCACGCACAGCGCGATGTCCGCGAAAGAGGCTCGATCGCGCGGGTCGCGATCTCGCTGTTGGCGACCTTGAAACTTGTCTTCTCGGTCATTCCAGTACTGTAATGTGTCTTCTAGCGCTCCGATCACCCGCCACAGGTGTTTGGGCTCGGGGCCCGAAACCGGCAGCGATGAGTTCGACGGTGCCCTAATAAGTGGTTGACGAAGGCGGATGGACGCGCCAAAAAGAAACGCTGCCCAAGGCACGCACGTGCATGCAGACGAAAAAGAAACGGCCTTGAAAACCGAGCGTCACTCTGAACGAACTTGCCGTCCCTCCCACCCATACACCACGGCCGCATCCTCCATGGCCGTTTCTTCGCCTTAGGGCTCCGTTTGGAGCCCGCGCAGGAGGCCCACTATATAAGGTCCGCCTAAAATTTTTCAGGTACTAACTAGAGCCCACTATGCGCCACCCGCCGCTGATACCGCTTTCTTCAAGGCCCAGACCAGTGGGTCTGGGTGATTACCCATACGGTTGTCCTGGCTGTGATTATACTTCAAAGTATACCAATTGTTCCGACTGAATAGTGGGTTTTCACTGCATGTCGACAACCGGTTCTATCGTTAAGTTTCAGCCTTGTATGAGCCAGGTTGAAGAAAGCTGTGTGTCTGGGTGTACGTACGCTTGCGCGTCCCGTTCTAAGTGATGACTTGCTCGACCGGGCGGACATACCTAGTATTGCGCAGCTATTCCAAACGCGTTTCTGTGTACAAAATTTTAGGAGCGCGGGCTACGCGAGAATTGATGAGTGGTCGCCAGATAGCTGATTAGTGGGACGCGCCAGACTACGTGGAAGATGTAGCAGCGCGCATCAGTCGATGCGCGCTCGCAGTGCGCTTTTTGCGCACTGCTTGTTTTGTAATTGTCTTGTCCGGCGTATACGCCCGCATCTGTGATGATTTTCTTATATTCACACTGTCTAAGGCCAGTTTAGTTACTGTGCCAATGAACACACTTTGAAAAAACTGATTTAATGACTCTGACGATGCGCGGTGGACCGTATGGAACGTATGGACCAAGAGCCCCGAGTGCTTCTGAGCGATTTAGCGACGGGCTAAGACGGGGTCGTGCTGTAGCGACATGAGTGCGTATATCTCAGTAATTAGCTTGCGACGACCGTTGTGATCCCGGCCATAGCGTCTCCCTTTATACGATTCCAGTAACAGAAATCCAACCTCGGAATCCGTTACTTTCTCCGAGATTGACGGGGCGTGACGACACCACGACCACGGCCAGAATCGTTTGGTTCCTAAGACTTCCTCTTGTCCATTGACCGTCTGTCCATTTCTCTAATTTTTTCTGTCATATCGATCACGTGAGGATGCAATTGAACGATATCACCTTTTCGCCAGCTGCTTCCAACATTAATCACACGTTAGATCACTCTCGATGTGAGGACGCGGTATGAAAACATCATGGCCATCACCGGAGCCATCCGGTTTCCATGCTTCCTGCTAAGTCTAACATGAGCCGTCTGTTTAGTATCTGCGATCATGATCACGTGATACACCAATTGAACCACATCCCCTCTCGCTATCTATTTCTAGCTCTTACATAGATCCAGATCTGAGTATTTATATCAGTCCCTGCTGATGTTGAGGATATAACTGTTGAGGTTTATCATTGTCGAGGTTTTTCCTTGTCGGAGGTTGATAGGTTTCTAAATTGTTCATTCAATTCGTTCATAATTGATCTAAATAATAAAGCGGATTAGGAATTGAGTACTTATATCTCTCTGTGGCTATCTTACAACCACGACCACTTACAATCCTGTTCATATCAGTTCCTTTTATACAATTTCTGTAACATCGTTCCAATTTTGGAATCCGTTCCTGTCTCTAATATTCACAGTCACGGTGAGTCATTATTACGACACCTATTATGTCACTCTTACAGTGGTGACGAAATGTGATGCCATCATGACCATCACGAGAATCACTTGGCTCCTATGACCTCATCTTGATCAAGAACCGTCCGTTAATTCTTCCAATTTATTCTGTCATACCGATCACGTGATGATGCAATTGGACGATATCATCTTCTCGCCAGCTCCTTCCAACAATAACCACATCACAACCTGTCAAATCGCCCCCTTCTATACACTGCTTGTAATATCACTCCCACCACGCGTCACACATTATCCAACTGAGCGTCGGATTCCAGTATGATTACCATCGCTGAATAACTTGCGCTTCGCTCTTTCTGTAATCTGTCACCATAGTCACGTGATCTTGCGAACCAATAATCCAGCTCGACGATATCATCCTCAATAAACGCCTTCTAGCATTGGACAGCCAAGCCATTGAAAGTGTCTAATGCAATACGTTGTAGTCTGGGAAGAATTTCTGGAACCGAAGGCTGACAGCTTCGACAGTGAGTAGCGTGCAATTTAATTTTTTCGAGTGCTAGAGCCTGCACTGACGGTACACGTAGATGGCGGCGAAACTTTCAGCTCGCTCGGCTGGAACTGAATATGAGCTATAAGTCACACGTCAGGTTGATCGGTGTTAGACCATGGCAATGCGTACGCGATATTGTGAATATTAATCAGGTGCCGGATTCGACTATGCCAGTTAACAAGATCTAAATTTATTGTTCATCACTTGTGACGGTTCCCGGGCTCCAACGTCACATCTACAAATGAGGCATCCCTACTCAAAGACATTACTGTTCAAGCGGATTGGCAAGCAGATTGGCTAGAGGCATGATCAGCGTTTCTTTGTTTCTGTTCATCTATCTGCTGGGAGGCGTCACGTTCCCCGCGCTCATAGCATGGGCATTGTTCCGCGTGGCACCCAACGAGCGTGATCCGCGCGGGCAAGGGCGCGCACGCGCTCGGTTGCGTGAAGCCGAGTTGATGGTTCGCGACATCCGTGAGGATTTCAAAGCTGGTGATTTCGAAGAACAACAGGGTGTTGACGTGCAAAAAAGGGGGCTTGTCACGATGACGACAAAGTACCACTACCATCACTCCGAAATCGCCGCACTACAAGAACCTGACGAAGATCTGCCGACCCGCGATCAACTCAAGAAAAGACATAATTTCTACGGTGTGATCAAGCATGGGAACTTGTTTCTGTACAAAGATGAAGCGACCGATTCGGGTCTGTGTCACGTTATCGTACTCAAAGAGACGTTCGTGACATTGTGGCCTCGCAATTCCCATCGCGAAAGCCCAGAGGGTTCTTTGTTCACCAAGGAAAAATGCATTGCCATCTTTAAAGCTGCCAAAGTAAACCTGGACGAGAACAACGACTTGACCTTCGACACCGGGCGTCCCGATGGGACATCCGGAGTCGCGTCTCATTTGGACGAGTTTTTCCTGTACATCCCTAATAACGTCGAGAAGGAGGACTGGTATTTCGCTCTTGTACGTGCTTCCAAAGTGTCGGCACCCAGATCCGGCATCAATTGCTTGCTAGACCCAAACGTTTCGGCGCAGACCGAACACATCAACACACGTGATATGTTAGCGCTCATACAGACTTTGAACTCTACAGAAGCCCAACTGGGTGCCAAGTGGCTTAATGCGCTTATTGGACGTCTTTTCATAGGCCTCCAGCAGACTGAGAGTCTTTCGAACCTCTTGCGAGTACGACTGGCGAAAAAACTTGCCAAGATCAACAAGCCCGGGTTTCTCGACGATTTCACAATCGAAAGCGTCGACGTAGGCAATGCAGCGCCATTCATCACGCAACCACATCTCAAGGACATCGCTGCGTCTGGGTTGCTTAAAATCGGGTTTAATATCCTTTATCAGGGAGGTATGTCACTGATCGTTTCTACCAAGGCGAATATCAACTTGAGTTCTAGATTCAAAACCCGTGAAGTGCGAGTACAACTCTCCGTAACGGTAAGAAGAATCAGTGGCCCCGTGGTCGTTCTCGTAAAGCCGCCACCATCTGACCGAATATGGTACGCTTTCGAGACCGAACCTGTACTCGATTTGGACGTGGAGCCGGTCTTGAGCACGAAACAAATCTCGTACAACGTTGTCACGAACGCGATTAAGTCTAAATTTCGAGAAGCTATACGGGAGTCTTTGGTGTTACCTTTTATGGACGATATTCCTTTCTATGAAACCGCTGACGAGTTTTATAGAGGCGGAATTTGGAAACACTCCAAGGCCGGAAACGATACTAAGAAAAGTCCGGAAAATCTGCGCGACTTGAATTATGAAACCAATAATTCGCTTGGAGTGCAGGATTTGGAAAACCAATCTTCTTCTAGTAAATATGACCTTGTTGACGACATCCAATCTCAAGAGTCATCTGATGCAGCCAGTGCTACTCATGAATCATTATCGAACGATCGCTTGCTAAAGACAGAAAGTGGAGAATCCACTATCAAGGAGAGAACTTTGAAAAAGGTGGACACTCTAAAATCAATGTTAAAGCCGCGCGGTGATCATAGCGATGGGGAAAACAGTTTGAACTCTACCGAACATCAAGCTGCATCAAATAGTAACGCTCCTACTAAGCTAGGTGAGATAATCAAGGAAGACGCTGTGAGTTCTAAAAAATATCTGAACGCCGGCATCAAAAAATTCGGAAAATGGTACAAGGACACTTTATCAAGTCCCGAGCAATCGGATACGAGCAATATTGAAAGTGTATCTCAACCGGTACTGCCGGAAATGATATCGAATAGGAGGACGGTCTTAAAGAAAAAGGGAAGGGAACCGGAGAAAGGGGAATTGACAGCTGAAAGACGCTCCTCAAGCGCTGCAGAAATGTTTGCAAACAAGACGAAAACTAATTCAACCCCTCCTTCTTCAAATAATGAAGCTTCATTTCATCCTTATGCAAATAATGCTGTGAATCTGGGGCCGACTTCCCCTAACTTCCAATCTCACACAAAAAATAGAAAAACGTCAGGCACTTTCACGGAATCTATAGACCAACCTCAAGGCTTGGGTATATCTAGCTGTGGTAATGAAGTGATGAAACAGGGCGAAGCAAGGCTTGAGCAATCTATCGACAGACCTGCACGTGAGGCGCCAATGACTCTTCAAGAGTTGAATAAACGGCGACCTGTTCCACCTATTCCTTTGACGACTAATGAAGCAACTAAAAGTAATTCAGAAAGCATCGAAAATGACTAGCATGTTAAGAAACTAACCCTGATTCTGAAGTCACAGAGGATTCTACTTAAACTTAGCCATATGTGACACCTTGGCGAACCTAAATTCACCAAAATGGTAGCCACCCTATATACATTTTACTCAAATTTTCCGCTGACGTTGACTCCTGAATTACTGTCTCGACTTGACCTGGAACGCTCAAAATAAGGCCATCCCGTGAATCAATACCCCTTATTTTGTTACGAATGACCTTCAACGCTTTTTGAATCGAGTGGTCCATGTTTCTGTCATACATTATTGTTTCTATTATGTTAACCAACGCGAGTTCATTGCCTCTCATGAGTTCTAATGTCACTTGGCTTGATCTCTTGAAAGTTCCCTCTGTTCCAGTTATCCCAAGAGCATCCAGCAAATTTTGAGTTAATCGAAATGGAACTATTTCAGGAATTGGAAGCCTTTTGCCCTTCTCGAATAGACAGTCAAAATCGACATGCAAAACCTTCCCCGAATTAACATTAAGAAGGATATTTTCACAGTGCCGATCACCTAATCCCAAGATGTGGCCCACCATTCCCATCACAGCATATGATCTAGCAAAAATGTTTCTGCCCTGACACCAAGCTACTGGATCCGGGAAAGTTTCAAGGAACCACTGATAAAGTACAGGTGGAAAAGTCTTCGTCAGCCCCAAAAAAAATTCGAGTTTCTCACCCTCCACCAGAGTTTGCCATTTTTCATGCATCGATTTTAAGCTAAATTTTATCTTCAAACTTTCATATTTCGCAGCAAGCACAGATCTCAGTGTCACAACATCCGGAACAATTTCTATCAATCCACAATCTTCTCTTAATGACAGAACAGCGTAAGTGGTTATACTGAGATTTCTCTTCCTCGATTCGAAATCCTTTTTCAAAAGAAAATGCATAGTTGTGGCAAACTGCATGTACTGGTTATCTTGACGAACATCTTCCTTTTTACACATAATCTCGTAAAGCTTTCCGTCGGACCCGGTAACATTCAACTTTTTTGGTTTTTTGAGCGATGAAAAGACCTTATAAGATTCCCCAAATTTAGATATAGTAATCTGAGGCCGGAATGGATTATATTTAGCCATCGAAGTCGCAGAAATGGGTGCTACTATCTCTAAGTTGATATTAGCGGGAACAACCAGGGCGCAGGGTGCAATTGACAAAGGAAAGTCAAAGTCCTTCTCCAGAGATCTCCCAGAGCGGCTAGTTGAGGTTTTTGCATCTTTCACACAGACATTCGTAAGTTGTTTGACCAACTCATCCGACACTGTCGATAGAGTAGGGCCATCGTGGGCGCTTTTAGCAAACTGTTCTAAAATTTGCGCCCCAATTGCAGCTCTTGAGTCTGAAGAGGAGTTTTTGAGAGCAGAAATGTACCACAACATGTGAGTTGTGTACTCTAATGACAAATTCAGCAGAATTTTAACAATGAGCTGAACCGTGGGCCTGTGCGGATGTAAGAGCCTTGACAATAATTGAGTCAACACGCCATACCATATGAAAATGGGACAGTTTTTGATCGCAGACTCGATACTTCTGCATATATCTTCTGTCGATTTTTTGAGAACCGCTTTTCTTGAGTTACTGCTTTCACTGGCATACAGGGAAGCGGTGTCCAACCAAAAAGTTACAACCTTCGGGAGCGTTTCTCTGACTTTGAAGGTGTTCTTTTCAAACGCGCGTAAGAAGTAACATACAGAGCGGCTTTCGAATCTCCCGCTTGTGACATAGCCTTCCGCATTCTTCTTCTCCAGAAGCCTACTAAAGTATAACCCCATGGAATAACAGGGCTCATCCCATTTCGGATCAATTGCTATGACCTCGTTGTACTGCCTGATGATCTGTTCAGAAATAGAGTTGTTCGATAAATCAAGCCATATCGTGAATTTGAGAAGAATTTTAGCCCTCTCGCGTGAGCTCACCGAATGATCGTTCTGATATCTTTGTTGTAAGTCACTCACTAATTTTACTGCTTTGTCATTCTCGCCTTTTTTCCACAACACTTCCGCATATTCGAGCTCTGCTGAAGGATGGTGTAATTGAAGGGCATGCATCAAAGACTCACAGGCTAAATCAAGTCTAGAATTCTTTCTGGAAAGACGGGCAATTCTGAAGTATGTATCAGCAAGATCGCTGGCGTCATTTTTCTTGATAGTCATTAGTTGATAAGCTTTTCTGGCGGAAAGCAGGTAAAAGCGCGGTTCAAAATCTGGGCCTATCCGAAGCAAACGCCGATTCAAACGAGATCCATCGTCTTTCAAATCGTAAGATCCCTCGCTTGTACTCATAAAAGAGAAATCGTAAAGAGCATGCAGCCTGGACAGCGTCTCTCTTCTTTTCAACAAAGTGGTATGGCCTGATGTATTCGAAAAATGCGCGCCCACTATACGGAAGCAGTCTTTGATGGCCTTTAAGGCGCCCTCTCTATTACGTTCTTCGATCAAAGAGAATGCACGCCCGAAGTGATAATGCATCAAAAGGATGGGATCGTGTATCGACTTCAAGGTTTCTACCTTTTTCAACCATTTCCTCAGCTCGGAGTATTTACCGCTGAGGTATGCAGACTCTAACCCCATCGAGTACCATCCATCGTCCAGCGATGGAAGAGCATTACTGGGCTTAGGGAGTAAAAGATTCAGCCTTTCAAGAATTTGATCATATTGTTGATGCCTGAACATAGATTTTAAAAGTTTCGTGTTGGCTGTGAGCGTCTTCTCCTCAGGCTGAAGCAAAACCTGTGAATATTGGCCCAAAGCTTCATAGCATTCCTGAGCCATCTTCCAATTGTTGGAATACTGTAATTCTTCAATTTTGGCTTCAATACTGCCGCTAGAGAAGGTTGTTAGCACTCCTTCTACTGCGTCGATATCGCCGATTTCGGCATAGCATGTTTTCAGATTGAGCAATAATTCATCACTATCAAAAAATCCTTCATCCTTAGATCTGTACGACAATTCCATATACAACGCCGATCGCTCAAAAGAGTCTGTTTGTAGCGATCTTTGTGCCAAACGGCCATAAGGAATGATCGATAAAAAGTCATCAATTCTAGCCAAAATTTTGAGATGTTTCGGCTCTTTGATGATGTACGTTCCATTCAATCGGTTATGGTTGTGTTTAAATTGTGTGACCCACTTTTTGCAGTATTCAAAAACTCTAAATATGGTTCCATAACACATTTTGATGCAATCGAATTGAAAGTGGTTAAGATTCTGAATATCATAATCAAAAATATGCCGAAACTCTATTTGGAGATTTTTTATTAGAGCGTCTGACGGTAGCCGATCTCCGGTCATGGATAAGATGTCCATAACGACATATGGAAGAATATTCTCGGAAAATAGACCTTCATCCTCTCTTATAAGAGAGGAAAAAACATGCAAAGGATGATCTTCCGCTGTCCCTAGCTTTAAGAGATCTAACGTCAGGTTCCTAATCCATACATGGTAAGCCTCGCGCGGGTTAAACGAGGGGTATTGTAGTGGCACATATTCCTTCCATGATTGAGCCAAATACAGTGACGACATTAACGGATAGAGAGTTGTTTTGGAAACGTCATTAAATCTCGACCAAAGCTTGTTTTCATTTGGATATAACTCCGGTTTGCTAACATCCCATGAAACAGAGCTCAAGCCACAGAATTTGAGGGACTCCTGCATGACTAGGGCAACAAAAAGCTGCTTTGTTGGATTTTCACTTTCCCAAAATGCAGGAACCAAAATTTTGTCCATTATTCTCATCAAGAATTTAACAACTTGCGCATAATTGTTAAGATCAAAAACTTCTTCCATGTAAACAGTCTCCCGCGGTAATACGTATTTTGTCACGTCAAGCGCTCCGATTAGTGCTATGCATTCTGCGGCACATTCACAGATAAAGTAATCGCTCACTCTAAACTTATGGGCCGTATTCATTAAGCTTCCCAATAGCTGCGAAATGCCTAAAGAATTTCCAGCCTTTCCTACCTCGTTGAGCTCGTCGCTCGCTGTCCGCTCAAGAAAAATTTTGACGTCCGTTAGTGTTTGCTTGATAACATATTTATTGCAACTCTTCAAATTTGAGGAATACTCGGCATACCAATTGGTGTTAGAGAGAACCTTATTGACCATTCGTGCAAATTGCTTGTTATCTTCCAGGATGTTTAGCTCTGATTTATTAACAAGTGCAGATGTGATATAGGGCCGTGACACAAAAATAAGGCTTCCTTTCTCCGCAATCAAAGAAGTCAATATCTCTTTGGCAAGAATTTTCGACTTAAAGTCGAATGAGCCCCACCTTTGCAGACAGAAAGAGAAAAAACTATCAATTACCGTTAACAGCTGCTCTTCACTCAACTTCTTGATGAGGAAGAGCCAGCATCTTAGTGCGTGACACATAATTTCACGAACCTCTTGAGCTGTTTGTAAACATATGCTGATTTGGGCTAAGGCTGAAATTATGCAATTGGAGCAAGCGTGTTTTATAAGAAAGAAAATTCCATTAATCACGCGAATCTTCTCATAATGAGTCGTTCTTCCTTCGACGTCATGCATATCGCTCGAAAAAACTTGGAAAATGCCAAGAATATTTTCTTGTAATTTCTGTTGAAAAAACGATTCTTGTTCATCGCTCCAATTAGTGCCGCTTTTGTATTTGGAAGGCCCTTTTTTGTCGCTTGCAAAATTAGTCAGTAAGAACCGCAGGGCATTCAGTACCATCTTCTCATTTTCTTTTGCAGTGGGGCTAGACTGTATCGAATTCTTGAATAGCTTGAGTATTTCTGCGAGCGTTTTGTAATCTGGTAGATAGCCTGCGACGTAACCCTTATCAAAAGTCGGCACGCAGTTTAAAAAAAGAGTTTCAATAGTATCCAAAGAAAATAGTCCATGTTTGACTAAAGCAACCGCAAATATTTGCCGGCTATTTTTGTCCAAGAGCCTCTCCTTTTGCTTTGGTATAGAATCGGATTCATTATTGGACAGGATTTTAGCAACCTCCGTCATCACGTCATCTTTGTAGTGAGTAATGGCGTATGGTATAATGTAGCGTTGGAAATTTTCCAGTATCGTTTTGACTGGATAATCCACGAATTGAGCTAATCGCTCTAAATTTAGTTTGCGATCACTTAGGTGCTTACTGAGCTGGCGTAAAAGCACCGGCAAAATTGGAGAAAGAAGCTGATATGTGGTTTTTGCTTGTAAATGCGAAAGGTACTTTAATTCATGTGCCATTACGGATCGCTCCGCGAAGTTACTCGAGTTAAAGATATCCGTCAACTTTAAAAGTAGAGCATCGAAACCTTCACCTTGCGTTGTCAGTGTTAATTGAGCCCACGACATCAAATTAGTCTCGGTAAATTGAGGAACTGATATCAGCTGTATAAACTGAATAAGCACGGACGTTTGATGATCGTCACCATTTTCTTCCTCAGTTGTATTCCATAACGAAAGGAGAATGACTGCAAATACACGGGGTGTTCTGTTGTGACTGCTGCAAGCTTTTTGCAAGACCTCAAATGAGTGCGAGGCATCAATAACCATGTTTTGCTCCAAGCTAAGTCTTGGAGGCCTGAAATGCGTAAACACTTTGCGAAGTGTCATGACGAGAGCTGACAATGTTGATGCTTCGAGATTCTGAATGATAGCTGGCATCAAAAAATGACGTCGAAGCAATTCGAATGATAGTACCCTTTCACTCACAACTGGTCTGCTCAAACTTAGACTCTTCAGCGGTGCTTCGGCGCTAAGTGCATCACATAATCGACATATGTCATAACCTTTAGACTTACAAATACTCATGCTCTCAAAACAGGCTAGTCGACCTACTAGCCTTAGCGCAATAATTGCTTCACGTCTCGTATAAGTCTTTGATAAAAGTTCAAGCCGCTTGTCGATCTCAGAGAATAGTGTCTCACTATCAGTGAATCTGTCGAGCATTATACCTAGTTCCTTGAGGTCCTTTTGAAAAATGCAGGCCTCGGGCAAGTCAAACGAGCGGAGTATTTTCTTTCGCATGTTTTCTAACTGTCTACTTTGACCGTAAGGCAAGAGAATGTCTCGCTGTATTTCGGAAAAGCCCTTTTCCTTCAAAAGAATAACACCGAATTCACGCTTCAAACCAAGCGAAGAACATTTTCTCCTCTTGAGGTCAAAGTGTATCAGTTGGAGTGCCTTGTGTGTCGCGCCACCAGCCGACGGAATCCATTTGGCCATAATGTCTAACCCGTTCCAATCTCTAAATGGCAACTGGTTGTTGAAACATTGGCGGCCCGCATCATTGGTCATTGAGAGTAAATAAAGGCGTAAGAGGCTTTTCGCAAAATCTCGATCCTGCTTGTCATTAATTTTGTATTCATTAAACAAGAAGCTTCGAAGAACCTCGATGGCAAATGTTAAATGGGATCCCATGGTTAGATGGCGGCCATAAATGCGGTACTTTGTAGCTCGAAACATGACATATGAAACAATCGACTCCACTAGTCTCAAACGCAGGTCAACCGCTGTCTCGAATTCAAAATATAGCGAATCATGCACGTAAAGCGTTATTCTGACAAATCGTTCGTATATCAGATCCCATTTATTCGTATCAACTTCTACATCGATCAAAAGCAGGGACTTTTGCATTTCCCGCGTATGGCAGAACTCACAAATTATCAGCGCTTTTTGAACTGCTGTGACAAACTCATTAAACGTGCTGTTTCCGGACAGCACCCCTGTGATAGTGGACTGAACATCCGCTAAATTATCGAGAAGATAATTTGTGAGTCTTAATTTCCAGCGAGATCCATAATACCCTACCGTGAACGCACACCATTCGGCCACTTTCCTGTGAAGCAGCCATAAATACGCTTTATTATTCCAGTGAATCAGGGAAATTTCGAGCGCACGATTAATGGCCCATTCAATGCCTATGTTGTTTTCATCGCTTGGCTCATCGCATTGAAGTAAGTAAGGTTGAGCACGATAAAGCAGGTCTAATACCTGAATTGATTTTTCAAACGCTCCACTTCGTATTCCTGGTTCCCTCAAGTTTCTGATGAGTGTCTTGGCCACTTTTGAAGCCTTCACAGCTTCTCCTCGTCGGTACCTGGGTGGAAATTCACCTTGGCTAGAGTTATCGATGGATTCCGTTTTATTCGCCTCACGCGACGTTTTAAGCGCCAGAAAAAGCTCGTCCAAATATTTGACACGGCTATCCATCCCACTTTGTCAACAGAATGACCCTCAAAACAGCCCAAGGAGCCCTTATATATGGGATTGTTGTTCTTGTCGAAGAATTGACTTTACGCGATGGGCGGTGGTAGGGATGGCGATCAGATGAAGGATTTTGGTCTCGTGACTTGTTCAAACTTCTTATTTTGAGACATCCACATGGAAACAAGGTGAGATGAGCTCGAGAAAACCAATTCCTTGATAGGCTCAACTTTAGACCTTAGCTAGAAATTATGAGACTTGTGCCTAGCCTCCTTCGTTGACCTTTTGCCCTTCTAAGTTCACCTTCAAAAACCTGACTTTCATAATAATTTTTTGGATATTTCAATGCAGAACAAGCCTTTTGTTCGAGTTCTGTCGTAGCGGAATAATCAATGTGGTTCATCCTTTGCCATCCAATAAAATTAAGAGGCGTTCTTGGGATCAATCGCACATCAATTGGGCTCTCAAATTTAAGTACTTAAGGTCGACGTTCAAGCGTCAATGGCCAGGTGAAAACCCGTAAACACTGCCGGGAACTCGACGCTTGCGACATCAAACCGCAGAGTTTTGTCCTCTGGATATGTAGAACTGCGCCCAACTCACTCTAAACTCAAATGATTTGTCTATATGAAAACGGTACAAATTTTTTAAAAACCTATGCAAAGGGGCAACTCTCTTCTTCGATTAAGACGCGCCGGTAAGAATACTTGTAGTACGCATCTCAGGTTTGTAGTTCAGTTGTCTTTTAAAAAGCAAAATATGCGGTTCTGGGGCGTGACACTCGTAATGTTCCCATCCAAGAGACTGCGTAATACCAAGACCTCGCCATTCATCTTCTGTCAGAATCCGCAACGTCCCCGTGTCAGAATTAAAGTAGTCCGATGGAATCACCTTCAGCATAGCTTTGGGTAGCATGACGTGTCGATATTCATGCGTATCATCCGAATATCGTGGTGAATAATGAATCGATTCTTGGAACTCCAAAACGCGTACTCGCTCTTGGTCTGTCAGTTTTCTACCTTGAAACGAGTGGCCGTGTTGATACATGATCCTCCAAGCTGGGCTGATCTGTCGACCTGTTGATCTCTTGATGTGTTGATCTGTTTTTCAAGATACCAGAGAAAGAAAAAGGTTCTAACAAATGTATAGAACCCTGGAGTTTTGAAAATTTTAAGAATTTTGGATCCCGTCGGACCAGAGCGCTTAGAGCTATATGAAGAGCAACGTATTCGTTGGTTTAAAGCCAGGGCCTACCATTCGTGATTTAGACCGGTATTCAGAGTTTGGTTTTGATTACCTTTTGTTACCTGTAACCAATTATAGGTATAGAGATCGAGTGAAAAAAGTGTTTAAAGATTACCTTGCTCGAAGTTTCGATGTTGGTGGATTCAAGGCACCTGAACCACAATTGCAAGAGCTTGGAATAGCTCCGTTTGTGGGTCAAAAAAACTCTTTAAGGTTTGTAGGACTCATTTCATCATGGCTTGAGCTCGAAAGTGACGATCCCTTTGTCCAAGAACTCAGTTACCAGGTCTTAGTCAACGAGTATGAATACGCATGTTTTGCAGGTATTGAACACTTGATTATGGCACCACCTCGAAACTTGAATCGACTCACACAGTATGCGCAAACGATAGCACGGCTCTTGGGACGCTTTGACGAAAACTATCAATTTAAAAACTCACCTATCATCTCAATTTCGCTGCCGATGTTTGAAGACACGGATCCGTTTTCTACTTGGGAGTTATGGACCACGGTGCGCAAAAGATGCAATTATCATCCAAAATTATGCATATCTTTGGCGTTGCCACGATCTAAAATGCCTGCACACGTACTTCAGAGATGGCTTTCAGAACCAGTAGTGTGTCTGCTCGTATCTTCCTCCATTTTTGCAATAAATCAGTACAACTACCCGGTTCTGAGCAAATATAATCAACAAACCATCAACAAATTTCAGCGCATCAACGGGAACTCTCAATATCAATTTGGAGAATTCTGCGTTTTTCTGCATGGTACTGAGAAATATGCGTCCACGATCAAGGGAGAAGAGAGTGCATTTCTTGATTACATCAATTACCTTCTCAAAAGGGGTGATGACCGCGCATTGGCTGAAGGGCTTACTCTTGGATCTCGTGAGCCTTGTATTTTACCACCTCTCGATACTTTATCGCAGCATCTTTCCGATGAAACTTATAACACATTTGAAAAGGACAAGATGAAATATGATCTGTACGAACAGGCCGTGACGCAAGCCCTTGATGACGTGATACTTGAACGTCAAGAACATGTCACATCGTCTTCTGCGAGTCCAATCGTCATTCTCGTTGCCGGAGCTGGTCGTGGACCTCTCGTGGATAGAGTATTCCGCATTTGCAAAACAACGATTCAACAGCGAGTGCGCATCATTGCCCTGGAAAAGAATCCACATGCGTTACTCTATTTACAAAAAAAAAAATTCGACTCTTGGAAAGACGCAGTGGAGGTTGTGAAGTCTGATATGCGGTCATGGCAAAGCTCTACACAAGTCGATATCTGCATTAGTGAGCTGCTTGGGTCCTTTGGATGTAATGAGCTTTCTCCTGAATGTTTGGCCTCCATTGAAAAACGCAATTGCACTCCATTCACAAAATTCATTCCTCAGTCTTACACGTCCTACTTAGCGCCCGTATCTGCACCTCTCATTTACCAAAAATTGAAATTCATGAATGAAGGCGCATGTTTCGAGAAGCCTTGGGTCATTCACAACATACCGCATGCCACTGTTTCAAGCAAAGTTAATGAGCTTTGGTCCTTTAATCACCCAAGCGTAAACTCGACCCAAAGTTTCTCAAAATTTGTCACTACGGCTTTCAAAATTAAAAATAAGGCAGAAGTTCACGGTTTAGTGGGATATTTTAGTGCGGTGCTTTACAAATCCGTATATCTCTCAATTTTGCCCCACGATTGTTCTATCAAGTTTGCAGATGCGCTACCTTCAGCGCATGAATTAAATTCTGATGATCAACAATCCACCCTCTGCCAACAGGTCAAGCGTACTTCTAATCTTCAATCCTGGTCCCCGATATTTTTTCCATTGAAGCAACCAATGTTTGTTACTGACGATACCGAGTTTGAGGTCTCAATCTCCAGAAGCAGTAGCTGGGTCGAAGCAAAGTGCTGGTACGAATGGTGCGTCAGCTCTTTTGTCTATTTAGTTGCTTCTCAATCGTCTACTCGCAAAAGTCAAGCCAGCGAGAGACTTTCCGATAAGGTCCAAAAGCATTGCGGTACTGGAATCACGCCACCACCAACTCTCGGAATTCAAAGCGCTTTTGGCCAATTCCAACCTTCTTTAGGCTATTCTAATGGCAGCGAAATTGGAACGGAGGATGGTCTCGAAAGTGATATGTTTGATAATCCCGAAACAGGCATGGATTTTTCAACTCATCAGCAGTCCGGTTGGCAAAGTCTTAAGGATGTGCATGGTCTTGGAGTCTCTACTTTGCCGGTATTTGACCTGCAGATGCAGAATGACGGAATTCCATCAGCAAAAACTCCCACGTTAGATGAAGAATATCACGTCAGAGTAAAAACAAGCGCGTCTGAGACGCATAATGTCGGGGGAAGGGCTCATTCGATGCCACTTGCTTGATAAAGTTGCTTTCAACTTGAGATCTACTTCTTAATTTCCCTCAGAGTACGGTTTGCATTACTATAAAGTTGCATTCACTCCTAGGAAAGGCATATAGCATTTTAAAATTAAAACTGTCTATTACCATGGGTTACCCTCGATATCACTGTTAATGGCCCAGAGAGGCTTTTGAGCCGCTGCCGATGGTGCGTTCAATGTTGAAAACAGTTCATTTTCCGCGGTATCAGAGACTTTTTCATTACCCTTGTCATCGTCTTCTGAGTCGTTATCATTATAGTTGTCATCGGTTGCCGCTGTCGTAATCGACTTGAGATTTTGGTCGTGGATTTCATTCAAGTCGTCTTGGATGTCTGGTGTCAAAAAAGGGAGAAATTCCAAACCATCTTCACGATTCGCATAGAAATCAATTAATTCTGCAATAGTTGGTAAAGTTAAAGCTGGTAAAGTCTTCTCCGGAAGATATAATTCTTGTGAAGGAGATTCATTTATAATGGCTTCGAGTTTTTTCTTGAGGCTAGACTTGAACTTCGGCTCTTCAAGCTCATACTTGTATCTTCCTATGGACTTTAACAACTGGAGAAAATTTATTCTATCTAGCATAGAACTTGTTGCCATTAAGCTCTCCTCGTCTCTCATGGATGTTGCGACTTGAAGCCACTGAAGCAATTGTAGTAAAGGTTTCATATGAATCTGGGAAATGCAGTAAAATGACTGATAGTAAAATAGCGAATTGGAGGCATCTTCTATCACATTGGTCTTCTTGGGCCGATAGCTGGTAATATTTCGCGGCTCGGGGGGCAGATTTTTAACGTCAATGTCCTTCAGATCAAAGATGAGCGTGAAAGGGAATCTCTGCCACATAAATTCGTCAATCATATTTGGAACAGGAGCAGTGAAATCATGATTTTTAATCCAATCTTCAATAGCAGACAAATTTAAGCGTATTTGTATTGCATGTGCTCTGGACAATAGCTTCCTTTTGTCGCTGATGATTTTGTTAAATACGCAGGATGAAAACCATTTCATGCTTAACGACAAGCATTGCTGAGCAATAAGCGGATGGAGATGATGTAAATCTAAGACATACAGCATAGCACCAAAAATTTGAACCACCTTTAAAGGTGAAGGTTTCTTCTGTTCCTCGACTGATGGCGGATACAAAAGCGTCAAAATTTTATCATAAGAGGTTGAATTTGCATCTTTCGCTTTTCCCCTACGCTTCTTGAATAAATTCCAATCGCTTCTGTACAAGGTTTGTTTAACTTGTTCAATTGAAGTGTACTTCAAGATAGTGGAATCGATCAGAGGTGCGACTCTTGAATTGATTGAGGAGACAAGCTCGACAAGAGTGGCTCTAATGCCGTCAATTAAATCTTGTAAGATTTTGGGGTATCTTTTGAAAAAGCTCTCTTCTCGATAAAGATAATAGAACAGAAAGCATAGTGCAGATAGCCAATAAGATTGGGAAACAATATCTCCAGGATTCTCAGACACGACACCGCCCGAAGAGGATACGATAGTGGAGAGAATTTTGGTCAAAGAAAGACCTGTAAATGACTCGACCAATGCCTTGCTTTGTCGTCTCCTGTCTGCGTAGCGTATGCATTGGAATATGACAGCAGCCGGTGTACAAGTTTTGTGCGGCTTTTTCAGAGGCAGCTGCATCAAAAGCTCAAGTATTCGTGGAATGTCGTAATCGGCAAATTCTATGAATTGATCGGGATGAAGATTGTCGAAGTCGAAGGCTATGGAATCGGTTCTGGAGTAGTCGTTGAAGGGATCAGAGACTGGATTCAACCTTTTCTCAGCTTCGAAAGGTTCGCTCTCCTCGAGCGTCAACCCTGCAGCCTGCAGCGCGATATTGTCGATAGTGTGATCAACGTCTGTTGTAAACGTCGGTGGAGCTTTGTAAAGATCAGGAATGGAACTGCGACGTGCAGAGGTAAGTAGTTCGTGCTCTTCGGCAAATTCGTACATAGTGGAGCCGGGAACGAGGAGATCGAGGGCAGTTGAACCAGTTTCGGTCGTTGCGTCGAGATCGATTTCTCCCCAAAAATTGAGGAGCTCTATGCAACATTTTTGACGCTCCAGATGGAAACACCACATTAGGGGAGTGTACCCGACGATCGTGTCGGGGAGATTGGCGTCCAAACGGCCTGTGCTATGCAGAAGTTCAATGAAAAGAGGATTGTCAAAGACAATGGCGTAGATCAGGAGTGTCACGCCTGTCGGGTGACGGACATTGATATCCGAAACATGTCGCAGCAAATCCGCTAGCGTTGCAGCGTCTGGTTCATCTTCTGACTGGCTTATCAGAACCACGAGAGAGGACCAAGGATCTTGGTTTTCGGAGATGAGGCCTATCGAGTCCCAAATTTTGCGGGCTTTTTTGTCACCGACTATATCTGTCATATTTCTGGGGCCATCAGAGATGCTCCAATGGCTCGTAAACTCCATTATGAGCTATACCAAAGTGTCAGTCGATGCGTTACTTGATCGCCGCGTCTTTACTATACCTGCGCTATAATAATCAATCAGGTATCCCTTCAGACGTCAAATTTAAATGTCACGTGATAGTTTACTACTATCGCTGTGTACGGATTCTGATTATCACTCTTAACGCTTTTTCGAAATCACGTGACTATTGATTTTGCTTCTTTTTCGAGAACTTCTCGAGTCCGGAAAAAATAGATTCTCTGCAGCTCAACTGTCAATGTGATTTGTAGCGTCAGCGATGCACCCCCAGGAAGGGTCCTCAGCGGAGTTAACGCTGTCTGTAACATCGTCTCACATGGTGTCTCATAGCGTTTTGTATTCTTTCGTAGCCCTTAGCGGTATCCGCACATTTACCTACGTGGCCCTACGGCCCTACGGCCCCTATTATGGCATTCTACACTAATTATTACAGTACGCTTGTTCACGGTACGGTTGTATGTCGGTCACCGCGACAACACGGCGACGACGTAGGGACGCCGCCACGGAAGTGTAGACCAGATATCTGTACATAGACAGATCAGCAGTGAGTTGCAACTAAAGACACTGGTGTTAGGATGCGGATTCGAGCTAATCCATACAAACTCGTTATGGATACAGATACAATGACAGGCGTCAAGACGACGAAAGCCGTGGAAAACGTCGAAAGCTTGGAAATCAACGAAACGAATGATCTGAACGAAACCAGTGCGTCGGTCCTCTCGAAGCCCGTCGAAGACGGACCTCTCGGCACCGAGACACCGCCTACCGAACAAAGAACACACAGGAAACTGGCCAACAGACATGTACAGCTCATAGGGATTTCGGGAGTGATTGGCACCGCGCTGTTCGTCAGTATCGGTAGGGCGCTGTATCACGGTGGACCTGTGTTTTTGTTGGTGGGTATGGCACTGTGGTGTCTCCCGATCCTTTGCATCACTGTGTCTACCGCAGAGATGGTGTGTTACCTGCCTGTAAGTTCTCCGTTTCTAAGACTTGCGTCGCGATGCGTCGGAGATTCTTTCGCTGTAATGGCCAGCTGGAACTTCTGGTTTCTCGAGTGCGTGCAGATCCCGTACGAAATCGTCGGCGTCAACACCATCATTCACTACTGGCGTGAGGATTACTCTGCGGCGATTCCGCTCGTGGTTCAAGTAGTGCTGTACCTGGCGATTAGTGTGTTCGCGGTCCGCTACTACGGAGAGACCGAATTCTGGCTCGCAAGTTTTAAAATCGTGCTTGCTGCAGGGCTCTTTGTCTTTACTTTTGTCGTGATGGTCGGTGGAAACCCAGGCCACGATGTTATTGGATTCAGATACTTTGGCGAGGCTCCGGTGAAAAAATATTTCCCCACGGGCGTCGCAGGCTCGAGTGCCGCGGGCTATTTCCAAGGTTTCCTAGCATGTTTGATCCAGGCCAGTTTCACGATCGCAGGGCCGGACTACGTTTCGATGATAGCAGGAGAAACGCGAGTTCCACGCAAAGTGTTGCCCGTTGCGTTCAAACAAGTGTTTGTGAGGCTGACGATCTTGTTTCTGGGCAGTTCACTGTGTGTGGGCATCGTATGCAGCGCGAACGACCCCAACTTGACCGCTGCGATTAACGAGGCGCGACCCGGCGCGGGCGCGTCTCCGTATGTGATCGCCATGAACAATCTGGGCATCAAAGTCTTGCCGAACATTGTAAACGTCGCACTGATTACTGCGGCGTTCTCTGCTGGAAACGCTTATTCCTATTGTTCCTCGCGCTCGCTCTACGGCATGGCTTTGGACGGGTACGCGCCGCGCATTTTTAAGGTCTGTACGAAACAGGGCGTGCCAATTTACGCGGTGGGAGCGTCGTTGTGCTGGGCACTCTTGAGCCTGCTACAGCTCAATGCGAACAGTGCCGTGGTATTGAACTGGCTCGTGAATCTCATTACCGCGTCGCAGCTCATCAATTTTGCCGTTTTGTGCATTACGTATCTGTATTTCAGACGCGCGTATCTTGCACAGCGCATATCGCTGCCACCTCTGCCGTTCAAATCCTGGGGACAGCCTTACACGGCCATTTTTGGCCTTGTCTGTGTCTGCGTCATGACCGTTGTCCAGGGCTACAGTGTTTTTTACAAAGGGCTGTGGAACTACAGAGATTTCTTGTTCTGCTACCTGATGGTGTTCATTGATCTGGGTCTCTACATCGTGCACAGGATGTTGACAATGCGCAAACGTCGCAAGAGACAGCCGCATGAAGTCGACCTTTTGAGCGGTCTTGTCGAAATCGAAACGCACGAATTACAAGACGGGTTCACCAACTTTCGCCATTGGGCATGAATTCCCGGAAACGACGCCGGGAGATGACCGGTGTCACTAGCTGAAGGACGCGATGGGAATCTGACACGCACGTCACGTGATTTTGACCGACGCAAACCAAAATGTCAAGCGGACCTACCCTGCGTATCAGGCGTCTATTAGTCACGGCCTATCCCGTCGTCTGGTCCTTGTTGCTGTCCCCTCAAACACCCGGCAACAACTCAATTCCACAGCACATCAGATTGCAAATCAGATTGCACGTCGCAGCGGTGTCCCATTCGCCCCCACGAGCAATCCGCCAGCCAGCCTTAGTCGCAAGTGGGCTCGGTAATGACCCCGATAACGAACCCCGATTCCTCGGCGATTTTTGGCGGCGGGTTGCTTATCAGTCCCCCCACCACCTGGATCACGTGACGTCTTTTGTTTTGGCACCTTTTTCGTTTCCCTGGCTGCTTGGATCTTCAACCTGATAAAGAACAACACACGGCGACACGGCGATAGCCGTGCCTCGGAGTGGAACTCTTGTCGGAAGCCTCGGACCGCGGTCGTTACTGGCGCAAAATGCGTTTGTAGAATCAGAGAAACGTCAAAACCGTGTTTATTCATCATAAATACTTTAGCATAATTTAGTGGCAAGAGTGCGGGAAGCTCAGTAACTTAATACTGTAGATTTACTGTTATCCTTAGCTTTGAAGATTGTTCTACGCAAGAAGGGAAAGCACTTTTATATTTAACACGTCTCCGTAGTATTATCAGCAACTCGCAGTTCTCTTACTTGATGAACGCCAGAGGCAGGCGGTACTATATCTTGTAGTCCTTTACAGCAGCCAAACCCTGGGTGTTTGACTTCCTTTTCGGACATCGCTTTTATTGGCCGCACGGGCATCTCTTATCAAAACACCGTGCGCTCAAAGTTATCAAGAGAGAAAAAAAGAAGAGCTAGCCGGCTAGAAAGGCGCAGACTCAAGTATGTACTCTTTCTGGTAGGTAGCGACGCGGATTGCCGCAGTTTGTAAATAATTGCGAGATAGTCAAAAAGGCCGGGACCATTAGCGTGTTTTTTTCGTCCGATGGGGCGCCCTATGGGCTTTGTCTTCTTGGCGTAAGTAGATAGATAGCGTGTGAACTGTCATCGTGAAGATGGCTCGCAATACGAACGCAATCGGAAATATAGCCGCATCCTATAGATACGTAGCGCAGATGAGACGGATGGGCATGTGGTAAATGTTTAGGTCCATTTGATATATATTGTTTAATGGTAGGACAGGGTCGAAAGTCGGCACGACTCCAAAGTTGATCACAGGTCTTTAGGACAGTAAAGGAGCAGCAGAGCGGCGTAGAGCAACGAAAAGCCGCAGGGGACAGTGTTTTTATTTCATTTTTTTGGTGTTTGGGATGTCAGGACTCGTTAAAGCCAAATGGCAGGAACAGAAGGCCGTTAGCGACCAGGGCAAAGATCTGAGGCCTCAAGGCGGCGGGGTTTTCAAACCGCAAAACTCCAATAAAGCTCAGTGTAGCAGGCGAGGCGACCAGCCGCGAATATCGCAGGTAGCAATCCAAAAATTGAACGACATTTTCGATTTCCGTCACTTTCTGAAAGACCACCACACCTCAGCGACTCACACAGCTAGCCCTTACACTCACGGCAGGCGAATTGTCACAGAAGAAGAACAGAGCTTTTTGCCCCTGGAAGACTGGACAACGGTGAAGCACAGCGATTTCTTCGATGGGGGCCAAGGCCCACAAGGCCCTACGTCAAGTAGCCTGGCTTCGAGCTTGCACGAAATCCCCAGCCGAAGTTCAACCATGAAGTCGTTCGAGTATCAAGTTCTTTTGCATGATCTTATTTCGGGAGACATCTACGAAGATTGAAAGATGTTTTAAAAAAGTTCGCCATAGCATAATGTCGGTATAATACATGTAACGTCGACTAACCAAAATTTAAATCACATAATTTTTATTTGCAAGCTTCACTGACTCAGGAGGCGTTATTGTTGTACCATTTTCGCGCTTCGAGTTTCATCTGATCAATAAGGCCAGAACTTTCACACGAATTTGGTTTGAATTTATGCTTAGGATTAAACCAGTTTTCCACAACAACGGCGACCTTCTCAATGTCCTCGGAAATGAAACACAAAACTCCATTGTTTAGTCTTATCAGCTTTTCTTCCCTCACGTCCGAGGCCTTTTTCGTCGTTCTCAGCGCATGTAGAAACAGCATAACATCTTGATGCAGCTGAGATAATTTCTCAAAGGGCATGCTGTCAAGAAAAGTGTCCGCAACTGTTTTTTTGTTATCGTTTGGTTTACGGGGCTGGAGAAATTGACCCATCAATCCTAGGCCCCATGCGCTTCCGGTTCCATCGTCCTCCGCTGCAAACGGCGTATGATCAACCGTTATCGTGGCTACCGACGATTTTCTGTTGATGCTAGCAGTCAGAAATTGATCAAGTCCGTTCACCGCCAGCTCTAGTGCAGAGGCGTCCTCTGAATCACTCATTTGACACAGGGGAAAAGAAGACCGAATCTGAGAGGACGATTTTGTGTAAAGCGCATAGCAGAAATCATCTGTGTGGCTAGTATCCGGAATCAATTGCGTTTCGTAAAGTTCTTTCGAAATCAAGCTCAACTTGTAACTGAGGTCATTCAAGTATTCTCTGTCTCGTATTTTTGCAAAATCAGGTTTGAAGATGAGAACTACCAGAATGTCGTCGTAGTACCAAAAGATGGTGTTGTATATATCACTCTGACCGTGAAACGATAAATGCAGCTGTTTGACTTTGTATGAGTCTGGAAGAAATGCTGGTGACAAAGGTGAAATCAAAAATCCGCTTCTTGATTTAAAACCGCTTGCTGAACCGGAAGACTGTGAATACCAAGACCAGTCTGGAATGTAGCTTGTCAAAAGTGACATGCTATTAGAAACCCCGGTCATATTACCCACCTCTTGTATGGTATCGTACGCAAATGATATCGGAAGTGTCAAATTATGCAAAACATTTTTACTATGGCTGATGATGGAGGTCTGGAGATCGGCGGGGGATACGTTCGCACCATGGTCGTCTTCCTCGCCTTCCTCAACGGCGACTCCTTTGAGATGTGCATTGCCCGCAATGACATGGCTGGAGAGACGCCCATATACCGTATTCATTTGATGAATCCAGTTCGAAATTTGGGGTAAGGAGTCAAAATCTGTGGTAAAGTTCCGAACAAACCCGTAGTTTTTAAAGCCCTTGTGAGCAGTTTGAGGAGGTAGATGATATATCAAAGCATCTTTGAGCCCCAGAAAACTCGTGTCATCGAGAAGAACTTGCTGGGTCATGTCAGTTTCCCATTTGGATGCATTTTCGCAGTCTGCGAGATCCGCAACCTTGAACCCAGACGACCAAAAATCGAGGAGTCCATTCGAAATAAGCAAGTGTGGGAGCAGATCCACATCTTTCCAGAAAGGTATGAAATGCTCATTTAAGCGATCCGTCAGGTCATGCTGATTTGCAAAAGATTTCCATAACCCATGATGAAGGACAAAAGTATCATAACAGCGACACAAATTCGAGAAGTAATGATTTTCGACCCCAACCATTTCCTTCTCGCTACTCGAACAAGCCAGACTCACAAAGAATTCTCCCTCAACCAGCAGGCTGTAGATCTTTTTATCTTCCAATCCTATTACATTTCTTTCGACACCGTTTGAGTTCTCGAACGACTTTGAAAAAGACCACACCGCCTGAATTATACCGATCTGAGAAAGTTTTTCATTGCTAGAATACTCCTGGCCCTCTTGAAATGTGTGGTAAAGAAGTAGTTGTTTGTGAGTGTCAAACTCATCTTTACTAAATTTCGGGTTGAAAATAGTCAAAAAATCAAGCATTTCTTTAGCTTTTTTTTTCTTGTAATTTTTTGACCGGCACAATCAATGCAAATCAATGCTCAATGTGTTTGCAAATCGCGCAAGAGGCTTCTTATCCATGCTTGCCTTTCCTTCTTGACTTAACCAAGAGATATCATCTTGTCTGTCTCTCTATTGAAATCATTTCGTCAATGGAGACAGTTGGTGATATTTTGAAAATTTTCTTTACCATAGGGCAAGTAACGAGACAACAGTCTGAAATATCATACTTTGGTCAATAGTCAACTTGTTGTCCGCCGCTTACAATGGTTCTGGCTGACTTAGGAAAGCGTATCAATGGCGCAGTTAATAGCGCACTTTCCAATACTCAAGACGATTACGTCGCGGCGGTCGATGTCATGTTAAAATCGATTGTAACAGCGCTTTTAGAGAGCGATGTTAACATCAGATTGGTATCCAGTTTGCGTAATAGCATCAGAAACACGTTACTGGAAAATAAAAACCGGAGTATGGGGAGCATGCAGACCAAGAAATTGGTTCAAAAAACGGTTTTTGACGAACTTTGCTCGTTGGTGGACTGTGAAGCGCAGCCCTTCCAGCCAAAAAAGAAGAAGCAAAACGTGATAATGTTTGTTGGTCTTCAAGGATCGGGTAAAACGACGTCGTGTACTAAGTTAGCCGTTTACTACTCGAAAAGAGGGTTCAAAGTTGGTCTTGTTTGTGCGGATACGTTTAGAGCAGGTGCGTTTGACCAACTCAAACAAAATGCCATTAAGGCACGGATTCCCTTTTATGGGTCATATACCGATACAAATCCCGTCAAAGTAGCAGCAGATGGTGTGTCCAAGTTCAAGAAGGAGAAGTTTGACATTATTATTGTCGATACCTCTGGTAGGCATCGTCAAGAAGAAGAGCTTTTTCAAGAAATGGTTGAGATTTCGCAAGTTGTCAAACCCAACCAGACCATCATGGTTTTGGATGCGTCAATTGGTCAAGCTGCTGAGCAGCAATCCAAAGCGTTCAAAGATAGCTCGGATTTTGGTGCCATAATTTTGACCAAAATGGATGGTCACGCCAAGGGTGGTGGTGCCATTTCAGCGGTCGCAGCGACAAACACCCCTATCATTTTCATTGGTACCGGTGAACATGTTCACGATTTCGAAAAGTTTTCGCCCAAGTCATTCATATCCAAACTATTGGGAATAGGAGACATGGAAAGTTTGTTGGAGCAGTATAGAACCGTTTCGAACAAAGAAGATCACGAAGCTACTCTCGAAAACTTGCAAAAGGGCAAATTCACGTTACTTGACTTTCAAAAGCAAATGCAAACTATTATGAAAATGGGCCCTCTGTCTAACATCGCTAACATGATTCCTGGTATGGGCCAAATGATGAACCAAATAAGTGAGGAAGAAACGAGCACAAAAATGAAAAGAATGATTTTTGTTTTAGATTCCATGACTAAGAAAGAACTTGAATCTGACGGACGCATTTTCACAGAGCAACCGAGTCGTCTTGTGAGAGTAGCACGCGGATCTGGTGCCACGGTTTTTGACGTTGAAATGATTTTGATGCAGCAACAAATGATGGCTAGGATGGCTCAGACATCGAGAGCGGCGCAACAAGGTGGAGGAATGCCTGGAATGTCTGGCATGCCCGGCATGCCCAACATCCCTGGTATGCCCAAGATTTCTCCTGCTATGATGCAGCAAGCACAGCAGAGGCTTAAACAGAATCCTAGTTTGATGAAGAACATGATGAATATGTTTGGTGGCGGTGCTGGCGGTGCCGGCGGTGCTGGTAGTCCGGGCGCTGGATTCCCAGGCATGGGTGGCATGGGAGGTATGCCAAACATGGATGACATGATGAAAATGATGCAAAACCCTCAAATGCAAGAAATGGCAAAGCAATTTGGCATGGGCATGTAGCTGTGAAACCTAAGAACTCACACGCAAAGTCACGAATAACGTTGTGCTCCCCATTAGCGGCGCCTCCACCCGAGGTTTCGTCCTAACATGAATGAAGAGCCGGACGTTTTACGCCAATCAAATGAACTGGCATCAAAGTTGCATTTTTTCTCTTGTGTACCATTCTGTAGTTTTGAAGACAGCATAGGGCACAGTTGCTTTTGCAAGCTAGCCTCTAATCTAACACACCTAATAATATCAATTTTATTTCCTAGATCATATTGACCTAACCAGTCTTCCCTGGAAAAGCAGCTTTAGAAAATGGGCTAGTTCGGTAATTAAAGCTCTCTGAGCTTTTGGCTTTATCGCTACCAGTGCTCCGATCCACTGGGCGACACCTCCGCACGTATGAAATGGTCACCACCATATACGTCAACTGGACATTTTCTGGGGTAAATTGAATCGTCCGAGGACCCGCACCTCCTTGTCTTAAGTATTGTGAGAAATTAGATAGTCTTACTTTTGATTGGCTAGGAACAACTATAGCAAGCGAGATCTATCCGCTTTCATGTTTCTTGTATTCCAGTTGAGCGTCATTAAAAAGTGACACTGTAGTCACGTGATAGCCTTCTTAAAGTCAAAAGTGATAAACTAAAGAGCTACCACCTCCTAAGTTACTAAAGTTCTTGTTTTGAACGTCAAATTCTTGTGATTCTTTCAGCATCTTCTATTAGTTTCATGACAGTAACTGCTGAGAGGTGCTTTTGAAAGGTGATATCGTCAAGTTGCACTATCAGTCAATGTATCACGTGATCGTGATGACAGAACAGATTGGAGATGAACCAATGAATGATTTGAATCCGGTTCAATAGGAAGCCACGGAAGTCTAAGGATCTCATCAGTGACTAGAGATTTACTATTTTTTACACCACCAGTGGTATGCTTTATTAAAGAAAGGAAAAGCGTATACAATGTTACCATGTTTACACCAAAAAAGAAATAGATGGGAGTCAAATTATAAGAAATGTATAAAGGACGCTCCATGGCGAGCACTTGGTATTCAATATGAGAAACTTAATTAGGGAAAGGTATGAGTACTCAATAAGTACTCAATTACTATTTTCTCTCGCTACGCAAAATCACTGTGCATAAACTAATAGAATAATTAGGGAAGTTGTCGACTACCGATAGCGGCGATCCTCCATAGCAATGACTTTCCTCATGGTGAATCTCTCTATTTCGAAAAAATGTTCTTAGTCATATAACGTGGCATTGTTAAAGATACAACAACATACCATAACGCGCGGTAATTCTACCAAGAAATAAATTTTTTAGAGAAAATGTAGCAATCTCGTTATACAAACTTTTTGGGCCTAGTCAAATTGCCACGGCACTGAAACTGAAGAGCGCTTCAACCGCGAAGAATGGGTAATGTCTAGTCTGATCTTGCCATACTCATGATTTTGCCATATGAGTCAGTGAAAGTTAACGGCCCTTCTCACGATAATGTTAGCATCTTGCACGATTTTTGATTTGATCCATGCAACCTCGAGCTTTAGAACCGTTGATTCTACAGGCTTTTTTAACCCAAGACCAGAGCGGAAGTAAAAAAAGCGACGGAACGCCACAATCATGGAAACAAATCTCCATTCACCTGCTCGACTCACTCCGAGTCATATGTCGCCGTCGCGCCTTTCTCCGTCGCGAATGTCGATAAATCAGAGCACATTTCTGGCGAACATGAACAATGACGATAGTCCCAGCCGAAATTACGCTAGCGACATTGGTGCCGGGATGTCAAGTTCAAAAGTGATAGAAACGCTACATGCACAGATAGACAAACTTTCGCAAGCGAATTTGGAGCTCACAATGCAATCGAGCAATCTGCTTACTCGCCTGGAGACGTCGAATCAACGACAGGCACAACAAATTGAAACGATCTCAACACTTAAACATGAAAACGAGAATCTGGGGTCTGTTTTGGGAAGAAAAGAGCGGAAGATTAAGGAATTAGAGTCGCAGCTTGGCCGATTGAGGGTTTCATATGAAGCGGCCGTTTCTCAAAATGAGGCACTTCAACAGAGCTTAGAAAATTCGGACCGTAAAGGAGGCACGCTCGAAGTTCAAATGCAACAAACGCAGGCTCAATATGACGCCTTGCTCGACAGCCATAAACGCTACCGTAATTCGTACGAAACTGATATCTCTGACCTACGCCAAAGCCTCGAACAATACAAAGTGGATGCAGAACGGCATTTTACCTTAAAATTGGAAAAGTTGACACAGGTGAACTCAGAGCTACAAACAAAATTGCATAAGTATTCTCTGCAATACAAGGAGCTGGAAAACGCACGCCAGGAACAACTCCAAGAATTAAGCAAAAAAGTTGATACATTGCGTGATCAGCTTGATTTACATGCATGGGAACGTCTTTATGACGAGTCAAAAGATTTAACACTAAAGTACAGTGAGCAGACAGGTGTACCCTTGTCACCGGAATTTTTTGAAGAACATGATTCCCAGAAACTGGCATCATCTTCCATTCAGAAAAGCAGGTTATCCACGACTGCTTCCAGCATTCCAAATGGTAGCAGCATCCCTGGCCAACCTCAGCTTCGAATGTCAAAAGTACGTAACACGAGTGCTGGAAAGAGAAGCAGTTTCTATGGCTCAAACATCTCCATTTCGCGGCCGCAGCCGTCTTCCACGACTATGCCACCGCCTTCCTCCCCTGCACTACCCGGCGTCAAGAGGTTTTCGTCAGTTAAGTCGACACCCTCTCCCAGTACTTCTCGACATCCTTCGGATGAGCCCCTGGGGCCCGTTATCAGTGGTAACGCCAAGGACGGTGTTCAGCGTTCGAACTCAATAACCAGAGTTGCCTCAAAACGAAACAACTCCAGTCGAAGGAAGAAAAGCATTTCACACTCCAGAACACCTTCCAATTCTTCAAACGTTGAGAACTGAGTAAAATTTTTTGCGAAGCCACGCTCTCCACCTTAGTGCTATGATATGCTGGGGAGCGTTCATTCATATCCGTCTCGCCAAATCATTCAACGCAACATCATCAGTATAACACTTCCTCTCCGTGGCCCTTGACGTGCTCTCGATATTTGCATTCCGGGTGCGACTCCATTCGATTTGGGTCGTGATATCGACTACGAGTCCACCATTTTGGTACCGTGAACGGACCGTCCATTTTTGTGGGTTTCTAGCGCATTATAGAGTAAGTAAGGAAGAATACCCAACATTCAGAGATTGCGATTGCTTTATAGGGCAGCTTAAATTGATGCTTGAGGTTCGGGTTGTAACCTCTCTTAAGCAAAACTAAACCGCAAACAGGGACATGTGGAAAGCATTAAAACGCGCGATAGCTGCATATTTAGTCCAATTAATGCTGATTCCGTTTCTCTGTGTGCCGTAAGGGGCGGTTGTAGAGAAAAGTTCAGTGAGAGAATAGAATCATATCAAACACTACACACTTTAAATGCATCTTCTCTGATGGCGATAGGATGGTAAATTATACATCAAGTTTTCATCTTGCTCACCCCCATACATTCACCTTGATTTAAAGATCCTGACATCCTCTTGAAGCGAACTTCAAGGCACTACAAAAAAAAGATTAAAATTACGATTAAAGTTCCACACAAAGGCTACGAGTTTACAAGCTTCAAGTTGAATGGCATTTCTTGGGCCTGATTACACATTCTTCGCCTGCTAAATTCACAATTTTTACTACTGAATAGCGAATTTTCGAGTATTTGTTATTTTTCCGTATGTCATGACTAACTTTTGCTGACGATCAAATCTGCTGATGATCCCATTTCAATCAAAACCCTATCGTTTTGAGCAGATAGTTTCCTTTTCTCGATCCCTCACTTTAGCCTCCATTACTATTATACCTTCTAAATCTTCACTTTTATATAATAGCACGTGACTTATCTTTTTATACGTATCCATTGTTACATAAGTCAAAGCGGCGTACGTCATGACGGTTTTTTAATGCAAGCTCCGTTTAAGAGTTAACCTTCTCTTCTGGAAGGACAACAACTCCAGATACTTAATGGTTCCTGTCAAGACAACTCCGTCTCCACGGCTCAATGCTGGAGTTCTGAACGAAGTTCTGTTTGCGTCGTATTTACTGAAGAAGTCCGTGACAAATTCGGGATCTGTAACGAAAAGTAAGCCACCAGAATCCGGGGACTCCTCATCGAAGCCAGAAGTCACGTCTGCGGAATCATCACATCACTGGTTTTCTAAAGGAAGTGTGCAGCTATATTGGTTTGTCCTGAGGCTCAATCAATTCAGTTATTACAAAGACAAGAGTGAACGGAAGGCTATTAGCGTCGTTCCTGTCGATGAAATCTTGGATTTCAGAGTCGTTCCAGGCGAGTTACGACTGGACATCTACACGAAGGATGAGACAATGGTCCTAAAAGCTGAAACGAAAGAGATCATAACACAATGGCAACTAGCATTCCAGCAATTGCGGCTCGCGAGAGACCAAGGGTTGGGGGAATCTGAGCTTCCGGACGACGTATTGACAAAAGAAGCCAAGACATACGACGATGACGACGATGACGACGATGATGACGACGACTATGAAATGGATTCTGAGCTGCTGGCTGATAGAAACGACAAGCCTCCGATAGATCTTTCTAAAAGCGAGAAACTTCGGGAAGAAGACAAGGCGTTTTTCGCAATGTACGATCCTAAGGCACCAGAGCACGTAATACAAAGTGGTGTCGTTTATGGGAGAGTGAAAAAAAGACTAGGCAGGAGAACTTGGAAAAGAATAAACATGGTTTTGAATAACCGATTTTTACTGGTTCATTCAGTTTCATCTGGGAAATTGAAGAAAAAGATTAATCTCGACAAAATTGTAGATTGTGTCGAACTCGAAGATCATAACTGTTACACTTCTTTTGCACTTATCACCTTTGATGAAAGACTCAAATTACGCGCTTTCAATGAGCGAGACACAGTTGACTGGATAATGAACATCAAGAGCTGTGTCTTGGCAAGAAAAAAGTTGAAATCATCTCAAACTTAACTTCACCCGGCGCTTGTTACTCGAGAAAGCATCAATCAAAAAGTGATATCAGGAATTGCTATCCTTCCAACAACATTGAAGGGTTTTCGCCCGTTATCTTAGGTCCTTTAGCAAATAATTTACCTGTGAAAAAGGTATGTAGTATCAATAATGTTTTGTAATTGAATTTTGGGTTATTCGGTTAGTTGTCTAGGATTGGCAAGTTTATAAGATCTAATAGGGATACCTTATAATTCATCTGATTCAATAGGTGATTTCAGAGTAGTTTTCATTGCTGCTCCTCTTATTAACTATATTTTCCACACCTGAAAAACACTTAGATCTTATGGGCGATGGCGTTAGAAAACATAAAAACCCGACTTCACGATCACTGATCTCAGATCCAAGTCTCTTGAAGATTTTCGCATGATCATTTTACTTATCGCATAAGCTAGATCCTGCTTCGAGATAGCCGTTTTGATGCAACATTCAGTCGCAGAAACCTATACATTGAGAGCTCACAATGCGTCAGTGACCTCTCTTAGCGTAACCTATGATGGCACAATTCCTATTCTAGCATCTGGTGATAGTAATGGCAGGATTTACGCTTGGAATTTGATAACCAGAAGACCGTTTGCCAAATACGAACTTCCGTCGCAAGCCAGCATTGAATACTTAGAGTATATCGATGGATTTCTTTTTGCACTTTGCAAAGATAGTTCATTGCAAATTCTATCATTGGAGGCATTAGATGAGAGATTTTACGCTCCAACGCTCCTCACAGGCCAGCGGACCCGAACTATGGCGGAATTTTCCAACGTCTATGAAATTCCGGTTAATACTCTCAATTTTGCTAATGTAGCCATTCAACCCTTGAGCAAAGAAAGGTATCGTTTATGGTGTTGCAATACTATGGACTCGCAGCTCATTGATATTTATTCTTTTGATATTAGAGATCCTCGGTCGCTCACAAGAGAGTTTCGCGGTTTAAACTTGTATCCCATGGTGAAGAGATTTAAAGAGACTAGAACTGGTATGAATTTTGATAGACTAGGTATAGTGATGAAATTTGCGGCTTGTGAGAATGGTGTCATTTATGTTGGCTACGAAAGTGGCTTTGTAATTGGTTTGGAATTTGAGCAGACTAAAAATCCGGTGGTGGGCCAAAAACTCTTCAGACTTAATGTCTCGTATGTCTCATCTGCTCACTGTCCAGATCCTGTTCTGTCGATTTGCGCGGATCCAACGACAGGAAATGTGTTGAGTTCGTCAACTCACAACAAAATTTATGTCCATTCGACATTAGAGAACCACCATTACGGATCCTATACTAGTACAGTGAGTCCGGAGACAAATGTGTCAACTGAATATGGCTATTGTACAAGCATTAACTTTGAGGCAAAGGTTATAGAGCTCCCTGTTAAACAAATTAGCGATATCGAAAGTCGGGGCAGCATCTTGGCATTAAATAGCTGGAAGGGACAATCGCTAATCTTTGAGAACCTTAATCCGATTGCAAACTTTTGCAAAAAAAAGTGCGCTGTTGTTGGCAATGAGAAGAGCATCGGCAACGCTGACAGCGAAGCAGAAGCCAAGAATTTTATTAAGCCAAATGCGTTGGCTTGTCTATGGCTGAATTTAATGAATTATGACTTGAGCAATGCTACGTTCAACAGAAAGAGATTCTTGAATATTCTTTTGAATAATTGGTGTTTCATAGCCTATGAGGATGGGAGTATTCTTATGCATAAGGTTACGCCGCTCACCAATCGTAGCGAGCGCAAAATACCATAAAAGTTAATTAGTCATGATTGTCTTACATATCCAATGCTGATTTATTTCTTAAGGCCACCCCTCTTGGTAAGTTTTAAGGCTTGGACAATTTTCTCCTTCTCCAAGATCTCCCTGAGAAGCAGACTCAACGCAACATCCACGTTATAATTTTCAGAGCTATCAAGAGCAACAAACCCGCAGCGCCAATCAACAGCCATGCGTTTACCCGTTTCGATCAACACTGGGCTCGCCAAATGATCATTACAATGAGTGCATATAATGATTGATGGAGGAGGTGCATTGGGTGATGCTTCGTCTAAATCAATTTCCTTTGGATCTCTGTTATAGGATCTCAATTGTTTGAGTTTCTCGTTACGTCTGCTTTGAGATTTCCACATCTGCTTCAAACTGTACATTAGTGAATAGACATCGCCTTCCTTACCTTCCGACCAGCGGTTCTGATAATCTCGAAACTCTGCCCATGCGTCCAACATGCAATTTCGTATGACCTCTAGCAATGCAAGCCCTCCATCTCGGCGTCTGTCGAAAGATGACCACGCCACGTCACCACTCGAGACAGAGCGTTTCCTTGATTCTTTCCCTGGCTCTTCAGCTATAATTGTGTCCACATTATCACCGAGAGAAGCAGATTCGTATCCTGGCGGAGAAGCACCTTGATTCAGCTCGGGAACTGCGCTGTATACATAAACGTAGCCAGCAACTTTTCCGTTGAGTTCTGAAGCACCTGAAGCCACTAGCATACTTGTCGTCGATACTGGCAAGCGTGGCTCGTCAGCCAAGCGGCCTAAAACGTCGCGATCTAGCTTACGGAAAAGCGAAACTTCCAAGAACGGAACAACCATATCGGGCTTAAACCCAGGCGTATCTATCACATCTATGGTTATTGGTTCATAGTCAGGAGGCATGTAGCTGCCAAGGGGCAATATTTGACTTTCGTCCCAAATTTTCGATTGCGCTTGAGACGCAGATCTCATGATATTAGAGTCAGAATTTGTTGACGAAGATTTGACGTTTAATAGTTCATTGGAATTCTCTTTGTAAGTGTACAGTGCATTCCCTGGCGACAATGATTTGGATTCTTGATTGTTCGATTTATAGTCACTACTAAATTCCTCAATAATGCTTCGAAAAACCAGAGGTGGTAGTAAAATGTGGTCGCTAATATCCGGAGAGTCGAAAATAGGACCATCAACTCTCCCATTTTCAATACGGCATCGTTTATGCGGCTCTTCATCTAATATTGCTCTTGCAACTGCACTCACGGGTCTGAACGTGAAAAGCCAATTGTTTTGCTCTCTGGTCGGATAGTGAGACTCGTGAACTAAATCAACCGTCAGCCTCGATATAAACGACGTTTTACCCGTTTCTTCGCCGCCTAAAACCGCGATTCTTACCGGAATGTTCTTCTTTTTAGACATCTCATCGGAACTCGTCAATTGTCGAAACAGCTCAAACTGAAATTTTCCCAGAACTTAAATGAGATATCTCATCCTATAGAGAAAACGAGCTATAAGAACTCACGGAAACTCAAGGAGTGAAAGTGAATTAGACAAGCTCAGAGGCACTATACTCGTGACCGACTTGAGCTGTAACCGACTTGAGCTGTAACCGACTTGAGCTGTGGTCGGCTCAGTTAATCCGGCAAATGCATTCCGTATTGCCTTAACAGCTCTTGGTGAAAATGTCTGTAACATGCTGCGTATGTCATAAATCAAGCCGAGAAGTGTTCTGCGCACATTGTATGACTTCGAGTCCCAGTCTTTTGTTGCGACGGCGAATTGAGACAGCGGAGGCTCAGAAAAGTAGGGATTTGTTACGTGAGAAAGTCGACGTTATTATGAGAAAAGCGATGACTGGAGAGGCAGAAGAATTGCTGAGTAGACATCTTATGAATTTGAAAATACTTCAACTCAAGCGGAATATCAGCCGAATGAAATATAAATTAGAACAGAAGCGACTGTCGATCCATGCAAAGAAACAGAAATTTGTGTCCTTGCAACAGGAGATTGTGCAAGGTGATGAAAACAGGAGAGACTCGAAAGACGCGAAAGGCGGTAGTCCGATGGGTAAGCGTTTAAACTCAGAGCACAACGAAATCGAGCAGAAACTCGTGCAGGTATCGCGAGTCTTCTTTAGCACGCGGGCGTTGAAGTTTCAAGAGCTGGTGAAGTTGTTTTTGGTTCGTCAGCGCGATCATCCCGATTTCCCCTTTACAATCAGTTTTCAGCCTGTGATAAACCTACAAAACATGTACAAGTTGCCGCAGAACGTGATTCGGTCCTCTTTGGACAGCATTTGGGAATTTGTACATATTGCGTCCCGCGTCTTGTGCGTTCAAGTCCCGTTACATGGGACGTCAGCGGACGTCATTGAGAGTCTGGCCTGGTTGGCTATGGCTCTTTTGGTACTGGTGCGGCACTTCCAACTGGTGCCGCAGAACGCATTGGATGACCGCCTAGTACTGCAAGAAATTCTGGAAAATTACGATATTGACGGCATGTTTTATCATACGCTCATGAACCGAGACCTCGATTTGCCGTCTGTGGGCGAGAAACGCAATCCCGTGGACTTTGAGTTCTGTCATTGGCAAGTACAGTTATTGTTGCAGAGCTCAGGCGAGCTTAGTGAGATTAATAATTCGATTGATGACAAGTGGTTTCTGGTGGGATGAGTTGGGAGTTTGCGGTGCGACGAGCTCCCGACCGCGGGGGCAATCCGCCGCGAATTGAAGTTCCATTTCATTAAACGGATTTGTGTTTGCGTTCTTCTGCTCAATCCTAGAGTCAGTTGGCTGGCACCAACGTGAAGTGCATATGGTCTTTGAAAGCTAAAATTCTATACTCAATAGGCTAAATGCATCTCATACTGTTTATAGCTGCGGAGCGCTTCATTAAGACTCCACAAAACGCCTTTGGATTTCATATGCTGATTATTCGAGGTAATTTCCAAAACATTGACGGCCTAATCCAACGTTACTAGAGAAATCATTGAAATCAAGGGTTAGTGCCGTTTTGGAGGTCAGCGGCTAACGTATCACACGCGTACATAGAGACATTCTTGTGTGCCGCTAATTAGAATGCATGCTATCCAATTTGCCTTGGATGGCGCCCCTTGTCGTTTTTCTCGCGATTTTCAATTTTTGAGAATAAAGGACGATCCTCCTCCTCGAGGATTTTTAACTTTTTAACATGCACTGATCCGTGCAAGATGGCAAACAGAAGTCAATCTTAAATAGTCACCATACGTATATATTATTTTATGCGATAAGCGAGGCCATACCAAAGGGGGGATGTCCATATTTATATAGTACTCGGTACGGTGAGCAGGATCATAGAAGATTGAAGAGATTCAGTTTAGCGATCATTGCCCCGTTGCAAGTTGAATACTCCCTGTTTCACGCCATGGAAAGCATATGAATATGTTCCTGGAAGACCAGGAGCCAAAAAATTTTATTTGGCATGCATTGCAGTCGAAATAATTGCGAAAGATGAATCTCTGTATTGGCCGGGGTGTCGAGAAACGAAGCGGTTGTTAAGCCCGAATGCAATATGTGACATGACATGCAGCAGAAAATGAGAGGCAAGTTACAAAGGGATAATATGATAAGGCATTGGTTTGTGAACAAGGTCGAGCAACGAGTTGGGAATGACAATTACATGGCTTCTGTTTGACCATGCGTTCAGGTAAACCCCGGGTTTTACGAGCACCAAATACAATAGCGTGAAAGAGATCGTTTGAAAATCAGAATGCATCAGTCTTGGGGTTTTGATATAGACTTTTAGGCTTAAGGTGGTTTCCCAGGAAGGCGTGCTCATGAGACGTGTCGATTACCCGGTTCAATATGGTTGAAAATTTTCTGGTTGCAACAGGTATATATGATTATCGAAATTCGACTGTGTAAAATTAAACACCCCTTTCCCTTTAGATTGGCAAGGTTGAGGACGATACATATACAAGATTCGGGACTCGCCGCTAAGATAGCTTTAACAAGGCATGATATCAGATAAGGAACTTTATGAAATCAACAAAAAGGCTGTTTCTGAGGGATTCAAAATCAAGCCAAGACTCAACTACAACACTGTAGGCGGTGTGAATGGACCCTTGGTTGTTCTGGACAAAGTCAAGTTCCCTCGTTACAATGAAATCGTTAACCTTACATTACCAGATGGTACGGTTAGACAAGGTCAGGTTCTTGAAGTGAGAGGTGAACGTGCCATTGTGCAAGTGTTCGAAGGTACTTCGGGTATTGACGTCAAGAAGACGACCGTCGAGTTCACGGGCCAAAACTTGAGAATTCCCGTATCTGAGGACACGCTAGGGAGAATATTTGATGGATCTGGTAGGCCGATCGACAATGGTCCCAAAGTTTTCGCTGAGGACTATTTGGACATTAACGGTTCTCCCATCAACCCTTTTGCCCGTATTTATCCCGAGGAAATGATTTCCACTGGTATCTCTGCCATTGACACTATGAATTCCATTGCGCGTGGCCAGAAGATTCCTATCTTCTCTGCCTCCGGTCTTCCTCACAACGAAATTGCGGCCCAGATTTGTAGGCAAGCTGGTCTTGTAAGACCCACAAAAGATGTGCATGATGGTCACGAAGAGAATTTCTCGATTGTTTTTGCCGCTATGGGTGTGAATTTGGAAACTGCCAGATTTTTCAAACAAGATTTTGAAGAGAACGGGTCTCTGGAGAGGACTTCTTTGTTTTTGAATTTGGCGAATGATCCTACTATCGAGAGAATTATCACTCCTAGACTTGCTCTAACCACTGCTGAATATTTGGCTTATCAGACGGAACGTCATGTCTTGACGATTTTGACCGATATGTCTTCTTATGCGGATGCTCTAAGAGAAGTCTCTGCCGCCAGAGAAGAAGTTCCCGGTAGAAGAGGTTACCCAGGTTACATGTACACAGATTTGTCCACCATCTACGAGAGAGCCGGTAGAGTCGAAGGACGTAATGGTTCGATCACTCAGATTCCGATCTTGACAATGCCTAATGACGATATCACTCACCCTATTCCTGATCTTACAGGTTACATCACGGAGGGACAAATTTCGGTCGATCGTCAATTGCACAACAAGGGTATTTACCCACCTATCAACGTGCTACCTTCCCTTTCAAGACTGATGAAGTCTGCTATCGGTGAGGGTATGACTAGAAAGGACCACGGTGATGTTTCCAATCAATTATACGCCAAATATGCCATCGGTAGGGATGCTGCTGCGATGAAAGCGGTGGTCGGTGAAGAAGCTTTGTCCATTGAGGATAAACTTTCTCTGGAATTCTTGGAGAAGTTTGAGAAAACCTTCATTTCTCAAGGAGCATATGAGGACAGAACCGTTTTCGAAAGTTTAGATCAAGCGTGGTCCCTATTGAGAATTTATCCAAAGGAAATGTTGAATAGAATCTCTCCAAAGATTCTGGACGAATTCTACGACAGAAGCAGGGATGAAGAAGAAGAGGAAGAGGAAGAAGATCAAGACAAAAAGCCTCAGGAAGACTCCTTGATTTGACTTTCCTTACTTACTACAAGAGTAAAAATGCGACTATAGTCATTATAATTTTTCGAAAAAAATCCTCCTATATAGAACTAACTCTGCAATTCAAAATTTAGAGCGATCTTTGTCAGATTCTTTCTGTTCATGAATTATAAATGGTAAATGTTATATTTGTATGCTGTTGCTAGGAATATGTGCTATGCTTAGTCTCGGGTATTTAGTCCATAAAGGTTATTGAGGACGTTGCTACCAAAACCATGTATTTTTCGATTTTGAGCTAATCCTACGTTTATTGGTGAAATCGCGGTCTTATCCCGGGAAGCGAAGGGTGGCATTTGGGGTTTGCCAAATGCTGTGTAACTTAGATCGCTTTTTAAATTGTCCTTACCGGTCTTAATATGAATGTTCTTGGTAAGAAGGGTGCTAGACAATTCTGACGATTCATCCGATTTAAAGCTTTTTGCGAGACTGTTGGAGTCACTGAGGTTCGACTCAAGAACAGAGCAAGAGCCCAAAGAATTCAACGTTCCATTGTCGCATCTTATGCTTTCCAATTCTTTCCCCAAATTCTTGGCATTGTTGAAGGCTTGTAGTAATTGAGGAAGCTCTTTGGACAGCGACGTTCGTTCCATCATCAAAGAAAGATCTGAAGTCGAAGATCCAACTGACAATCGCCTACGTGTGTTTCGGTCGTCGTCATGCAAGTTGGCCAGAGCGGGCTCTTTGTGTTCCAGAACGGCATCGTCAACGTACTTGTTAATAGTGTCAAGAGCATGCATTTGTTCGTCTTCTTCGAAGGGAGGTTCAGGCGTCGCATTCTCGATAAGTAGGTAATTGGTTTTCATAGCCGCATACATACTCTCAACGTCCATGAATACAAGCAAACATTCTTCAAACTGGCCTTGTTCATCGTGAAGTTCACAACTGTGAAGCTGCTGCAATAAAATCTTCATAAAGTTCCGATACGCGGTTATCGTTTCATTTAAAGTAATGTGTTGAGTAATAACGGCTGAGTCGGATCGCATGGCATCCAAATCGCAATCTATCAGTAGTAATTTGGCTCGCATGAATGTGCCGGCAGTTCTCTTTTTGATATTCCTCGAGACTTTGCCACACAAAAACCACATTTCGAGAAGTAAGCAATTAGAATCTTCTAAGAATTGTTCCGACGGTATGCGGTGAACGTACGTAGACACAGCATCCAGATTTCGCGTTAATTGCTCGAGACCCTTTGACACTTTATCACATTTTGAAATGGCTTTGAAAGCAACTTCCGCGTAGAAATCTTCTCCATAGTTTGACGGATTCTGCGTAACGCTGAATACGCTATTTGTCTCTATGTTAAATCTCACCAGTGCGCATTTACGCATCGTTTCCAAATCCCATGCTTTTTCGACGAGAAATCCGAGTTTAATCATATCTGTGTACACCGCGAGCAACTGTTCGCAACTTTCGAGAGTTTTCTCTCGGGATACGATCGTGTCAATGGGTTCGCTCAAGCCTTGAGACCTTTGTTGCTGTGAGATATCATCCCGATCGTCGTTTCTTAAATGCCGATCTATTAATCCCTCGAGGGTTTCTTTTCCAAGCGTTTCCTGCTTTTTAAAATGAGAAATAATGTTATCCTCAACCGCCATAGTTGTGATCAGCACCCTACTAGACTCAGAGGCTTCCTTTCACGTAATATCACTCAGCTGTGGTTCTGTTGACAGTTCTTGATCTAGAACTATAAATCGTACCATGATGATTCGTGTGATCAGACCTAATATTAAAGGTCCAGACGAGAAGTTCGGAAAAACCACTATTTGAGCCACAATATCACAGAAGAGAGGTCTGCTCGATCTAGACTGGGCCATGATCGTTTGCCCAAGTTTTTGCCGTCTTTTTTGGGCTTCATTTACTGTCTAAATCCCGTCTGTGAAGCGTTTACAGAGAGCCCGAAGCCTACGAAGCTAAAAAGCACACTCCGTGTAGAAGCTTGCGGTGTCTTTTGTAATTATGAGAGGTATTTCTGGTGGTTCCAAGGGCTTTCTCGGAGATGTTATCGTATATTCGATATTTGGATCACTCAGAAACAACAACTCCGAGCTCAATGATTTTTTGATGAACAGGCCAAATTGTTATCACCGAGTGAGAGGCTTGAACCAAAAATATAAGAAATTGAATCTACCGCGTCAAAATCTCGACAACATAGGCAGCTACTCGTATGTCCGTCGCTCAGTGCTACAGCCAATGAACAGGCAAGATGGAGATCACTTTATCCTTTTCTGACACCAGGAAAAGCAAAGCATACATAAGCGATTTACAAGTCTTTCAGATTTCAAGAAATGGTAGCTGGTAATACAATTAGCCTACTGACCATTTTGGGAAATGATTTTTTATTAGAGGACACCATCTGTATGTTATAGTATTAAACCTGAACATGCGAAATCTGTAATTACCTCGTAAACCCTGAGCTTGATCGAAATGCGGAATTCCAACGAGATACAGCTGTCCTTTACGGCCAATGCGCCCTCGTTATCATATAAATTCAGAATGTTCACTTTACGCAAGTTAATTTGGTCAATAGTGTCGGTATTAAAGCTCTCCCAATTTCCATTTTCGTTCTCTGTACATCTGTGACGAGGAGTGGCGAAAAATATGTATGAAATATTATGTGGCCAGCTACGAGAAGATAACTAATCAAAACTTATATTATAAAAGGATTATGAACGAGCTCAGTAACCAATTTGGAGAACTGTCGATTACAGGTGTTTCTTGGCAAATGGATAAATGGCGCACCTCAGTTAATAGCCTAGCAAGCATACGTTTTCATTGACGCTAATCACGGTAAATGAGCAAACAAAATAGGCCTTCGAAGGGCGCAATTGAAGTCTGATCACGTGGTTTCTGAAACCTCGTGACTTTTTGCTGCGATCATCTGGGGCCACTTTTAAAAAGGGGTGAAGAAAAGAGGAACAAGTCCAGTCCTCTTTATAACCACGGAGGGGTATCGAAGTCAGATTCAATTGAGGACCCTGCGGTGTATTATCAGTGTAATTTGGTGTCACAATGGCAGACCAGGCAATGGAAAATGTGAAAGAAGCAATCAAAATGAGCGCTCAAAAGACTCAAAGGGCTCCAGAAACTAAAGAGAACCCTGGTAATGTGATTGTCGTCTCGAACCGGTTACCGGTCACTATTAAGAAAGACAGTAGCACGGGTAAATACGAATATTCCATGTCATCTGGTGGGCTTGTGACGGCGCTTCAAGGCCTGAAAAAATCGACGACGTTTCAATGGTACGGATGGCCGGGACTCGAGATTCCAGACGAGGACAAGCCTGTGGTGAAGAGAGACCTATTGGAGAAATTCAATGCTATTCCGATTTTCCTAACGGACGAAGTAGCGGACTTGCACTACAACGGGTTCAGTAACTCGATCTTGTGGCCCTTGTTTCACTATCACCCGGGAGAAATCAATTTCGATGAAAACGCATGGCTTGCGTACAACGAAGCAAACCTGTCATTTGCACGCGAGATCGAGGAGAATATGAAGGACAATGACGTGGTATGGGTTCATGACTACCATTTGATGTTGTTACCAGAAATGCTGCGGTCCACAATCAACGCCCAGAAGCTCAAGAACGTGAAGCTGGGCTGGTTTCTGCACACGCCGTTCCCTTCTTCCGAGATCTACAGAATCTTGCCTGTGCGCCAAGAGATTCTTCGCGGTGTTTTGAGTTGCGATCTTATTGGGTTCCACACGTACGACTATGCGCGCCATTTCCTGAGCTCTGTACAAAGGGTGCTTGACATCAACACGCTGCCCAACGGTGTCGAATTTGAGGGCCGGTTTGTGAACGTGGGCGCTTTCCCCATCGGTATCGATGTCGACACTTTTACGGATGGTCTAAAACAATCCGAAGTTCTGCAACGCATCCAGCAACTCAAGAACACTTTCAAGAATGTAAAGATTATTGTTGGAGTGGATAGGCTTGATTATATCAAGGGGGTACCTCAGAAACTACATGCTATGGAAGTTTTCCTCAATGAGCATCCGGAGTGGATTGGCAAAGTCGTACTTGTCCAAGTAGCGGTTCCCAGTCGTGGTGACGTAGAAGAGTACCAATACCTACGTTCTGTTGTCAACGAACTTGTCGGAAGAATCAACGGTCAATTTGGAACGGTTGAGTTCGTACCTATCCATTTCATGCACAAGAGCATCCCATTTCAAGAGCTCATCTCCTTATATGCCGTTAGCGATGTCTGTTTAGTTTCCTCGACGCGCGACGGCATGAATTTGGTGTCGTACGAATACATCGCATGTCAGGAAGAGAAAAAGGGCTCTCTCATTCTCAGTGAGTTTACCGGAGCAGCTCAATCTCTGAACGGGGCCATAATTGTAAATCCTTGGAATACGGATGAATTAGCTGAGGCCATTAACGAATCGCTAACTTTGCCGACCGAGAAAAAAGACGCAAATTGGGAAAAACTCTACAAGTACATCTCGAAATACACTTCAGCTTTCTGGGGCGAGAATTTCGTTCACGAATTACACAATCTGTCTTCCAACGGTCAAAACAACAGCGGTTTGGACCTCTAGCGATCAAAGGCATTCGGCGATGGCGATACTTTACCATGATCGACTTCGCTCTTATATAAATTCACAGCATTTTTTAACTATAAATTATGGAAAATTCACAACAGCCCGTAATCTTATTTCAATTGGAAACTCGCCTAAATAGCCCTTCTTTTACTCTCTCTCGGCATCGATTTGTCGCTAAACTTAGCGACAGTTTAACGAAATGGTGTTCCTTCGTTTGCACTGCTTAGTTGAAATGTATGAAATTTATGGGGAATATCAAAAGATCGTTGAGTGAAAAGGACTGAAACTGGAAACCAAAGAAGGAGACTTGATCAACAACTCGATTTGTCTGCATCATTATTGTCGAGAACAAGGCTCAGTTTCAATCTTATAGCTGGTTTCAATTGAGCATGGGGCAACTGTTGTCGCACCCACTTGTGGAGAAGACAATTGAATACAATCAATTCTGGCAAGAAGCTAAACCGAAAGAAGTACGTGGTATTCATAGACCGCACTTCTCTGGTCGCTCAGAAAGTTTCAACAGTAACAAATCAAATCAGGGGGAACGACGTTCGCTTCAATTTTTCAATTGTGTTGGATCAATGCAAGGCTATAGGTTAACGCAAGAAGACGCACACCTTGTAGCCAATGGAGAGAGTTCATTGAGAGTTCACTTCTTTGATCCGTTCCGAGATAGAAGAGTAGAGTTATCGCTGTCGATTTTTGGCATTTTCGATGGACATGGGGGTGATGAGTGCTCGAAGTTCGTAAGTGGGCAAAGAAATGGTGATGAGGGAATACGGCGATGGATCGCATTTAGCTTCGAAAATCACAAGTACGGATCCAAGCATAATTCAAACAATCGCAATTCTGTGCGACTTTTCGATACTATTGATGGGCTAATAAGTCAAATTCTTAAAGACGCGTTTATCCATCAGGACAATGAACTATATAGCCATCTTGGCAAGCTCAGTTGCGGTACGACTGCCGTTTTGGCGGTGATAATCGATGGCAAAAGTCTGTACGTCGCCAACGCGGGTGACTCGCGGTGCATCCTTGCCACGAAGGGCAAAGGCGTCAAGACGTTGTCGTTCGACCACAAGCCACAACATATTGGTGAGCTTGTGCGCATCAATGACGATGGTGGAACTGTATCACTTGGTCGTGTTGGCGGAGTTTTGGCTCTAAGTAGGGCGTTTGGCGACTTTCAATTCAAGAGTGGAGTCCCTTTCACGCGGCGGTCTCAAAAGAACACCTCCAAATTTACAACCCCTCCTCAAGAGTCACAAGTGACAGCAGAGCCCGACGTTGTGCCGCATACTCTAGATTTCGATAAAGATGAATTCTTAGTATTGGCTTGTGACGGTATATGGGACGTTTACAGTAACAAGAATCTTCTTCAATTCGTCAAGTTTCATTTGACACTTGGCTTGAAGTTTAACGAAATTGTGACGAAGCTCTTAGATCATGGAATTGGCTCTGCAGACAGTAATACTGGCGTAGGGTTTGACAATATGACACTGATCATTGTCGCATTAAATAAACCTGACGAAAGCCTGGCACAATGGTATGCAAAGATGAAATTGCGTCTTGAAAGGGCAAAGGGAATTACTACGTGAACGATCGTGATTTTAAAGTATATATCGTTAGATATAAGGACTATTGCATGATCACTGGAGCTACGCAGGATTTTTACTATAACAATGGGTGCTTATCCATGTGTTATCACGTGATCTCGTCTTGTAGATGATCAGTGTTTATCCTAGTTTGGCACCAAAGGGCAGATGTTCATCAGTCATCAACTGAGACAGTTCACGTGAGAGTACCCTGTATAGTCTAACTGACAATGGAATATAGTGGGGAAAAGCCTACTCATCATGAAGCGGAGGGAATTTTGGCTAAGGAGTTTACGCTCGACATTCCTCGAATTCCAAGCGTTGAACTTCCATTAGATGTCAGACCAACTTCTGAAAGCGTTGGTCGAGCGATCAAGATGTGTGGTGGTATAAGGGCAATCAAAAATGCATTGGTAACACACCGGGATAGACAGGATGGTCTGGAGTTGTATCTAAACCACGGCAAGAAAGAAGACGGAACAGATATATATTTCAATGAGCATCCGATTATCGGGAGGCAGGTGCCACAACGGGACGAATCGATTATTTTGAAGATCTCTCTACCGAAAGGTACGCTGGCTGCCAATAATGGTGACTTGAAGAAGGCGTTGGCTAATGTATCGTCAAAGAAATATAAGGTTGTGCCCGTTGGTGTCATTAATCATACTATTAGGTTTAGAGAAATGTCGGATTTCCAAATGCGCTTAGACAACAGTTCTTCTGCTCAAGAGTTTAGCAGCAGTTTCGGCTCACTTGACTGGCCTAATTTCAAAAAATATGTGGAGAGCATTCCGGATCAGGATCCAAGACCGACAGAAAACATCAATTCTCTGATTTTCCAACGAAACCCGAGTGCTCCAGCCACGGATTTCCAGTTTGTTCCGCCTCCTCGGTTTTCAATGGTGAAAATACCGTTTCTGTACAGGTATGAGGGAAACCCATATGCTACAAAGGCTTCAAACGGGAAAGCCATGGTTAAGGGTACATATCTCAAGAATCATCAGCAGTTAGTGTACACTTTTGGGCCAGAGACACGCATACCCTCGGAGCCACATGCTATGCTTAAAAAGGCTTTTGAAACTGCAAAAGAAACCGGCGTCTACCCGGGTAGCAGCGCTGAGTCTGGATTTCTAGTCAAATTGGAAAACTGCATCGCAATACTTGAAGACCTATTTTCCAAGCGGCCCATATGGGTGAAGCGACACATTGATGGTATTATACCCATGGAGTCACAGCCTGCTTTAAAGATCGCTTTGTCACTTACGTCTTACAGGTTCACTAAAGGCCCGTGGAGAAATACCTACATCAAGCTAGGGCTAGATCCTAGATCGTCTTCGGAGTTTGCGAGATATCAGACGGAGTATTTCAAAATTGAGAGCAAGTTATTAAAGTCTCCTGGCATTGCTAAAAATATTCCGAGCCCTCCGCCAAGATTTTATCAGTCTAACACCCCTGGCGAAATTGATACTAGGTTTGTGTTTGACGGGAAGCAAATTCCATGGTATCTTATGCTGCAGATTGACTTGCTAATTTCTGAACCTAATATTGCAGAGATATACTCAAGCATAACCTACCTAGATGAACCGACGGAGCTGACAGGCTGGCTTCACGAGTTGGATCTGGTGAAATTCAGACGTATTGTGAAATATGAGCTGGGATGTATGGTTCAAGGAAATTTTGAGTTCAGCGAGTACAAACTCAAGTTCTTCAAGTCTATGCTGTATCCGAAGGAGTCTATGATTAGTCAAGGCGCCACATCGCACGATGCAGAGGGTGACATTGACATGGACACATCCCAGGAACTTAGAGACCCTACTGTACTATCAAACTCCAATAACGGCGATAGCGATGAAGAGGACGAGGATAACGGCGTACAAACCGGAGACATCGATGATATAGCTTTGGCTCAAGAAGGAGAAGAAGCTGAGCAGGATGAAGATGAGCAAGAAGAAGAAGAAGAAGCCAATTTTGGAGCATCTCAATCAGATGACGCCTTTACGCTACGAGAAGACGAGAACGACACCTCAAATTTCAAAATTTCGTCTAGTCAAATTTCCTCCGGTAACGAAGCCTTTGACATTAAAGCTGCGTCTTTTCTAGAAATTATCGAAAGAATTGCCCAAAAGGATCCTGAGACAGCCCAAATGCTAAGACAGAACCTCGATTCCCTCTCATATGATCCTTTTTAAGCCATTCTTGATCTATGAGCTGGGAAAGAGAGTCCGCTTTAGTTACCCGGGCATCGGCATCAAAATTTCGATTTAGTACCAGCTACTTATAGCTACTCGACTACATGGCCAGATATCGTGGGTAGATCTGCTAGCGATCGGCGTGAGTATTTATTGATGTTCAGGTTTTTAGTTGCCAAAAGATTTGCGTCAGGCGGATATCATGGAGTCAATCAGGTATCACTTCCGCAGCGCCCTTTGAAAAAAATTCGCTTGGGTAGAGCCAGACCAGCGATTTATCATAAGTTTGAAGTACAAGTGGAATTGAGTGATGGAAGCGTTGTAACGCGTAGATCTCAGTTTCCTAAAAATGAAATAAGGCTGATTCAGGATCAAAGAAACAACCCGCTATGGAATGAAAGCAGGGATGACCTTGCAGTCGTGGATGCCAATGCAGGAGGACGTCTTGAGAGGTTTAAAGAGAAGTACGACTCGATGTTTAGTATTGAGAAAGAAGTAAAGGGAGAGCAGAAATTCCAGAAAGCCGCACAAGACGCTTCTTCGCAGAAAGAAGCAGAAGACAGTTTTGGCATGGACGATTATTTGACTTTGCTGAATACGAATGCACAACAAGTGCAGAGCGGGGGGAAGCTCGCGGGAAAGAAAAGGGACAAGAAATGAAGGGAGAAATAGGGATTTTCAAGAGTTTCATCTTTTCAATTGGTGGCTTTGTTTTGCGTGCCGAAGACTCTGTACATAGTAACGATCAAATACCAGAAAACTGCAAGATTGAATCCGAAACAGTCGGTAACGACCGGTGGCGTGCTGAAATTGCCATTTGCCCTTGTTCTAGGGGCTTGTGCGAAGCTAGGTTGTTTTTTGTATAATGTGAACGTGATATATATATAATTTCGACATTCAGCATTAAAGCCATCAAATGCTATATTGTCAACAATCCAGGTCACGAACGAGATACAAATGGGGAGCGTGTTTTTACCTCATCTGCAAACAGGATGGCATGTCGATCAGGCAATCGTAACTGAGGAGAAAAGACTGGTTGTGATACGGTTCGGTAGAGACTGGGACAAGGACTGTATGCTGATGGATGAGTTGCTTTATTCCATTGCAGAAAAAGTCAGAAATTTTGCAGTGATTTATCTATGTGATATCGACGAAGTCCCAGATTTCAACGATATGTACGAGCTTTATGATCCTATGACGGTCATGTTTTTCTATCGAAACAAGCATATGATGTGCGATTTCGGGACGGGCAATAATAACAAGATGAATTTTGTGATAGACGACAAGCAAGAAATGATTGACATTTTGGAAACCGTATTTCGAGGAGCACGCAAGAACAAGGGGCTTGTTGTTTCACCGTTTGATTACAGCAGTAAACGTGTTTCTTGATGTAACGGAAAAGCCTGCCTACAAGAAGTTTAGTGGCTACTATTCGAATTTGGTTAGCTGCATTTCAGTAGCAATTGTATCACTTTTTCGAGGATTTGTAGCATCTCAAAACTCTGTACTAAAAACTCCATAATCAGCCAACCTGACGTTCAAAGCTTATGAGATATTGTGCAAAAAAAGCTTAATTACGGAAATTCGATATTACGCAAATAAATTGATTGGTGAAGACTCACACTGATGTGGGCATCGTGTGATGATTTACTCATCTAATTGACTCTTCTAGTCAAAATCCAGAAAGTTGTCATGGAAGAAAGGTCAAATATCGCTAGGGAAGCCTTTGAAAAAAAATTTTTAGTCAAGTGAGTGCATAGTATTCTGGACATTAACACAACTAACTGGATTAAGGTTAACTGGGTTTAACAGGCTTCTGATAGACAGTCTATAAAAGTGCAGCTCGCTAATCTCTTGAAGAACGTTTGTTATAAACGCTTTTTGAGCCTTGGGACTAAGAAATCTGTCAAATTAAAGAAGATGAGTGTTGAAGAAATTCAAAAAGCCCGTGCAGTTGTCAATTTCTCTAGAGAGAATCTCGAGAGTGTGCTGAAGAGACGGTTTTTTTTTGCGCCATCTTTTGAACTTTACGGCGGTGTCTCCGGTTTATACGATTATGGTCCACCCCTGTGTGCCTTGCAAGCCAACATTATCGATGTCTGGAGAAAGCACTTCATTTTGGAAGAAGACATGCTTGAAGTAGACTGTACGATGTTGACACCCTACGAAGTTTTGAAAACGTCTGGTCATGTAGACAAATTTTCCGACTGGATGTGCAGAGACTTGAAAACCGGTGAGATTTTCAGAGCAGACCATTTGGTCGAAGAAGTCCTCGAGGCTAGACTGAGAGGCGACGAGGAGGCTAGAGGTTTGGTGAAGGATGCTAATGCCAATGCCCAAGACGATGCGGACAAGAAGAAGAGAAAGAAGAAAGTCAAGGAAATCAAAGCTGTGAGACTTGAAGATGCTGTTATCAAGGAATATCACGGAGTCCTGGCCAAGATCGATGGCTACTCGGGTCCCGAATTGGGCGAGCTTATGGTCAGGTATAAGATAGGAAACCCAGTCACTGGAGAACCACTTGAAGCCCCAAGAGCTTTCAATTTGATGTTCGAGACTGCCATTGGGCCCTCTGGTCAATTGAAGGGTTATTTGAGACCTGAAACTGCTCAGGGTCAATTTTTGAACTTCAACAAGCTTCTTGAGTTCAACAACAACAAGACTCCATTTGCCTCGGCATCTATCGGTAAATCTTTTAGAAACGAAATTTCACCTAGATCTGGTCTTTTGAGAGTCCGTGAATTTTTGATGGCTGAGATTGAGCATTTTGTCGACCCGGAGAACAAGCAACATCCACGCTTCAATGAAGTCAAGGACATTAAATTAAGATTTTTGCCTCGCGAAGTTCAACAAGCGGGCTCAGTCGACCCTGTTGAAACGACCATCGGCGAAGCTGTCGCTTCCAAAATGGTGGACAATGAGACTTTGGGATACTTCATTGCAAGAATTTATTTGTTTTTGATGGCTATCGGGGTAGACCCCTTAAAGCTTAGATTCCGTCAGCACATGGCCAATGAAATGGCACATTACGCTGCCGATTGTTGGGATGCCGAGCTGAAGACTTCTTACGGGTGGATCGAATGTGTTGGCTGTGCCGACAGATCCGCATACGACTTGACAGTGCATGCTAACAAGACCAAAGAAAAGCTTGTCGTAAGGCAAAAGCTAGACGAGCCAGTTCAGGTCACTAAATGGGAAATTGAATTGACCAAAAAATTGTTCGGGCCTAAATTCAGAAAGGATGCACCAAAGGTTGAGGCCTTCCTGCTAGACCTGTCGCAGGAACAGTTAGAGACGAAAAGCAAAGAATTGGGCTCTAAGGGCAAAATTGTTTTCAGAATTGAAGGCATCGAGGGCGATATAGAATTGGACGACAAATTTGTCACTATCGAAAAGAAGACTAGAACGGAACACGTCAGAGAATACGTTCCAAACGTCATTGAGCCCTCTTTTGGTATTGGCCGTATTATCTACTCCGTGTTCGAGCACTCATTTTGGGCTAGACCTGAAGACACCGCCAGATCCGTCTTGTCTTTCCCACCATTGGTCGCGCCTACAAAAGTCTTGTTGGTCCCACTCTCCAACCACTCTGACTTGACAGAAGTTGCTCAAAAGGTTTCCAAGGTCTTCAGAAAGGAGAAAATTCCTTTCAAGATCGATGACTCTGGTGTTTCTATCGGTAAAAGATACGCTAGAAACGACGAATTGGGTACACCATTTGGCGTCACAATTGATTTCGAGACCGTTAAAGACGGTACCGTTACTTTAAGAGAGAGAGACTCCACCAAACAGGTCAGAGGGTCTGTCTCTGACGTGATCAAGGCTGTTCGTGACATAACTTACAATGGCGTTTCTTGGGACGAGGGAACTAAGCACCTAAAAGAGTTTGTCACTCTATCAGAGTAGATGATGGATTTCATCAATGGTTGTCCCATAATGCAATGTTTGGGAGATTAAGAGAGTTTACATAGATTCAATACGCTAATCTGATCTGTAGTATCGTTCACGCTCGTAGCAGCCTGGATTTTAAATTGAGGTTGTTCAAGTCTAGTTGGTGAAAGTTGAAAAAAAATCGTTGATCAAGAGGGATAGACTAGGATTTCCGAATAATCAAAAGAGAACCCTTCAAAGGCCATACCATGTCTTCTCAACCGGTCAGGGAAGCTGCTTTGAAGCTCGTTAAAGGTTTGGAACAGTTACCCCTGGAACGAATCAAACATATCGTTTCTTTGAAAGAATCTCAAATAGAAAGATATTCACCAGTAGCCGGATTAGGGTCATCAAAAAACGATGGGAAGGCCAAACCATCGCTGGAAGATATCAAGGATATAATTAGCAGGACTTCAGGACCTTTAGGTATGCAAAAGGATGCTTTGAAGAAAATTCAAGCCGCGTTGCCACAGGAACAATTCACTGTGGACGGTATCCAAGAACAGATCAGATCGTTACAAGCTTTGCTTTCAAACAAGAATAAGAACTACTACGATGTGGGAGATAAGCTATACAAACCTGCGGGAAACCCGATTTATTACCAACGTTTGTTGGACGAAATCGAGGGAAAGAAAAAGGAAACCTTTCTCACAGCTTTAAGAACAGTTCTCTTCGGTAAATGACGATTGTTCTTTGGCTTAACAAATACTTATAACTTCTATTTGTAAATATCAATTTTACTTCCTGTACCATAAAGCACATGAAGTGGGTAAAAGGATTATCCTTATTTGGCAAACCCGATTGTTATTAGGGTGTCCAAAAATCTGTGCGTTTGACCCAGTTTATCTTTGGCCACTGTAGCGTCTTCAATACACTCGTATTCAATGAATGCTAAATTTCTGACCGCGACGTAACGGGTTTCAATAAATCCGTTCCCTGCAAAAAGATCGCTTAGTTCTTGTTCCGTTGTCTTTTCTGGCAGGTTCTGCACCAGCAAAACTTTGTTTGGAGGATTGGCACTAATTTCAACCACCAGTCTCTTTTTCGGAATTGGTTCCTGCGTTGGCGAGGCCTGTCGTTTCCTCGAAATTTCTTCCTTCGTGGTTTGGGCCTGATTAACCTTAGAAATGTGTGCTTCTATTTCATCTTCATTTAGACCTTTAATTCGCAGTCGATGCCTCAATCTTCGCAGTTTCCGCTTTATAACAGCTGCTGTTGCCAAATCTGGACTCAAGTGCATTTCTCGCAGTGCTCTTCTTCTCGCGATAATACTGAATACATGTCTGCCACCGTTTTCAAGATATGCTCCTAGAAGCGATTCTTGTTTAGCAGGAATAACACTTGTTTTACGCCCTTGGACGACAAGTGAGTGCTGAAATCGTTGTAGAAATTTGTCGGCATGCCCCGAGTCGATGAAAGTCATAAAAGCTTGGCACTCTACATGAGAAGACCCCAACCGCGAAATCATCAAGATACCATATTCGTCATGCAACGGTATGATCTGATTTTTCTCTCTTATGCAAACAGTATTTCGTAACTTGGAAAGCCTTGAACCGAAGCCTATGTCTTCTGACTTTACCTTTTCGAGTGTAGAGTCTAAGTCCTCGGCCGCACTTTTGGTCAAGGCGTTGAATCCAGATAATGTGAGACCGTTAACTTCGGACGCCAATCGTAGTTTCAAAGTGCTTATCAAATGATCAAAGAATACTTTTGATGATATACCTCCTGTTTCGTCCTTCTCCCATTCGTTTACTAATTCATCCAGAGCCGATACCAGCTGGCCTCGTTCTAACCTGCCGAAATGGTTTCTATCCTTGTTAACCGGAAGCTCAGAGAGATTAATCTTGGGAAGAGGCAGGTCTTTATCTTTTCCATATATGCTGTCCTGATCAATGGCTCTCAGAATGAGCCTTGTAAAAGCATCTTCGCTGGTCGGACGGCGAGGTAAATTTCTCAAAAACAAGCTAAACTGGTGTTAGTATACTACAATAAACTCAACATTTGCGTAGGATTCATACGTTCTCATCACTTGGTTTCAATCCCTATCTTGACGTTCTTTGGTTTTTCAAATCTTTAACTCGCAAGGCTTTTCGACGACGCTTCCAATCGAGATCCCCTACAATAACGGACCAATCCCACCATCAATAAAAGGGCCTCTCCACACCAGGATGTTGAAAAAAATCACTGAATTGATTACAATAGGAATAGAATAACTACACTGCAGAGTTATGAAAAAATATACAATAAGGTAAAACAAAATGATAAAAAAGCACAAATAATCTCTATGCTTCCTCAACTTTGAAGTGAAGTGATCTATTTCTTGGTAGCCTTTTGAGCAGCCTTGGTGACCTTACCAGCCTTGTCAGACTTGACAACAGACTTGATGACACCGACAGCAACGGTTTGTCTCATGTCTCTGACGGCAAATCTACCTAGAGGTGGGTAGTCAGAGAAGGCTTCAACACACATTGGCTTGGATGGAACAAACTTAACCAAAGCGGCGTCACCAGACTTCAAGAACTTAGGGTTGTCTTCCAACTTCTTACCAGATCTTCTGTCGTTCTTCTCCAACAACTCGTCGAATCTACAAGCAATGTGGGCGGTGTGACAGTCCAAAACTGGAGAGTAACCGGCAGAGATTTGACCAGGGTGGTTCAAGACAATGACGGTAGCGTTGAAAGATTCAGTAGCCTTTGGTGGGTCGTTCTTGGAGTCACCACAGACGTTACCTCTTCTGATTTCCTTGACGGAAACGTTCTTGACGTTGAAACCAACGTTGTCACCTGGAAGACCTTCCTCCAATTGTTCGTGGTGCATTTCAACGGACTTGACTTCAGTAGTGACACCGGCTGGGGCGAAAGTAACAACCATACCAGGCTTGATGACACCGGTTTCAACTCTACCGACTGGCACCGTTCCGATACCACCGATCTTGTAAACATCTTGCAATGGCAATCTCAATGGCTTGTCAGTTGGTCTGGAAGGTGGCTCAATGGCGTCAATGGCCTCCAACAAGGTCTTACCCTTGACGACACCAGCCTTGGTCTCCTTCTCCCAACCCTTGTACCAGGAAGCGTTGGTGGTAGGCTCAATCATGTTGTCACCGTTCCAGCCAGAAATTGGAACGAAAGGAACAGTCTTTGGGTTGTAACCGACCTTCTTGATGAAGTTGGAGGTTTCCTTGACAATTTCTTGGTAACGAGACTCGTCCCACTTGACGGAGTCCATCTTGTTGATAGCAACAATCAATTGTCTAACACCCAAGGTGTAAGCCAAAAGAGCGTGCTCTCTGGTTTGACCGTCCTTAGAGATACCGGCTTCGAATTCACCGACACCACCAGCAATGATCAAAATAGCACAGTCAGCTTGAGAAGTACCAGTAATCATGTTCTTGATGAAATCTCTGTGACCTGGGGCGTCAATGACGGTGACTTGGTACTTTGGAGTCTCGAACTTCCACAAAGCAATGTCAATAGTGATACCTCTTTCACGCTCAGCCTTTAGCTTGTCCAAAACCCAAGCGTATTTGAAGGAACCCTTACCCAATTCAGCGGCTTCCTTTTCGAACTTCTCGATAGTTCTCTTGTCAATACCACCACACTTGTAGATCAAGTGACCAGTGGTGGTAGACTTACCGGAGTCGACGTGACCGATAACAACGACGTTAACGTGAGACTTTTCCTTACCCATTCTGAATTAGTTTATTGGCTGATATCTGAAAGATTTAAGAGAAAAGAAGGTTTCAAGACAGTTGACCCTTGCTCCAACCTCAATCGCTTTTATACCACAACCCAGAAAAATTTTTCACCAGGAAAATTTTTCACAGCTATGCCTCTAACCTTGCTTGTGTCATACTGATACGCGCGCTCACGCGGGCCCACGCATATTGCAAGTCTTCCTCGGGAGCAACAAATGAGGAAGAAAAGAATGGCAAATCGTTATCTACGTACAACAAACTTGATCAGTGTTGCAGTGTCGTCTAAGAAGCTTGTTGTCCACAAGGAGAAGGATATGCCGAATGTGGTAATAGTTTAGATACTTAAAGTGGTAATTCATGCGTTGCGCGAGGCTTCGGCGGCAATGAAATGGCGGTGCTGGGGCGCTTTCTGTGCGGGCAAAAGAAACAAGGGTTGAATCTTGTTCCTTTTTTAGCATTTCTTTGGGCAGTCCTGCGCGGTCCAGCCATGCTGTTGGGTTCGTGTTACTCGAGTAACGTCTTCGGGGCGTAAATGGTGAGTGGGTGTTCTAGTCAAAAATGGATTTATGTAGGTGCAAGGGTGTGCAGTCATCATAATGGCAACTCAGTTGGGTTCCCCAATGAAAATTTTAGGGCTTTGGCTGTGTATGGGTTGAATTGTGATCTTAAGGGTACCATACGAATTATGGGTACTCTGGGTACTTTGGGTGTTATGGGTGCTATAGATGTTACTAGACATGAGCACATGGTTTAATAAATAGAAGGTATAGTAGCGGAGTCACTTAGGTGTGTAGGGGCCGAAGATGTCTTAATTACGTGGAAGTGATTTTCAAGCTTTGTGTCTGATGTAGTTATATTTAGTGTTTTCTACGTGAACAATGGTATTCCACGTTCGAAGTGTCAAAGTGCTGAAAAGAGATAGAGAATGACAAGGTCAGGAAAACGATTTGTACAAAAATCGTCCAAATGGTTTGCTTGCTTGCTTACATAGTTAAATTTAGCTTGAACGGTGTACAAATGAGCTGCGGAGAGCAGCTATCGTGGAAGAAACGATCCAATCGCTAACTGTCTCCGCTCACCACTTCCAGGTTGTCCAGCAACTGGTTCTGGGCCTCCATATCCCGGGCGAGAGACTCTTCACTGCGGTTGTGACGCGAAGCGCTGTTCAGTTTGATCGGAGTGTATGCGGGTCTTGCCGCGCCTTCGAAAAGCCGCTTGAAAAACGACTTCACACGCGACTGGCTTTCTATCATCTCCCAGCGCGGCGTCACTTCGCCTGAGAGTGTGTGCGCGGGCCTTAAGCGAGAACGCATTTTTCTGTAGAACCAGCGTCTTCCGAATTCCACGATGAAAAACACGAGGAAAATGCCAACGAAAATGCCCAGAACGTTGACGTCGTTGCTCTTATGCGACGTAGCGCATGCGTGCACGCTTCGGACCTCAAAAAAATACGAACAGTCATGCAGGGACCCGATGAAACTGATTTGGGCTTTAGTTTGAATTTCTTTGTCGCACACGAAATTTAGTAACGTGGCCTTACGATCGACGCCATTGGGACACAAGTCGCCGTTGGCGTACTTGAGCGTGAGTTTTTTACCGAAAAACTGCGGCTTCGACGTGAAATCCCCTATGGAAACAAGTTTTCCACTGTCATTGCTCTCGTAGTACGCGCCCGTCGAGTTCGAAATCTGATTGTCATCGCTCGCGGTAGCACTCGAACAGATACCCAGCGTAAAATTGGCACTTGAATCGGGCGATCTCACCAGCCAACGTGTCGTTTCGGAGTCGTGTCTGTTTCTGCGGGACTTCTGACCCTTGCGAAGCTCATTGGGCGTTGCCGACAGTTGAGACAAATCGATATAGTTCCCGGTAACAGTGTTTCTCACGGCACAAAACATACCATCGTCAGATTCCTGATTGTTATCGTTCTGATCCTGCTTTGGCGTGCCGAGGTCTGCGCTTTTCGCTGCGGAATGTGTCAAAGCTTTGCTGTCAAATGCCGACACATGGACACCGTATCGACTACCGTTTGTCGCGCACAAAAGGAAGATCACCGAGAGCACTAGAATGATGGCCTTTTTATACAGTGCTGCGCTCATTGAAGTCGAACCATGTTATGACAGTCTAAAGCAGAGTTGCCTAAATAAAAGAGCTGACCATACTAATTTCAAAATAGTCTTGCAATTTCTAACGAACACGAAAATGCGAATAACCGAAAACCACCGTAAATCATGCGAACTCGCGCTAGAAGAGTTAAACCAATCCTCCTATATACAACTCTCAGATTCGACTTACTTCTGCAATGTCTCCGCCATGTCTCGGCAACGTCTTCGAAATGCCTCCGCAATACCTCCGCAACGCTTCATTAAAACCTCTTGTTCATGCCGTAATTATGACACTGTGCACTGAAAAGACATGAAAGTTGCAGCAATAGTCCCACATTCGAACTCAAACCGGAATCACTTTATCGTAGCAAGTCAAAGGGTCCCATCTTCCCTGCAGCCGCTCTGTACTGTGATCGTCTGTTCTTTACATTCTGTGACCCCAGTGTTTGCTCTTCCAGACCAGGGCTCCCCTGTTGAGGTTTTCTGGCGGGATGTTGAACTCTGCGTCAAGGACAGTACACCAGAGAAGGCACAAATTTACGTCGGAGTTTCATAAAACGAAGGAAGACCAAGCAAGAACAAACTCTGGCACATAGGCCCCCACCAGCAACTACATAGCAGTTGTATACTCGAGGCATGAACACGGACTGCATCTCGATCGACAACTCGGAAGCGTCAGCGTCAGCGTCGCAGCTAGACTTGAACGCATCGAGCTTGTTTCTGCTTTCGAATTCGATTGATGCGCCCCTCATTGGCGCTGGATCCGGGTTCTACGATAGCCGGGAGTCCATATTGAGCGACGAAACTAACTACGTTACCGTTGTTACATATACACAAGAGGACATCGGGCCTCGGTCAGAGCGTACTCTGTGGCAGAGAATTATGCCTGTAAAGGGGTTGAAGGGGTCCTTTTCTGTCAAGCTGAAAAACTATTGGCTTTCGAAAGTGCCCGACGCGTTACCACATAGAAAGAAGGGTTTTGATTCCTCCAAGTACAGGAGGAAGGTGTACGAGACCTAGCTAGGGTAGTATCTTGACAAGAAGCGAATGTATAATCAATAATAGTCCGATGTAGTGTAATGGCTATCACATCACGCTCTCACCGTGGAGATCGGGGTTCGATTCCCCGCATCGGAGTTTAATGTTTTTGACTAGCTGTGCGACGTAAACGTCGACTCACCTTTTTTTCTCCGGGTCGTCGCGAGGGCGCTGAAAGTTCTCATGCTGTGAAAGATCCTGTTAAAGAGATTTGGGTGGCTTTTTTCCATAGCTCAGCAAAGTACTCTGGTTCGGGAACTAATTAGCTCAACGAAACGAGGCAAACGTTACAGGCGACATAAAAGACATGACATGCTAGGCCTGAATGACCCAGGAAACGCTGCCAGAAAGTATGTTGTCCTGTTGGATTTACGGAAGACCCAATCACGTGATCACTATGACAGATTGGCCTTCCGAAAAACCTAACGAAAGATCTGACCAGGGAGACCCAAACGATCCCCGTGATGACCATAGAATTGCTTCCTCTCGTCGGTTTGGGCTTTCACTGTTGGACTGCGGGAGGAGGGGTGGGGGGAGGTGAAATGTAATCAGCATTTCTTTGATGTAATAGGGAATCTTCATTGAACAAGGATTGTATACAAGGGTGGCGGCCCTGCCAGCCCAGGGGTTACGTTGCCCTTCTCCATTAGCTTGATAACGACGTTGGAAGGAACCTATTGCGACAAGATCACGTGATCATCGTGACACAATCAGGAAGAGAAGAGATGCCAGACGTCCCAGTGATGAACAAGAGATTACGAGTCTACTTACAAACGTAAATCGCGAAAAGTGGTATGATGGATGCCGTAAAGTGAGCGTCTGTCTTCACGTTTCACTCATGACTTACGAAAAAGAAATTACGACAGTTGTATAGAGAAGACTGTACTACCAGACGTGGCGCGGCCATGTTACTCTTGGAGAGAAGTACTCTACACACGATATATTTAAAAACAAGAAGGCCATGAGCGACCTAAACAATCGTTTGAAGACGTTCTTGTCAAGAAGCTTGGGTGAAGCATGATCACGTGGTACGAAACACAAACCAGTTTTAGTATCGTTCTGAACGAACAAATACTCCATCTATGTTTCAGTTCCCAGATCGTTACCATAGACACGGGGTACCGCGAAACGGAACTGACTGTTTCGCACTCAAGCGGAAATCAAGGACGAAGAACAGGAAAAAAAAGAAGAGATTAAACTCATCTTGAAATCGAGTTTCAAGTGTCGAAACACAACTCGAACAGTAACCTGGGATTCACGGAAGTCACGCGAGTTACAGTCCACCACAGGTATAGCAGTTTCCGTTCTCGTATTTCTCGACCCAGCTGGCTCTGCGTGAAAAGTACACACACAACGCACACGACTTTCTCGAAGACTGGATGTCGTCCGCTGAAATAGCAAGCACGGTGTCGAGCTCGGCGCTGCCAGCGCCGAGCTCGCAATCCAACGGCTGTGTCACGTGCACCGATTCCGTGTCGTGTCCACAGTGCGCAGCCGACGAATACTGCGCGGTGACGGTGCAGACGTGCGCACAGTGTCCACAGACGTACTGCGCGAAACGAACGTCGACGCTGTCGAGCTCGTCTAACAGCTCGTCAAACGGGTCGTCGCAGTCGCACGGCGGCCACGGCGCCAGTGCGTCGAAAGTCGGCGGCATCGTCGGCGGTGTCGTCGGTGGAACCGCGTTTCTGATCGCGATCCTGCTCGTGTACCTGTACGTCAAGTACTGGTCCAAGAACAAGGCCCACAACCGCAACGTGCTCGTCGCCGAGGGTCGTCACGACGAAGATCTTCTCGACGATCCGGAGTCGGGTGGCTACGAGAAAAACGGGCACCTGCAGGGCCCTGGGGGCCCTGCAGGTCCAACCGGACTGCACCGGCCCGGCAACAGAAGCAGTGCCGCAACGGTCACGACGCGTGCATCCTCGAACATTCTACCAATCGCGTATATTCCGGGTGTCACTGCGGGCAAACAGGGCAAGCTACCGCCGCTGCCGCGGCATCTACTGCGGTCCGGCGACACGCGGTCGCACATCACGTTGGGCAGCTCGATTTTGGGCGGCATGGACGACGACGACGACAGTACAAGTGACGATCGCGATCGCGACGTGAAAACGACAGCAAATGGACGACTCGAAAGCGATGCGGACGCGGGCGCCGGCGAGAAAAACGACACGAACCATCTCACGACCGCGATCCGTGCCAAACCGAAGCTCGTACAAATCAGCGAAGAAGAAGAGGACGACGACGACGATGATGGAGACGACGAAAACACGGGCCCTTTGATCGACCCACTTGTGCCCTCGCTTTCGAACGAGAAAACACTCCACTACACGCGGGAACTGCGCGACTCCTCGACGCCCGAGGACCACACTCGCGAGATGTCGGACGCGGCTGCGGCGTCAGACTCTGACGACGGCAGTTTCATCCTAGACGTGGCCGTCGCTGACACTGTGCGCGACCAGATGGCACAGAGGTATCACGTGACTACGTCCTTCTCGTCCGAGCAAGATCCGCACGCGACAGAGGGCTCTGGCAGCCCATTCGAGGACAAGTTTCGAATTTGATCTGGCCACATACCAAGGCACTAAACCAAGTACAATTACGTAGCAAGAGCTGCACTGCCAAGTACACCGGTGACGCGACGCAGCCCATCTTTCCATCCATCCGCTCTTCAAAGTCACTACATACGGAGCTAAATTGTGTCGCGTGACCAGAGTCTGGACCAGCGCTCCCGTTAAAAACGACACCCAGACACGTATGGTTTCGTCCAGAAGTGTTACCCGCACGTCACGGATCGCTCCAAGCGTGGACGAGTACTCAAAGATAACGTCAGAGTCATCCTTTGGCCCTTTCTTTTGAGAACTCACATACTAAACTGCCATCAATATTCTCGAACGCCGTATAAGTCAGTGAAGCTTACATTTACACGCGAAACGCTCCCAAGGCCTCCCATGAGCATGTCTTTTAACCCTGCACTAACGAAGAAAACACTTACCAACTCTTCTCAGCGCCGCCACCCCTGGCATTCACCACGAAGTCCACCCATACACAGTCCCGTGACCTCGTTTCTTATCGGGGGGCCCAGACATCGTCGCAGAGGCCTCTCATAGAATCTCAGAGAACATTATGGAACATTATAGAACATTATGGAACATTTTAGAACATCCGAGAACGTCATGCCGGTGGTTTGCCCCGCGTGCAAACCGCATGCTGTAATCTCTCAACAAAGCTTTCTATGCCCACTGTATGTTGCTGTTTTGCAACTGGCCATAGTAGCAGCAGCAGCCCATTACGTAGTGCACGATACCGGATACCCACCATTGTAGAAAAGTTTTCCCACCTTTTTTGCCACTGGGAAAGAAATGAAAAGGGGAAAAAATCATAGCCGTAGTTTGTCAACTACACTTCACTTCGATATTCGGTAGATCAATTTTGATTTGAATTGGACTCGTATAGGTTTTTATCGAGAGTCTTTGGATAACATAGGTATTGATTAGTGGATTTGAGATCGAAAGCGGATATTTCGAACTCTCACGACCCTTACAGACTTAACAGTTTCCAAAAGAACCACATACACAACACCACACACAATGGCCAGCTTTTCCGACATTGACAAGCTTGCTATCTCGACCATCAGACTTTTAGCCGTCGACCAAGTCGCAGCTGCTAACTCTGGTCATCCAGGTGCGCCGCTGGGGCTAGCCCCAGCGGCTCACGTGCTCTGGAGACAGATGAGACTCAACCCTGAAAACCCAGAGTGGATTGGCAGAGACAGGTTTGTGCTTTCGAACGGCCACGCGTGTGCGTTGCTGTACTCGCTGCTGCACCTCACTGGATACGACTTCTCGATCGATGACCTCAAGCAGTTCAGACAGCTCCACTCCAAGACTCCCGGCCACCCAGAGTTCTTCTTGCCCGGTGTCGAGGTGACGACGGGTCCTTTGGGGCAGGGTATCTCCAACGCGGTCGGTATCGCCGTGGCACAAGCCAACTTCGCGGCCACTTACAATAAGCCTGGCCACACCCTTTCCGACTCATTCACGTACGTGTTCCTCGGCGACGGATGTCTGCAGGAGGGTGTCTCTTCCGAGACCTCGTCGTTGGCAGGCCACCTCAAATTGGGTAACTTGATCGCGTTCTGGGACGATAACCAGATCACTATCGACGGTAACACCAACGTCTCGTTCACCGAGGACGTTGCCAAGCGTTACGAGGCGTACGGCTGGGAGGTCTTGTACGTCGAGAACGGTAACGAGGACCTCGCCGGCATCCAGAGCGCTCTAGAGGAGGCCAAGAAGTCCAAGGACAAGCCTACTTTGATCAAGATGACCACCACCATCGGTTTCGGTTCTCTGCAGGCGGGCACCCATGCCGTGCACGGTGCTGCTTTGAAGCCTGACGACGTCAGGCAGCTCAAGTCTAAGTTCGGCTTCGACCCAGCCAAGTCGTTTGTCGTTCCTCAAGAAGTGTACGACTTCTACAACCAGCACGTGATCCAGCCTGGTGCCAAGGCCAACAAAGAATGGGACCAGGTGTTCGCTTCGTACAAGGAAAAATACCCAGAACTGGGCAAGGAGCTAGAGAGAAGATTCGCCAACCAGCTGCCAGAAAACTGGACCGAGAAATTGCCCGTCTACTCTCCAAAGGACTCTGCTGTCGCCACCAGAAAGCTTTCCGAGATCGTCCTGGAGAGCCTACACAGCTCATTCCCAGAGATACTTGCCGGTTCCGCTGACTTGACCTCTTCTAACTTGACCAGATGGAAGGAGGCTGTCGACTTCCAACCTCCTTCTTCTGGCTTGGGTGACTACACTGGCCGCTACATTAGGTACGGTGTGAGGGAGCACGGTATGGGTGCCATGATGAACGGTATCGCTGCTTTCGGTGCTCACTACAAGGCCGTCGGTGGTACGTTTTTGAACTTTGTATCCTATGCTTCTGGTGCCGTCAGGCTAGCCGCTTTGTCCGGCCACCCCGTCATCTGGATCGCCACTCACGACTCCATCGGTCTAGGAGAAGACGGTCCAACCCATCAACCTATCGAGACTTTGGCCCACTTGAGAGCTATCCCAAACATGCAAGTGTGGAGACCAGCTGACGGTAACGAAGTCTCTGCTGCTTACCACGTGGCGTTGAACAACAAGAACACCCCAGCTGTTCTTGCTTTAACCAGACAGAACTTGCCACAATTGGAAGGTAGCTCTATCGAGAAGGCCTCCAAGGGTGGTTACGTTTTGCAAGAAGCGAAAGACGCCAACATCACTTTGGTAGCCACTGGATCTGAAGTCAGCTTGATCGTTGACGCGGCCAAACTTCTAGCCAGCAAGGGTGTTAAGGCTCGTATTGTTTCTTTGCCCGACTTCCACACTTTTGACTTACAATCTCAAGACTACCAACTTTCCGTCTTCCCAGATGGTGTTCCAATCATGTCCGTTGAAGTGTTATCGCCATCTTGCTGGGCGAAGTACGCTCACGAATCTTTTGGTCTAGACCACTTTGGTGCCTCTGGTAAGGCAGGTGACATTTTCAAGGCTTTCCAGTTCACTCCAGAAGGTGTTGCCACTAGAGCTGAGAAGACTATCAAGTTTTACGACGGTAAGCAAGTCATTTCTCCTTTGCACAAGCCATTCTAAATCAAAATGTGGCTTTAGCAATCTGTGAATGATAAAACAAACCATAGGATAAATTAAACCATTTAATTATTATGCACATGACTTTCTTCTTACTCAGTTTGATGAAAAACACAAGTTTAGTACATATATAAATATAAGTTTAACAAGCGTTGATGTGAATTTGGGTACATCTGCGTTCAGATGTATATTTTATCACCATTGACAGCGATAAAGATCATTCTTTAGCTGGGAGTTCAAGTTTCGTCGTTTTCAAGCTATTTTCTGTGATAATGAATTTCAGAAAAACAAGCTCTCCCTCCAAGCAGCATTCAACTTTGAAAACTTCTCTTGCAAATCTAAGCTAATCTTAAATTTTAGGATGACGAAAGGTAAAATCAGCGTGGCATTTGTATGCTTAGGAAATATTTGTCGTTCGCCTATGGCTGAAGCTGTTTTCAAAAAGGTCGTCTCAGATCATGGTCTCGAAGAACGGTTCTCGAAGATAGATTCATTTGGCACAGGAAACTGGCACAAGGGAGAATGTCCAGATCCACGGTCAGCTGCTACTTGTCGTAAGCATGGTGTCCCAGTTAATCACCATGCGCAACAAATTAAGAAGTCTAGTTTCGAAGAATTTGATTATGTTATTTGCATGGACGAATCCAATATGAGAAATCTGCAAAGACTAAAACCCCCAGGGACCAAGGGTAAAATCTTTCTTTTTGGCCACTGGAACACAAATGGGAAATTTAATGACATAGTCGAAGATCCATATTACGGTGGTGACGAGGGTTTTGAATACAATTTTAAACAGGTGACGTATTTCAGCGAAGAGTTTCTCCGCGCCGAACTATGAAAATGTCCCAAAAGATGCCATATAGTATTATCTCTACTCTCGACATTATAGAATTACAAGTCTGCGCTACCTTCGAATAGCGATTATACTATTCAGGATTTTTGGGAACGCTCGTTTACATTAATGCTGAATCCTTTTGATATCATTCGGAATGAGGTACGGAAAAACGCCGGAAACTCATATCTTCTCAAAGTCCTCCTGTCTATATACAAACTCGTCCCCACAGCGCCGAGCCAGCCATGACTTTTGGTAATCAAAATACCTCCAGGAAACTTCTTCTGATTTTTCATTTCCAGGTGGAAGCTTCTCAACCTCTTTGAATAGCCAACAACGATTTATTTTGTTGAATTGCCAACCACGGTTAGAGAGTTCCTTGGCTGCTAGGAATTGTTCATAGGTACCCTGGTAATGGTAAAAAACCATGAATAAGGTATCGAGGTCAAATTTGGACATGATGCGAGCCAGCGAAGTTCTAGAGTAAAAATCACGTGCAGGTCTACTTTCCTCAGGTGTTTCTGTCGACACAAGTCTTATGGGCTCATTGGGGAAGAAGATTGAGGTAGGATGCGGTAGCGACAATGGAGCCTGGTAGAGTTTTGGAGTGTCTGCATCTAGCGAGTCTGGACAGTTAAGAAGCGAGGACTCCAATTGTGACACCATGTCTGGTGGCATTTTCTCGAAAGGTTGGAGCAAGGGCCTTTTGGTCTGTGCCCAGTATGCAAGTCCCGGGCTGAATAATGGGTTTTTGAACACCGGGTTTTCGTTTAGATCGCGAGTTATTTTCTCTTCGATTTCTCTGGACAAATCCCTGGGTGGCTGAACAGCACTCGGAGTGTGTACCATTGGTTGCGGCGTCGTCTCCTTTTTATGATTCTTGAACGCGATTGTAGAATTTAATCTTGTCGGAGAAGTCAGCGACACCGATGATTTGTTCTTTTCGCTCAGTGCACCAGGAATGCTTGCAGCTGGGGGCTCAGGTGTATCCGTGTCTCTCTCAGCTTGGTCTTGTGCAGAGGAAGGTGCAGGGGACTGCTTTTTCCTGGGAGAACGTTCTGATCGGGATGCCTTGCCGGCTTTGGAGGGCGTGCCCACTTCTTTTTCAGCTTCACCAGCCTTAATTTCACACCCCATATCCTCATAAATATTCTCATATTCTATGAAATCTGGGTCGTCGTTGTTTTCGACGTAGTATTTGATATCGTCCTGAAATTCTTCAACTGAGTCTGGCTCAAGCTCATTGTTTTGTAGCAATTTCAAAATATGCTCCAGATTGGCAATGTGGAATGCATGTCGCTCTATTTGGATCTCTTCTCCCTGACTTTCGAACGATTCAAGCTGTTTTTGCACTTCTTCCAAACACTCTTGGATGAACACAACTTGATCTCTCTTCTTCAGTTCTCGCGGATCTTTGATGATGTCAGGGTTCGTAAGTGCCTCAGTCGAAAACTGTTTGGTTTTCATCAGTTTCTCAACCAGCTTAAACCGTTCCATCCCTGACTCAATTAGTCGTCGATTCTCCATCAAAACCTGCTGTTTGTCCTTCACATCCTCTTTGCTTAGCCAGGCTTTGATTTGTTCTCTATGCTTCTGCAACTTCTTGATCTCTCTCTTCAAGTCACCTTCCAATTTCTCTCTATAGGAGCTGTTAGAAGCATCGGTGTTTTGGAACTTTTCATACACGTCTTCAAAATCTTGCAATCCTTCCTTAACTTTCTTAAGCAGCTTATCAATCTCCTGCTGCAGTTTTCGTTGAGACATATCCCCCTAGAAGCTCAGCTTATACAACTGTCTGCCTGCTCTAGAAGGCCTAAATCATTCGTGCTACCAACTCTCTGTTAGCGTATTCAGTGCTTTACTATTTCAAGGACCATCACCGCTGGAGAGCGTCTCTCAATCGCAAAAGGCCGGGTAATATTAAAATCGCTTTACACGTTAGAGTAATATTTGAGTATTTGAAATAAGTGATAAAATATACCATTGTACGAGAGACGTAAGAAGGGATAAAAATAACCCAGACACCATTATCTTCCTCTTTTTGCCGCCCACAAAACCATATTTATATAATAAGGAGGGTGATGCGAGTCAGATACACTTGTTGACACCCCTACCGATTCTGCAGTTGTATGAAGATATGAGCTTGGGTAAGAGGTGGGCGGTTAGGTTGGCGCAAGATAATGAATGTGTTCTACGTACTTGGTCACGGCCCTGGGACTATTTTGGACCATGGTTCATATTAGGGACTAGTTCACAAAATTATGTCACGTGACAATCGCGTGCTTTCATTTCAATTTCTATGCGGCAACGATCTCGCGGTCACGTTCCATTTTTCCCTCGCAGAGGCATTGCCATATGAATTCCTTCGGAAATTTGAGTATTGAGGTAGCCAGGCTTGTAAACAGTGCCGAATATTTTCATTTTTGACTGAGTCATGTCTAATTCCCACGGAAAATATCAAAGTGACCAGAAGAGTTCAAAATCATATTAATACTCGCATTGTACTTTCCTCTGACAAGTTACTTTGAAAGCGCTTAGTTTGCTAGAGTTTAGCAATGTCGTCCCTAAGCTTGTGGTCCCAAAGGCTCGACAATCCTACTTTAAGCGTCCTTCCCCATGATTACCAACGTCCTCAATATGCTCCATTGGTTAAGCAAGAAGAGCAGTGCGAAAATCTTCCCATCCTAGAACTACCACACGGCAAGTGTTCTTACACACTTTTGCTAGCAGTCTGGGCGTCGCTGGTCTACCGATTGACCGGTGACGATGACATCGTGCTCTTTGTCAAAGATGGCAAGATCATTCGTTTCACGATAGTGCCAACTTGGACCTTTTCCGAACTATACGAAACCGTCTCGAAGGGCCTTGAAGAAGTCAGCAAGCTACCTGAGGTCAATTACGATGAACTTTCCCAGCATATCATGGAAGAACAGGAGAAAGAGCTCCCACCCCAATTTTTCCGCATTGGAGTCGTTACGGACACGGACATTTCGCTCGAAAATCAATACAAGACTCAGCAGTTCGACATGGTGTTGTCTCTGAGCGGATCCTCTAACTTAAGCATCATTTTCAATTCGCTGTTGTATTCTGCTGCACGCATAAATATTGTCGTTGAGCAAATAACGCAAATGCTTACGGCAGTTGTTAAAAATGACCACGCAATCATCACCGAAGTATCTCTGATTACAAGTTCTGCCGCCTCCAATTTGCCAAACCCTACTACGAATTTGGGATGGTGCGATTTTGTGGGATGCATTCACGACATTTTTCAAGACAATGCCAACAGGTTTCCTGAAAGAACTTGTGTCGTTGAAACTCCTGTTAACTCTGCTTGCGAAGCCCGCATCTTCACCTATCAAGATATAAACCGTGCCTCCAATGTTGTTGCCCACTATCTGATTAATACGGGTGTCAAGATTGGTGATGTCGTTATGATCTATTCGTCAAGAGGAGTTGATTTGATGGTATGTGTTATGGGTGTGCTCAAGGCGGGTGCCACTTTCTCAGTCATCGATCCGGCATATCCTCCTGCTAGGCAGACGATCTACTTGGGTGTTGCGAAACCTAAAGGCTTGATAGTGATACGCGCTGCCGGTCAGTTGGACCAATTTGTGGAAGATTACATTTCTAATGAGCTTGACGTCGTTTCACGTATCCCTTCGATTGCTATTCAAGCGGACGGTTCAGTTGAAGGAGGTATTTTAAACAACGACTCAAAGGATTGCTTGGAACCTTACGGTCATTTAAAAGATACTCGCAGTGGCGTGGTGGTAGGCCCGGACAGCAATCCAACTCTTTCCTTTACTTCCGGGTCGGAGGGTATTCCGAAGGGTGTTCTGGGCAGACATTTCTCACTCGCATATTATTTTAAGTGGATGTCGCAAGAATTTAACCTTTCTGAAAGGGACAAATTTACCATGCTTTCGGGTATCGCACATGATCCCATTCAGAGAGATATGTTCACGCCCCTTTTCCTTGGCGCTCAGCTTCTGGTACCAACTCAAGATGATATTGGCACTCCTGGGCAATTGGCCACCTGGATGAGTGTCAATGGCGCCACTGTAACACATCTAACACCTGCTATGGGCCAGCTTTTGACAGCACAAGCTACAACTCCATTTCCATCTCTACATCACGCTTTTTTCGTCGGAGACATCTTGACCAAAAGAGATTGCCTGAGGTTACAGACTTTAGCGGAAAATTGTTGTATTGTCAATATGTATGGTACAACGGAAACTCAACGAGCGGTTTCGTTTTTTGAGGTCAAATCGAGGTCACAGGATCCAAAATTTTTGGAGCATCTCAAGGATGTTATGCCTGCCGGTAAAGGAATGCTCAATGTACAACTCCTAGTGGTCAACAGAAATGATAGAACTCAGATATGCGGTGTGGGAGAGGTGGGTGAAATTTACGTTCGCGCCGGAGGCCTTGCTGAAGGTTACCGTGGATTACCAGAACTGAACAAAGAGAAATTCGTTCAAAATTGGTTTGTTGAACCCGAACACTGGAACCACCTGGATAAAAATGATAATGAACCGTGGAAAAAGTTTTGGAAAGGACCCCGCGATAGGCTTTATAGAACCGGTGACCTGGGAAGATATCTTCCTGATGGTAACTGCGAGTGTTGTGGCAGAGCGGATGATCAAATCAAAATTCGTGGCTTCAGAATTGAATTGGGAGAAATTGACACGCACATCTCCCAGCACCCATTGGTTCGCGAGAATATTACGCTGGTTCGTAAAAACGGTGACGATGAGCCCACTTTGATTACTTTCATGGTTCCAAGGTTTGACAAACCTGAACAGCTCACACCTTTTGAGTCCGAATTGCCTTCGTCTGAGGTTTCTGATCCAGTAGTCAAGGGATTGGTCAAATTCAGGAATTTAGTGAAAGACATCAAAGATTTTTTGAAGAAAAGACTTGCTTCGTATGCCATTCCATCGGTCATCGTTGTTCTCGAAAATTTGCCGTTGAATCCAAATGGTAAGGTTGATAAGCCGAAACTTCAATTTCCTTCTACCAAGCAGTTGACGATGGTCGCGGAATGCTCTGCAACGGACGTCGATGACTCTGAGTTTACATCAGAAGAAAAAAGAATTCGTGATTTGTGGTTGGAGGTTTTGCCAATTAGACCTGCCTCTATTTCTCCTCATGATTCGTTCTTTGATCTTGGTGGTCATTCCATCCTTGCAACAAGGATGATCTTCACGCTCAGAAAAAAGCTGAACGTTGACATTCCCTTGGGCACCATTTTCAAACACCCAACTATCAAACTATTTGCCGAAGAGGTCAGTAGGATTTGCGAATCTTCAACGGCAACCGAAAAGACTAGTCTTACTGCTGATTATTATTCCGATGCCAAGAAACTGGTGGACAGCATGCTTCCCTCCGAGTTTCCGTCTCGTGAAGACTTCAAAGTTCCTACCAATGCATGTCGTCAAACAATAAATGTTTTTGTGACAGGTGGAACCGGCTTCCTCGGCTCGTACATCTTAGCGGATCTTCTCGACCGCCCCATCGAACCATATAGCATCAAGGTTTATGCACATGTTCGTGCTAGCAACAAGACTGCTGGTATGGAGAGATTGAAGAAAGCAGGGATGGTCTATGGCACGTGGCAAGAGGCGTTCGAATCGCGTATCGAGGTAGTTATTGGTGATCTTTCCCAACCAGAGTTTGGGCTCGACAAAGACTCGTGGTCTTCACTTGCTAATGAGATTGATACTATAATTCATAATGGAGCATTGGTTCATTGGGTTTACCCGTATTCGAAATTGAGAGACGCTAATGTCATTTCCACAATAAATGTGATGAACCTAGCAGCGTCTGGCAAAAAGGCCAAGTTCTTCACTTTCGTTTCTTCAACTTCAACACTTGACACGCCATACTATTTCTCTTTGTCCGATAAATTAGTCTCAGAGGGTAAAACAGGACTCCTGGAATCGGACGACCTCATGGGGTCTTCCACAGGATTAACTGGAGGTTACGGTCAGTCGAAATGGGCTGCTGAATACATTATTCGTCGCGCTGGAGAACGCGGATTGCGTGGGTGTATTGTTAGACCTGGATATGTGACAGGTGCATCAAAGAATGGGTCTTCCAACACGGATGACTTTTTGCTGAGGTTCCTGAAGGGTGTCACCCAGCTTGGAAAAATTCCAGATATTGACAACACGGTTAATATGGTGCCGGTTGACCACGTAGCGCGTGTAACTACGGCAACGGCTATAAACCCACCCAGTGAAAGTTTGGTTGTTGCTCACGTTACCGCCCATCCCCGGATTCTGTTCAAAGATTATCTAGCAGAATTGAAAATTTACGGATATGACGTTGAAGTCGAGAGCTATGATTTGTGGAAAATTGATTTGGAGGCATCTGTTTTTGAAAGAAATGAAGAGAGCGCACTATACCCTTTGCTTCATATGGTCTTAGACAATTTGTCCGAGAACACGAAAGCGCCTGAGCTTGATGATACTAATGCCAAAACGTCGCTTTTGAAGGATGTTCAGTGGACCTCTCAAGATGTGTCCCGTGGCAAGGGTGCTACTTCAGAACAAATTGCCATTTACATTTCCTTTTTGAAAACTGTCGGCTTCTTGCCTGATCCTACTTTACCAAGCAGCAAGCAACTGCCCGTAGTTGAACTCTCAGAGGAACAATTGCGCTTGGTCTCATCTGGAGCAGGCGCTCGTGGCAGCTCTGCATCTTTTTGAGATTGCTGATAGACAAAGACCTGTAATGCTAACTTTTTAAGCCTCTAGCTTCTATACAATTGTAAATAACATGTGAAACTAGCCAGCTACCAAAGCATGGGAGAGCTGCTACCCAAAGAAATGATGTCCTTTTCTTCTATCCGTTTTAATTATTGAACAGAAATTGCAAATCACCTGGGGTAAGTCGGTTAATTGCAGCAGCGTCTTGATTTATCGTTGCGTGTATCATATTTGCTTTTTTTCTTGCAGTTCGATTATTCTCGACTCGATGCTATCCTCAATGCAAAGCCTTGTTATTTTAACTGGCCTATATTGACCAATACGATGAACTCTGTCACCACTTTGCCATTCCACACTTGGATTCCACCAGGGATCCAAAATGAAAACCTGCGAAGCCTCGCAAAGGTTTAAAGCCACACCACCTGCCTTTAAACTTACCAGAAAAACTTCACAGTGCGTATTTTCCATGAAGTACTTAATTGTCTCATCACGCTGAGTGGGCGTCATACTACCTTGTAACTTCACAGTTTGAAAACCAGCCCTCTTCAAACGCCATTCGACCAAATCAAGCATGCTTGTAAATTGTGAAAATACGATTGACTTTATGGTTCTACTATCACTTCTCAAGTTGTAAAGTTCCTCTACCAAAGCCTCGATCTTGGTTGAAGATCTCCAAGTGCCTTTCATGTTAAGACGATTAACAATACTTTGCTTCTGGAATGCTTGTTCTTCAACTTCTAAGGCAGGTTGCGAGAGATCTATGCTCAAAGCAATGTGGCATACGGGACAGGTTAGTTTAGAAGACTCCTCCAAAAAGGATTCAGTGTATTCTTTGATACACAAACGGCAAAACTTGTGATGGCATTTTGACTCAATGGGCTCCTCAGCTTCGTCATCACATAATTGGCATACAATGACACTATCTGCATATTCACCTCCATTTTTAACACGCTTGAGCACTAAATCCGGATGATCGGCAATTTGTCGCATTCGAGTGATCAATGTAAAAAGATTGGCGTAATTATTGAGCACAACACCCTCTTCAACATAAGCGTTGTACTTTCTTTTAATATCAGAGTACAAGCTTTGATAAAGGTCCTTCTCTTCTTCATTAAAATAATCCCGCCGTACAGTTACAATACGAGGAGGTAATCCCAAATCATCTGCCCGCTCAACCTTAGTTCGGCGTAGCATTATATTTTTTAGTAATAGCTGAATGTTATTGAAAGACTCTTTACCGGGGCCCTCAATACCGTGTTTTTGAATGTTTTTCAACGTAAAGTGATTGAAGAAATTGGTATGCTGCATCACTACATGTCCACAGAGATCGCAATGCATATGGTCGGTAAACTTCCATTCAGATGATTCACAATCGCATTTTGTGCAAAAATATTTGGAGAACGGATTGATGTTCAAAAACCTTATAAGTGAGTACATCTCTCCTATTCGGTTCTGCAATGGGGTACCTGACAGGCACCAGCGCTTCTCTGTCTTGATCGTGTTCACCGCTTTTGCTGTATTACTTTGTCTATCTTTGATGTTGTGAGCTTCATCCAATATAACTCGATAAAAGTTCATGTTGTGAAGCAAGGACGGTTCTTTCACCACTCCTGTCTTCCTCTTAAATCCGTAAACCTGTTTACGGAACACAGATTCAAGAACCGAATATGTCGTGAGAAGAACATCAACGTCTTTGAACTCGCCAACGTTGCTAGTACGATTTGCTCCATGAAAAATGTAAGTTTTCAATTTGCCTGCGGTATGTTGCTCAATCTCGTTTTTCCATTGGATTAAAGCAACAGTCGGAGCTACTACCAGTGAAGGCCTTTTGGACGTGTCATTCATTAGTAGAGCTATGGTTTGGATGGTTTTACCCATCCCCATTTCGTCAGCCAGAACACCACCGCCATAAATACTTTTCTCCTGAGTCACAAGCCAGCTCAGCCCTTCTAGTTGAAAGGGTAACAGTTTGATCGTCAGCCCCTCGGGCTGCTCAGCGCGAATCGGCTTATAAACGGGCGCATTTGCCAAAAAGGGGAAAACGTCTTTAAGATACGGATGATTTTCAAAAAGCCGGTTTGTATTTCTTTCATACGGAGTCACTTTTGGTGGCTTTGGAGTTTTGGCCTTTTTTGTAGCTCTCGATTTCCGTTTAGTGGGCTCTCTCTTCTTGCGCTTTTTAGACAGCGGTTCATCGTCGTCGTCTTCACCGACGTCTGCTTCATCGGGCTCCTGTTTGATTTTGACATGTTCAATATCGGATTCGTCCCTAATTTCCATCTGTTCCTTGTCGGATTCGTCCTTAATTTCCACCTGTTCCTTGTCGGACTCGTCCTTGATTTCGAAAACCTGCCCAAGTTTGGTAGACACTAGGTGAGACTCGTCTGATTCTGTACCGTCGGAAGAATCTATCTGCACCACTTCCCTGTAGTCTTCGTCTTGAAGGTTTCTCACGTCAGCTTCATCAAAACTTTCCGAATAATTAATGGGCTTTCGCCTTCTTTGTCCGGACCGTCTGATGCGCCTGCCATCCTCTACCATGTTCTCAAACGCACCCCCTGAGTTGTTTCTCAATATGTTGTCACGGTTGTGCTCATTTAGATTTAAATTTTGCTCGCGGTCGTAGATCGATAAAATTGTCAGTGCAAGACATTTTGCTTACAAAGCACCGCAGAGCATAGAATGGAACCTTGCTGTAGATACTTTAAGATTTGATAGTCTCGAGGGTAATATCCTTATCCCATCGGAACGGTGAACTCACTCGTTCATTGCTCTAAGTTTGTTTTTGCTGCTTTGAGCACTGATTCTTTACACCGCTGCCCCGAGATTTCAGCTCCCGCGCGAACTCTCACAGCCGAAACGCCGACACGGACAAAATGCTAGGTATTCGGTACCACTGACGCACCTCTGCTCGTTTCTGTCACCAACCTGATGGAAACCTGAACCCTCAGCTTAACTGGCGCTATCGTACCATTCGTGCCTCATGTGCCCATCATATTACTTCCACATCGAAAGCGGTCAAACCGCTGTCCTTGTTTCTCAGACTTCTTTGCTTGAGTGTCCAAGTGTCCAATAGCGAACAAGGGCGTCCTCTCCAACTGCAGACCCTATTTATACCCAAAACTGGGCGGCTTTTACCACAAAAACGCGGATCCCGAAAAACAAAAGATCATTATTAACGTTCACTCTTTAACCGCCCATATATACGTAAATAATGACTATTACTTAATCTATGCATATGTGTGGGTGGAGGAGCGCTTGTCTCATTTAACGGTTCACATAATGGCTCACACACGCTGACGGGCACAAATTACCAAACTTTTGGCCCAACGAGTAGTTATGATCCTAGTAATCTTGTGCGTTTTTAAAGCTTCTACAAAATTGTCAAATTGCTAGGATACTTTTAACCAATTTTCAAAGTCAATTATGGTGGTCTAACATTAAAAAAAGCCGTCATAATTTTTGGCAATTGCGTCAAAAGAACACCTGAAGAGTGCCATCCATATCGCACTCGAAATCAACTCCATTCTTCATAGAGCTCCTGCGTACCCATTCAGCCGCTGTTTTGACAATTAACGTGAATCTAAGTGCGTACAAAACGACGCAGAATCTACTCATTAAGTTTTCTTCCATGTCTTCTGTGCAGGAAGGTACCTTGGATGCCCTGGCCGAGCTGGGCGCACAAGACGCGTAAGACAGCCAACGGCGTACGTAACACTAGAACAGTATCGTACTTGGTCTGATCCAATTTAAGAGGATTACCTCCGAATGTATATAGAGCAAGAAAAACGTACAAAACAACAGCTTCGCGAAGCGTCTTGAGCGAACCGTCCTCCGCAAAACGACTAGTGAAGCGGAGAAATCGGCCAAAAGCCTCCGAATTCACATGGGCTCGCCGAAATTTGGATCGGTGTCACTGACTCTCAACTGACACCAAAGTACCAAAGCCTTACCCGCACTCAGGTTCCTAGAACAGCTCGCTGGGGCTTTGTCCTCCGCTCACTAGTCATCGCCGGTAACTGCGAGACTTGCGAGGGAAAGTTACCCGGAATTGATGAAGGTGAAAAATTTTTCTGTCGACGCTTCCCACGACTATATAAGGGCAGATCGTAATGCAAGCGAGGCCTGGGCTAGCAGCGTGCGCTCTTCTGTTGGAAAAATTTTCCGATACGCTACTCGGTTTTCCTGGCACACTACATTGACACATTATGGCTGAAGAAGAACACACTTTCGAGACCGTCGATGCCGGTTCCTCGCTAACCTACCCAATGCAATGTTCTGCATTGAGAAAGAACGGTTTCGTCGTTATCAAAGGCAGACCATGCAAGATTGTCGACATGTCTACCTCCAAGACCGGTAAGCACGGTCACGCCAAGGTCCACCTGGTGGCTCTCGACATCTTCACCGGTAAGAAGTTGGAAGATCTTTCTCCATCCACCCACAACATGGAAGTTCCAAACGTCAAGAGAACTGAATTCCAACTTTTGGACATCGACGACGGCTTCTTGTCTTTGATGACCATGGACGGTGACACCAAGGACGACGTCCGTGCCCCAGAGGGCGAGCTAGGTGACGCCATCCAGGCCTCTTTCGACGAAGGTAAGGACTTGATGGTCACCATCATCTCTGCCATGGGTGAGGAGGCTGCCGTTTCCTTCAAGGAGGCCCCAAGATCCGAATAAGTATTATGATCTAGTCCGTACCATGTATTTTCCCCGTTTAAGTCTCTTTTAAACCGCATGACGTGTGGGGCGACGTTCGCAGCTGCGTTCTATTTAGGTTTCAAGAGAATTACTGCGTTTAGCTCGAAGTAGAATGTACACACAGGCAGGATCTTTGAAAAGGGATCACCTTGGATCTTTAGCCAGTTCTCTTCCGTGCTCAATGCTTATCTTTGTCAATATATGGATTATCTGTGCTGCTCTGTGACAGAGATAGATAAAGGACCCTTCTTGATCTGTTCGTTTTGTACGAAAAGTTCATAACTATTAAATCACCGTCCCCAGGCGCTAATATACTCTTGGCAACGGAAATATTTGAGACGGATCAGGCGTAGCGGTTTCTGTGATGAACGAGCACTCGCTGCCGCGACCTCCAGATGTAGATCCAGTCATTGCCGCGATGGCCGCGGCCGTCGCGTACGGTGGCGAAAAGAGGAACAAGGAGGTGGATGAATCCGCCGATGCTTCGCGGAAATTGCGAGCGCGATCCCCGAAATTAGGAGCCAAAAAACGAAATTGGTGTTGGAATTGGTTTGTTCAGGATAGCAGCAATAAGAACGCGGCAGTCTGCGATTACTGCGGCCGTTGCGTGCGTCGTCTCAAGTCTGACCGCGGCTCGCCGAAAAAGCTGCTGGAGCATCTGAACACGCACAAAATCACTCCAAAAATGGAAAATCGCATCCGCGAACAGTCCACCTACTCAGGTGGTGTTCAATCCTTCTACGAAGCGATACAGAAGCGACATCGGCAACGGAGTTTGCTGGATTACGGTGATACGTCTGTCGCTATAGCGAACGACGACGACTCAAGCTCTCATTACCCATACTCACCATTATCGGTGTCACTACAGACGGTACAAACCGTTCCGTCTCAAACTTCGAAATATCGACCAAGTGACGATGTGGCGTGCATCGACCTAGCATCCAAGACTATAAAGTTTCTATTGGAGAACAGAGTAAACCTCAAAGTGATTTTCTCTTCCTCATGGGGTGACCTCATTCACAGGCCGGCCAACCCTCATATTGACGAATTTCTGATTTATCTCGAGTCGATATTTACGAAGTTTGGAGAACGACAATGCATGCAAGAGCTGGAACGATGCGCAGCGCTTCGCGGAACGAGCGACTGAATTTCCTTTACCTCGTGATAAATGATACGACATTCAACAACCACGTGACTAAAATGAACTTTTTGTCCACTGCCAAATTGGGCAATATAATGTAGCTACCGTATTGGGTAATTAGGATTTTTCAAGACGCAGGACACATCGAGATATCAAGATATTAAAATTTAAAGTAGAACTGACCCGAATCACATCACGGTCGAGAATACCGAAATTAGCATACATTGGCGACTAACGCAAAATGGACAACTTTATCGAGACTCCCGATGCCGTTTTTGGCGATAGAGTTCGCAGATTCCAGGAGTTTTTAGATACATTTTCTGGTTATAAGGACGCCATAAGAACGATTCAAGTGTTCAACGCACCGGACCGCAATGCGTCTGAGGATGCCGAGAAAAAAGAGACCAATGAGAGTCCACAATTGCCTCAAAGGGTTACTGTATCATTGGATGATCTGAGAGAGTTCGACAGATCGTTTTGGACAGGGATTCTGATGACTCCTGCTAATTTTATTCCACCCGCAGAGCGCGCACTGACGGAAACTGCAATGACGCTGGACGAAAATCCTTCGAGGTTTCAAACCAATGTAGTATTGAGGCAATGGCGGCTCTCATTCAAGGGCTCGTTCGGAGCGCATGCGCTCTCGCCACGAACTTTAAGATCGCACCACGTCAACAAGCTGCTTTCGATAGAGGGTATAGTGACGAAAGTATCATTGGTTCGCCCTAAACTCATAAGATCTGTTCACTATGCTGAGAAAACTGGCCGTTTCCACTACCGAGATTATCGAGATGCCACCACAACCCTCACAACTCAGATTCCTACCCCCGCCATATACCCTACTGAGGATCCTGACGGCAACAGGCTGACAACGGAGTATGGCTATTCGTCTTTCATGGATCATCAGAGGATTTCTGTGCAAGAAATGCCCGAAACGGCACCTCCAGGGCAGCTTCCGCGTTCAATTGATGTGATAGTAGATGAGGACCTAGTAGACAAAACAAAGCCGGGCGATAGAATAAATGTCGTCGGAGTATACAAATCTCTTGGAGCTGGTGGACTCAACAGCAGTGCTGGGAGTAAAGAACAAGGCAATGCACTGTCTGGATTCAGAACGCTAATTCTGGCAAATACTTTATACCCACTTCATGCCCGTTCCACCGGTGTTGCCGCCAGACAATCTCTCACAGATTCCGATATCCGAAATATCAATAAAATCTCGAAAAATCCAGACATTTTTGATCTACTATCTCAGTCGCTAGCACCGTCCATCTATGGCCACGATCACATCAAAAAGGCAATTCTACTCATGTTGATGGGAGGTGTCGAGAAAAACCTCGAGAACGGATCTCATTTGAGAGGAGATATCAATTTGCTAATGGTAGGTGACCCTTCTACAGCAAAGTCGCAGCTTTTGAGGTTTGTTTTGAACACGGCTAGTCTCGCCATTGCAACCACAGGACGAGGATCTTCCGGTGTCGGTTTGACTGCAGCAGTTACAATGGATCAAGAGACTGGTGAAAGGAGGCTAGAGGCGGGTGCCATGGTTTTAGCGGACAGGGGTATTGTTTGTATCGACGAGTTTGATAAGATGAGTGACGTTGATCGAGTAGCCATTCACGAAGTTATGGAGCAGCAGACGGTAACCATTGCTAAAGCTGGGATCCACACGACTTTGAACGCTCGTTGTAGCGTAATAGCTGCAGCAAACCCGGTCTTTGGACAATATGATGTGAACAAAGACCCCCATTATAATATCGCCTTACCAGATTCCCTTCTATCGAGATTCGACCTTCTTTTTGTTGTCACAGATGATATCAATGAAAACACAGATCGTGCTATCAGTGAGCATGTTCTGAGGACCCATAGATATCTCCCTGCGGGATACCTAGAAGGTGAGCCGATTAGAGAAAAAATCAATCTCTCTCTAGCTGTTGGCGAAGACACTGACGAGGCTGCCGAAGAACAAGAAGCTGAGGATGAAAGCAGGGTTTTTGAAAAATTCAATCCTTTACTACACGCTGGCGCTAAGTTGGCTAAAAATAAAGGTAACCGCTTAGGGACGGAATTACCCCAGATTGTTTCAATACCCTTTTTAAGAAAATACGTTCAGTATGCGAAAGAGCGAATTGTGCCGGTTCTTTCGCAAAGTGCTGTGGACTTGATTATCAAAACTTATGCAGATCTTCGGAATGATAAAAACACCAAAAAATCTCCAATTACAGCTAGAACGTTGGAAACCCTTATCAGATTGTCATCAGCACATGCGAAAGTGAGGTTGAGCAAGAATGTCGAGCGTGACGATGCCAAAGTTGCAGCGAGGCTTTTGAAGTTCGCACTTCTTGGTGAAGACGACGATGGAGATTTTGGCTTAGAGGATAGCGCGAAGCGATCTCCTCATAAATCCCCTAATAAGAGACAGAGAGTGAGAAATCAGAGCCTTGCCCCAGCAATTCCATCATCGCCCACAAGATCCCGTAATAATTTACCCAGTACACCGCCTCAATACCAGGGGAGCGATCGATCAGACTCCGATAGTGAGATTGAAAGCGACATTGCTTTTTCTGGTTCTGAGGGCCTTGAGGAAAACGAACAAACCATGTCTGCTCTACCAGCGAACGAGGAAGAAAACTTGCAGAGACGATTGGAACAAGGGCTCAGAGTGTCACCTCGGAGATCTGCAAATCTCGTACGCACACATGTAACCAGAGACGGAAGGCATGTTCTCTCACCTTCTCAAAATGTCAGAACTTCGCCTCGCGTTGCCCAAGATGCCTTCGAAGCTTTACCAGACCTCACTCCGGTGGGAAATGCCGATCCAAGTACCATTTCAGCCGGAAGACTCTCTTTAATTTCTGGAATAATTGCGCGTTTAATGCAGACAGATCTTTTCGACGAAGAGTCTTATCCTACCGAAGCTCTCTTGGCCAAAATCAACGAAGAGCTGCCCGAGGAAGATAAATTTTCAAGGTTTGAGTATCTAGCGGGCCTTAAAGTCATGAGTGATAGAAACAATTTGATGGTCGCTGAAGACAAGGTGTGGAGAGTTTAATTTTACAACAACAGTAACAGAAAAAAAAGGGCTCTATATGCGTCTCGCAATCTAGACATTAGATAAAAGCTGGATCTTTTATAAGTGGTCATGACTTGGGTCGAAACTACAACTTAATCGCACGATAACTGCACGATGCTGGACTATGACTTTTTGGCAAACAACACCCGAAAAACATTGGTGCTTTAAAGCTCACATAGAATCTCAACAATTGTATTTAAACAAGGCATTTCAGGAAAAGCGTCCATGTGTTGGATTCTGTTCAGCTTATAAGTTCTTGATGTTTCCGACGTTAAGCATCGTATAGCTCGTATAAAACTATATACAAAGGTGGCAAACTTGATCGCGATTGGTCTTGACATCTCTGAAATAGACATCTATTTGATAGAGCCTTCTCGTGAGACAAATAGGGGACTAAGGGCCTGTAATCTAGTTATGGCAACGGATACAGTGGTGACAAGCCCAATTGTTAAGGGCTCAAAACTACTGGTACCGAAGCAAGGACTATATAAGCCTTATATTCTTCCTTTCCTTCCATTGTATGCAACTTTTCTCCAAATATATTTGAAGGAATATGAGAAATATATCAAAGGATCGGAATGGACGTTTGTTTATTTAGGGAGTCTGATATCACTCAACATTTTTATTTGGCTTTTGCCCCAGTGGAATGTCAAGATCGCTGCAATTTTCAATTTTGCTAAAGCGACAAGCATTTCTGAAGCTAGCCACATTTTGATCCACACGTCTTCCAACAACGGTGCTGATGGAATTGTGAAGATAGAAAGAGACGAAGAAAGCGGGATTCCTCAAACATCTTTTCAATTTCAGAAAAAACGGTTTTTGCTGGACCCTGCTCGGAATGAGTTTCGCAGTCCCAAATTTGTCGTCGATGAATCCCCTAAGCTGGCTGTCTTCCAAGAAAACCGTGGAAACTTCGGCGATTTGACTCATTTGAAAAGGCTTTATGGAGAAAACTCTTTCGATATTCCTATCCCCACCTTTTTGGAGCTCTTTAAGGAACACGCCGTCGCGCCATTCTTCGTTTTCCAGATATTTTGCGTCTGTTTATGGCTTCTTGATGATTACTGGTACTACTCTTTGTTCAATCTGTTCATGATTATCGCGATGGAAGGCGCTGCCGTTTTCCAAAGACTAACAACCCTCAGAGAGTTCCGGACGATGGGCATCAAACCATATTCGATTAATGTTTTCCGGGATGGAAAATGGATTACGGTACAGACGAACGAGCTTTTGCCAATGGACGTCGTTTCGATTACGAGAACAGCTGAAGACAGTGCCATCCCTTGTGACTTGATTTTGATTGATGGTTCTTGCATTGTAAATGAAGCGATGCTTTCTGGTGAATCTACGCCTTTACTCAAAGAGCCTATAAAACTTCGTCCTTCTGAAGATACTCTTCAGCTCGAAGGTTTGGATAAGAATGCCGTTCTTCATGGTGGTACCAAAGCCTTGCAGGTGACGATGGCTGAAAACCCATCCTATGTTCCAAATCCCCCAGACGAAGGCGCTTTAGCAGTTGTTGTAAAGACTGGTTTTGAAACCTCACAAGGGTCATTAGTTCGTGTTATGATTTTCTCTGCTGAACGAATTTCAGCAGGAAACCAAGAAGCCTTGTTTTTTATCCTGTTTTTGCTGATCTTTGCTATTGTTGCATCATGGTACGTGTGGGTTGAAGGTACTAAGATGGGTCGTATTCAGTCTAAGCTGATCGTGGACTGTATTCTGATCATCACCTCTGTGGTACCCCCTGAACTTCCAATGGAGCTTACTATGGCGGTTAATACCTCCCTAGCTGCTCTGGCCAAATTTTACGTGTACTGTACGGAACCCTTCAGAATTCCATTAGCCGGAAGGATTGATGTGTGCTGTTTTGACAAAACTGGAACCTTGACCGGCGAAGACCTAGTCTTTGAAGGCTTGGCGGGCATTGATGTCTCGAAAACCTCTGTTGGCCATCTTTCCTCCGCGAAAGAAGCCAATTTGGATACATCTCTTGTTATCGGTGCAGCGCACGCTCTCGTGCTTATGACAGACGGAGAGCTCGTCGGTGATCCTATGGAAAAAGCCACACTGAATGCCTGTGACTGGAGGGTTGGGAACAAGGACACCGTTCACAAGGACTCAGTTGGAACCATTGAAATTTTACGTCGTTTTCAATTTTCTTCCGCTCTTAAGCGATCGTCTTCTATCGCCAACTCAAAGGGCCAATATTATGTGGCTGTTAAAGGTGCTCCAGAAACTATTAGAGAGAGGCTATCGAGTGTCCCTGAGAACTATGACAATATCTATAAGCATTTCACTCGTTCTGGCTCTAGGGTTTTAGCATTAGCCTCAAAGAAATTGCCAAAGCTATCCAAGAAACAGATTGAGAGCTTGGAGCGTGATGAAATGGAAACAGCATTAGAGTTCAACGGATTCATTGTTTTCCAATGTCCCTTGAAGGACGACGCCATTGAGTCGATCAAGATGTTAAATGAGTCTTCTCACCGTTGTATTATGATTACCGGCGATAACCCTCTGACCGCTGTTCATGTTGCAAAAGAGGTCAAAATTGTCGAACGTGAGACTTTCATATTGGATAAAGCCGAAAGAGAGGAAGATGATCATTTAATCATGAGAAACGTCGATGAATCCATCGTTAAGAAATTCGATCCCTCGAAAGACACATTCGACCACGCCTCTCTTTTTGAAAAATACGATTTAGCCGTAACAGGACACGCTCTTGCCGCTTTGTCGAACCACGATCAATTGAGAGAACTCATTCGCCATACTTGGGTGTATGCTCGTGTTTCCCCGGCCCAAAAGGAATTTATTTTGAACACTTTGAAAGACATGGGATATCAAACCCTCATGTGCGGTGATGGTACAAACGATGTCGGCGCTTTGAAACAAGCACACATTGGTATTGCCCTTTTAAATGGTACAGAGGAAGGCCTGAAGAAGATGGGTGAACAGCGCAGAATAGATGGTTTGAAGACAATGTATGAAAAGCAGTGTGGTTTTATGGATAGATGGGGTCAACCACATCCTCCCGTTCCTGAAGCTATTGCGCATCTCTATCCTCCTGGACCTAGCAATCCAAACTACCTCAAGGCCTTGGAGAAGAAGGGTGTCACCGTTACAGATGAAATGAGGAAGTTAGCGATTGAAGCCGCGTCGAGAACTGTTACCGTTAAAAAAGTTGAACCTGGAAAACAATCTGCGGGCGATCTAGCAGATATGGTGATGAACTCCCTAGGGGAGGCGGACAGTGAGGAGGCACCAACTTTGCGCCTGGGTGATGCCTCATGTGCTGCTCCTTTCACATCTAAGCTCGCCAATGTGTCTGCTGTGACCAATATCATTAGACAAGGTCGTTGTGCTTTAATTAACACGATTCAAATGTACAAGATCTTGGCTTTGAACTGTCTTATTAGCGCTTATTCCCTCTCTGTTATCTATTTGGCTGGCGTTAAATTTGGAGATGGTCAGGCTACGACGTCAGGTTTGTTGATCTCTGTTTGTTTCTTGAGTATATCTAGGGGCAAACCTTTAGAAAAGCTTTCGAAGGAAAGACCGCAACCTGGAATCTTTAATGTTTACATCATGGGTTCTATCTTGGGACAATTTTTCGTTCATATCGCGACATTAATCTACATCACACTAGAGATTTACAAGATTGAGCCTAGAGAACCTAAGGTGGACCTTGAAAAGGAGTTTTCTCCTTCGCTATTGAACACGGGTATATTCATGATCCAACTCGCGCAACAGGTCTCCACGTTTGCCGTCAATTACCAAGGTGAACCTTTCAGAGAAAACATCAGAAATAACAAGGGAATGTATTATGGTCTTTTGGGAGTTGCTGGTCTCGCCTTGGCGGGTGCGACTGAGTTTTTCCCAGAGCTAAATGCTGCCATGAAGTTTGTGCCAATGGATGACGTTTTCAAAGTCAAGCTCACAGCGACCCTTCTCCTTGACTTCTTCGGAAGTTGGGCCATGGAATTGTTTTTCAAATACTTTTTCATGGACTCCAAAGCCGCTGATATTACAAACAGACCTTGAATGTTGCCGCAAGGCCATTTAAAGATCTGCATCAAGCTGATTGTTTATAGAATTCATAGCCTTTTAAGTGAATTTATCTAACCTACGTTTCAATTCGACTTTATCTAGATCTGTCCATCTGAACACGAGTAATCCACCTTCGACTTGTATCGCTTTGATCACATCAGGAAGAAGTTGCTGTAGCTTCATAAGAATATCGCGAGTCTCGCCCTCGCCGACCGGATTGTTGCTATCGCGTAGACTGTCTACAATAAGAGAGGTTAAGTGAGTAATAGTGTAAGGCTCGAACGCAGGTAGAGCATGCAAAATATCAAATATCTGTAACATTTTGACGTTAAGAAATTGTTGATATTGTCGCTCTCTTTGTGATAAAAGAGCACTTGCTCGTCTTTCTTTCTGTCGAATGCGTTCTAAAAGATCGCTACCATCAACTCTTCCGCCGTCCATGCTTTTGAGCTTAAATTTCTGTTTGGAATTCGAAATATAGCCCCTCTGCCTTGATTTTTTGGCTTGGGTAAACTCTTGCGCATTGTCTTGCAATCGGGAAGTTCGTTCGAGATCGTCACTGCCTCTTCTCTTTCCAAAGGTGAAACATGGAACATCTTCCTGCATGGGACTTGAGTTTAGTGCTTGTCCCAGCCAATTATTCGCCCTTTCTGCGTATTCAAGCTTTCGCGATTTGTTACTTAACGCATTCAAGAGTCCCAGTTCAGGAAGACCAAGCACGATTTCACCTGCAGCATTGAGTTCAAGCTTGTAGGCTTCTGGCCATAAGAAGAGCATCCTCAAAAATTGTTGTTGTGAGACCTTTTTGTTCAACATGTTGGATATATTCGGTAACAGAGCCTGGAGTTCTGGTGTTGAAGTAGAGATAGATCTGGAAATTGAATACAGTGAAAGAATCGAGTCCACAACGTTGAAAATTTCCTTGCATAAGTTCACACGAGCAGTCAAATTTAGTTTGGCAGTTTCTAAAGGATAGATTTCTTTGGATACTTCTGGAAATCGAGTGATTTGTCCTTCTAATAAGATATCTGCAACCGTTTGTGTCCCTGTACTGGCGCTTAAAGGGGGCATTAAGGTCAAAAATGCAAAGTTGCTTGTTGGAACCCTCAGTCTCGCCGAAAAGGCTTTGTTGTTACTAATATTGGAAATCAATTTCCCTGCAGCAATGAGAATACAGTCTGGCTTCTCTAAAGCTTTCCAGCGGTCGTTTTCTTTATAGCTGATACCCGCAGCACACGGGAATACAGTTAGAAGCCCCTCAGGTTGTAAAATTTTGTATTCTTCTTGGTACTGAAACTCAAAATCGACTGAAGACTTAGGCGTCGGACTGTAATACCGAGAAATGATACTCGCATAATTGTGGTCATCAAAATTTACCTGTCCATTCAAATTGCAGCCCACAACTTCCAGAAATAATTTCCCAAAGTAAAGTGCTATTTTGAGTAATTGATTTGATATCTGCTCTAAAGCAAAAGGAGCCTGATTTTCCGAAAGCCATAGTCCATCAGTGCTTTTCATATATTGTTCCATAACGATCCCCTCCTCACTGACAAACGTTCCAGAAAAAAATTTGTCCAAATTACTGCTAGCAGAGAAATCATTGAGACCCAAATGGCTTATCAACCCTTTCAAATTATTCATGTTGGCATAATTTTTCAATAAAAAAATGCCATCTCCATTCAAAACAGTTTTAACAACGGGGAAAAGCTCCGTCTCATTTTGTATCAAATTCAAATCAATAACAGGAGCATCAAAAACTGACATAGCGGTCAAATATACTGATAGATGGGGGAACCTTGTCTTATAACCCGATTTTTAGATCCGCGATGAGCTTTGAATCTTGATAATTAAAACCAGGGCCAAAAGTGATTCAAGATTGACTAGGTTACCCGAAACTTGACAAAACTCGGACAACGAATTAACGAACTAAGCCAATCGAATTAGCAGGCCTGAGATTTGCACAAGCGTCCACGCTCGCCAATTGTAACAATCATCGTCAACTGGCTTTCCGTTGTTGCGGATTGCATATTGTCCTTTGACGAAAGTTCGAGCTTTAGACTCCTAAAGTCCGATACGCTAAGGCATATAAAGCCCAAGTCGTTTAATTTTAGATTTAAGCTTAGAATCCTACCCATATCCCGGTAAAAGCGGTCGCTTATTAAAATTTTGCGAGTTCCACGACGTCTGCCCTTTATTGCACCAGAGATACAGCTTATTTCAATGAATCGAATAATAACTAGATCAGAGATCGAAGACAGGATAGCGAAAGGCCAAGCTGTCGTGATATATGAAGATTTGGTATTGCAACTGGATAAATGGATTCGGTTTCATCCCGGCGGTGATAAAGCGATTCATCATATGATTGGTCGTGACGCAACAGATGAAATGAAGGCATATCACTGTGACGACACAGTCAAGGAATTCAAAAAATGGAAAATAGGCAAGATTCAAAAACAGTGGCACAATTTCGTTCCCCCTATTCAAGGTGGTCAGTTTGAAGTTCTTGAGAATCAATTATCGGACGGCCCAGAACTGTTGTTCAAATGGCGGAATGTCGATACGAGTGGCCAATTCCAGGACGTTTCGTCAAGCAGACGCATGTGCGGTGAACCAGAAGTCAAAATATTCCCCAAGATTCCCCAAGGCGTCGTACCGTCGCTTAAGTTAACCGAGGCATACGAGAAAAGAATTGTGACGGATCCGTCAACCATTATTGATAACTACGACAATGATTTGGTCAAGAAGGACTTGATTGATTTGCCCGACCTTGATCCAAAGACTCAAAAATGGCTTTCTGACGAATATAACAAGACACATCAAGCTGTTATCGCGGCCAATCTTTATGAATGCCATTATTCGCGATATCTGAAAGAATTTTTGAGAATCGGATCTCTCTTCGCTCTCTCATTTTATCTTTTGTTTTACCGAGACGCTAAGATTTGGAGTGCTATTGTGTTAGGCGCCGCGTGGCAACAGCTCGTATTTATTGCTCATGATGCTGGCCACATTTCCATCACGCATAATTACCAGGCCGATAACATTCTTGGCATGGTGATTGCTTCTTGGATAGGAGGACTGTCGTTGGGGTGGTGGAAAAGAAATCATAATGTTCACCACTTGGTAACAAACGACCCAATCCACGATCCCGACATTCAACACCTTCCCTTTTTCGCTGTGAGTACAAGACTCTTAAAAAACGTTTACTCCACGTACTATGAGAAGTTTTTATGGTTTGATAAATTAGCCCAAAAAACGATTCCAATTCAAAACTACCTCTATTATCCAATTTTAGCATTCGGGAGATTCAATCTCTATAGACTGAGCTGGACACATGTGCTCTTGGGTCTAGGCCCAAGAAAAGGCAAGGCCGCTTGGTTCCGCTATTTCGAACTGGCAGGGCTCACTTTTTTCAACTACTGGTTTTTCTACTTGATAGTATACCGCTCGATTCACACAAATTGGGAACGGTTTGCATACGTTATGATTAGTCACATCACCACCATGTTAGTTCACGTTCAAATCACGCTCTCACATTTTGCCATGTCGACTTCTGACCTAGGTGTGACAGAATCATTCCCGATGCGACAATTGAGGACGTCCATGGACGTCGACTGTGCTCGCTGGCTGGATTTTCTACATGGGGGTCTACAATTTCAAGTTGTTCATCATCTTTTCCCCAGGCTACCTAGACACAATCTCAGAGATGCCCAACCGTATGTTATAGATCTATGTCAGCGCGTTGGATTGACTTACTCAATCTACGGTTTTGCCAAGGGAAACGATGTGGTCCTGAGTAAGTTGGCTCAAATTGGACGCCAGGCTAAGACTATGCTTGATTGTGCCGAAACCATGAGACATGAAGCTGTGAGTGAAAAAAAAATCAAGAGCATCGACGCAAGTGGTGATCAGGCCCGCTAACCGAAATGGGTGATATTTATCGCTCGCTTTTTTCGAACGTTGAATATAGGCCATATTTGACATTAAAAGTGCCCCATTAGAAAGCCTGCTAGTCCTGTAACAAGAAATCAGGACAAGCACAAACGTGGCATTACCAATTTGTCACCGTTTAAATATACGTATATACATGAATCCCATGATATTATAGGGCACTTTCGATGGTGGCAATGTCTACATGCTTAGTGTCACTCACAAGGGAGATCACGTGAATAACCCAACAGTTAAGAACGAAGGTCACACTCCTTTAAGACCATTGCAAGAAACAACGATTAGGCATCATTTGAGCGAGAAATCTAGCTCATGATCTGTCAATTCTGATTATGTTTTCTTTGAAAGACAGACTGACAAAGCTCAAAGGGTCTTGGACAAGCCCCAATCTTTCCCAAACAGCTACAACGAACGAGATGTCTAATCCTTTTGGTTCAGGGACAGACGATGGTCCGTTACCTGTATACCTGAATGGGGTCAAGGATACGACTAAACATAGACTCTTGACTCCTGAGATGTGTGACGAAATAAGAAGTTTAATGCCTACAAGAATCCAACTTTACACCGATTGGAGGCTGGTGTACAGTTTAGAGCAACACGGTGCATCTCTTCGATCACTATATGACAATATTGCGCCTGATGGTAAACAGTCCGCTAGAGTTGGATATGTGCTTGTAGTTGAAGACAAAAAAGGGGGGATTTTCGGTGCTTACACTAACGAACATTTCCGTCCCACGGACAACAGAAGATATTATGGGAACGGCGAGTGTTTTCTGTGGAAGTTGGAAAAAGTACCGACATTGTACATAGGAGACACCAAAGCTGATGACGGTGCTGAAGCTGATAGATCGCATCGTTGGAGTTTCAAAGGGTTTCCCTTCACTGGACTGAACGAATTTGTGATATACTGCACTAGCAAATTTTTGTCGATGGGAGCTGGCGATGGACATTACGGTCTTTGGATCGATAGCGGACTTCTCAATGGTGTTTCCAACCCGAGTTTGACATTTGGGAATGAGACGCTCAGCCGAGAGGGCGACAAATTTCATGTAGTTGGACTCGAGGTATGGCGCGTTGGATAAAATTAGATGTGATGCAGGCCGCCCAGGAGGCGAGTTTGATGTGGATTGCTTAATGCTACGACGAACAGAACCGTAAAACAGTACTCCACTGTTCTCAATCCTCGAAAGGCCTCTCGAAAATCAATTCCCGGGCCTGGTTGAATTCGATAGGGTACTGTCGTTCGAACTCAGCATTTATCTTCTTTATGGTTTCAGATGTCTTCCGTAAGTTGTATTTGATGCGCTTCGATGATGCTGCTCCCTTCTCGAATTTGTCCTGGAAGATGAGTAATCGCTGCTCTAGCTCCGATGTCAAACGTTTAAGCTCTCTACTTTTGGAATTTATCAACCCTGAGGTCCGCGTTTGCAGCGCAATCGCTTCGGAGAAGTCTACAGAATTCATACTTTGCGTAAGAGATTGGAAAATGTACCTAGACGCGTCGAACATCGGAGTATCAATCTGACTCATCAAAAACATACTGCTACTTTCTGCCACTGCCTGATTAAGGAAAGCATCCTCACTGTCATTATCTGCTTCTAAGTCATCTTCACTGCTGCTCTCATCAGTTTGAGCCAGATCGACCACCGTGTCAGGAATTGAATATATTCTGGAGTCTATACTTGGAGTCCTTGATGGTATAGAGCTTCCAGTTGGACTCTCAGAGCTCATAGCAATGCCACTGCGTTTAAGTTAAAGGTAAAGAGTTCTTGAGTATCCTGATCTCACTCAATTTAACTTCCTATATTTTACGTACTCTATGATTTTTTATTTATTAATTGGGATAAAGTAAAGCTAATAAGCTTGTGACTACCGTATTTAAAGCGTTCCCAGTCACTTAATAGAGGCTATCAGAAGCTCAATGACCTCTGCATTTGCTCCTAGTACGGAGGAGGTTATGCAAAGGCTTAGGCCTTTTGGGCTTTTTTTTGAAAAATCTCTAAAGGACCTTATAAAAGGCATAAGAGCTCATAGCGAGACTCCGGAACAACTGGGCCAATTTCTTTCGCAAGCCTTGTCCGAATGCCGTGAAGAGGTCAATTCAGCTGAATTCAATCTAAAGACTAATGCGGTCTTGAAATTAACGTATTTGGAAATGTACGGTTATGATATGTCATGGGCTAATTTTCATATTTTAGAGGTAATGAGCAGCAACAAAATTCAGCAGAAAAGAGTGGGATACCTGGCAGCTTCGCAATCGTTTTACAAGGATTCCGACATTCTCATGCTTGCCACGAATTTGTTGAAAAAGGACCTAAAATACGATGGATTGAATGACAAAGTGAAAATGGGCATCGCGTTGAGCGGGTTGTCCACGATGGTTACGTCCTCACTTGCTAGAGATTTATGTGACGACTTGATTTCTATGCTAAGCAGCAACAGACCGTATATTCGGAAAAAGGCCATTGCGGCGCTGTTCAAAGTTTTTTTGGACTTCCCGGAGGCTTTAAGAGACAATTTTGAGAGTTTTGTCGCTAGACTTGAGGACGAAGACTCTTCGGTCGTTTCTGCTACAATAAGCGTTATTTGCGAGCTCTCGAAAAAGAATCCCGTACCATTCATACCTCTCTCGCCTCTTTTCTATGAAATGCTGATAAATATCGACAACAACTGGATCATCATAAGGCTTCTTAAACTGTTCACGAATTTGTCGCAAGTTGAGTCAAAATTAAAACCGAAGCTTCTTCCTAAAATCCTTGAGCTCATGGATTTGACCTCTGCGACTTCTGTAATATACGAATCTATCAACTGTATTGTGAAAGGTGGCATGCTCGGGGATACAGACCTCGATACGGCCATGAACTGCCTTGAACAGATTACCAAATTCTGCAATTCTAACGATCCGAACTTGAGGTACGTGAGTGTCGTGCTATTCTACAAAATTGGCAAAATCAACACCGAGTTTATCTCGGAATATGACGACTTAGTCATTTTACTCTTAAAGGATGTGGATATTTCTATCAGAAGCAGAGCATTAGAACTCTTAGAAGGAGCAGCAAATGAGGATAATTTGCCCAAGACTGTTAAGATCTTGCTCAAACAGTTTATTGAAAAGAATACAGTGCCACTTTCAAGATCTGAAAAATCTTCTGGAACAATGGATCAGTTCAAAACGATTGAAGTAGACATGCCTGCATTTTATAAAGTCAAAATGGCATTCACTATCTTAAAGATCTGTTCCATGAATAGTTATGCCAATTTGGTTGATTTCGAATGGTATATTACTGTTTTGAGAGATTTGTGTTTCGTCAGTATGGAGCTCAAGGACGAAAATCTAGGGCGTAAACTCGGGGAAGAATGGAGAAATATTCTGGTCAAGGTGCCTGAAATGCGAGGCAAAGCCATGGGCGCCGTTCTAGAGCTGGTATCCAGTAATGACATTTCCACGTATTTACCGTCCGTCCTCAAAGAATGCATTTGGTGCATTGGCGAATATTCCAATTTGGTTGACAATGGCGATGACCTTATAACATTGTTAATGAGGGTGAAATTTACTGCTGCTGATATAGGACAGATACTTATTCACGCCCTCCTAAAGATCTTCAGCAACTGGTGCAATAACCGTGGATCAGCGGAACCGATAGAAGTCAAGAGGCTGGTGGAGCAGCTCATCACCTTTCTTGAAACCTATAGCCTTTCAAAGTTTGTTGAAGTGCAAGAGCGGAGTTACGAATATCTCGAATTTTTAAAACTTTGTGATGAGTCAATTGACGTTAATATTCAAGAGCTTCCACTTTTGATTACAGACGTTCTACCCAGTTTGTTTAACTCGTACGAGCTAAACCCCATTTCCTTGGGAACCCAAAAAAGACTGCAATCCAACGTCACAATAGATTTGGAGACCCCCTTTCTCTCAGAGTCAGACTTACAGAATTTACTTAACAGAAGCGAATACAAGCTGGAAGCAGGCGAAAATATCCCAGAAAATTTGTCGGATGACTCGGATAGCTCCATTTTCTCACAGCATGACGATTTGCACTCTCCGGATCTTCTCAAGGAAGAGGAATATACGCGCGTCGACACCAAACGTCAGTCCGACGAAATTCAAAGGAAAATCGATCGCCAGACGAATCCGTTTTACCTGGACGACGGCGACGATGCGAGAGTTATTCGTCAAAAATCCAACTCGTTGGTAGATCTTGAACCCGAAGAGTCACCAGGCGTTTCTAATGCTATTCGGCTTTCTAAGGACGAAAGAATTCCTGTAGAGAACCCACAAAAGAAGAACAAGAAGAAGAAGCGTCTTCAGGTTCTCGCAGATGAAACAGTTCCCGATACACACCCGTCGACAGAGAGCGATGAACATCACGATAATAACAGCGCAACATCCGGTAACACGTTTTCCAACAAAATTAATTTGAGAAATCGCAGCAAACTGGAAGGTTTTGATTTTGCATCCAACAAATCACTTACTCCGCTAAGTCCAGATTCTACTGGTGAGGCCCAAGCCGATTTGGACAAGTTGAGAGCTAAATTTGCTAATCAGTCGTTGGAAGATTCAGCTCAGGATGAAGAGGTTATAGTCATCAAAAGGAAAAAGCCCAGGAAGAGCAAGAAGAGCAAGAAAAAGCCCAAAGACAAAGAGAACAGCGCTAACGACAAACAAGATACTCATCAAAATGCTGGTGAGGTATGATGTGTATATATTTTGAAAGTACTTTTATACGTAGCTTAAGAGCGGCAAGCGTATAACCGCGTTACTGATAATGAACCATAGGTTACTCAACGTTTCTTGTTGTAAAGACTAGCCATTGGTTGAAGTCCCACATGTCCTTCAAGGCTACTATCAGCAAAACCGAGAACCAGTTCATCTGGCGACGTACCATTCAAACTCTGGCTACGCTTCATGAAGATATTAAATTTACCATAACCCCACGCGAGCTCATCATTGGGTCGATAAATGGCACGGATACATCTATGAGCCAAGCTTGCTTTAGGTTGGGATTTTTTGATGCGTACGAGTTCCATCCGGAAGATATTGTGTTTGGAGAAGAGGGCCAGCAACGTTTTGAGGATCAGAGTAAGAATTCGCATCGAATGTATTCCTTTAAGGTGAACGGCAAGCATCTTTCGATTCTTTTCCGGAAACCTGACAACGATGACACTAAACTCATATCTCTGGCGATCAACAATACGGCACTGTGTCCCGAAGCATTGACAAACAGGCTACAAATCAGCATACAAACGGAAAATTTGATCTTGAAGCAATACGCTCCGAACATCAATCCTATAAAACACGACCCTATTGTTATCAGCCTGAGATATAAAAAGAGATTTCTGGACGTTTACGGTACTTCAACCGAGACGCAGGAGCAGCAGCTGGATCCACGGCTGCTCCAGGTATTTCAGGGCATTGCCAGCGAGTTATCACAATCGTACTTTAACAGCGACATTTTTAACACTGTTCGATCAGAGGAAAATTTAACCCCGGAAGACGAGATCAATTATCTATGCTGTGATAGCGCCATTTTCAAAAATTTCATTGACAGTTGCAGCTCTAATCTGACAGAGGAAGTCAGGTTGGAAATTAGCGTGCAGAAACTGTGTTTGACGGCGTTCACAAGAGGAATATATGGTAGAAATAGCGACGTTTTACGAACTGCAATGAGAGCCACTAACACGGTAAGCACTTCGGACTTGGAGCATTACTGCATTTTTACGACTAATGACAGCGACGGCGGCAATAAATCGTCCGCAAAGGGTGTTAATTTCAAGCTGAAGGATTTTCGAAGATTTGCGAACTTAACATCTGCATGGAAATTCGAGTCAAATGTTCACGTTTGGTTTTGCCGCCCTGGAGATCCTATCTTTTTCGAAATTGATAGAGATGACGTTCGCTTAGAGCTTGTCCTGGTGACTGACAATGACATCTCAATTACAAATCCCGTAGGCAATGCAGGTGCCTTAGAAACCGTTAAGCTACCTTACGTGGCTAATACAGAGGCCACAGGTGGCAGATCTGCGAGAATAACAACAGATCATCGAACATATGTCGAGAATTTTTCGACTACCAACAGCCCAGCAAGGACATCCTTACGACCAAAAACATCCGTGAGTCCCATTAAAACGCCGAGGCAGCTATTTGTGGAACCATCTCAATTGAGTCAGGAACCACCAAAATCCCAGACAAAGAACCCGCTTCAAGGCAGAAGATCCAATGGCGAGAGCGAAGATTTAGTTCCCACTATCGATGAAACCCGGGAGCCCACCAAAGTTTATCAAGCTGTTGAGCGCACTAACACCACTGTCGAATGGGGCATTTCAAGTGATCGTCTCCAAGAGCTTAGTGTGGCAGCCGATCAGCGCGAAATTCTGAAGCGCGAAAAGCGACGGTATCTTGAGCAGCTCAAGACGAAAAAAAAGCAGAGATTGGAAGACGATGAGACCCTTGGACCCACACAACCAATTAAACCTAAAGGTATCTTTGACTAATATACAGAGCTACAAATGAGGAGAATATTATAAATGCTTCCCCGCATACAAATGATACTTTTAAGGGAATAGTCGTAACGATAACTTGAGAGCAAAACGGCAGCAACAACGAAACTTCATTTGCATCATGCTGAAGACTCTTTCTTGGTCTCTCTTCCTGGACTGAGGTAATGATAATTCAAAAATCTCACGGCCTGGCCTATCTGTGCTCCCTCATTAATGATATGACAACCAAACAAAAGGTAATTCTTAGGAGTCACGGCTAGGGCATATCTCATGAAGACTGCAGAATACGCAATAAGAGCACCAGTCATTGGCCCAGAAATCAGCTCTGGGTCCTTTTTAAGATCGTAAATGGCAGCAAGCGGTATACCAAAATTAGAGACAGGCCCCCAGAAATGCGTAGTGAAAACGTATTTCAAAGTTTGCTTATTAATGAATTTATTGATAAACGACTGGGTGGCAGCTCTTTGGGCGGGTTGCGACATATTTGTGAGCTGAAAGGATGGTTCGGTACAAATTCTCAAGGTTCGTTTGTTAAAGATTTCAAGTCATGCGGATTCCTTAATGGCCATTTTCTTGAAGAATCATCACCAAAATCTTGTTTCGTACGAGCTTTACTACGGAGTAGTCGGCAGTACTGGAATAAGACGGCGATATCATAAGTGGCAGCCATGAGAAAGGCTTTTGAATTTCCGTGGCGATTCATTACCGGTCAAGAATATTGCTGGAGTATTGTAGGGTTTTGTTCTGAAGGTAAACCGTGTTTTCGTTGAGATTTACGGCAAGGATAGAACGTCACAAATTCAGGTAAATTGGTAATTAAATTGAATTCATCAAGGTGAAACGATCACCGTGAGATTCTGCGATTGTCTCAATATGGCTGGCAAAATTTTGAGAACATTAGTGTTAAGATACGCTGAAAGCTGTTGAACTACCACTTGCCCATCGTCATAGGTTATTGGCTTTTTTTCTCGCAAAAGATTCACAACTAAAATTACAGCACCTGAAAGCTCATCGCAGGTACGATAGATCTCTATGCCAAACGTCGACCCATTGCATTAGAAACCTTTATTTTAATGCAAAGCAGTAATGATGATCCTGGACGGACCAAGATTCCTAGACCTCGATCAACGGGGCAAATATTACACGAAAACCCATCAGCGATAAAAAGACCAAGACATCAATATCAGCATCACCAAACCTTTGAACAAAGTGGCGCATATGCTCACCAGACGCCCTCATATTACCAAAGCTTTCCTCTGCCGTATGGTTACCATCACAACCCCAATCCAATGCACGTATACTCTAGCTGGGATCAACAAAGAAACCAAGCATATTCAGTGCCTTCCGCACTACCTTTTCCTTACTACCACCGAGGATCTCAACCCATGATTTATCGCTCACAGAGCCCAGTATTTGATATGATCGCGCCAGCTCAACAAACGGGCCCGAACAGGATAGAGGAGCACTCTAGTCAGACGACGCAAATATATATGCCCCACGAAAGGCATATACAGCGAGAAAATGATGAAAGGAAAACTGCCAACGACACTGGGGGCAGAGATTCCAACAAAGATGAAGGTGTGCACCAAAATAAGGAAAATGATGGTGATGTCGAGGGTAAACCTGTAGATTTCGAGGAGCCTAAAGCCACCGCAAACAAGAATTCACCCACGATGATACCGGGGACCTCAATAGTATTACAAACCGAAGAAGAAGTTGCGAAGTGGCGCGAAGAAAGGCGTAAAATGTGGCTTTTGAAAATTTCCAACAACCGAGACCGTCATCAGCAAGATATGGGCGTACAAATAGAAGACATCACTTCAAGAGATGCGTTCAAGCAAGTGAAAAAAGACAAGCAGTTTATACAAAACATACAAGCTCAGGTGACACGAATAAACCCTAGGGCAAACCTTGATCTCAAAATCCGTCAGAGAACGATGGCCGAAGAAAACATGAAGCTGTTGCAATTTATTCAAGAGTTGGGCGATGCAAACCTCCTTGAATACGAGCTATCACAGGACGAGAAGGAAAAGCTTTTTGGAAATTCCCAAAGGTCAAGATCCAGGAACGAACCAAGAAACTCGAATAGCAGGATGCCGAATCGGGGCCTAGAACAATAATCTCTCATTCACATTGTCTTTTTGACCAATGTTATCAGTGCCGAGCTTACGGATGCTCCAAAAAAGCTTCCGTAAAGAACGCCGCGGAAGAAAACAGCTCTTCTACTTTTTGTCCTTTCAGTTTTTCTTTGGGCTTTCTCAGCCATACGCTTTTCTCTTGTCATGGATTTTTTTCTTGAATAACGGTGTTTGGACCGGAATGGCTTGGTTGATTTTTTTGTGAGATTGGATGGGTGTAAGTGAAGGTCTCTGCCGTTTTGTGAAGGTTTAGGCATCATATTTGTTCCATTTGGACTACTTGCATTTTCATCCTTCCCTTTTTGCATTTCAATCTCAGGCATACTTTAAAAACTAATCGCACATGTATCAGCTATCTACCGCTTTTAATACTGGGTCCCATTTCGCTGCTTTTAAGTTGGTTCTCTCTTTTAATCTCAGTAGATGTGATCTTAGTCTCGAGTTTCAAGTTGCTACATGAAAGGCACTGCTGCGGCTGTTAACTCAAAAATCATGACAAGAGAAGATGAAGTTACAGCTTTATACTCTAACTATTCTCATCGCTCGTCGCTCTTGAACACTATACCTGCATCACTAGCGCTGTTGCTATAATACTACCTATAAAAATTACTTAATTCAAGTTAGCCATACCAATTAATGTACCCAAAGTTCCCAAGGATCCAACCATAAACCCTACTAATCCACCGTAAAACGCATACCTGCGATTCAACTTTAGTTGTACATCACCAACAGTCTCGCTGCTTTTATCATGTTTTGGCCTTTTCGATGAACCTTCCAAAAGCGAGCCATCGTTGCTCTCATTTTCGAAGTGCGGTTTGCGCTTCCTGCAACAGGTTCCTAGAGCCCTGGCACAACCTTCAGAGTCTGCGTACTTATCTTCAAAAGAAAGACCTTGAATCTCTTTTCCAGAAAGAGATAACCCCAGCTGAGCAAAATCGCAATATGCAGGTGTAGAAAGTCCACTGTCTGTAAGGTCGATGAAGCAGCTACTGTTACTTTCTTCAGAACATTGTGAACCACTGGCCGATACCTTATTTTCCACCTTTTCTTGACACACATCAATCAAATTGAGTGACGTATCGAATTTCTGCTTTTCAGCCTCTTCTTGACACGGATCAATCAAATCGGCCGACGTATCGAGTTTCTCCCTTCCAGGGCCGTCTACGCTTTCCCCAAACACAGCCTGTTCTTCAAACTTCAAACATAGCGGCTCAGTCGAGTCTCTTGCTTCGGTTCTCGCACTCAAAGACGCAACGTCATCCACGTTTTGTTCGGCCGATGCTTTCTGATTCATCGAGAAATCTTCACTATAGTTCAATTCTGAGCAAGATGAAAAAGGAGACGGTGACTCATAAAATTTTGACGCCATTGCCATCGTTGCAGGACGACTGGCCAAAGGACTGTCGTCACAACTCACATTTCTCAATCCAATTTCATAATCCTCATCATTCCCCAATTCTTTCCGTCTGATAAGCACTTGAAACTTCAATTTCGCACCGCGTATCTGGCCAGGCGCTATGGGAGCATTTGTTTTTACAAGTCCAAATCTTTCCCCATTCTTTAAGTCTATCATCGTCGTATCAGCCTCTTGGGCATGCAAATCGACAATTCCATGCGTACTACCCAGATCTTCGACACAAATCCGAAACTGGTCAATACTCGAATCAAAAGGATGGTCATAATCGCCATCAAGCTTCTTAATATACAAATTGGCGTGCTTTTTACTCAAACTCTTTTCATCAAACAGAAAATTGTCCTCTTTGGCCCTTCGATCTGGTTCTTTCCCACTTGATCTTCCAATCAAAAACTTCAACCCAACACCCTCTGCATCTTTCAATTTGAAAGAAACGTATCTGTAAGAGTTCAACTCATTCGTCTTCATTTTCGCCATAAATGCTCATCACATAAGCTGTTCATCTTGTGCTGCTGCTGTCAGAACCTCCTTGCCTTATATAGCCCTTATCTTCATCCCCTGAATCAATTCTAGGGATTTATCAGATCACTTTTCACTAATATCACGTTATATATCAGTACCTACGAAATGAGTAGATTATGAGTTCAGCTGAAAACCGTCGAGGCATCAAATAGCCATTGTCTAGCGATTGTGAGATTCCTTGGGGGCTTTATTAGTTAAAATGAGGCTCCAATTGTCACTTTCTCTGGGCTTTAGTAGGGAACTTGAACTTTTTTGTATGTCTACGCCGAATTTTTGAACAAAAGACCGAGTCAAGATGGTTGGATCAAGCGACATTTTCAGCCACGAACGACACAATCCGCCCACGAGGCGGATACCACTAGAGCGCTAAACTTGCCGCAGCATGGAAGCAGATTCGCGATCAATGCTGACAAGAAAATGCAAGACGTGCAGGATAAAACAAGCTTCACACATGGCATACACTCTGCTGATTTGTCTGAAGAAAGCTCTGAAAAGTTTTTGGAGGCAATAAACTCTTTCTGACGCTTGAACGTCCCTTTCGAAAGTCTCTTCTCTCCACTTGTAGGTGTGTCTCTGTCTTACAAGAAAGAGGTCATAATTTTCGACACTTCCGACCAAAGCTGCAACCTAGAGCTTAATCGTTTCTCTGGCCTCTTCCTCCCTTTGTAACATAGAGCTTTTGCTGTAACACACGATTCCAAAAAACGCACTGATTCATTAGTATTTTAACCATCAATTCTGGGTCGCAACTAAATATAAGTGAAATTGCCTCCAGGCAATCACATAATTGTACAGCTTTTCTTCAGCTTGTCTCTCTTGCGACCCGTTTTTCTACTCTTTTTCTTGGATTTCGAGTTGGATGGCTCCGCCTCATCAGCGGTTCCACGGCGTCCCGTATAGCCTCTTTGCATGCTACGAGCCACCCGTGCGTCTTCCTGTTCCTGCAATTGACGCGCGAGTTCCTCGTCAGTCATGTACTCATTGCCTCGCGGGCTGGATCGCGTGTCCTGCGGGTCCAAAAACGGGTTGGATCCATGTTGCGATGCGCCCTGAGTCCGGTAAGACGTCTGAGTACCCGCCTTCTGCAAAGATGCTGAAATAAAATCGCCCGTGTAGAATGTGTCCTGGGATCCATTGACAGACTTTAAAGACTGCCAAACAATATCTGGGCTCGAGCGAAACCCTTGGTCAGTGACAAGCAAGAACAATTCGCCGTTGCTCTTGATTATCGTTGAGAAATGGTCGTTTCGGAAGAGAATAGCGTACGATTTTTCCAGGAGCACTTCTTTTAGATGCACAAGGCCATAGTCAGTCAGTTGAGTTGCTGAGCGCGCCAAAAACGCCTTTATGTAGTTCGCATCTTCCAGAATGGCATGGTTTTGCGTAACGCTTGCACTACCGGGTTGACCGTGTTGAATCTCATACGCCTCAACTAGCCTCTTTTGAGCGCTTTCGTAAGAGTAACCCGCAACGTGTCCATACTGGTCTGGATCGTGGTGCATGTCTGCAATCCAGCCGTGAACAATACTCACATTGAAGATTCTGAAAAGTGACATTTCTTCGCCGTCGGAGAACGACCCGTTAAAAACTGGGTCGATGCTGAGGCCTGTGTGCAGTTGCGGTAGCAACTGCAAAAGATGGTTCACGTCCGAATGCTCACCTTGCGTATTCTGCACAGCAATATTGGCAAGAACAGTGTTCAATTCATTTAGAGTTACGGTATCTTGTCTATCGACAAGCTCAATTAGGTCTCGAGCCTGTCTCTTATGTTGCGGTGATAACAGCAGAACGTTACACATTGCAAGCAATGCACAGGGCCCATTCTCATTCTGTAGCAGTATTCTGGCCGGATAGCCATTGACTTCAACTCGCTTAACCTCGAAACTAATCGACATTCTGGACTTTAGAGTTCTATCAAAAGCTCGTCTTGTTAGAACCGAGTTCCGGTGCCTTAATACCCTATGTCTTGTTTAACCTTCGTCGCTATGAACGACATGCTCGACACTGAGCTTTCGCTCATTCTCGAAAGCAAGAGAAGCGATAAGCCTTTCTGATGTCGACGAATTGTAAAAGTATACTGTTCAATATAAGAACTTGATCCCCTTCTTTTTGAAACATAGGACTAATGGTTTTTGCTTTTGTTCTTGTCTGATGATTTTTCCAGGAATTCTGGTTTAAATACCATGTTAACGCCCTTCGATGTCCCTTTTTCCGCTTTTCAGAGAATTATAGTATAGTAGTGCAGCTTATTGGTCTTAGTTCTTGCCTCGGGTTTCAGAAGTGTATAGTAGTAGACTTATAGCCAATAAATGGAAATTGAGATATAACCAGACAAAATATACCAGAAAAAGGCTAAAAGAAAAACTAAATATGGAGATATATGGAGACCGTGGGAGTAGAGGGTCAATTCCAATTTTACTAATTAAGTCTTCGACGGCATACATGCATATTATCGCAGTCCCTGACTTTGCTAGTCAATGCAAAAAACACCAAACCAGCTTATTGAGACTTAAATTGTTGTGTTGCAAATACAGGAAAATCTTGACTTGTAAGAGTATGCTGTGCATCTTTTACCGTTGGCTGATTTTTGGCGTCTCTTATCAGGACAATTGCATTCGGTGACTCTATGTTGGGGGTAATTTCCTGATCAGAGTCTAAGAGAAGCAACATGTTAGAACGGACGTACCTCAACATGCCATTTGATGGGCTTTCGAAGCCTCTTGGTAGTTGATGGTATGGACTTCGTTACTGGAAAACCCTCTTTGACGAAAACTGTCGCTCATACCACGTGGTTTACTTAAGTGGCAACAGCGACCTGCACATTGAGCTCCAAAGCCAATCTGAGCGTCTAGTCACGAAGAATGCTTGTGATGCTACACACTTATCAAATTCTGTAGAGCTTTACACTTATTATGAGTCATTTTTTGTAGATCGAGGTTACTTTTTCAGAAATCAATTAGTCGACTTTCTGCTACCAACTCAGATGGACAGTTAAAGCTTGAAAAACTCTGACGAGACGAAGAGTTAATTATCAAGAGCTTGTTTATAGCATTTACTTGTAGAGAGTGGAGAATCGTGGAGAATCAGGAGAGTCGAGCCTATGACCCAATACGAAGCGATGCCGTGGAGGACTTGGGTGTCTCATGTATGATTTACAAGATGAAGAGTATGTGCTTTACTTCCAAGACATCATTTTTGTTGCAGCTGTGCCAGGCTGTCTAGTAAACTTTGAACGTTATTGTTTCCGGACGTAGGTTCACGAGAGGCAGGATGCTGCTGTTGTGGTGGCTGCTGCGGTGGCTGACGTTGTTCAGGCTGTTGTTTTGGCACATGCGCTGGAGCGACATTAAATTGATTTGGCGATTGCAATGGAACCTGGGGATAGTTTTGATAAGATGATGGCGCTGGAGGCGACCCGTGAGGGATGGGATGTTGTTGTGCTTGAGGTTGCATCGATTGTATGATGCCTAAGAGCTGTTGTTGATGGTTGGGCTGCTGATGCGCCATGGAAAGAAGGCCAGAAACTACGTTCGAGGGCAAGTTCTGAAGGGCAGACAAGAGCTGCTGCTGATCTAGTTGTGGGTTGGGGACTGGAGCGGCGGCCATAGGAGGTGACATAAGAGGAGCAGCACTAGCCTGAGGAGGATAACCCGCATACCCTTGTGGAATAGGTGCGCCAGCATAGCTCTGAGGACCAGGAGGAGGTGGAGCACCACACGCTGGTTGCATGAAAGGTGGAGCTGGTGCTCCCTGGACTGGCGGAGACATTGAAGGGTTGGGCATACCGTAATTCCCATAGAATTGTTGCGGTTGTTGGTGCTGTGGAGGGAAAGCATTTGGTTGAACCTGTCCAGAGTCTCGTCTCCTGCCATTTTTCATATTATTGTAAATGGCGATGGCATCTTCGCAAGACACGCTTACATACTCATCAAATTTCGTCTCTCCCTGGGTTCCTTTGTAGAAAGTTTGAATGTCTAAATTCCTGGTTTTATTGACAAGAACAACACCCCAAACACCTTCATAAGCGGCTTCATTAATCATTTTTCTAAGTTCCATCCGTGGCTTGAGAAATGTCATATCAGTTTCCAAACCGGTGCTAGCCCTAAATTTGTTGAAAACTTCTGTAGCATAGGAGCGGTCTGCAGTACGCTTGACGTAAATCTGGCACTCGGGAACCCGTCTTTTTCCTCTTTTATAGCTGCTGTCACTATAGATATCTTCCTCTTCTTCTTCATCGAAGGGTCTCTTGGATGATGATATGAAAGTCGAGCTGCTGTTTGTTCCATGGTCACCATGGTCATACTGAGGACGGCTATTCGAAGAGGAGATTTCCAAAATAAGCTTCTTGCCGAAATTTAAATGTCTCGATTCGCCTGCTATGGCATTTCTTACCGATTGCGGATTATCGTATTGTATAAAACCGAAAGCATTCTTGATATTGATTTGATAGATGTGACCGTAGGGGGAGAAAATTCTGAACAAATCTTCCTTTGCGACGTTCTTCAAAGGCAGGTTACCAATGAAAAGTCGCGATTTTGGCGGAATGTTTTGAATTTCGGTGATACGGTTTTCTCCTCTCAGATACTCGCTGTAACGTTTACGTTCGACTCCATTCATGTTTTGATTGAGATCAGGTCTCGCGTTTTCACTTGCTTGATCCAAACTTGGGGCGCCAGAGGCTTCCGGAGTAGCATTCGACATGGCAATTTCTGGGACTGAGTCAATCAAATTTAGGATAGCATTGATCTTATCGCTGTCACTCAGCTCGCGAAACTCCGGCAAACTCAGGAGGTTACTTCTCATAACATAATTCACCTGTTTTTGGAGTAGTTCATAATTTATATTTTCATCTTGCGACGTATGCGAGGAAACGTCAAACCCAGGAAGAGGATCCTTTGAGGAGGCAGGTTCAGAAGATTCTTCGCTTTGTTCCACACTAGCCTGGTGCACCTCCGCTTCTCTTTCTGTAGGCTGCAGATCAGCAGCAGCTTCCTCTGAGTTGTTTTCGACGGCCTCCTCAACCTTGTTGCCTTCGTGGTTCGCAGCGGCTTGATCATCACCTTGATCTTCTGTATCCCCTGTAGCTTCCAAACTTTCTTCTCCGTTGTCAAGCGAAGAGCTGTTCGATTGCGATGGATCTTCAGGCACGCTTCCAACTTCTCTGACTAATTCAGCTTGTTCATCCACTTCTTCCTGTACCTGTATATTTTGTCCATTAACAACTTCGTTGTCGGACAAATTGACCTCCTCTTGCTCTTGGTCAACTTGCTCCGTAACATTTTCATTCTCTTCACGACCTCCATGAGATTCATCATCACTATAGTCTACGCCGTTCGAGTCTTGCTCCTCTTGTTTATTAGAGGAGATAAGTTCTTCCTCATGCGAAACAGCATCATCGACCGTTCCGCCTGGTTTTTGCTCGCTCAAATCCCAATTTTGAGCCATATCAGGTTCTTGAGCATGACCGATATCTGCACCTGGGGCTGACTCCAGGATTTGGTCTCCTTCTGGCATGATTTGTCCTTGATTAACGTACCAAGGTTGACGATATTAATTATGACAACTTTGCTGAAAGATGAACTTGATGAACTTAGTAGCGGTTAAATCCGGGTAATACAAGCAAAGCAAACAGATTATGTCGTAGAGCTATTTGGTATAAGAGGATGAGCCAGTTGATAGCTTGATCGCTGAATTTCCAAGCGCCCTAAGACAGTGCTCCTGTAACATTCCTCAAAGTTCCTCATGGTTTGGTAGATTTTATGCACAATATTTTTGTAGTGTGATCCTATAAACAGAGATTATTAGCGAATAGATATAGATGATGTAGTCCCGGAGTGAGGTCGACGCAGTTCCGAGCTTAAGACACTTGTTGGCGTTCCTCAATACGCGTGTATCCCTTTACCTTTATACCAGCAAAGGAACATCGTGTCCGTTTCGGGGTCGTAATGCAGTTTCTGAATCATTTGTCACATCTTTACACACAAACTGGTGCTTGGTGATCGTAGTGTACAACTGGCCAGCAGTGAATATTCAAAATCAGGTGTTTCGCTTATGCAAGGCCTCATGTCTTTTGTCCCTGAGGTTCCTAGGGTCTCTGGGGTCTCTCGGGTCCCTGCTGTCCTGGTGCGCTGGTGCATCTGAATCCACTGCGTGGGCCGGGCAAGGTAAAAATGAACCCAAGGCAACGGAGGAAAATGCTACCAGGAAAGTAGTGAAAAACAGTTTGTTTGTAACGTTGACTCTTGTAGCAGCTCTCATTGTAGGCCCTTGAGTGATGTGTGGAGTAAAATCTGATATTATCGTCAAGTAAAAAGTTGAAAGAACGCAAAACCTGGATCTAAGACGAGCTAGAAATAAATAAATAACCGTCAAGCTTTTTCTCTATCTCCGATCCAAAGTATAGCTTGTGATGCCTTTGCTTGTTGTTGTGATGGTTTGCCGGTTGAGAAGAGATTTTTAACTCCGCAAGTCATCAAGATTTTTCTCGCTTTTAGGATTTACCGGTCTTAAAAAACCCAGAAATCCGAACTCCAATAGGTTCGTCGATAGTGATGATAGAGGATTATGATATATAACACCGATAAGGAGGTTGATGAAGCCAGAAGCCAGTACTGTGACTACGGGATCTGCTCGAGAATAGGAGCAGTTGCTTAGTGTGTGATGGCTCTTCTGGGGAACCACGGTTTTTTTTGTATTATCTTGTTATTATGTGATATGTGAAGGTCCTTCCTTGTGTCGAAAACTGGAAAGTCTGCTTGATCCTGGACGAAGAAATTCAATAACGCAGTAGAGTAGCCTTGCAGTAGAGTAGCCTTGCAGTAGGAGTCGCCCGCGTAAATGCATCCGCTTGAGTAATTACATAAACTCTTGCGAGTTTAAGTTTCCTTGGCTTCATAAAAGACTAGAGTTCGAATTCGCTGGTTTCCGAGCCTGTGGTTGTATTGCCATGGAAAAACCGGGTGGAAATGACATTGACGGAGATGCCGATGGGGTGGTATTTCCCGGTGCTGGTGGTGGTGTCGGCGTTGACGAGACGAATTCGTCAAAATCGTCATCTGAGTGCACTATCGCTGGTTTCCTAGTAGTCTTAGGCCCTCCTGCTGGTAGCGAACGAATTGCGGACGGCCTCGAACCTAAAGAATTTTGATTGGTTCTCTTGGTAGGCTTAAGTGGTTCGGCTTGATTTTTCTGCGAAACTCCTTTCATTAGCACTAGAGGTTTTGAAACCGGTTCTGATGTCCGTGGGGCCACGAATTTGTCTACCACTGGTCGTACTGTCGGGTTCTCAGCACGTAAAGATTTGTCTTCGCGGCTTACATTTCTAGCTCGGGTTGGCGGTTTGGGCTGCATGACAGTCGCGCTGATACTGTGTGCTGTCAAGGTCTCCAAGTCCTCTTTTTTCTTGACAGGCTTCTCTATTACGTTTGCAAAACTCGCTTCTTCTGCCGCTGTGCGGAGACCATTAGAGGCCTTGACCTTTTCCATGTGTGATTTTTGCACCTTTGATGATATTTTATTGATGACATCGGTAAACTCTGCATATTGAGAAGGTCGTAATGACATCGCAAGGGAAAAGTCCCATAATAATGGCAGTAGTTCGGCTACGAGAACGTTCTCGTCATCAGTTAGGGTTGGGAATTTTCGAAAAAGCCCAAGGCATGTCATGAGAATTCTAGGATCGCGTGTCTTCATAGATTTGAATAGTGGGAGCATATTTTCAGTACACGTAAATTTATCAGCAAGCTTTTCATCTATGAGCAATTCAAAGCTCTTGATACAGGAACTCTTTATAGATGAACTCGTTGTCTTCATGAAGAGTTGAGAAAGCAGGGGAAACAGAAATTGCTTAACAGTGGAGTAGTCTAAGGCATCTAAGCAGATTTTCAACTTTGAAATTAGAGCTTCCTGGGTATTGACGGCGGACTCACCATTTAAAGTTGATAGGGTGTAGGTGCAAAGGGGCTTCAAAATTTCTTCGGCAAAGGGTTCTGGTTTTGTTTTGTCCTTCAAAATTTGAAGGTTTTCTATGAAATAGTCGGTCGCGGAAGCTAAAAGGATAGGGAAATTTGCCTTTGCAATCAGATGTGGATAAATCGCCTCATGGAAAGTGAGCTGCGAGACTCCAGAGCCTATCTTTATTATGACATCCAAACAACTTCCGAGACTTTCGGAGACAGATCCTTTGGTTGAACACATTCGATCTAATAGATTCAACAAAATCGGCATAAATTTCCTCTGAAGAAGAGCACTTGGAAATTGAGACAGTAGCTCCGATAGACCCTTTAAAAATACACTTATCTCTTGATCACTCTTAGTTGGCATATCATCTAAGAAAGTGAGAGTTTTAAGGAGTGGGTCTTGAAAGAACTCGGTTTCCAGCAGTTCATTGATGTCGTCGAACCTGGAGAAGATATCTCTGTTCATGAGCTTGGATAGCGAATATCTAAGCGTGTCCGGGACTTTGGAAAAAATACCATCTATTGTTAATCGCATCAGTTGATTTTCATATTTCTTGTATTCACGTCTGTAGTCTTCTGCATAGTCCTGGCAATTGAACAGATGTTTGCTCGTGTACAGAAAGTAGATTAGAAGCCCAAGTGAAAAATAATCATTTTTCGGTGAAAGCGTATTTTCCAAAATCAATTCTGGCGCACTGTAGTTGAGTGGAACATGCAAGAATGCTGGAAGTTGGGCATCGAAATTCGCGTAATATTCGCCCGTATTTGTGCCTTGTGGAAGTTTACTGACATGACCCAATCCAAAAATTTGCCAATCCGAGTCTCCATTGATAAGTATGGAGCGTGGTTGCAAATCTAGTAAAACACAGGATGCTCTATTGTGCAGAAAATCCAGGGCTTGGCAAATCTGTAATATGCCCCGCTTAGTGACAATTTTGTCCGCATCCGCAGCGTTACGCATGAAATCCAACTCTTGAGTCAACTCGCAGCCAAATATCGAGTCTACACACCCACTGACGTACTCGCTCACAAAAATGAAATTTTTGCTGTGTTCTTCGAGCGGTTCTATGATGGTCAACACATTTGGATGTTTGAGCTTCATCAAATTGTTGACCTGCGTTTTTAAGGATTCATAAGCACTCTGAATAATTTTCTTGTCCTTTGCTGACGTCTTGGATCTGATAGCACCCGTACTAAGAAGCGTGCTTTCAAATTGTTTCTTATCAAAGATGAATACCGATACCCTGGATGCCGATGACTTAGCTGCATTGTTTTTGGGTCTCCCGGTGTGTACGCTCCATGGCTCAGCACTAAACGTTGGAGATGACGAGTAAGAGTAATTTGACGAGATTGAAGATTTGGAAGACCAGAACATTCACTTTATCTCAGGTTTGGTGTGAGTTTTGAAGGTTAGGTTTCTCAAGGTTGAAATTTAGAAAAAGAAAATTGATAGCGTTCATTTGCCAGCTAATGCTATAAAGGAAACAAACATAGAAGTATATAGAAGAGAATAGAAATCTCGAGTAGGCTCGTTTCTGGTAAACGACTGGCCTCTTTATTTCCCAGATTTGCCAATTCCTCGTCAAGACATGCTCTTTAAAAGGGTTTCTCCAATAAATCATTGTCTACTAATAACTTTCCACGCTATTGAAGCTCCTGCGACGATGGGAGATGTGGGAGTTACTTAGACGACTACAATAATTATTCAAACACCTCTGCGAACGGCACTTGCAGTTGTTTGACTTTTCAGAACTGTAATAGTATATTTTTGAGGGTGTCATTTTTGAATGTCAACCCGACGCAGCAGTGAGATATAGATTCGAAGCTCCTAGCTTCAGAATGGCAGTTATAGTATCAAAATGTTCATTGCTTAAGCATGCAAGAGATGCATCTTTGAGAGCTCGAGATACCTTGAACCAGGGTGCTCTTTAGTCTCACAAACAAAAAACAATGCGCAAGCCCGGAATCGAACCGGGGGCCCATCGATGGCAACGATGGATTTTACCACTAAACCACTTGCGCTACTTATTAAGGAGAGGGGTGATATCTCAGTGTTGAGTTGTTGATGTGACAAGAACTGAGTTGGCATTCTCTTTAAATTAAGACATCTACAAAACTTATCTCAGTCAAAATAATTACTTTTAAGTTTTTAAAAAAGGACGTCTTACAGAGGCGCCCTGAGATCCCTATTTCTCCCTTGGGGCAATTATCGAAGTTAGTAGAACCCCTAAACTCCATGGAAACTCAAAAGCTTGACGATTATGAATTTGCAGAAGAGTCTCAAATATAGTCTGAATTTTCAAAACTATTGGTTCTTCATTTTGAGGATATCAATATTACTTGCTATACCCTCTGCCAAGAAGTACACGTTTTCACTCTCCTTACCACTCTGCGCGAGTGGTTTAGTGGTAAAATCCAAGTTTCCCATACTTGGGCCCCGGGTTCGATTCCCGGCTCGCGCAACCTTTTTCGTATATTCTTTATCTCATCGCATGTACTGATAACCATAAACCGTTTGTCGAAGCCACGGTATCGCAAATCTGGATTCACGTTTCACGCCAAAGCCCTGAGGATTTTCACCATAACACTAATAAGAAAATCTTTCCCCACAAAACAGCAACATAGCCACCCTCGTTCCACGGCATTACTTGTAATTTCATCTTTGCTGCTCGAACCTCGAAAAGGCAAGTAACTTGGTTGTGAGGTTTAGCGTATCTTTCTAATCTGATCTTATTTCATTGAACAAGCGCCTACAATTAATCTTGACTTTTCGCTCTCTATCGTCACACCACAGTTTTGACCTGTTGAATGCATAGATGTCAGAGCCTTGTGTCAAAAAGTATCATTTAGTCGTCCTAGTCCATGGACTTTGGGGCCATGGAGCACATCTGGAATACATCTCCAAAGCACTACAGGAACACTATGTGAGCAAGTTTGGGCTCCGTAAAGAAGGTGAGTTTACGGATGAAGAGATCGTGATCTATACCACACACTTAAACGAGGGTTACAAAACTTACGATGGCATCGATGTCTGTGGCGTAAGAGTCGCAAGGGAAATTGAAGATCGCATCGAGCAGTTGGGAGCTGTTACCAAGTTTTCGCTTTGCGGCTATTCGCTGGGAGGTTTGATATCAAGATACGCTGCCGGTTTACTTCATCGACGTCAGTTTTTCAAGAAAAAGGATATCGAGCTCATCAACTTCACCACTTTTTGCACGCCGCATGTGGGCGTTTTGGCGCCGGGCAAAAATGTGGCTGTTAATCTCTTCAATGCAATTGTGCCCACTGTGCTTGGTAACAGCGGGAAACAAATGTTTTTGAAGGATAAAGTCAAACGTGCAAACGGGTTACCGCTAGTGTATTTGATGGGAATGGAGGGGTCTGTATTTTACAGGGCGCTACAAGAGTTCAGATACATCTCATTATACGCTAATGTCATTAATGACAAGAGAACTGCTTGGTGGACGTCTGGTATTTCAAGAAATGATCCATTTTTTGACGTCACCGAACAAAATGGCATTCACCGCTTTAGTTACATCAAGGGTTATGAACCGATTGTTCTGGACCATATGAAACCTATTAAAATCTTTAGAATTGAGGATGTGGAAATAGCTGATAAAAGTATTTGTGAAAAGCTTAAGGGAGAGCATGAGAAAACTCATGTTGTTAGAGAGAATGGTTCTAAGGTCGACAGACGTGAGTATTTTTTCTTCAAATATTGGATTGCCAAGATTGGAAGATGGATCCTTGTCTTTCTCAACCTCGTATTAATCGCACCACTATGGGTTGTGTGGTTTCTCATATCCGGATTTATGGAAACAGTGAAGTCGACTGTAAGAGTAACGACTTTTTTGAGAAAATACTCGCATCAACTTATACAGGATTTTTATGACATCCCATTAGAGCCGCTATCTGAAGCTAGTAGCGACCTGTCCGCAACTTTGACCAACGAATATGAGCAGCATATTCAGGAGTCCTTGAACGACCAAACCGATACGTTTATTGAAAGTCTCTATGATGCTATCGAGAGGAAAAATACGCTGGCTGCCGCAGTGAGGGAGTCAAGTCCCGATCTGGATTTGGTGCCCAACAGTACATCAGATGCAAGCGATTCTATAACCACTACCATTAGGGAGCTCGAAACCACTTCAGTGGATCATATTATTTCAAGAGCTAAAGGCGCCAACCTAAAGAAATTGCCGCCACTGCAAAATCTCCGCCTCGCCATTTCGCCAAGGCAATTGGATATAATTGACTCTCTCAACAAGCTGGCTTGGCAGAAATTTCCAATATATATCCGCAACACTTCAAGCTCGCACGCATGTGCCATTGTGCGGCATGAGGATCCCAATTTCGAAGAAGGAAAAGTGGTGGTGAAGCACTGGGTTGAAGAAGTATTCAAATTTGAATGATTCTGAGGAGAGAGGCCATTGCAACGCCTTCCTCACGTAAGTCTTGCTGTGAAGGCCTTTTTCAACTGTTCCACCAAATCCGACTCACTGAAGACAAAGGGATTGCATTTACTTCTAACATACGTCGTTGACACTTCGCGGAACACATTAGCCACTTCCTCGTCAGAAACCCCATCTTCTAAGCGGAAACCTACAATAATCTTGAGGCCCGTTTGCTTAATCAAACGACCAAATACATTGATATCTTCCAACCTAAATAACGGCTTGATATCAGGGTAGTCATTGCTTAAACTAGTCCAATTGTATAAATCACTTTCAAAATGATCAAGTGCCATGTTGGAAAAGGCATTAAACTTCAAAACTTCGTTGCTTTCCGTTCCTTGAGCTTGCAAAGAGTGTACGAGAAGAGCTCGACCATCATGTTTGATGATGGAGACAAAAGCTGGAGAATTTGTCGGCATCTTCTTGTTCGCTTTCCTGGCCTGTTAACTCGACTGTTTCTACAGATGAGTGGGACCCGTCATTGGCGATTGATATTAAGAGGAATACAGGAGATCGAGAACAGGAAGGATAACTTCAAACAATGGGATGACACCGTGCTTGCAAGGGATTGCAAAGCCGTTTAAGAGCCTATGAACTATATCAATACTGAAATACTTCGATTTAAAGAAGTATTCTAATCGAAAAGAACGAAAAAATCGCTTGCAAGAGAAGAACCCTCTCGAACATTATTCGGTGACTCTATACTCCAACTCTGGCGCAAAGAGGCCGATTCGTTGAAAGCATTTCGGTTCAGTTCTTGTGAAAACCAATGTTAAGGAGTAAAATTGCTTTACCGATGAGTTCAGAAATCATTTCCAAGACGATGAGCAATGGAATCAGCAGCTGTTTTTCCGAAAACCACACATTCGAGCAAACTTGATCCACCGAGTCTGTTCCCTCCATGAACACCACCAGAGACTTCACCCGCCGCAAATAGGCCCTCGGCGACAGGAACGCCTTCTTTATTGAGTACTTGTGCGTTGTCGTTAATTTTGGCACCGCCCATGGTAAAATGGACGACAGGTGTGATTTCACTGACGTAGATCGTAGTCGATTCTTGTAGGTTTTCGCCAAAGGTATTGATTTTGTGGGTGCGGCCAAATTCATCTTGGGTTTGGGTCGAGTAGCCGTGCAATACTTGACGGAGTTCCTTGACTGTAATGGGCAAATCTTGAGCAAATTCCTGAACATTAGACTTCTGGACAAGCTTCTTGAAAATGTAAAAGTTCATGTTGTCCTTGTAGTTCTCGTAAACTGACTCGCTCATTACGAGGTATGCTCTGTTTTCATCCTGAGGGCATTTCTCCTGGATGGCCGCGGTCACTTTGTCTCTGGTACCCAGTTCGTCCACAAACCTTCTCCCAGTGAGAGGATTTATCAAAATACCACCGAGTCCTCTCAGGGCCTCCGCAGCAAGAAATTTCCAATTACTAGAACGATTGGTTGGGTCAATGAATCCTGTGGGATGTACTTGAACCTGGCTCATATCGATCAGATCGGCACCCAGTTGCTCTAATAGGCGCTGTCCATCTCCAGTAGTCTGGGCTCCATTAGTGGTTGGCAAATGCTTTAACTGAGGAGCGTATTTCTCAAGCATTTCCGTTGAATAACCAAATCCACCAGAACAAAAAACGACACTGTCAGTGGCCAGAGTCTGCGTTTCGCCCTTGTCGTCAACGTATTTGACAGAGTAAACTTTCCCGTCTTTTATATTAACGTCGACAAGTGTGCTGTTGAGAAGAATCTTGACGAGTGGAGAGTCGGCCTCTTCAAGGCTCTTCAAGTTTTTCGATAGCGCCTGCACAATTTCAAAACCTGGTGGCAGTTTTCCAGATGATCTATGCGTTCTCTGTTGAGAATGACCACCTAGCTGGGATAAGAGGTCTAACTTGAGACCGAAATCCTTCTGGAGCGAACTGATTGCATTGCTGGACTCTTGCGATAATTTCAACATCAAATTGGAGCTACCAAGGCCCTTGGCTGACTTCAAAGTATCGTGATAAAATAAATCGACGCTGTCATCGACATGAAGCGCCTTTTGGGTGGAAGTTACAGCTCCATTGATACCACTAGACGCCTTTATCGAGTTTCCACCGATAGAAGCAGACTTATCCATCAACAAGATTGGAATTTTGTATTTGTTAACCAATTGATTAGCTGTGCTCAAACCAGCTAAACCTGATCCAATGATTACCACGGGACTACTCATTTTAGCTGACATTGGCGGTTTCGAGTTCCGGAATATGCCTCTTAACAGTAGAATAATAATCAAACAAAATCCAATACGGATTGAATTCTGCTTCTTAAGCATACAATGCTGGTAGAACTTGGACCCAAATTTTGTTAAACACACCAGGCCAGTGGAGTTTGCCCGTCTCTTATAACAACTATATGTAATTGTCAGAAGATCGACTGATGATGGCACCTGATGCCAACAATAAACGACGATAGCTATACGACCGAAATAAACAAGACGCACACTCAGTGGAAAGTGATTTCGAAATTACCACGACTTTCGACAGTCTTGAATTTGAAAACTAATGGAAGTTTGTTAATAAGCCGTTAAATTTAGAGTAGAATAAACTCATCTATAAAGCTTAGAGCTCAGTGGAAAAAAAAGACTAAAACTAAAAAACCACTTAGCCAGCAAGTGTGCTTGGACGTGTGTGAATGCAATTCAGAACGTCTGGTTGAAAAGCCTTGATTCTAGCCCCAAAGGTGCAAGAACCGGCCATGGAAAAAAAGAGTCAAACGTCTCGGTCGGTCTGTCGTGAAAGACCACCTTTGTCTCTCCTTTACAGAGTGGTTAGTTGTAATTGTGTAGCCGTCGCTAGCACAGAGACAACGAACCATTGACCCTCAAAGGGATTCCTTAGTTTGCCCTTTGAAAAATTCCACTTTGAGTGTATCAACGAAATTTTGGAGAATCTTGAACCTGGTGACTAAAAACCTAAATGCAATGCTCATCGTAACCTCGTTAAACCCACCCGTTTAGTAAAATTCTATTATAATGTGACCCCAATAATGCTTTCTAATGCCAATTAATGAATGTTTTGTTTTTTGACCAGCAAATTAGTACTTGTAAGTCTGGATTTCTGGGATAGCGTTCCCATCGATGTCGACTTCCGTGGACTCACTGCGATAGATCTTGGTGGGACCCTCTGTGTCGAAAGGATGCTCTTTGGCGTATTCAAACGCCTCCAAAATGGCAGATTTAACCCTCTCGAGCGAGGTCTCGGAAATCTGATAGTGGAACGAGACTCTTCCGCCCATAAGCTTCACATTGTACTTCAAACCCTTCTTAACAAGCACATCGGGGTCCATCTTGGCCTTTTGCAAATCCAGGAACACAAAATTGGTGTCCGCTGGAGACTCGAGCGGAATGGAGTGTTCCTGACAAAAGGCGGCAAGTTGATGAGCCATTCTGTGCGATTGTCTCAGCTTAGCTTTCCAGTCGCTTTCGACCGAAACCATCGCCATTCTGCACATGATTCCGCTCTGTCTAACACCACCGCCCTGTTGTTTTCTGAAATGGTTGCACTTCTTGATAAACTTGAAGTCACCGACAAGAATCGACCCCATTGGAGCGCCCATGGACTTGGAAAGACAGATCGAAATCGAGTCGAAAACTTCACCGTACTGTTTTAGTGGAATTCCAGCCTCAGCGGCAGCATTCCAGATCCGCGCACCGTCGCAGTGCAGCTTGATGTTGTTCTCCAGACACCACGCCCGGATACGGATCAGCTCTTGCAGAGGATACACGATGCCGTGTAAGGTGTTCTCGAGCGAAATGACCCGCGTCGGAGCGCCGTGGATGTCCCCGTCGTCTGGGATATAGTGGCGCTTGATATCTTCAAGCGTCATGTAGTTTCCGTTCGAGGGAATCACAGGCGACACCATGGCTTGCGATAGGATCGCCAGCCCTGCGGCCTCGTGCGTGTACACGTGAGCACGGTAGTCGCACAAGATCGAGTATGGAGGTTGGAACAAATGCGTACGCAGAGCGATCTGGTTCGAAAGCGTACCGGAAACGCAGAACAATCCGGCTTCCATACCGGCGAGTTCTGCGACCTTCTGTTCGAGCCGGATGGTGTCGACGTCCTCGTTGTAGACAGCGTCTCCGATCGAAGCTGCCAATCCGGCTTTCAACATCTCCTCAGTGGGAGTGGTAAACGTATCCGAACGGAAATCGTTAGCGGCAGAAGTGTAGAGTTCAGGCAGTGCTGACATGGCTGATTGTGGTTTTGACAGGTGGACTTTTAGAAACTTAGGTCAGTGCAAGCTTAATCACCTTTCTATGTACTCTACGGTCGCCTAACAGTAGCCTTCAGCAGCGCGTCTCGGGTGCGCTGCAACTATTTATACGCGCAGCGAAACTTTTCAACCGAGCTTCCTATGAGTAATCCTGTCCCGCTTCTGGAAAAACTTTTTTTCTTTCTTCTGTTGCCGGAGCCGAACATATGGACAAGGCGTTTTTTAAGCGCTGGCTCGCTGGAGCCTAGGCCTGAGCCCTGGCGAGGCAGAGAGCCCATACCAATAGTCTAGGGGAGGTTGTGCACAATTGGTTCGCAATGCTAGTGTTATCTTCATCGCATTACATCTCCACCCACTAGCGAATTAGCACCAGTTGAACCCACTTACGTTCTATTATACGTTTGTACGAGTTCGGTAAACATCGGCGGGTCTTCAACTTTTCTTTTTCTCCTACAAGCGGATTTCGTTAGGTATGACATATGCCATCTAGAGGGTCTGGGTGTTGTTCTCTGGATCGCTACGTACGTGTTGACTCGTTTGACGACTCATTAGTGAATAGTTACTTTTAACGTCACGTGGTGTTTGTCGTTTCAAGATATCATGTTTTACGTCTGAGTTCGATCGGCGATCCGGGGATAACCGGCGGCGTCTACAAGCTCCGTCCAGGGTACACCTTCGTCGTTTCTATAAATTGAGTAGGTATTCCATAATCGCGTGAGTGTATCCCTGGTTTTTGTCACGGAGACGTATTACGCCAGATCCATTTTCTCACAAGTGACAAATGTCTTTAGAGTCCAATTCAGCTTTCAGAAATAGCATTTCGTCGTACATTCCCAAGGGGGTGTCCTTTAATGAGCTGGAAGAGCTCGAGCGCCAGGAAAAGAAGCACCCGCTTCCCACATTCGATTTCGAGGTCGCGTTCGCGCTGGGCTGCTTTGTGCGCGAGAACGCGATTCGGTTGTTCCCTGATAAGGCCATTGTGATCGACATCTCCTTGCCATCAGGTCAATGTCTGTTCCACACCACCACGAACCACGGCACGGCCCTGGACAACGATCTATGGGTGCAGCGCAAGCGGAACACTGTGTTCCGGTTCGGACACTCTAGTCTCTTCATGGGCAGGAAAATGAGCAGCAAAAAGGCGAAGACAATGGAAGAAGCATTCTACATCAGCCACGAAAACTATGCTGTTCATGGTGGGGCCATCCCACTTTTTGTCGAAGCCATTGACGCCGTTGTTGCGTGTCTCACCGTTTCGGGGCTCAAGCAAGAGGAGGATCACACGCTCGCGATGGCGACACTGGGTGGGTTCTTGCAAAAGCAGTCACAGGACCATTTAAGTCTTGATTGATGGTGGCATTCGCCACGTCCAGCTCTACGGACCATATACATAGAACCTAAAATATAGACAGCTCAAAGACTTAATCAAGACCACAATTTTATGCTTTATGTGTAGTTATTCGCGGGATTCGCCAGGCAACAGCTCAAGAGATACTAGTCGGGTATCTCACGGGCATTGCTATTCGTCGCTATTCCTAATATATAGACGATCCATGGAAACCGTTTAAAATTAGTTAGTCACTTTAACATCCTGTAAATGGAAAACACTTTACTCCGACCGACCTCGCTCTCACTGGAAATCCACAAATAACCCCCATGGACACCAAAATTCAATATTTACGTACCGTTGCAGCCGAAAACTCAACTGCAAATTTGTCTTACCGGACAGTGAACTGGAAGAAACCCCACAGACGTCACAAAGCGACCAGACAACTTTTGTCAGAGGAATGGAAACGCGTTACGCACGCCAATGCCGACAAGAACTTACTCACGTATTTCAATGTCGAGGCCCCACCGAGCATATATCCCGCCAAGAAGTATTGCGATATCACGGGACTCAAGGCAAATTACAAAGCTCCAGGAAGTGGACTTCGTTTTTACAATAGTGAAGTTTACTCCCTTGTCATTAAGCCAATGGCACCTGGTATTGACCAAGAATATTTGAAACTGAGAGGCGACAACGTCGTTTTGAAGTGAGGCGCATGAGAAGGTGTGTGGTAATGGTTTTTCGTTGTAACATGTCGCAAGACCTTTCAAGATTTCCCCTACGTTTACAACGCATCTGAGGGCCGCCGTGTCTATTGATAGCATGAAATCTACTAATGACATTTTAGGAGCGACACTCAGAGTCGATATATCCGACGCTTGCCAAACAAGACAGCGAGTTCGTGGGCCATTAGCGATCTTAGCTGGGATCGGACAGAAAAGTACAAAAGGGTCGGAAGTTTCGGTATCATATAAAGCGATAGCTTAACCATACAGGGAACTGGCCAATTATCAAAATACAACACTGAGGGTCGTTGCTTCGCTTGACTCGCTTGCCTCGCTTTTCTTCGCTAGATTGGCATCGTAAAGATAGACAAACTTCTACATAAAAAAATTTGATGATGATGATCCAAGATGTCAACAATCTACATCAACTATCCAAGGTTTTTGCGTCTGGCTGATGCTTACATATGCAGCACTGATCCTAAGTGCCATAATATGGCTGTGTTACAGGCTTTTCCTGTTTCTGGGGATCCCCGTTTGGCGTATAGTGTCGATGTTGGGGCTTCAGATCCCGCAAACAACTAAAGTGTCAATTGATGACATTGGTAGTAGATCGATAACCATAAGGTGGGAAAACGAACCTTCTGAAGTGGTTGATAAAGGAGTAGGGTCTATTTCGCATTATATTCTATACCTGAACAACGTTAAAATTGGTATGTTTCCAAACGTTGCGACCTCTCTTTACACATGCTGTTCATTGAGGCATCTAAAGCCTCAGACGCGATATCAATTGGATTTTGTCACAGTCAATAAACAGGGTTTCAAGAATAAGACGTCTCCAATTTACGTGATAACAAAACTTGACGATTCCCGCGCGACGGAAAGAGACACAAATGATATCGCGGACGGCGAAGAATTGGATTTAACCGTCGGGGGTGCGTCCAATTTGCCAGCAGATGCCAAATGGAGGAAAATTCAAGTTGCACAACCAACTGAGTCTCCGACATCGTATGCGAGCTTGACTACGGTCCAGGATTTACAAGATTATTCGATTACAGACTTGAAAAGCATTCTCGTTTGCGCCCAGGAGGACCTGCACGAGGTTCTACAACAACAGTCTTCAGTCTTGCAAGATTTTCGGGAAAGTGAGTTGCAACTGCAATTAGAACTTGACAATTTGAAAGCGCAATGGTCCCATGAAATCGATCTCAGAAAATCATTGAAATCCAGCATTAACTCACTGGAAAATTCCAAACTGCTATACGACCTGAAGAGAAGTAAAATTATCAAGAATATTGAGCAAGTTCAAAATAAGACACAGAAAATGAAGGACGACATGGCCAAATGGGAAGCAGAACAAGGCGAACAGATGTTGATTGATAAACTTAGGGAGACTTCTGAGGCTCGCCAAAATGAACTTAAACAGAAAATTGCAGATACTGCTGCTACAGTTGAAGAAATGCAAGCAGAAGTTGCCAATCATGAAGAAGAGAACAAAAAATTGAGTTCAAGGAAAAAATCGTTGGACACGCCTGCACCAGTAAATGCTAGCGGTCAGATCTCCGGTTTGAAAAAGGAGTCTTCAAATGACAGTTTAAGTACGCTCTCGGTATCTTCCATTGTGAAAAGGCTCAATGAATGTATCATAGAGAAAACAGGCCTTTTGAACAGCTCAGGTCAAGAATTCCTGAATGCTTTAGGTGATACTCCGATTGGAAGGTTTATAAGAGAAGAAATTGCAAAGGACTGCGATCTGGAATATCAGTGGAGAGTGAACAGGAATAGGTTGAAGAAACGTATCGATGTCTTAGAAAAAACCTGGATCGATCTTTCGATTAGCAACGGACAATTAATGGCCGGATTGGCAGCGCAACCTTATGCCAATGGTGAAATGAGACAAAGTCCAACGCCCCAAGCTGGAAGTACCCCACAATTGGTCTTGCATGACCCAACAACTTATCAAGATGTCGATGTTCCAACGGCTACATTACCCCAAGAGAACAGCTACAGCCCGCCCCCTCCTGCACCTGCTGCGTCTTTCTCGCCTTGGGGAATGCAACAAGAGCAGCAGCAGCAGCAGCAGCAACAGCAGCAACAGCAACAGCAACAGCAACAGAGCAACAGCATTGGTTACACTGGCTATGATCAAGGCTTCGATTACGAGCCTCCTAATCACTTGTTAAGTGGGCTTCAAAACATGATTTCAGAAGAAGATTATCAAAACATCAACGTCAGTACTTCAAAACTCTACACGACGGATGAATTAGACAGATACTGGAATAGCAGGAGTGGGTCTAATATGCTTCCACATCCAAACGTTAATGGACTTCGCATGAATCAAAATAAGTTCACGGTGTCGTCATCTGTTCCAATGGAGCCCAGTACATCTTCCGCAAATTATATTCCTCCGCAGTCACCACCGAGCCTCTTAGCCTCATTACAGGATGCTTCACAGCCTATGCAGCCCACTCAAAGTGTCTACTCAAACGCAAGCATAATATCTCCGAAGATTGTAACCCCGCCTGGTCAAGCAGACGAAAATCTATCATTTGCATCGAGAGTCAATGTCATGCCTCAAGTGGAAGGCTTACCTGTTCAGATCGTACCTGCTAAAAATGATTTGCATTCAGAAGCGTTATTCCAACCTTCTAACTTTACCAATATATGGAATAGCACAAGTGCAGCGGAGCCTTCAGCTTTAGTAGATGAAGAAGTCAAAGTACAGTCGCCAAAGGCAGCGCATTCGAGATCAGATAGTCGTGGTAGCTGGAGCGGGTTCTCACAATTCATTCATCGCTCGCCGACCACGTCTAGCTCGGAAAGTAAGAATGCATTAAACGGAGCATCTTCCCCAAGCCGCCGGGAAAGTGGTGCAAAGGAGAAAAACCGGCCTTTCAAGAATGGACGCCGCATGTCAAATCTTTTATCAAGAAGCGGAATGAATCATCTGTTCAATTTGCCTAGTCATGAGAGCACTTAAGAATAAGTTGTTCTTAATCGTATATTTAAATATAATGCCTTAACGTCTAATCTTATGCCTTAACCCCACTGGATTTTAAAGTTGATATGCAAATGGGGAATTATGTCATGGGACAAGCTCGTCCTTATTCAAAGATTTAATCGCTCTTGGAGCTTTTCTTTCCTTTTGGAGACGAGCCATTCCTCCATCTCTCGCAGAGAGGGAACACGCTCGAATTCAGGAAAAACATGGGGCGGTTCACTGGTGGCTTCTTGGCTCCCAAGCTCAGCCCTCAACTCCTCAGCCCTTGCTTGCTCGTAGCGCAAGAAATGCGAGCTTTGTCCTGTTGTTTCACGTAGTAAACGTTCAACAGGGTTCTGAGCCAATCTCCCTGGTCTGTCGCCTTCAAAGTTGGTATCAGTAGCCAAGCGTCCGAAATAATCGTCCTTCAAGGTCGACTTCCATGTTTGAATTTTGTCCTGAAGTGTACGTTCCGCGTCTTTGATTTTCCGTTGATTTTGTCGGCGATTTTTGTCCGCTTCAAGAGCCTCTTGCACCTCTGTAAGGGTCACAGCCCGCCCGAAATATCGCTTTCCACCTACTATGATCCCCTTAGCACTGTCAGCACTCTTAGCCCGAGAGTAATCTGGTCCTCTCAAGTTTTTCGCGATATGTCTCTCCCATCGATTTTTCTCACGGAAAAGGTCGTTCAACTGGTCGTTCAACTCTCTCAGTTGAGCGTCATTCAACGAAGGATCGTGAATCTGTGTGGTTTTACCGTTGATGTCTCTAACAACCTCTTTTCGCCATCGCTGGGCTTCGTCGACACTTTTTACCGAGAAGACTTTCGTAGGTCTTTTCAGTCGCGTATAATCCTTATATCCACCCTCTTTTTCCGCTTCAAGTTCCTGGAACCGCTGCAAAACCGAGTTCGCCTTATCTACGTTCCGACTCATCCTACAAGTGATGTGTGAAGAGCCTATAAACGGTCCTCACAAGCTCATCTACTTCAATTATGGGTCCTTTAATTCATCTTCACTGAAGTGGATATTTGGTGAAACTTTTTGTACGAAAGATTAACTCAAGGCGCAACTCATTTGGCTCCTTCAAAACGGATCTTCTCTTGATCAAATATTCACTAAAGCCTCACCCAATGGAGCCTAAAGATCTCAAAGATCGTGCTACTGAATGCGCTTCAATGATTATGATTGCCGACATGTTAAATGTTGGAAGAATTGTACGGCATATGACATAACGTGATTATCATGACAGAACAATTCAAGGAAGTCAGGAAGGGAGAAACTCTGCTTGTGAGGAAGTGCTTCGTCAAAATAATGTGAATGACTGCCATTGAACTGTCACATCATGTCAGATCTGCACTGATATGACGGGTGCTGAGTTAAAAATTTCCAACACCTATCTTACTGGAGGAACTGTGGTTATTGCAGGAAAGACAATCTGGCGAGTTACAGCGGGATGCAGATATTCAAGAACTTTTTTCTCTTACTGTAGGGTACTATGAACAAGATACCTTAGAAAGGTATCTATCAAAGCTGGTATACCTGAAAATCTTAAGTAAGTGTGATCTTGTTATTGAGGTTATTCCGCGTCCGTGGTTGATCGGTTCTTGAACTTTTCACTTTTTTCTTTCAAATTCACTTATTTTGAGAATGGCCGGCACTGGTGGGTGAAGTTCGGTAAATTGTTCACTAAATTCGTTCATACTTTTCTTGAATGTAAAATATAACGGGTGTTGGGTACTTATATCTCTCTGTGACTATCCTGACAGCTTGAACACTGTCAAACTAGTCAAATCGTTGCTTACTATACTTTTTTTCCCATATTATTTTCATTTATCGTCTATTCCCTCCGAGATAGAAGGTACGAGCACTTTATTTTGCTCATTCATCATATCGCTAATGACCTGATTTCAAAAATCTGATGATTTTAAGTTCATCACTGGGATGGTTTGAACTTCTTTGGTTTTCCTAAAGTATGCAAGCCATCCGTTCAATCTTTCCATTTTATTCTGTCACAGTCACGTGATTTCTCTAACAGATGATGCCATGTAACGATGTTGACAGCTTTAGGAGCTTTTTAACAAAAGCTGGCAGTGGATGATTGACTTCGGAAGCCGCTTTCTCGAAACGATAAGTACTGTCGCATGCTTGAAAATTAATATTTCTCATTGAATAATTATACGTACAAAGCCATGATTTATTGAGCTTGCCGGGTTTGTAAATCTAGTTCTTATTCCGGTACAATTCGAATTATTCTGTTAAAGCTTAGATTCCTAGTGTCCACTGGAAGATCAAATCGTGTAGCGAAATCACTCTTCTATATGCCAGCGGCTTTTATATTTAAACAATCTGCCAAATCTATCAGAATCAAGTCCGTGAAGAGAGCTAAATTAGCGAACCACCGAATTCGTAGCTCTAGATGCTATAAATTTTGTTTTTGTAACCAAGATAGCCCCCTAAAGTATAAATAAGAGAGTGTTAATCTATATCATCTCTTGCGTATCCCTCTTTCGGTAATTTTAACGTTACCCTATTGATCAATAACAGAGACCATCACTACGTTACGGTAAGATAGTCAACGGCTTTGCAGTTGATCTGCACTTAGCGTCTTGCTGTAAATGCGAGTTTACATGTAACTTCCGCTTACTTTGCAATGGAACACTACAACCGCGAGAGGGTTTAAGAGTATTAACAGAGTAACTTAATTAGTAACGCAAGAAAGCTATGGTGCGTGTTTATCTCGCTCCAAAAAACATCTACCATGACCGGGGCACGAGACTATATTGTCGTCTGGTTTAATTGTATATCGACCTATCAGTCCGTTTGATTTCATAAGCTAAAGTTAACTATTCCATTTATGTCTTCTTTCATTCAGGAAAATCAGGAAAGCTCACTGAGAATTAAGACTTTTTAAACAAAATATCTCGGATTCATTGCGCGAATGCCATCAGAGATGGTCACTAAATTAAATAGTCATGGTTTTGACACTTTAATACAATACGGATTTCTTACACATATATCACGAAATTTTGAAAATTTTAAGTTTACGCGACACCAGCTAAATATCACGAACCAGTTCTTGAACGGTACAACCAATAGAGCCTTTAAGAGTCGCAATCAGTGCTTATTTCGAGAAATGGCGGGTATTGGATCCCTAGTTCGTAACTATCGATTTGTTATTGGGTCTTTAACGGCCATAATGGTGATCCTCCTGTTAAAATCGTCATCTAATAGGATCGACATCAGCAGAGCCGTCTCTCCGTCTATCAATCGGCCAGATGCGCCCGATGACATATCCACTTTGCCGATAAGTTCCACTCCAGGCTACCTTGGTGACTCTAAGACGGAATCCAAAAATCCTGACGTGGCAGATGCAGTTAAAGACGTAACGACCAATAGTGGGACAACTGAAAAATGTGAGAAAGACCATCAATACGTTGTTATGGTGGACGCTGGCTCGACAGGTTCGAGAGTCCACGTTTACGAGTTCGACGTTTGTACCCAACCTCCAACGCTGATTGAAGAGACCTTCGATATGTTAAAGCCAGGGTTGTCGTCGTATGACACAGATGCCACGGGAGCGGCCAAATCTTTGGATCCACTTCTGCAAAAGGCCATGGATGTCATTCCCAAGAATCAAAGGAAATGTTCTCCAGTGGCAGTTAAGGCAACTGCCGGGTTGAGAAAGCTGGGCGACGCTAAGTCTGAGAAAATCCTAGCAGCCGTCAGAAGCCATCTCGAAAAAGATTTTCCATTCCCCGTGGTTGACGGCAAAGGTGTTTCGGTAATGGACGGAGAGGACGAAGGCGTTTACGCCTGGATCACCGCGAACTATTTGTTGGGCAACATTGGCGCTGGTTTCAAGCTACCTACCACTGCTATTTTCGACCTTGGAGGAGGCTCGACTCAAATCGTTTTCGAGCCCACATTCAAAGGTAATGAGAAAATGGCAGAGGGTGAGCACGCCTACGATTTGACCTTCGGCGGAGAAAACTACAAACTTTACCAATTTTCGCATCTTGGTTACGGTCTGATGGAGGGGAGAAACAAGATAAACGCGTTGTTGGTTGAGACCGCGATCGCAGAAGGTTTAATGTCGAAAACCGACCGTGTTGCCACACTGACGTCGCCCTGTCTGCCTCCAGGCGTCACCGCTGAGGACGAGAAAGTGGTTTTGCAAGATTCCTCTAAATACACAATTACTTTCAACGGCCCATCGGAGCCTGCCGGCGCTCAATGCAGATACCTCGCGGAGAAAATTCTGAACAAAGATGCCAAATGTTCTGTTCAGCCTTGTTCCTTCAACGGTGTACATCAACCCTCCCTGGTTCGTACTTTCAAAGAGTCTAACGACTTGTACGTTTTCTCCTACTTCTACGACAGAACTCAGCCTCTAGGCTTGCCATCCTCTTTTACTCTAAGAGAACTCACCGACTTGGCTCGAGCTGTTTGCAATGGTGAAACCGTCTGGAAATCCGTGTTCAGCGGAGTTGAGGGTTCGGTTTCCGAACTAAAGAAGGAACCCCAATGGTGTCTAGACTTGTCTTTCGAAGTTGCGCTTTTACACACTGGCTACGATATCCCACTACAAAGAGAGCTCAAAACCGCTCAAACGATTGCCGGTAACGAGCTGGGATGGTGCCTGGGCGCCTCACTCCCGTTGATCAATTCGAGTGATTGGAAGTGCAAGATTACCTCTCAGTAATAGGTCCAGTAATGGTACGCCCGTATCTAGTTATGATTTATAGAGAAAAGGCTTCTATAAGGTAAGGGAATAATAGCTTCAACTGAGAAGAGCAACAACCAGATATATGAATAAAGACGGAAAAAAGGAGATATTCTGGGATTAAGTGACAAGATTCTGGGTTCTTCAAGTGTGTCTTTGCTAATATCTGGCCAAGTTTTATACTGCTTTCTGCTGAAAGATAGAGATAGATCGAACATTTCTAATTTAAAGAAAACAAATAAAAGAGGATACAGAATAGAGCCATGGTTCATACCAATCACAGTGCGAAAGGGCACTCGAGTCTATCATCTAGTTCATCTGCTTCTCCTAGCGTTTCGCCCAAATCAAATACGCCTATTCAGATTTCAGTGGATGAGGATGAACCTCTTTCGCAAAACCATAAGAAAGGCAAAAAGACAAAGGGCAAAAGATCGAAGAGCGTGAGCCATTTGGGCGACAAATCGAAGCTTTTGGGTAGTAAACTAGTACCAAAAGTTCCAAACGAAGTTGAAGCACCTGGTTTTTCTCTTGTTGACGCTACAGGTGGCGACAGTTTTAGCACTGCCGAACAAATGTTCAGAAGACTTTCTACGGGGAGCAGTGATGTTCGCAAAGCTACGTCTCATGCGCAGTTGTCTTCGACGGCCCATGGGATGCGGTTGTTGTCCAAAGACATACAAAAATCGATTGTGCCGCTCGAAGTCAGCAGACTTATGATTGTCACCAAAAAGCAAGACAGCTCACTAGTTTATCTGGCACGCGAAATGGTAGAGTGGATTTTGGTTAACTATCCGGAGATTGAAATCTACGTTGAATCGTCACTTGAAAGTTCATCCAAGTTCAATAGCAAAGAAATCTGTCTGGACAGCCAGTGTGGAACCCATCGCATAAAGGCTTGGACTCCCGAACTCATTGCGCAAAACAGCGTTCATTTTGATCTTATCATCACGCTGGGTGGCGACGGCACCGTTCTCTACGTTTCATCGATTTTCCAGCGTGACGTTCCGCCAGTAATGTCCTTTTCGCTGGGTTCTTTGGGGTTTTTAACCAATTTCAACTACGAGACATTCAGACAAACCCTCCCCCGAGTGTTGAATTCCAAGATTAGAAGCAAGATGCGTATGCGTTTGTGTTGCCGCGTGTTCCGTCGTCGCAAGTCTACCAAAGATGGACCTCAGCCTCGTAAGAAATTCGATATGATTTGCGAACGCCACGTTTTGAACGAGTTGACCATCGACAGGGGCCCAAGTCCCTTTATCTCGATGCTTGAGCTATTTGGCGACAATTCTCTACTTACAGTTGCCCAAGCAGATGGTATCATTATTGCTACGCCCACTGGCTCGACTGCATATTCTCTGAGTGCAGGAGGTTCGCTCGTTTACCCAAGCGTCAATGCCATTGCAGTGACTCCGATTTGTCCCCATACGCTCAGTTTCCGGCCCATCATATTGCCAGACAGCATGGTTCTCAAAGTAAAATTACCTGCCAACTCCAGGGCCACCGCCTGGGCGTCTTTCGATGGCAAAAACAGGGTTGAGCTATTCAAAGGCGACTACATATGGATTGCAGCAAGCCCATTTTCATTTCCTACGCTAGAATCTAGTCCCACAGAATTTATTGACAGTATTAGCAGGACCCTGAACTGGAATGCAAGAGAACAGCAAAAATCATTTGCACACATGCTTTCGCAGAAAAACAAACGAAAGTATGTTACTGATGCTGAAAAGGAGAGACAAAATTTACCTGAAGTAAAGGCTCCTTCCGATGTCGAGGATGAAGATGTGTCAGCGGAAGAGGAAACGTTACCTATTCCTCGCTCCGGACGAGGCATGAAACAGGCGATTCTGGCGGGTTCCGGCAAATTAAAGGCGAATTTCCAGTTGTAGTAAATGAACGCGAAATGCTTAGCAGCCATTTAACGAATTGGGTTAAATCGCGTATTATGAAAAATTTTTATGTTGGAATACTGATGAGATGCGAATTTTAAGCGGAAAGGTATAAAAAATAGAAACAGAAATAGGGTATTAAGAAAGGACTAGAACTTATATCCCGTTAAGCCCTGCGATTCTGTTACAAAGTGGGAATGTGGTTTTGTTCGGTTTTCGTTTTGCTGAGTGCTTGTCTGCAGGTACACGCAAGCACCTATTTCTGCAATTCAACACAGTCTTGCCCTGAAAGTCAACCGTGTTGTTCTCAATATGGTGTATGTGGTGCGGGGTCTTACTGTTTAGGAGGCTGTAACCCGGTTTTCTCTTACAATTTGAGTGCATGCATGCCGATGCCGATCTGCAAGGATACGATTACGATCTTTGACAATTACTCTTCGAATATTGCTAATCAGTACACATACCTGGGCGATGCAGAAGGTAACGACTGGATTTACGAAGGTTACGTTCAGGATTACTCTGATGAAAATGCTTTGATCTTGGCAATGCCCAAAGACTCAGGAGGCACTGTCCTCTCATCGACAAGGTACGTATGGTACGGGAAAATCGGTACCAGAATGAAGACCTCTCATGACGTCGGTGTTGTTACCGCATTTATCATGTTCTCCTCAGTTCAAGATGAAATCGATTATGAATTTGTAGGTGCCGATCTGAAAACCGTACAAACGAACTATTACTTTGAGGGTATCTTAAACTACAACCACTCCGCGAACATCTCTTCGACAGATACGTACGCCAATTACCATTTGTTCGAAGTCGATTGGCATGAAGATTACGTTCAATGGCTCGTTGACGGCGAAGTTGGACGGACACTATACAAAAATGAGACTTACAATGCCACTTCAAAGCAATATGCCTTCCCCCAAACGCCTTCGAGAGTTCAAATTTCGTTGTGGCCAGCTGGTAATGCTACGAATGCTCCAGGTACCATCGCTTGGTCTGGTGGTGAAATCAATTGGAACTCTGCAGATATTCAGGACAATGGTTATTACTATGCCATTTTGGAAAGTGCTAACATCACTTGCTACGATCCTCCTGCCGGCACCAAGGGTAATGGAACCAAAGCATACCGCTATTACGATGAAAAGGATTTCACGCAAGGTGGTGTCATGATTACCGACGATGACACGGTTATGGGGTCTTTAGCCGACAGTGGATTTGACCCAGACGAGGGGAAATCAAGCTCAAGCTCCTCCTCTAGCAGTGCTGGCTCATCGACGACGACTTCGGCGACATCTTCTACACAATCTACGGCGAAATCCACTGGCACTGGCGCTTTGAAATCTGCTTCCACATCCGAAGGAGCCGCAGGCTCTGGGCCAATTTCTTCGTCAAAAGGGAGTGCGTCGTCCGCTGCTACGGGTTTTGTTCAAAACATCAATTCATCGTTAGCTGGGACCTCGTCTACGCATGGATCAAAGACCGCTTCCAGCTCTGGAATTGGTGCCGCAGGCCCACGCTTCGAGGGCAGTTTGTCGGCAATTCTTTTGGCATTATTGAGCACAGTTTTCCCACTCTTGTATTAATGACGGCGTCTCAACTTATAGACTATAATTGTAACATATCAATGGACTAGATAGAAATAGAATTTGATTCGTGAAGGAGACTTTGGGGCGCGCTCTCCAAGCGCTGGCACAAGCAATCGGCCCGAGACTACTCATCGGAGAAAATGCTCAATATATCCATCACTTTTTCGCTATCGCTCTATAGTCGGGTTCAATTATGTACAGACATCATATAATATATAAGTAATCATCAAATAAATATTTTCGAAGACTTGCTTCTTCCTCCTCCGGCAAAATATATCTCATTTTTGGTACAGTTGCTTATTTGCAAGCCTTGACCATGTAGGTGATCAAGTCGTTTCTGTCCTTAGGTTTCTTCAAACCACCGAAAGCCATCTTGGTACCAGGAATGTATTTCTTTGGGTTCTCCAAGTAGTCAGACATGGTTTGTTCGCCCCACTCGACGTCCTTCTTGATGTTGGCGTCGGTGTAAGAGTAGCCGGCAGCTTGACCAGATTTACGGCCAAAGACACCGTGAAGATTAGGACCAACCTTGTTTGGGCCACCTTCTTCAACGGTGTGACATTGCGCGCATCTGGTCTTAAATAGGGTAGCACCCTTCTTAGCGGAACCTTTTTCGAATGGAGCTGGCATTTTTGTTTCGTGGCAAGTATGTGTGGTAGTTTACAGTGTAAGAGAATAAAGAAAATCTTTGTCACCCATAAGCCCAGCAATATTGCCTGCAGCATATTTATATGGTTTTTTTCTCTCACGGACACATCGGACGAGATCGCGACTCTGCGAGCTCCCACATCCCACGGATCACGGGGCCGCATCCGCCTACAAAGCAATATTTCCGCTCCGCTACGTAGCCAACGCTTAGATATGCACATAATAGTGGCACGTCATTGGTTCGTCAATGGCGATATTTTATATCCGTTCAGATTCTTTTCGATTCTCTCGACTTTCTTTTCATCTCCGACAAAGGCGACACGCTCTAATGGGAAGTTGTAGATCACGTGATAGCTCGAGTCAAGTTGGGTTCAAGTCTAGCCCTAAAGGGCGCACGGCCAAAACGAAATGGCGCAAGTCAATAATTGACAGCGTTTGACAAAGGCGGGGAAGTTGGATGGAAGGAGAATCTTAATCTCCGCGTGGTAAGGAACCCGACGGGTGAGGTTGCGTATCCTGCTGTCCCTTTTTAGGCGTTCAAACGGTGAAATTTGGGCTCGGCGGCTAACATCATCGACGATCTAAAGCGTCCTTTGTGACGGCAGGCGCCACTGGCTCAAATTAAACTTGAATCCATGCTCAGATGCCTCTAATATGTTGTCCTCGTTGGACGATCTGTGGAAATCGTTGTTGGCGGAGTAGGGGATTCTGTTTGGTAAACAGGAGAAATCAAGGTGGAGCTCGAAGCGGTTTATATAGTTGCATGATTCTCGTTTTGTACGTGTACTGTCTAATGGCCCATATGTTCATAGACGGTCGGCAGAATCTACCGTGGGAGACAGACATTTGACCCATGAGAGAAAAGATATCACCGTGGTAGCAATGGCCATTAGCTCAATTGTTCTTGACATTGAGGGCACGGTATGTCCAATATCCTTTGTGAAAGATACGCTTTTCCCGTATTTTCTCGACAAGTTGGAAAGTCTTCCGCAGTCGTCGAACTCAAATATCCGAGAACTGCTCGCAAAATTCGGTAAAGAGGATGTGGTGGCTCATATAAAGGCGTTAGTGGCGCAGGACGTGAAAGATCCCATTTTGAAGGATTTGCAAGGTTACGTATGGGAAGAAGGCTACAGAACTGGGGAAATAAAGGCCCCCGTGTATGCTGACGCGATCAAATTCATCAAAGAAACCAAGAAAACGGTGTATATTTATTCGAGCGGCTCCGTGAAGGCTCAGAAGTTGTTGTTCCAATACGTCGATGATGGTGAAGGCGGCGTGATAGACTTGTGCCCCGACATCGCGGGTAACTTCGACATCAACACGTCAGGTCGGAAATCAGAAACCACTTCGTACAAGCGAATCGCGGAATCCATTAACGAAAACCCGGGACATGTGCTTTTTCTGAGCGACAGTATCTTGGAATTGAGGGCTGCAGCGGCGGCTGGCTTCCAGTGTAAACTCGTAGTGAGACCTGGGAACCCTGTACAGGAACAAACCGTTCGCTTCGAAGAAGTTTTGAATTTTGCAGGACTTCATTGACAGATCCAGCGCAAAATGCTATAAAGTTTGGCGCAACGATCATTTCCGCTTATACACATTAAATTCGGATTATTCACGACACTGTGGATGGTATTAGCTTCTTATGGCGAACCATGTAATACACGTTTTAATTACTCGTCATTGTAATCGCTGAAAAGCATGTTGGCAGCAACTTCCTCGTTCTTGTCGCAAGCAAAATAGACTTGGAGGACAAGAGATCTCTCAAATCCAAGTTCACACAGACGTACAATGGCTTCTTGATCTTGCGGTGTCAATTCGATTGTCGGACCTGCACCCGCTTCAGCACCCTCTACAGGGCCTTCTGCGCCTTCTTCTCCTCCTCCCTGCAAATCTTCAATGCCTGCAGCGTCACCGCTGTCACCACCCTCAACTAGCCCCTCCGGCAAAGACCCTCCAACGGCTTCGAGAAGCATGCTGATGAACGTTTCGGGACTGCTCATGATACGTTCGCGCAATTCTGGATATCTTGCGCTCAGGCTCTCAAGTAAAGGAGGTAAAGCTTCTGGGTTGCCTATTACCACCTGTCTGAGCGCAAGCAAGTCTTCCATTGTCAATCCAATCGTGCCCGGTACTCTGCCGCTGTCTCCACCTTCTTCTTCACCTATGGACGCAGCTGCTTGTGCGAAAAGATCGTCATCGGCCGTCTGGGCTTGTTCAACTTGTCTAGATTCTTGGCCCTGGGTATGCTGGGAGGGAGTTTCCGCGGATGACTGCGCTTGCGCGTTCAAGGCTTGTCGCTGCTGTAAGTGTTCAGGTATTCCCATCAAAAGATACTCGACGGCCCTGTCGGGATTGTTAAATGCGGCTCTCAAAGCTGACTCCACTTGCTGGCGGTCGTAACCCATTTCCATGATCCGTTGAATCGTCTCGTCCCGCTGAGACCCAGTGACGAATCCCGTTTGGGTCTGGTCTGTGGAAGTTGAGGCTTCTTCCGCCTGTACGTCACCTGATTGGCTGGTCTGTTGCTGCGCTCCCTGATCCCTGGCATTTTCACTGGTCACTGGCGTCATATTTACGTCGTTATCATTTTCACTTGGTGCTACTGTCGTCTTTGTAGTGGTTGACTTCTTTTTAGACACCATGAAAATTACCTGGTCTCCGTCTTTCAACTTGCAATCCTCAAGCGTCTTGTCATCTTGCAGAACTTTACCAGAATAGATCAATTTGATCTGAGACTCTTCACAACTTTTAAGTTGCGCTAACTGCTGTTTGACATCCGAAACAAATGCACTAAGTTCCAGCTCTAGGCTGATTCTCTCCTTCTTGAAGTCTTTAAAATTTAATGTGACCATGCCAAATGCCCTACCAACTCTGATCTTATAGGCTCGATTTTGCCACCCTGGGGTAAGAGGGAACTTGAGAAAGTCAAAGATTTTTAGGACTACTGGTTTGCAAGGCCGATTTTTTCCTTCGTCTCATGAGATGTATCGACAGTTAAAGGAATGACGTGCATGTCGCCTACGAGAACTCAACTTGTTGTTGAAGACTGAACCGCTCGGTTCATCGTAAACTTGCTTGGTATTGATGGACTCGGTACGCTCGTACGCATGTCTTCACCAGTTTATACTTGATTACATATATCTTCGAGAAGGCTCTCTGTTTCGCAAAAGAGCCATAAAAATTACAATGGGTTCTTCAAGCAGAATGATTTGTCTTGTCAAAAGAAAGCTGCTCAATAGCTTGAGCAGTATGAGGAAGACATATTTGCTGGTTCTTTAGATCTTTTTCATTTCGATTATTTTCTATTTCTTTGTTTCTCTTCCAATCTTGAATGTAATGCTTAACAATGTGAAGAATCAATGACTAAACGCCTGGATCAAAATCCAGAGGCACCTCTAGACCTGCAGCAGGTCCAGCAGCCGCGCCAGCAGCAGGTTTACCCGCAGCGGGTTTACCGGCAGCAGCTTTGGCAGCAGCAGGCTTAGCCGCGGCACCGGCACCACCGGCGACGTCTGAGTTTTCATCTTCTTCTTCGAGTTTGTTGAGAGCCGCAGCATGTTTGGAACCGGCAGCGTCACGTCCTTGATCGTTGGGTGGTGTGTCGGGATAATCGTCCTCGTCACTGCTCCAATCAACAACGATTTGACGGTCGAGAACGTTGGGGTCTATGTTTTTGAGCACCTGTGTGCGTTCGATCTCCCAATCGTCGCGAACGTCGTCAAACGCGGCACCCCACACACGGTCGTAGAATTCCCGAATACGTGATTCTTCAATCTTACGTTTTTCCTCCTCTGCCATCCATGCCATGTATTTCAAGTCATCCGACGATGGTTCGTAAATGTGCCAGATAACGTAGTGGGGCAGACCAATTACGCTGTATCCAAGTCTTCTGGAAAGTTTGCCGAAGGCCTCGGTTTCTGCGTGCTTTTCAAATGAAAAGGCCGGAAAATGGGACCCAGCCCGGAAAACTTTGGCCTTCGACAAGATGGAGACACCGCCAATACCGTCGAGTTCCATTTCGTCTTCGGGGTTCCCACTAGGGTCACGCATGTAAGCCAAGTGTGGTCTCCAGGTGGCATATTCCGGGTATCCCTCGACGATGACGGCGTCTTCGTCTAGGGAGTCAGCCAATTGAAGTCCACCTTCCGACTCTTGCCACGAGTTCAAATCGTAGGGCTGTATGTTCCCGAGCCAGTCTGGAAGTGGTCTCCACACATTGGGGACGATCACGTCGCGGTCGTGGTGCATGAGGTCCTCCAAAATGGTCTTTGGAATGGTTTGCACGTCGACATCACGCCAGTAAACCCAAGAGTGATACGGTTTGACCGCAACAGACCCAAGCCAGTTACGGGCACGCGCCATGAGCTTACGACGCGGTCCCTGGGCGGCGAAACCGTGTCGGTCAGAGAAAGATTGCCCGATCACCTGACCAAAGTCCTTTTCGTAAATCTCGATGTTTCCGAATCTTTTGCTGCGGTCCGGTTGGGATTGCGCGCGTTGTAAATTCGAGAGCAGCACGCCCATGGTGTCATCTGAGGAGTCACTCACCAGGAATGACAAGTCGATGAGGTGGTGAGGATAGCTGATTTGAAGCATGTGCTCGAAAAACATGGGCAGATGCTCAGCCGCATCACGAAGCGGCACTGTGAACAGTACACGGTCGCTGCGTTGCCACCCGTCCTTGTTGCCTTGATAATTGCGAAGATCATAGTATTCCACGTCTGGGATGTTTTTGAAAGACGGCACGTACGTCGACACGAACAAAGACCCACCGAATCCTGCCAGAAAACGGACGCCTAGCACTCGCAACAGCAAGATCAGGGTCAGTACTGCTCCTGCCAGGGAGACCGAAGCTGTGGCGATCTTCATGCCTTACAAGTGCGCTGCTGCTTCGAATGCGTAACCTATTCGCGTGAGTAGAATTTCAGATAGATTTGAATGTTGAAAAATAGACTACGACGCGGCGGCGTAGAGGGAGGAAAAAAAAAAGGACCAAACAAATCACGAGCACTGGGCAAAGAAGACAAAGAGGAAAAAGAAGACCTTGAAGACCCTGGGAAAACGCCTTGTTGGTATCACACCTAACGCGGGAGTGACTTCACAGAAACTTTGGTTGCCGAGCACGATGACAACGATGCACCGATGGATTCTCGAATTTATCGTCTCTAAGTGACGTTCCACCACGCGTGCTGATTTCCCAACGGGGCCAGCCAAAGCCGATCAACTGCTTAGGGTCCAATCCTACGGCTGTTTTTTTTCTTCGATTTTTTCTTGCCTTGGCTCATTTCTGGGCCCATCCTTCTCCGCTCCCGAGCACTCTTACAGAGCCGTCTTCCACGCCAAAAGACCCTCTCACCGTTGACGACCTCGTCGTTACCTTTCAAGCAGTCACGTGACAGATGCCCTGTTCGAAAGCAGTTTGATCTGCCGCAGTGGCGCGAAATGCTGCACTGCTAGGCGATTCCTATACGGGGTGAGGGAAGGTAGTTCAAGAAGCTGCAGTACGTACGAATGATGATCTCGAAGAAAGCCTTCGGGCTGGCGACGGGAAACAAGAACCGTCTGCGAAACTCGAGGCAAGAGCACATAACCACCGCGGAGGTCGCTCCAGTGTCCTTCTTATACAGTATCTCTCGAGAATGGGAAGCTCTGAGAGGCGTTCGCCAGAAGCCGCTCACCCCTTTTCCTCTCGAGGTTGTCTCCGAAAAAAAAAACAAACACGAGACAGAGACACAAAACCAAGCGCAGGGGGCGCGGCGTGACGCGCGTGCCGCCCTGCCCCCAACCACCCAGATACCCCAATCCACAAAAAGCAGACGAGAGCAAACTGCGTTTGCTCTCGTCGCTACGTCATATTGCTTTTAGATCCCAGAGCTAATTCAAAAGAGACATGGTTATTGATCCAGGACGTGATTGCCGCCGAGACACCTACCGGCCCAGCTCAGCTGTCCACTGCCAAGAACTCGATCCCCGGGCGCCACTCGCAGTGACACCTGCAGAGGCACTTGCAGTCACAGCTCTATACAACACTACCCTATATAGCAGTTTCTGTCGATCAGTCTAGATTGCGTATTGCATTGCAGCACGTTTTGCAGTGCTCAGCGATAAGCAGCGTCCCACTCAGGCGACTACGCTGTATTGTGAGGCATCCGAGGGGTGAAACACACACACACACCGGATTTACCGCGGGCAAAAACTTGCAACTGCTCAAGTTACTCAGAGCCTTGCCCCTGTCTGTTTGTCCGGAAACCGCCGTCGCCACTGGCGCTGTGATCGCCCGTGGTCGCCCGTGGTCTCCCATGACCGTCGTTGGGGTTACCCGACAGAACACAAGCGGAAAAGAAAAGGCAGGGGAAGCATAGGAAAGCTAAAAGAAAGCAACAGGAAAAAAAGAAAATTTGCTCAGAAGCAGGGTGACCCAAAGTCCGCTAAAAAACGCTGTTTTCCTTTTTTTCGTTTTTGTCGAAGGCACCTGCTGCATACAGGAAAAGCGAGTGAAAGCGAGCTACGACCCACCCGCGTTTGTGGTCATTTCTGGGGGAATCTCTTCGGTGAGCGAGTAGCAGCCGCAGCAAGGGGATACAGGAGCAACGAAGTAAACAGAAAGGGAGGGAGGGTTATCGTTGTTTTATCCGAGAACAGATTTTAGGCCAAAAAAAAAAGACACGTGCCGCAGAAACCTAAGCCCGTGAAAATTCGTCGAAAACGGTCCCACAAGAAGACCACACAAAAAAAAAAATTTTATTCTTATTCGTCTCGCTAAGCACAACAGACCCTTTAAGGGAGACGAAACTTTGTTTTTGTGCACCAATTGAGGGTACGAACTGACTGGAATTAGGTGACAGACCAAAATCGGTTGTCACATAAAGTTGCGCTACCGACCCCGTTCTTTCGCGGTCGCTAAGCAGAAAGTTTTTTTTCGTTTTATTTTCTTCTCGTCTCACAGATACTGGTACAGGTGTGCAGATCGAAATTTCAAAACTGGAGAAAACAAGGCCCTTTTTCCCCGTGATGAACAGCATGTCGACCCAGGGCGCCACTCTCGCTGCCATGTCGCAGCCCGTACATCTCGCTAGCCACTCGGCCCAGCAGTCGCCCAGTCTCCAGCACGCCGCCGCCGCTGCGGCCGCGGTGCACGCGTCCGGAGGCGGGATCGCACCCGCGACGCCCGGGCCCGTTGGCACCGTTGCGGCTCCACAGGGCCCGATAGTCCAGGTTCAAGTACAACCCGCACAGCCCATGGACCCGGTGACGCAGTCCACCGCGGAAACGTGGCTTTCGATCGCGTCGTTGGCGGAAACTTTGGGAGACGCGGATCGCGCCGCGATGGCGTACGACGCAACCCTCCAGTATAACCCTTCGTCTACCAAAGCGTTGACGTCGCTGGCGCATTTGTACAGATCGCGCGACATGTTCCAACGCGCTGCAGAACTGTATCAGCGCGCGCTGGCGGTAAATCCTGAGCTCGGCGATATCTGGGCGACGCTTGGTCACTGCTATTTGATGCTCGATGACTTGCAAAGCGCGTACGCCGCGTATCAGCAAGCGTTGTACCATCTCAGCAACCCCAACGTCCCCAAACTGTGGCACGGAATTGGGATTCTATACGACAGGTATGGGTCTCTGGATTACGCAGAGGAAGCGTTTGCCAAAGTCTTGGAACTAGATCCACAGTTCGAAAAGGCCAACGAAATCTATTTCCGCCTGGGAATCATTTATAAGCACCAAGGAAGGTGGAATCAAGCTTTAGAATGTTTCCGCTACATTTTGACACAGCCGCCCGCCCCTTTGCAGGAGTGGGACATTTGGTTCCAACTCGGAGGCGTGCTCGAGAGCATGAGCGAATGGCAGGGTGCCAGAGAAGCTTATGAACACGTGCTTATGCAGAATGAAAGACATGCCAAAGTTTTGCAACAACTCGGGTGTCTTTACGGTATGCAGAGCGTCCAATTCTATGATACAGAAACGGCTTTGAACCTTTTACTCAAATCTCTGGAGGTTGATCCTGCTGATGCCACCACTTGGTATCACTTGGGTCGTATTCATATGGTGAGAAACGATTATACAGCGGCTTACGATGCATTCCAACATGCTGTGAATCGAGACTCCAGAAACCCTACATTCTGGTGCTCGATAGGTGTGTTGTACTACCAGATCTCCCAATACCGGGATGCGCTCGACGCCTACACCAGAGCTATTAGACTAAACCCTTACATCAGCGAGGTTTGGTACGATCTGGGTACTCTATATGAGACTTGCAGCAATCAATTAACCGACGCACTCGATGCTTATAAGCAAGCGGCGCGTTTGGATCCAAACAACATTCACATTAGGGAGAGGCTAGATACGTTGACCGCACAGCTTTCTAACCAGTCGAATGGTAGCGTTTTGCCAGCGCAGAATAAGCCCGGTAACGTTTCGAATCCACCTCCAATAATGTTGCAGCCTAGTCTGCGATCAAATGATGCTGGAAATCCATTGAACAAATCGCCGCTTTCGATTCAGCATCAGGTGGAAACAACACCAGTTCAACCTCATTTGCAAGTCCAACACCAACCCCAAAGTATGCTTCAACCTCAGTTGCAGGCTCAACAACTTCAGCAGCAGCAAGCGCAGGCACAGCAAGTTCAAGCTGAACTCAAATCCAGATCACACCAACTTCCCCAGGGCTTTCAGCAAATACTATCTCAACCCCAGTTGCAGATGCCACAACAACAGCAACCACAACAACGCTTACATGGTCTTTCGCAACCGGCTGTTCCTGGCCAGCCTACTTTTAGTCCCTATCGCGACTCGATGCCTCCCATGGCTCCCCCTCAGGGAATAGCAGGAAACACGCAGCCTTCCTCTCAACAAATTGCTCCTCTGCCTTTGACGTCGTACCTTCCTGCATCGAATCAATTGCCCCAAAAGAGAGGCATTGAGGGTGGCATGGACACTTTGGTAAATGCAGCAGTGTCAACCGCTGCCAACTCTTCTTCGCAATCGCAGGTTTCGCCCAATAACGCGTCCATCGCACCTACCATCAAACCTGAGGGATCTCTGGTGAAGAGGCAAAAACAGACTCCGGTTCAGGCCAAAGAGCAAACTACAGAAGATGCTCCGAAGGACGTGACACCAGATCCCGAGCCAGCTGCCCCTAAGGTCGAAACAGCTTCGAAACCATCGTCAGACGAGAGTGGTCACGGTCCTGTCGAAAATGAGCCCAAGGCGGATGAAGTACCGGTTAAGAAAGTGGCTTCAGAGGAACCTGAGAAGGAAAATCCAGGGACGACAGATGAAAATTCTAATTCATTTGTTATTAAAGCCAGTGCTGATGCAATCGAACAATATAAAGAAGAGGCTCGATTACGTAAGGAGGACGAGCAAGAGGCCATCAGCAATGAGGTCAAGCAACCCGAGAACGGGAAGTCCACAGGTGCTTTCAACGAGAATGTGGTGCGTAACTTTGATGAAGACGAGGATTATGATGATTGAGCGAGCGAAGTTGAACTTATAACTTACTGCACCTCAATTGATCAAAAATCGTACCTCGGCTGATAGTCATCGATGTTTTGTATTATTAAATTTCAAAGAGCGAGAGACAGTCATGATAGACTTGCTTGATTTCGTTAACCAAACTGTCATCGTGAGGAAGAACGTATTTCAAGCTTGAAGAGAAAACACATTGGAAAATCTTTTAAGATGAAGAAAAAATATCAAAATTAACGCGACGAAATCGTGGTTTATATCATTGATCAGATATAGTCAGGTCTTATACAAAGACCCAATTTCGCGTTGTATGCTATGGAGTGTGTATAAGTAGTTTTCAATCAGTTTCAACAATTTCGCTGAGAAATGTCCTTATTTGATCTATCACTTCATCACGAGTAGATGCGGAAACCATGTCTAGGTTAAGCGCGCCTTGGTTAGTAAAAATCTAGCGCATTTTGGTTCTTGACAATATCAATCATACCTAGCGCCTTTGGTTCAACTTTTGCCAATATTTGAGTGAAATTAGAAGTATTGTTTGCTGAGATCTCTTCGTTTGTGATTCGTCTTACTTCGTCCATCCATCCATCCTGAAGTAGTTTTTCGTTGAGGCTTACGGAAAGTCTGGAATTCGCATACGGTTAGTGATGCAGTTCTTTTATCTTGATTAGATGGAATCAACGAGAGTACCATACTTTTCATAGTAACCTGATTGTACTAAGTACTGCTGAATTTGCGCTTTGACGCGCATTGTCTGTTCGTCACTGGAAGTCATTTTGATGGAGGTTAGATTTCCTTCTGAGTTGAGTGATCCGATGAGATCAGCTCAGATACCAAATGCTCGGATCATTTTTGAAAATGGAGATGGTGAAAAATAGCAGACGAGCAGCCTTAATAGGAATTTTGCAGAGGAACAACCAAACATATGAAGATCTGTGATAATTGAGACAGATCGTATGTCTCTTAAAAAGCAATCGTTTTACAAAGTGAACTATACTCTCTTTGAATTACAGGCTTAGAAAGCTAGTACTTAAATTAATAGAGCATTTCAAGAAGCTCAACCAAAAGTGACAATTCCCAAATAGATTTGTCTAAATAAATCAATTCAAGGAATTGGTATGTCAGTTCCCATTACTAGGGAAGCGACTGGGATCTCTTGAAGAGTTAGACAGTAGTGGTTATGTTAAAGAACTCGTTCAAGCATTCGTGAAAAATATAAAAGTCCGTTCATTTTAAAGGATGCTGCGATCATTAACTACTACAACTACTTGTAGGCCCACGAGATCAGTCGTCACGCGTATTACTAGAATTATGAGTAGCACAGCCAAGCCTGAAGACGCTAAGTTTTTAAAAGCAGCGCCGGTTTCCGACCCTCAGGAATGCAAATGGATTGGCCTCGAGAAAATCGAGTATTTGGACCCTACAGGGATCAAAAGACAATGGGACAGTGCAGTAAGAAGAACCAGGACTTCGGGTGGAGTTGACGCGGTTGGCATCCTTGCTATTCTGAAAACCCCCGGAAAAGAACCGGAGGTTTTGATCCAAAAACAGTTTCGGCCGCCTGTTGCTGGGGTGTGCATCGAATTACCAGCTGGTCTCGTAGACGAGGGCGAATCAGTAGAAGTCACCGCGCTACGTGAACTAAAAGAAGAGACTGGCTACATCGGGAAGATTTTGACTAAAACGCCTACTATCTTCAATGACCCGGGATTCACCAACACCAACCTTTCGCTCGTGACCGTGGAAGTGGACATGACTTTACCGGAAAACCAGAACCCACAAACTGAATTGGAAGAGAACGAATTTATCGAGTCCGTTAGAATTCCTCTTAAGAATTTTGCGCATCATTTGAAAGACCTCGCTAGCCAGGGCTACAAATTGGACGCTCGTGTGCAAAACATTGCTGCTGGGATTGAACTCGCTCAAATATACTCGCTTTAATTTGTAGCACATCTACGTATAGTAAAGTGAAAGATAAATCATATGGCCTAGCTCCCTTAGCTATTGCGCTTTTAAGTTAATATGGCATGGCATGCGTAATGGCTTCCTCGTACTGCAGTCAAGTTGGTCAAAAAAATCACGATAGCTGCAGGATTCGAACCTGCGCGGGCAAAGCCCAAAAGATATCCTTGGAATAAAAGCTCCATTCAAGTCTTTCGCCTTAACCAACTCGGCCAAACTACCGATCGTCTGAGTAGTTCCGATTTTTCCTTGCTAGCTAAAGTTACTATCTTAATCTTAAGTTTCTTTAAATTACAGCTTCTAAGATTATTTTAGTAGCTTTCGTAATTACCATCAGTATATCAAAGCTAGCCAACTAATTACTGCCTAATCTGGCGCCAGTTGGAGACATCATCTGTTAGCAAAATCTCCTTCGGTGTGTTGGAATACTTGGCATCGCAATCTCGAATATCAGCGTCACCGTGAACGCTAGACAGCCAACAGTCAGTTGTACATGTGGCAATATTTTCGACATATTCTGATTTAAACGGGAACCAGGAGCTCATAGGCCATGATTTGGGTCATGTAACATTTGCAGATCCATCAATGGTTGGATTGTACTATATTGGTTATCTTGTAGAAACAAGTTATTAGCTGAATGTCACACTGTTCGTAAAGACATGAAACAAGAGATGTAACGACGCGCGCATATTAAAGCTTATCGGGGATACGCAACAAGGTATAGCCTATATAATATTTAGAGGTAACCCGAACCGCCGAGATTTGCTAGAATGGACGTGACACAGTGATGACAACGCGAGCAGGTGATCACGATATTAACACCGTACTCGAACAAGAAGAGTCTAAAACGTATCTGCATGCCCAACATCATGTATGTGACAACAGTGAAGTACGTATGCATCAATTTCGTGGATGTGTTCAGTAAGAACTTTACTCATGCCGCATAATCGACTCGGTGCGTGCAGACCGGCATATATGAGGCAGCAATTTTGCAGAGAACGTATATCGAGTGATTAATTGTGAAAGAAACCAGGCAGACTTCCCTTTCTTGGTCCTCAAGCGATCAATATGATTCACTGTGGTTGACGTGGCCTTTCGTTTGCTGCTAAATACATACCGCAATACATATTCATGTCATCATCGCACTGACAGTTTGGCCGAGTTGGTTAAGGCGAAAGACTCGAATTCACTTGTAGAGATCTTTTGGGTTCCGCCCGCGCAGGTTCGAATCCTGCAGCTGTCGGTTAATTAATTTTTTTGAATCCTACCTTTACTAACAATTTACTACGTCGCTTCTCTCTCGGTTATATATCGCTGCAAAGACAAAACAAAACCTCTGGCCTCTGATCCTAAATCGCTCTTCAACTTCCGACATAGAAGTCGCATGCTTAGTGGGTGAGGATCATCCGCAAACAGTAGTCCCATAATCCTAAGTTGTAAAATGTATTGATGATCACCGTCTACGAAGGGACTCAACTTCCCCCGCAGAAAATCAAAGCAGTGCTGTCTATTACAAGCCAAGATTTCAGAACGAGGTATGACTAGTAATTTTGAATCGAGTTCGGCATCATATTCGTCTGAATTATGCGATGCCAGTTGGAAAAGTTTGTTGTTCAAAATTGCCTTAACTTCCGTTTTATCATGCAACGAAATCAATCCTAAATAATCTGACAGGATGATATTCTCGAATTTTTTCATCATTACCGCCAGTTCTTGCACATGCTCAGGAACCGCTTTCTGCAGTAGTGCTTCTAATTCTTTCAAATTTATGATTCCATTTTGATGCGGCTTAACAAAAAACCAAAAATATGCATCAAAGGTCAGAACATCGTACTTATCTTGGGCAATGTCGATCAAGATCGAAGAGGTCCAATCATGGATGAAATCCTTGTCAATAAATGGCCTGATTGACACAGGCAGAGACATAAGATGACGCTCTCTACGACTGTCCCGCGCCGCCATCACCACTGTGAAAGATTCTTTCCAGACTCTTTCCAGGGCTAGATAGGGTGTCTTGTTCTTCTTGTTATTCTTCTTTAGCTGGTCTTATGTGTGTCAGCGTTATAACAGCGATTTTTTGAGAGTCCGGGCATCGGGGTTAAAATAAAGCCCGATACACTTCTTACTAAGTACGGCGACCAACGATTAAACACCGAGAGTCCTATATCATTCAGCCTCGAAACGGCGGTAGGCGAAGAAGACCCTGAACTTGATGGCGGGTATATACCATGTTCCGATACCTTAGGCTCGTCGGTACAAGTTTGACAGCGGACTTTGTTCCTTACTGGTTCGTCGGGCCAGTAGGGATGAGCATTTCATCCGTCATTTTATTTGCCTTTCCATACGAAAGCGAGTGGCTCCGCATATGTTCGTATGTGGCATTTTGCATTACCGCGCTCTCCTTTATCAGTGTGGTGGTACTTGCAATCTGCAATTGTTGGCAAGTGTGTAGGAGACATTCAGGGAAGGCATATTTCGACAAGTATTTCCGAAATGATGGTGTTGGAGCTTTTTGGGCCTTTTCACAGATGGCATGGGGCACGCTGGTGAGTTTTGTGGGGCATGTTTGCGTTACTTACGGTCCGCCTGGCTGCATGATTTTCGTCTACGTGTTGTGGTGGATCGATATCGTTCTTTCCCTGCTGGTCGCATGGGGCTTGATATTCTTAGTATGGAGCGATCACTACGGCGGCGACAGTGAATTGCAATTGCATCGAGATTTCATGAGAAAGAAGATCCAGCCCGTGCTAATTTTGCCCGTGGTCCCATGCTTGGTTGCGACCTCTGCCGGCGGCGTTTTCATGATGAGCGGACCGTTCGTTGAAATTTTCGATCGCCGTGGTCAACTTCTAACGCTTTTCGTTTCGCTGCTGGTGTGGCTACATGCGATCTGTTTGGTATTTCTCATTACAGGCTCGTGCGTGTGGAGTTTTTATGTGAACAAATTTCCACGTAAGAATTCGGCCTTCACCATGTTCCTTTTGGTAGGTCCCATGGGGCAGGGAAGTTTTGGGGTGCAGTTGTTGGCCCAAAATTTCGGGACGTTCATCACGCGAACTCCCATGACGGCCCGCGGCGGCTCAGCAACAGAAGAGGTACTGCGGATCGCCGTAAAAACTTCAATTGCTGTTAACGGGGCCATAACTGGGTTGTTTCTCATTGATGCAGGATTTTTTTTCACCGCTATGTCAGTGGCAGCCGTGCTCCGCCGGTTCGGAGACGAGGGGGGCGCGCATATTATAACGCGTTTCCATAAGGGCTGGTGGGCGTTACCGTTCCCTCTGGGTACTATGTCGCTGGCCACCACCGAATTTTACCGCCAGCATAATGACATCTTGCACGTCGGGGCGTTCCAGGTTATAGGCGCGGTGTACGGGTTGCTTTCTGTTGCCTCCGCGATCGTGTGTTTCTGCTTCACGCTAGTGGCATTTTTCCGGAACCTTGCGGCGTCTACGCGCGTCACCAACGGCACTAAGAAGCGGCCCGACGGCCGTCGCGCCTCTTGATTTCAAACAAAAAGAAAGATGGTTGGAATGAGTTGACGTTAATCGATATCGGCAGGTGGCATTTACCTTTAATTACAACACATGTGTCACGTGACCAAGATGACACATTCACATACGAAAGCTAAAATCGCACCTTGGAAGCCATAGGCGTCTAAGCTATTCCATAGACGTCAGGAAATTAGCAGAATTCCTGAGTACCGCACTCAGATCACCAGAGCTATGACGCACGCCTCGAAATCACCAAAAAATAATAAGTGAACAGTGTGGATGACGCCAGACTGTCAAAAATATTCACGTAGGGATAAAGGTACGTTGAGAATTACAAAAAAACCATGCACCAAGTGACAGTTTTCATCATGTGATCACAGCGACACAAATTCGCTGCATAATCGATAAATATATTTCATTAAGGAAGCTATGAACGAACTGACCAATTTGAAAGGTTATTTTTTCCCCCGTGCTGGTCAAACTCATTAATTACATAGGAAAACAACACAGACCAGCGATTGGCGCGGTGAGTGCGGCTTAGAATTACGGCGGTTCGTGAGACTTTGTCTTAAGCGATTTTGTTTTCTTTGCGTCCCCGCAGCAGGTCTCTCCACAGGAAAAGTAGCATTTCCCACGCCATGAACAGCGCGGTGACACCGACGCTGAGGTTGAAGGTGAACATGCTCGTGAACCCGCGGTACTCGAGTGCTTCGACGACTTGGTCCGTGGACTCCATGAAAATGAGCCCGCCGCACAGCAGGCAAAACGACGTGACCAGCTCTGTGAACGGCCGCGACGGAAGCGAGTTACAGTTGGGCACGAACATGAGCAGCAGAAACGTGAACAGCCGGAAAAAGGACCCGTACGACAGCAGGTACCCCCACTGCATGTGGATCGTTGTCGACGTCTGCGACGCCTGCGCATGCTGCGACATCAGAATGCCCGTCCAGAAAATCGTAACTGCGGGGAAAGGATTGGGCGAGTATCCGGGTGACGCCGTGGCCACGTCGCTCGCGCGGGCTCGGACGAAGTCCGAGTCGCGCGCGACGACGTCATCCTCTGGAGCGTTACCCGCCTTCAGCACGTGACGCACGCGCCAGTCCCGCAATTTGAACTCTGTGATGAGCCCGCAGAGCCCGCATCCGATGAACATGAACGCGATCGACACGTGCTGCAGGTCCTTGGCGTGCCACTTGCCGTCCTGATTGGACAGATGCTCGAGGAACACGTTCGTAGACCCGTAGAAGAAAATGAGCCCGCTCTCAATGCCCTCCATGGTCACTCCGTCGCAGAGCCGCTGCCACGCGGTGAGCCCGCGTTGCTGCTGTTCGCGCTTGAGCACCAACACCCGGTTCCACGCCCATCCACGATGGGCGCCAAACCCGCAGTACCTGGCTAACGACACAGTGCCGAGGATGATAAAGACGCCTCCCTTGATCCAGTGCGCTAGCAAGTTGAACACGCGCAGATGATCCCCGAGCAGGTTGCCTACTGCGAGCCCTACGACGCACGTTGCCGCCGACACCACGAGCAACGGGTAGTTCAGCATCCCGAACACCGCAGCAGGCAAGCCGTGCAGGGCACCGCGCAGCGCAGAGCGCACCGTAGGTGCGCTCTGCGCGCGCGCTGCAAGTCCGGGGAATTCGTGCAGATCCCGAAACAAGGGAGGGGGCGATCCGCCCCTCTTGCTGGGCGCGCTAGAAGGAGACGTAGCCGCATCGCTAGCCTCGGCGGACATGTCGTTGAGCGGGATCCCCGCACTGTTGTTGAGGTCCTCGTCGTCGTAGAAGGCACGGTAGCTGTCGAGGTCCGCAGCCGCGGATCTGCGCTTCCAGCGCAGAACGGCCGCGGCTAAAAGATGCGCGAGCGCGGCTAAAAGCAGCACGTCGCAGAAACGGCCGTAGACGCTGCCGGGGTATGTCGGGGTGTCTGGGTGAGTCTTTTTAGCACGGCGGATCGAGGCCCCGAAGGCCGCGAGGGAGAAGCGCGCGATGACAACGCTACAGTTGAACAGGATCAGGGCCGGCAGGTACCAGCGAGACTGGATGCTGTGAAACATCAGAGAGACCGGGTAGAACACGGTCGTGGCAGCCACGAGCGAGACGCAATGGGTCCAGAGCGCACCCCGGTTGCCTCGGCTCGTGGTGAAGAAAGTTGTGGTGTTGTAGTTTTCCCAGTAGAGCCGCTCTGCGGGGGTGAGGTTGGTATGCAGGATGGGCATCCCGTGCTCGTGGCCCCCCTCGTGGGGCACGGGCGAGACGGAGGCAGCTACGGCCGAAGTGACGGCCGTAGCCGCCGGTGGGTTATCCACGGGCACATCCGTGCCCGTGCCCATGTGCATGTCCATGTCACGCGCAGCGAGCTGGACAGCGCCCGTGCACCACATGAATGACGTCGCAAGGATTGCTGCGGACGACACGCGCATCTTTGGAGACACTGAGGTTAGGCTTGTTTTCGTGTGAAGGAGTGTCTGGGTGTGTGCGGTTTTGGCGGCGCTGGTGGTGAATGAATTACCCGAAGCGGCCAAGCGTTGTAGCTACGCGGTCTCCGCGCAGACGAGTCCCTGTGCACCCGGCAGACGTCGCGTCGCTTATATACTCGGTCGCCATGAAGCTGACAAACAAATACCTCGGGCTAGGGGTGCTCCCTGCAGCTGCCTGCGCGGGAGCAATTATTTTTAAACCAGGAACGAAGGGCTGCCACGGAGCTGAGCGGTTATTGCAGGGGCGGGCGCAAGCGGGCGCAAGCCGGCGCAAGCCGGCGCGAGCGGTCGCGTGAGGGCGCGTAAGTAAGCACGCGTAGGCACGTGACTGTCTCCGTTCCGCGCCGCTGCAGGGGCCGCGCCACCGGAGTTTGGGTTCTTTTTTTTCGTGTGTGTGGTCTTGTCTGCGCGGTGCGTGGGTGTACGTTTTTTTCCACTGCCCAGCGCACCGGCGACGTTACCAGCCCTACGCTACCGGAACCGTGATGAGCTGCCGGTGGTTTGCCCGTGCAAACCACCGGGAACGCGCCCCACCGGCAGCATGGCGCGCGAGGAGCTCGAACAAGAAATCGAGGCCATCGCCGCGATATACCCCGAATGCCTCGACCGTCTCTCGGACACCCAGTGCATGCTGAGAGTGCCCGAGCACGAGCACGTCAGCGTCCAGGTGTCGTTTCCGACTGGGTACCCCACCGACGTTCCGCCGCAGGTTCTGTCGGTTCAGGTCGGCAAAGCCAGCGGCGACAGCCGGTCGCTTCGCGACCGGCTGGAGCAACTGATGTCGGAGGTGTGGGTCCAGGACGTGTGTATTTTTGATTTTCTGACCAGCGCAGGCGCGCTGTGCGAGACTGAGCAAATAGGGGAGCCTTCGGAGACCCCGGAGCTTGTCGGTCCCGCGGAGCTTCCAGATGCCGCGGAGCCGCAGCAACGGCCGCTCCGGCCCTTAACGCCGCCCGTCTGGTTCCAGAGCGAGCCAGTCTACGACCGAGGCTCGACTTTCCAGGCGTTTGCCGTGGCAGCCACCAGCGAGGACAGCGCCCGTGCAAGCCTCGACCTCCTGCGGCTAGAGCCCAAAATCGCCCGGTCGCAGCACGTGATCTCCGCCTGGCGCATTCACGGCTCCGGAAGCGTTACGTACCAGGACTGCGACGACGACGGCGAAACCGCCGCCGGGGGCCGCATATTGCATTTGCTGAGTGTCATGGATGCGTGGGACGTCGTGGTCGCCGTCGTCCGCTGGTTCACGGGCACTCACATCGGGCCCGATCGGTTCAAACACATCAACTCTGCTGCCCGCGAAGCAGTGCTTCGCGGCAGCTTCGCCGAGGCGTCCAAAGGCGGCAAGAAGAAGAAGTAATCCTTCGACTATGTACTTGTTACGTTATAATATACAATTCTGGTTTTTCTCATAATCTCGTCAATCGCAGCTTTGTGTGCACTACGTCTTCCTAAATCGCTTTGCGGGTGTCTCGTGTGAGCTGTCAGGTTCGGGTTGGGCGTCGTTTTCCGCGCTGTCACTCCGGACGTGCTTCTTGTTCTTGTTCTGGTCCCGGTGGGATTCCCGGTGGGATTCCCACAGTTTGTCCAGGTCTTGGTCTGCGCTGCGCTTCGGTGTCGTCGTTTTGACGTCGTCAGCGTCCTTCGCTTCTCCAAACTTCCTGCGTCCGACGAAACCGCCTTGGTCGTTCTTTGCCATGACACCCGCATAGCCCACGTTTCTGATCTTGGGCGCTAGTCGGGACGCGATTTTGCGCCGGTCCGACAGTTTCCACTCGCTGGAATCTATCAGACTGCGAGTCTCTTCTTCCTCTTTCGCAAGCTCCTCGGTGCTCTCCGCCTGCTTCATAAACTTCATGTTCAACACGCGGCTCGAAAGCCGCCCACCGACTTCGTTGGACATCTCGACGGCGTGTGTTGTGCTCTCTGTTGTGGCGATGCTCAGCTGTTTGTTAATGTTCTTTTAAGCTCATCGCTTACGTTTCTTTTCGCCGTAGAAAATTTTCAGAGTTTTTCTGTTTTCCAGCTATGCAAGAGAGGCGATGAGCTAGAGCGTTGGTGTGGCCCAGAAAGCTTCCAGAAAAAGAGCTCATATGAGATCCGACTACAGGTTTTCCAACCTTTTGGGGACCGTCTACCGACAAGGAAATCTCTTGTTTTCCAATGATGGGACTCAATTGCTGTCTCCCGTCGGCAACAGAGTGTCGGTGTTCGATCTGGTGAACAACAAATCTTTCACATTCGAATACGAACACCGGAAAAACGTGGCATGTTTGGACCTCAACACACAGGGAAGTCTGCTGCTGTCTGTTGATCAAGACGGACGTGCCATTTTGGTCAATTTCCGCGCCAGAACTGTGCTACACCATTTCAATTTCAAAGATAAAGTGCGGACCGTGAAATTCTCACCCGACGGCCGACTTTTTGCGCTGGCCTGTGGACGATTCATACAGATCTGGAAAACGCCCGAAGTGGGCGAAGACCGGCAGTTTGCGCCGTTCGTACGTTACAGGGTTCACGCGGGCCATTTTGACGACGTAACGTCTTTAACTTGGTCTCAGGATTCCAGATTTCTGTTATCCACGTCCAAGGACCTGACGGCGCGGCTTTGGTCTATTAGCTCGGAAGAGAAAGATTTAGCGTCGACGACTTTTGCTGGTCATCGTGACAATGTCGTTAGCGCCTATTTCTCGTCGAATCAAGAAATCATCTATACGATAAGCAAGGACGGTGCCGTTTTCCAATGGGAATACACCGGCAGACCTGATTTCGAAGACCAAGAACCAGATGCGACGGCCAATCTGAGTTGGCGCATCACCAAAAAACACTATTTCTACGCAGCGCCCGCCAAAGTCAAATGCACAGCATTTCACGCGGCATCAAACGTTCTCACAGTGGGCCTCAGCGACGGCTGTTTCAGACTTTACGAAATGCCAGATTTCGTTCTCATACAACAACTAACCATGGGTCAGAATGCGGTCAACGCTGTGTCGGTAAATCAATCAGGTGAATGGTTGGCTTTTGGATCCAGCACTCTTGGACAACTAGTGGTATACGAATGGCAATCTGAATCCTACATTTTGAAGCAGCAGGGCCATTTCGACGCTTCTAACGCTATAGCATACTCGCATGACGGATCTCGCGTCATTACTGGTTCCGACGACGGCAAAATAAAGGTTTGGGACACGTCTTCGGGGTTCTGTCTTGTAACTTTCCAAGAGCACACTTCGGCTGTCACAGCAGTGAAAATAGTGAAGAAGGGCCAAGTAATGTTTTCTTCTTCTTTGGATGGTACTGTTAGAGCTTGGGATCTTCTCCGTTACCGCAACTTCCGGACTTTTACAGCCGCGGAGAGGATACCCTTTAATTGTTTGGCAGTTGATCCTACTGGCGAAGTTGTTTGTGCTGGATCAGTGGATAGCTTTGACGTGCATGTTTGGTCCGTGCAAACGGGTCAATTGGTGGAAACTTTATCTGGCCACGAAGGCCCCGTGTCATGTTTATCCTTCAGTCAAGAGAACGGTTTACTCGCCTCTGCCTCGTGGGACAAAACGGTGCGCATATGGTCCATTTTCGGCCGTTCTCAGCAAGTAGAGCCTCTCGAAGTTTACTCAGACGTTTTGGCCATCTCCTTGAGACCAGACGGGAAAGAAGTTGCAGCAGCAACCTTGGATGGTCAGATTTCTTTCTTTAACGTGGACGAAGGAAAGCAGGTAGGTAGCATTGATGGTAAAAAAGACATTATCTCTGGGAGGCACCTTGAAGACAGATTTACCGCGAAGAATTCTGCTAGGTCCAAGTTTTTCACAACAATCGATTACAGTTTTGACGGATTTTCAATGATCGCCGGTGGAAATAATAACTCTATTTGCCTGTACGACATTGCAAATGGAGTTCTTCTCAAAAGGTTTGTTGTGTCCAGAAACATGTCTTTGAACGGTACTATGCAGTTTTTGAACAGCAGTAAAATGACGGAGGCAGGATCATTGGAGCTAATTGATGTGAACGCTGAAAACTCGGATCTGGAAGAAAGAATAGACAATACTCTACCTGGATCTCAGAGAGGTGGGGACTTGTCAACGCGGAGAGTTAGACCTGAAATCCGAGTAGCTGCTCTGAATTTTTCTCCAGCTGCGAAAGCCTTCGCTGCAGCTTCCACTGAAGGAATACTAATATACAGCATCGATGACTCCCTCGTGTTCGATCCGTTCGATTTAGATACGGATGTGACGCCTCAAGGTGTTTCAGAGATGCTCGGTGAAAAAGATTACATGAGTGCAGTCGTCATGGCGTTTAGACTGAATGAATCCTATCTCATTCAGAAAGTCTACGAAGCTGTTCCTGTCTCTGAAATAAATATAGTAAGCCAAAGCTTGCCTGTGGTATACGTGTCCAGAATGCTCAAGTTCATTGGCGATTTTGCCGTCGACTCTCCACATCTGGAATTCAATCTTTTATGGATAAAAGCCCTACTGTCTAGCCATGGAGCGCACGTAATGAACAGAAAACATGAATTTTCAGCGGCGTTGAGAGCTCTCCAGAGGTTCATTAACAGAATTGCGAAAGACGTTGTCACAACTACAAAAAATAACACTTATGCATATTGTTTCTTGACGTCAACGGATGGGGCCATCGAGCAAGAGGACGACGAGGGACAAGAGCCCGTGGGTGCCGACCATGACTTTTTCGCTTCGTCCGAAGACGAAGAAATGTCTACTGCGGAAAGCGACGAAGACCAAGACGAAGACAAGGTCACTTTTGATGAGAAGAAAAAATTGCCCTTAGAGCTTAACGAGGACTCTGATGAAGAGCTAATTTGATGAACTTTAAAACCATCTGTGCATACAATTAAATACTCGTTGTCATATAGTATAAGCTATTAACAGCTATTCACAGCTATTGAGAAGAGACTTCCACCGGGCGAACAGAAATATCGCCGATTAGCTATCTCTACGCACGAAACAGACCAATTTCATAGTCTCATCAAGCTCATCGGATAACTTACATGAAATCCGATCGAGAGAATTACCGGGGTCCAACGGCTTCTAAATAGATAACTCTTCCCATGCTGGGACATGAAATTCAAGATTTGAAGCGAATCTCAACTTGGTTTCGGGATTTACCTGGTGAAAAAGGATTTGATGAAGTGTTATCGTCTTTAAATCGTATGGTAATCACTAGCTCACAAGACGAAGTTTATCGAGCGAAATTGGCTGGCCAAGAAGAGATTTGGATCAACATTGGTAATTGCCTTGACGAATTTTCTGAAGCGGTTACAAGCATCCCCGAAATTAAAGATTGTTCCGTCAGGATCGTTAGAGGCATAGTTTTACTCGCTCGAAATCTGGCGGTCCATGACAAGAAAATTACACAAGAACTTTCCATTGTTACAAAATCTATCAACACTTTTAACAACCTGGCAGCTGTCAGCAGTCACAGTGACATGAAGGCGGCTCTTTATTTAACCATGTTGGAATTTTTCTGCAATGCATTTAAAAGTGTCCCAGACGTCACAGAAGTTGACTTCAATAACTTAACCTTGTTTCTGCTCTATCCGTTAGAAGAGGACATGGATATTTCAAGAGAAGAGCGTTTTTTAGTTTTATTGAACATCTTGGCATCACAGGAAAACTCTCTCTCCAGAATGTTGAAATCGGGGGATTCCTTAGATGTTTTCTCTACTGTCATAGTGCGTGAGATTTTGTTGAAAACGTTGGAAATATCAGCTTCGAACGACCACTCAGCGCATCAAAATTTTCCCTCGCGAACTCTTTTGGCAATATCAGTGTTCAAGAAGTTCGTATGCCATGAATCGTTTGCTATTTATATTTTAAGCCTTCAAGCGAACGACGAGCAAAGGCTGTTAAACTATTTGAAAGCTAGCCAACTCGTTTTAACCAGCACATCCGATTGGAATAATCACGAATTGACAGGGATAATGACATGGTGCCTTGCAACTTTAAAAAATTTAAACTATGATGTTCAGCGCTATTTCAAACTTGAGCAAGACAGTGAAGATCATGCGCTTCCTCTCCATCAGAAACTTTTGGCCACTTTAGACATTTTGACTGCACTTTCACAGTTTGAGCAAGTCCGGCAATACATGTCATTTTACAACGGAATTGAGGTCATAATAGATATATTGCGCTGCTTGCATGAGAATGCAATTAGGTTTCAGATCATCAGAAGCACGGCTGGGCAAGTTTCAAAAATCAAAGCTTTTAATAACATGGGTCGTAGAATTGAGGACCCGGAAAAATTCAAAAAGAGAATTGATTCTGTCACAGGTAAGATAAATGCGACGAATTTCCCAGAGTGTAAGCTTCTTTTGGTCGAAGTTTTGAGCTTTCTTGTATTCGAGCAAACAAAAGCCCAGGATGCTGTGAGAGAAGCTGGTGGCCTTCAATTGATCTTGTCCAACTGCTTGATTGATGATAATGATCCGTTCATCAAAGAGCGTTGCATTACTTGCATCAAATTTCTACTACAAAATAACACTGAGAACCAAAATATCGTGAGAGATTTAGAGGCTCAATCTGTGGTTCAGGACGACGCTCTTGAGGCCGCAGGTTTACAAGTTTCATTGGATAGCTCAGGTAAGCTTTTCATCAATGAACCCCGGGAGTGACAACGAGTTCTTTAAATGAAATAAACAGAGGCTAAAAATTAATGACGGCTCTGTCAAAATGGCAGATTAATTTCGCGGGCCCATTTTTCTATATTTTTGGTTGAATGAGCTTACAAGCCCATCTTTTGCATCTCCTCATCAATAATAGACTTGACTAGTTCAATATCCGCTCTGTCGACCAGCTTGATTTTCTTTTCGAGAGTAGAAAGCTTCTTTAGCTCAGCTGGCAAAACGTCTTTCTCAAAAGAATATTCAGGAAACGATGACAGAGCTTCGTTGACAGCATCTGCAAATTTAGCTGGATGAGCAGTGGATAGAGAAATATAGTTAATCGAGGAATCGTTGTCCTTCAAGATTTGTCTTTTTGTAGCACATACACCAACAGCGGTATGCGGATCTAGAATGTAGTTCTTTGGTGATTTAGAAGTCGCATAAACTTCCTTGATGGTTGAAGTGGTTTCTGAATTCGAAACTCTTTCAGATTCAAAGTCTTTCAAAGCCGTTTGTATCACTGCCGAATCGACAACAAATTTGCCATCGGCCTTCAACTCGGTAAACCATTCTCTTACTATTTTTCCCGCCTCAAGGTCATTGCCGTTCGCTAGGGTATCACGCGCCAAGTACCATAGAAGTCTCTCAAAATTGGAAGAAATCAATATATCCATTGCAGGTGAAAGGGTTGCTGCAACATCATCAGATCTTTCGTAGACACCGCTCTTCAAAAAACGGTCCAATATATCATTTTCGTTTGTCGCAATGACCAATTTCTCGACCGAAAGACCCATCTTTTTAGCATAGTACCCGGCTAGAATGTCACCAAAATTTCCGCTGGGAACGACAAATTTGACCTTGCCGGACGCACCAACAGCTTGGAAGTAAGCGTAGAAGTAGTACGTCATTTGAGCTAGAATTCTGGCCCAATTAATAGAATTGACAGCACCAACATTGTGTCTCTCGTTAAACTCCTTGTCTCCAAAAATGGCCTTAACAATGTCTTGGCAGTTGTCGAAGGTACCCTTAACGGACAAAGTTTGAACATTTTTATCACCAACAGTGGTCATTTGCTCTTCTTGAATTGGGGAAATTCTACCGGTTGGATACAAAATGAACACGGCAACATCTTTTTTGCCTCTCAAACCGTAAATGGCAGCACTTCCAGTGTCACCAGATGTGGCACCGACAACCGTGATCTTCTTTCTCTGTTCCTGTGGGAGATCTTTGTTGGCTCTTTGCAAGAAATACTCAAACAGGTTCCCGACAAATTGTAGGGCGACATCTTTGAAAGCATAAGTAGGACCATGAAACAATTCAAGAACGTGCAAGTTCTCGTGTTCACCAGTCACATTTTTAGCCAAAGGTGTGACATCTTCAGACCTGAAAGTCGAGTAAGATCTCTTGATCAATTCCTTCAAATCTGAGTCAGGAATCTCTTTGTCAGAAATGTACAGCTTCATAATCTCAAAAGCCAGGTCCTGAAACGAAAGCTTTGACCATCTTTCGATAATTTTTTGGTCAATGGTTGGAATTTCTGATGGAATGAACAACCCACCGTCGGTCGCTAAACCTTGAATAACGGCCTCTTCAAAGGTCTTGGTACTTTGCTCCGATGATCTCGTAGATCTGTAACTCGTTGACATATTTGACTGGAAGAATGAAGCTTAACTCACCGAACTGATCCAAACCACCTAGAGTTGAGTCTTCTAACTCGAAGATGACTCAAGTTAAAATTTTAAAGATCACGATCTTGAGAACTATCATCAAGAAGATCACGTGAACGTAATGTGATAAGTGGTAATACAAGGTTAAAGCTCCATATATATTGGACGATTACATCCGACCGTTCGATAACAGGACGCCTAAATTCTCGAATAGCATAGCTTCGTTTTCTTTGTAAAAGCTTGCTCTTCTAACTGTGTCTTCATTGAAACCGTCATCGCCGCTCAATATTTTGAGCGCCCTGGACGAGGACTGAACATACTCTTGAAGCATCGGCACAGGATCTTCGGCCATCTTTTTGAAAAATTGGTGCTTGCTTGCACATGCATTCAGTTGGAGACGCAGAACATTTAGCTCTTGATTTAAAGCTTGAAGTTTTGGATCGACCGCAGTGCTTAGCTGGTTGAGTTCACTCAACAAAGCCATTCCCTCCTGCGCAGAGGTGTCGTCGCTTTTCGAGGGTACTTCAATATCTAAGACTGTTTCGCCGTAAGTTGAGGCTTTGTCTACGCGAACCGTGTAGTCAACGCGCACTGGTGGCAGTGGAGAAATGTGACGATTCACCAAAGCGGGAAGTTCTACCAATTTGATCGTGCTTTTCTCCTCAGGGAGTAACGTTGCCAGGTATTTGTCCACTTTAGCAATTGTCTTCTCACCATTTGTATTGTCAGACGAGGCGTTAGATTGTGTGCTCACGTCTGTTCTATCGTTGTCCAATAAGTCGTTCAGAAGAATGTATTTGTAGATCGAGTAGATTGCGTCATGTAAGCTACCGCGCGAAAGTCCAATAACCGCCGCTAACTGTGGAGAAAATTGTATTAGATCTCCTGTGAAGCCACTAGGTTGTATCGTCACAGTACAAGCGACATTGACGGATCCAGTGCGTTTCACGTCCAAACCATCAAACTCTACCGGCGCGGCCGGGTCAGCATGCCATTCGACGATCGAAAGCGGCTGCTCTTCTTCATCTTCGGGCTTTTTGAAATCTACTGCAATACCTTGCAAGAAAGAACTGAATTTCTGCCTGTTAGGATCGTCCACTTCTTGGCCGTTAACGAGCCTACCCTCTACGCGCAAAGTCCAAGAAGGTTCGGCACCTTCCTCTGACGTTTGCCACGGCTGATTTTCGGAAATGTTCGAAATGAAGACTCGTAGGTATTGTTTTTCCTTCGTTTCTTGCTTCATCGCATTCAGTTGCGAAACGGATTGATACAAATCGATTTTCTTGCGCCCTATATGTAAATCAATACGCCGTTCTGCGTCTAATAGTTTTTCGTATGCTTCAAGTTCCGGTATCTGTTTCATAAGAAACGGAGGAATATATGCATCGGTTGGCTGCGCAACCGGTATCGGGTTTGTTTGTTGCTGGGAGTTCTGCTGTGAGGCAGGACCGCTGGCTTTTCTCACTTTGGACATATTGGAATTGTGATGCGGCTGAAAGTGACCCACTAACCTTTAAGATATCCTTCTGATGAGGTGCTTTCAAGCGTGTTGATAGCTATATTTCGATGGGTCTACATCAACAAAACAGTCTTGTCTTGTCATTAGCAGATTGATAACATCACTAGAGACGTGTTGAATCGTCCTTAGTGATTGCAGGATTTAATCAATTTCGTAGAAAGATACTAAAAATATGCGACGCAAAAGCGACAAGTCCCATGATAGACCATTAAGAGCTCAAATCAAGCCACTCAACAGCTCAGCGATCACTCAATTAGATTAAATTTCAGAGAACAATTTGCAAAATGGCTCGCGGCTATTGTAAATTGTAACCGTTCATAGTGACAATGTCACCAACAGTCAAACTTGTAGAACGGGGCTGCTTCGCCGAGGTTCAAAACTCGACGGTAACTGGAGGCAGAAGCGTGGAGACGTGTGGCGAATACCATAATTCGCAAATCGAATCTCTTCCCGCAAATTGAAAATCATATCACTTTGAACGTCACATATAGAACAAAACACGTGAGCTATTTAGCTTCTTGTTAATTAAAACCAACCGATTGAGAAACGCTTAACCTATCTTCTGTCTGTTAGTATCGGTCCCCTCGTGGCTCGTTACCTCTACAAGCTATGGAATTAGAAGCGGATAATATATTGAGTTGGTCAATTGTTAGTAGCGTTTTACGAAAGACTTTATGACGCCTCCACGGGGCTAGTCGGCGATACTAGTGATAACACTATGTGTGACCATGATATTAAGCCATTGATCTCAAGCGGAGACGGCTTCGAGACCGGCTTCAAGTGGTGTAGAGTATAGGGTCACCAGTTTATATAGTCAGTTTATACAGTATTCCATCCATGTATCAATAGTTTGTCTCTGTTCAACAAGTGTGTCAGTCTAGCATTGAAAAGACATGTGGCGTGAAACTGAAAAACAAGTCGAAATTTGTCAAAGGTCGATAGTATCGCTTAAGAAAGAGTCAGTGAATATCACCTAACAGCCACAAGCGGAAAAAACACTGGCACCGTCTTCGAAGTATTTTAACAAACTTAAAGATTTCAAAACGGAAATTGAATTTCGCTCCGTTATTTGTGCGTTATAAAATAACAAAACCGCACTACATAAAACCTTTAAAATAATTTTTGAAAATATCAATATAACGATGACACACGACTGAAGATGGAGTTTCTGCTTCTGTCTGTCCCAGTACTCTGTCACTGTTTTTGATTTCTTCAACATATACTCTCTATCAAGGTGAAGAAAAATTTGGAAAATTGGATATATGATGTGAACAGAGCTTGATCTCGAAAAATAAAGGAAGATGCTGGGAATTTCAGTTCGCAGGACCTATTCTGCGCTCTCAAAGCGTACCAACAAGACCAAAGTACAGCTGCTCAGGGATTTTCCGAATTTCCAGCTTATCAGGGGACAGGTGCTCGAAGTTAGTCCTTCTTTGATGAGAAACTATCTTCATCCAGGCAATGGAGCTCGATATATAATGAATAACGGACAAATCGACAGTCAACTTGAGAATGAAGCTCTTGCGAAATTAACGGCTAGACAATCTGCTACCAGAAGCAAGAAGGAAAGTATAGAAGCCAAACCAAAAGAAGCTGGAGGTGCTGCACCTGCGTCCGTTGAAAAGACCGTCAAGATGCCCGAAAAGACAAAACAGAAGCATATTTTTTCCAGCGGAGTTACGTTGGAAGATGCTAAGATCCCGGGCTTGGATCTTTGATCTCTGCGTCTCTCATTTTCAAAAACAATATCAGTTCATGTAAATATGTGGATACATATGTCTATATATATATATCGACACACAGACAAACAAACAAACAGTCAAGTTAGATCAAAGACAAACATTACATTAAAGCTCTTGAGAGAAACAAATGCTTCCCCCCACTTTACATCCTAGTCTTCTGCTTATTCCGTTGACGTCTTTCTCTCTTCTCCCTCATTTTTTTGTCCAATTTGTCCTGCTCTTCACCACTGAGCCTGCTACGTTGTTCACGTCTTTTCTCCTTCTCCAGCTTTTGCTTCTTTTCAATTGCCAACTCCCTTTCAACCTGTTTCATAACCTTTTGAATTTTTTGGAGTTCCTGTGAACGCAGCTGATGAGACTTCTTGAGCAAGTCCTTGGAGAGATAAGGCGCAGCAGTACCTTGAACGTATTCTCTCGTCATAGTGTCATACATTCCAACAACGCAACTGATCAATTCTTGCAAGAGTTTCAGGTCGGCGGCGTTGGTCTGTAGTTTACATCTGATCACACAGCGAGGCTTCTGAGCCTTTTCCCACAACTTGTCGGAAACAGGTTTTTCCTCAGGCAAATCGGTGAAACTAATGAATGTGAGAAAATGACCCACTTTCTCCAGCAGTTCGTGAAGCCTAGATCCCCCGTAGTGTGGGATGAGCCCGTTCAATTGATTGTTTTCAGACATGAAAACATACTGCACTGGTAGTTTGTCGTTTTCCGCCGTGTGCGTGATGGACAGATAGTAGTTTTCCTCGCGCACTTTCGCCATGTCCGATTTGTTAACAACAGCGGTAACGAACTTGAAATTTGACAACACCTCGTCAGCATTTTTGGAGGCTTCGCCTGTCTCGGTAGAGGCATAGATGCCGTTGGGCATCACGCAAATGTCAACAAACTCTTTCAAATCACGTTCTACTAGGGCGGGGAAGAAAACCGCCAAGAGGCGTTCCACTAGCATCGCGATCGGATTGTAATGCGCATACATGTGCGATTGAACAGTAATACTCTCAATAGCAGATCTTCCAGTGGTAAAACTCGTGAACCAAGTGTTATTCTGCTCAGAGATAAACTGTTTTTTCTGGCCACCCTTTGTCGAAAATCCAACTTTGGCAAACGCCAGCTCATGAAACGACTCATTGATCGCTCCAAATAGCTTGCTAGCACGTCTTGTGTTTAGTTTTGTGCCGCCCACGTAAAAAACGTACATCAAGACGAGGATGGCCACCACAACGAGTTCAAAAGTCCAATTGTATGCCTGCAACCTTTCCAAAAAAGTCATAGCCTTTTGCTCCTCATAACTGAGCGCGAAGTACTTGGCATTGAGTTGATTAACAAACTCTAAAGCTTTAAGAAGCGGGTCTAGAATCGACATCGTCTACACTAAGCCAATGCTATCAAATAATCGACTCACTTTCTTGTCAATTACTTGTTCTTTTCCCAAGTTTTTCTTTCGCGATAGACGATCTTGACTTCGTTGTCGTGTAAAGCGACATCTAGATCTCGTGATTTCGAGAAATAATGCTCTTGATTAATCAATATGATCAATAAATAGCCTTAGATTTCTATACGCTCATCATCCATTTCTAGTGTCGTTTATTAATTAGATCCAAAAGCCTGTTTGTTAACGAAATTTGTTGCCCATATTGCCATCTTTTTCGAAATTCGAATTTGGCGTCATGTTGATGTTTAGCAGCAGATATGAGTCGGAAAGGTTGAACGGCAAGATGGTTGAAGAATTTTGAATTGTCCTCAACATGCAAATTCCGTTGCAACTATTATCGCTCAATAGATCTGTAAGGTGGCAGGAACTTGCCAAATTATTGGATGCTACTAGTAGCCTGCTTTTCTCTGGGTAACACAAAGCTTTTTAAAGTGGTCACTTCCGCTTCTTGTTTGGCTCTTCTGAACCTCCAAGAAGCTGCGATCTTACAAGTTCCCGCACATATTGTTCAAGTTCTTCTTCTGCATTTTCACCGTCTAGAATGTGTTCTAGACGTCGCCTGCGCTCTATACTGACCGGGTCGTCCGTAACTGGATCGTTTTCCAATGTGTACCTAACGTTTTCCTTGAACTGCGCTAAAATCGATTCGTCGATAATCGGCGCATCATTCGCCACACCACTCATTGCTCTCATATAAGTAATCAATTCTGGGAATTCGGCTTCATCTTCGAAAGCATCCAATGCGGTTTTACCTTCGCTGTTCTTGAGGGTCAGATCTCCTCCTAGCTCTTCAATAATGAGACGAGCAGTACCCACATCTTCACAGTGGTGCAAAGGAGTATCGCCATCATTATCTGTGACATTTATATTGCCATTATAAGGCTCTGAACACAGTTTTTTCAAAAGTTCGGTGTGCGCATAAGACGCTGCTGCATGTAACGGTGTGTATCCGTTAGGATCTTTGCTGTCGGGCTCAAACCCATTTGCGAGATACTGTTCAACCAAGTCAACACGACCATCACTAGCCGCTATCCAGATGTTCATTGGGTCTCCTTTGGTTCGAGTGGTGACAATAGTCAAGAAGAGGAAAACACTTAAGAGTGATGAGATGAAAAATTTTGATGACCTTAATCTCTTAACTCGGATTATATCACCAAATTCGAAAATGGTCGATGATATACCGCCTGTGGAAGAGGTTTCAAAGCCCAATGCTCCTCAGTCCGAGAGCTCAGTGCATGGTTTTGAGTGGTGGCGTCGGACTTTCCAATACAAGACCGGTATAGGTTTAGATGAAGACAAGAAACGTCAATACGAAAATGATTATAATTTTGTCTTACAACGCCGACAGTGTCAGAAATGCTACGAGAATAGGGATTGGATCTTGAAATATTCACCGACGGTGCTTTTCATGGTGCAGCAAATTGCCAAATTGAACCAGAGGAACACCGATGCACTAAAGTTTGACGAATCTAAAATCGTATGTGATGTATGTCCGGAGTGGAGAAGTGGTGGATTTCATCCTGAATTAGGCATTTTGATCTGTCAAAATAGGATAAGAGACAAATGGCATTTAGAAGACACCATGGCACACGAATTGGTGCATTATTTTGATAATTTAAAATGGCAAGTCGATTGGCTAAACCTTAAACACCATGCATGCTCTGAAATTCGGGCTTCGAGTCTTAGTGGAGAATGCAGGTTTTCGCAAGAGTTTGCCAGGCGCGGATTTGGGTTTAAAATTAACAGAGGTCACCAGGAATGTGTGCGCAGACGCGCAACTTTGAGTGTATTGGGGAATCCAAATTGTAAAGACCAACAACACGCTGAAAAAATCGTTGAAGAAGTTTGGGAAAGTTGCTTCAACGATACGCGGCCTTTTGAAGAAATCTATAGATAATTTATACTCATCGGGGAATATTTTTATTCGTAAAATCGTGTAAATAGAGCCAAATCAAGTGTATCAGGAACTAGAAAGTCAAATAGAGAGTGCACATAAGACTGGGTCCCGTACAAATACCAATCCAAAATATGACGTTACCCAGAATTTTTTTCTTTCTGAGAAATTTCGAGTTGCTTAACTGCACTAGTGGGAGTTGCCCCATTTGTAAAAAGAACAAATAGAATCTCAAGTTTTTGAAGAGCACATACATGGCCAATTCATGGACAATAGAACTTAAAAAAAAGGTCATCAAAGTGGCTTGAATTTTGCTCAATTTTAAGAAACTGATGGAGCTGTGGTATACGTGTCTCAACAAAAATTGATGGACCGGAACATTCCAATGGCGAGCAAATTCATCCCAAGAAACGCAATTCCACCAATCGCCATAGAAATGGCGATCGCCAAAATATGTTAGTTCGGCAATGCAGTTCAAAATGGCGTCCCAAATCAAATACCAAACCAAGAGGTACATTATGATGAAACTAGGCACAAGGTCCAAAAGTAAATAAAGCCATTCGCGAATACGTTCCCAAAATATTGGTAGGCCGGAGTTTCTAAGTGCAATTGCACGCATGGCAACGGGATACATGAATGACTGTGCTATGATCATCATGGTGATGATTACTCCAAAAATTGCGCACAGTTTTTCGAAGACGTAATGCCAACGGATTTTCTGGCTTCTGGGATATTCGAGTTGATAAACCAACGTGGGAAACATGGTGTAAATGAAAAACCCCTTCCAAGTAATATTATCCGGGAATGAGAGCGACTTATTACCTTGAGACTTCAATTCAAAACTGCAAAATTGGCAACTTTTTTCCAACGTTTGAGTGATCAAGTCATCTTCACCGCCAGTCTCTTTGTACTTTTTGAGTGCTCCTTTAGAAAATTCTAGTTCTTCCAATACGCTCCACATGTACCCGTTGAAGAAGGCAAAAGAATGCATTTTCATCAATAAAACCAGAGAGTGCAGAAAAATAAAGATTTTGGAGATCCAATGGAATTTCATGACGGCTTCGGCAACATAGAGGAAACCCACTACAAAGGCAATTTCATACAGGGAAGTAAACGCCCAACCGGCTCGTTTCCAAGAGATCCAGTTTTTTTTGCAAGCGAATTGCACTAATAGCACGAAATAGGTGCACATGTACATGACGAGGTCAATTAGGGCAACTGAGAAAATGTCGCTAGTCATGAACCGGAGAATTTCCGATTGCGACAAATCTCCGTTATGAGACATGTAGTATTCAACGGTTACCTTCACCGCTACGAATGCAATCAGCATCCAAAACAACACATAAAAGCCAGAAAAGTTGAAGAGAACGATTTGCCCCACTCCGTCGGCTTCAGTAACCTTAATCTCGCTTGCTCCAGCACCACGGAAAGAAGTCTCAGTAAGCGAGGTCTTCACCAAATCATCCATGATGGTCCTTCGATGACCCATGCCTACGTCACGTAGCATTGAACGCATTTCGCCGGACAATTTGTTGAATCGGTGCCTCTCCTTTTTGTGGAGTTTGCTCGCATAGTGCTGTAGCACTGTGTGCTCTCCGGATTTCGCATTCACACCATCAGTTAAATACTCTTCAGCCCCAGCTTCAATACGAGGTAACGGTTGTCTTTTGTCCGTTTCTTTCGCTAGCCTTTCGATTCTTCTAATATCTTTGCTTGCGAGTTTACTCATGTCGTTCCTGGTTAACATACTCATTGAGCCGAAATTTAAGAGAAACCTATGAGCAGATCTCAATGACCTCGATAGCCAACCGTCAAATATGAACGACCCAGGGCCTTGACCTGTTACGAATATACCTGTGAATCGGACTATTATTAGTTAACTTTTCATTTTCCCTGAACGACGTTAATGAATCATATGACCCGGATGTCAGCCCATAAAATCTACGAAGTGGATCAGCCTCAATGTTAAACATAGAATGTTATAGTGGTTAGCCCATGTCTACCGTGCTTCCTAAGTGAAAATTGTATATAAACTCCTCGTAATAGACTTCCCATGTACTCACTTTCGTCTACTTCATAATAGTAGCCGAAGTTGTGGTGTAGTTTACATATACGTTGAAAACCCATGACAGTCGACGCTAACAACACCTAGTGAAAGCATGTAAGAAAAACTCTACTTCTAGTCTTATAGTTATATAAGGCATCCAATGAACATTATACAGATGCGGTGTTGGACGAAATTGCTTCTTATTCCGCTATACCACAACTCGCTCTGGCATAGTGACGACATCGGTTATAAAACGAGAATTCAGTAAAAAGCTAGTCCAGCCACAATGTGACGATAATGGAAATTGCGCTGATTGCTCTCTGCTTAACGACAGCAAGGTGTTATTAAGTTATAATTGGTATTTCCATGTTAGCGAGGTCTACCTTTCTATAAAAATCTACACCAGAAAAATTTCGGAAAAATCTCCGAATTAAGTTTCGGGATTTTCAAATGATTACCAGAGCGGTCTCACACCTGTTGATGCCCTTGCTGTTGATATCGAAATACTACTTTATAGTTTATACTTACTGTTGACAGGCGACGAGCCTTTGGTGATAAATTTTTCAAGAGCGAAAATTCGATGCCTTCATCTCATCTCATCTCATCTCAGTTAACTTCGACTTCCCTGAAGAGCTATGTCACGTCCAGAAGACCTGGCGCCGCCAGAAGTGTTTTACAATGATACAGAATCCGGCAAATATACCTCATCGACCAGAGTCCAGCATATTCAAGCGAAAATGACGCTCCGTGCGCTCGAACTGTTGAATTTACAACATATGGGATTTATTCTCGATATAGGATGTGGTTCAGGTTTGAGTGGCGAAATCTTGACAGAAGAGGGCCACGTTTGGTGCGGGGTTGATATTTCACCATCGATGCTTGCCACGGGGCTCACGCGAGAACTTGAAGGTGACCTGATGCTTCAAGATATGGGTCAGGGACTACCTTTCAGAGCAGGAACTTTTGATGCAGCAATCAGTATTAGTGCCATCCAGTGGCTTTGCAATGCGGACACGTCGTACAACGATCCCAAGCGAAGACTTATGCGGTTTTTCAACACACTCTTCGCCTGTTTGAAAAAAGGAGGTAAATTCGTGGCCCAGTTTTACCCCAAGAACGAGGAGCAAACCGAGAGCATCACTACCGCTGCCAAAGTCGCAGGATTCAGCGGTGGTGTTGTTGTCGACGATCCAGAGTCCAAAAAGAACAAGAAATACTACTTGGTATTGAGCGCCGGTGCAGCAGCCGACGAACAACAGGTGAACTTACAAGGTGTCACCATGGATGCCGAAGCGGTGGAAAAGAGTAAACGCAATAGAAAAATTGAGACAGAAACAAGGAAGGATTACATTGCCAGGAAAAAGGATTTATGGCGGAAAAGAGGCAGAAAAGTTGCAAAGGACTCGAAATACACAGGGAGGAAGAGAAGACCCAAGTTTTGAATAATCAGTTCTGGGATCAGGAAACATGGCTAAGGGCATCGTGGATAGCCAGTGCTCGTTGAGAGTGGTTGGCTGATATCATCTTGGACGCAAAATTATGCATCATAAAGTACGTATCATCATAAAAATTTAGCGTTAACAATAAGAGAACTGAGAGAGAGAAACATCGCCTGGAACCTGAAAACTTGAGTACGGGCAATGATGCTGGTAAATAAGTTTCTTAGACTGGATCCCAGAGCAGTTCGTCATTATCAAATTTTGAGTGGGTCAAGAAAAGTTTTGCCCGTTTATCCACCCGCCGAGAAGAAGTCGAGTTCAAATCTGCTTTCCAGGTTATCAGCGTTGGATCAAAACGCGTTGGATCCACAAGGCTGGCGCAGAAAGCTTATTTCTGGGCAACCGGATGAAACCACCCGGGCTGGAGACGTTGTGCGTGTTGTTTACGACTCCAACAAGTGTAATTACGACAATTTCGTCGGGTACGTTTTGGCTGTCGACCGTAAATCGATGACCCAAGATGCTTCTCTACTTCTGAGAAATCAGGTTGCCAAGACTTTTGTGGAGGTCAGAGTACCGATATTCTCGCCAATTATCCAGAGAATAGACATTTTGAGGAAATCTGACGGCAGGAGAAAGAGAAACAAGCACTATTATATCAGAGGCACCAAACTCGATGTCGGGGATCTGGAAGCGGGTTTACGCAAACGGAAATGATTTTGACGCGCACTGGCGTCAGCATGTACATAGAGTGTGTAACGTAACTTCAGGAAGTACCTTCACCAGACTGAACACTGAAGAGACATCTATAATGATATACTAATGTTATTAACAAACGTCCCACAACAAAGGGGAAGGAATTTGAGTGAGACTTCACTCGTACTTGAAGATCTTGGATTTAACTCTGTCCTCGTTGCTTCTGGAGCCCGACTGCTCGATCCTGGCCTCCTCTTCTTCGGCCTGCTTGAGGATCTTCTCCCAACGGTGAGCTCTTTCAAGTTTTCGCGCATCTGGGTGAAGCTTCTCTTCGTACATGGACAAACCAATGGACCCGAGCAACAAAAGAACAGTGATACTCTGGGCGTACATTCTTGCCTGCACCGCTTTTTGGGTCTTGGTCATAATAGGGTCCCTGTCCACGAATTTCCACGACCCCCACATGGACGCGGCCCACGCAGCCACGATAACCTTGTACTTGTTGTTGCTGAGCCCCTCTACGACTTTCTGTTGCAACGACAAGTTCTTCCAACGTTTGTGCTCTTCGATCGCGTCCACAGACGACGATCCCGCGCCGTACATCATGTTGTCAAAGTTGGTGGACGCTTCTTCCGCACAAATCGACATCAACAGCGTTGGAGGCGTGATGAAAATCGCGGTCTTCATTGACCATGGCATCTTGGCAGGGTTAAATTTTGGAAATCTCATTGGTGCAAATTTGAACAATAGTCCCGAAATTATAATACCGGCAGCGGCACCCTTGATACCACCTGTAAGGGTGTGATGGTAGTGCGTTTCAATTTCTTCTTCAGTTAGAATCTTCATATCATTTAGGTTCCTGGGTAAGATTGAAACACCTTTCTTTGCTCCTCAGTTTTATTGTAAAGTCTACTCTTCTTATACCGAATTTCCCATTGCTTTCTTTTTCTAACCTATTTAATCCTTCTTGCAGCCTTTTCGGTGTTAAACCCTGCTGAAGTACCTTCCGTTTCGTACAACGCGTCTTCATATAGACCTATAAACGTTCCGATAGATCAATCAGGCAAAAGTTTTGGCTTCGGAGTTAAGATATAGCGTCATACGTGAGCATTCTCGAGCTTTACCGGAATCGACAGGCAGATAAGATGGTACGATACATTTATGAAAAGGATTTGCAATTCATTTGATTCTCTGTTTTGCATTTTTTTTCGTTCTTTCCTCTCGTTTCACTCGTTACCGCGTTGGCTCGTTCCCTCCGACGTAACCAAGAGTGCTTTCGCTGATGGGTGCCTATGGGAAAATTCCGAGGATGTATCGCACATAGATTTCTCTCGAGGTTCGTTTACGCAGAATTTTGCCAGTTTCTTCGCGATTTCAACGAACGAGCTTGCATTCTGCAACGGCACAATGCCGTTGCAGAATGCCATTGTTATGTGAGACGATTCGAGAGGTCGATCGACTTATATTCTACTTTAAACGACGGATTTGATATGAAAACTGTCAGTGCACGAGTCTCTACCTCGGCTTTTGCGTCTCTAAACGAAGGATCTAACGGTTTTACCGTATGCTGAGATATTACATAATATCACCCAGCTGAGAGGACTAATATCATTTCCTAGGTATTCTGACGCAGCGGGCACAGAAATGCCAGACCGGACTTACACAATCCGATATTTCTGAGAGTTTGAAGTGGAAGCTCGAAATCCTTGAAATCGGATATTATACGCAATAATGAAGGGTTTTCAATTATTAGCGACGTCCCTTTTGTGTGGAAGTGTCTTCGTCGATGCAGAAGAATTCTTGGTTCGACTTAAAGGTCCCAAGACACTTGCCAAGATTATGGAGAGTCGACTTGGCAACGAACATCTCAGAGCCTTTTCCAACGGTAAAATATTGCAAACTTTCTCTTTTGGTAAATTTGAAGCGTTTACAATGGACATCCCTGCGGCCTATTTGGACAGAATACGTGGTAATCCATTCGTGGCAGATATAGTTCCCAACGTCGAATTCAATGTTTTCGACGGTCCTGAGCGGAGTTTCCGACACAAGTCGTCCAGAAGGCGTCCGCACTCAAACCGTATGGGCGGAGACGAAATCGATTGGGACGACGATGACGACCCTTCCGAGGACGATTTGGTGGTGCAGAAAGATGCACCGCGGCATTTGGCGCGAATTTCACGCCGCGCCCAATTGCCCTACAACTCTGAACCCGGATGGTCTGAGTCTTTTAACTATTATTACGACGAAGAATTCGACGGCTCGTCCGTGAACGTTTATATCATCGACACGGGTATTTTCAAAGAGCACAAACAATTTCGAGGGCGGGCCAAATTTGGAGCAGATTTCGTCGGAGAGGGCCCTGGAGATCTCAATGGGCACGGTACGCATGTGGCCGGACTTGTTGGATCACGCACGTTTGGAGTAGCCAAAAACTCGAAACTTTTCGAAGTCAAAGCACTCAATTCTAAGGGCCAAGGAAATTTGACAAGCGTCATAAGTGCTATTGAATTTTCTGTGAACCATTGTAGGAAAAGCAAGCATGGATGTGTTGCTAATTTGAGTCTAGGGTCTTTCCGTAATAATGTTTTGAACCAAGCAGTCGAAGCAGCTTTGGAAGCTGGCTTGGTAATTGTGGTTGCCGCGGGTAACTCAAACGCCAATGCGTGTTGGAGCAGTCCTGCATCTTCACAAGCAGCTATCACGGTGGGTGCGTTCGATGATCGAACTGACACGATTGCGCGGTTTTCAAATTGGGGCAATTGCGTCGATATTTTCGCGCCCGGAGTCAAAGTTGTCTCGTTGTCTAATATGCCGCCGTTCAAGCCCGTTGCTTATTCCGGTACCTCGATGGCGTCGCCAATTATTTGTGGTGTAGCGGCTTTACTTCTGGATAGTGGCATCCATCCCTACAGCATAAAAGAGGAACTGATGTCTCTCGCGACTGAGCCCGCCTTTTCAAAGAGAACTTTGTTGTTCAAACCGGGGACTCCCAATCGTATCGTTTTCACGGGAGTCGACAAAGATGACGATTTTTTCGAAGACGGGGTATACCCAGTGCTGGATATGGACAGGCTTGTACACGATCTTCAAAGTTACAATGAAGACGGACATGTGTCAGAGGACGACGTCACGGTGCCCCTAGGCGAAATAAAATTGAAAAGAAGATCTTACACGACGTTGGCGCCTCGTTAAGGATCAAGGCGCTTAAATCACAATGCTTGCATTATTTTTATATACGCGAGCAAATATTTATATATGTACAGGTGCATCACACATAATAAGGTTTTGGCAACGGATCCGGCGCGGATCCGCGCCTACAATACCAGGCTTTTGAAACCACACCAGGCAGCGGCTGCGCCCGCCATCATACCGGAGGCATACCCCATAGGTTTGAGGCCCTTCGAGGACTTGAACAGCGCGCCTGTGAGGGCGCCTGCAGCGACAGAACCGGCAGGGTCGTGTTTGCCTCTGAAGTAATCGATGCTGGAGTTTATGAGGTTGTAGGTCAACGTGAGCACGCCCGCGTTATTGCCCAGAAACGGACCCCGTCTGGTTATGTGGTTCAGCACCGTGTTTAGCTGCAGTTTGCCCGGACTGTTAGCCGGGATGTTTCTAAGACCTTCGAGGAACCCGTACGAGCCTCCAAGACCGAGCCCCACCAGATAAACGGCACCTGTACCGTAACACAGGTCGTCGGTCCAGCCTCTGGAGGGAATCAGACTGTTGCCACCCTCGAGCGTCGACAGCTGCTCTTCCTCGAGATCTAAGTATTCAACGCCGCGTTCCAAGCCGGCAAGCGGATGCAGTCTCGAAACGTCGAGGGCACCTGGCGCCGCGATCACGTCCGAAACGTTGGACACCTGGCTCGGGTCGAAACCCAGTTTCTGTCGCAGCTGCGCATCGTCAGTTTGTGTTGCCTTTTGCTCCTCCTGGTTAGTACTCTTTCCACCAAAGAGCCACGACATTTCGCTGTGGTGGTTCGTGGTTCGTGGTTCGATGTTTCTATGTCTACTGATGCGCGCCTTTCAGTCAAAATGGCATATAGCTTTGTCTTGCTAAAATTTTGCAGTCATTGTGAACGAATCTGGAAACGGAACATCCTCGACTCCTCTCCTCCGCACACCTTACACCCGTGCCCCCGCGTCGTCGTCATTTGTTGCCGTCCCAAGCGATCCCCTTCTATTCCCCGAACCCCACTTTATCTGACCCCGCTTTTTTGCCGCGGTACAGCCCGTGGCTGAACCGCTCGTCCCGTCCCTCACCTCGGCGCTAAGAGTTTCCGCCGGGCTTTGCCCTTGGGCGCACCGCCTGCGCCCTCACTACGAGCGTCGCTACTGCCCCGCCATTGCTGGACACAGATAACTTGTGGCAAGGCCCTGAGCCAAAGCCCTGTAAAAACGGGCTCACTCCCAGGGCCCACCCTCGGTCCACTCCCCGGGGCTACGATCTCTTTGCCGAGGTGTCTTCAGTTCATGCAAATTTGAAACGAGTGTGCAGATCGCGCAGTGGCCCAGACAAAGCCGGAGGCATCGGTTGGATCTTGAACCTTAAAAAGAGTCGTTACTTAGAAATCGCCGCACAGACCCTATCTCATGAGGCGCACACATGCATGTCGCAAACCCGACCGTTGCCAAGCGGCTGACGTTGCAACGGTGCACAAGACGGAATTTAGATTTAGGTTTCGAGGTCGTGCTAGCGCCGCGGTACGGGGATTTCTGAGCGGGATTATGATGAGGACACCAAGAATGCGGGCCGATTGGAGAAGAAACAAAATCGGAGATTCGGAGAATCAGGCGAAGGCAGATCTCGAGCCCCTCTGTTTTGCTCTCGAACGCAGACTGCGCGGCAATGGCGGGACTGCAGCGATGTCTAGGCTTGATGATCTCGGAGATACCACTGAAACTTAGAAACACGCGCAGGGCGTCATTTGCGGAGATGACGCCGAGCCGCCGGGGTTCAGGGGTTGGCGTTTAGCCCTTAGCCCGGGGCAAGGGATGACATAGGGGTGGGCGGCCGGTATCCTGGATGGGAAAAAAAAGTATAAAAGGCGAGGGTTTTCGAGCTGGAGATCAGAATTGGGGGGAGAGGTTTAGCTGGAGGGTTTTGTGGTTTGGAGTTTTTTTTTTTTCTTTATAGCTCTTCATATAGATACATATCTGACATCTGCATTGCATACCCATTGCATACCCATTGCATATACCGTCGCATCACCATCGTCCTTCCGTTCCGCTCCGCCTATTGCATCTCGCTCAGTTATTGACTTCGGAGCACACACATCCCCATCTCGAGACAGGGCTCATAAAATTCAAGTTTGATCTTTTTTTCTGCCTGCATTGCCGATTCCGACCTTCCGCTTGCCCTATTCATGTCGCTAGAGCAACAGCCGCAACCAGAACCCGCGCCAAACGGGGTTGCCAAAGAGCGCGCCAAGGATGACATCGCCTCGCCGCCCTTCAACGACAACATCTCGCAGTTCCTGCCCACGGAGGTTTCCTGCAGCGGGTCCGACGTCGAGGACGAGACTGACGACGGCGGCGACGACGGTGACGTGGAAGACGCAGATGTTGAAGACACCAACGGCACAGCCGGCACAGCCAACTCTGGAGCCAAGTTCCGCGGCAGACCTTCGTCGTGCGTCTTTGTCGCCAGTCTCGCTGCCTCCCACACGGACGACGACCTGTGCATCTCCGTGACCGAAAGCTTCAAAAAATTCGGCGCTCTCACGATGGTCAAAGTGCTACGCGACCCGGCAAACAGACCCTACGCCTTTGTCCAGTACACCAACGACGCCGACGCACGGAGCGCGCTCCAACAGGCTCAGGGGTCCCTGTTGAACGGTAGAACCATCCGTTGCGAACCCGCGCGCGTCAACCGTACGCTCTTCTTGTATCTCAGAAACCAATCTGAGTCCGAATTAGCACCCATGGCGACCAGCTCTAACCTTGGATCGGAACCACTTGTCATTTCAGCGCATTCCGTTGCCGCCCTTGCAGAAAAGTTTGGAGAAGTGGAACAAATAGTCGCTTCCACTGACGGTTTCCCTCTTAGACATCGCGGCACTGTGCCCCACGATAAAAGTTTTGCATGGTTCATTCAATTCGCATATAGGGATGACGCCATCCGCGCATTTGCCACTTTGAAATCAGATCGAGTCTGGGCTGTCGAATGGGCCCAAAACATCGAGGCACCTTCACATTTGAATATCATGAACAAGTTGGATTCTAAAGACCCTAATCGTATCGAAGACGATTTACTGGATTTGTCACTCCAAGATCAAAACGTTTCCGCTCACGAGACAGTTACCATTGATAAAAAATCCATATTTGTCGGTCAGTTAAGTTCCACCGCCACTCATCAGAGTTTGCATGCCCGGTTTTCAAGACACGGCGAAATTCTTGATTTGAATTTGATCTCAAAGCCCAACAACGTTTTCGCATTCATCAAATTCAACTCCGAGGAAGCCGCAGCTGCTGCACTCGAAATGGAAAATCACGCCATTTTCTTGAACAAGACTATGCACGTTCAATATCGGGAGATTGGGAACCACTTGAGGAAGGTTAGTAGACGGCAACTACAACAGCAACAACAGCATCAACATCACCTCAATGGCAATCCATCAGTGTTTCAATCTCCTAGATTGAATTTGGCTCCTCCTCCAATCAATCTTGGGAAAAGAAAACAGTCCCAATCTTTGACTTCAAATCCGTTCGCTTCGAATTCCTTTCTCAATCATTACTCAAATTATCCAATCCATGAATTGCAACCATTCACACCGCCTGTTAATCCGAAGCTTCGCAAAAACGTCGAGATTGCATCCAGTACAAATAAAACGGAAGATTCAGAAATTAATAATAGTCACTCATTTGCCACCGACGCAACCTCCAACTCTTCTGGATCTGCAGGTAACCCAGATGAATTTGCCTCGAATTCAAATACCTCTCGTCATTATTCTTCCGCTGGCGGAATGAGTTACAAGAAAAAATATCACGATTACAAAAGACGTCGCCATCACTACAGCCACCATAATTTTGATCCTTACTGTTACCCCCAGTTTTATTATCCGTTAGAGTATTCTATGGCAGGTGTATCATCCGTACCACCACCAGCACCACCACTACCACCAGGAACAGCGGGTAATCAACCATATTTCATGTACTATCCCTTCACACCCAGAAGTGGGATAGATTACGGTGAAATGCAAGCAATCCTTATGAACCACATTGGCACTCCTATGGGCCCTTCCATGGTTCCGCCACCATTTTCTGGACCCGAAATCCCTTCTGAAGCTGCTGTTTTCGGCGATCAACAGCGCGTTGAAAAACAAGTTTTAGAATATTGATCCTTTTTTTTTTGTTAATATTAATTTTGTTAGGCCCCGTTAATCGGCGGCAACAAACAACAACAAGCCTTTGATCTTATATCGTTTTTTCCCGCTTTAGTTACTTGTTGGAACTGAATTAGGTCCGTGTATACCAAAAATTTGAAATGTTTTTTCTTTCTCTATTCTTATCCTTCCCGTCTTGGGTCTATTAATCACTAAAATGAAATGTTCACCAGTGCTTTATTTCAACAGCGTACTTGTCCAGTGCGGCAAGTAATCTTTTCATGTCATGGCTCGTAATACCTTCTCTCATTTGAACCATTTCAAGCGCCGTTTTACCGTTAAAGTACTTCAGTACTTTATGAAATAATACTTGGATCTCGGGGGGTTGACCCTCGACGCATTTGTAAAGCCACCGTTTCTCGATCGCATTGGCTCTAATAGGCTCCAAAATGATTGTAAAATCCGAGTCATCTAGAAACTCGTCTTCAGCAAGATATATGTTTTCCAAATTCGAAGTCGAGGTGAATGGGGAATCCGAAGGTTTTGTAGAGATTGCGTTGTCATTTGCTGCAGTGAGAAGGTTTTTGGCGCGGGCGAAATCTCTGGGTTTGATACCGTCACGTTCGAGGTCTTCATCCACAGCTATTTTGATCCTTACATCTACCCTAATGCAAACGAATGTGAGAAGCTGTGTCACGTAGCCGTAACGAATAAGCCAAGTTAGCGCACTGAGATAAATGCTCTTATGATCTTTTGAGGGTATCAAAAAACCAAACGACCTCGGCTTGGAGCTTGACATCAAGCTCAAGAATGAACTCAGCGGAGGCAGTGAAGGAAATCTTCTGGAGAAAATATCTTGATTTTGATATATTAGAGCCTTTTCTGCCGTTGAACCGATGTCTAAGCCAGCATTCGAGAAATCATCAACCCGTGTCCCGTTTAATGGAGCGAGTGGTGAGACAATGTATGTGTTTTTCGAAGAAACTGGAATAATTACACGAGCATGTCTCCAGTACATCAAATGAAGGGCCAAAGATCTCAGCACACTGGTCCTAAAAGGATTTTCCCGCTGTTCTTCGATTTTTGTCCCGCCGCGCTGCAACACTTGGTCCACTAGGTGGTAATAGGATCTTAATGGTAATGTAGGCTTCAAATGTTTCACAATAGAGGTAATAATCACGCTTGCCACACTGTCACCCCATGAGGAATCTTCTAATTTTTGAATTATACTTGCAGGCTCATCTAAAAGAAGAAGAGCATAATCCAAAAGATCGTCATTATCGTCAATCTGGCTCAGATCGCCAGCTAGATCGCTACTGAAAGAAGCGCTCCGTTCCAGAAAAGTTTTGTTTAAGACTGATGTCAAATATGATCCCCTTAGTACAGGATCAATCTTCATATTGGGCAGAGATGAAAACTCGTTCTTTATTGGAATTTGCAAAGATATCATTCTATCTCCGTCCAACTCCAGATTGACCACTTTGTTAGTGGAAATTGCATTAAAGCACTTGGTGATTGCTCGAGCCAGCGATGATTGGGCTAAGATGTTTTTGTAAAGATATTTAGCCTTGTTGCTGGAACCACGAGTACTTTTGTAAACTTCAGAGTATTTTAAGACACGATCCTTCTCTCGCAGAATTTGTGCACATTCTCGGCTCACGTAGTCATTCTTAGACTGTGCATATCTCAAGAAAAGAGCTAGACGGCTAGCAACGTAGTGATACATATCTTCCACTCGTTCATTGTATTCCACTAGTTCCGGATCCATCATAAAACAGAGGTGGAACATATTCATGGAACTACCTAGCTCTCTGAACTCTCTTCTAGATTGGCGTGATTCAGGCCGACCTTCCTCGATTGATTCATCTGTTTGGCTAGAATCTCGAGCAATCCCGCTCTCATTTGGAGCAGCTCTTGATTTCGCTTGACCATCCTGGCTTTCAGACCGATTATGTTCACGAGAGGCCGAGCTTCGCTGACGGGAAGAATGTGTTTTTCTCTTTGAAGATTTTCTCCACGAGCCATCGGCATCCTTGTGAACAGGCAGCCCCAAAAGAGTGAAATTTTCAATACTGAGCTCGAATCTGCTGTTGCACATCTCTTTGGGTGGACAACTAATCTCCGCAAAAAACTCAGTGTCGAAATTTTGTATTTTCCCCAAATCCTGAAAGCCTTCTTCGAAGGTTTGGTCCTCTATCAGAGAGCTCACTAACTCATCGTTAATTTGGGTCGCAGAATTGAGAGATGTACCTCTGGTCCTAGATGGAGGCTGCTTTGAAGATACCGAATTACGTTTTGACGCGTCGTTGCTAAGAAACTCGAATAACTTGTGTGCATCCATATAGGAATTAAAAGCTGGATTTTTTGGCGTTACTTGAGATTGTGCGCTCTCTCCAAAATCGAAGTCTTCTAAACCAGTGGGCCTTGGATGAAGTTCATCCTCGTGGCACGAGCTTGAGCTGGAAGAAGTATCGGCTTCATCTGTAGAAATATCGCTTTCACTTAATCCGCTGCTTGCATCGTTGTCGGAGCTGCTAGAATCATCCGGAATATCGCTTCCTGTGCCACTGGAAACGTGTGTTGAGACTGCTTCATTCTCTGCCTGGCGAGAGTGAGAATAGTGGCCTAAGCTTGAATTGCGAGAAACGACGGAATGTCTAGCATTTGTGCTTGGAGGTTCTCGATCCTTTAAGAATTTTTGATGTTTGTGCTGCTTCTTAAGACTCAATTGACTCGTGGGTGGATAATGGTAAACAACCAACGGGCCTGATGACGTTGATATAGTCAGCACGATACCTACAAGGCATGGATTTGGTAAATTGAGAAACATTTTCTTATATGTTTATCACCTTCTCCTCGGAAGCCCAGTCAGCCTTCGAAACGCGGCAAAAGAAGTAATAGAGGCGATAAATTGACACTGCGTTGAATTGTAGCTGTAACCACACGAGCTGAATGAGATTCAAGGACCTGGACTTGAGCGGCTGATGTTGTTGGAACTGGCCTTTAATAAATTTCAGAACGATAATGTATTCAAAGAGTAGAAGGTTGATTAATATATTGAAGTATTGAACCGTATATTGTTCATGAACTTCAGCGATAATCCCGTTGTGGGCCATTTTAGTATAGTGGCTAGTACACATCGTTGTGGCCGATGAAACCCTGGTTCGATTCCAGGAAATGGCATCTTTTTTTGAAAAAACAACATTCATTTTGAAATAAGCTGAGCAGAATATTTGTAGCTTGCAGGATTTGTGCTTGACACTAATGTCTTACGTTAATTGTAGGTTGATAATTCGAGTACCATTCATTGAGTTTTTTGCAGAAGCTAATCATGCGATATATACAATTATACATAGGACGTAACTTCGAAGAACCGCTTCAAATAGTAAATTTGGAACAAAGAGCTTGCGATAACAACCGAGAGCTGGAAAATAGACCACCATTTGACACGGTCATTGGTAGACTCTGCGGTGTTTCTGTGAGTCCTTTCTCTGATGACAATGTAACTTTGTTCGTTTTTGAGCTCATTGGTCAATCTTGCCAAGTGCCTAACAGCACCATCTAGCGTGTTTGAGTTGGGATCATCAAGGTCAACGTAAAGCGTGCCCTGGATGTTGAAAGTAACGTCTTTCGTTTCAGTACCCGAATTCTCGTTCAAAAAACAATATTCGAATTTTCCATCGTAAGGCGCCTGGACACGTACTTCACCGTGAGACACGTCTCTGAAAGCTTTCACAACAGCATTTGTTTCCGCACCGTAAATAACAAAATCTCCCTTCAACTGGTCGGTGGACTCTGGTGCTCTGTCGCCGAATTGGAAAGAAACGGCCAATTCGTCGTTCTTGTTTAATTTCTCAAAGAAACACCTACGGCCGTGAGGCGGAAGTAGAACATTATGCGCAGCACAAATGCTAACGATGGATGTCAGTAAAGTGAAGCTCAAGAATCTCATTCTTTCAATAACAAATCAAAGCCAAACTTGGATTTCTTGTGTGCCAATATTTGTTGTTAAAACCGAGACACGTACTTTTTCCAAATTTCCGTTGTTTAATATTTCTTAGTCTCGACAGAGATCAACCACGACGACATATATATAGACATACAGAAGCCATAACATAGACGACTGGATACTCTTTTTTACTGATTAATAGCACTGCAAAATGCATCTAATAATTTTGTGACACCACCTATACTTCACTTAGATGTGTAAACCGTTCTTCTCTATTCTAATGAAATTTTGTAAATATCGCGAAAAATCTGTATTTAACATCATAGTTATATACATTAGCTATAGAAACTCTTCCTAATCTGGAGCCTTTCTAGGTTGTCTGTCTTCTAAGAAATTCCAATGATAACTGAAATTAAAATGCTAATTAAACTAAATTGTCTCCTGTTCAAAATGAGGGTTAATATTGTGATAGTCACGTTCAGCTTATGGTAGTGATTTTAAATGCTTCTCCTGTTGCCCTAGAACTATTCCGAATGCCTTCTTTTTCATCAGATTCGCAAGCTTAGAGAATTCCGTGGACTAAGATTCATAAATGGTGCTTAAAGTATGTATAGTTTAAAAATCAAGGCGATTAGAGCTTTATTCTTGGATCATTTACGTCTTCTCATTATGTTGCATCTTGTTCCGCCTCTGACATGTATCCATGGTATTCTTTGGTGACAGTTTCCTTTTTCTCCCATTCCCGGCCGCTGAATTTGTAATAATCATTCTAAAAGCTAAAATACACAGATACAAACGACGTTTATAAGGTTATGGTAATGTTGTAGGGTGGATAGTATTTCGCGACAAACCTTGGGGAGATTGAAGTCGCTCTGCTACCGTTATATGTCATCACGGTAAAGTATAGATGTCTGGGGTTTTCGTTTTTTCTCCGCTAGCCGTCCCTAGTCCCCAGTACAACAATTTAGTATTTCGAGCCGAATTCCAATAACTAGTCTTCAAATGCCATATAAGTGTCACTCTAAGTCTTTCCCGCCATTTCGTTGCGTGCAAACTAAACGGTTTCTAAAAAACCGCAACGCAATGTTGTGGCACATACATGCCCACTTATCTTTTCATTTTATTGAAATTCCATCAAGTAATCGCCTTGCTTTTAGAATTGATCATGCAATGCCATAGTAGACCATATCGGGAATGTATGTTTTGCGCAAGTCTCATGCTTGTTGATGGACGGACGAGGAGAGACAACCCTTGATGAATTGGCAAACAGCAGGAAAGAAAAGAAAAACATGACACTTCGGCCGCCCTTGCCCGCCGGGCGATCTATTGTCCCTCACACATAATGCACATGAAAATTTTGAGAAAGGTTTAAAATATGAGCTCTTGAAGATTTCAGAGGAAACTGGCCGAAAATGGGCACCGAAATTTAACCAGCGATAGGAATTGACATTGGAAGAGCACTCGCAGTGCTTTTGTCATAAGAGCCCGGATTCGAGAATCACAATTTGAAAAGGGGTTTAAATGAGAACCTCCATATTGAGACGCAACAAAAAGTGAGACCCAGATACGCATAACGATAGTAAAAAAAAAGTAGACAAAAAACGACTGGGAATTGAAAACAAAAGCATAGATGGGAAAAACGCGATATATGTCATTACCAAAACATTATCAGCGCCTGTCTCGTCGTTGTTTTTATTTTTCAATTATTGAATGATTTCCTGCTACTTTATTTTGTTTTTCTTGCCCTGAGGCCTTGGTAAGGTCTTTTGAGCTGGTTTCAAAATTTGAAACGAGCAGAGCAGACTCTCGTCGACACTCATCATTGCACCCGCGTTGTCAAACTCGCCACAGTAATTGGGCGCGCTAAACAATGTCACCAATTGACGTTTGCTGAAGAACTCATACCCGTCTTCAACTACTTGATGCGCCCTGCAAATAAGCTCCATATCTTGTTTCTGTAAGAAACGGCTGACCACGTCGGGGCCGAAAGTGAAAGATACACCACGATCGTTTTCAGACCATCCAACGATGTCCTTGTCTGGGTCGGACCATAGCAAATCGCACAAAAGACCAACGTCGGGGATATCCGTAGGCCGCATGACGCGTCTTATTTGTTCCATGGTGTTGAGGTCTGGCGAAAGGCCGCCATGCATGCAAAAGATCTTTTCGTCTATGATCGCCGCGATGGGCAGACAGTTGAAACAGTCCGTAAACGTTTTCCAAAGCTTGATGTTATAACGGCGCTTACATTCGTCATAAAACCCGTAAATACGGTTGATGGATGCGCATTCGTGGTTACCACGAAGGACGAAGAAGTTCTCTGGGTATTTGATTTTGTATGCTAGTAACAAACAAATTGTCTCTAGGGACTGTTTACCGCGATCGACGTAGTCACCCAAAAACAAGTAGTTGCTCTCGGGAGGAAATCCTCCATATTCGAATAGACGCAAAAGGTCGTAGTATTGGCCGTGAATGTCACCACAGATCTGCAATTAATAGTTAGTAAAATGTGTGAAAAAATTCGGCGTGAATGCAAGAAAGGTGAAGAAAGGGGAAAGTCGTTAGAAAGCAGCGCAAGAGTAGCTTTCATTTCTCGGTCCACGAGCAGCGTCTTCGTGATATCACGTGTCCTGCTCGCTCCAGCGAAATCATTTGTCGGTTACCCTACATTGGTCGCTTGACACTTCTGACAGGCTTTTCGGTGGCAAGCCCCATGGAATACGCACCGACGTCACGGCGTAAGTTTCTATTGGAAGTTACACCTGCGATGCAACAGTTGCCGATGTCACAGCACGCTTCAAAAGGCTCACCTTCGAGAAAATCATGATTTAAAAAAAAACTCCGCAACACGCCCTTGCGGGGTACGATGCGCTGGCCCAAAAAACAGTAACAAACCTAACGCGCCCCACATCCCGTGGCCCACTGCCTCTTGAACTGTCTTCTCGATACATCGAAAGTCGTCACCATAGCAATCCCACAGAAAAAAACCACGCCAAAAACAAACCCCCCCAAATCCCGCGTATTAAACCTCCCACCCCCCTCAAAACACATTTTCCCAGCCTCTTAAATCACTAGCCGTAAGACACTTCATCACAAAACATACCTTTATAGGTGCCTCTAGCTCCAGCAAGATTGGTTGCTTGATAAAAATGGACCTTGCTTTAGAGCACAGAAACCGAATCTCGTGCTCCTCTAAATCCACCTGTTGGCCAGGCTTTGATCCTCGAACCTCCAACAACCGATCGATGATATTGTCGATATCCACAGCTGGCGTCTCCATCCTGTACTGCCTAACCTTGCTTTTATCGCTTACTTTGGTTGCGAACTCCCTGTTTTAACCCTAGGGAGTCTAAGGAAAAAGTTATCCACTTGTTTTTATTCTCCTATAACTTCGGAAAATTTTTTTATTATTTCTCACTTTTTCCTGGGATCTCTTGCCTCTCCCTCTGTCTGTTTTGACGTTTCCTTGCTCGTTCGTTTTTTTGTCGCTGTAGACGAGAATGTGATTTTCAGATGATTATCATGTGACTCATCGTATTACTTGATCTCGCTGTGAGATTCCGCTTTTAAAACTCGTGTGACCTATACTGTTTATATATACTTGTTAGTCCATAAAAATTTTTGTTTGTTACCCTCGTTGACCCAGTTGGGGCAGCGCGAAAAAGCGGTGACGTCGCTGGTTCGAAATCCGCCAGCTGCGCGCGCTGTAACATTCCGACTTTACACTTACCACATGATGAACGAACATGTGTGAACAATCTCTGAATAGACGGTTAACGCCCTCTATAGAGGATTAAAAAACTTGTTGCCTTCCTTCTGACAAGTGTAAAGCCATAACTTTTTTGTCACTTGACTGGTCACACGCTTACACATTACGAGTGCAGCGGATGTCAGACCTGATTGAGCCCGATTACGAAGCGGCAGCAGACAGCAGAGATCTGGAAACCGGAGGTATTGCAGTGGGCTTGGGCCAGGATACCCGTGGAACTTTGGACGAGTCAATTGCAGCGACTCTCAAGCGAGACGTAACGCAGATCAACAGTCGACTCAAGCAGGTTGTGTACCCACATTTCCCGTTCGGCAATGCGGCGGTGCAGACTGAAACTGGCGAAACATTGAGTGGTAGTACATCGGATTCCGCCGATCTATGGGCGCCGCTTTGTTTCTCGATATTGTACGCGCTCGCGTTGTCACGCGGCAAATCCCTTTTTTCCAGTATCTTCGTGCTCGCGTGGGCTGCTTTGCTCGCCATGGGTATACATTTGAAAGTCTCGAAAGGACGCGTCGCAGCCCAAAACTCGCTTTTTGCCAACATTTCCGGCTGCGGTTACTGTATCTTCCCACAAGTGCTTTGTGTGGTCTTGAGCATATACCTGTATCCGGTCGTCGCGCGCCCACTACCCATTTCCGGCGCACGCTCTTTTGTTGTCACGTTTCTGCGACTTGTCACGTTCGCGCTCTGTTCCGTATGGTCTTGCAAAGCAGCTTTCGTCGTAACTGGGGCCCAGGATGCCGTAGAGCGGTATCCTCTAATCCTGATCCTAGCAGGGTTGGCTTGGCTTCCGGTTGTACTTTAGACTTTAACCCTGGCTGCAAAACTATTAATGAGACGCTACACTCGGATGGCAAGTGCGATAGCCCGCTATCCATGCTGCTCCTGCCCACAATGCCGCCCATATAATGTCAAGCTTCGTATTACGGGTTTTTCAAATTTTCCAACGAGCCGACAATGGACGGTCCTCAGAACCTCATGATTGGCTATCATGGTGAGTGCATCCGCACCAATATTCCAAGGCTTTCTCTAGATGAGTATTTCGTGATTCGGTCGATTCCGGGCTTCTGAGTATGTCCAGGGCAATCATAACCGTGTAACATGATATCAATTTATAGAGGTTATATATGTTGAAAACTTGAGTCGACGCAAGGACTACTGCTAGGAGAGTTCGAATGAAGAGGGCCGGACAGCAGTGGGTAGTTGATCTAGAGGATTTTAACTATAATGCCGTGTCTACTGCCGTCACCGACTTCATGCTACTCGCTGAAACTGCCCGAGTTACGGCCAGAAGCCAGCTCCAATCTTACTGAGAGCGAAAAAAGAGCCCTACTTCTAGATTGTCGTACGGGGGCTGCTATTGCGCTGGGAAGATCGTCGGTTTTCGTTTATGGTGGTCTGACCATACCTTTAGCACTCACTAATATTAACTCAGCATCTCTGCAACAAGAAATCATTTTCTATTTTGCCAGAGAGCATAAATCCAGTTCTAGTTTTCAAAGTTTACGGCAATGGGTTAGTCGAGAACTATTTCAGCTTGATTTGATCTCTCGGGCTTGGAGGCGAGTCGACACGTTCAGTGCTTTTGCAAGCGTGAAGCTCGGTGCTTCTGGCGAGCCTCAAGGCGGCACTCAACCAAAGGCCATACCCGAGCGCCTTTACCATTCCATGACTTTCAACAGCGGATATCTGTACGTCTTCGGAGGTCTAGTCATTTGTCCCGAGTTCAATTACGAACTGACCGCAACAAACGAGCTGTGGGCGTTAGATCTAACTCGAAAAGTGTGGACCCCAATTGCCAGTGATCCGTCCATCACTCGTAGATTCAATCACGAGATGCATGTAGTGAATGGCAATGACGATGATAAAGACACCCTCATTGTCATTGTGGGCGGTTTGGACAACATGGATAGACCTGTCCACTCCGTGGATGTTTACAATGTTACTCAGAAGCGATGGGAATCCGGGGAAGAGGCGTCTCCGGAGTCCAACTTCAAAGATATCACTTTTAACATTGATGGACATCCCACGACGCTGGTCAAGGACAATAATTTCTCGCTGGTTACCACGATAGACGGAGTACCGTCTCTGGCTGTATTTAGCCCTGTGTCTGATCCAAGGGACTTGGAGCAGGGACCGCTCGCGATTCAACCTTTGGTCAATCACTCCTCGGCCGTTAGGTTGTCGCTTTTTGAATCGGTTTCCGCTGAAACCAAAAGATTTATGATCACCTCCCTTTTGAAAAATCCTGTTGGTGCTCTCCATGGTCAGACCATTATAGTAGCTGGGTTTTATCCTGACGTGCAGCCGGCGAATTACCGATGTTTTTCCTACAGCATGGCTACTGGTAGCTGGAGCGAAGTGAACGTTAAGTGTACCAACGACAATGGTGCAATGTACCGTCTATGCCAACCTTTAACGTGGCCCTCGCACCATAAAATTTTATTTTTGGGTACTTCGGTTGCTGATACGTCATCACCTTCAGTTCAAAGGTTTGATAAGATGCTCTGTATATCTTTGCCTATGGCGAATGTTATCAACAAAGGTTTCAGTTTGTCTATTTTGAAGAAGAACAAGAAAGTGGAGAAAGCAATGTCTGAAAGAAGTCAAGATATATTCGAGAACTATTCTCGTTATATTGCTCCAACGCAAGAAATAACTACGACGCCATCTGTCTTTCCATCTCATGCCATGGCCTTGGGGAAAGACAGTTTAGAGCTTTATGGACGTTATTTGTCGGACTTCGAAATTGTAACAGAAGAAGGAGACCGTGTCAGTGTACCTCTTTATCTACTGAGAAAAAGGTGGGGAAGATACTTTGACGGTCTTTTAGCACAAGGTTTTGTAAGCGCTTCTACTGCTCTCAACAGCAACGTCAATTACAATGAAATTAGCAAATTGTCTACAGACTCTTCCGTCAACCCCTTCGCGACTATGGGGTCCAACCTTGAAAGCACAAGTTCTAAGGAGCAACCGAAATGTCCTTCCAGAAGCTCGTCCGAACAAAACATCATCAAAGATGTGGATGAGATCCTAAGTTCCCATCCACTCTCCACGTTACTTTCCAAAAAATCCTCCCCAGTTTTCCTTTCTCAAGAAGCCGCTGAGTCTATCAAGCATTCATTTTCTGATGGCAAGCAATCCTTGACCCGAGGTACGTCTAAGCTCAAAGCACGTTTGAATTCTGAAACGGGCAATGGAAGTGACCCGGCAAGTCAACCAAGAGATCCCCGCCATATCAACTCTAGTGCCGCCTCCCAAGAAATTCACACGACGAAGCCGCATCGCAAAAAAGAACGTGCTGATTTTGGTATGGTCTTCAGAATGCCTTTCACCGAATCCAAGAGTGGAAGCAACATGCCCATGTTGCACTCGAGTACTTCGGAGCCCACACATATCCAAACAGTGCAAAAACTTAGCCCATACTTGCACAATCGTCGCAAATCTTCCGCTTCTGTTCTATTTGCAACGGATAGTAATTCCCAGGTCGCGAGAAGGGCATCACATCCAGCGCTGTTTCCCGACTCTTCGTTAGGCAACAATCAGTCGAATCTTCAAACCAATGATTTCTCACGCAAAGCTTCTATAGCTTCGCAGAATAGTTCGATATCATATGTCAGCTCCTCATCTGATCGCCTGGGTAACTCAATGTACCCTCACGCCTCTAACGAAAACATCCATTCAGCCTCTTCTGCTCACCCGCCACTCAATATGACGTTACCCCCTCAGCAACCTCTTCCGACGGATCCAATTCCTGCCGTACCTCAGCAAAAACCTCCGGAAATCTCGGCTTCTAACTTTTCGGCGAAGAACAGTCCATTTTCGTCTCGGCGCTCTTCGCTTTACAACGATATCACGCATGCCGTCGCTGGGCCTTGGGGCTCTCAACAGTTGTCCAGTGGGCTCAGTAACCACGGAAGTGACAATCAGAATGTGAGTCCAGAGTCTCAGCCCTTACGTAGGCCATCCATGGAAAGGCAATTCCTCGAAGACTACCTCATCGATGTTGAATTAGAAAGTAATACCCAAAACGAATGCCACCGTCCGTCGTTTCATAGGTGGGCTAGTCTATCTCGAGAGAGTAGTACTGGAAAACTGAATTTTGCAGACGACAGGAAAAGAGGTTCATGGACTTCTGAGGCTGACAGTCTCGCGAGCGGGGCAGTCCACCACCCTCACTATTTGGAGCCTTCACTCACGCCTCGCTCTCTTTACATGCCGTGGCCTACAAGCACTGTGAAAGCTCTTGCGGAGTTTTTGTACACCGGTCAAGTGAGCGGAAAATGGCTTTTGTCGCCTGTGGCTTTAAATTTGCTCATGGTTGCGAAACTGTATCAAATACCTCTACTTTACGATCTGATGAACGAGGTGCTATTTTCTATCGTGGCCAAGAAAGAGGAGAGTTTATTATTGATGGAATCCTCTTTCAAGCAGTTGTTCTTATTGAAGGTGGCCAAACGTTTCACAAGCGACGAAGAAAAAATCGAAAATGTTTTGGCGGCTAACTTATCCTATCAAGAGCTACTCACTCTCGAAAAGTCATTAATTGGGCTTGGCAACGGTTATGTGGATCTCCGCGCCTTGCGCAAGCGCTCTCGTCAAGTTTCTCTCAGCACCAGTGGTAGCTTAGACAATTTTCAAGGTAAAAGCGGATATAAACTCGATAAGGGTGATGAACTGGAACTCAATATTCCAATTCTTCTCGCAAGTGGATTAGGAGATGGGGATCCATCAATGGGTTTACCTCAGTACTCTAGTTCAAAACCGTCCTCATCAGCTTCAGGGCAATCTGAGCCAAATGCGCTGCAGGTTAAGAATAACGACGTAGAGAAAGAACTAGGCCCCAATTACTCGAAGGAATCCTCTACAATCCTCTCACCTGGTGGTAAAAGGGATGAGTTGGAGAAGCAAAGGACCGCAAAGGCAGCAGCAATCAAAAGAGGGGAGCAAGAGTCCAATGCTGAAGATATTGAACAAATCAAGCTGCATGATATTTCCAGGAACGATTTGCTCAAGCCTTCCACTCAAATAATAGACGCAAGGAAGGGGAAAGGCAATGATCAAGCGCATGCTAATCGCATTTTAACTAAAAAATCTCAAAAGATAACCTCTGATAGCGATAACGATGACGATGACAGCTCTTCCTCGGATTCTGATTTCGGAGATATGAGTCTAGCTTTTGGCGTTGCTTCATCGTCAAAACTCGATCAAAAAATCCGCGAGCGTAACGTCGATGAATCTATTGACCCTCTGACCACATTTAATGATGGACCAGGTAATTCGGCGAATAAGATTTTGAATTATTTTCGCCAAGGCGAGAAATATTTTAAGTCAGAACAATCGGCGCCTCATGGGGAAGCTCCAACATTGGACAACATTGCCTCTCCCAATTCTCTTCCTCCTGTGGAATATATTATTGAGCTGATACATAAGACATCGGTGATGGTTGGAGATGTCAACCTTACAATCAGATGCAAAACGTGCCTAAGCTTAGCCAGGACGCTCAAATCCTTGAAACAGAAATTAAGTCACGACTTGGTCGCTTACGATGAGGAGCTTCAACGAATGGACACGCCGGTAGAGTGCGTTGAAAGACCGACGACTCCACTTAAGAATAGACATGAGTCTGCGAGCGTTGCAAGGCCATTGACACCTAAATCGTCTACGGAACAGCTAAGCAGGACAAATTCTGGGTCCGCTTCGGGTCGGAAAAGTCCCTGGTCCTCCAATAGGGAACCGATGAAAAAGACAAATCCTTCCTCATTAAGTCAAGTAAAAGTTGCGGGAGAAAAGGCGTCAGAAGCATCTAAGTTTTCTTCGGGAACCCCGGATCTAAAAAAACAAGCGAAGGTGAAAAAAATCAATTCTCACTTAAGCTCGAGTGGTTTAACCGGCGCTGGCGCCGGAATCTTCACGACAGTCCCATTTGCGGTGCAGCCCAGCACGCACGGCTCATCGGGCTCTAGGAAGAAAAAGGAGCCCTCTACAAACTTCTCATTTTTTGGCAAAAAAAAATAAGTGGTCCTGTGTTCTCCGCTTCCATTGCAGGCTATAGGCATGACGAGTTGACTACACGTGGTCCTCATTTGCTTTCATGACATTTCATGACGTTGTTTTCTTGAAATAAGCAAATTGGACCTTAATTTCAGAAGGCTGCCACAATTCGAGTTACTCTTTGTGTCCCTACTTAACTTCTGTGTTATCATACAGTCAAAAGTATAAAGAAAACCGCGTTCGACCCTATGAGACCCGTTTAAGACGGACATTAATTCATATTCGTTGTTCATGAAAGTCATGATCTTCGTTTATAAGCAATCACCGCCGAACTTTGAAATTCCCTGTCGATCACCATCGATATATTAATCTTTCATAGGACATGTTCGAGTCGAGACTTCATTTCGTTCGCTTAACGACGACTTAGTTTCTATTTTGCGGTGAAGTGATTCTGACATCTGGTTAGTTTGCCTTATTACGTACGATAAAATTTTTCAGTTATACAATTTTGGTAAAGTTAACTTACAAGATTCCACCTTACAGGCCTGTCCGATATTAAGCGAGGATGTCGTCTCCTTCTGATGATGCATGGCAGAGTATTATTGAGACTGTCGAAGAGTTGCGGCGCCTCTCGTCGCTCTCCTTAAAGCATCCCATGCTTCAAGAAGTGCTAACAAGGCTTGAGAGGTATGAAGGCGATAATGATGACGTTGCATTGGAACAGATATGTGCCCTTCTGATAGATTCCTATGGCACTATCAAGGATGCGGCATCCCTCAAGTTTGTTGGACAAATTTTGGAAACTGTGGCAGTCAGAGACAAGAAATATTTGACGATGATCTCGAGTCAATTGCTCAGTGTAGCGCAATATTGTTCGTCGACCAAAGCATTAAAAAGTAACCTGAACCTGTTAGATGGTATTAATTCCTGTTTGGGCTTTACTTATAGATTTTCGGAGTATGCGTTTAATTTAGACATGGCGAAGCTTGTTCAGGCTCAATGCCTCGTCGCAAATGGCATTGAGGATATGCTATCGGTCCAAGAGTCGAAATCGGTGAACCGGGGACAGAAACAGCATGCTAAGCGTCTACGTGGCAGTGTTTTGCAGTCAATCACTAAAGTATACGTTTCATGCTTAAACTTCAAAGCCGGCGATTTTGGACTTAACGTTGCATCGGCGCTGACAGACAATTACGACAAATCGAAATTACCGGCTAAAGGGGTTTTGGTTTTGTTAGGATCGATTTCCAAGGCGTGCACCCAATTGCTATCTTCCCAGCCATCAGCGTACGATTCAGTACGTTTGAACTGCGTACAGCCATTCTGTGACTTCATCAGTAGAGAAGTTATTCTATCCAAGTCGGTGATAGCTGGCAGCTGCTTGGAAGCGTATCTCAAACCATTTATGGGAGAATTTGTGGACGAGGAGGTGTTCAGTGAACATTTCATTGCCAACATGGAAAAAAGCGTTTTGAGGGCACCTGAATTTGGTTTTACTACAAACGCAGTTATCTTCGGTGGGTTGGATGCTAGAAAGATTGATTTATGCAAATACTTCGTTCAAACGAAGCTCATGTCGCAAACCTTTTCCTCTCTGAAAAGCAGCAAAGAGAATGTGAGGAAAGCGTGCTTAAGCTCATTCACTCAGCTGCTGCGTAGCTTGAGCGAGAATAATACATCCTGCAATGATCTTTTGCTACTTGTAGATGAATTGTTTAAAAATTTGAAAACAAATTTGAACATCGAATACAAAAGCATTGCATGTCAAATTCTAACCAACATTCCCCTGATATTTGAGGGGACCTCGAAAGAAATTGTCTCGAAACTGGCACCATACGTTTCAAAAGAATCTAATGAAAGCGTTTTGCCAATCATGCTTACAGCACTATTTGTTCATCTCTCTAATATTGAAGATGTGGCCACCGATATGACTGCTCTTATCGAGAAAGGTCTAAGTGATAAAAAGCTTCAAGTCAGAAAATTATGGCTCACCGGTTTGTTGGCTAATTATTCTGGGTCTTTGTTTCAATCGGAACAATTCACCTCTAATATCCATGCATTTACGAAGGACGTTCTCTCGTCCCCACAAACTCATGATCATAATGCTATATTTGCCTGTTTAAAGTACCTGAACGAGGTTTCTAGGTCTCTTCAAGACCAGGAAAGGAAAGAGTTGTTCCAACAAATGGCAAACATTGGAAATGCATTGGTGATCGTTACCCTTTCGACGCAATTGGTGCCTAATAAAAGAGTCTTAGCAACCGAGCTTTTGAAAAGCTATTTGAAGTATTCGCCTTCGTTAATAGGACCAGGTGTGATTAGATCCCTCGAAGTTGCGGTTTCAGAAAGGCGTGAAAATTCCTTAATTAGCTTACGTTTCATCTCACCCGTTTTGTTGAGTTTCGCTCAGCCCACAGAAGACATCGAGTCCATGGAAAAAGTCTTCATCGAGCTTCTTGCCTTATTTCAGTTTCCGGAGTTGTTACTTAAGTTTACCTGGGCGGACATGGTAATTAAGGCAAACCTGGACCCAGGCTCCCTTATTAAGAGATTTGGAAGAACTATAGTGGATAGAGCTAAACAACTCTCAGATAATCATGCTATTAGTGCGCAATTGAGACGTGCGACAATTGATGCTGTTGCTTACGCAGCTTTTATCAATACAGAAACGATTATTCCGTTAGCAATTGACTTGATAAAAGATGGACTTGACTTGGAATCGCTTCAAAAAATCACAACTGAGGATTTGAACGTCTGGCGAGGACAAGAAGGCCAGTTGGCTATTAACGTTTTGGAGGAGAAAGAGGCCCGGTCCTCTGCTCAGCACAGAAATGGAAAAGATTCGGAGACTCTCAAATGGGAAGAAGAAATCCGGAAGAAGCAAGCAGCGAAAAGAACAACTACGAAAAAGCTCTCAAAGGACGAACAGGATTTAGTTGATGCTCAATTGCGCAAGGAATCAGCAGTACGGGCCGAGGTTGGCATTCGTTATTTACGCCTAAGCACGAGTTTAAATCTAATAAGATCTTTGACCATAGGAGCCTCTCTGGTTGAAAATGGCTCCCAAAAATGGTACCCAGCGATAATTCACGATCTTCTAGCCGCACTTCAAGAGGAAAATATTTGGGAGCTTGTTAAACTACAAGGTATTGAAACTTACCTAGCCCTGTCAAAAATTACTTCTCCTCGTCTCTCTTCATTACGTCTCTTCGTCGGCCTCGCGACTCTTCGCGTGTTAGGTGTTTCCCATATTCCTGAGAATTATTTGAAGGAATCAGCATTAGACCTATTATCTCGTGTTCTCTTTAAGATCAAATTTGCGGCTGATAAAAAAGCTTTTGACCAATTGACTTTAAATTATATGCTTCCCCTTCTGACAGTCGTTCTTGAGGAAGGATACAGAGTTGCGAAATCCAACGCGGGGAAGCCTCGAATCAAAAGCGATTTTGTTGAAGAAGACAAAGAAGAAGAACATCTGCTGCTTGCTCTGGAAATCATCTCTGCACATGCCGAAGCTTTCCGCGATTCTTCGATACCAAGAACAAATGTTTTGAAGACCCTCCTTTCGCTTCTCTCTATCCCATCCCGGGCTCGGGCAGCAAAGGAAAGTCTTATGACTTTATCCCAAAATATCTCTTTAATACCATTGGAGGATGATCTGACTCTATTTTTGAGAACACTGATGTCGCCTAATCAATTTGTGAGAGCATCAATATTAGAGGCACTGGATGAAGAGTTTGACTTGCAGCCTTTCATGGAGTTCTCTCCGGAAATATTTATACTTATGTTTGATGAGGATGAATCAAATAGAGAGACTGCAAAGTTCATCTGGGAGTTGAATAAGTTCCAAATTAAGGAGGACCTGTTATCCTCTCTACTTAATTTCTTCAATCAGGAGGATAGCGGGCTACGTCTTTTCGTAGCGAGAGCGTTTTCCTCTGCATTGAACGTACTCTATAGAGAGGACAAGTCCATGTTCGAGAAATATCTCGCTGTCCTTATGGATTACTACTTGGAAATGAACAAAATTCCAGAGCCAATTTTGGATGAATACGGCCTTGTTGTTATCACTTCTGAGCAGCAAAAAGATCCATGGACTTCCAGAAGTACCGTGGCCATCACACTCAAAGAGTTTTCGAGATTTTTCCCTTCAGACTCTGAAAGCGTCTTGGATTTCGCAAAATTTATGATTGAAAGCGGCTCTTTGGGCGATAGGGAAGTGATTGTTCGGCAAGAAATGAAGGAGGCCGGAATTGAGTTCATTGCGTTCCACGGATCCAAAAATGTACATGAGCTGGTCCCTCTCTTTGAGCAAGCTATAAATTCTGTCAAGGAGGATAAAGTCAAGGAGAACATTATTATTCTTTATGGAACTCTTGCACAGCATTTACCTTTTAACGATGTTAGAGTCAAGGCAATCACGGAAAAACTATTGGAAGTCCTTGAAAGCTCATCTGAGGATGTGCAGCAAGCAGTCTCTGAATGTATCGCTCCACTGGTTTCTTCTTTGAAATTGAGCGTATCTGATTATGTTTCCAAACTGCTAGAAAATCTGCTAGCCGTCAAAGTACCTCTCTGTTCACGCAGAGGAGCGGCCTGGGGTCTCGCTGGGCTGGTAAAAGGTTTTGGAATTGGTGCATTGTCAGAATTTGATATCACGAGGGCTTTGATGGACGCATCAGAGGACAAAAGAAATCCGGATGTGAGAATAGGTGTCGCTTATGCCTTCGAATGCTTGTCGAAAACCCTTGGCAAATTTTTCGAGCCTTTCGTCATTGAAATTCTTCCGAATATCTTAAAAAATCTGGGTGATGCTGTACCCGAAGTACGGGATGCTACGGCAGGAGCCACCAAAGCTATAATGGCACATACTACCAGCTTTGGTGTCAAGAAATTGATTCCAGTTGCGATACGCAACCTTGATGACATTTCTTGGCGTACCAAAAGAGGCTCGGTCGAGCTCCTTGGAAACATGGCTTATTTAGACCCCACTCAGCTATCGGTATCGCTGTCAACAATTGTTCCACAAATCGTTGCTGTTTTGAACGACTCTCATAAAGAAGTGCGCAAAGCTGCAGACCAATCTTTGAACCGTTTCGGGGAAGTCATCAGAAATCCTGAGATTCAAAGATTAGTGCCAACACTCATTAAAGCGATTGGTGACCCCACAAAGTACACAGATGAAGCTCTGGATGCGTTGATTCGCACACAATTCGTTCATTACATCGATGGTCCATCCTTGGCTCTCATCGTCCATGTTATTCACAGAGGGATGCGTGAGAGATCGGCAAATACCAAAAGAAAATCTTGCAAGATTGTTGGAAATATGGCCATTCTCGTTGATGCTCACGATCTAGTACCATATCTAGGGCAGCTTATTGAAGAAGTTGAGGTTGCCATGGTTGATCCCGTTCCAAATACAAGGGCAACAGCTGCTCGCGCTTTAGGTGCTTTGGTTGAGAGGCTGGGAGAAGAGCAATTCCCTAACTTGATACCTCGTTTGTTGGATACCTTGAGCGATGAGTCCAAGGCTGGTGACCGTTTTGGCTCAGCCCAAGCCTTGGCAGAAGTTATAAGCGGATTAGGCTTATCAAAGCTAGATGAAATGCTGCCCGTCATTTTGGCCGGTGTCAAAAACTTTAGAAGCTACATTCGTGAAGGATTCATGCCTTTGCTTCTGTTTTTACCTGTGTGTTTCGGAACACAGTTTGCTCCATACGTGAGCCAAATTATTCAACCTATTTTAGCTGGTCTAGCTGATCCTGATGACAACATTAGTGATACAGCACTCAAGGCTGGTAAACTACTAGTGAAAAATTATGCCACGAAAGCCGTTGACCTTTTGTTGCCGGAATTGGAGCTAGGAATGTTCGACGAAAACGAAAGAATCAGACTTTCGTCAGTGCAACTGTGCGCTGATTTACTATTTCAGGTCACTGGTATTTCCTCGAAGAACGAGTTTGAAGATGATGAAACAGAGCATCATAGTGAAGTCACTAAGCAGATGGTAGAGGTTCTAGGAACTGAACGTCGTGATAGAGTTCTATCCTCTTTGTTCGTTTGCAGATCAGATACATCCGGTATAGTGCGCGCGACTACCGTTGATGTTTGGAAAGCCTTGGTTCCTAACACGCCTCGCACCATTAGAGAAATTTTACCTACCCTAACAAACTTGATAGTCGCCCATTTGGCATCACCTTCCCCTGTTTTGAGACATATCTCAGCGCAGAGCTTGGGAGACATGGTTAAAAGAGTCGGTGGAAATGCAATGTCAGAAATTCTGCCAACGTTGAATTCTTCGATAGAGAAATCATCTGACACTGGTAGCAAGCAAGGGGTGTGTATTGCGCTACAAGAACTTATCATCTCTTCAGCCTGGGATGTTTTGGTTGAATATCAGGATTCTATTGTCAATATCATTCGCGTGGCGCTTGTCGATCATGATTTGATTGTTAGGGAAGCTGCGGCTTCTTCATTCGACGTTTTCCAGGATGTTTTCGGAAATGTTGCTGTCGATGAAATACTTCCTCATCTTCTCAACCTGCTGCAATCTCCTGAGAGCTCCGAGTACGCCTTGTTGGCTTTGCAGGAAATCATGTCCACTAAGTCTGAGGTGATCTTCCCTATCCTAATTCCAACACTGTTGCGCTCTCCCGTGGATGCTTTCCGTGCTCGTGCCCTCGGTTCTCTGGCTCGTGTGGCTGGCTCGGCACTCTACAGGCATTTGTCGCTGATCATAAATGCTTTGGTTGGCTCGCTTGTCGATCTGGACTCGAACACAGGGCTAGTAGAGGCATTACATGAAGCATTGGACGCCGTTTTTTGCTCCGTTGTTGAGAGTGAAGGTCTACACCCTTTGCTACAGCAGATTCTGTCATTATTGAAAGATGACAATAAGGAGAAGAGGATTGTCGTTTTGGGGCGCCTCCCTCATTTTTTTGATGTTACGACTTTGGATTACAGTGTCTATACAGCCGACCTCGTTTCTGACCTTGTACTCTCCTTCGATGATTCAGACGAAAGAGTCCTAAAGGGAACCTTTGAAACGCTGACAATCTTGATTAAGAAGCAAGATAAGTCGAACTTGGAAAGATTAGTTAAACCCTCAAAACAAGCGCTTCAGCTTGCCGGAAAATCAGGTCAAGAGCTGGCAATTTTTGGATTACCAAAAGGTCCAAGCTGCATTTTGCCTATATTTCTACACGGGTTGATGTACGGTTCCAACGACGATAGGGAATCTTCAGCCATAGCAATTGCCGACATTGTCAGTCGGACCCCTGCGGCAAACTTGAGACCGTTCGTCACCGTCATCACTGGACCTTTAATTCGTGTCGTGGGTGAAAGATTCCCTGCAGATATCAAAGCAGCTATTCTCTTTGCATTGAACAAACTGTTCGATAAGGTTCCTCAGTTACTACGGCCTTTCATTCCACAACTGCAAAGAACTTTTGTGAAGTCGTTATCGGACCCCTCGAACGAGAAGCTCAGATTACGCGCTGCTAGAGCTCTTGGGTCGTTGATTGAATATCAGCCTAGAATCGATCCGCTTGTTGCCGAACTCGTGAACGGTACAAAGCAAAGTAGTGACAGCGGCGTGAAAAGCGCGATGTTGAGAGCGCTTCTAGAAGTCATGACCAAGGCCGGTGACAAATTGAGCGAGAATTCAAAGAAAAGCATCATTAATTTGGTTGAGGAACAAATTTCATCAGTGGATGATAAATTGGCTACGGCCTATGCAAAATTAATCGGATCTTTATCCAGCATAATGTCTTCAGAAGGGGCTAAAAACATTCTCGCAGATAAAGTCCTTGATAGTGATCTGGAAGGAGACAGCGGGAGATTTGGCATTTTAACTTTGAATTCATTCTTGAAACATGCTCCACAACACGTTTTCCAAGTTGACATCTTGCAACGGGTTGTGGAGTATCTGTTGAAGGCATCCGATGCACCCAGTCCTTATATTTCGGAGAATTCTTTAATGGCAATCGGTAAATTACTCTTGCTACAGAATGAAAACAAATCTCTTGATAGCACTTATCAATCGCCCGAACCTTTTAGACTGGACGATGCTGATATTTCCAAGTTGATCCGGCAACTCTGTAAGTGCATGTTAAAGCCTGAGAGCAATTCGCTAGACGCTAGACGTTACGCCCTCGTCGTCGTGAGAACATTGGCGAGGTTTAAGTTCAACGAATGCATCGTTTCACATTACGATTGGCTGGGTACATCTGTGTTTTCGTGTCTCCGCGATATCATCATACCTGTCAAACTAGCCGCGGAAAAGGCATATTTGGCGATTTTCAAGCTCGTTGAAGATCCTGATATGAATTTATTCAACGAATGGGTCGCACAGTTGAAATCAGAGAGCGTGGCAAACTGCGTAGGAACCACCGTGCTCGTAAGATCTATCAAGGACTACACCAAAAGAGTCGGTAAAAGGCTTGCCAGTGTCGAAAGAGAGAGAATCGAGGCTGGAGGTGATCCTGAGACGGTGTTTTCAGACAGATTTGAAGATGAACGTGAGATCTGGGCCGTTGGCAGTGTTGATCTCTCTTCAGATGACTAGGTCTTCCAAGAGTACCCCAAACCAAGTACTTAGGAGTAATATTTACGCTCTATATAGGTAGAAAACCTCCAAAATAAAAACTCCGATATTTCCCATCTTTGCCACCATAGTACACATCGATCCGAGCCTCGCGGACATTCTAACAACCAATTATATAGCCATATTAGCATTCTTTTACCGTACAATTGAACTAAGAGGAGCAAAACTAATTGTATCGCCAAGACTCGAGCAATTATCGATAAGGTCACTAGTACTTTTGACGGCTGGTCGCGACACGACACAAGCCCAGGTTTTTTTGGCGAGTCATTGTACATTCGGATGAGACTTGTTCTATGATCTCTATCAGAGTGTCGCATTATCAGGTTTATTTACCAAATTTCAAGATGTCAAGATAATGAATCGAGGTTTAGAAATCTTCAAAAGAAAAATTCCAGGATATTAAATAAACCATACTTGGTTCCGTCAATCGATTGTATCTTGATGGTGCTCATAAACTTTGGAGAACCAGGATTTGAACAATGCAAGCATGGATGCACAATTCTAGATTAAAGAAGAGACGGAGATACTCGAAACTCGGTTGTGTTGAATGTAAGCGAAGAAAGGTCAAATGCGATGAAACTAAACCTGTCTGTTGGCAATGCTCACATCTTGAGAAAGAATGTAATTACAAAGGAAACAACAAACTAGCTGGTTTTAAAGAGTTTCGAAACTATTCTTTTGACACAGATTTGCCGACGAAAGGATCTGAAACTGAAGCGGAAGAAAAATTTGGAACCATTACACCCCAGGATCTGGATCTCATTATGAATGAGGCGTCGCTTCTGGCAAACGACATTTTTATCTCCATGACAGACCCTTTGGTAAACGAACAGTTGCACGAGTTAAGTCCCTTGGATATTACCCAGGAGGAATTTCATAGATTTGATAAGTGGGCAACAATTTCCACAGCGCTCCAAAAAGAAAGCCCGATAGACCTTTACTACTTGAAGGTTTTTTATAATCAGGTTTCGTTCTGGTTGATGCCTTTGGCCGTTTCTCCGGACGACAACATATGCAATGAGATCTTGTTTCATCAAATTACCACTGCAGCCGCCCCGAATGGTTTTTCCACCTCTTATCTGCAAAGTGCGATGATATCGCTAGGAGCGAAATTCAAATTTAATACCACTGGGCTTCCTGAGCATAATGTTATCAGAAAGAGATACCTCAAAATATCCTTTGCGCAACTTCACGAAGTTTTCAAGAGCCCGTCGCGAGACTCATTGATTGTTCAGAAGGTCGAAAGCTTGATTCTTTGCGTACTTCTTTTCACGCTCGATAGTTCGAGTTACAAAAGTCAAGAATGGCAGATGCATTTGAAAGGAGCTAAAGATCTATTCTTGAAATGCCAAGCTATGGGCCTCGATAACGAATCGAGTGAGATGCGAAGCAAGTCTTTAGCTCTTGCCAAATCCTGGTTTTCTGCCATAGAAGCATCTGCGTCCGTGAGTCGAACCGGTAGTTTGAAAAGTGACGCTGAGATTGAAGAAATGTATTCCTTGGGAGCTTATGACAAACATGCTGTTGTGCTGCAGGAAATGGGGATTTTAACCGCTGACGGGTTCAACGTGTTTCTAGGATACTCTACAGAGGCAATATGTTTGTTGAAAGAAGTCATCAAATGCAATAGTGATAAGTCATTTGTCGACAAATACAATGATAAACTCTTACTTATTTCGACTTTGGTTCAAGCTTCGCGTGAGTATCATTTTCTGCCCAACGAATTTGGAGTTGTGACTGGAATGGAAAATGATGCTCTCGAGGGAAAAATGCAAAGCTCTTACATTCGCGACGGCCCTAAAGCATATTCCGTCTTCGACACTGTTCATCAGGCACATGCGGATGCCATATATTTGATTTACTTGATCAGGAACGTGCATCTTCCAATCTCATCTTCCATAATTCAAGGAAACTGCGAGCGCATAATCAGGAACATATCTTGGATTTTCCGCTCAGACACAGATGTTGAAATGGCCAGCGGTGTCATTAAAAAGGTCGCAGATGGTGAAATTACTGACTATGCGGCCTTTCTTTCACTTCAGCCAGATTTGATAGACCGATGCTTGATTAAACCGATTGTGAACGATTTTCGTATAATGATGATTCATCTTTCAGTTGTTCTTTGTGGACTTTATTTCCGACCTGATAATATGCGGGACCTTGCGTGTGTACGAACTCGAATATGTGCTTACTTTCAATGTTTAGCTCAAAACCTTGGTGCTGACAGTGGCAAAGTGTCCCTAGAGTTTCTTTTCAAAAGATGGCGGGTCAACGAATTGTCTGATGAGCAAGAACAAGACGACGAATTCAAGGACTATGATGCACTCCCATTTTCATAGCTTTCCGAAAACGTGACTCGAAACTATATGCGGTCCTAGGAACTCTCTGCCATTAGAGCGGTGTCCAGTTCTCGCAAATTTAATGTTGATTAGTAAAATTCACCTTTTCTCGAATTATCCCTTTCCATTTGTCTCATCCTTTGTAAATCTTCTTGTTCGTTTGCTTCGCGAATTATATCCTCTTCCTCTTGCGTTAAAGCAGATAAATCTTGACTTGGAATAATCTCTGCATCCATTCTAACACTAGGAGCTCCTTGCAAATACCTTATTCTCTCCAGACATCTTATTCGCACGTTTTCCAAAAACTTCTTGGAGTTTTTGTTCTCATAGAGATCGCCCAGTGTTGGGTATAAAGAGTAATCGGGTCCAAACCATTCTCGAAATGGTGAGTCTTCTGGAAGGCTCTCGGGGAGTATCATTCCACTCAATATACCAGTCTCATAAGTCCACAATCGGGAAACGTTTCTCGGTGTATAACCACCTCCACCTACTACCAGCATAGGAATACCAAACGATTTTATGAATTTGACGCACTCCCCATGCGCTTTAATATTCAAATTAAAACACCCAAGTCTGTCATGCCCGAGAGAATCGGCACCACATTGTTGAATGATTACCGTTGGTTTGTAAGAAGTTATAAGTGGATCCATGACACCTTTGAAAAGGTTTATGTATGAATCGTCATCAATTCCATCCTCCAATGGCACATTCAGGGCAAAGTGTTTACCTTCAGAGCAGCCTAGTTCATCGAAATTACCGGTTCCCGGAAAAAACTCACCATTGTATTTGTGAAACGAAACAGTAAAAACTCGATCCGTAGTATAGAACGCTTCCTGTACACCATCTCCATGGTGAATATCAATGTCAATGTATAATACCCGTGGGTGGAAGCGAAGCAGATTGATAATACTGAGAACAATATCATTCACGTAACAAAACCCTGAAGGGCTACTCTTTTTCGCGTGGTGTAATCCACCAGACCAATTTATCGCGATTTCGGATTGTCCATTGAGTAGTTTTCTAGAGGCGTCCAGTGAAGCACCCGCATAAAGCACCGAATAATCGTAAAAGCCTTGAAAAATGGGACAGTCGTCTCCAATATTGAACTTTTCCAATGAACCGCGCGGTAGTTTGCTGACAGTGTCGGGAGTCACCTTCGACAAGAAGTCGATATAATCTTTCGAATGGAATTCTAAAAGCTCTTCCCGACTAGCGGCACGTGTCTCGTACAGATCCATGTAGTTATGGAGACCATATCCAGAGACCAAGTGATCTGTTAACATGAGTCGAAAGGGTTTCATGGGATGTCGTACACCATAGTGAAATTCTGACACTTTAGAATTGAAATGATAAGAAACGTCGGGACTATAATCGGTACCAAATTCAATTTTCGGACTAAGTTCATTTGTTTTCGTATCATACTTGAACGTTTCCGACATTATCCTGGGTTTTCTTCTCTTCTTAAGGTGCCGTTACTTCGAGATGGATTGTTCAATATTTTGAAGTGTTGAAATTTGATAGTCTAGGGTACTTTAAAGACAGACAACAATATGGGCGCTGACGTTCATACTTCCAAGGGAGACAGTATTATTGAGCTTGTGTTGATCACCAATGTTATGCATTGAAAATCATCAAATCGGATTGACGGATGAGCCAGATGAGCCAAATGTATGCAGCATGTACTTGATTTTTCAAATGAAACTCGAAGACTTACCATAGCATCCAGCTATCCTAAAACGCTTGTCATACCCCATAATACTCTTGATAAATGGCCTTGTAACAAATCACCAACACTTGTTGGGTAATTGGATCGTGGTGTCGTCCTTTCCTGAGCACATTTAAACGCGATCATCAATGACTCGAAGTCGTTAGTGACTCGATATCTATATCCATTATAACTTTCTATGTAAATGTTTCAGTTAGGTAACTACCAAATACATAGCGACTTCCAAGTTTCTGATTGTATATGTCAAACTAGTCCACGCAAAATTGAGCTGAAAGTGAGCTAAGAATCGGTCTAAACACCTCTTTATCGCTTATGAGACTCACAATTTGCCTCAAATTTAATGTGGGCGATTGCCATCACAATTTTCAGTTTACTCGTAGGTGCTCTACTGTGAGTCTCTGATGTGACAGTTCTCATTTTTCACTGACGCGACTAAGAATAAACCTGACACACGCACTATCAAAAGCCTTATAAAGAGCCATCAAATAGCAGATCGCTTTGCTTCATCATCCCGACCATCTTCACCGTCTTCAGCATAATGATTGAAGAAACCAAACTTGTAGATTTCCTTCTTGAAAAGGGTGTCGATTTGCTGAACGAGCCATTATCTGGGAAATTAGATGACATATACCGTCTTTTCATCAAGTTTCTAGAAACAGAGGAGACAGCTCGCGGTATTGGAATGGCTGACTTTGTAGACACCCTGAATACCCTGGCAGAAATTTGTCCCGGTGCGATCTCTACCAGTTGTGACAGCAGGCCTGACAGTTCTTGGCTTCACGAGTACAGATTAGATTCGGTGAACTTGGAACTTGTTGGCTTGATGAGCCATTCACTGAGGGGGGAACGCATAACGAGCGTTGAAATGACGAATATCTTGGCGCCGACACGTGGACTTGATTTGGGACAAAGGCTTCGAGGAATACTTGAAACCAACGCAGACGACGAAATTGACACTCAATTGGAGCTCCTATTGGGCACGAAACCCGCTTCCTTTGCATTGGCTAAGGAAAATGCGCGAATAATCTTGCCCCAACAAGCATTCATTCCAAATTGCAATGACCCGAAACACACCTCTGACTTAGGATCTGCTGCTCAGATTATGAATAACAAGCTTATTGGATTCAAACTATCAAAACTTAGCGCTGACGAAATCAAATGTATGCTGTCCAAAATCCATTATGTGCCCAATTTAAAACCCCAGACTAATATTGCACTGGGAGACTGTTCTTACCTCGACACTTGTCACAAGCTTGGAATGTGTCGGTACGTCCACTACTTGCAGTATGTGCCAGAGGCACTTCAACAGAGTGTCCAGCATGAAGTTGAGAAGAACAACAGTAAGAAACTGGACAGCAAACGCATAACATTTTATACTCATGGATTTTGCACCTCCATGGCATCAAGAATGCCACTTCCAGCCCAATGGATTCAATGTGACGTGCGAAAATTTGACTTCAGCGTCTTGGGCAAATTCTCTGTGATTCTGGCTGATCCTGCCTGGAACATTCACATGAACTTGCCTTACGGCACTTGCAATGATTCTGAACTTTCACAACTTCCCTTGGACCTGCTCCAAGACGAAGGGATTATGTTTTTATGGGTCACCGGGCGTGCCATTGAAATGGGCAAGAATTCACTCGTTAAATGGGGGTACGAAGTGTGTGACGAAATCTCTTGGATCAAGACCAACCAGCTGGGGCGAACCATAGTCACGGGTAGAACTGGTCATTGGCTCAACCATTCCAAGGAGCATTTGCTCGTAGGAATCAAGGGCAAAGCGGCTTGGCTCAACAGACAGGTTGACATTGATTTGATAGTTTCTTGTGCACGCGAGACAAGTCGCAAACCTGACGAACTCTATGGGATGATCGAAAGGGTCGTCGGACCTCATGCACGTAAACTCGAACTCTTCGGACGTGATCATAACACCCGAGCCGGATGGATGACTATAGGCGACCAGTTGCAGGGTTCCTCAATTCATGAACTCGACGTCGAGAGAAAATATGAAAGGTTTTTGTCCCATGGGTTTGAGAAAGCGCCCGTTGTAGTGTGACTTCGCAACACTAAGGTCTAAGTGAACATGGCTATACCGTCCCCGTTCCCTGCTGACCACATTTCGTTCGTTGGCTTTTATGCCTTGCGAATAATCTGTTTTCCTTGAGCCCGATCATCGATGCAGTGAATTCCAGCACCCAAATTCCTTGCTCATTTATACTTCAAATGCAGGTGTGTTAATTTTCAAATCATTGCTTGCCTGCAGCAAGACATCAACGTTTCACCTCATGTCATAAATCAAATCAAAGCTGAATTAGGAAACAAAAGAATTGCAAAAGAAAGCATGATCTACAAATTTATGAGTGAAACAATGTGATGGAGATTAAAATGTCAGAATCATGAGCGAGGCTAAAGAAGTCGTCATTCAGTTTTCCCCTCGTGAGTTTTTCTAAAAAAACTGAAACTGGCACCTCACATTTATTCACACAAGGTCAGTGATCTACATTTTCTTGCCAATTTTAGCTGCTCGTTTCTCAAATGTCCAAACTTTCATCTTGACAATTCAAGTGCGAATATTATGGATTTTTTGGGTGGTATTCTTTTAGTTTCTTCGCTAGGCAGCTTTCACTATTAATAAATTGTAAACCATTTCACAATTACAAAACTTGTTGTCACATTAGAAAGTTTAGAACTCTAAATACAAAATCAAAATTTGACAAGATATTGTTCGATTTCTAGGAAACTTAGCAGACAAATGATGCTGTGAGGTCTATTCGTCAAGCAAACATTTCGAAGTAGCATTATACTAGCAATTTGTCAATATTTGAAATCATATTTCAGTTATGACATCTCGAATCCTATGGCTTTCCACGAAAAGCGCAAGTGGTTTAGTGGTAAAATCCATCGTTGCCATCGATGGGCCCCCGGTTCGATTCCGGGCTTGCGCAATTTTTATACTTTTGGAATAAGTATAATAAAACATATTTCACACGAAAACTACACCTTCAGGTACAATCTAAACCTCTACAATCACTTAATTGTAATATAAAGGGACTTAGAATCTGTAATTTGTTTCTAGCTTGATTTCTTGCTTCTGTCCAATCAAATTATCTAAAAACCTTGAAAATCTGATGATGTTCGTGAGAAATTACAATTGGATTTTAACAAGGCCTGTAGGTACCACGGGGAAAATTTTCGAACTTATCGGACTAACACCTGAGTTGAACATTCCAGTAAGCTTCTCGCCTCGAGCTTTCATATCTGTCAGTTATCAATCATGCTAAGACAAGCTTTCAGAAGAGCTTCGACTCTTCCTCCAAATGCGCTAAAGCCAGCCTTCGGTCCTGGTGACAAAGCTGCTGCCAAAGCTTTCAAAGAATCGCTCGAAAACTCGCAACACCACGCTAAGGATACCTCTGGTTTGTGGAAGAAAATCTCCTTTTTCGTTGCTGCCCCAGCTATTACTCTTGCTGCCATCAACACTTATTTCATTGAAGCTGAACATGCTGAACACCGTAAACATTTGAAGCACGTTCCAGACTCCGAATGGCCAACGCCTTACGAATTCCAGAATATTAGATCGAAGCCATTTTTCTGGGGTGATGGTGACAAGACGTTATTCTGGAACCCTGTTGTAAACAGACACATTCAGGACGAGTAAGGCGACAGTAGTGTCAGTCGTCTAGCTAGGAGGAATCATTTTTTAAAAGAAAAGGCATACATTCCATGATCATTATTTTGTTTTACGAATCCTTTTTAACCGACTATCGCGTGCATGAGTTTAGAGGCTAAGTAGAGTCTACTTTTATTCAGAGACGGTACAGCCTCTTTCTACGCTGTGTCAAATATATTTAAAGTATTGGATATTGGATTAGAATCGGTCACCATTGAATGTATTTATGACCCCATAATGAGCAGATGTTATGCTAGAATGAATTAGCGACACTCTTACTGAGTAGTCCAGGTTGCTTTCCAATAGTCAAAAAATACACTTTAAATACAAACAGTTCCAATTACAATGCAGAAAAAATGAATAAATTGTTGGTGGCAGCAATGGCCACGCTATTCTCCCGAGGATGCCATGAGAAATGCAGAATGGACTTTTTGAAATCTATGTCGTCACCCCATTCTTTATTGCGTGCACTTTGCTGTTCCAACGTACCTAGGCGTTTGGATTTGAATGCTGTCTTGTCGGCCTGTAGTACTATCTCATCCATTGTAGACGGCTCAGGACGCCTCGAACCGGGCGAAGCGCCTCCGCTTATGACGTTCGGATAAATCATAAATGTGTTATTGTAAGATCCTGTCATTAGGCTCGAGCTGTCGCCACTGAAATTGACTTCGAATTTATCAAAAATCGCATCATTTTCGTAAGTATCACTCAGCCTTTCTTTCAATTGGTCGTGTATGTTTATTGTCTTGACAGGTTTCGTATCCATGTTGACGTCCCAAATCTTGACCGTCAAATAATCTCTAGATGCAATATAGCGGCCATCCGGGCTAAATTTCACGTCTGATATCGAAGATGTGATCTCTGTGAAAAAATTGTGGTTTACAGGATCAAGGTACTCCTCGAAAGTCTTAGCTCGAAGATCACAAAGCGCATTTTGACGCATGTCCGCTAATTTTATCGTGCCCTTGGATGAGGAATACATGAATAGGTTACATTGCTGAGGATGGAAATCTGCACTCGTGATTACTTCGGTAAGCTCTTCCATATTGGCAGGCTTTATGTCAACAATATTGAACGATTGGTCAGGAATTTCGAGGTTCCACAAATTGATGCGAAGATCGTCGGCGCTGATAAATGTCTCCTGATCTGAGTTTATCGATATGGAATTAATGTGATACGTGTGTGCATTACCGTAGATTCTTTTGGGAGCTGCTGCTATGATTTTGTCATGCTGTGACATACGCGGCAGTTTCAATGAAGAAAGCGATAACACTGATTTAGCAGCCCCATTGCCGCGACGGGCTCCCTGCGCACCAGAACCGGTTCCAGCAGGCCGGGAGGACGCCAAAGATCCTTCGCTCAGATTGTTTTCACTCACGAGTTTAATATTCTTCTCGTACACTTTCCATAACTTGATCGTCTTGTCATTAGTGCTCAGTAAGAAGTGCGATTGGTTCGTGGGTCGGCACCATTTGATCTGGTTGATCTTCTCTTCGATCTCAAGCGATTTCAAATAATCGAACTCGGCGTCATGGGATTGAAATTCTGTCAGAAATTTGTACTCGCAGTGCTTACTATTATTACGTTCGAAAAGCACGACGCGTCCACCCCGATCACCCGTCGCGAGAAAGTCGCCCGTGTGGTCAAATTCGACCGCTGTGATGATATCGGCCTCCGTAACGACAATGTCGGCCTTGTCGCCAAAACATTGGCTAAATTTGAAATCAAAGCTGTCCTGCGGCATACCCTAGCACTTGAAATGCTACTTTCTTGCTTCACGGATCTGCTTGAGCCCTTGTAGATCGACCTATTCGGAGGCAACTTTTCAACTTGCCTTGGCTTCGAAATTTCCGATATTGAACACGATCTAACCAACCAAAACGCGTCGGGAAAAACGGTGCTGTTGTCCTGCTCAAAACCACGAGTTTCCTCGATCTTTTCCACGCTCTATTAGCTTCCAGGAGATGCCTGTTTTCAGCAATTGATCCTTTATCTCTGTTCCTTTTACTGGGGAAACTAAAGGATTTCCTTCGATTGTTAAACTTTAAGGGGGCTCTTCCAGCAAAAAATTTTCAACATTGTTGACGACGACGAAAGGGTTTCGTAAAGAATGACTAAAATGGAATTGATCACATGACTCTCACGTGACCACACCTCACATTTGAGTTAAATCAGGAACGCACGGAGCCAGAGGCAACTTTGGGACGACCTATGACGGTCAGCGCCGTCTAGTACGCTGTTTATAATGAAATTTGTTGTCAATTGTGCTATGTAACTATACGCAGAAGGTCTTGAGAGTAAAAACGCATCTTAGCATCGAATTTAAGCAGCCTTCTTGGCAGCGTCAGCTGGAGAGATGTTCTTGTCTCTGACGAATCTTTGTCTCTGAGGAGGAGCTCTGATTCTTCTGTTCTCTCTGGATCTAACTCTGACGACTCTGCCGTGGATAGCGCAAGAAACACAGTATTGCAACTTGTTGTAGGTCTTTGGCAAGGCGTATTCTGGGTACACAGAGGCCTCAGACAAGTCTCTGACAGCAGCAGCCTCAACAATGTTTCTGATGGCCATTCTCTTGATGGCCTTGTCCTTTGGCACACACTTGGAGCAGTTGACGCATCTGACTGGCTTGACGTGGCCTCTGCCCTTCTTGTTTCTACCGTTGGAAGCTCTCTTCTTTGGCATACTAGTACTGATGTTAGTAAAAGGCACCTGGCGCAAACGGGAGCTTTAGTTTCCCGTGCTTGGAATCACATGAAAGCGGTGTAAGAATCACGACGACGCGCTGCGTATGGCCCCCAAACGTAACGACAATTCGAGGACGCTTGATCTTCTCGCGAAATATACTTTCAACCACGATCCATAACTCCTTCTATTCTATCGTCCCACATACTTGAATATCTATTGCTGTGGTTTCACTAACAAGAGTCTAACAAGAACCTGTTACTGCGAAATGATTCTTTTGCAAAACTTTTGACGTTGTCGATGCTACGGAGGGGCACGCTGCCTCCACGGGAAGAGGAATTGCATCAGGCTGGCGGCGCCCGGCCCGTAGGCAGGGTTGGTGGGAGGGCAGAGTGCGCCTACGAGGAAACACACTCCCGCCAGCCAGAGTGGGTTCTCCCCATCGGCACCCCAGCCAGCAGCCTGGGAGGAGGCGTAGGCGGGGCAGGAGACCCCTCACCAGCGCTCGCCGGCTGCGAGCGCTTGCGAGTGCGTGCTTGCCTCAACTCAATAGCGGTTTGTGAGAACATCCACTTGCGGAGGGGCCTGCGTAGCGTCTAAGAGATCTTGCGGAGAGAATCTTAGCATCTACTGGCATCTTTGGGTACGACAGATATAGTGGAAGTCTTGACATAGTTTTTGTATCATGAAAGTTACTGGTGGTTGGGTGTTCATTTTTGAAAATACATGGGTGTTTCGAAAGTGTGACTGTCGTTTGATTGTCAGCCCTAATTCGAGCCTTTATATGCATATCCATGAAGCCAGTGTAGGATAAACGCAGCAGTTTGAACCAGTAGTGCCGCCCCACCTGTGAACCATTCCTTGTTTACCATTATATTGCGCTTCGCGGAATTAACGAAACTACATAAATGTTTTAATAATAGAGATGTTTAACTTAATTGTAACAATGAGGAATTGAATTGAAATATTTTATGAATATTCATCATGCGAGGGTCGTCGGCTGACCCTTGTCAGCTTACGTCAATTGCATGCGAAGAGAAAAAACGAGACCAGAGTGTTGAAAGGTCGCCGAGGACCCGCGTTTTACTTGTTTGTCTTGTGGTTCCTTTAGTGGTGGTTGTCATCAGAGGGCACACCGACAGCGTTGACCTTGTAAACGGAACCACATTCCCAGCATCTGGCGACTTTGCCTACCGTGGGTTTCAACCACATAGTCGTGTGAGAGTCCGCAGGAGAACCGGTGCAACCGACGTAGCGGTAGTCGTCGTAGGTTTCGACGATAATTGGGTTCTCCATGGTTCCCTTTCTGGACGAGTCCAGAGGCTTGGTGTCGAAAACGTCGATACCTTCAAGCTTACCGAGTAACTCAAGTCTTGCCAGACCGGTTTCTTGCTCCAAATCAGTGGGTACTTCGCCCTGTTTGGCACCTGGACCGATTAAACTGCTAGCGCCGTCAACTTCGGCCAGCGACGCAGCCGTTTTTACCAATTGCTGCTTTTGCAGCGCAATTCTGGAAGTAGTGAACGCCCTTCTAGCAGGAGCGACGAATCTCAAGGTTTGACGTAGAGACATCATTTTATTTTTCCTAAATTTTTGAACTGTGCAATATAAAGTGGTTAGTACAGTGTCCACGCGCACGGAAGGATAACGAATTGGAGGGGGGTAGTCTTGCGAAGACTGACACAACGCAAAGCAGCTGGATCCACGCCCGCGTAAAGGAACCATCTTGCTCATCTTTCTTGTCTAGTTCCGACTTTCTTTCAACACACCGATATCTCCACCACATATGTCCAGCGTCTTCATACTCATCAACGGGCATCTTCAACCTTTGTGTGACGACCCCGCCAACCACACTCTGCAGCAAATAACGCACGTCACTTGGACAAGCCTTTTTCCATCATTCAGCCAAATTTGTACCATCCTTTTGTCTTGTTCCTGCTTCACATGATCTTCACGATCTTTAGGCTTTCTTAGGTCCGAAACTCAGCGACCAACACACGCCCCAATCGAACCGATCCAAATCGTAATCCCAAATCCTATCCTCGGACCTTTCACATACCTAGTAGTCCCTCGACTGCACCCGACCAAACTGTGCTAAATCGTAGCTTAAGTTGAGAAGTAGATCTTGTTCAAGTCCTGTTCTCTTCCGATAAGAGGTTTGTTTTTTTTCATCACCTTACAAAACGTATCTTACGAGCAGGGTTGACGGTGGGCGAGAAGAACCAGACCTTTAAACTGAGAAAAAATTTAAGCGATTTGGTTGGACCAAAGTCATATGCTTTGCATGTGACCTAGAAGATAACCTCTAGTCGTTTTACGAGTTAAGAAACGAGTCGATGTCTGACTCAAAAAGACGAGTCAATGTGAAGATCGATGTGAAGATCGATGTGAAGATCGATGGCCCGAGCTAGACGAAAGATGAGTTGTACGTCGCCTGCCCATAGAATACGTTGCGAAACCAGTAATATTAAATTAGTTCTATAGCAGCTTAAAAGTAAAGTTTAGTAAGGTGCGGTTAACGACCGAAATAGCGTAGTTCAAAGTATCTCAAAAATGGATACGCGGCTCCGGAAAAGCCCATACTTAGCCACATACCCAGATCGCCTCCGAATTCGCCAAAATTGCGTGCTACGGGTCCAATCCAGTAGACTTGGGCCATACCCAGGACTACGCCCGCTACTCCGATTAAGAAAGATAGCGTAGCAGCGTAGCCATGAGTGAGAACGTTACTGTCTTGCCATGCGTTCCAGTTGTATCTGTGTTTCGCAGCCGTCACTCTCTTGTTCTTGACGTCGCGCACGAGCACTGCGGCAGAGTTTCCCTTTTCAACTGCCGCAGGTGGGAACTCCTTGGTGTAGAGATGCAAGAAAAACCTTCTGAATACAGTGTTCTCTTCCAACAAAATTATGAAGTAGATGCTGATCCAGTAGCCGACCATGGGCAAGAAATTGCCCAAAATGGTACTGAAATGGTTTCTGCCGACAAGCGCACATACGAGGTAGAAAATCGTGCACGCAATGGCCCAAATCCAACGCGGGATACGCGCCATGTGGAGACTGGAGAGTTGGATCGAAAACGCGGCGGAATAAGTGTTAATGATGTTGTTGGATATCAAACTTAGAATGAGAACCACAACGCAGAATTTGCCAAATCCCCCCCAACGTTCGAACCCGGCGTGTAAAAGACCTCCCATACCGTATTTTTGGTATGCGGCATTCCAAGGTTCGTATGACATTGCGCACGAGGCTAGCACAATGCCCAGGACGCCGACAAACGTTGTCGGCACTAGCGTACCGAAAAAAGTCAAGAAAAATACTTGATACTGAGGCGTGTCTTCTGGAAACAGAATGTAGTAATCGGCCGTTATGGACCCCCAAGTAGACGTGATACTGTAACAAAGCGAGAAGAACGACAACCAGTTGCCTTTGATGGTCTGGGGATCGACATCTTCGTTCGTGAAAGCGTCAACTAAGTGGAACTTGTTGCTTGAAGAGATGTATAGTAACATGAAACACGTGAGTACGGGCACAGAAAGACCAGTCTCGACTCTCAAGACTTGTCTGATACCAAAAATCGCGACAAAAAACGAAATCGCGGTTACAATGACAATCCCGACCCATAGAGGAACTTTGCCATCCGAAATGGATGCAAGCATTTGACCACCAACGACACAGTTCACAATACTCCAGCCCATCACCCCAATGATAGCCACAAGTGCCACGAACTTCACAAACCACCAACCGAAAAGATACCTTGCCGTGACCATTTGCCTGCAGCCAGACTGGGGACCCATGGTAGAACAGTACCCAGCCACCGCGCATCCGATTGCCATTGAAATCAGGCCGCTCACGAGAGACTGCCTGAACGTAAGCTCAAAAAGCAGGGGACCTAAAAAATACGACGACATCGACGACAGTCCACCCGCAGCACTCAGCCAGAGCCCCGCAACACTCCAAAATTGCTTTTTGGTCCCTCTTTCATAGGGAGGAACTCTTTGAATTCCCGTAGTTTCAACGCCCAAAGCGTCCAGTTTTCTTGACCATTCACCGATTTTTTTCCAGAAACTCGATAACTTAGTATTTTGGTCGGCTATGTCCTCATCTTGCAAAGTCGTTTGAAAAACCTCCTGCTTTTCGATCATCCTTGAAGTTCAGAGCTTTGACTCACTGATCGGAGTTCAATTGGTTCAACTGTTCAGTTATGACTCTTGATGATTCTCATCGAAGATTGTACGTCACGTGAATAGCGTACAAAATGATATATTGGTACTTGAATGCGAGACGAGTTCGTTGCAGTCTGTGTGTGCGGAGATATCTTTTGGTGGCCCGCAAGTGCAATCTTATCTATTGATATTACCGGTATCGGTAGTCGATTGTCCTCTTTTTTTTGGTCGATTTCGCTCCCAATCTCTTAGCATATCGTCTCTCCCAAAATGTAAGCTATGAATATAGCATGTGCATTCAACGGGGTTATCCCCGACAGCCGCGAATCGTGATGAGCCCGATTCGAGCAATCCTTCAAGTCTTCGTAGGTATTCTGTCACCATGATCACGTGATGCTAAGTAGCAATGTACATTAATGATATCACCTTTGATACGTTAGTTCTAATCGTTTTTCAACTATTCAAGAACTTCATCAGTTGTCCAACTCCCTGCCGGTTGTCTCATCGACGAGAGCAAATCCCCAGAATAAGGCAACGAGTAGCAGTGGATTACCTAAAACCACGTGATCTCTCTATCAGAACAATGGCAACGCTCGCGAAGATAGAATACACACTAGCGCTCTGGAAAGTGGAAGGTGTCTAGATGTATATTTGGAAGACGTGGCCGATAGTATTTGAGGTTAGTTATTACGTTTTTTTGAAAAATTAGGCGGGAATATATAAACTTCGGTTTTATATGAGACTTTCTGTCTCAGGGTCTATTAGATTACGACAATTTCGATCACTCCTTGTCTAGCACAGTCTTGACGATTTTGGATAAAGCGTGTTCACAGCTCTGGTAGAACACGCTCGCTGTGCTAGAGCCGACATGAGGTGTAATGGACACATTGTCCAAGTTTTGAACAAGGTAGTCCTCGACTACGGGCTCATTGTAGAAAACGTCGAGACCCAAGTGCCTGATTTTGCCACTTTTTAGAGCCTTTTCCACAGCCGACTTTTCTAAAATGAACCCACGGCCCACGTTGACGAGAATGAGGTCTGACGAGCAACTTTCGAGAAACTTGGTATCAACGAGATGTCTCGTTTCTGGAGTACCCGGTAACGCAATTACAACAGTGGAAAATTGGGCCAATTTCGCGAATAACGTTTCATCAAGCGGGTGAAACTGCCACGCCAACTTGGCGTCGCAAGTCCGCTTCGAGTAGTGTACCTGCATGCCGAGCCCCTGCTCCAATTTATGGGCTATTTGCTTGCCTAAAGAACCCATTCCGAGCACCAGAGCTTTATGGCCTCTGGGCGACGTGACGACGCGACGGTTAGCGAGCACATGGCCAAACGCAAACTCCGGATCCTTCTTTTTGCAGCCGGTCAGCCTGTAACGGGCCACGATCGTGTTTTGATGGTCTCTGAGTGTCGTTTGGATGTATGAAAATTTTCTGAAACCTTCCAAAACATGCCAAAGCACGCAATCCGCAACGTCGTTCCCTACCAGGCTCAATTCTTGTCCATTAGCCGAGGCATCCTCGCTGTTGTTGTAGACTTGGATCCCGTATTTCATGAGTTGGTCAATATCGATGCCGTTGATGCCTCTCGAGCACAGTGCGAGGCACTGCAGTGTATCCTTTGGAAACGCTTCGTGTTCGATCACGGCGGCCGTGAGGCCGCCAATGGGCGCAAATGCCATATATCCGCAGTAAATGGCGCGCAACGGAGCCGTCTTGGAGTCAAAAGTCGCTTTTAGGTAGCGTAAGAAATCGGTGGGATCGGAACTTGAAAACTCGTAACTGAACACTTGAAAATGGGTCTGAATAACGTCATGGTAAATTTGGGAAGCTTCATCTGGCTTTGCAATGAACAGCAGTGCGGGCTTGACCTGTTCAGCTACGGTCATCTTACAAATCGTTGTCCTCTCCACTGAGGCATCGCTAGGAATCTAAAATTTTCACCCGGAAAAGTTAATATAGAGATAAGCGATGACCTAGTGAAAAATTGAAAAATTCAAGAGAATGGCAAAATGCAGCATAGTAATGTCTAGAGCTGAATAGGCGCGTGAATGATGCCGGTAATGCTAATCTTTTGCTCCCAGAAAGTTATCTAAAGCTTAGGGGCGCGTACTACCTGGGATTCGGTGCTGGCCAGATGTGCACCGAAAAATTCGTCGTATATATTGGGTAAAGCACCTTTACCTGTAGTATTGGGCCCCCGTAGGCCGTTCAGCTTGTTGAAAATGGTCTTACCGTTGTCCTGGCACTCGACGATATCTGCGTCGATCATGGCGGCGAGCAAATCGTGCTGCAAGTCGGCGATGTTCTCGATCCCGCAACAGAGCCGCACGATGTCCTCGGGGAACTCACGCTGTTTGCGGAGTTTGGGATCGATCGCGGCGTGGGACATCTTGCAAGGCATGGATATGAGAGAATTGACGCACCCGAACGAGACCGTAACGGCCCAGATCCGAAGTCTTTTGGAGGTCACAAGTCGTTTGGAGTGTTCGAAGGAGCCCGTTTCGAACGAAAGTACTGCGCCGGGCCCACGGTTGAAGGACCGATGTAGTTGGAATTGGGGGTGTGACCGAAGTCCGACGTAGCGGGTCACAAGCGCTTTGTTTTGAGGCGTGCGCCGGAACCCGCAGGAACTTTCGAGCCAGTGTGCGAGCACCATGGCGTTATGTTGTTGCTGGTACAACCGGACGCCAAGCGTCTTGAGTCCACGTACGAGTAACCAGGATTCGAGCGGTGAAAGCCCGCAGCCGGTCGAGTTGACTATGAAATACACCTGTTGCGCCAGGGCACGATTCCGGGTGATAATGACACCCGCCATGATGTCGTGGTGGCCATTGAGATATTTGGTCGCGGACTCGTACACGACGTCGCACTGGAAGTCAAGAGGATTCGCGTTGAGTCCGCTCATCATGGTGTTGTCGACCACGATGAGACAGTCTTTGTTGCGCTGTTTGACGAACGCGGTGAGACGAGGCAAGTCTGCGACTTTACAGATTGGATTCGTGGGGGACTCGAGGACGACGCAGTCGACACGTGGCTGTGCGTCGAACACGGCAACAAAGCGGTCGAAATCGCTCGTGTCTGCGTGCAGGGCGCGCGCATGCGCGCGCCCGCCCAAGAACGTGAGCAGACGCTGCGTACCGCCGTAGAGATCGTCGCCGGCGATCACAGTAGGCGGCGGCGCGCTAGCGCCGCCGCTGCTGCTGTTGAGCACGAGACTGCGCAGGATCACGTCGAGCGCAGTCATCCCGCTGCTCACGGCAAACACCTGGTCGCTGTCGACGCCGTACAGACGCGCGACTTGCTGCTGCACGATCGTACGCGTCGGGTTGCCCGACCGCGTGTAGTCGTACGCCTGCGCGGCGTCCTCGTCGAGCGACGTTTGCCGGAACGTTGTCGACTGGTACAGCGGCGGAACGGAGGCGCCGTGCTGGTCTTTGTGCGCGGGGAGCGACACGAGCTTGGTTTGCAACGAGAGATCTGTCATGGAGAGTTGCGAGGGGCGTTACAGATGTGTCGAGTGGTGGCCGGGGGGTCCTTTGTGGGGAAGTGCCAGTAGATGCGACGGGTACGGACTGGGTAGCAACCGAGTAGCAAATGGGTAGCAGCGCCGTTTGTCACTGTGTACGGACCGAGTCGCAACCGGGTATGTCTCTCTTTTCCTCACCGCAGTCTCCACCGACACATTTCTGTCCCGTTGATATAAGGGCCGCGTCGCTGGCTGCGGCGCCCAGTGCTGGCAACTGTGGTTGAGCAGCGTCGCTGCTCAAGGCGAAACGTCCCACGAAACGTCGCACCGCCCACGTTTCGCAGTGTGCAAATACCTCCGACTCGCCGACGGCGAGCCGGCTCGCCGTCGGCGGGCCGTCGGCGAGTCGTCCTAGTGAGTCGTCCTTGCACGGACAAAAGCGTCACCGCCAACCAAACCCCGCGTAGGTCCGCTCGTCGGTGTTATAGACGGCGCCACAGTTGTCTGCGAGAGCCACAATGAGGGCCCGGTGTGGACAGTGTTTCGTAGGATGTGACAACATATGCGAAGGCCTCATTCGCTTTACCAGAAGCCCCGGGCTGTTCTGTTCGATGGTCACGTGATCGAAGTGACAGAATAAAATTAGAGAAGTGAACAGACGGTCAATGGACAAGAGGAAGTCTTAGGAACCAAACGATTCTAGCGGTGGTCGTGGTGTCGTCACGCCCCGTCAAGCTTGGAGAAAGTAACGGATTCCGAGGTTGGATTTGTGTTACAGGAGTCGTATAAAGGGAGGCGCTATGGCCGGGATCACAACGGTCGTCGCAAGATAATTACTGAGAGATATACGCACCCAACACCCTACCTCCCTTACTATGTAGACCAACTATGAGCGAGTTATATGAGCAGTTCACAAATCCATCGCCTACCGACCACCATAAAAACTGTACTAAGCGAGCCGATATGACCATGATCACAATGGTCCACGACAAACCCCAATAAAACTCAACACCCCTACTGCTTGCAACGGCGCGTCCGAATCTCCCTTTGGATCTCTCGTCGCGATCACGTGATCCCTGGGCCGCCCCGGGAAAGGACTAGTTTTCATGCGCGCGCACGTTCTGGAAACAAAGGCCGCGCGAAACAAAAGCGAAACCAACGCGAAACAGAACGTGTCACGTGTGCGTGTACCGCTCTCTGGCGTGTCCCGGCCAGGTAATCCGTAATCAGAGCTGGAAACAGTGGAGGTGCGAAACAAAGCGGAAACAAAGCAGAAACAAGGTGGAGGTGACGAGATCGATCACGAAATACGAAAATCACGCACCCCCGCACAGCAGGTTTCTGCCCATTATATCCGCACGCAAGGTCTGAGCTGAGTGTTTTGCAACTCTCGCGCTTCAGCTGCTCCACGGACTCGCGCTCACTCACTCTTGTGCAAGCTCACTAGCACACCGCTCTTATCTCCTTTCCGGTTTTCCGGTTCTTTGCAACGATGGCACCATTTTTTTTTCATCAACTTCGCTCGCTGATGCCCTGTGCCGGGACCGAGAACCCGCGACAAACGGCTTCAGCCACGCCCTGCCATGACCTCCAAGCTCATCCCCATCAAGGACCAGGCGGCGCTGGTCCTCGAGGACGGCAAGATCTACAAGATCCAGCGACGCCGGCAGCGCAAGATCTTGAGTTGCGTGCCCTGTCACCAGCGTAAGATAAAATGTTCCCGCGAGCAACCCGCGTGCCAAAACTGCACCAAAAACCATTGGAGCTGCTCCTACTTCCTCAACGATCGCGTGTCGCGCGGGAAAAGCAGTCCTGCTGTCGCGGCCGATCTGCCCTCGCCCCAGCTGCGCGAGAACAGCGCGCCCCCCGCGGGCGATTCCAAGCAACAGCTCCTCATGGCCATCGAGAAGGCCAAGACTATGGTCCAGGACGAGAAGACCCTGCTTGAGCTGCGTAAACAGCACAAGCGCCGGTACGCCCACCGTAAGAAGGCCGCGGACGCGGCCTACGGCCGCTTCCCGCGCGACCCTGCCACTGCCTTGAGCTCCCCGCAATCCTCGTCGACCGAAACGCTGGACTGTGCGTCCAGCTGTGCGCCTACGCCGGCATTCTCGCCGCTCGTGACGGGGTCACCTGACCAGAAGTCGCCGGACGAGTCCGTGTCGCGTGATCTGGGGGTGTCACCTGACCACGGTGTCACTTTTTCGCTTCGGGACATACTACTGTATCTGCCCTCGCGAGCGCGGTCCGAAGAGTTGTGCGACGTCTACAGGAATACGGTGCATCCGATAATACCGCTTTTCAATGTTGAACAGCTGGTGGCAGACCATGCGTTGTTCTGGGCGGGCCTCGAAGCGGGCCCGCCCACGGGCTCGCCCGCAACGAAAGAGTTTTTGCAACTGCTGTTCCCGGTGTTATACGCTGCAACCAAGTCCGAATTCCACCGGCGCAGCAATTCGTCGGAACTTTACGACGAAATGGCCTCCTACCACGAGGCCTCCGACCTGCTTTACGCCATGAACGATTTCCCAAACAGGTATACTCTCCAGTCGCTGGCCGGGTTCGTGCTCATAAATTCGATCATCGAAAACCCAAACATCACCACGATTGCCCAGCTTTCCCGGCTGGCGCAGCGGGCCATGCTCACGCGCGACCCGGTCAGTCACCACAAGATTACGGACTATGCAGCGGTGCAATCGCGCCGGACGCTTTTCTGGCAAATTTTCCAGCTCGACACGATGACCTCGCTTCACAACAATCTGCCGCCTTTGCTGAAACTCGAGGAGTTCGACACGGCGCTTCCCTCCGAGGTGTCCGGCGGCGTATTGGACCCGAGCCTGTGTTTTCTGAACGCCAAGTATCGGTTTGTCGTGTTGTTGAACGAGCTTTGCTCTCAGTCGAGTCGGGGCGTGATTCAGGGAATCAAGGAGCGGATCGTCGATCTACACGCCTGCTGCATGGGAAGCGCATTGTCGCTGACCAACTACAGCAAGCAGAATTTCCCGCGCTCGCCCTTGGAAGCGAAATTTATCGAGTGGGCTGTTTTCATGCTGAACACTTTTGCCGATCGTGCATGCCTTTTGTTGCATCTGAATATCATCAAGACTTCGTTGCCCATGCTCATGCGTCGCCGCAAATTTTGGAGGCGCACTTTGAATGCCGAAGATGAAGCCTCCGAGGACCTGATCGCCAAAAGCGGCTACGGATTGCATTTCCTAGCGATCCAGGCAATCTTAAACGATAGTGGTAACCTTGCGCTCGATCACCATTTGATGGGTGGCTTGGAAACGCCCGTTCCGGGCAAATTGGTCTACAACTACGAAGATCTCACAAACAACTTGATACCCGCCTCTTTGCACTATTTGGACGAGTTTTTGAAATACCATGGCGACGATACTTACTCCTGCTACAATTGGGAGTTGCTCGTTGGGAACATGCCGATAAATGCCATTACATTCGTGTTAAAAACGCTTGCATTGGATCTCAATCGCGCGCAGCGTATAGGGCAAGTGTTGATATTGCAACACGATCTGCGCTACATACTTCTTTCAAAAGCGATTCCCGTTGCGGAGGCCAAGATCGATTCGGATACGGCTATTTGTCGGAACTGTTTCCAGCTTGTCAAACTTTTGTTTAATCTCATCATTGTGAAGTTTGACACTTCAAAAAACGTGCTTGACGCAGCGACGGTCCCAGGTGTGAAACTCTACGCAGGCAAGTACGACGTTGGTAGTCTTGTGATGCAAAACAATCGTGCAAGTGTTGTTCCACAGCCCAGCATTGACCTTCGCGCCGTTGGTAGCGACACGAGCCACTCGGGCCCCAACATGACTGCCAAAACAGAAGTATGGACGGGTCGCGACGCTAGTAGCATCTTGAGTATTACCAGCATCATCAACAGTGGCCATCTTTTCACGAGCAACTTCAACTTATCCGATAACAGCCTTCTCCAAAACGCAATCCGCGCCGATAACGCAGACACAACTTCGTGTGCACTGGTTGCACCCAAGATTATGCGAGAACTGTCGTGCTCGTTTTACAATAATTCTGAATCTACGGAGCCAGCAGAGTCCGCAGGAAGTCTCGCTGTGGCCGACATGTTACTCCGCTCGGAGCCCACAGAGTCACCAGGGGAACTCGACTACCTGAGCTCCTTCAAAAGGGCTCTAGCCAAGAAATCGAACACAGCATCCATAAGCGCAGCGTCGACGAAGGCCCAAATACAAGATATTCGGCAGGATGTCCAGCGGTATATCCTGCTACTGAACGCAGACGCCGACGAAGCTGAAACCATTGGCACGGGCGACGAGTACTACCGCGAATTCGAAAATGCACTTTTGGAAATCATATGCGGCATACTGGCCAGCGACGAGAAGTAAAGCTTCCAGAAAGTAGGAACCATAGAGCATTTATAGAGATTTAGCCAAGCCCGGATATACATTGGATAATCATAGCCAAGCACGCACTAAGAGGTCTCATTTGCGTCTCTCTCGGAGTTCGGCTTATTTCTAGCTGTCTAGTTTCCCTTTTGTTTCCCATATGTTTCCCATATCCATTGTTTCCAAAATCGCCAGCCATGTCCATTATTTCACGATTTTTACCATTTTTCATCATTTTTCAAAATCCCTCCTCAGCCTTGGTATTGAAGCAAAAATGGCACGTTTCCGCGGAAACTCACATATTAACAGCTAAAAGTCAGAAATAGTGCGAAGTCGGATTTGAAGGAAAACAAAGTCTGGTGGGCCTTTGGGGTAGATTGAACACAATCAATTGAGTGGGAATGTCGATTTTTCCTATAGAAAGAACCATTTCCAGCGACACCCTGGTCGGGATCAGCTTTGTCGAGAACAAGACGACGGCAACGGAAGTCGCAACGACAACGGCACCTACAAGTCCGAACTCGCCTTTTAACCTCCAATTGATTCGAAAAGCGATCAATGAGTCTGCGATCGAGAATGATTTGACTGGGAACACGCTGCAGAGTCAGAGTCATGTGGAAGAGATACAGTTGCGGGACCGGAGTTTGATAGAGGAAATGTTGGACCTCGAGGGTAGAACGACGCAAGAGGGGGAATCGAGGCCCAAAAGACGGCTGTCGATCTCTGGTTACAACAGCACGGAGCCCGTGTACTACGAGTACGAGTTTTTCGAGCGTGGGCTTCGGAGAGAACAGCGTGCCGATGACGAGGAAGACATCATGGTGACGGATGACGAAGGTCCCGAAGTTTTCTCGTTTGGGCTCAATAAACAGCGCAAGGGGTCGATGTTCAGCGACTACGCCGACGAGATGGTCATGAATCCGTTGCTGCCGGAGAATGAAGCCGGTACGACCGCTGAGTTGTCGTGCCGCAAAAAACGGAAAAACTACTTCAAATTGAACCTGTTTGGTAACAACAGCGGCAGTGGTGGCAGCGGCAATAAGGACGAGGAAGTGCCACTTATTGATCCGCAACTTTTGAGCGAGGAGCCACAACCGTTCTTGAAGAAAAAATACTTCTGGAGCCGAAAACCTACTGTTCCCGTCACACAGGGCGCTGCTGTGGAAGACGCTACGATGGGCGGTGTCATAAATCCGTCGCAGCTCGTGAACGATGAATATTTGGGTCGTTCCTTGAGCGTGAGTACGAGTGCAAGAGGTTCCTCTTTCAGCTCGCCAGACGGTAGTGTGCATTTTAACGACTCCTCGGAAGCGGGTATCGTGAAGAGGAAAGGCGGGATGCCAAAGACACGGGGCAGGAAACCGTCGCCCATTCTAGACGCGTCTAAGCAGTTTGGGTGCGAATTTTGCGACCGGAGGTTCCGCAGGCAGGAGCATCTGAAAAGACATGTGAGATCGCTGCACATGGGCGAAAAACCCTACAAATGCGAAATATGCGGCAAGATGTTCAGCAGAGGCGACAACTTGAACCAACACATGAAGACGCATGCGAGTAGCGACGCACCATGAACATGTGCGTCGCTATCGCGATACCGAGACATTCGGTGTAAGAAATAATACACACATGCACACCCAGCATTCAAAACAATAATTCCATGCTTAGCAACTAAGATCTGTATACAAGTAACACACTTATAATAAGGACCTTTTATTTGTCATTCACGGGCGGTTGCGTTGGTATCCTGCACAAGATTCATGGGCGCCAATTCTGGGAACTCCTTGAACTCTTCTGGAATGTTGAGTTCAGTACGAAGATCGTTCCCATCGATTGAAAACTCGTGACACAGGAACGCAACGATAATCTCGATATTGTCGGTGATCGTGTCCAGGTTTCGGATCGCCGCAGAAAGATCTCGAGTTTTCTTGGCGATTTTGTCCTTGTTCCATTTGTGCTGCGACACTTTATCGTAATTGGCTCTGAGCTGCTTGAGCTTATTGTCGAGATCCTTGAGTTCTTCCAGAACGGTGTCTCTCCGTTTTTGTTTGCCTTGCACGCTAAATACACTGCTACGTAAACCTTTTTTGTCATCTGCAAGCTTCTGCTTTGTAGCGGCGATGTTTTCAGTGGTATCTTGCAGTTTCTGCTGTAAATGGTCTCTCTCCTGCACGAGTTTCATTTGGATCTGGCTCTCAAAACACCAGTAAACGTTCACGTTCCCGCATTTTTCCACCGTGATTATCCCGTCTTCGTCTATCATCTGCTGGACGAGATCCTTGACTAGCATCGAAGAAACACCCGGGCAATTCTTGGGGATGAGTTTTTCTAGTTCTTTCATGCTGTACATTGAGTATTCCCCTTGGAAAAATCTCAATATACTGGCTTTCTTGTCCGCTAGTGAGGTCGTCTTCTTAGGCGGCTAAAGCTGCTGCGTTAGTACTATTTACTTACAGGTTCTATAAAGAAAAGGCTAAAGGTTTCTGTATGAGCAGGATGCGGCTAACCATTTAGTTTGAAGTGCTGACGTTTGCAGTCTTGGTAAAGTGGTGAGAAATGGGAAAGGTCTGTTTTCCTGCCGGCGGCTATTTATATTATGGTTATGGTTACCCGGATAGACAAGGGAACACACACCATATAAATGCTGAACAAAGCATGTAGGGAGCAAGGAGCTACATTTGAATTGGGGGTTACGAACCTGTTCGAAAGCGACTTAAGCTTACGTGTGATACGCCTGGTACGACGTGAGTGGGCCAAAACGGGACTTGCTAATTCTGTATCACGTGACCCGTTAAAACTCCGAAAACCGTTGAGACCGGTTACGGGCAAGCAGTGCCGAGAATTTGGAAATCCAGCAAAGATGCCAATTTACCGCCACACGCGAGTCTGTTTAATTCTTAATAGTTGACACGACTGAAAATACGGCTCTAAATCTTATGGCAGATGAGTCGTTGCTCGATAAAGTGGGCCGGACAGCCAGTATTCCAGAGTACGACCCCAGAAGAAAAAGTAACACCTACATAAAAGTTAAGGCCCAGAATTAGACAACACTTACCAGACGCCACGATTTGTTGACAACTGGTCATGCTCCCAGGTGTGTATACCTCTCATTCTTGTTTGAGACAGTTTCAGTGATATTTAAAAACGAAAAATATAAGCCTTGGCCTGTACAGAAATACGCAAAGGACAAGATAATAGGTTCATAAATGGAGTCGTGAAAATAGGTAATAATACGTTGGAGATTGGACCGGGGGTGAAGGAAGACCAGTTAGCATTCGAGTTTAATTAGGTTTTTAAGGAAATGAGTGGAGACGGAGTCAAGCACGTACATAATGATATCTTATACCAAACCTGAGTAAAGGGACATCGGTGAAAGATAGAGAGAGAGAGAGAGAGACCTGGTCGGATTCTCAAAGGAACGTGGACGCACGGAGGCAAGTCAAGCGGAGCGAGAATGCGTTATAAAGGTAATAAGGCAATTGAGCGAGAGCTCAAAAATATTATCAATGCCCCTCAGAACGCAAATCGGTGTGGTGAGTGTGGAGCAGCGTTTCCAACTTGGTGTTCACTAAATTTGGGAGTTTTGTTGTGTGGACGATGCGCATCGGTACACCGAAAAATCGTCGGAGAGCGTGGAAATGGCAGGGTGTATTCCGAGGTTAAGTCCTTGAGTTTGGACAAGTGGACCGTCGACGAAGTGGAAGAATTGGACGAAAGCGGTGGGAACAAGAAAAACAAGACCGTATGGAATTCGGCAAACGAACCATTCCCTTTCGATGGCGACGAAGACCGCAGCCAGGTTGAAAAGTTTATTCGCGACAAATACGTGCTTGCCAAGTTCAGAAGAGATCCGATCAGACCCGACGAACTGGACAACTCGCGGGCGTCCTCACGGACGCCCTCGCGGTTGAGCAACAACGCGAGCCGGTCGTCGCTAAGCAGGCCACCTTCGTCGGCGTCGAGTCGTGCACTACCGCGGTTGACACACAGGACCGTGAAGGATCGCGAAATCGGGAAGTACGCGAGCCAGCTACGCCGTATGCGCGACCTGGGATTCATGGACACGGATTTGGTCGTTGAAGCCCTGTGTCTCGCGCGCGGAGACATGAATCTTGCTCTAGACATCCTAGATGCAGACGCAAAGACCAGTAGCAGCTCTCGATTGAGCTCCAGACAAAATCCACCTTTGCCTCAACGACCCTCTAAAACGGGTCCACAACCAGCCTCATTCGATGGATCCGAGTTCACGGGCAGTGCGCCTCAGCCTGCTGTCTTTGACGGGACGGTGCAACAGTACATGGACCCACAAACCGGAATGATTTATGTCGATGAAAACCAGTACGCGCTGGCGCTTCAGCAACAAAACTTGCAACAGCAGGCGCTACAGCAGCAAGCACTACAACAACAGACGCTACAACAACAAGCCTATCAGCATGCGCTCCAGCAACAAGAGTTCCAACAGCAGGCCTATCAACCCCAATTCCCATCCTTCTCACAACAGCCGCAAATTGACAAGGGATCTCTCATGTCGCTGTATAGTCAACCCACCACCTATACGAGCCCCGTTGAAGTTGAGCCCTCAAACCCACAATATCAACAGATACTGCAGGCACAACATCAACAGCAGCTACAACAACAACTACAGCAGCAGCAGTATCAACAGCAACTGCAGTACCAGCAGACGAACAGTAATGCATCCCAAGGGTTCCAAGGTTATTATTATTAATTTCATACCCTCATGTCAAGCTCTATGCCGATGTCAAATACTCATTTGTTACTCACTTTGCTACTCATTTTCTTACTCAATTCAAAAAACTCATTTCGTATAAAACAATATCTTCTCCATCTTAATGTGGCCCTCATCGCCCTGAATATAAGAAGCGCCCCCTGGTTTGAGGCCCGCCCTTCCTAAGTATTAGTCACACATAAACACTTGGACAGTAACAAGTGGAAATAGCAGACAGCAGTCTCGTGTTATTTAAAGGAACACGTAGTTGTCAGCATATTTTCTAATGATACAAACCCTGTTTTCGAACGAGATCAAAACACGGATCATAGTATAATTCCCGGCGCGAAAACATTTGGATCAGAGAGAGAGTGCGTGTGTATTCGGGCCTTGGTAACGTCTGGCGCGCAAAGATAAGAAAGCAGAGGGGGGATGAACGCAAATCAGGAGTCAGAGTCGCAGCAGCAGCAGCAGCAGCAGCGGCGTCTCACGATTGCCGATAAATATGTTTTGGAAGCCGAGATTGGCAAAGGCTCGTTCGCGACCGTCTACAAGGGCCGTTTGATTGATAATAATGAAACGAAAAATAAAGATTCTATTGCTGTGAAAGTCGTGTCGCGTACCAAACTAAAAAACAAGAAGTTATTGGAAAATTTAGAGATTGAAATCGCGATTTTGAAGAAAATCAAGCATCCGCATATTGTGGGCTTGATGGACTGTGAGCGGACTGCGACCGATTTTTTCCTGATAATGGAATACTGCGCTTTGGGAGATCTAACTTTTTTTATCAAAAAGCGCAAGGGTGTCGTAGACAAACACCCTGTGGTCCGGTCGGTTTTTGAGAAGTATCCGCCACCCAGCGAGTTGCACAACGGTCTTAACCGCGTTTTGGTAGTCAACTATTTACAGCAGCTGGCTTCTGCTTTGACATTTTTGAGGTCCAAAAATTTGGTGCACCGCGATATTAAACCACAAAACTTGCTACTTTCAACACCCCTTGTCGGATACCATGATCGTGACACATTTCATGAAAAGGGCTATGTCGGAATTTACAATTTACCTATACTCAAAATAGCCGATTTTGGGTTTGCGCGGTTTTTGCCCAACACGTCTCTTGCAGAGACTCTGTGTGGTTCCCCGCTTTACATGGCACCAGAAATTCTAAACTATCAAAAATATAATGCAAAGGCCGATTTGTGGTCGGTGGGCACAGTTCTGTACGAAATGTGCTGTGGAAGACCTCCTTTTAAAGCGGCGAATCACCTTGAATTGTACAAGAAAATCAAAAAGGCGAACGATATAATAACTTTCCCAAGCTACTGTGACATCGAACCAGAAATTCGGGAACTCATATGTGGGTTACTGACCTTCGATCCTGCCCAACGCATGGGATTTTCTGAATTTTTTGATAACAAAGTAGTGAGAGAGGACCTCTCGCGGTTTGAGCAAGAGGAAATACCTAACCTTGAAGACAAATCAAAAGATGTTGCAGAGAGCAACATGTTTATTTCCGAGTATTTGACAAAGCCAGTGAAAAAGACATCTAGCGAAAGTGACAAGGACATCGAATCGGCGACAAATTCCCCACAATCCTCCGTCAAGCCCACAAATCCTACACCTCGGGTATATGCGGGTCAAAGTAAAAGCGGATTGAAAAAGGCAGACCCAAATACCCATTCGGATGTGTCAATAGAAAGAGAATACGTTATGGTTGAGAAGAAAAGTGTCGAGGTTAATGCGTTGGCTGATGAATTCGTAAATTACGGAATGGCCTTGCAAGAAAGAAAATCACCAAGTTTGAGTCAACCACTATCACAAGCAACACAGCCCCGGCAGCAGTCGCAGGCCCAACAGCGGCAACAACATTTTCAATCGACTTCTCAACATGAACAGCCAAAACATGTACACGCTCCGATGCAGCAGCAACCCATCAGCATGTTGCATCGAAATTCGAGAAATTCTTCGTCAAGTGGAGGATCCGTAACGCGAAGGCCGTCCTTGATAGAGCGTAGGTTGTCGATATCTTCGCTTAGTCCATCAAGCGCTTTGACACGCGCGTTGGGCGTCGCCTCCACGCGACTTTTTGGACACCAGCAGGCAAGTGTCTCGTCATCGCCCAATTCAAACGCAAATCAGCCGATCCTTGATCAGCAGGTCTTTCAAGAGCTAACTGAAAATGTTCTTTTACGTGCAGGCCACCAGGACACCTCTTCTAAGTTCAACGGGCCTTATGATGATGTAACGGTCATTCCTGTTTTAGAGACATTGGCGGCCAAGGCATTTGTCGTATATTCATACGCAGAGATAAAGTTCTCCCAGATCCTTCCACTGCCAACTTTAAACGCCAACGGTTCGTTCAGAAAGCGTCTTAGTAACGAAAGTTGTGCCATAGAGGAGGAAGATCATCATGAAGTTGATTCGATGATAGGAAACATAGCAGAAACGGCTAGAAGTAGAGCTTCCAGTAACGTATCACGTATGGGGTGGGGATCGAATGACCTTCCTGTGTGGGAGTTGAGAAGGTTGTGTACTGAGGCAATTGTCCTCTACATGAAGTCTCTGGCTACCTTGGCAAAAGCTATAAACATTACGTCTATCTGGTGGTACCAATCACAAGAAAGAAACTGTTCGATGAAATTGAACGTTCTTGTGCAATGGATTCGAGACAAATTCAACGAGTGTTTAGAGAAAGCGGAGACTTTGAAGCTGAAATTAGAAACCAAGTCCTCGCTTCCACAAGATGGTGAAGCTACAATTAAAGGTTCGAGCTCTCATGAAATTCAGGACAACATTGATAACGTGCTCGATAGCGATGAATTTCAAAACGAGCCCGTTTTTCTCGAAAAATTAATCTACGACAGGGCGTTGGAGATATCCAAGGCGGCTGCGAAACTTGAAATACAGGGAGACAGTCTCAACAGCTGCGAATTGGCGTATGCTACATCTTTATGGATGCTAGAAACTGTTCTTGACAATGCCGCCGATGACGAAGCTTTTGAAAACTCTACTTTCGGTATAGCAGGAGTCCTGGATGATGCGGACAAAGAAATGATCAGAAAGTATATTGACAGCATATCCAAACGTCTCAAAGTTCTTCGTGGAAAAATGAACAGGAAATAGATTTTTTGTGCCTAAGACGCTTGACCAGCAGCGTGGACTGAGAATGAAATCAGATCTAAATCTATGGCTAATTTGCATTTATAATGGTGCGTCTTTTTGGAAGTGGCGGTCTAAAGCAGGCTCGAAGCATGCTCTTTTCGAGCCAACCGGAAGCTCAGGTCAACCGCAATTTATAATACTTTTTAGAAGGTTTAACAAATAAAGGTTTATTCTGACCAAGGGGGTCAGAAATTGAATGTCGTATAGTTAGGATTGCAAAACGTCCCAATCATGAGAAATGCATCAGTTTATTAGTCGTTAATTCTACTTTATACATAGCATGCAAAGGGCCCTATGGGGATCCAGATTTTGAGCGGTCATCCTTTAGTAGACCCACACTTACAGATTTAGATCTATAGCGGCCCCCGTAATCTCTGTCTCGGTCTTCTTTTCTTGAGACGCGTGGACTTGAGGATTCATGTTTAATAAAAGCGCCGTCGTCATAATGGTTGACATAGAAGTTCGTACCTGTCGCTCTGCTTTCGGGATACCTCTGCGGAACAGCAACTGATGTTCTTCTGCTAGAACCAGCTGATGTCAGGACACTCTTAAGAAGATTTTTCGAAGTGACGTGTGAGTCTCTTCCTAAATTTACATTCACAACTTGGCTTGGGTTTGTCGATAAGGTCGGAGTCATGACTCTGCTGGAGGATAACATGAAAGGCTCGGCCTTCGGCGATTTACTCAGTCTAGAGGGACTCTGCCAGCCTGTGGGGCCACAGAAACTATTTCCTGGATTAACCGTCAATGAAGTGTGCGAATTCTGATGTCCATTTGCTTCAGGAATCAGATTCAGGACATCCTCTGGCACATCAACGCCAGCGTCGATTTTATCATTCAAATATAAGTTTGAAGAGCCCAACACAGAGCCATTGATAGTCGATCTGCTCTCTGCTTTTTGAAAGATGGGAGTCAGGGTAGAGGAGCTGTTTGTATACGACGGATTGAATGTGACCCCTGAAGCATCGGCGGCAATAGTATTTGGCTTCATATCTGGAATGTGGGCTCGTCTTGCATTTGCAACTTTCGATCTATTGGTTCTATTTGAACTGCAAGCACTTGAGCTTGATCCTTGCCTTCGAAAATGACCGTTATTGCCGACATTCAAAACCAGTTCATCGTCTAAATCCTCCTCACTTTGACTAGATGACGTTCTTGAAAATGATGGCCGCGCAAATCCCGGTAACTCGAAATCCCTAATTGAAAGAACACTTCCATGCTCAGAATCAACTCCAAACTCAAAGGGTAGCGAATCCGCATCTGAGCAAGAACTGCCAGAAAAACGGCTGTCTGACGATTCTGTCATTACTGACCTCGATGATATCTCATCATAACAACTGCTTGAACCTTCTCTGCTGTCTGATTGCTTTTGGACTTCATGCATGGTCTGATCGCGTTTGGCTAAGCCACCGCCAACTCTCTCTTGAGCTCTCCCTTTGTGTTCTGGAGAATACTTTCCAAGGGAATCCTTCTCATGGGATGTAATATTAGCCAATACTTCTGGATGTTGATCCGAAGGCGCCCTTTCTTCGCCGCAGTCTACAGGGAACTTCATTCCAGAATTAGCACCCTTGGCACCAAACGAAGCTTCACTACCATCGTCTTTGTGCTGATTTTCTATTAGAGGCAACGCGGAAGCGTTATGTGGTCTGCGGTCTGAAATTCTAGAATTAAGCGACAAGGTCCCATAGTTGAGATTTGCTGGAGAGATGACTCTCCTGTTTTGACCAAATGTCTTGTTTGCATTTATTTTGGAATTCATTCGTCTATCTGAATTGTGTGCTAGCATTGGTTGTCTAGCAAAGGCGCCATTTCTACCGTAGCTAGAAGGCATTTCAGGAGATATTTGCTGCTCCGACTTTCCCTTGAATCCCGCATATGAGTCAATGTAAAGGCTATCCAAAGATGCAAAGGATGAATTCACCGGCAGAGAGACTATAGAGTCCGGGTCTCTTTTCTTATCGAACTTCTCAAGCTCCTGTTGAAAAATTTCTCGAGCGCTGAGCTCAGGAGAAATTTCATATTGACCTTTCGAGTTCACGATGGGGCTTTCGCTTAAAATGAATTGACCACTGCTGCTGTTGCACCTGTCAATACCAGCCCTGTCCCCATTTCCTGGCTGCGTATCTTCAAGTACCCCAGTGCTGTCATCAAGATTATTGCTTTTTGAACAAAATTTATGTGGGTTTAGATTTAGACCTCGGAAGTTCTTTCCAAGGCCTACTTCGTCAACGAAAGAGCGACCTACTTTGTTGCCTATCCCACACACGGCATTATTGAGTTCATGCGGAGAGATAGATATTTGTTTGTAGTCGCGACCCAATGTAGTTTCAAAAATCCTCTGCTCGTTTTCCCTAGATGTCGTTAGTCGAGTATCTTCTTTATGGTGGTCAAAATCCCAGCGGACAAATGGGTGGCTCTTAATTTCGGGTATTGACATCCTCTCGTAAGGGTTTTTCACCAAAAGTTGTGTTAGCAAATCTTTAGCAAAATTGTATTCCTTAGCACTAGAAATTTTGGAAACATCGTTAGAATTCATCTCATGGAAGGATTTGAACTCGAGCGGTTCGTTTATTATTTTCATGAATAAGTCCAATTCAAAGTCCGAGATAAATGGTAACATGCCAAACAGCAAGCAATGGAGTGTAACTCCTAGAGCCCAAATATCTATTTTGAATGAAATAATAGATTCATCTTGTTTGGTTTGATTTTTGGGAGGTGGGAACTTATCAGCAGCCTCATGGCCAAGACATATTTCGGGAGCAAAGAAAGCAGGAGTCCCCGCAGTTTTGGCCAGCTCCAATTCATCTATATTCTCATTACCACCTTCGCCTGTGCTCGCAGCAAGTGAAACGCCAAAATCTGATATCTTGACTACTCCGTCTTCTGAAATGAGTAAATTCGCGGGTTTTATATCGCGATGTATAATACCTTGATAATGCAAGTACTCGAGACCCAAGACGACACCTCTAAAAATTTCACGAGTACGTTGAAAGGTCAAAAGAGGTGGACCTCTTGCCTCTGTCTCCATTTGGTCTCCATGACACCATTTCACCTCGCCCTTGGCACAATATTCCAAGACGAGATAAATTTTGCGAGATGTCAAATCATCCAGCACTTCGATAAGTTTAACAACGTGTTCATGATGACATTTCTTCATAATGGCAATTTCCCGTTTGATTTTGTTATCGTCAGTATTTTTTTTGAATGTGAACCGATTCCGCTTACCTCCATGACGATCGACGATTTTAATCGCGACCAATTGTTTAGTGACCAAATCCTTTGCCAATTTAACTTTCCCATGCTGTCCATGCCCTAATTCCCTGATGATTTCATAGGTATTTAGCACCTTCCGTTTCGATATGGGATCATATTCCAAACTAATTTTATTCGTTTCTTTCACCCGCGAGAGACTTGGACGCGCCGGTAATGAGATGTGATTTTGATGCATTGGATGGTTCAGCTGTTTTTGTCGTTGCTGTTCTAAAAGTAGATTTAACGAGTCTGTTGAAGACCCTGCGGATGATTCATAACTTCGACTCGGCACTGCTTTCACCAAATTTCGCCCCTCGTTGTCGAAAACCTCAAGTTCCAGTTGTATATTCGGTGGAATATCAAGCTTCCTAGGTTCACCAGAGACTTCACTCATGATATTTGGACGACCTGTTAAACAACAATAGCTGTTCGGTATGCGGCGAACCTTTTTCAATAGAATGTCCACCTCTGCTATTCGTTCGAAGGCGCACAACAAATAGCTTGACTATCCAAATCGAACCTCTGCTCTTAAAACCCGTCTATCTCACTTCAATACCAACTGTTTATTCTGGAGTTTCAAATGGATGGTGTTTTATCGACGGTTTTTTAAGGTCATTTTTTTTCTTCCAGCCTGAAAGTTGGGTAGATGCCAGATTGACAGAGCGCCATCATTAACTTGAAAACTGGAATAAAGGAAAACATCCGGGTGTATATACATATATATTGAGATCGGTGATGAAAATTATCATGGGATAGCAACAATCTCTCGAAAATTGAGGAGTTTCTGAGCCAAGTTCGTCTTTTTAAGATATTTTTATCTTGCCCAAATGTATAATGCATTCTATTTGACTGACACGGCAAATTCGATCCATCAAACGGAATAAAAATTGTCAAGAAATATCCTGACAAATGCATGCCCTTTTTGAAATCGCACACATGGATAATCCATTTTTTTGATGGCCTTTAAATCGAAATTGACGTGCGTTCCTCGAAAATCCAGAATTGCCTTTGGCCTGAAGACAAATTCCTTACGCTGCAGTTAATGTCGACAGGGAGTGAAGGAATGTGATCACCATCGCTATGGAGAAACCAGTAGCGTTACTTCATAATTCCAGCCTTCCAGCCTTCTAGCCCTCCAGATACCCCACTATCTCGGAACCGTTGGAAAATCAAACCGCGCCTCAAGTTCAGCAGGATCGGTGCTAGTATATGCTTCTTGTTCTTTCTGTTTTCTCAATTTGGCTGCTGCTATTTGTTTCTTTAGCTGTAGCCGGCTTCCAAACATTACGTCACTCATACTGAACTTGCGTTGAGCTTTTTGATGTTGTACCACCGATTCCAATGATCTCTGATACTGTGATTCTAACGACTCTCCAAGTGCTTCCTCAGATGCTTCTTCATCTTGCCCGTCGTCTTTATCTTTGTCACCGTTATTCGGCTTCTTTATGAATATACCCTTGACCCATCCATCCCAATTACCCGAGGAGTTTGCCTGCTTGGAATCGATAGCACTCTTCAATCGTTTCACTTCTTCAAGGGCATCTAGATACTCCTGGGTATGAATAGGTTTGGCAAATTGCGGATTATCCTTCAAATGTAGTTCACAACAGTAGAACCAATCCATTCCTTGATTCTGGAAAAGAACGCATGTTGTTGGCAACGAGCATATGATACAACATTGGGCATCTTTGGACGCTACTTTTCGTTGTATGTACTCGTTGTTCATCTTGCTGCGCCTGGCCTCTAATAGTTCAAGTTTCGACGTTATCTTCAAAACTTTTGAAAAAACGCTTTCAGTGAAAGAAGATCATGGACCCTTTTAGCCAGCTTAGCTTAGTGCTGACCGCAAGTTTAATCGGGTTTCTTCTGGTTGCTTCCGGTTTCTTCGGTTCATCTTTTCATTGTTGCCTACACATTCTATAGATTCTTCTTTGCCCTGTCCCAAGCACTCTTGGGCTTCTTGGAAGCTCTTCTGGTGGTACTATCATCGATTCTGCGTTTCGAATTGAAAATACCAAAATCTTCACCACCAATCATGTTTTCTTGAGCAGCCCGTTCTCGTTGTTTAGCCCTACGTCTTTCTTGTTTGTTCCCCACGGCATTCAGTCTGGTGAAATTATCCTCCTCGTAATCCTTAACACGTTGATCCTTTCTAGCGTCCCTCTGGGACTTGACACCGCCACGACCGTGATTTACAATGTTAGCACCCACGGAAGCTTCCCATTCAGGTTGTTCTGACATTTCGTTGATGTAGTCTTCCATGGCTTGCATCCGCGACCTGCCACTCCTGTCCTTGTGGTCTCTCGCATTGAATTTGTCCTCAAAATGGTGCTGCGGTGGTAACACCGCACTGATCTTGGGAGGTTTGTATCTACTGGTCCCGCTAATTTCATCAGCGTTTGCATCGGCGTCACGATTCTGGTCAACAGCATCGGCTACGAATCTGCCTTGGCTTCCAGTGTCATATGTTGCCACGGCAGCGGCGTTGGGCCGGAACAAGCTTTCGTCTTCCTCTTCACTGCTGTCGTCGTCATCAGCAACCGATACATGCGTCCGCTCTGCGGCTCTTTTCTCAGCCGCTACGTATTCATTCTCCATCCTGGAATAAGCCTGCACCAATTTGTCCAGCTGGTAGGCTAGTTTTTTCTCCAAAGGTTTCACACCTCTTTCCAGCGTAACCCGATGCTCAATGGATCGTTGTCTCCCATTTTGAGCCGTAGCGTCTTTCTGTTCTAATTTTTCACCGATCACCATCATCAAGCTGTTAATGTACGCAAGCATGCTACCGTTTTTCAATGACAACAACGAGACTTTCTCCGCGTCTTTCCCACCGATGACTTTATCCATTACTTTGGCTTTAGTGTCACTATCTCCATCAACATTGGACGTGTATTGATCGCGCAAATGGGCCAGAGAGGTTGAAACAGAATTCAAGGATTCATTGACCCGTTTTAGCACGGATTCTAGGCTGCTCATGTCTGAACTCTTCTCTAAACTACCTGCGAACTTTTTACCATGTCTAGAGCCCATCTCATCTCATCTCATCTCATCTTAAAAATTTTCCAGAATCATCATGAACGAAATGACTTTTTAAAAGAAACCTAATCTCTCTATATCGACGAAAATTTTTAGTTCAAGGTTTTGACATGCGATGAGCTGTTAGAACTGTAGTTCGATCAAGCAGAAAGTAGCATAAAGATGCCCCAGAACGAGTACATTGAACAACATATCAAGCAGCATGGTCGCAGGCTCGACTATGAGGAAAGAAAGCGGAAGCGGGAGGCAAGAGAATCTCACAAAGTTGCGGAGAGAGCTCAGAAATTAACTGGATGGAAAGGTAAGCAATTCGCTAAGAAAAGGTATGCAGAAAAGGTGGCGATGCGTAAGAAGATCAAGGCCCATGAGCAGTCGAAATTGAAGGGACCTTCGAAGCCCGCAGCGGACTCTGGTGAGGCGTTGCCCACGTATTTGCTGGATAGAGAAGAGACGAACACCGCCAAAGCGATTTCGTCGTCGATTAAACAAAAACGGATGGAAAAGGCTGACAAGTTTTCTGTGCCTTTACCCAAAGTGCGTGGTATCAGTGAAGAAGAGATGTTCAAAGTTGTCAAGACCGGTAAGTCCAAGTCTAAGAGCTGGAAACGTATGATTACGAAACACACGTTTGTGGGTGACGGATTCACCAGGAGACCTGTGAAGACGGAACGGATCATTCGTCCGTCGGCACTGCGTCAGAAAAAAGCCAACGTGACTCATCCAGAACTCGGTGTCACTGTTTTTCTACCGATTCTGGGTGTGAAGAAGAATCCGCAATCGCCTATGTACACACAGCTGGGTGTCTTGACCAAAGGTACCATTATCGAAGTCAACGTGTCCGAATTGGGGATGGTTACTTCGGGCGGTAAAGTCGTGTGGGGTAAGTATGCCCAAATCACGAACGAACCTGACAGAGATGGTTGCGTGAATGCGGTGCTTTTGGTGTAGAACCTACCAGGAATATTTTTGCTGCATTTCAACTAGTCATTCTCGCCAAAACGCGGTTGTCATCGTATGTAACACTTCCGCGTATGTACATTATCTATATCAAACCTGGACTTCGACTCACCCGCGTCGGAAGCCGTCGCGGGGCCCAATTGGCCATAGAGCTGTCCAGACCACGTGATCAGCCCAAACCACATCTATTTTTAGCTTCTGAACCCAAAAAGAAAGAGGTGCCTACAGGCACAAAGGCACGAAGAGCGGACTTATATGATCGGCGCCTAAACTGCCTAAAGAGGCAAGATGTCTCCGGCGCGTAGCGTCGTCAAGTCCGTGTACTTAGGACCCAGAGCGACAACGAGTACGACTTTCTCTTACACTAAAGGCGTACACGTTACAACCACAAAGAGACCCTAGCACCCGCGAGTGGCGCTGTCCACTACAACGTGGACCGGCCGCAGTCACAGTAAACGACATGGCCAAGGCGGATCATCTCCGCCCTACGCGCTAGCAAACACGAACGAAAAAAAAGATATTCCTGGCAATCTTTTCTCACACACTCTTTACACACCGCATACCAGAACTTTGAGCTGTACAAAGGCCACCAACTTCCCCGTCACTCAATTGTTCACCGCTGACCTGGGATCACGTATATGGTATGTATAGAAAGAGGTGGCGATTCGAACAGGAGCGTCCAGTTTTGATCTAGATCAAAAGTTTATGTAGCGAGACACAGTTGCCAAATTAGGGATGGAGAGAGGCACAACGTGGCAAAAAACTCTCAAGGCAAGGGGCGACTACGCTACCTTGATTTGATCTACGGGAGCGGCTTTTGGCGGCGGCTCTTTACAGTGGGAAGGGAGCGCACGAAGGGGGCGGCCGGCCGTGTTATCGGATAGAACGGGCATAGAACGGCCGTCACGTGGTTGTTAAGGGAACGAATGGGTTACGAGATGGATCTGCGTACAGTAGTTTCGTGGAGCTGGGTCTGGGGCTGGAGCTGGGGCTGAAGCTGGAGCGGGAGCTGGGGAGTAGGGCTAGGGCTGGGCACTGCTTGGTTGCCCGTTCCTCAGAATCACGTGACTTTCTCTTCCTTAGGTGACGTGGATATTACCAAGTGTGGGACGGACGTCTGGTAGAACAGAAGCAGAACAGCGTAGAGCTGAGACTTTCTGTCTATGGATAGATCCTACCATTCCTCGATCCGACGGAACGGAAGATCTAAAACATCCGTCAGCGCCGCCACCGGGAGTGATAAAAAAAAATCCTGTGAGAAAACAAGGCGATCCAAAGGATCGTGACAATGTTTCCCGTATATGCTTCCAACTTCTGGACTGTTCTAAATTTTGACAACGGCTTTTTTCTCTCCCCGCCGCCCGGCTTCCTCTTCTTTTTTTTTTTTTTTTCGCTCCCTTCCTGCAGCTTTTCTTTCTTAAGAAAACTGCGCCATTTGCCGTATGTGAATTTTTACGAATCAAGGCATCCAAATCGCGATCCCGCAAGCCGCAATTCTCCTTCAATCTAGATCGAAATTTTCGTGGACGGGCACCCGGGCAGCCGTCAAAAAAGTGAGTTTAGAGTGGGTTTTGGATAATCACCAAATTGAAACCATTCTTTTTTTTTTCCCTGACCTGATCCTGCCGGGTCTGATCTGATTTGGTAAAAATTCATTGCACTTTTTTTCTTTGGGCTCTTGACTAGTACCAATTTCTGATTTCTGATCCAGCGTAGTGATCTTTGCGCTGTTCGTTTCAACAAACACATCGCTAACGTGGATACGCTCGGCTCGGATCAAGTCACGGAAAAAAAGAATTCGGGCGTGGTCCATCGTTTGTTACTTCAGTTGCTTTCTTTTGCATATTGTCTTTGAAATTCGCACTCCCGCCCCTTCACTCACGCCTTCTTCTCCTTCCACCGACTTCAGCACTGTTTTCCCCCAGCTTTTGCCAGGGACTTAGAAGACTAACCGTCACACCCACCACAGCGAATCCTCTCAGCATTGCACACGCACATTGCTAGGTATCAACACATCCAAACCAAACCCATTTCTGCTTCCTTCTGCCCGTGCTTTTGGCCCGTGTGCTATCCCTGATGTCGTACCAGCAGCACCAACCACAACTCTCGGTAAACTCAGTGCAGTCGCTTGTTGAACCAACAACGCCGCCGCTGGGCCAGATGAGCAACCGCCAGAATCACCAACGTGCACAATCGCTTGATCTCTCTGGATTCAACCAATTCATAGCTGGAAATTCGCCCATGATGCCCATGTCACTGTCTCCATCGACTCCATCTGCGATCGGTCCCATGGGACTTGGATGTTCGCTTGGTGGCATTCCCGGTGCAATATCAATTCCGCAATCGCTTTCCAGCTCTTTCGGAGCCCCGCCGAATACCACAGATATTCCAAATCCGTCTCTTCCAGCGGCAACTGCCACGGTAACGAATTCAGGCCCAAATGGGAGATCCAAATTTGGCTCTATGCCCCTGATAAGTGAACTCGATCTCTCATCCGGTCCGAATCAGCCGCTAGCGGCAGCAGACCTCGCACATTCCAACTCTCGAGTCTCGCTTCCCCTCCGCACTGTGAGCGGCTCGACTACGTCGTCCTCAATTTCAACTGGTAACTCACTGGCGAACTCGATTATGAACACCGAAAGCGGGAATGCCAGTTCCGGTCTTGCCCCTGTCGAGCTCAGCCTTATCCCGTTAGAGGATTTAGATTACGTCAAGCTTGCAACAGATCAATTTGGCTGTCGGTTTCTACAAAAAAAACTAGAAAACGCCCAAGAATCTCAAACTGTGCGCGATATCATGTATCAACAACTACAGCCCTTCTTTTTGGATCTCATTTTGGATCCGTTTGGCAACTATCTCGTACAAAAACTTTGCGAGTACTTGACCTCGGATCAAAAGACGAAACTCATTCAGAGTATCTATCCCAACGTCTTTCAAATTTCCGTAAATCAATACGGCACTCGTTCTCTGCAAAAAATTATCGATTCCGTTGATACAGAAGCCCAAATAGACATGATCATTTTGGGGTTTTCAAAGCAGTACACTTCCATTGAGCAAGTAGTAGTGTTGATCAACGATCTAAATGGCAATCACGTGGTCCAAAAATGCATATTCAAGTTCCCACCTTCAAAATTTGACTTCATTATCGACGCTATTGTCGAAAACAACAATATCATCAATATATCGACCCACAAGCATGGATGTTGCGTCTTGCAGAAGCTACTAAGCGTCTGTACTCTGCAACAAATTTTCAAGATTTCCGTCAGAATTGTTCAGTTTCTTTCTGGCCTGATAAACGATCAATTCGGCAATTATATCATTCAATTTCTTTTGGACATCAAAGAACTGGACTTCTATTTACTACGGGAAATCTTTGATAGATTATCGACCGAGCTCTGTCAGCTATCATGTTTGAAATTCTCATCTAACGTTGTCGAGAAGTTTATCAAAAAACTTTTCGCAATTGTTCAAGGGTTTGTGAATTCTAAAACTCCTAAAGGCATCGATGATGTCACATCTACTGCAATGAGCATTTTGCTCACGACGGTGGATATTTTCACTGTGAACTTGAACGTCCTTATTCGGGACAATTTCGGTAACTACGCACTTCAGACTATGCTCGATGCGAAGAATTATTCTCATTTCTTAGAATACCCTCAGAGAGCATATGTGGCTCGGTCAGTCGAATGCTTGCGATTCAGTCAAGAGTTTGCATTGAAAATTGGAAATTTAGTAATTCTCACCAAGGAGCTTTTGCCTAGCATAAAGACAACTTCTTATGCCAAGAAGATCAAAATGAAAGTGAAGACATACGCCGAATTGACTGGAATCGCTTTCACGGACCTTTCTCCAAAGAAAACCAGCAATAACGCTAACCCTAACGCTTATCAAAGCAACTATCATAGAAAACAGCATTCACGCAATTTATCGTTGCCTGCAAATGCCTTCCGTCATCGCAGAATGAGTAGCTCCACATCTATGTCTAATGGGATGAAACCTCCTTATTCTGTTCAATCTTATACCCCAAGTATCAATGGATACGGCGTCATGGACAACGCGGTCGCACAACAAGGTTCCTCACCTTACAGTAACACACCAACTCGGGCTTTATCAACCAGAAGGCAGGGCCCTCAGCGTTACTATAACGAGCATAACAAGTCTGATAATAGTATTGTAACTCAACCCCCTCTCGCCATGAACAATTCATACTACGCGGTTCCTTACGTTACCGGAGCTCAAAGCACCAATGCACTGCGTGAATCTCAACCTTCACAATTGCAAGGGCCTCCTCAGCCAAATCCCTCTTCGCAATATGTGGGGTTCACCTCTTTGCCAACATTAGGATCCGCCTCAGAGGGGCCTCAAGGCACAATGAACAACCAAAACATATACGATTTGGGTTTCGATTTCATACCTCATTGAATACCTTGCAAATTGAGCAATACTCTATTTTTTCATTTTTCCAAGTTTCCGTCTGCATTCCATTACGACCCTCACAGCCAGGTTTTTGGCGTTGTATTAAAAAAACCCTCCGAAAAAAACGACAACCGGGAACCGAATGCGGTGTTCTCAATACTCTTCATGTTTATTCACAATGATTTACATTCGCTTGCAATTCATCATTATTTTCGTCACATCCTCTCCTTCTTTACCTGACATACCCAGCCTGAAAATGCACCTCAGTCATATTCGCTAAAGCGAAGTCCTAAGCCAACGATTGTTGAAAGGAAGAAATAGTAGGATCTTTTGGCCAAGGTACTTGAAACTGAAGCAGATGAAGTTTATTTGATAAACGACATTGTTCAAATTTTGATGATATCTATGCGCTGGATCCTACAGATGGCCAAAGGACAACCTAAAAATTAAGTTAAGTTGTTTAGTATAAATTCAAAATTGAGTGTAAATTAAAGATGCACCATTACACCAAGTAAAGATGCGAAGTTGATCTAATTATATTTATATGCTTATTGTCCTTTGGGTAAAACCGGGGGAACTTTTATCCTCCGTAAATAAAACGATGTCGGCTTTGAAAGGCAATTGACCATTATGACATCTCGTAATTTCAGAATTTCTTCCACTTACTAGACAAACGCTAACTATTTTTTTGATGTCTTTCAACTCATCTGCCGGAAAACAGTCGCTCATGGCTTTTATGCGCTCATAAATGATGGCTTTCGGAAAAGCGAATTGAGCATGCAGTAAATTATCTTCGTAGTTCGTTGAGAATAAATCAAAATCACCTCTACCATCGTTGGCTCTTTTGTCACCATAGATGAAATATCTACCTGAGCAATCAACTGAAAATATCTCAGTCTCTCGGGTCAAATTGTGGAATCGCGATTCAAACCTTTGGAGTATAAGGTCGTGAGGCGTTGAAGGCCCTCGCATTATTTTTCCCGTAATGAGCCGTTTCTCAATTAGGCCAATAGTTTGATGCGATGTACCAATCATCGATAAAAGAATTTGTTCGGATCCTGCTTCAATGATGCTGATGACTCTCTCTTTGAAATGGCACAATCGCCTAGATTTAAACTCCTTTAACTTTGGAGTCAGCTCTTGAATTGTCAACTGATAGAAAGACCCGTTACGGCAGCAGAACCATCCAGGTATTTGATCTGGCAACCCTACAAAATTCGAAATTTCGATGCACAAGATATCACTTTTAGGCTTTTCAACAGTTTTAGTGGAGCCGTCATCCTTCACTAGCTGTAACAATCCGTTAGATGCACACAAAACGCTACCACGGTGACAAGTGGCACAGTTCAAGTCACCGACAACGTTTCTAGAAGGTTGGAAAGCTTGAATGTTGTCTCCACTCAAATTTGCCACCTCAAAAGACAGGCGAGACGTATTTTTCGACCGTTTGCAGATCAAGAGCTCATCGCGGCACCGATTCTCCTCAATATGGATAACTTCCATGGGATCAGAAAAATCGAAGTCTTCCTTGAGAACTATAAAGTCACCATTTTCCAAAACCTTAATGAGAGTCCCTTGTTTCGTAATAACAATGTACCTTCCAGTTCTCTCTGCACGTATTATTCTTGCGGTTGTTTCCATTCTTCCTAGCGAAAATGGCCTTAAATCAGACCAAATATCCCGTTTTATCTGATAAGATTTGGGTATTTCATATTGGTAATGATCTAACGCCCTTATGCTATCATACAGTTGCTCAAAGTCTGCTACTAATCGAATCTGGTTTAAGGTTTGATGCGTTATTCGTTCATAATCGAAACAACGAGCTATTGAGTCGGACAGATGTCTCTCAATAAGCTCATACCTAAAGTGACCAATTTCTCGGTTTCGCGCAATACGATCTTGAACTTTTTCGACAGTTATCTGCCTCGACAGTGTCTCTTTTTTATATCGTTCTTGGGATATATCGGCAGAGTTGGCCGTTATTCTAAAATATCTTCTTCGCTGCGGGTCGAAATAGAAGCCTGGTATGGACGGTACATTTGAGTTCATGACTCCATAGATAAGCCTCTAAACTGTGCTTCTAAGTAAGTTAACAACTATATAAATGACAAAATGAAAATCTCTCTAAAATTATCTGGTCATTGTCTGATCATGTCAAGTTAGAGCAATCTCAGAAAATGACCTACTTTTTCCAGATACATATGAGAGATGATGATATATTCATAAAATTTGAAAGATATGATTATTCCTGCCCGAAACCAATTGTCTCTTCCACTGCTAAGGTTAGCTTTTGTTTCAAAGATTCGTAATCGGCATAAGGGGGTAAATCAACCCTATTAAAGCAAGTGTGAGACTTTGGAAGTTGTTGTACTTCACCGGCTTTTTCTATCGTAAACCTTCTTGGACCATCAGAGCCCTGTAAATCTTTAAATCCATTAACTGGGATACGAGAAGTACCTGTCGTAAACTGTAACAACCGTGCTTTCTGTTCATTATCCCATTCGGAGATGATTTTCCAGAACCACTTGACCGTCTCGTCAGATTCCTGGTAGCCACGGTAATCGGTATGTTTTTTCCAATCTTCTACGTCAATTTCAGCAATCCCACCAATGAGTAATTCCAATTCCCTTTCATCAAACACATTTACAAGATCTTCAGGAATGAGTTCATTAAAACCGTCCATAAAAGCTTTAAATTGTTCTTCGACACGATTGGCGATTTTCCATTGTGTGAATAGATCCACGTATTCTTTTTTGTTTTCATCTGTGACTTCCAAATCGCGTCCATTGGGCTTAAGGTCCACTGTCACGACCTCACCAAACCTTTCATCGTCTGCGCTGAACGTCAAGTCTAAAACGCCATCTATACTGTTCTCTAAAATCCATTTTAAAGAATTGTGAACCTCAGCGTCAACACCTTCCATATCCTGCAAAACAACTTTCTTGTGTAACATCATTTTGTAAAGGGCGCCCACGAAAAAGGCATCCAAAAATCTTCTGTGGAAAACACCCAATCCCACTACCCTTCCGATGAACTTAAAATAATTGAGATGCTCCGGATTTATACCACTGTTGGGGTTTATCTGAATAGTATAATTGTCATGAGCGGAATATTCGAATAGGCAGTAAAATGGGTTGAACATCTCATGAGACAACAAGAAGAAGAATTCTCTTGAAACACCACCATAATCCAAACCTTCTTCTCCATCGAATTTGATCATCAATCTCTTTTTCAAATCTTCCGGAGTTTGTCTCATTATCTCCTGATAGGCGTCTTCAAAGATGTTTTTCCTGCGGACCTTGATATGGCATTGGCCTGGCAAAATCCTCAGCGCCGGTTGAGACCTGAAGTAAATCACCTTTCTCCTGAAATCACGTTTATATTGAGGAACATTTTGATCCAGCGACGAAGGTAAACGAGGGTCATCCCAAGTTGTAGTTTTGGTATTATGATCAACAAAGTACACGCGTGCCGTGTTCGTTAATCTCATTTCCCAGCCAGATGGCAAAGGCCCTAACTGAGACACAGGTTGTTGTTGAATGGTGGTATTGGTAGGACCGTACGTCCTAATGTACTGTTGCCTACGAGGATCAACCCAGGTGGTCGTTCTGGTGTTATGATCCACAAAATAGGCCCGACCTTCTGGTGTATATCTTTGTTCCCATCCAGGAGGTAATTCGCCCAGGCCAGATGTCGTGGCTCCAGTAGAAGCGAAAGCTGCTGCTGCGGCACCGTTTACAGCTGGTGTCGTGGATGTGTTGCCCGTTCGCACTGTGACTGCAGAGGAGCTATCCGAGCTGGTACCGCCCGGCAAAGTTCTACCGCGATGTTGTCTGCGTTCCAATTCAGTGTTAACGTTCATTTGGTCGCCTCGTTCAGTCTCGGTTTGATCCAAAGTTGGTCTCTTCCATGTAGTGGTTCTAGTGTTGTGATCAACGTAGTAAGTACGCCCGAAATTATCCGTCCTTCTTTCCCATCCTGGGGGAAGTCTGCCGTATTGATCCTCAAAAGAGGAGTATTGTCTGGTGGATCCACTTGAACCAGTCACATTGGTGTTCCCACTTTGAAGCGTGTTGGCCACCATTTGTGCAGATGGACTTGCCTGGTGGCTTGAAGGGGTTGCGACTGACGTCGAGGTCGAGCCCGCCGTAGTAGTTGCGGTCCGCGTCGTGGTCGCGGTGTTATCGGCACTGGCACCATTTCTATGACCTGACGCTCTACGAGCACCACTTCCACCGCTCCCACCCGTTGACGTGAGAACCAAAATCAATCGTCCACTCACAGCCATTCCATCGTTCGATCGTTTCAAATCCCGCGTTATAGTTTCTTCTCTACGTCCACCCCCAACGGTATCCTCATCCAAATGGCCCAAAACGTCACCAAGGCGCACGTTAACCACGCCCAAAAACCCTTGATCCTTCTTCTTGAACTTTTTCTGGTCGAAAACCTGGATTGTCAAAATACCGTTTTCATTGACTCCCGGAAACGTAAACGTTTCGTTCCAATACGGATTCAACGTTTTCTTCGCTGCTGCTGTCGATTTCGTCTGTGATCCGTCAACCGTAACGACAGCAAACGGATCCGGAGACCGAAACACATCTCTCTTGTACAACGACTCTGCTGCAACAAGCTTCACCGTAATCTGCGACATCTTGCCAGTTCCTTGTTTAGCCCCTAATTATAAATCACTTAATTCACCAAATTTCGGGGAGTTTAGACCTGCCTAGGATTCGCGTCTTGTCACGTTTCCCCACACAAAAAACACAGGTGATGGCCTAAGCTGTGTCTCTTTGAACCTTTGATGCCTTTATAGATCTCCGATGTTTTAAGTTCTTGAAGAACTTGGGTAAGATAGTTCCTTGTCAATTGCGCTAAAAATTTTCCCTATTGGCAGGAATTTCGTAATCAATGACATCAACACTCTTCCCAGAAGCCTTTAAATTTGGGCAACTTCGAGGAACTTTAAAGGCCTTCTCGAAGCGGAGGAAAATAAGATGAGTCTGCCCATTTCGTCGCCGAAAAGGCCCTAATCGGCTCTCTCAAAGGTTAGTAATAGATTGAATTTTGCATGACTTTGAGGCTTGAAGCCTTTTTACGACTTCTTGGTTTGTTTGATGTTTTTTTTTGCATGCTGTGATGAGAGGGCTGGTTTATTTACATTTAGAAAAGAATACAAACAAACACAGAAAAGTTGGTGAGAAAGTGAGGATTGGACATAGAAAAAGACGTCAGAGATGTAAATGGCATGTCCTGGAATTGCTGGTGTCGTGTTTACCAGGTCATGTTTGCCCTGAACCTGTTAAAATATAAAATATCGAAAACTGGTTCCAATTCCCCAAAGACAGTCCACTGAGAATTGTCTTGTGAACATCAAGAACAATATTCATTCATGAACGAGACCTATTACCAGCCTGCAAATGTGTTTCGGCAGCCTGCCATATTCGTTAAAAAAAGCGAAAGCCGGCCAAATTCGAAATCACTTGGAATTGGCACGCATCGGAAATCCTGGCAGAATAACGTCGCGCGACTCGGTTCCCCTTTGCTCAGAAAGGCATCCAGTGATATGAACGATTATTATACAACCCAACAATTGCAAAGCGAATACTGGGGTGTAAATGCCCCCATTGGTTCCCGCGTCACTTCGTTGTCGTGTTTAGAAGACAAAATCTTGGTCTCAAATTCAAACTCCACCGAAAACTTAAAACTGTATGAACTCAACCAGGGAAGTAGCAAAAGCACACTGCGTACTTTGCAAGTCATCAGTGTGCCAGATAAACCGCCCATCGTGACCTGCCTGCTGCCGGACAGCTTCAAGTCTACAAGCACAAAATTTAGCCAAAACGACGATTGCATGATCCTGACAGGTAATCAGGACGGGTACGTGGACCTGATAACAACATCGGCAACGGAAGGGAACGCTAAAATTGTGAAAAGATTCAATCATGGCAAGTACCTTAAATCTACGAATCAACAATCGCTGGACGCTTGGCTTAGAACAAAAAGATCTTTACCGATTCGGCAATTACAACCTTGGAACGATCAAGGGTTTATGTCCATTGTGAACGAAACTGTTTTCATTTACGACCTCAATCACCACCGTTCACCTCTGTATTTGCAAAGTTTTAACGGATTAGAAGCCGCTGCACACCACGTAAGCAATCCTCACTTATTGTCCCTTGTTGGATCGAGATTTGGTGAGAATGGTATTTCCTTGCTGGATCTTAGAAGTGGACAAGGCTATGGCAACTTGTATTCACCCGATATTGGCGACTCGACAAATCATTCCAAATCGACTCGATGCACATGGCTAGACGAATACACGATCGCCAATACAGTGGGAAATTGCGTAAAACTCTGGGATGTTCGAGCTCCAGGTGCCAAATGCACTATCAAGGGCCATAAGGGTTCCATCAATTCGCTTCAATACCATTCCGAGTTGAAACGACTTTATACCGGCGACGATCAGGGCTATGCAATAGCATGGGACCTGACGAATCTGGAGAATGTTTCAGAGTGCCGGTTGGCAAATGGTTTCCAATCAATATTGAGTGAAAAGATCAGTGAGCTCAAGCAATGTGGTAACATTGTCGTGACACCCGATTCATCTCACATTAGTCGTGACAGGGAGAACACGATCGGACATGCCAGATGTTCTAATTTCTTGAGCACGACTGATGACGGATCTTTAATAACATTGGATTCGGTCGAATTAGGGTTACATTCGATAAGAGAGGTCGAAAGACCAATTTCGATCCCAGTTTCACAGAAACAACCTGAAAGCGCTTCATATACGCATTATTCCACTGGTGAGGCAGCCGATTCTGACACGACACTGCATCAGGATTCCTTGGGGTCAACATGGGAAGAAACTTCCGATGGAACAGTCGATATGTGGGAATTTCAAACTCCGGTTCAGAACACTCAAGGTTCCAAAGTAAACAGTCCCCGAGGCCACAAGGCTCATAATCCAAGTCTCTATTCTTTGACGGACAATTTACTCAGTGGTTCCACAATTTATGACCAAACTTCCATATTGAATGTAGACATCCTTGTATAATCTCTCAAAGTAAACATACATGGCTTCTGCTCTAAATTCAACTCATGCTGTAAGAAATAGTATTACATAGGAGAATTACCATTCGGACACGCTCAGCGTGTGCTATCTAAAAAATATGCCAAAAAACGGACAGCCCGGCCGTCGAGGTTTACTTCTGAGGGAAGGTGCGTATTTAGCACCAGCAACATAACTTCTTGAAACACCCTTCCTCCTCTAGGGAGTCAGTCTCCGGCAGCTGACTTCCGGCACGACCACCGTGACGTTGGCCCATAGAATCGTAGCTTTGAATCACTGGCGAATTTTTGTCTTTGTTTGCAGTTGTTATATTCATATGAGTTCTGAGTCGTTGCGCCTTAGAGTACGAGTCTCGACGTGCATGCGGGTTCGTGCGTCTTGCGCCCTGAGACGTACGTGGTGTCGGGTTCCCGTAACCGTGCAAATTAGCTCTACGGTTTACTTGAATATTCCAACCTTGTCCATCGTTCAAATCCATCCAATCATAATAGTTATCGTCTTCGAGGCCCCGTTCTTGTAATATTTCGTCCATCAGCGAAAGTAAATAGTCGTAATCGGGTTCTTGTTCGAACCGCAGGGCACGACAGTAAGCCAGATAAGTTGCAAATTGCTCGGGAATGCCCTGCTGGAGCAAATCCTCGGGTCGAAGTTTTTGTTTGGTAAGACCAATTTTTTCGTATTTGAGTTTCGTGTTGGCGACTTTCAGGCCCTGCCAGGGCAAATATCCGCGTAAAAAGTAGAAGAAAACGTGTCCCAAGGACTCCAAGTCGTCCCTGCGTGACTGTTCACGTCCAAAATGCGTATTGATCGACATGTACCGTGCTGTACCACTGAGAGACTTGCGTTCTTTATAAGGGATATGCTGCTTGGTACGTGGATCCCGAAACTGTTTGGCCATACCGAAATCGACCACATATATCAAATTGGGGTTCCCTTCGGCCGTTGCGGCACAACTTTTAACTATTTGCCCATGCCCACGTTCCCGTTGATACTCCGCGATCAAGAAATTGTCAGGTTTGATATCGCGATAGATAAGATCTCGGTCGTGAATAGACTTTACCCGTGAAATCATCTGTTTGGCCACTAGACAAGTGGTTTTGACCGAAAACTTTCGACCACACCATTCGAACAAATCCTCCAAAGAGGGTCCCAAAAGATCAATAATAAGCACATTGTGCATACCTTCTTGACCAAAGTAGTAAGCCCGGGGGATACCCGGTATGCCATTCAAGATCTTGTAAGCTCGAAACTCGTCTCGCAATTGTGGAGCCTCTGTACGTCTAGGTTCGAATTTGATTGCCACGGGCGTTGACGAGTTGTTAAGCACGTTTTCGCCTTCGAAAATCACTCCAAAACTACCTTCGCCGATCTTGGGACCCACCGCATAATGGATTCCGACCACATGCTGTGACTGAGTAGCCATTTCCCTCTTGTTTTATGCTTGTCAAAGGTAAGTAGTTTTCAGTTTCTTGATGTTTGCGAAAAATCTTTCATAGAGATATGGCTTGTTATCGGACGATAGAGGGAAACAGAATACGAGTAACGTGAGATAAAACTGCGACAATTGAAAGTGCGAGAGTGATACGAATGGAAACTGCGTATTAAGGCAATTTTGCAGACATTTTTTCGGAATCAATAGCATCAAATATGGTACTGGTGGCCGAAATACCAGTGAAGAACGTTTTGTACGTATTTAACCGTTAAAGTACATAAGACAACTGTCAATGGGATCATTTTGTAGGACATCTGTTGATGAGAAATCTGTTGATGAGACACCTTTCAGCTATGAGCTTCTTAACTTCTGTAGTGCTGTTTGTTTTGTGCTTCGGTAGTGCCCGAGAGTTGGATTGCATCTCTTAAACTAGTCAAATTGTAGTCGTAGTAGAAGCCTAAAAGACAACTGAGGACACCACCGTGGTGACGAGACTTGAAACCAAGCTATATGTTTACGGATGAGATTGTGTTTCTGCTGGAAGAGTTGTTCTTCGTCAGATTACGTCGGTGTCCAGGACTTTGGGGTTTCTATTGAAAGATACTACAAGGGCTGCAGATTGTTACTATAGGAATCATCAATAACTTTATAATATCGACGAAGCCTAAATGATACATAATTCTATTGAAGATTAGAAAGATCGGCAACCGAAAATCTTATAAATTGGTCGTTAAGCGCACTCATAGCTGTTATTAACGGTTAAATAGATGAAGCATCAAGTACTTACATCTCTCCTCAACGATTCATGGTCCCATTTGAGGTCGTAAGACGATGTGAGGGTCCTCACTGGGATCATAGGGCTAAATTAGAGCAGTTTATTCAATATCCTCTTGTTTTATTCTGTCATCCAGATCACGTGATATATTCCTTCTTGACAATATTATAATACTTAATGTAGATAGTTGCTTTGATCGAGGGCGGTATCTTGAAGGGTCTCGAGCTGTCTTTCTTACTTGTTTCTAAGCTGAAATATTGTAAGTAACGCCTATTGAGATTCCAGCTTCAGCAGCAAATTAGTAGCTTGCTTGTTTATTCACTTTCGAGCCGTTACTTGTAAATATATCGAGAACACTGGGTAATTAATGGCAGTGGTAATTACAATCACGCAATTTCATAGACTACTCAGGTTCCAAATACTTTTGCTTAATCAAATTCCAAGACTTATTCTGTTACCAGAGTCACCCAACCTCGCACTTTGAGTCTCTAGCCGAACTCCGAGGCTGTGTGACGTCAGAACGGGATAAAGTGAACTGGGATGCCGCCCTTCGTAGGTCTCGAAGACGATGTCTCGTGTACCTTTTTGGCCACATCCAGATGCTTGTTGTGGTGTTTACTATGTTTGTTTTGCAAATGAACACGGCGGTGTAATGAAAAGGAGCCATTGGCTAGGTCTGTCGTCAGCAGCAATAAAACATGATGTCACGCGCTGGCACACAAAGGCAAGGGTCGATGTTTACTGGAAATGATGCCAGATTCGAGCATTTTATTTCTAAAGTTGAAGCTATCACGACCATCTTTCAATAGGATATTAATGATATGCTGAAGCTAAGCTATTTGGTCCTCTACGTGACCCAAATCATTAAGCCCTTCAAATAGGTGCACCATGAACTCTCTTTCATTCGTGCAATTCCAAATGCGGCCCTGTATTCTATTCCTAGACTAGCGAGGGTGAATACAAGCCTGTCGAATCGCCGAGCGTTGTAACGCTATCTTCTTCCGGGGGCTGGCAGCGTCGGTAGATAACTTTAAGATTGGTAATTTAGCTCGTAGCTTCCTTGATTACAAAAGCACCAAAAGTGAGCGATCACTCTGTGTAATTGTATGGCCCTCAAGCCTGGTGGTGTCGCTTTATACATTTCTTATAACCATTTCCATTGACCGAATATTATACTACGGCGAATCGTGGTTAACAATTTTACCTTCCAGCATCCATCCTACCGCGGAATTTTATTGCGGTGATATCATAGTTTCTTGCTAGATACAGCATCTGCTCGGAATCTTAACTGCTCCTTGACTGTAATCTGAGCTTCCTTGTCATTGCTATCACCTAGTGTTTACCTGCCAGTAATGCAACTTGACGGAAATTACCTGTCGTAACCTTTTTTCGAAATATATAGCGCAGTTATCCATATTACAGTTTGAACAACTCGAGTCGCAACTTTGGACAGGAATTTGTTTCGCGGATTTCATATCCTTATATGTTTGCTCTCCAAATCGGGGATTGACAACCTGTAGGATTCTGAAGAGAATCCATTATAGTTATGCGAAAAGTCAACTCTTAGGGGTCCTTAAATCTTTAAATATTCCAAAATGTCTACCACGGTCAACTTGACGACAGTCTCATCCAATCTTACCTTTCCTCTGCGATATTGGCCCAACTGTCACCGCTTCGTCAAAAGGACGCCTTTTGGCAAGTCCAATTTAGATTCTGTAAAATGCCAAAAATACCTCTAAATTTACAGCATGATACACACTTGTTAGGAGCTTGATTACAGCCCTTTACTCTTCTTTATTTATTCGCTTTCTCTTCGTTGTTTGCTTTCTGACACGTAAGTTTTCACCTCTACTATAAAAGCTTGCTTTTTTCATATGTAGGAGACTCATCACGGAGTTTTCCCAAGCTGTAAACCGCCGGAAAATCGCGGAATTCAAGAGTCCAGACCAGGTGATAGAGACTATCCAACTTTAGTCAAGGTTTCTGAGCGTGATTCTCGTTTCATGGACTCGTTGAAAACCGACGACACCAATCGGTATCCATGTCCGCATCCGAAATGCAATAAGTCTTTCACCAGACGTGAACATCTATCGAGACATAAGCTGAATCACTGGCCTAAAGAAATCTTTAAATGCACTTACAGGTCTCCAGAAGGCGGTACCGTTTGCAATAGAACATTTGTACGACGGGATTTGTTGGTAAGACACAAAAAACGACATCAACGTGCTAATGGAAGACTGAGCATCGCGATTGCGCACGACAACAATGGGCTCGCTGAGTCCGATGCAGAGGCTCCCGAGGCACCCAAGGCTCCCGAGGCACCCGAGGCCCCCCAGGTGCAACAGGTGTGGCAGGTGTTACAAGAACCCAGCTGGGATACACTGTACTCACGGACCGGCACCAATACAATTTTGGAAGAGCGATTACCGCAGCGGCAATCGCTGGAGCAATTCGTCAATTGGATTTTCGAAGGGGACAAAACTGCGAAAAGGGACCCCACCGATGTAACGCTTCAATTTCCTCTCCAGCATGCCGTAGAGACCGTGGACCCTGGCGCAACAAACGTGTCGACATCGATTCTCGACGACTTTCCGTCACAACAGAGCTCTAGACTTATTTCGAACGACGTCGTCGAGGACCCTCTTGCAGCACTGATTCAAGAGCTTGTGACTCCACCGCCACCTTTGGACGTGGCTTCTATTAACAATGCGCTTGATAACCCCACCGGTTTACCGCCATACGAACAAGAAAACTTCAGTGGCACGATACGAGACAACGTGCGTTCTCAAAAGAATAAGGTCAACTCATTGCGCGTTCAAGTCGCTTCCGATGAGCAAATGGAGGCGGCCGCGTCGCCTTCGAATAAATCCGCCAATTTGGCACGAACACTCAACATGAGCCCGTCTTTTTTCAGCACTGATCCACTCCAGAAATACAAGATGTCGCCTCGAACTCTCGACTGCATGATCGAAATCATACCTGCGCTGTCAAAAGTGCCCATTGAAGACATTGAAAAGGGCATCAAGTCCTTCTGGCTCAATTTCCATCCTCAATATCCCATCTTGCACAAACCCTCGTTTCAAATTAGCTTGCAACCGCCAGTGTTGCTGCTTTCTATGACCATGATAGGCGCGAGCTTTTTGGGGTCTGAATACAAGGAAAAATTGAGCGACGTGATTTGCTTGCCTCTAAGATGGGTCATTTTCTCGCATGAAGATTTTCAACCTCCATCCGAGACTTATATCATATATTCGCTTTTGCTTTTAGAATGCTATGAAAAAGCCAATACTAGCAGGTATCTCCATGAAAGAAGCTACTTGCATCACGGTACAACTATCCAATTGCTACGACGAACTCCTTCGCTCGGCGGCCACCCACTACATTTCAAAACTGAGCGGTTTTTAAAGGACAAAAACACCGACGATATCTTCTGCGAATGGATCCAGTTTGAGTTTTTGAAACGAACCGCATTTTTTGCCTTCTATGTCGATGCGACCCATGCCGTTGTCTTTGGATATACTAACTTGTTTATCAACTGTGATCAAATGCAGCTTAGCCTACCTTGTTCCGATGAAATCTGGGAGTCCTCTGAACTGGATTACTCAAGCTTGATTGCGCACGGTTTTGGTCAAAGGCCTACGCGCTTCCTAGACGCTTTGAAGGGCCTGATGCAGATAACTCTAAAAGAAATTCAGGATCAAAATTCGCAAACCGAAGCCGCCGCTAGGCTTTCCGAGCTAATACCGAGCAGATATGGCTCAAAAATACTCTTAGCGGGCATAATTTCCATGATGTTCCATTTCCAGCAGCAGTCCAACGACACTGGTCTTTTAAACGTTTTTCACAACGCAAATTCAACTTTGTCCTGGCAGGAAATGATCTCACACTCGATTGATCTGTGGGAAACCAGCATTCTGAAAGGTTGCGGCAACTCAAAGAACTTCTCAGAGTCAATTCCGACTGATCTGGCGGACCCGTCGCTCAGTTTCCTCGTCTCCGAAAGGGAAACCAAATGTAAGCTTCCGGCATACCACATGGCCCAAATTACGATGCGCATATTCCAGTACGACTACACCATTTTTGCCGGAGCCCCGTGGCGAATGAACGTGAAAACGGGCAAAGAAGAGTACGAGCTTGTTTCGTTACGGCTTCAGCACTTCAGCCAAGATCCAATGATTGGCGGCGTGACGCTTGTGTATGCTTACCAGTTTTTGTTCGAAGTATTCGATGAGGGCAAGTCGATGGACTACGACCCTAATGTGGATTGTAACATGGCCCGCCCACAGACTTTAACGCTGGTCATACTTCTGATATGGGGCTACAATTTCGCTCGCCACGGTCCGGAGGCAGATGTGTGGGACGATTTCAAGCGCGACAAATCCCAGTATGTGCCCAAGGAAACTGCCTCGAGTTATATCTCACGTCTTGCGCGACATCTGAAACTGAATTCGTCCTCCGACGTTGCTCGGTATCGCGATCAGGTCAAAAAGAAGGCCCTTATTCTCCACGACCTTACAGACACTAATAATGTCTGTGGACTGCTTTGCCATATGCGCGACATCTTCGGCTCGAACTACTGGGAATTGAGCCGGGAGCTCGCTAGACTTTTTGACAACTGCATCGAGCGGAGCATGGGCCGCAAAAGTATCACCTGTCCCAACATGTACTCCTCTCAGTCAAAGGGCTGATATGGACAATTCCGCTCTTATATTTATATGAGTATATATGTAAAGATATCCAGCAGCTCTTAAGTATGGATCCCACCGAAAAGATGAACCAATTCTCGATTGCAAGCCTTAAGTCCGCGATTAGTTCATAAGTCAATCTCTTTCGCTTAGCTCGGCGGCTAATTTTCTTATTTTCTATTATTGAGTAAATTTTAACGGCAGAGGACGGCGGCTAATTTGATGTGTATGGGTTTTTACGGGATCGACCCTTTTAAGATGCGGGGTTGCAGCATGACATCTTTTCGAAAAGCCATGACATTTTCTGAGACACAAAGCGGTCAAAATCTAGCTTCCCCTACTTATTGCAGATGAGTAATACTCCAAGAGTAAAAAAGGGGAGCCCTGGATCACATTCCAGAAAACAGTATAAAAGGGGGAAGAAAAGTCAGGGGGGTTTTCGTTTCTTGTCTGTCACTTTTGAAGAAACATTCGGAAAACCGCGATGTTTTCTTGGAGAATGCGTATATATTTGTAAAGACAGATTTCAATACTTATTGACTCTATAACTATCCAAGATCACCTCCCGAGTCGAAAATCAAAAAATTCACCCGTTTTCATAGAATCCGAGCTGTTACTAGTATCTCAAAGTTCAACTTCTCCAGACGTGATACGTAGCTGCCGAAGTGACACAGTTCGACTGAATAATCAGGTTAGAGTGGCATGCTTAGTCTGGTTGTTTCGCCTCTCTCGCCCAATTAGAAGGCTTTTTACCGCAGAGAAACTTTTGCCATTTTTTTTCCTACGAACTTTACGATTCTAGGTTTGGATGAAAACTTAACTCAGCTCTGGACTGTCAGGTAAGAGGAAAAGGAAACAGAGAAACCTGTAGGCTTCGAAAGACGGCTGAACCTTCGTTTTTTTTTTGGCTACAGCGAGGTTGCTGCCGTTCAGGAAACTAAATACGCAGATTTAATGCATTGGTGTAGCGATAGTGATGGAACTTAGCAACTCGAACACAGAAAAGAAGGCGCTTCAACTTGAGATCTTCAACAAATTTGCGTCGAAACTGCCCCCTGAGGCGCAAGATGGGGTCAACTCGCAGGTTTTACTGTTTGAAGACTTCATAAAGCTGATTTCCAGCTCGAGAACGCTCTATTCCAAGTTTTCGGACCATTCTTACAATCTAAACCAAATACCGAATGGTGTTTTCGGCTGTATTTTCTTTGCTGTGGATGAACGAAATAAAGGATATTTGTCACTGAACGATTGGTTTTACTTCAACAATTTGCTGGAACGAGACAATTACCATTTCATAATTATGTATGAGTTCTTCCGCAAATTCGATATCGCGAGGATGAAGGGACAAAGGCGCATGGAAAAGAGTCAAGGCCTTAGCTCAATAAATAGTGGGCCACGGACCAAGACAGTCAATTATGGAAGCCATTTCTTGAGTTTTGACAGTTTGTACTTGGATCTGGATCAATTCAAGTCTACAATCAAGTTTTTACAAAACTCTGTAAACGATGAGTTTTTGACTTCCAATAACTTGTTTTTGGATTGGAACTCTTACAGATGGTTAAAGTTGTATCAGGCTTTCCCCTATGGAACCAAACGTGACCCATATCTCAGTTTAAACTCACTTATAACCATCCTACAGAACGATTTGAAGGCCGAAAAGCTGTTTATGGGTTTCGAGAAACTAGCACATGTCAATCATGAGAATAATTCGTTGACTTTGAATAAAAACCAGTTAGTATACCTGTTGAAACTGTTTTATTCGCATCGCATATCTGCCGACGTTTTTAACTCCTTGAATTTGACCAACACTCGAATGATAAAATCGGACAATAATTACATCAGCTATAATGTTGTCAAGGATATTTTCTATTTATTTCAGAATTTCGATCTGCTGAATCAAGTCTTTATCAGGTATGCCAAGACTAATAATTTCAACGATCAAGATATGAGGGATTGCATTATTACTAAAGAGGACCTTATGGATTTCCTGAATGTCGAATACAATAAGGTCAACAATATTGTTGATTTTTCTCCCTCTCAGATCAACCTTTTGTTTTCAATCGTGGCGAATTCCAAAAAAAGCAGCTTGATTGCCAAACAGTTGGGTCATCATGAGGATTCTCAAATCGATAACTTCATCCAAAATGATTTTTGTCACGGAACTAGCGATCGAGTGCAGAATTTGAAAGATTTTAATGCGAATTACCATAATGTGGCCGGTGATCTTTTGGGGGATGCGGAACAGGAACGCCATCATGTTCACAAGTGGTCTTCGGAGGGGCTACTTCAGAGATTTTTGGGCAAACGTCCTCAGGACGAGACTTTTTCAGAGTTTAAGCTCACTATGGAGGACTTCATGAAAATCATGAATCCAAACTATTTAAACGATTTGGTGCACCAAATGGAAGTCAATCGAATTCAATCCGAGTCACTCTACACCAACTTTTATTTTTATCCGATTTTCGATTCCATTTACAATTTCACTTTGGGTTCTGTTGCGGGATGTATCGGCGCTACTTTGGTTTATCCAATCGATTTGATTAAGACAAGAATGCAAGCCCAAAGAAACTTTTCACAATACAAGAACTCCCTTGATTGTATTCGCAAAATATTTGCCCGCGAAGGCATTCGAGGCATTTATTCTGGTCTAGGGCCTCAGCTGATTGGAGTGGCGCCCGAAAAGGCAATTAAACTCACCGTCAATGACTACACTCGAAACCTCTTGATGGATCAATACGGTCACATAGCCGCGTCCCTGGAAATTTTGGCGGGAGCCAGTGCAGGTGCTTGTCAAGTCATTTTCACAAACCCGCTGGAGATAGTCAAAATCCGTATGCAAGTCAGATCGGAGTATGCAAGTGAAGTGGCGCATTCGAAGATGGATGCTCTCGCTGTGCTCAAGTCACTGGGTTTTAGAGGGTTGTACAGAGGCGTCGGTGCCTGTCTTTTGAGAGATGTTCCATTTTCAGCCATTTATTTCCCCACATATGCGCATCTCAAGAAGGATTTCTTTAATCACGATCCAAACGACAAGAATAAAAGACCGAAGCTGAAAACCTGGGAACTTCTGTTGGCGGGAGGTCTGGCAGGAATGCCAGCAGCATTTTTGACCACACCTTTTGATGTGATCAAGACTCGTTTGCAAATAGATCCTAAAAGTGGAGAAACTCGTTACGATGGTATTATACATGCAGCTCGTACCATACTTAAAGAGGAATCGTTCCGAAGTTTTTTCAAAGGATCTGGTGCCAGAGTATTGAGAAGTTCGCCGCAATTTGGGTTTACACTGGCAGCGTACGAAATTTTCCAAAACCTTTTCCCATTACACACGGAGACGCAAACATCTAATAAGATTAATGAAGATACGCCAACCATCAACAACATGTTTTCGTCATTTTTCGAGAGTATGAAGAAGTCTTCCAAAGACCGGGTTGAAATCACAGAATTTTTCGGACCTTCGGTAGATCCATACAGTCGGAATTACATGAACTACTATTACAAGAGTTGCCAAGTCGCCAAAGTATTTATGGACTTGGATTACAATTTTTCACGCTTTAATCATTCCACTTATTCTCAGTTTCAAGAACGACTCAAAGAATTGGAGACACCAGTCAAATAGCACTTCATACATGCATATACAATGATTTCATCATCGTCGTCGTCAATCCCTCGAAAATATTCGAAGTGATTTTTCACTCCATGTGAATTTCTGCAGGTCGACAATTTCGTTCAATTTTTGATCTCGAAACACTACTGACCTCAAACGGTACGTCTTATCAGACCTTGTAGCTTCTAGGAATCGTTTTTTCGTCTTCTTAACCAGAATTTCTCTTGCTTGTCGCTTATCAGCCAAATTTTCTTGTGTGTTGGGAAAATCTAGTCGTCCATAACCTGGTGGTGATTTGGATCGTACTTTCAAGTTTTCAAAATTTTCTTGACTCGATTCAAGTGACTCTTCCTCCTTCTTAATCGACTGAGAAACTATTTGGAAACCAACGTTGGGATCTAGTACGAGCTTTTTGGCAGTAGTGGGTAGTCCAGTCATTTTATGAAATTTTTGTACGTCGGCATTTACACGACCTCTGGCTTCCTGTGCATTGCAAAAGTCGTTGATTTTGAAATCTTCAAAGATCCAAGGTTTTCCTGTCAATGGATTCTCGTTAAATTCAATCAGCTCGGTTTGTTGTTGTTTGATCTGTTGCGGGGATTCGCTTTCAGACCAATCCAAGTCCCCTTCTGAATCACTTATCACAGCCATAGATTTTTTGCTCATTTCCGTGGATTCCGGTTTAGACACTACTGGACCCTTCAACGGTGAACTAAAATCTATTTCTTTACTCTGCATGTCGAGAGTACCGGGCAAATAAGAATCACTGGCCGACTCTTCTTGAGTCGGTTGACACTTCCCATTGGACTTCAAATCGGGTTTGAAGTCTGGCAATTCCCGCCTAATCTCCTCAACAGCGCTATTCCGCCGGGGACCAGTTCTCTGCCTCTTATATCGTACTGGTTCGTGTTCACATGGTTGATTTTGGATTTTTGCGACGCGTCTTTCGATCTCTCTTGTTAAATCGTATTGAACCGCTAGAAGTTGGTTCAAATTCAAATCACGTAGTATCCTAAGTCCAGATTTTAATTCATTTCCAACAGGTTTGCTGGGATTTGACAAAGTGTCGGTATCTTTCATGTCATGTTCCTTTGGTTTATATGCAACTCTTTGAAGATTCGATATTTCAATTTTCAATTTATTGAAGTCATCTCATCGACTTGCAAAGGTATAGAAGAAGTGGGAATTAGAGTAACAAAGGCCCAAAGTGATTTTAAGACGACCACCTAGACGGTTTTCTCATTTTCAACCTGTTAATTGTGGTAGTAGGGCCTTTTCAGGAGGGGGGAACGGAGCACAAAATGTCATTAAATGATTTTTTAGCGCAAACTTACGGTAGTGGGAAAGATGGGAAAGCCAAAAAGTCCAAAAAATCCAAGAAGGCTGAGAAAGATTATCAAAGGTTAATGCTGGATGTGGTTGATACGAGTCCGAAATTTGAAGTTGATTCGAGTGAAGATGGGGTATATAGAGGACAAAAGTCGAACAAAACTGCCAAAACCTCCAAAACTGGAGCTTGGAAAAATCTGACAACTAATGAAATAGCTTTTGAATTACCAGGGTATGGGGCTCAGGACGTTTTGCCTGCGTCCAATTCCAAGTTTTCTGGAGAAGTTATGTCTTCTGGCGCTAGAGCAGGTTTACAGACAGCTGAACAAGTTGCGTTGCAGATGCGTGAAAAGGAGGCACTGGACAAATTACTCGCAGAGCAAAGTCAACGTAATAATGAAGCGGTTTTCCGAGATCATAGGGGCAGAAAGATAGAAAATTATGCGGAAATGGCAGATTTACAAGAAAATTTTACACGACGTCGACAATTGGACGAAGAAGCGCAATTGAAGGCACTTAACGTAGGAGAAATTCAAAAATTGGGACTTACAGATGTACGTTTACGAAATGGAACCATGTCAGAATCTTCTTTGAAATTCGAAGATCCGGTGAATACATTTAAGCCCATTTCAAATAACGCGGCGTCCAGCCCTGTCTCTCTGACAGGACGGAAACTCTACAATAAGGCGTTTCCTGAAAACAGATTTGGTATTACACCAGGACACAGGTGGGATGGTGTTGACAGATCCACCGGATTTGAAAAGGCGTGGTTTGCCAAGCAAACTGAGATTAACGATGAGAAATCCATGCTTCATAATTTGCAAGAGACATAGTTTTAACGAAAATGACGATGACAAAAAGATAGTCAAGACCTAGTCAATTGGTTTTTGCAGATACATAAAGCATGTACAAGGTTTGAGATCACGCAGATAGTGGTGAGGCCTGTTCGAAACCAGCATGATTGCCTCGGCCTCTGCCTCTACCGTTCCCACCACGTCCACGAGTAATCCCACCACGTCTGCCACGACCTCTCGAAGAGCCTCGTGAATTTGCCCTCTCATGTCTGTCAAACTGAGAGTTGAAGGCTCTTCCGTTTTGTTCTGCATGGTTGGACGACGGTTTTTCGTTCCCATGCTGGATTGGACTCCCATTACTCAAAGCTTGATTATGAAATGGAAGTCCCGGCCCAACATTTGCAGTGGGAACTCCAGGTATTGAAGGGTGCATAGGCGGATAGCCATGAGGAACTGGAGGCATAGCATAACCTGGTGGTGGTAGATTTGGTGGCATAGCGTAAGGAAGGCCAAACGTTGGTTGCACTGGCGTAGATTTGACAGGCATTTCGGAAAATTGATTGAACACAGCTTGATACACGTTGCTTGCCAACGCACCTTCTGTTGGGAAAGTTGCAGTTTGAGAGGGATTTTCTGGAGCTTCACCGTTGGATGCGGGTTTCGACTCTGGTTCGTCGTTCTTATTTTGGATTACAGTCAGTAATTCGTGCGCATGCATCTTTTTCAATTCTGACGGAGCCTTCTTTCTTTGAACTGCCTTAGGGTGGTTCATTTTAGCATCAACTCTTTTCACACTAGTGTCTTTATTCTTTTGAGAAGCCTTCGAATGATATATGAATTGTCTGTTCGTTAAATTTAAGAGTAAGGACGAATCTAGGCCCAACCCTCTTTTTGTCCGCAATCTTCCGCCAAAGTCATTTCCTGCGACTATCTCATCGTCAAATACAACCTGGATAGACAGACTACTACCAATGGTAGTGTAACCTACCACTGTTCCTTTAGAAAACAGAGGAACTTTCCCCGAATCCTGAGCATAAATCACTCGGTCACCAAGATCGAACCTTTGGCTTCTTAGTAAGGTGTACGAAGTTTTCGGGTCCAAAACTGCTTCCCGAGGAACCTTGGCAAGCTGTTTAGTCTCTGCCCGCTCTGTGCCCTTCGAGTAGGCTTCAATCTCATTCTCAACTGCAGCGATGGACGTTTTAGTCAAAGAGTCGCTTTCTAGTGAGACCGTGACGAAAGACTGTTTCACTACTTTTAGCCATGAAGAGATTTGATCGACCAAAGCACCTAGTTCCTTGGCATCAGCCCCTGGGCACAAATTCTGAATGTTGGGGATATCACCTTTGTGATTGGAGAGGTTGTCGAAAAATACTCTAAAGTTTCTTCTGTATTCGCTGATGAGTTCCATCGTCAGGTTCGAGTACTCCCATCCCTTGACATTGCGCCGAGCATAACCTAACACTTTTTCACGACGAGATTCAAACTTGATGTTGAGCCCCACGTTGATTGATTTTCCTTTCGCATCCGCTACGATAAACTTCGATGTGAGTCTCGACAGAAACAGCGGGTGCAGTTGCAATTTTTTGGAAACGATATATGACGGGTAATACCGAACGCTGCTCTCATCCATTTTAGCTCTAAGTTTGCCGATTTTTGGCTCAGACTTCATAGATCTTTTCTCCACAGTCAACTTGAGTCTTGTTTTGCTACTATACCCATCAATGGTAGCTCCACCCCCATAGGCGTAGTCACCCAAGAATATAACGTTGGAATCCTGGGGGAATTCTTCCTCAATCGGTAGCGGCGGTCTTTCAGCATACCTTATGTCTTTGTTCTTCACATCCTCAACAATAAGCTGGACTGGATAAAATTCCTCAATAGAAGAAAACGTCTTGACATAGGCACCATCGGCATTTCTGATAAGACCATTTACAGGAACAACTTTAGCGATCAATTTAATGTCATTTAACTTAACACCTCTTTGGGTTGAGTAGTTTTTAATCATCGAAGCCCTCTGTGTCCTAAAGTTTCTTCTGTCCACTTCATCTAGTGACTTTTGGACAACTTTAAACGTTTTCTCAGCATTTTCGTTATTGATTCGTTTTTCCTGAACTTCAAATAATTTCTCGCCATCATTAATGGACAGGAGTTTACATTCCCTCAGATACGGCCATCTTGAATAAACAATGTTTCCCACTTGACGCTTGGCTAATTCGACCGAAGTGAGATTATTTTCTGAAAGCACGTCCTTAATAAAGAGTAGCATCGATTGTTGCTTGGATGGTTGTTGAAAAATGAGGCATTCATTGTAGTCCAACTTATAATCAAAAGGTACCGTTTTGAGAGTCGGGAAACCTGCTAGAGCCTCGGCTCCGAGCTTTACGCCTTCTGGAAGTCCAAATAGTGGCTCTAATCCATCCATTGGTCTTGGTATGAATTCGTGTTCAACACAATGATTATGTTCAATATCAGAAAACACTCCGCTCAAGGGACTTTTGTATACATTGTCCACTTGTGGATTGTACACGAATACCAAATCCTTTCCAAAAGCATTTCTGGCCTTTTCTTCGGGAGATAATTTGGCATCGAAAGAAGCCATGGCATCAATTAAGCGCTTCTCATCAACAAAAGGAAGTTTTACAACGGCCTCCCAATCAGCAGTCTTCCCGTTTTTATCAAGCTCAACTTCAGCAGGATACAAATCTAAAATAGGTGAGTGAGGATCGAACATCAAAGTCCTGTAACAGGCAGGAATCAAGGTTTTAGACCTTTCAGGCAACACAGCCATTAATTGTTGGAAGGGCTTGAAAGGTGTCCCTAGGTCAAACCTGATGATTTGGTCTAAACCCAGTTTGACATCGGACACACGAGGCGCATAATGATACTTGTAGAACCAAGGCCACGATTGACATCCACGATAATAGTAATATAATACCCATTGCAAACCTTCGACATAGTTCTCCGCAAGAAGTTTCAGCTTATTAGTGTCATAGTAACTAAAGCCCAGCTTTTCTTTATAATACTGATCTTTCCAGCGGTCAAACCGTTCGTCGTAGGTTTGTTGCTCTTGCTGCAGCTCATCTTCGTCTTCAACTATGATGGAACGTTCATAGCTCTTAATCGTTTTCTTCAATTCATTGATTCGTTCTTGGCGTTGATCGTTGCTCTCTGTAGGGTCAATACCATCCACGTCGAGCATTAACGAGTAAGTATCCGTTGACTGGGAATGAGCAACGAAAAGTCCCAAGTCAAATGCCAGTTCCTTCAAAAAGCTTAAATTGTCCATAACACTTTCTGATTCCAGAGACAGAGTTGGAACATGTTCTGAAGATTGGATCTTGTCGGAGTCGAGTTCTTGGTTCAAGGTTTTGAAAAGCCAAGGTTTTACCATCCCAACAATCTTCTTTTGTTGTTTCAATAGGAGCTTTTTCCCCATTCTTGCTCTCTTTTTCTCGCCTTGTATAGAGATGTTTTCCAACTGTTTGTTGAACCACTCCACATCAACGTCTGCTTTTTCGAAATTTAATTGCTCAAACTTCGCCAAATAGGTAAACCAGCCCTGTAGTCTTTTCAGATTTATTGTACCATTTTCATTCATATAACCGTCAGAGTGTCTCAATGCCTCTTTGAAAGTTTGCAGTAAAACGGGGAACGCACCTTTGTTCAAATGCAGTTCCGGAAGGTTTGGCAAAAAGTCATTCCCGATGACAAACATAACTAAAATAAAGTCGTCAAGAATACGTTCAAAATCAAATTCAAAGCTCAATTCGTCGGCTATCTCCAAAAACTCAAGTTCAAGGTACTCTCTCATAATCGACAAATGAAGTAAGAAAAAATTCTGGTGCTCGAGGGCCTTCGTCTTTTGACGCCTGCCAAAAACGACTTCTTCTCTTAAAAGAGCACAATGTGGGTCGTGCGTTGACAAACCAAGCATTATGAGATCCGCATCAAGACCATAAATACAATGCCTTGTGTTTGGGTTATAGTCCTTTTGGGCACGCATTGTGCGGATGTAGCTCATTATCTTGTGCTCTCCCTCTCCAGGAACCTCATGTCCGGACAGTATAATCTCAGCAGAGTTCCACAGCGAGTCGTTAGAAATCTTGTCGTGAATAAAATATTTCAGATTTTGCGTTAATTTGGCCATAAACTCAGTACCAGGCGTAATGGAATTAGAATCAAAAGGTTCACCCTTGGGGATCGGTTCGCCTCTTTCAATGGCATTTTTCAAATTTTTCTCCGCGTCCATTGCGGTTCTAAACCGACGCGCTCTTTGCTGGTTCATTTTAGCTCTAGGGGCGACACCATCAATGGCCATGTAAAACGTTTTTTGAGGCTTGATAGTATGGAACAAATGATCGATATATGTGAAAATCTTGGCGAATACTTCTTCTTCTGAAAGTCGCTTCGTAACATCATCATCATTTGCATGCGTACACGTATGCAAAATCGAGTTCATATCCAGATACAGATTATCAAACTCAGGGATCTGTGTCCCATCAATCAATTGCGAGATCATAGGCCATCTTTCAGAGATGTACCTAAAGAATTTTGGAATACCCATTTCGAAGCTTGTAGTTGTTCAAACGACAAAAACACGCCAAGGAGGCAAGTGACGTAGCAGAAAGCTGGAGTGACGAGAATTCTTCAAACCTGAATTTTCCAAATTCAAAGAGACTCGATCGCCTCAAATCAGTTTCAATTTTGCTAGTGGCAAACAGCTCTCGTTGACCTCGTAATTATAATACGAAGATTTGATCGTTTTCAATCTAAAGATTGCGTTAAAAGCGTAGAATCCGATTCTTATCTCGATTTAGATCGACACTTAGCTCAAGAGCTCACAAATGCTCGAATTCTTTGGGTAATTTATGCGTTTTGAATGTTAGCAGTAACGTTACGCAACTTATTACAGTGCTTTCGGTTTCTGAAAGATTTTTGTCAAAATGTTTGAATATCACTTTATACGAACATCATGATTTTTTGAAAAATTCGGTTGTTTATTAGGCGCATCGGAGAAGCCTTTAAACGATTTCATCAACTAGAATTGGGACCAATTAGCGTCGTTTCAAGCGTATTCGGGATGTTAAATTTTGGCAGATCGTCGTCAGCAGGTGCGAATTCATCGGGAGGGTCTTTTTTCGGCCAAAATCCGTCTGGAACTGGTGGAAATACAGGTAGTCTTTTTGGACAATCAGCGCAGGGCCAAAGTCAAGTGGGGAATCAGAATGGGGGCCAAACTGGTGGGCTCTTCGGGCAGCGACAGCCGCAACAGTCCGGTGGGCTGTTTGGGCAAAATAGTCAGCCCAATCAGGCGCAATCTGGAGGACTTTTCGGACAGAACAGCGCATCGCAGCAGCAGCCAGGGCAGCAAGCGGGTGGTTTCTTTGGACAGAATACACAACAGCAGCAGCAGACGCCTTCTACAGGTGGTCTGTTTGGTCAGAATGCGCAACAACCGCAACAGCAAGGCGGTGGTGGTTTGTTTGGTCAAAATTCGCAGCAATCTTCGAGTTTAGGCGGGGGTTTGTTCGGGCAATCTGGTAACGCGCCACAGCAGAATGCGGGATCTGGAGGTCTTTTTGGCCAGAGTACGCAGCAACAGCAGTCCACCGGTTCTAGCCTTTTCGGACAAAACACGCAACAACAGCAGTCTACGGGCGGTGGATTGTTCGGCAATAAAATGAATACGGGCGGCACTACTGGTGGTGGGCTTTTTGGGCAGAATTCAAACACTGGTGCAGGTACCCCTGGCGCCGCACAGACAAATACAGGAGGAGGATTGTTCGGCAGTAAGCCTGCCACTGGAGGTGGTCTTTTTGGGAACACGAACAACAACGGCGCCGGCACAGGGTCTTCCCTTTTCAATAAGCCTACTGGCACGTCATCACTTTTTGGAGGCACATCATCAGCGGCAAATACAGGTGGTAGTAGCGGGTTGTTTGGCAATAAGCCAGCCGGAACTTCGTTGTTCGGTAGCAATACGCTGGGGAACAGCGGTTCTACCGGTTTCGGAGCGCCCCAGCAAATTCAATTCCAACAGCAGCAACAGCAACAGCAGCTGGCATTGCAAATGATCTCGCAGACGAACGTCACTCCGATGACACGGATTGTCGATCTTCCACCGCAGATACGCCTAGAGATACAGCAATTGGACCAATACATCCAGAAACAGATGTCGATATCGCAACATTTGAAGGCAGATACAGAAGATCATCTTGAACTGATAGCGTCAATCCCGCGTGACGTCAAATATTTGCAAACCACACACTCGTTGGCCAATCAGTCTCTCATGCAAGACTTGAAAAAAGTAAACGGGATCAAAGAGATTACGGATCAGAACATCGCCGACTCGCAGACGTTCTCGACGATTCTACAGCAGTTGCTGACCCCAGGCATCAAAATCTCGTCACTCGAACTCGACAAGTTTTTCCAAGACAAAATACACCTTTACAGAGCCAAACTCGACGAATATTTCCGGGTACTCGCCGACATCGAGAGCGCACTCAACGGCATCGAAGACGACATGTTTGCGACGACCACTGCCGACGCCGGCGTCGTAAGCGGCTCCGGCGAACCCACGACCTGGAAATCCGGTCTTAATGGCATCATCTCTACCGTGCTCGAAGAATTCCAACTCTTCATGGACGTTGCCGAGCGGATCGCGGAACTGCATCAAAAGGTCAGAACTATCACTGGCCCCGTCACGGCCTCAGCGCGCTGATCGATTGTTATCTCCTCTGGCACTAGAACCCCGTATTAGCACCCGCAAACAACCACCGTTTTCAGCAAGCCCGCAGAATTCCTGTAACCTTAAATCTGATCCGCTCTGTCTCTGTGCTCTCTTTTCAGCGTCCTAACTCAACTGCCCGCGCCGTTAAAGATCGAAGCGCCCCACCATTTCTCATCTAATGGCCTATAGACATTCGGGTCATCGCGGGTCTGTCATACAATACGAAATGCTCATCGATTTTGAAATCACAATCCTCAAGGGGGTTGTAATCCAAGAATGACAAGTAACTCAACCAACTCCTTCTACAGTGTTACAAGCAAGGTTTATTTAGGCTTTTCAAAAGCATTTGATAGGATCAGATTTGAGTGTTTAGCGATTAGATTTAGGCAAAACCCCGGAGAATTTTGCGTGAAATTTAGAATAATTCAAGGCAGAATAACAGTATGACGGCACTACGGAAGAAAGTGGACAATAGCTGGAATTTAATAAACTTTTACAAAAATTCGGGCACAGCGAGCAAATCGCAAGTTTCGGTGGATATGATCTCGGAGAATGGGAATTTTGACGATGTTTTGTCGAATACTAGCAGTGAGGAATCGAATTTACCTTTGGAATTGAGCCGTGGAAGTCGCCCAGAATTTAGTTTTGATACTTTGAAACCGGAACCTCAGGAACGAGGATCTGGGTTTTTGGTGGAGGAACAGGCGGCGGCATCGGCAGGGTTGGCGACGGCGGATGGAGAATATTTGGAAGTCAAGCAGTCGTTGGCGGGATCAGCAAGAAGAATGACCCAGAATTTAGTAGGGAATTATGGTAGAAAATTGCGTACTTGGCACATTGTGGTCCTTACGTCTTCTGCGACACTTTTGGTGTCGCATTTGGTGCAAGGTTTTTGGCAAAATATTTGGAATGAGGAATCCCAGGACGGTTTGGCGTTGACGCCACATTTTACAGACCATGGTGGACATTCACAGGGTGCGGTTTACCGTAGTACAGAATTTATGGTCCCCTTTGGTGGCGACGTTTCGTCAAGTAAATTCTACGTGGATTTTGAGAAAAGAATCGCATATCCGATAGATCTGGAAAATTCGGTATGGAGCTCCAAATATTTGGCCTTTGCCGAATATTTGGACGATTTTTGGCATAGATCGAAATTTAGAAGCGGGGTTCAAGACTTGAAAACTAGTCTCCGCAACGGTTACACCTCTGGGAAGGACAAATTGCAGGAATTGTGGGATCGTCGATCCTTTGATATTTGGCGGGAAGATTTTGTGCCATTCTTTTGGTCTATTGTAGCAGGTCCTAGAGCTCAGATCACACGATTTGTTGTTCCAGCTTGGCAAAGCATAACTCTGAAGGTGTCTAATGGGTCGAAAAAACTGAGTTTGGAGATTTTGCGCGCGTCGAGATCTGTAGGCTACGAGATTCGCCATTTTAGCGACCACATATTCAGGATGCCTGTACAAGCGTATTCCCATTGCAAGGATAAATTCAATACATTCGCAGTTAAGTTTCACGCACAATGGGCAAACACCTTAGCGATGTTAAGAAGAACAACACAAGGTACAAAGGATTAATAAAGCAATAAACCATCTGAAGAGTATCTGTACCCTGTTGTGTCTTGATGATTAATCGGTGCTCCGGGTTTTTTTAGCCTCTTATGTCGTGGTAACAGATTTCGGTAATACTTATCATTTGATAAATTACCAATTAATGCTACTCAATTTGGGTGCGTAAACAACATGTTAGGTCTGTCGAGAGTCTTTAGGAGTTTCTATTTTATATATATATAGTGATTAAACTGGTTTTACTCGTATCATGTCAAACTTCACCCCTCGCTATGAACAACTTCAAATCGATATTTAATTAAACTCATCAAAGGTATTTAGATTGATATCCATACACCTAGGATATATTCCATTAATTTAAAATACTAAGGCCCTCGAGTTAACATACATCTGCCCAAAGGTTGACTTTGTTGTTACCAGCTTCATGCGATTATCGATAGAAACTCAAGGAACCACATGCTAATACTATGCCGTTGATTACCTGAGAAGAAAATTTTATACTGGTTACTTTATTGTAATCTTCAAAATAGTATCGATGGCCTTGCTGCTGCTGCCTAAGCTATCCCTCAAGTCAGCGAGAAGCCAAGCGTCACTGTCCTCCTCACTCAAAAGACCCAGTACAAAAAAAAAAAAAATAAAAAATTTAAGAAACCCAACTTATACGCATTTCATGTTTCTTATGACCGTTTGTTTAAACCATATTCCGCTAAACCTTCCCAAAGCTTGCGATACCTTCATCCAAAATCCCAAAATTAAACCATTCGTGTTCGATAGCCTCCCTTGCGGTAATCCTTTTCGTTGGATCGAACTCGAACATTTTCTTGCAAAGATCCAAAAACCAATACCAAAAGAGAAAGGTTTCCCTATCTAGTTCTTTATCAGAGAATCTGGATTCAATAGAGACCCAATTATCCTCTGCAGACATATCCCAATTAATTGATAACCATTCTCCGTAATCTTGTCGTATTTTCTGACAGATGTATTTGTCAAGTCGATCACACGTAGTTAAGACCCGCCTCATCGATTTTTCCTTCGTGACTATGTCACCCTTTCGATTCCTCTCGGGCCACTTCAAGGCGCAAGTTTCCTTATCAAAATGTTTTACGACAGTAGCATTCAAGTCTGGAGGTAAATTGCCCAATTTACGCTCCGCTTTGTAAAACATTTTCTCGATAATTTTGGTGGGGAAAGGTTTGCCGCTGAACCGCTGCATCATGGCCATATGTTCTAAGTTCTCGTGAATTGGATACAATGATTCGCCCGTAACGAGCTCGACCAAGACGCATCCAATGGACCACACATCGCAAGGAAACGACCACCCAAGGCCTAGAACTATTTCGGGTGCCCTATAGTGGCGCGTTGAAATAACTGCCGGGTGAAACTCGTTATAGAAAACAGCGCTGCCAAAATCGATCAACTTCACTTCCGGATTTGTCAGAAATTTGCGTTCACCACCACTAGCCGTACGGCGTCTAGGACTGAGACTTGCGATGGCTTGTTGTGACAAGGGTTTTGAAACATACGACTCATCGCAAAGCAGAATGTTTTCCGGTTTCAAGTCTGTGTGAATAATGCCCAAATCATGCAAGAAACATACCGAACGGATGAGCTGCTTGGAAATCGCTTGAACTTGGGAACCGGGAAACCGCGCGCAGCCGTTATCACACATAAAATCATATATGGACTTGCCTAAGAGGTCGGTAATCAAGCATATGTGATTTTTATAGTCAAAGCACTCGCGTAAGAGTAGACATTGGAACGTACCTGATGGATCGTTTTCTAAAATTGTCTTGAGAACTCTAAGCTCAGTTTTTGCCGCTTCACGGTATCTATCCACGGCGCGGATAATTTTGACAGCGACAAATTTCCCCTGCTGTTGTGCGCCAGCATCATTCATCGAAGCGCCTGAACCGAAATCTTGATAAGATTCAGCAAATGGATCCTCAAACTGTTGATAGGAATCCATTGTGCACAGTTGTGGCATTGAATCGATGCATTTGACGACTTTCCCAAAAGTCCCTTGTCCAAGAAGCCGCTTGACAATGAACCTGCCATTGCTAAAAACATCATTTTCCTGGTACACATAGTGTCCCTCTTTGTCGGTGACGAAAAATTCCTTCTTGCGCTTTCTGCCAGAGACTAGCTTGGACAGTTTGGGAGCAGCGGTTGCTCTTTTGAAGATGGTAGACTCGACGGGAGTGGCCTCGCTTGAAATTCGGGACGTGGGAGACACACTGCGAATCACCTTCAGCATCACGCTGCGATTACCATCAATAGTGCGGGTGGAGCTGCCGCTGAGATGCAAAAGATCGTCATCATTTTGTCGGCGTGGGAAAGCCTTACGCGTTTCGTACAAAAGCTTGGCGTGTGGCAACTGTGGTAACGATACAGTTCGTTGTTTTTTGAATTTTTTGGCAGTATAGTAGGAATCATTGTAATTGGGGGCGTCGAACCCAACGGGTTGTTCTTTAAGAAAAATCACGTCATCATCTTCTTCGTCTTCAAATTGATCAGCTTCTGGCAGTAAACGTGGTCCCGCAGGGCCTCCGTTGAAAGCACCGGCACCAGCGGCGCTGCTGGCCGTATCACGGCCAAAACCTGGGTCTAACAGATTTCCTTGCAAGAGGTCTGTTTGACGCGCTAATATCTCGTCCACTAGCGAATCCGAGTTGTTGTCGAGAAAAACCGGACCTTCAAAAGGACGTGTACGTTTGCGATTTGCGGCTGGATGTGACATTGGCTGTAGTGCACTACAGGACGCGTGTTGATAATCCTCGTGTCTCTTGTGCGCTGTACGGGGCAAAATCGAGGCCAAAAACCTGTTTATACCCGCGGAAATATGATGCAGTTCGCGTGTCTTGGCGCCAACCCACTTTTCGGCTGCGTCAGACGTCTTTATTTTCCAGCAGGGGGCCTAAAAATGGAGTTTCTCAGAAATCGACGTTTTGACTGTCAGAGATTTGCGAGATTGGACCACCAACAGATACGTGGCCGTGGATAAGCCCTTGGATCACCTTGAATCAAACCTTTTCGTTCGCCTAGTGGGTGCCGATTAATCACCCAATGCGATCCGGCTGGAAAGGCGAGAACTTGACCGTTTGTCTCGCTGAAACTCGGAAACAAAACTAGTTTTACAGACTCCGAACTTGCTGGTCGGAGTTTGCCGTAGCCAAAAGCCTGCTATCTAGGTATACTTTTAGGTCTGCTTCACGCTACAGGGTTTGGTTTGGTGGCAACAAACGATTGGTTAATATAAATCCCCCATAGTGCATAAGCTAATTAATTTTCCAGGCCTCTCCTTTGGGGCCTGGCCTTTCCTGTGACAACCCCTCGTTTCCAGGGGCGGATGACGAGGAGAAGCAGCGGTCGTGTCGAGCGACCCCGGGCAGGGTAGCCCGGAGAGAACGCAACAACCTCTATTTCCGGAAACGGAAACAGGTGATGTGGGGGCGGTTGCCAGTGGCACTTATCTCCGGTCTGACACCCAGACACAATCCGTTCGCATCGCCGCTGCAAAGACGTCGTGTTATATTCATGAATGTATAGCAGTATGTAGCGTGGCTTTGCGGCTGACGCGAGTTCCCCCGCGATGCAGCGCAGCGCGGCGCAGCGCGGCGCCGAGGCCCCGCGCGTGCCTGCCCGCCTAGACCGTTTTGGGACGGGTGTTTTTTAACCTAAAGCGGGTTTGCTTTGATCTTGGCAAAACCTGTTTCAAAAGGATTCACGGTCCGTCATGAGCAGCGTTCCGCCCGCGCTGCTCGCGTTGCCCGCCGCGGTTGCGACTAAGAGGTCGTCCAGCTTCCTGCGCTGCCACTCGACGACGCGGTCGAGCTCCTGTACCCGTTGTAACACCATGTCGAGCTGTGCCTGCAGGCACTCGAACAGCGCAGACGCGCCTGCAGGCGCGCCTGCAGGCACGCTTGTCGACAGTAACTCCGGGCTCGCGTACCCCGGCTTCTGGGGAGTCGCCTGCAGAGCGGGTCGCAGCGCCACGTTGTTATCTTTGTCAATGACAAAGGCCACCAAACAGCTGGCCAGCAGTGCGCGGAAGCTCTGATCCGCGGCGGGCGCGCCCGCGCGGAGGCCCTTCCAGTAGAGCAGGTTGAAGCGGTCGCGGCACTGGCGTTTATTGCGTGCGATGTTGTGGTTGGAGTAGAGGCCCTCGCTGATGCGGCGCCAGAACCGGCTGCGCGAGCGGGAGTGCCGATCCTCGACAAGAAACGCTTTGTTTTCGAGCATGGTTCTGAGCAGGGTCTCGTCCTCGTCGGCGGCCCAGACCTGGCGCGTTGGGCGCACGCCCTGCGACTGTGAAGCCACAGGGGTCGCAGTTGAAGTGGCGGGTGTGGCGCCTGCCGTGCACGACGACATCACCGACGAGGCCGGCGAAAGCTCGCTCCGGACCGCGGCGTCGAAGAGCGGCGTGTGAGCGCGAGAGCCGCCGGGGCCGGGCCGGCCCCGGCCCCGGCCCCGGCCCCGGCGCCCAGGTGCGGGTACAGGCGCAGCGCTGCGGGGGTCACGGGCCGCGACAGCAGCAGGCCGGGCGGCATTTCGTACGGAATGGTGTACGGGCCCACCGGTTCCGGCATCGGCTGCGCCAGCAACGCGCCCGCGAACCCGAGCGCGTCCGCGGCGCCGTTCCGTTCCTGTCGGGCAGGCGACCCTACGTACACAGCGGTTTGCATTCTAGGTTGCGCGAGGTCGGTCTCCAAAGCGCGCTGCTGCCGAGTCCACATGCAAACCCGCGCCGGCTACCGCCCCTGCTTCCGTGTTTACGCTTCCATTATATAGCTTTTGGGGCCTGGGCAATGCGCTTCCAGCTGCTTCCAACTTGCGTGCCTGCCCTGGAGTCTTTGTCTTGCAGTCTCTGCGCCGGCCTCTCTGGGACTTGACACTTTCACGCTACTCCGTATCGCAGCCGTGCCTGCCAGCTTGACACCGCACGCATGTGCATGGCGCAGAGCGTGCGACAGGCACGCTCTGCGCACGCGTGCAGCGGTCATCCGTGCCTGCCGTCCGTACAACCGCGCGCGCGCACGGCGGCCTCGCGGCCCAGTCTGGGCCGCAGCCGGCCAGTCATCGATGCGGCCGCTCAGAGGCGGGTTTTTCCCGCTGGGCCGGCGCCCCGCGGTATCACAGCCCTATCAGAACAGCCCTGGCGGCGTTTGGCGTAGCGCTTACGCGCGCCTTGCGCGCGTTCGAAAGGTTCCAAAGGTTCCAGAACCCGTTAGGCACGCAGCGCGCAGATGACGGCTGGAACGACTGCAGGTGTCCTGCACACAAAAATGTCCCAAAACAGGATCACCCGATGCGGGTCGCTATCTGGGCGTGTCCCTGTAAAGCCAGATAACGGGCGGCGGAAAAATCGGGCATGTCCTTGAATGCGATAAACGTGGGCAGCGGTAGTTTTTCCGGAAGCCTAAAGCGTAAAACGCACTGCAACGCACTGCAACGGTGACGTCGCGGACAGAACAGGCTCTGGAAGCGCGTGTGGGTCGCGGGGATTGGCAACTTTGTTTGGTTCGGCACATGTGGGTGGGTGGGTGGGAGTATGTCACGTGGTGTGGCCACTTTGTACGAATACTCGGTTCGACTCGCCTTTTGTACGGCGAGTGAGTCGCAGTGGGTACGGGCACGTCATCTGCTAGCGAACTCGGTCCCCTGGCAGACGCCTGAACGTCGCAGATAGTCTCGTCCCGCCGCTGTCCGTCCCGCCGCTGTCCGTCCCGCCGCTGTCCGTCCCGCCGCGTATCCCCATGCAAGATCGCGACGAGCCCGCACAGTTGACCCTCGCCGCTTGGCTCGAGCTCCTGGACCCGGTCTCTTCAACCGTTCCGTCCAACGCCCAGTCCTATACACGCTACCTCCAGACCGCCAAGCGCAAGATCCGCAGCAGCAAACCGCACCAAAAACTCGCGCTACTACGCAGCTCTGCGCAGGACCTGACCCCCCAACTTGACGAATTCCGCAGACGACTTTTGACAACGCTCCAGGCGCTCGATAAACCCCTCGAATCCGTGTTCTTCCACAACAGCTCCCGCCTCGAAAAATGGTTTTACCCGTTCACCATCGTCAACATCTTCGTCGTGGGCCTCATCATGGGCCGTTTCCCGCAACTCTTCCACGTCTACTACACCGCCATGCTTGTCTTGCTCATGCCCGTGCGCTTTTACACCTACTACAAGACCAACAATCATTACTACTTGGCCGACCTGTGCTACTACGTTAACGCCATGTGCATACTCTTCATTTGGGTGTGTCCTTACTCCGTGCATCTTTACCAGTCCTGCTTCGCGTTCACCTTTGGCACTCTCAGTTTCGCGGTCATCACCTGGCGCAACTCGCTAGTTATCCACTCCGTCGACAAGATCACCTCCTGCTTCATCCATATCATGCCCCCGCTCACCATGTACACCATACACCATACCATCGACGAACAACTCAAACAAACTCGCTTCCCGGCGGCTTCTTTAAGGGCTTCCAAGACCTGGAATTTGAAAACGAACATTTTGTGGACTTCCCTCTACTATCTCGTGTGGCAAAGCGCATACCATTACTTCATAACGCTTCGCAAATCGTCCAAGATAAGATCGGGCCAACGTATGACTAGCTTCGAATATCTTACCACCCATCAGTTCAAAAATTTTTGGGCCGTCAAATTGCCCGACCCATGGCCCATGCTATTGTACACTTTATTCCAATACTGTTATCAACTCGGCACTATGATGCTATGTAGCATCTGGTTTAACTACCGTCGCGCAGCGGCCGCTTTCATGCTTTTCATATTCTGGTCTGCTGCCAAAAACGGTGCTACCTATTACATCGACCACTATGGCAGAAAGTTCGAAAAAGAAGTGGCCAAGTTGAAGGAAGAAGTCGAAAACTTGCAAAATCAACTCAACGTAAGAACTGAAGCGAATTCCGCGTCTGATCTTACCAAATGACAAATGGCTCTCCAATTTATACATTTACAGTCTCTTTAAAGCATCAAGTCATTAAGCATTAATATATTTACAGGTTGTTAAGCAGCCCTGGACGATGGCTGTTTACAAAATTTCCCACCTAAAGCAAAATCGATTTCACTCTTACTAGTGGTTTTCTTATTCACTATGTCCAACAGAATCGCCTCGCTCTTTGTGTCCTCAATGGCTTTCAACTTCTGGTGCAAACCCCGAATCGCAGGATACTTCCAATCAAGATATTTTTGAGACGCCATGATTATACCCATTGCATCCGTGAGTAGTTCCCTCTGAGTAAAAAAATGAACTGTCAGCTCTGCGAAAACTTTGTCCTGACCTTGTTTCAGAGCAGCACTTTGATTGGTGAAAAGGTTGGTTTTCCGGAACTTCCCCCGTGCATCCCACGCCTGTGTCGCTAAGTCCATATCGTTGAACTTCAGTGCTGCTCTCATGACAAGCTCATAAATATTTGAAGTTCTTATCAGCTTGTGTTTAAAAGAGCCAAAATAGTCTAGGTCTTTCGCGGATATTTCAGAGCTGTCTCCATCGCACACCAGGTCCGAAGATATATTTTCGTCTGTCAAAGCGTTTTGGTCAAGCCCAAACAAACGATTGACAAGTGCTTCGAGATCCTGTTGCTCGTAGCTAAACTCTGAAAGCCTTAGTTCAAACTCTTTTTTGTCGCCCAGTTTCAACGGAATGGTCAAGAAGGACGTAAGAAGTTTAGAGTTTAAAATTTGGTCATTCATATAGGCACTCCTCCAGTTCGCAATCTGGAATGCGATTTCTAACAAAAGCTCCTCTTTAGTTTTAATCGTGTTCTTGCAAGTGTCAATCCAGTCTTTGGTACAATTTGGAGGCCTTTCTGTGATATTTGTTTGACCTCCGTATTCAAGATTGAAATGCCACAATGCTCTTGATTCAGACATTATTTGCCATGCATTGTTCAAATCCTTTGTGGGTAGTAATGGAAGTGTCGCTGCTTCTAAGTCATTGGCCTCAGAACGACTAACGTAGTCTACGCTGTTGAGAACGTTTCTCCTTAGAATTGCACCTTGGTCATATCCTAACAATAAGGGCAATTTATCTCGAGAATAATTTGCATATGATAACAGCAAATAATTGAAAGCAATGGGATTCAACGCTTTCTGCCATATGCTCTTGTAATTTAACTCTGAGGAATGGGCATTTTTCGCCTGCCATCTGTTCACAGCCTGCTTGAACTTCGCTGTGACAAGCCTAAAGTACAGAGCCCTCGCCATGGCTACGTCTCCATCGTAAGCAGACAATGCCATCATCGAAATCAATGTTTCCTCTGCTTCAGGCCTAGCGTTCTGACCGTAATTCGACTCGAGGTCAAGTTCCACCTCATGTATATATTTCCAGCCCAAAAGCCTCAGGGATTCGCTTTTGCCCTCGCTCGTGATTGGGTCGGCACTAGCCATGGCCAGCGACCTTGCCATTAGATTTAGAGTTTGCGTATTCGGTTTTATTCCTTGATCTAGCATCTCCTGATGCAGGTCAATTGTTTTGGCGTAGTCCCGCTCTTTACCGCACAAATTGAGCATGGCGTTGTACGTCGTAATATCAGGTTTATGTTGCGTGGACAGGAATTTCATGGTCGAGAACAGATCCCATGCTCGACTTGGGACATTTAACTTTGTGTAGAATTGTATTATCGCGGTGTAGTTCTCACGATTGGGTATGAGACCGTATTTCTGACCAAATAATGTCAAATATTGGTCCATTTTCTCGAAATTCATAGCTTTCGAGGCGACTTTTATGCAGCAGTTCATGACAAATTGGCTCATTTCGGACTTTTTCTGGAGGCCGTCAGAGTCCATTTGAGATATCGCATCTCCATGCCTTTTCAGCAACATGTCCATCATTTCGAACACTTCAATTCCGCCAACTTTAAGATTGGAGAGGTTCAAAAATAGGCATTCGTACATTGCAAGACTGAACCGTGTTATATCGTTTTCAATGTTGGCCATTAGCATTTCATCAAGTCTTTTAATGTTGGTCAAATTCAATCCTTTCAAAGAAGGTAATAATGATGTTTTAAGCACTTTCTGGCTCACACCGTTCAGCCATTCTTTATTTCCGTAAATACGCGAAAGAATAGGGTTCCAATTTCGGTTCCGCCGATCTAAAAGTGATTTGAGTACCAGCTGGTCGTCACAAATACGCTTCAATAGCACATCAGGTAGAAATTTCTTAGCTTGTTCGGAAGCATTCAGAATTAGAGATGATAGTTCGCTGCCTCCAGCTTGACGAGGGCTTTCAAGAGCTGGCCTAATTTCATGATCTATCACCTTCTTTGGGCCTACAACTTCTTGTTCCACGGTTTGCTTCTTCATCAAATCATCTGCATTTCTCACTTGCTGAGCCAAATTTTTGGTAAACTCTTTGAGTTGTTTTAATTTGAAGCTAACCTCACGCACGTTGTTCCAGTCTAACCCTTTCTCCAAATTCAATTCCTCGTTTATCTTGTTATGATAATGCGTCTGTCGTTGCCGTTTCCTAGTTTTACTCGATGGTATCAATATGTGACGCTTCGAACATGCGTAAAAAGGCTTCCTAGCAAAGCTCACAGTGTTTTTCAGCATTAGTTACTCGTTTCGACACATCAACTCGTATTTAAACTGAAAATATCCCAATTAATGATTCGAGTTGAAGCTGCATTTCCTAGCTCATCGCTGAAATTTTTCACTCAGAACAAAGAAATTCAAAAATTTTTCCCGACGTGAGATGAGATGAGATGAGCCAGATACACTTTGTTGAACAGAGCTAGTCCTTATCCGCTTCAAAATCTGTGTTTGAGCCAGCACTTTTGATATATAACAGCTTATTGAACGCACAATGGTCGAAAACAAAGGCAGCAATCCGTCTCCATCAAATGTTCCCGGCCAAAATGGTCAAATTGGCCAAAATTTGGATCCTGGAAAAGGTACCAATGTGAGTGGTAGAAGCTGGAAAGTCGCGAAAGACCAGCTTCGGCCGGCCAGTAGGGCCATCAAGAACAAAAAATTGACGTCTTGGGAGTTAAAGTTGCAGAAGAGACTTGAAGATCAACAGTTTAAACAAAAGCTCAAAGAGCTGAAAGACGAGAAAGAGGAGAAAAGACAAAATAGAATCCAGGCTTTGCGACTAAGACGTGAAAACAAGGAGGAAAAGGAAAGGTACGAGAGATTGGCCGCGAAGATGCATGCAAAGAAGGTCGACAGATTGAGAAGGCGTGAAAAGAGAAATAAAGCTTTGAAAGAGCGTTAAACGTGTATAAAAATGGTACCCCATAAGAGCAGTTTATAATTATTTAGGTAAAGAAGCTAGCGTTAAGCAGGTAGGAGTAAGATGCGAAGACTTGGCAAAAGATAAACTGGGTGTGTTTTCAAGAGGACATCTACATGTTTTTTGGACCAACTTTCAATTTCAGTTTAAAAATGATAAATTTAACAGACATCATATCAAAATACAAAAATACGCTTAATGACAATCGCTATACTTGATGAAACAGAGATTAAAATAGCCAAGTCTGCCGGTACTCAGGTGTGTTCAATGGGTTATCACACTGGATACCTCTGAAATTTTATAGAAATATGAAACTTTAGAGGATATTTATCATATTCTACGCTTTTATCTCAAGCACACGTAATTGAGACTATCAAGAGATGAGCAATGACCTCTGGCATATGGCTATTTGATTTTGTCAAGCTTGCAGTTCTTAATGTCTGTCCACCAAATTTATGACAATATCGGTTCAATTGCAATTGTGTCTTTCGGAATTTGTTACTTTCTTCAAACTAGACGGTGAATTCTCATCATACGTCAGTTACCATACCACATATGATCTGATTAAGATGTTCTGAAGATTCTAGAACTGTCAATGGGCCTGTTTTAGCTTCCAGTTCTTCCACAGAATGCCAACCGCTTGTCCATTTCTCTAGTTTTATTCCGTCATATCGATCACGTGATGATGCAATTGAACGATATCACCTTCTCGCCAGCTCCTTCCAACAGTATCTACTTTGCACAAAGCTTAAATCATTAATTCTATAGTCCTTCGTATTTTACGCTCGAGTGGCCCATCTTTGGATAGCATGGGGAAGAGATGAATGAAGTGCCGATAGAATTTGAGTAGGTCAAATCTAACAATGTTGAGAGAAGCTCAAGATAGGCGTTATAAAGTTATGCCATTAGCAGGTCATATCACGTGACCAATGTGTCAGAATTAATAAGATATAATCGAATGAATGTTTTTAATACGACTCATCTAGAGGCCATGGGAGCCCGATAGATCCCTATAATTTTCACAGGACATCAATTCATCTCAAATTAGAGTATCGGAGTGTGATAGGACCGCTGTAAAGCAAAGACTTGTCATAATACTTTATTCTGGGAAGATAAGCGACCGAGTCGAAGACAATTTCTCGACACGGATGAAACTCAACAGTAACACTAGCTAGCCCCGAAAAATATCCCCGCCGCTCATTACTTCTCAAACTCTGCTCGAGAAGCGAGCGTCTTTCATGAGGTACTATGTCGAACTTTGACGAAAAAAATTGCGAATTCTGTGGATCGAACACAGGACCTCCAGATAACAGCGACTAAAGTTGACTTCAGTCTGGCGCTCTCCCGACTGAGCTAAATCCGCATAAGTGCTTACCTGAAATGGTCTGCATGTGCCATAAAGGGAGTTGAGAGATGTTAGGCAACCTCCATCTCTCCTCGTTACTTTACCGCTAATGAGACTTTGAATGGAGAGTCTCTCAAATGTTTTATCTTATATGTTTTAATCCCTAACCTATTAGTACTCATTTTAAGTAGCTGAACTATATTACAAATATTTGGCCTTTTGGTACATTTTTTGAGATATACTCGCAAATTTGTTGTGTGCAATTGTTGCTTATCATGATTTCATACCGTTGGCAAAAACTCCCCAATTCCGAAGGACTGTTCGATACCGTATGGTCCTGGCGCTTTCCACAAATCATTGTATGTAGAAAGAATTGTGACTTCTGAATTCAGCTCATCTAGGATACTCTGGACGGCAATTATTTGATTAGCAGTGGATGGGTCGTTTCCGCCATTTTGAATTCCGCTAGAAGGATAACCAGTTTCTGTTACCATGATATTTGAAGTCCCGCAAATCTGCTGTGTGAGCGCGATTTGACTTTTCACGAACGAGCCTGCACTGTCTGCTGTAGCATATACATCGAAATAGGCATGGGCATTGATACCGATAAAGTCGATTGCTGCCTGGCACAGGTTTGGATTGTTTTGGAAAGTGGAAGGTGCATCACTGTAAGTGAATTTGCCCGAGTAACCAGCGCCTTTCATTTGGCTAGTCACACTGGAAATCTTATTTATCAATTCATCGGCAGAGCAGAAACCTGACAACACTGCTTCGTTACCGATAGTAATAAAATCGAAAACGTCCCAGCCATTAGTCTGACCATACTGGATCAACGCTGAAACGGCAGAGTCAATGGAATCAACACCCGTGCTGTCGATCCAAAGTCCTTGATTGATTTTGATGCCTAATTGACTGGCGGCGGAATTAACGGTTTCTAGCGAGTTGCAGTCAGTGCCATATACGCGAATCTTGGACACACCCTTAGATTTAATGAATTCAAGGTCGTTTGAGACCGAAGATGCGTCTTTGCAAGTACCGTCATTATTGTAGGGTGAGTAAGCCAAAGCGGTTGGTGCGCTTTTCAAAGCCGCAGTTTGCCCGGAAGATGGGTTTTGACTAGTGGTTTGTGCAGCTTGTGTAGTTTCTTCATTCGAAACTGGGGTCGTGGTGATTGGTGCAGCATTTTGAGTAGTCGAAGTTGGTGCAGAGTTTTGCTCGTTTGGAGAGGTAGTAGTTGGTGCAGGGTTTTGCTCGTTTTGGGAAGTAGTAGCTGGCGAAGGGTTTTGCTCGTTTTGAGAAGTAGTGGTTGGTGAAACTTGAGTGTTAGCCACAGCGGAAACAGAAATAGTTTCGACAACTTCCGACTGAACTGCGCCTATGGTTTTAGTTCCTGCCGGTGTCAACGTAGTGACACAATTCGTTGTAGGCACAGCATTGGCCACGTGAGAAGTAATGGTAATTGAAGGTTCTCCAGTTGGAATAGAGCCATCCGCAGCTGGCAAGGTGGTTGTGAAAGTAACGTCTCCACTGATGATGAATTCAACGGTGGGTGCAATGGAAAGGTCAGTGGTAGTTGAGTAAACGTCAGTAACAGTATGGGTTGTGCTGGCAGTATGCATGCGGGTCACAATCTCCCTTTTGAAGGGATTCCTAATTGGAAATGCTTCCGTAACGAAATTGGAAAGAATGACAGCGCTGATAAGGAATTGCAGAATTGCTGAACTTCTACTGGTAGATCTCATCATTGAACAAAAGATGATTTTTGGTATGAAGGAATGTGGAAAGAAGAAAAAAGTGACTTCTTCAAATGAGAGAATGAATGTACAGTTTCCTGGCGAAGTCTTTCGGAAATGAGTGTTGGTCCTAACGATTGATACATTTCATATCCAAATGAGGTTTCTCAAACTCTTGAGATTATCACGCTCTTTATATCAGGTTCCCACAACTTAATCCGTTTTCCAAAAGTCTCACTGGTATCCAGCCATTGTGTTTTGGAAACCTTTTCAAAAGAAGATATTTCTTGGTTAACTTTGCAAGATTTGAACCATTTTGAAATCAATACAAACTGGCGCTTGCAAGACAAAACAGCAAACTTCTGTCAATCAAAACAATCCTACATCATACCTATAAATCAATCGATAAACAATTTAAAAAGACTGGGTCTTTTTGCTGTGTCAATGGTTTGTTTGTTTATATGTAAATATATCAATATATATATTATATATATATATATCGGCTATTCTTGGGCTGGTTTGTTTACATTTTCAGTCATGTGATTAAATAATACCTCAATTGGTGAAAACTGACACATTATAAGAAATCAATCTTGACGAAATAAATGGAATGGCTGAACCGAGACATCACCATGATTTAATATTGGGTAAGATGACCTCGTCGAAGCTTGACCATGACACCAAAACAATGCTAGCCACTGCTGAAGAGTGATGATGGAAATGCTACCGAAAAGATACAGGAAGAAAACATCACAAAACCGGTACGGCTGACATGTAGACCATTGAAGGTTAGCGTAGATTGATAATTGAAGTAGATTAAATTAGAAGGAATAGTATACAAATCTTAGCTTGTTCTTTCTAAGAGAACGAAAGCTCTTAGATTAGGAGTGAAAGTAAAAATACAATAAGTGAGGCGACCCATGTCTTTTTCGAAAGATCGTAGCGCAATGGGTACTGCCCGACAGCACCGCCAGTGCTAATTTGGATCGTGTATTGAGAACTGACAGTGCCATTATTCCCTAGTAAAATAGCAGGTACGGATGTCGACATCCATCCGGTTGTAGAGCCATCACTGTTGATCATTGGCACTGAATGCGGTATCATGACCGTTGTCATTGGAAGACTAGTAGAATAAGTTGTGTAGCCAGTAGTCGATCCAGCTAAGTCAGTCAACGGTTCAGTAGTGTTGAAAACACCCATACTTGCTGTTGAGATACTTGTAGTTGAACCCTGTGAGTCTGTCAATGGAACTTCAACTGTAGAGGGCACAAATGCCGTTCTTGCAATAGAACCAGATGACATTTCATTGTAGTCAGTAGACGAGGAAGAAGAGCCAATTGAAACAAGGTAGCTGGAATAACCGGTAGTAATACCGTCTTCGTTTGTTAGAGGCGTGCTCGTGATGATAACCTCAATCGATTTGGATGATACAGGTGCTCCTGGCTGTGTGACTTTTTGACTCCCCTCAGAGCCAGACGCAGAGGCACCAAATGTATCAAAGCTTACGGCGGAATTATGAGAAGAATCGGAAACAACTGAGGGACTTGGGGCACCATTTGGACCAGTAGCAATTGCATGACCCGTTCCTTCGTGCGACGTATATGGCGTTCCATTTGAAGCAAAGCCATCAGTTTCGCCACTATAAGTTTTAGTTGGCTGATTGGCGGACAAATCGGAGACAATTGAAGAACTTAGGACACCATTGGAACCAGTAGCAATTGAAGGACTCGCTCCCTCGTTCGACGGATATGGCCCACCACTTGAAACAGAAATATCAGTTCCGCCACTATAAGTTTTAGTTGGCGTATCGACGGATAAATCGGAATCAATTGAAGAACTCTTAGGCTCGCTGGATGATTCGTGACCACCATCAGAACCATATTTACCAGAGGAGCTCGAGGACACAGACCCAGAATTAGAAGTAGTATCACCAATGGGTGCGTTACTATAAGTTGTAGTAGGAAGGACGACAGGTGTTCTACTTGGCAAATTGTTAGGCCCATTGGACGACCGCGCTCCAGTACTTGCGGGCAAGCTGGAAGTCACTCTGTGTAAAGTAGTATCCCCGGAAACAGCAGCCGTCCCATTGATGACAGTGTAGGTGTTACCATCTGTGACATAATAAGTTTGTGTGTTGGTAGAGGTTTGAGTAACGAGGACTGTCGAAGTATGAACATTTGTCACATTAATGCTGGTTGAAGTGAAGATCAATTCGGAATTACCTTGAGTGGAGTGATCTGTAACACTTGTCAAAGTAACATCGCTGTAGCTCACACACGAGGTTTGAGTGAAGACAAAAGAGGTATCAGTATATGTCCACGAGACGGTACTTCCTTCGACATTGTAAATTGGAGCATAGCTCTTGATAGACTGCGTCATTTCATTATAGTGTGCAATAACACACAACTGAGTAACAGAAGTCAGTTGCGCGCTTGCGGATGCTGAAGTTATCGAAGGGTAAGAGGATGATGGCGTGATTGAAGTTGCGCCAGATAACTGGCACGACGTCGAAGAATCCTCGTTGGAAAGTGACGTCGAGGTGAGCGATGATTCAGAAGTGACGCTTGGTGACTCTGAACTGAATAGAATCGAACTCGATGAGCTTCCGCCGCTAGTTTCCACCAGGGTCAGAGATGTGATTGTTGATGACTGCCTTGAAGTTGAAATGCCTATACCTGAACTGCCGAATGTTGAAGATCTTGTGGAATAGGTAGAATTGGGGAAAAAAGGTCCGCCCCCTGTGTGCGATGACGAAGAAAGTATCGAAAGTGTAGAAATGCTACCAGTGCTGGATGAATCAGGAATGCTAGCCCCGTCACTCGTTAAGCTTGCCGTCTCAGTAAATAAAGAGCTTTGGGATAAAGCTGTAGTCAGGTAAGAGGAAGATTGGCTTGACGATCTTGCAAGAGAAGGTCTCGAAACTCCTGTGGAAGAAGTGGCTGACAAGTCTGCGGTAGACGCGCCTGTCGTTCCTGCAGGAGAAGAGACCGACACTCCTTTGGAAGACGCGCCCGTCGTTCCCGTGGAAGAAATGGTTGACGTTCCTACAGGAGAGGTGGCCGACACTCCTGTGGAAGAAGTAGCCGATACCTCTGTGGAGGAAGTGGCAGCTGTAGAAGTTTGATCACTCGACGATTGCTGAGGAACATAAACAAAGTAAACGGCATCGAGTGTGACAAAGTCTTGGGCATCGGAAGCTAGCGAATAGCTGGTCGACGTCGAAACGTAGGATTCTTGCCAAGTAGTAGTCACTGCACGGCTCCTAACGACGTTAGGCAGTGTAGTCAAATATGACGTGGCCACAATCGTGCTGCCGGCTTCGTTAGTGGAAGTGAACTGAACCGCTGAATAAGTTATCACATTGCCGCTGGACCACGACGAAGCGGTATCCCAAACAAGTATAGACGATGCCGGTGAGGAGGAAGAGAAAGAAGTCATGGAAGCAGTTGCTGATCCATCAGACGAAAACCCAGACTCACTACCAGAACTTCGAAAAGAGGACGAGCTTCCAGCAGAGATCCCACTTGCGCTAGAGGAGGAATCTCTACCCGCGGAGGAACTTGAGCTCGTAACAATGGAGGAGTATCCCAGAGAGGAGGAACTTCCACCAGATACCGCACTCGATAAAACAGGGGTCTCAACGTAGTATACAGTGTCAATAGTTTCCTTACCATCTGATCCAGTGAAAGTGTTGTAGCCAGTTGAGTACGTACTGGTGAAAGATCCGGTCCATGGAATCGTGGTCCCAGAGGTTTCGTCCACAATTGGCGTCTCAACGTGGTAAATGGTCTCGACAGTTTCCTTACCATCTGATCCGGTGAAAGTGTTGT